GAGGCCCTGCAGGATAGTCAGTCCAATCTCTGGAAGGCACGGTCAGAGATCAATCGCCTGAACCTGAATAAGTTTCGGACAGCGAACGAATTCCTCGATCGCTACAGCGGGCTGCTTGATCCCCAGTCGCAGCTGTACCAAAACATGGTCGCCATCGCCGATTATCGGGATCGTGTTAGCAAGGCGCCCACGGATGAGCAGAGAGCCGGGGTCAGGCTCTTCAGGGACTTTCTCGAGGAGAGAACGGAGGTCCTCCGCCGGGCGATGGCTGCAGATGATCCACGACCCGTCTTGAAGGAATTCGACGACAGGTGGGAAGAGGTTGCCATCGCAAATGACTGGGGTGCGATGGTCTTCTACAAATTGTCTGCGACAAGAACTGCTGCTGCTGTCAGGTTCCAGAGCGAATCGAACAGCTCCAAGGATGCTTTGCAGGACATGATGAAGCATGCCAAAGCGGTCCAGGAGAACATGGGAGACGCCTACAATGGTGACCTGGTCGATAGGATCATTGATCTCAACGATGAAATGGAGCGCACGAGGCGGCCAAGAGGGAGGCCAAGGGCTTGAGCATGCACTGTCAGGGTGTGAGAGCTCGGGTCTTTGTTATGAGAAATTATGTTTATGAGATTGGATCGGAGGCCAGAAGAGGAAGAGGAAGGGACATTTTCCTCGTAGAGTCTCCATAGGAAGTTGTTTCACATCCCACAAGTGACAGCCACATTAAAGACCTCCATAATTTTCTGGCTATCAGAGAGGTGAAGATAGCGAGGCCTTCCCATTCTGAAAATAACCCCCAGCATGTTTTCGAAACCCGATTTTGCCAAGTCAATGGTCAACAGTGGGATAGATACTTGGGCGTCACCACTTAACCTTTGACATGCAGGGCAGCAGCCTTATCACCAGTACCTTCAAGCGGAAGGTGTGCCCACTCCAAGACTTCAAGCCATGTAGCAGCGCGTTCGCTGTCTGCAGGAACTGCAAGTTTACGACAACCCCTGACATCAGGATATGTGCCCATTCCCCGGGGTGGGCGTGCCCGGATTGAGCGACCTTCTGTCCTTTCCTCTTTTTTTGAGGCACACAGTGCGGAACGGGGTGGTTTGTTTCCTACAGAGCTTTGATATCTTTGTGTGGAAATGAACGGTAGTCAGTATGATAAAGTTGATGATAAAACCGCTGCGGGTCCGCGTGCCTGTGTCAAACGAGTATTCAGCATCTCTCAGGCGTGCTAGAGGAGAAAAAATAATCGAAAAGAATCGAGAGGAAGAAGAAAGAGAAAAGAAAGGAAAGGAAAAAAAAAAAACCGTACCTGGCCAAGAAACATCTCACCGAGATAAGAGCGTAAGAACAGCAATGCAATCGTGGAAAAAATATGCAGTCGAGAGACGGAGGAGGATGATTCTTGGCCAATATGGAGACAACACCCTTGTCGTGCTGAATATCGTGGTTTCACGTCCCCGCCCCAGGGGTGAAGCAGCGGGTGCAGCCCTTCCACGACCCGCACGGGTAGCTGCATGACAACGACGGAAGATTGTTGACTCTGTATGATTACGCGTCCGAGCAGGGTGGATATTGTGCCGACGAAAATGACGAGAGGCTGAAGGAGAGGGAGGAGGATTACGTGGTCAGAACCCACGCAGCCTAACCAGGGCCAAGAAGAGGGCAGCTGCGCCTTGGTGCCGTGGCGCTGATCGAGAACGCGCTGGGTTACCGTAGTTGGCAGGTCCGAGAGCCTATCACCTCCTAAAAATTGACTTGTTTCAAGAGGACCCCTTCACCGGGAGACAATTTTGCTGTTGGGCACGATGAGGAAAGGCGCACAGAGTTGAGGTGACGAGGCCATGAAGTCCAAGGCTGTGTGTGCTTGTGGTCCCCCCACGCCCCAACCCTATGGTAGGATAGGATAGTATAACCGTGGGATGTATAGGTGGGAAGGAGACATGATTAGAGTTTGATTGGCGCCATCGAGAAGTTGGGATTCGCGTGGTCACTGTTCAACATGGGGCAGGTCGCATTATCGGTGGAGATTGTCGACAAGAGAAGACATTCATGACATGCGGCTGCTAAGGCATCATCCTCTGCCGTGCGGGCGGCTGTGGCTCGCGTAGGTGGCAAGGGGCACCTCGGATGAACGTGGCATCTTTCTTGTCTTTTTCCCCCGGTCATCCAAGGAATTTGGATGCTGCTGTTTGGTGGAGGACTCTGAAAATATTCCGTCTGAGGCAGGGAGGCGGAAAAATACCGATGCATCCCAGCGCCAGTTCGTTTCTTGCGAGATGAGATGAATGGAGATCAGAAGCAATAGCAACCAAGATTCAAAGTTTCATTACCTGACTACCTACATGAATAAGAGATCATGCAATGACTGGGCAGGTGCTGTGGACATCCCGTCCTGCCAAGCGGGTGGTGGATCGGCCCTGCACTGCGTACCACGTAAATACCGAATAATGTGGAGCACGCGATTAACAAGCTTATTCAGACGTCCTTCTCTTCTTGTCTTCGACCATGTTCACCATGCACAAGCATGTCACCTTTTTGCAGGGCTACGATGCGCCTCATCATACCCTCCATGCATGAATGTCTCGATATTTGCCCTGAGATGAGACTAGTCTACTTTAGTAGGTAAATTTGAGGGACGTGTTGGTTGGGCCCATTCCAATTGTCTGATGAAGAAAGAGCTTGCAATTCAAAAATCCCTTGAACACAGTGCCGAGCTGCGAACCTCTCAGAAGGTTCTCTGGTGGGTTGATCCAGTCTGTCCTGCGTCTGTTGGCGGCAGGAAATCTCGACAGAATAAGAAATAGAAAAAACTACAGAATTGAAGGAAGGGGACGAAAACAAAAGTAAGAAAAAATACAAAGAAGGGGGAAACATCAGAAAAGACATATGTCTAGAATACTTTTGTTGACGGCATGGCACTTTCCTCATTTTGTCGGCTGCATGGTCTTATCAAGCCAAGCAAGATCTTCTTAAGTTATCGTGGCTGTCACTTCCTCCCCCCACAATCCTGTCCAGCACGTCATCGAGACTGTATCGGCGTTAGCTACAGGGCAAGGGCATGGCTGATCACTCACTTCAACGCGACATGCTTGTCTGTCGCCATTCCATTCCATGGCGCGCGGTTACCATTCTTTTTCTTTTCCCCCGGGGTGCCCGACACCGTTCAAGAGTACGTATTGCTTTTCCCCTTACCGATTGCAATGCGTCATGCTAATCTCAGTAGCTGCTCCGCTTATCTGTCTTTGCGGTGCGCAACAGGCTTTCGAGCAAGGTACTTACAAGACACTTCTTCAAGATGAAGGGCTCTCTTACTTCTTGGATACTTATACAGCCTAGTTGACATCTATATGCCATCTCATTCGGGCTAGACGCCCGGCGGCGCAAGATACTTCGCGAAAGGCCTCGTTCCTCTGCTTGCTGACTATCAACAGATGACATGACCGTTGACCTCTCAGCGGCTCTTTCTGTGCTGCCATTTAGAATTACGGTGCATTCCTCGACCAGCCGAATTTCCGATTGACCTGTGGCTCCACACACTTTGTGGTCACGCTGGCCGGTTTGGAATGGTGCGGAAATTTACAGAATGAGGGGGGCTACAGAGGAAAAAAAGACAGGAAAAAGCAAAGCGCTCTGGTGGCGCCTTTGGAGGTATCATGATCATATTTCTGCCGGAATAGCCTGCCAGCCGAAGTCTTTCGCGGCTGGCCCTCGTTGATTCATGCACGCATCATGCTGCATCTCACGGCTGCCCGACAATCACGGATCGTGTGCCTCCTAGATTCCTTGTGTTCCCTCCAACTCTAGTGGATGCCACTGGGCCCGAATTACCCATATTATCTGGGGAGACTCGCAGCCAGTCAGAGTGGTGTCTCATTACCACGGATGATCACTTCCCACGTCTCTTGCGACCCATCTAGATGCTGCGCTGCTTCTGGTCTGGGCACCTTGCTTCTCTTGCCTTGCCCGTCTTGGTCAACCTTTACCACTTATAATACCTGCTCAATTGGAAAATTTGCCCGGGCAAGTGCCTGTCAGATGCAAATCCCGTCACAGACCAATGCAAGTCCCCATCCCTCCCTGCGGCCAAGGCTCTGTCAAGTCTAGAGTCCATGTACATGCTGCTATCAACCCCATTTGGGGCAGACCTCGGGCTTCTCGATACTCCCTCATCATAAGGTAGGCACTCCGAGATAGCGCAGTGATGGCGTCAGAGAAAACCAGACCCCCTCCCCCTGGAGGGCAACAGCCCGTCCTTCTCTGAGGGCTTGTTGCCATCCACTTGGATAAGGGAAGTGCAGTGAGCAGTAGGAAGCGTCTGGCAAACCCGTGATATGGACATCTCGTCATGGTGTACCCTGCTTCACCTTGGCCAGGCCAGTGATTTCGACCAGGGTCTCGACGGGGTATGGAGACTTGTCTCGATCAGGCCACTCGGTTTATATCGAGGTCGTCCTGCCTTTTGCTTGTGTGTCAATATCAAGTCACTTGAGCTATAAGAACAAGCCACAACTTGTCTCAACCTCATCTATCGTGACAGCCTAGCCATCGGGCGGGGCAGACGATAAATTGACCTCCTTTGCTGCGAACCTAAACGTCTCGCCTCCACCACTTGGCAGAGCTTAGCTTTCGCCCACGGCCGGAAGGAGGCTTAGAAATCTGCTCCGTCTAGTCAGTCACCTGGCACAGAGGTCTCGTACGCCTCATATGATTTATCAACCCAACAGGCATTATTTCATACAAATTTGTGGCCTTGAGTTGAGACCGAACCGGCACATATAAACGACGACCAGTGTCCCTCCGTTCTCTGGACTTCTCCTTCTTACTTTTCTGCTCATCTGTCCAACTCCTGTACTTTCATAGCATACATCCTCAAATCAACCGTCTGAATCTATTCGATCAAGATGTCGGCGTGGACTTCCTCCTCTTCCCCGCCAGGATCAATTGCTGGAGCCTTATCCTCAGGCTGGCAGTCCAGTGGTGGTTACAATGCTGCCTCGATGCTGATCAGAACTCAAAAAAACCAGCAACAGCTACGGCGTTATGCAGCCGGAATCTGTGGCCTGATGACCATCTTCATCGTCACCCACTGGTTGCGTCTGTTATTCAACAGGCTGAGGCCGAATTCGAACAACCCAATCCGTTCAGCCTCAAGGTTTGTGTGCACATCTGGCCCCTTTGCCTGCTTTTACGTCTTCTCCGCTGATTGTGTTGGCATAATCTAGGATTCTCAGAAACCTGCTGGTCCGGAAAGTGCCTGGTTTCACGTCTAGTGGTCATGTTCTTGTAGTCGTTGCCTACGTGGCTATCAACCTGTCCTTGACCCTTACCAATGTGACAATGAGTATCTCGGGCATCGCCAACAGATGCGGGTGGTAAGTGTGAAGTGTAATTTAGGCAATCTATACTTGTATATCCTTAACGTTTCCCCCCGAGGATGTACACTTTACTGACCAAAAGTTTCTCCCAGGATGCTCTGCGCCAATTTCTGCCTCGTGGTCTTCCTCGCACTCAAAAACACTCCTCTAGCCCTCCTTAGTGCCTACTCGTACGAGCGGCTCAACGGTCTGCACCAGATCGCGGGCTACACCACGTTCGTGTTCCTCGTGCTCCACGCCTCCATGTACACCAACTACTTCCTCAGCGACAACGAGACCAAGATCTTCGAGGGCGGCTCGGTCAGGGCTGGTATCGTAGCAGGCTTCGGCTTCCTGGGCGTGGTCTTCTCTGCCACCGTGGTCCGTCACATATGGTACGAGGCCTTCCTCGTCATGCACGTCGTCTGCTTCCTGATCGCCCTGATATCTGCGAGTTACCACCAGCACGAGCTGTCCAGCGGCCTACTCGTCATTTTTTCCGTGATTGCGGGCTTGTGGGGTGCAGACCGCCTTGTGCGCGGCTCGAGGATGCTCTTCGGCTCCATCAACAACCATGCCGTCATCGAGCCCCTCCCTGACGGAGGCACCAAGATCCTCCTCGCCAAGAGGCCGCTCGGTGCCGTCCCGGGTAAGCACTGTTTTGTGTGGATCCCAGCTATCCGGAAGTTTGAGAGCCACCCATTCACGATTGCGGCTACGGAGCCTATGGAGTTTGTGGTAAATGCCTATGATGGCTTCACCCGGGACCTGCACAGTTACGCGGCGGCAAACCCTGGGGCGAAACTCATGGCGTCAGTGGACGGACCTTATGGGACATTTCCAGATCCCATGTCCTTTGATAAAGTAGTGCTCATCGCAGGAGGGAGTGGAGCTACTTTCACCTTTGGATTGGCTGTCAACATGTTGGAGAGGATGGGACCAGATTCAACCAAGACCATCGTCTTTATCTGGGCTGTCAAGAAACACGGTAAGCCATGAACCCACTTTTCTGTATCTCTGCCTCTCTCTTTCTTCTTCATTCTGCACATGCACTGCGGCCATTGGTGTGATCAAAGGATATCATATATACTCGGGGTCTCGGCATTGGCAGAGGCGGAGCTTCAATATCGAATTGATATTACCTGGGCGGGTGTGCAGCCCCATCCGGCAAAAAGGAACACGGAAAGCCACACGGGAAAATAACTTCAACCTTGAATTATCCCACGCAATCTGGCATAGCAGTCGGCAGATGCAAGGCAGCATGTACCTGTCTGCCTCTTGGCACGCATTCAACCACCCCCCACCCACCCCCCCAAAAAAGAGGACACCAGGCTGACACTTCACCGTGATACCAACAGACAACCTATCATGGTTCGCCGATCACCTCCAGACCCTCAAGACACACCCACACTCGCCCAAGGTGAACGCGTCGCTGTACGTCACGGCTGCAGCTGCGTCCGACCCCTCCACCCAGGAGAACTCAGACGCGGAGGAGGATCGACAGCAGCAGCACCAGAAACAGCAGAACGCGGCCCCTGCCATCATCAGCAGCAGCAGCGCCATCGTCAAGAGCGATGTGTCAGCCAGGCCATCGGCCGCCAGCACGCTCAGCAACAGCTACGTGGCCGCGGACCTGGAGAAAGCCGCCGCCACCAATCGTATGCTCTCTACCGACTCGTTCCACGGCCACGACCTCCGACCTGGCCGGCCCGACACCGCGACGCTCATCCGCGAGGCCGTGTCGTCGGCGCGAGCCACAGACCGGGTCCTGGTTGCCGCCTGTGGGCCGTCGGGCTTCATGAGAACCGTCCGGGATACGACGGCCAGCTTGATCCGGGGTGACGGCCCAGGAGTCGAATTGCACTGTGAGCAGTTTGGATGGTAAGGTGGTGGGGAGAGAGGGAGTGCGTTGGCGGGTCGCCCGGGGGGGGGGAGGGATTTTGGGTGGCCCCCCCTTCCTTCTTGTACACGCACACCTGCGGTATGGCGTTTCAATTACGATGGGTTTAGGTGGGCGGAAGTCTGTGCAAGGCGTGATAATGCCAAAACCATGGAGTAAGATGTGCTTTGATTCGAGGCACTGCGGACGCTGACGCTCCGAGGAGGGAAAACCAAGAGAAGTTGTGTCACCTTCCATGTTACAGTAGTTGCGTACACATGCTCGACGGAAAAACCTGGGCAGAAGAATACACATCACTTATCTCTCACATGGTTTGCATGGATTACAAGCTGAATGAATCAGATAGATGACAGACCTTCAAAATTGAAGGGACCGGAAACCTATGTTGCGATTTGTCTTGTAGGTTTCATGATTTGCCCTCCCCCTTCCCCCAACCCTTCGTTCTCAAGAAGAAGGGAAGAAAGGAAAAAGTCAAAGAGAGAAAACAAAGGTAAAATCGACACGTCGGTTGACTCCTCGCTCTAACAGACGTCACAAAGCCCAATCACTGGGGCTGTAGACGTGGTAACTACTACCTAAATAACCAAATAGGAAACTGTGCTTAGAACAACATCTCAAAACACATCCCACTCAACGCCCCACCCCCCCACGCATTGCTAATGACAATCACCTTACTAAGACGTATAAGTTTCGAACCCACTGTGGCTTGGCTTCGCTTAGAGAGTTGCTGACAGATAAGTGAAAACAGATTTCACTTCCAAGGTAACGATCATGCTTTGGGGGAAAAGGGGGGAGGGGGTTGTTCTGGTTCTTTGAGGTTGTCTGCGTCGGGCATGGATTACCATCATCTGCGAGTTCAGCCTTGAGACTACAGATATGTAGGTTCCAGAAGAGACTTATGTTTTCATGGCTTTTCTATGTGGGGTGAGGTTTATAATATGATAACGAAACAAAATAATCAATATTGGACAATGTGAATATTGGATGAGATGATACCCTGTGAAGATATATGCTTTCATGAAGCGATAGTCTCTGGAAGCATTTCCTTGCCATGCATAGTACCTCTCAGTGTGTAATCATCCAACATAGCACTGAGTTATTTTCTTCTACAACAGTTCGATGACCTGAGACACGACTTATGAGACAAACCAGGACGCAAGACACGAATACGGTACCAGGTTGAACATTGTCTTGTATTATGTAGCCCATGAAGCCATGCCATTCGTTGAGGTATCATCGTAGTCCCCCTTTCCCTCTTCTGAGGCCTGTATGTCACGTTAAGGTGCATCTATCTCGTCTCGTAATCTTTGCCAGCCGCGCCATCCGATTGTTGAAAAGACCACACACACACCGCAAACGCTTTCTACTATCCGATTTACCGTTCGCTGTTGAACACCGTTACCCATCCATCCTTGAACGCCTCTGATGAGTCGTCGTCACGTTGAGTGACGTATGCATTGTTGTTATCTTTGTGGAGCAGAGACCACATGCATGTCGAGCCCAAGTCCATCAATATTTTCGTCGATTTGGGAATTAAACCAACGGTGTATCTAGAATAGACCGTCGATCTCACCTGTCTCGGAGTCGACGTCCACGTTCAGGTATCCTGGGGCTGTGGGCAGACCAGGGATGGTCTGAATGTCAGCAGCAAGTGCGTATCTTGATAATTCAAAAAGGTTAGCACATTGTAATCTTGACTCACCCCAGTGAGCACAGAAACAACAAGAAAAGGACTCACAAATAACCAGCACCAGCCGCCATTCTCACATCACGAATCGGTACTGTGAAACCCGTGGGCGCACCCTTCAGCTCGGGGTCATGTGACAGCGAGTACTGCGTCTTGGCCACGCAGATGGGCAGGTTTCCGAAGCCCTGCTTGGTGTATGTGTCGACCTTCTTCTGCGCCAGCTCGCTAAACTCGACTGCATCGGCGCCATACATCTTCTTGGCGATGGCCTCGATGCGCTCCTGCACGGTGCCGTCGAGCCCGTAGAGCAGCTTGAAATCGTTCTTGGGTTTTTGACTGGCGGCGATGATGCCCTCGGCCAGCTTGACAGCGCCCTTGCCGCCCTCGGCCCAGTGGTTCGACAGGATGGCGTCCTCGGCGCCCGCAGCAATCGACTCCTCGCGGATGACAGCAATCTCAGCATCCGAGTCAGTCGAGAACTTGTTGATAGCGACCACAACCGGCACTCCGTACGCGCGGGCGTTCTCAATGTGTTTCTTGAGGTTGACACAGCCCTTGCGCAGAACCTCAACATTCTCCTCTCTGTACACCTGCGGAAGAGAAGCACCCGGGGAGATGGGAGGACCACCCCCGTGGACCTTGAGCGCACGGACCGTAGCAACGACCACGACAACATCAGGCACAAGACCAGATGTCCGGCATTTGATGTTGAAGAAGCGCTCGCCGCCCATGGTGAAGTCGAAGCCGGCTTCGGTGATGACGAAGCCAGCCTTGGCCTCGTGGTCCTCATCGGGCTCCGTGCCAGCCAGCTTCAGGGCCATCTTGTCAGCGAGGATCGAGCTGTTGCCAATGCTGATGTTGGCGAACGGGCCGGCATGCACAAACACGGGCGTGCCCTCGAGGGACTGCATCAGATTGGGCTTGATAGCATCCTTCATGAGAGCAGTCAGAGCCCCACCTGCGCCGATGTCGTCGCATGTCACCGGATCGCCGTTTCGGGAGGTTGCAACCACCATGCGGCCCAGCCTCTCCCGCATGTCCTGCAAGCTTGTGCTCAGAGCCAGGATGGCCATACACTCGCTGGCCACAGAGATGTCGAATCCTGTCTCCCGAGTGTGGCCCTTCTCGGTAGGGGCTGTGCCGACAGTGATCCCTCGCAGGTGACGGTCGTTGACGTCGAGCACCCTGCGCCAGGTGATGGTCTCAGGGTCGATGTCCAGTCTTGCAAATCTGTGGATCTCGTCCTCGGTCAGGTCGTCAGGGTTGGTCTTGTCGATGCCAAGCTTCTTCAGGCGGCGGAACATGACAGGCGCAAACTGCCGCTTGCCATTCTTGGCTGGGACGAGACGCCTGTACAAGGGGCCGTCCTTCTGTGTGTTCTCATGGAACATGCGGGTCTCGATGGCGGCCGCCAAAAGGTTGTTGGCAGCGGTGATGGCGTGGATGTCTCCCGTGAGATGCATGTTGAACTCGTCCATAGGAATGACCTGACTATAGCCACCACCAGCAGCGCCACCCTTGATGCCAAACGTAGGGCCCTGGCTGGGCTGACGCACGTTGGCGAATGTGATCCTCCCAACGTGCGCGCCAAGGGCTTGGGCCAGACCCATTGTCGTGGTGGACTTGCCCTCTCCGAGCGGGGTGGGCGTGATGCCCGTGACAACCACGTACTTGCCATTCTGGCGGTGGGCCAGACGCTTGAGGAGGGACAGGTCGACCTTGGCCTTGTACGCTCCATAGGGCTCCAGCTCTCCCGGAGCGATGCCCGTCTCCTCAGCCACGCGGGTGATCTGCTTGGGGACCTGCGCTCTCGACACGGCAATGTCTGAAGGGACTGGGTCCTGCAGCTTCAGCGGCAGAGGCGTCACCTTCCTGCTCTTCTGCTTCTCGAAGTACTGCGTGGTGGAGTTGACGACGTTTTGTAGCAGCATGGCCACGGTCATAGGGCCGACGCCGCCGGGAACGGGCGTGATATGAGAAGCCACCGCGGCTGCAGCCTCGTACTCAACATCTCCCACAAGGCGCTGGCCAGACTTTTTGGTATCATCCGGAATGTAGTTGGTGCCGACGTCGATGACAATGGCGCCAGGCTTGAGCCATGAGCCTTTGATGAAAGCAGGCTGACCAATAGCGGCGACGACAACATCGGCCTGCTTCACATGTGCCTCGAGGTTCTGCGTCTTGGAATGGCATACAGTGACGGTGGCGTCCGCATTCCTGAGCAAACTGCTCACTGGAGACCCCACGATATCACTCCGGCCAATCACGACGGCATTCTTGCCCTTGAGGTCAACACCCGTCTCCTTCAGGAGCACCATGACGCCCTGTGGGGTGCAAGGGGTGAATAGGGGGTGGCCGCCTCGCTTGGCAAGCTCCCCGATGTTGTCAGTGCCGAAACCATCGACATCCTTCTCTGCATGCACTGCCGATGTGATGGCGTACTCTGATATGTGCTGAGGAAGTGGCAGCTGGACCAGGATTCCATGGACCGCGTGGTCGTTGTTCAGCTTGGTGATCTGCTGGAGCAACTCTGCCTCGGTGACATCGGCAGGGAGATGAATCAGTTCGCAAAGGATGCCAGCCTAGATTTCCAGCCGATTTAGGCGTCAACGTACTCTTGAGTCACAAGGGTATCGGGTTGGACTCACCTCAGACGCAGCCTTGAGCTTCATGCGAACATAAGTAGCTGAGAGCGAGTGGTCAGCCAGTCAGTCATGCGCAAAAGGAGTCACAGTCGCCGACCATATAGGGCAGCAGCACTTACAAGAATCACTACGATCACCGACTTTTCAAGAACCAGAAAAATATGGTCAGCAGTCAGCGCGTCATCAGGGTCAAGGATGTGAGTGCATGCTTTCACACACACAAAATTCTCTGGATACACACCTTGAATGATCTTCAGGGATGGGATGAACCTCGGGTTGACCTGCTTCTTGGCCTCGATCTCTGCGTGGAGGCTCTCACGAATCCTCTTGGCGATGGCAGTGCCATCGATCTTGACGGCCCCCATAGCTTGTTTCGATGAAGAGTGTGCCTTGCCGAGTGCGTTCTGTGATGCAAGAGGCGAAAGGTGTGAGGTGGAGGTCCTCTTCCTGGTGAATGAAGGACGTAGTAGAAAAGGACCGGCACTGGGAGCAGACAAATTATGAGCCGTAAATCTCCGAACCGGGGCAGCAGCACGAGTAGGAGCTCGAGGGTGGCAGAATCGCGGGGCTCCGGTCCGGGCGGCTAGATTTGCAGAAACCGTCTTTATCTGGGCTTGTTGTTGGGCCCTCTGACCGCCGCCACTGACGCGCCTTTGCATTGATGCCAGGTGCTGCCTGGCGGATGAGCAAGAGGCCATGACTGTTTGTTCTATCTTAATTTTCCGTATGGAGATGATGGACGAGACGGATGAGAGGCTCGATGATGGGCACGATAGCTGATGATCCTTCAATGGCTCATCAAGAATGGACGGTGACTCAAAGGAACAAGGAAGGTAAAGTCTCCAGGTAGTCGCGTCCGCAGATGATTTTGACTATGACTCGATTAGGGCTCTAGTAACCCTTGCGTCTTCAGACTGAGAGAGCAAGAAAAAGAAGAAAAAAAGCAGATCAGAAACTGTCCAATGCTCCACACAGCAGGTAGAGGGGATACTAAATGCATAATGTATTCGATTGAGATGACATGAGACGGAGAGGAGAGAAGAAGAAAAAGAGAAGGCGGGCAGAAGGGCATCACAGTGTCAAGTCATGGTCACCCGAGCCGTGCTGGAGGAAAAAGCCAGTCCGACTCCCAAAAGAGGAGTGACCAATTGAACATTCAGGGGGCCTGTTTCGATGACTGATATTTACGAGATGAATATGCCTTGTCCGGGTGGAGTTCTGAAGCCGTACTACCTGGTAGATGCAAGTGTGCCTGTGAACAGGTTGAAACGAAGAGGGTAAAGTATGCGTCACATCGACCGACACCACCACCCTCTCCGAACCCAGGGCTGTTGTTGTTTGGGTGAGCGTTTGTGTGGGATGGAGCATTGAGTGCAGGGTTAGGGTTGTCTTACCAAAACCAGAAGGCGGTGAAGGAGGAAAGGGCATGTCTCCCCATCTCGAGGGCAGGGCAGGCAAGGCACCAGTTCCAAATAGGACCCAGGCCAAAAAGAAATCCAAACCGCACACAATGCCCCACTATCATCAGCTTTGTCCCATTCCCAACTTCTGCCACCCAAAAGACGACAACCCGATCCGTACATAAATCCCACCAACGAACCACCTGTCCTCGACCATCACCCTTACCTGCTCCCTCGATATCGAGACAAATTTACCTAGACAAGATATTCGAGAGACAGCCATAACCCTGCCAACATGAGGCCCATTCTCCTTGCGGGCCACGAACGTGCCCTCACACAAATCAGGTACATTTCCCCCTCCCACCACCCGCCAACCATAATCTTCTCGACCCGCCAAATGTGCCAAAAGGGCCACTCAACCCATCTCTCACGGTCGTCCAGTATCGTGTTGTCCCTGCTGACACAAGCTCTCTTCCTCCCCCACCACAGATACAACCGTGATGGCGACATCATCTTCTCTACCGCCAAGGATCAACATATCTGCGCCTGGTTCTCCCACAATGGCGAGCGCATGGGTACATACCACGGCCATCAGGGTGCCATCTGGACCGTCGACGTCGACCCGACCTCTACTGTCATCGCGTCAGGCTCCGCTGACAACACCATCAAGCTGTGGGAGGTCCAGACCGGCAAGTGCCTGATGACCTGGGACTTCCCCACCGCCGTCAAGCGCGTCGAGTTCTCCGAGGACGGCACCAAGCTGCTGGGCGTCACCGAGAAGCGCATGGGCCATCTGGGCACCATCGTCGTGCTCGACGTCAACTGCGATCCGACCGCCGAGCAGAACCCTGAGAAGGTCCTAACTATCGTCTGCGACGAGAGCAAGGCCACCGTTGCCGGCTGGAGCTACCTGTCCAAGTACATCATCGCCGGCCACGAGGACGGCTCCGTCAGCCAGTACGACGGCAAGAACGGCGACCTCATCTACAACATCCCCGTCCACGAGCTCGGCTGCCAGGTTACGGACCTGCAGTGGAACCCAGACAGGACCTACCTCATCACCGCAAGCAAGGACAAGACCGCCAAGCTCATCAGCGCCCGTGACCTCGAGGTGCTCAAGACCTACCCCGCAGACACCCCTCTGAACAGCGCCGCCATCACTCCCAAGAAGGACTTTGTCATCCTCGGTGGTGGCCAGGCTGCCATGGACGTCACCACCACCTCTGCGAGGCAGGGTAAGTTCGAGGCCAGGTTCTACCACAAGGTCTTTGAGGAGGAGGTTGGACGTGTCCGTGGACATTTCGGTCCTTTGGTAAGTGTTTCTTCCTGTGGCGGTGTCCCTTATTGCTCCTTACTGCTACTGTTCCTCACGTCTTCCCCTTCCCTTCTGCTCACACCTTGATTACTTTCAGAACACCGTCGCAGCAGACCCCACCGGCAAGGGCTACGCATCCGGAGGAGAGGACGGTTACGTGCGCGTGCACCACTTTGACAAGGGCTATTTCGACTTCCTGTACGAAGCCGAGAGGGAACAGCTCAACAAGCTGTCGTGATCTCTTAGATACTGCGCAATGGGGAATTGGCGGGGAAGGGAAGAAGAAGAGGAAGAGATTTCCTTGTCAAAATTTCAGGGGCATAGAAATCAGGCGTTCTCGGCAAAAAAACTATTGCAGGTTCACGGGATGGGATTGCGAATGTTAGGATTTGATATCATGAACCAGAAGTTGATTCAAAGTCATCTAATGAGCATCCTGATACCGGAGCTGATTGTGCTTGGTCAACAGAAACGAGGCATGTAGGCTGGGGAGGGGGGATCAGGCTTTGGGGGTAAGAGGTGAAACGAGAGCAGATGGAGGCCGCGGCGGTTGGCAAGAGACGCGCGAGATTTCCGCCGCGGACCACAAGGAATCAGGCCTTCTTAAGGACAGGCCGTTCGGGTTGCAGAAGCAAGTTTATGATAACAAGTCATTTCTCTGTCTTCTCGTGTGTGCGTGCGTGTGAAGGTAGTCGACGGACGGTGCATTTGAATGACAACAGCAGAAATCCATTGACGCCAACTAGACATACTGATCTACCCGTCTCTGTTCTCAACAAAAGCCAACGCCCCCCAGTCGTTCCCATCTAACACTGTGCGACTTTTTCTGTCCTCCAGCAATATGATGTAGATGAAAACCCCCAACTCCCGTGAACTCCGCAAGCCCAGGAGGAGTCTTCTCTAAACAGAGACAGCATGAGCAGTCACTCGCCCACTCGCTCCGAACCTGTATCTCAACCTCGCCCTGCTCCTCTAGACTGGCCACAGATAGGAGAAAGAAAATACAAGGAACAGTAGTCCGACAGCTTATTTCTTCTTACCCTTGCCCTTGGCCTTGGCGGTCGATTGATTCGAGGCTACGCTTGAGGCGCGGGAGGGCGCAGCGGAGCTGCCCTTGGACTTGACATTATCAAGAGCCTTATTCTATTCACTTAATTAGTGGCCGCTTTACCAAGAAGTGAGAACTGCTTAACGTACCTTGACACCGTTGGACGACTTCGCCTTCTTCTTGACCGGAGCTCCGACAACGCTATCGTCGTCATTCTCTTCATCCTCCAGTTCGCGCTTCTGCTTGCCGTTGACCCCGTTTGCGGACGGCTTGATATCTTCGAATTCCTTGACTATCGTGGTGAGTAGGGTGGTGCATCGCCGCTTGAGCTCATCCGCCGTGCGGCTTAGGAAGAACCAGTCAAAGCGGAACAGAGGGCTCTCCCGGATCTCGTCGCGAATGATGTCGTAAATACCCTCCTTGTCCAAGCCGTGCTTGTCCAGTTGCACTAGCAAGAACCTGTCCTCCTCCTCGCTGTAGACCTTCTTGTTTGTAGTGCTGACAGAATAATTGATCCTCAATTGCTGCAGAGGTACACGGTAGAGTGACATCTTCTTCCGTAGCGTCTTGCGCTGGTGCTCGATCTTCTTCAGCTTCTCCTCGCCGTCCTCGATGTGTTTGATAAACTTTTGCCAGTCCGAAATCTCCTTGTACCGCTGCCAGAACACCTTTGCGTACTGCTTGATCTCAGCAGCATTCTTGTTCTGGCATTGCTGCGCGATACCCTCATAATTGTTTCGACCGTAAGTATGAGAGCCGTTGATGAACTGCTGGAAGTCACGGCGATTCCATGACTCAAAGCCCTCCTTGGCCAGCTCTTCTTTCTCTGCCAGTTCCTCCTCATTCAGGGCCGTAGCCTCGTCGATGATATGCTGTTCAAGCTCTTGGTCCATCTTGCGAGTGTCCAGCGTGTCCTCGTCGCCGTCTGATAGGGGAACTTTGTATCCTATCTCTTTTCGATAGAATGCAGTCTCCCGCTCTTGAAGTTCTTTCAACCTCGTGGGGTAGAACTGGTAGTCTTGGATAGAGATCTGCCGTGGTGCTCGTGGGGCCTTGGGCTTGGTGTCGGCCGTGCGACCACCGGTCTGCAGAGCCTGCTTGTAGTACTTGTCTATCGAGTAGAACTGCTCCTTTCGCTCTCGCTTGGCAGGGTTGATCCAATTGATGCCAATGTCCTTTTTGGCGTTGGTGAAATCCTTGCCGTTCCATTCGTAGGCCGACTCCGAGCTGAACTTCTGAAGATCATCAAGACCAAGTTTCTCGTACTTGGCATTCAGTTCTTTGGTTCGATTTTCGCCGGCTGCCAGGATGGCGTCAATGTCATCCTCCGTCATGGCAGCACCCTTCTCTGCGACAACACCGGTGGCACCCTTGGTCTGGAAGACGTTCTCCGCACCATGCTGGATCATTGACAACAGCTCGTCTTTATTCGCCGCAGCTTTCGCCGCGTTCTGGGCACGACCCTGCTGGATGACGAGCTGGTCAAGACGCAGCTTTTGTGCAGCACGCTCGAGAACCTTCTCTTCGATCGCATTGTCTGTCACAAATCTGTAGACAACGACCTGCTTGGTCTGGCCGATACGATGAGCCCGGTCCATGGCCTGCAGGTCGGCCTGAGGATTCCAGTCACTATCGAAAAGAACGACAATGTCAGCCGTTGTGAGGTTGATACCGAGACCACCTGCACGCGTTGTGAGGAGGAAGATGAACTTCTCGGAATCGGGCTTGTTATAGTCATCAATCGCAGCAATACGATCCTCATGGGCCGTGCTCCCGTCAATTCGGCAATACTTGTATTGCCTGAAAACACAGTAATCCTCGAGAATGTCGAGGAGACGACTCATTTGGGAGAAGATCAGGACGCGACTGCCTTGTTTTTGGAGTCGCTTCAGGAGCCTGTCCAAGACGAGCATTTTGCCAGCGTTGAAGACGAGATGCTCGTCGGTCGTATAGGGAGGACCCGGCTCAGCTCCTTCGAACAGATAAGGATGGTTGCAGCACTTCCGCAGTTGCATGACAATATTCAACAGGCGCGTCTTGGACTCCTTCTTGCCGCCGGCCCCGTTCACGGCGTCAATGTCCTTCTCTAGGATCTTTTGATACCACTTGACCTGCATTTCTGACATGCCGACGTAAAGATTAACCTCTTGCTTCGGGAGGAGGCTCTTCTCGACGTCTGCCTTGACACGCCGCAGCAAGAAGGGTCGTAGAACACGGTGCAGCTGTTGAACAACAGTATCCTGGTCACGATCCTGCCCAGAAAACCACTGGTCGAATGCTTCAGAGTCGCCAAAGACATCAGGGAGTAGGAAGTTGAGCAACGCCCACAGCTCGTGAAGGTTGTTTTGAAGTGGGGTACCCGTGATCAACAGGCGGTTGCGCGAGTTGAAAAGCCTAATGACTTGGGCGAGCGAGGACTCCTCGTTCTTGATACGGTGGGCCTCGTCAATGATGATGTACTCCCAAGCAAATTGCTTCAGATGGGACTTCTCGCGGAGAATCATTTCGTAGCTTGTGATGCAGACGTCAAAGGACTCGTCCTTCAGTCTGTCCTGGATGAGTTTTGCTCTCTCCTCCTTGGCACCTTGAAGTACCAGCACGTTGACCTCGGGAGTCCACCTGGCAAATTCTCGCTTCCAGTTATCCAAGGTAGACTTGGGGACTGTGATGAGGTGCGGTCCGGTAATGCCCATAATGTGTCGCAGGTAGCCGAGAAAAGATATTGTCTGCAGAGTTTTGCCAAGGCCCATTTCGTCGGCCAGAATGCCCGAGATTCCATTCTCATGCAACGAGATCAGCCAGTTGAGACCCGCGACCTGGTAGTCCCTCATCTGGCCTTTGACGAAGGGCGGCGATTCCCGGAAGACTGTCTCAGCAGAGCCACCCTGCTTCTCATCTTTCAGAAGCTCCGCGTCTTCCTCTGCTTCGGTCCGACGAGTTCTTCCTTGAGCGCCGCCTTGACGGTTCGCGGCCTTTTTGGATTTCGCCTGCTCTGCATTCTGGCGATCTATCTCCTCCATGATCTCGCGGATCTTGGGGTTCGGGTTCGTTTCGATGAAGTGACGGAAGAGATCTGTGAGACCGAGAAGGTAGCGGAAACGCCGAAGAGAATCATCTTCCTGTAATTTCGATTGGTGTCAGATCCAGCATCAATATCATCTGCAAGTTGGCTTGCTCAAACAGGAAATGGTAACTCGTACCTTGGACTCGCCCAGCCTGTCATGCTTCTTGCCAAAGATGCTTCGTCGCAGCTGGTTGGCTTCCGAGCGTCGTTTTCGGCCGTCTGGCACTGCGTCCCCGAAAACACTGCTGGCTGTAGTGTTTGGGTTGGTGTCGGAGTCAGTGTAGTCCGGGGTCTCATCAACATCCTGCTCTCGAAAGTCAGCTTTGCGCGGGTTTGCGTTGCTCAGTCGCAACGTGCAGACAGGCAGAAATTCCAGACGGATGTCATTTACTTCACTAAGAAATAGAATACGTACCATTGAATCATTTACGTTCCTCCCATCGTCGGAAGCTTCATGCATTGACGCGTCAGTGTCGTCGTTGGCTTTTGGCCTCGGAGCCATGTTGGGAGGTCGTAGCCGAAGGGACTCTTAACGCGCCTAGACGCGCCGAAAAAAGTGAGCTGGAAGGTATGCGTGCTTCTCTTGGATGATCGCACGTGGCTTTGTGATAATTATAGGGTTGGTTTGTGGAGGATTACGACGGCTTTGATCTTGGGTTGGAATTAGTCGCGGGTGCGAGGTCGAAAAGTTGAGAAGTGGTGGTCGAGGTAGAAGAGGAGGAGTAGCAGTTAAGTGCACTACAAAATTCCGAACGCGAGTCGCAGTGCTGCGGGATAGGGGCGCAGGGATGCTTACTACGGCAGGCACGCTAACGTGAATAGAGATGTGCGGCTCCAAAGGCTTCTCTGCCGCAGTACATGGAACGAAGGCAACTGAGCATCCTGCCTCGTACTCAGTATAGGGCACCGCCGTCTGAATCTCATTATTAAAACACAACTCAGCAGGTATTGACTCGCGAGGGCTGTGATTGTCTGGCTTCCAGTCTCTGAGCCCTGCGGACTCTTCACAAGGCTATGACGCATGCCACTTTCATAAGACTTACAAGGCTATGAAGTAGGACACCATTTCTCGAACTGTAGCGAAATAGCAACATCTCTTCAAGGGCATGAAAAATCAGTCTCGTGTCATGTTGTATTCGATAGTTAGATGTCCAGCTCTTGTACAGAAAGTTCCTTGTGGGGTAAATTCACAAAAAAGCACCCAAAAAAGGACAGTGCGAGCAGCGCAGTGTATTTGCAGCTGTGCATATACGATAAAGCCACCATTTTCTAGCTGCTGAATAACCTTCCCATATCATATTGCTGAGAACATTGCAACACCAACTCGTTTAATTCAATTTCCAATGGCAGCTGTCCTCGTCGCAAGGAAAATGGTGTATGTTCACTGACAGGATGCACCTGAGTGATGTTACAAGCCGATGTTGTCCAAGCGATAAGAGGAAATGGCTGATAAGACTTTCTGCAGCCCCCACCATGAGCAAATGACGTTGGTTGTTTTTGTGTCTGAACAATAGGGTGGGACTGCCTACAACTGATGAATACTGTTGCTTCACTGGGCTTACAGGGCTAGACAGCCTGAAAGGTTCAACGCAGAAATGGTAAATGAGAGAGGGACTGTCACATATTTCAACAACTTGAGCAGACTTATATCAGTCCTGGAGTAAGGATACAACAAGGACTCTCCCAACACACACAAATTCTTCTGTCAAAGCTCTCGTGATAAGGAGAAGCACAATCAAAGTAGAAAATTCTGAGCCCTGCACTCCAGGGCTTTTGTTGAGGCCAATAATTCCCCCGTATTCATTAGAAGAACATTTTCAGCATTACTTATAGCAACTCCTGGAAAATCTTTAGCACATGTCTCCTCCCTTTTGCTAAATTACTAACCTTACTAACCTTCTTGGAATTATCTCCTCTGTTACCACGACTAAGCGAGGTGGCAGCGGCTTCAATTCACAGGCGCAGCAAACTCTACGCTGCTCAAAGTCATGACCATAAGAACAAACAAGCTTGAGCAAGACAGATGCTCAATATCTGTCCTATGATGTGTCGAACCAATTTTTTGCTTCTGGAGCTTGGACAAGGAGGAGGAAAGTGTAAAAGGGTTGTGAGGGGAGGAGGCGACATTCATTTTCTGTTAAGGCTGACAGTTGACAGGAGCCAGTCATTCTGCTACAGGGTTATACAGGGCCTGCAGCCTTCCAAGCTCGAAGCGCAAGGTTACAGAGGTACCTCCAGCTCCGAGGTTTCTCGCTGCCCTGACGTCCCACCCGAAGCGAGCGCAGAAACTGCGCCAGACGACGACTCGTGGCTTCACACTGGGAAGGGGGCGATAAGTCAGGCCAGGCTGTCTTCTTCCCATCACCCTTCAGGTCTAACCACAAATTTAGTCACTCGCTTTCTTGGGGAGGAAAAGTTATGAATCTGTGGCTCACCCTCTCTCTCTCGCCATCGAGTTGCCAACATTGAGATCGAGATCCACTATAGATACAGTGGTAGATAGAACCGACAGGAACCGCCTAGGACCCGACAGAAGAGATACGTGAGTTTTACCCGCCGAGGTCCCGCACCTAAAACTCAAGGCCTTCTTCCTCTTTAGCCCCCGGTCTAGGTCAGATACTGGGATCCACACACGCAAACGCATTCACCACACTTGGCGCTGTGCCAACGCAAACCCAAGGGGCCCACATAGGCAGAAAAGCCCCGCCAGAATCTCATTTGCGCCTAATAAACAGTCATTTTCCCCATTTCACCTCGACTGGCAGCGTCACCGACAGACAAGACCACCTTTGTTCACCTCGGCGCCACCTCAGGAGACACCACCATCCCCTTGAGACGACAATTTAACGACAAGGCACGACAAGACAAGACACCCCGCTCGGCGACGCACGACGCTCGACTGACGCACGACGTTATCACGACAGCCTCTCGCTCTCTCTTTTCACTGACGACCACCCCGCCTTTGGTCGGACAGATAGAACAAAAAGCCATGGCCCACGAAGCGGCCCCCGAACAGCTGGTCGACGTCTTCCGCACAGCCGCGCTGTCTGTGACCAAGCTCTACAAGTCTTCGATCACAGCACAACAGAAGGCTCGCGCGGCTGGGTACCAGGACTGCCTCGACGACCTGCTGCAGTTCCTGGACAGGGAGCACCTCGGCCTCGACGATGGAGAAGGTTGGAAAATTAGGGCCTGGGCCAACGAGCGTCTAGAGGCACGAGACGGCTCGCCAGGGGCGACGGAGAGTGAGGATGATTCAGAGAAGCCCGAGGCCATATCGTCGTCGTCGGCCCCCCAAACCTACGGGTCAGCGAGCACGTCGTCGATACGTCAGCCTCCCGCACAAGATCCACAACAGCAGCAGCAGCAACAACAGCAACAACAACAATCGACACACTTGCAGACGGACACGCAGGCGGAGATGGAATCAGACACTCCGATAGTGGAGGAGGTGGACGAGTCCGTTTCGGATCCCTCAGAGATTACCGTCCCGTCGCAGGAGTTCTTCAGCTTCCGCTCCTCGCACCCCTACCCCCAGGACGCGCAGAACCAGCTCAACATCGGCAACCTGCACCTCTCGGACAACCATACCCATGACAGCTCCAAGACAACGCCGCGGTCATCCCGCTCTGCACGTCATCACGGCGGGACCGCACCACGGCGGCCTGTTCGGGTCCCCAGTCACCTCGGGCGTGGGGCGGGGAGCAAGCGCCACCTGAACTATGAGGAGTTGTTCGGACTGGCGAACCTCGGCCAGTTCAAAGATGGTGGTCCCGCTTCGAAACGTCGGCATCTCTGATGAGTTTGGCATAATTGTCTATACTCATTTCCCTTTCTATTTTTTCTTGACACCGTCACGCATGGGGGGAACAGGAAGATGGATATCAGCAGGGGCACATGGGGGGAGGGGGACTATTCGGCGCCGGCATTCAAGATACCTGTTACTTATCGTGGGACAACATCACCTTGGAAGGGAGGGGTTTTGCGGAGATATAGAAGATAAAGACAGGGTTACCACTGGACCCTGTTGGTTAGGGCATCATGAAGGCGTACTGGTAAAGGACTGGAGGTACAAGATATCCCTGCCCTTCATCGTATACGGGGTTTCTTCATTTTGGTAGATACTGGAAGACAAATTAGGGCTTGCCAACTATAGCAACTATTTGTGTTTTCTGGAATCCCTGACAGCCCCGCACAAACATGCCAAGTGCCTTCTGTGCTGTCTATTCTCCTCTTTCTCCTGCTACTGTGTCTAGCCTTTTGTACAAATGGACGGTCTCACACGTACTTTGATATCATACCTTCTTCTATCCACAAGTTAGCTGTCAACAGACAACAAACATGCCATAATCCAGGAGACTGTCCGGAAGCCCAAAGACAAGTCTCCTCGATTATCCAACCCCCACGACACGCGAGAACGAAACGAGCATGAGCAACGTAGAATCATGAGTGGATTAGAGGAGGCAAGCAACGGGCATAACGTTCTCTACCATCAAATTTACCGCACGCTCCCAAAGGAGGAGCGTGTGTGTGAGGCCGCCGGCTTTCGTATTGAGACACCGTCCCCGTCCTGCCCCTCCGGCACATCGCCTGTAAGCCGAGACGCCGACGTAGTCAAAGCCAGCCCCGTCGCACCACTGTCACGCACGCTCCCCGAGCTCTCCACCCCAGACCACGTGAACGGGGGCCCCGAGTGAGCACTCTCCAGCGAACAGCCATCCTTCCCACCATCACCATCTTGTTCCGGCCGCAGCAGCAGCGCACCGGCAGCCTCTCCGTCCCCCTCGACGAGAACACCGTGGTCCCCTCCTCTGCCCCTCTTCTCCTCGCGCGCCACCGGCCCGCCAAAGGTGTTGCGCAGCGTCATCTCCCATTCGCGCTCGACCTGCGAGGTCAGCTCGAAGCTGTGGTAGAACGGAGACTTGCCGAAGCCGCCGTTGTGCTGGGCGCAGTTGGGGCCGCCCTGTGGGGATCGGATGGCTGTTACGGACTTGACGAAGTCGACGAGGCGATTGAGGATACCGACCTCGCACTTGAGCTTGACCGAGTAGACGAATGCCTTGTAGGAGACCTGGAGGAAGTAGAGGCCCATGTACTCCAGGACGAGGATGGTGATGTCGACTGTTTGTTGGGAGAGAAATAAGAAGAAAGGGTTAGTCTGAAAACGTTCCGGTCTAGGGGGAGAAAGACGATTCAGGGATAGATGTGTATATATATATACACATATACTGTATATCAAGGATAGGTAGGTTTAGCAACATACGGACGACCACGACCACGCTCGACAGGATCAGGTGATGCATCATAGAGGTCAGCTTGCGCTGCGCCCTGCTCCCCTTGTCGTCGCGATGGCGATATGTTTTCAGGAACCAGCGGGCCTTGTACACGTACAGGCCCGAGAGGATCAACTCCTGCACGAAGAACACGGTCACCTGGATCCTTTCCATGATGGCGTACGGCTCAAGGAAGAGCTTGGCGGCCTTGCCGTTAGACCCAATCGTCGTGATGGCCGTGCCGGTGTGCATAGTGATGCCGTTGAAGAGAAGCCTGTGGGAGAGAAAGAGAGCGAGACAGACAACATGGTCAGCCACTTTGAGATCTCCTTTTATTTTCGTCAAACGGCCGATGTCGTCCTGGAAGTTCATCTTACATCGCAAGCACGCAGCGACGAACTGTTTCGTCCACGTTAATTAGGCGTAGGCGCGAGTAAAGGATAAGGCTCTGCGCCGAAACCATTGGTATCCATGCTGCGCAGGTCAAGACCGTAGGTAGGGTTTGCTAGGAGAACCGCATCAGCATCTTGCTTCTTTGATCCCCAGGCAAGCAACTCAACATGTCGATGATGCAAACTCTTATAGGTTTGAAAAGGACCAAAAAATTTCGGGGTGACTGCCTCCGCGCTCTTACTGACATTACCCGTCAATTGGAAATTGTTCATGACTGATGCAAGTGTTAGCAACGATTTACTATTGGTGAACTTCATACCTCCTAATGACTCAAGGGCACGATGCTTTCACAAAGGCAAAGGGGCTCTCTTCTGGGAACATCAACTTACCAAAGCCCGTTGCGTATACCAGCACTCCGAGATCAGCAGCAATCATGCTCCAGAAGTAGAGACCAGAGTACCTCGAGAATGTGAAGTATATGATAGGTAGCATCTCGAAAGCATTGTCTGTGGAGGGGGAAAAGAATTCATTGTCAGCCATCAAGACTATATTTTCAAATGGGCCTATTGTGAGGACTTGATAACGATCACTTCAATCTGAGTAAAAGAAAGCCCATTGACCTTGCCCAAAACAATTTCTTCTTAAGATAGTATGGAACGCCATTACAACAATGATTGGGAATTCGGGGAGAGAGCGGGGGATCGATAGATCAATTGAGATAGTAGCGAGACGTGCTTGATACCTAAGAGATGAGGGTTTCCTCACATATTGCTATGGCCAGCAGACAAGCAACAATGAACTTCTGCGAAAGGGCCAAGTCGTCGATGTCGATCGTGACGCCAGCCTCCGAGTCACGGTGGAACAGCATCTTGAATGCTTCCCTCGCTCCGAAGGAGCCGATTGATAGCACACGAAAACAGTCAAGGCGTCTGTCAGTCCCGAAAGATAGATATAAAAAAATTCAATGCCCTTCAATCGTGTAATAGATTATTGGTGGTGTCTTCGTTATTAGATAATTCGATGACCCTCATGTTCTGGCCATCAAGAAGGGAGGGGGAGGGAGACAGAGACAGAGACAGTAGAACACCGCCAAACAACAGAGGGGTCCTCGCAGAGTCCACATCTGCTGATCTGTCCACGCCAGGGAAGCCTTAGATATATATCAAGCCCCGTTGAAAAAAAAGGAGCCCTCACTTTGATAGAGCAGATCGTTATACCTCTCTATATCCCTACATCGCATAGCAGCGTTCATGCCGAGCACTGGCATTATCTCTCCATATCGTATCCACAATGAACTCAAAATGCTACGGTTTGCACGGTTCACATACTTCGGTTAGCAATAGTCATATATGAATCGGGTTGTCTACGCTCGCCCCGAGCAAGCCGTTCCCTGAGCACGACCCTCACACGAGTCAATTTCGCTGTCGGATACGTGGAGGTGAAACCAGGGCATTGAAAGCTTATTTGCCAACGCCCTTGGAGACCAACCCCCCACCCTCTCAACCTGCGACTTCTGGGGAGTTTAAGATAATCTTTGCCTTGACGATCAAAATCACCACGCTACCTGGGGCGCTGTCAAACTCTCTCTCGTCTTGTCCCAGTGTTAATAAAACTCTACAGTCTGAACAGGTCAGGCAAGGACCTGGAGCTCCTATTCCACCTTGTAAGTGCATGTGTACACCTTGAGCACACCTCTGTCAAGTAAGTATTTATTGCCTGCTGCTTGTAATCAGAGCGCGCGGGCGCACAAGGCCGCCTCTCGGCAAAGGAAGTGGTCTGTTCGACTGACTGACTGACTGCCTGCCTGGCTGCCTGCCCGTCGCTAACTGTTGCTGACCAATATGCCTAGGTTTTTTGTTGCTTTCTCGGCCTCCCCCCGCCGGCTCTTTCATTGAGTTCAGCTACCGAATCAACCCAAACTATTCGTCCGGATATCTTGGGTAGGGGATGGGCCATTGGGCATGGAGTGTAGGATGCGGTTGCTCAACACGATCTTGAAGGATTATTCAGGCATATGCACTGCGCTCTATGTGTCTTGTCTAAAATCGTTGTTCATGGCCTCTGTGTGGACGATGGTCGGTCGATGCTACCATGCTAATAATGCCCATGGCCATAATTCTGACGCACGCAGACCACAGATTGGGGGGGGGGGGGGCAGTGGTGCAATACGCCGAGTGGCTTCGTATCAGGCCGTAGGAACAGGTGACGACGCTAGTAGCCGCGTTTCTAAGTCCAGTGAACCAAAACCAGTTGATCAACCACCCCATACTTGCGAGCGCAGCTGCATGAGTCAATTTTGGGGTCGATTAGGTGTGCAGTATGCCTCTCCCCGCGTCGACACGATCCTTCGAAGCCCCCACGGACAGGTACTCACTTCGTTCAGGATTTTTGAAACCAATGGTTCCTGTCCATGAAGTGCCGGCCGTCAGGGGAGCCAGTCCATCGAACACATGAGCTAATCTTGCTCTGTGGCCGGAGTGCTCCCGGCCCTTCCGGGCCACCGTACGTAGGGTCAGCACGGCAACCAGTTCAGCAGCCATGATTGAGGTGCACTGGCTGTCCAGCCTTAGGAGATGTCCTTATTTGGGCGGGATCAGCGTAGCATTGTGGCCAGCAGCATGTGTCCCGTCGCGAGATATGCGGGTGGCATCAACGGCCTCTTCTCGCTGCGGCCCCCAATACAAAACAGAGTATCAGGAAGAAACAATGACGATGAAGGCGTCAAGCTGAAGCGTGAATGGTCCTTGCTAGCATCCGGGTAGTTGCAACGTCGGGGCCAAGAAGCGGTACAGCCCGTCGGATCGTGGTCGTCTAGCGCTGTAACTTGATGGCCTCGAACCGTTTCATGCGGCATGATGCAGCCCTACGAGGTCAGTAAGCACGAATTGGAAGGAGGGAAAAAAATCTTTTCCCGTCCCACCTCCCGCCTCTTGTCTTTCAATCTCACTATGGACGGTTTGCTGACGGAATGGTTCGCGGCCAAGTATGGTCGGTCTCGGTCATCTGATGTTATCCGGCCAGAATCGAGAGAGAATCCCTCCAGAAGGGGTGTGTCGATAATCTGACTTGCAGGAGCACGTGGTTGGCAGAGAGAGAGCGGGAGAGAGAGGGGAAATAGGGAGGAGGAAGAGAAAGGGAGAGAGAAAGGGCGTGTGGAACAGGATCAGCACTAAAGATGGGCGCAGTAAGTTGCCTGTGTCTGCACCCGCAAATCCTCCCGAGCGATTTAGGACTGGTACAGTAGACATTGGGCGTTTTTGCGGTGCGGGCTGTGAGAGAAAACACGGCCGAGACTGGTACGGAACAAATGACATCCGAGTTGAGTCGTATCTGCAAGAAAGTGATTACATGTACGTGCGTGAGACAGAGAGAGAATGTGCAGAGCACTCACTCTCGCCGACCGTTGCTGACGAGATGGGCGTCTGACCTTGCAGATGACATACATACTTACCCAGTGGCTGTCGTGCTGCGTGTTCTGCGACAAACCACAGGGCTGAAGTGGCCTTACCATCTCGATGGGGTGGGCCAAGAGGCGGCGGGGCAGGCTTGCACTTTACAGTTGCATCAGATAGATAGCGGCTTCTTGGTGCTGAGTAGGGACCAGACGAATGCAACATCGTCAGTAGCTATTGTCGTCAAGTTGCGGTCGAGGGTATACTATGTGCATAATGAATAAGAATGAATGAGAAGATGGATGGTCTGTTGGTCTGTACCGGTGTGGGTCCCAGTTGGTTTGCATAGGGGTGCAATGGGATTCTGGTGGGGTTGTAGTGGGGTTTATTGTGGGCAAGCTACAGCTGCGCAGTGGTCAAATGTTCCCCCTCCTCTTCTGTTGGTCGGGTTGGCTGTAGGATGTTGGTTGTGGTTGCTGATTGTTGGTGTGAATGCGGAGGTGCTGCCATGCAATGCTACGGTGAGTTGGTGATGTGGTGTGCTGGAGCTGGAGGAAGACCTTTTCTCCTGGAGCAGGAGGAAAAGGAGATGACGCGAGTAGTACAAATGTACTCTTGCGATTACCTTGGTACTACCATATCAGTTGGTAGTTACTAAGTATGGTCGTTGAGAAGGCTCGAAGGGGGGGAGCTGACTAAAAATAGATAAGTCGATTCATCCCTGCATACGGCCGTTCCCTTTTACGGACGCCATCAGCCTGGTTCCGGCCAGGCAGCCAGGGTTCGACCTCATCCTTACTGTGGAGTTCTCTTTGCTCATCACTTTGTCTGCACCTACGAGGAGGAGCCTGCCTTTGCTGCCGTCCAACAGCAATTATCGGCCAATCACGATACCTTCATCCACGCCTGTTATTTCAGGCGTACTCAGGTATGCTGCAGGTCGACGGGGTCGCAGATGTGACACTACAGTTGCCCCCTCGGGGCTGTTGCAACACAGCAGCAGCAGCACCAGCTCATCCATCTTGGTCGGCTGGCTCGCTTGCTTTTCTTACTTTGCAGGTGCTTGCTGGCTGGTTCGCCTTGCCATTCGCTAAAAGGCCGTACTGAACTGCAGTGCAACCCCATACTGATCCTCCTCCATATGCAGATTGCCAAAGTATATCGCAGGCAGCAACATAACAAGACCTGTCAGCCTGGCCTGAGGCAGGCAGGCAGAGATCATACCAGGCGATCCTGGCACACCCACACCAACACCCACACCCCCCAGATCAACACTTTAGACCCACACTACCTAAGTACCACAGTCCTCACTACTACTAAGCACCCTGGCCCCCTGGTAGAGGACTTTGGCCTTCCGTCGAGCGGGAATTCCCTTCCGCCAATATCGGTACTGCACCAGGCAGCGATAGCCAAACTGCCTCGCAATCTCTCGCGATGGTCTCTTCGAAGGATCCGGTTCGCGCGTCATACAACCAGCTCAGGACAGTGATCCGCGGCTAGAGCCATATCAACCATACACAGTATGATACCCCGAAAACCCCAGATTTGGCCTTACGGCATTCACCACCACCGCCTTTCAGCTTCCACCGGACGCAACGTCTATCTCTGACAAGGCTGGGTGGTGCGAGTGGCAAGAATCCTTGCTGTGCGACGCCAATCCCAGTCAAAAAACAAAAAGAGACATGAACACAGACAATATACAGCCTCAACGCCTTGCAGTTCCGCGTCGTACGGTAGATTTGGCACCAGAATTTGGCCGAGTGATTCAAGACATTGTGCAACCCTGCACCGCCTTGCGAGATGGCGTGCTTATAAGCGCCTGATCCCTGGATAGATACCATCCTGTCCAGCCCTACCACCACACGGTAAGCAGCACGAGCTGCATGGTCGCCACGATTCATGGTCTCATCGAGCGGCGTCTTTCAATTTTCATTTGTGGTTTTCTGGGTGGTTTTTCTTTTCTTATTCGCGCCGCTCCTGACCATAGGGCTGCGTATTTTTTTTCCTCTTTAAGACGATGTCTTATTCAGCGGCTCTCAAGGATGTCTCTCGTCCTGCGCTGCGCCTCGCCGAATCGGGAAGACGACATCTCATATGCACGGGACCGCCCTGACCACCACAGAAAGAAAGAAAAGAAAAGAAAAGAAAAACGCTTGCTTGCTGCAGATTGGTGCACGGGAAACAACAAGGGCGGGGAGGTGGGGAAGGAAGTACCAACGGTCGTGCCTACCAGTGCTCTGTACTATGGTACAACCAGCCCATGGGGAATGCCATGCAGGCCTGTAGGCCGTTCCAATTTACCACTAAGTATATCTGGCCTGGCCTGGGAAGCTCGGTACTTGTGCCTGGCCTGGCCTGCTCACCTTGCAACCTTGAAACAATTTCATAACAGAATGAAGGATCAGGCCGGAATTGCACACAACCCGGGAGACGAATGCATATCGCAAGATCCCGAGAAATAGTAGGTATTGGCGAGGTGTGCCGTCGCTGACTTCGCTTGACACATCGACCCTTAGAGGTCCAAAGTGGACAACTTGCCTCCGAATGGTCGTGACCTCTCAGAAGCTCGTCTCGGTTGTGTACTGGAAGACCGGACGACCCGAGGGTGAGTAAAAATAGGAGATCTGGCTGCAGCTAGCCCTGTCCAGCTGCTGCTGGTCAGAAAGTAGTTGCACTGCATCCAGTAGGGCTGGAAGTGCTCCGCACCTGAGCCCCCTGCAGCCCAGTATTTACGGCGGTACTCCCCTCAGGTCGAGGACGAGGGACAGGGCTCCGCACGTCCGTCGATTCTCATGTACAACCCATCTTCGCGGATTACGGCCTGTTCTGTCTAGTGTGTGTGCGTGTGCATCGACAAAAAGACTGCATGACAAAAAGCCACACAGTGTGTCCTGTACGTAAATTTGGCCTCTGGCACGATCTTGCCGAAAATGAGGAGCCCTTTGACATCGCGTCGCGAGAGACAACGGTCAGCACTTGACCAAAATTCCTAGTTCTGGTCGTCGATCCTGGTCGAAGGATCAACGCCTCTGGTCTTTCCCCCATTGGGTGGACAAGGTTGGTCATCGACTAATCCGGCACGGCATCCAATCAGATCAGCGGGCGACCACCAAGGGCTGAAGGTTGTCTAGATGCTTCAGTCGCGGGGTCGCATCGGACGGGTTTGGTTGTCCGACCCTGCTTGCCTCAACGCGAGTGGTCTGCAGTCTCTCCCCCCTTCGTCATTCGCATTTTGGCCACGGGCAGCTTCCTCTCTATTGTTCAATCAGCATTTGGCCCGTTGGCATGATGATACGTCTCTGTCCGGAACGCTCACCTCTCCATGCTGCTGCAGCACAAGAAGTACTGTGCTGTAGTACACTGCCTGCCTCCACATGCTGGTAATATTCCCAAGAACCCTGTCACTATTCCCGGCGTCTTGGTTACCCCCCTCTTAAGCGCCGTCGCCAAATTTTGTCCAACAAGTGGCTGTCTCTTCCCTATGGTAAACGACGTCACGGTGCTACTCACTGGCCAGTCCAGGTACGTATGACCCCCTCTGTGTGTGGGGATTGGAGAGAAGGAGGGGGGGGGGGGATTCTGTCTGCAGTTGATACGGAGTACTTGCTGCTTACCTCGTGCGCCAGCCCACCGGTGGGCGTGTCTCACAAGAGCTCCCTCCCGGCTGGCTGCATATCTGTCCAGCTACTGTATATGCATGCACTAAGTGGGCTGCGCCCAGGGCCTGTCAGATCGACCTCATTATGTACACCAAACTCAAAAATTTTCACTGTATGCCACCTTCTCATGCGGAACGAGATGCTGACAAGGACGGAACAGAAAGTCGCAGCAGGAGAAACAAGACCTCTTGCTGATGGGGTGTGACAACCATGGTTTGTCTGCTCACATCCGAACTCTGTCGAGGGGAGGCACTGCCTGACACCCCAGAACCAGTGAGGTCGAGCGGGTGCCCTGTTTTTGATGATGTCGACCCTTAGACCGTTGGTGCGCGCAAGAAGGACCATAACGAGATATACGGACTCGATCATGGCCACCATCACAGCCTTGTGTTTTCCACACGTATATCGACCTCGTCGTCCTCCTCCCAGGATCATCGTTCGCGTACCAGGAGGGTCGGCCGGGGTAGATGGAGAAAAGGGCCCTGCAACGGTTCATTCATGCTCCCAGGATGGAGAGTACAGTTTCTTCCCCTCCCATCTCCAAAAATGCCTGACGAGACCAGCTCCTGCCTCTCTTTCTCCCGAGGGACGAAGGAGGGAAGGTGCCAGCGAGACACAGATCGAAGGAACCGTACCTTGCACACGGCCTCGACAGGGGTTGCATGGACCCTTGTCGTCTTCCAGCTGACAGGGATGTCGCAAGCGCAACTTTGGGATTACAGCCTCCTTCCATCCACCACGAGAGAGAGGACCCAGGCGATGAACAGGTACCTCGTCTTAGTGCCATTCCTCTCTCTGCAAGGACCGTTTGTTTCCTTGCTGCCCTTTTCCCTCATGTCTCGATATAGCAGTGTGCATGTCCAGGCCGTGGTCCGCCCTGCCTCGCGCCTCCGACAATGTTTCTTCCCGTTCCAAGCTCCAGGAACCAATTCTCTCTCCTCGCAGACGACCTACAGCTCGGCCCCAATCCGACTGTAACTCTGAGCAGGCTGAGGCATTGCCGCTCTCTCTCTGGTTACTACCATTGTTTGACACCGCTTTTACACTCGCAGCGCACCCCTTGCTTTCTCAGTCTTACCCCTTCTTGACTGTTATTTCCATATCACACTTTCCTAACTGTGCACATCATCTCAGCCGGGCTGTGTACATTTACTAACTTTGTCACTGTGACGTTCCCTGGGCTGGCTCACGCACGACTGCCGCCATGTCTAGCCTGCAGTCTATCATGAACCTGGACGAGGACCAACCGGACGCCTCCAGCCCTATGGATAAAAAGGATAAGGACTCTGCAACTCCCGCTTCCGGACTCCGAGCTCGTGGTCCTCCAACCTCCTCGACACCCTCTGGTCACGTCATCCGTCCTGACCTACAACAACATCCCCCCTCGACCTTCACGCCTCCCACTCTAAGAATCCCCATCGCCGCCGCCGCCGCCAACGACGACGACGAGAGCAGCAACCCCTTCTACAACCACCCAGCCCAACAACAACAATCACAGCACCACACTCCCTCCCAGGACCTCACAGCAACACTTCACAACCTTCACTACTCGCAAGGGCAGAGGCCGGTGGAGCCCAGCTCGAGTATCCCTACCCTCTCGGTGGCCTCGTCCGGCCCATCAGATCTGCGCCGCCAGAGCAGTACTAGTGTGGACTCCATGGATCACCAACACGGCTATGGATCCGCGGCGTCTTCGTCCTCCATGGGTGGAGGGGCTGGCTCTGGAGGTTATCCTCCTAACCATCCACGACGGCCCATGGGAAGCCCAGGCCCAGAAATTCCCATCAAGTTGACTCCCATCACCGGGAGGGTTAGCCGTGCGAAGAAGGGAGTCCCCGTCCACATCTGTGACATATGCACTCCCCCAAAGGTATGGACAGCAGCACTTGGAAAGAGAGAGTGTGCTTGGGGATGGTCATGTAAAGTCTTTTGTTTCTAAAAACATGTTTGCTAACATGGCCGACCAGACCTTCACAAGAGCCGAGCATCTCAGGTGAGAAGAAGTCCTGCTGCGCCCCTCTTTCTTGCTGGAGAGACCACTGTTACTAAAGCACGTCTGATCCACAGGAGACATCAGCTCAGTCACCAGCAACCTGGTTTTCCCTGCAACAGATGCGATAAGTCCTTCCATCGTCAGGACCTCCTGACTCGTCACCAACAGAGACAGTATGCCTTCTCCAATGCTTCGCTTCATCTCTGCTCGTGCTAATAATAAGCCTTTAGTGACCAAGAGGGAGACAGAGCCTCGCAAAGTGGAGATAGTGGCCGTCGCGACTCCAAGGACTCAACGCTGGAAGGGCCCATGACCGGCCTTACGGTTCGCGGCCTGTCATCGAACTTGGCATATCCATCTTCCTCCCAAGGAGGCTTTCACGGCGCGTCAACACCCTCGTCAAGCTCAGCACCGGCCACTCCTCCCATAGGAAGCGGCACGGGCTCGACCATGTCACCGCCTCCGGGGAGTAGTGAACAGTACGGTTCCTCATCCAGCCACCAGGGGACAGGCCACTACCGCTATGTCGGCATGCCCGTTATGACCCACCAATCCGGCAGCATGAAGGCCTCATCCGACCCGCCAAGCTTTGCAGAGATGGAATATTTGCAGCAACCCAGGACGTACCCAATACCGCGTTTCGTCCCCACACAGGGCCTATCGCCATCTACGGCATTGCCAACGGCACTGGACCAGACTCCCGACCTGATCCATTCGGGATGGACCTCATCTGGCGATGACAATTACTCAACCCCTCCTGAGGTATCTACGCGTCGGTCAGACTGGCGCCATACCTCTCAGCACAACCTCGAGTGGCCAGCGAATTCCAACCTCTTGTCACAATTTGCCACTGGTGGCAGGCAGGAGATCGACACAAGCGGCGGAGGCATAGGGACAATGGCTGGGTCTTACTACGTGCCCACGGCGGGCTTCCCAAGCTCGCCTCATATGGCTTCGGTGTCTCAGAGCTACCACGCTCTTCTGAGCGACCCGCTCATGAGTACTTTCACCGACGAGCATGCCCAGTCACTCTTGGATCCCGCCATCACCGCGCAACACGCCATCGACCAGCGGACATCCTCAGTGCGTAGACACACTCCTGAAACTTCCATCTCGACGTCGGGGCAAGCGGCTGACACCCTAGTCACGCCAGCTCCTCTACCACATAGGATAAATTCCGTGGCTCAGGCCCGGCAGAAAGAAATGATTGTCGACAGCACCGACGTGGACGTGGCTATGAGTTTCGGCACCGAGAATGGCAGCCCTCACTGGAGCGACGACAATCCGGCGAGTGCTGGGATCCTGACTGGGTCAGCACTCACCGGAATGGGTGAATGTGGCGGCGGTAGTGGTGGCAGCGGCATGGGTGGCCCCGCGGCTCTGCATACCCTCCTTCCGCGCCCTGTCCGCAACGCCATATCTGACTATATCAACATTTACTGGGAGCGTTTTCATGTTTTGTACCCGTTTATTCATCGACCGACATGCGGAGGGGAAGAAGTGTTGAGGTGCGCCATGGCGGCCATCGCGACACAATACTTGAATGGCAAAGAAGATCGCAAACGGGGGAACCAACTGCATGAATGGGCCTGGCAGGAGGCAAAAAGGGTGAGTTACCATGGCCAGCAATCCTTCTCTATACAAATTTTGCATATATATATAAGGGGTCCTGTGAAAACTGACTAACCGACCGACCTCGGGAAAACAAAAGCACCCCTACCGCAACCTCCAAGTCATGCAGGCAATCCTGCTGTGCGAACACTTCGCTCGATTCCGGGGCCGAAAGGCGGTAGTGCGGCCCTCGAAGCTGTTTACTGACCTCTATGCGAGAGTAAGTGGATCAGAGTCTCTTGTGTCCTCTGTCTCAGACGGCGACTATGGTTCATCTGTTCCTGTTTCACGCTCTGGCTCCTCTTTTTCTACTTCCACTTCTTCTTCTTCTCTTCCTTCTTCTTCCGCTAGCTTTTCCACTTCTTCTCTCCCTGCCTGGTCGCCACTCTCTTCTGGGCCTCTTTCTGCGTGCTCGCCGATCCAAGAGGTCGGCCAGATGGGCCAAATCGGCCAAGTCAACCAGGAACCTGCTCCATTTCTCTACTCTCCTGTCGTTCCTTTTTCCCCGCAGCAGATTTTCTTTTCTGAGTCTTCTTCTATTTATGACACTCCTCTTGGAGCTTACGATAATATGCTTGTTGATAATTCTTCAATTTCCTACTCGTCAAATAGCCGAGAACAGTCATACTCAGACAAATTCTCTACACAGATTCTGGACCACAATCCGAATTTATACGATTCGGCACTGTCCTCAGATACTCCCAGTTTCGGGAACCACCAGCAAAATATGGGCATCTGCATGGCCAAGGAGGAGCGGTGGCGCACTTGGCTCGAGGCAGAGGGACGCCGTCGATTGCTGGCTTCATGCTTTACTCTGGACTGTCACGCATCGACGTACCATCAAGTCTCTCGTGCCAAAGACGACATCGACCCGACTAGGATCCCCCTAACAGGCCCCAGCGAATCTCTCTGGGCCGCCACCTCCGCTGAGCAGTGGGCCACCATTCTGGACGCCCACCCCCAACTCGGCAATCCGCAATTCCTTCCCAATATAGACTCCCTGAGACCCGAAGATATTCCCAGATTCACCATTTTCGATCAGGCATCCATTCTCAGCGCTGCGGCGCTCATGTTGCCCCGCCGCTACCTGGCGTCGCGCTCTACAGCTGTCAAGAACGACGACGAGGGCTCGGGTTCGTCAGACGACCTACGCACACCCACCACTGCTTCCTACGCAGCACAACAGCTGAAGAGACTCAAGCCTGAGGACAGGGTCCTGCAGCTCTGCTCACGGGTTGGATTCCATTATGCTCCCTGGACGGCCGTCAATGTCTTCCTCGCACTGCATCACACTCCCTTGCATGACCTGCTTGCGGTCAGCGGCGACAGCTGGGTATTCAGCCAGAAAGTCCTCGGCGCGACGACATTCCTCGAGCACCAGAAGCGCCTGAAGGCGTGGACCGAAGGTCGCTCTCCACCGTCGCCCACATCTGGCCAGCCGACCTCCCCAACTACCATCGGTTTCGAGGGCATGTCTTCGGCTAAGGCAACTCTCTACGCTGCCCGTGCGCTAGCATCATTCCTAGAACGGCCAATTTCCCTTTCCAACGGTCTGACACCGCACGTAACTTGTCTCTCCAACTACTGGGCCATGTACGTGTGCGCTTTGATCATTTGGGCCTTTGGGAACAGGGCCGGCAAGTCCTCTTTTTCCAGCAGCAGCGGCAGTGGCATCAGCAGTTCACCCACAAGCAAGGGTGCGACGATGAGCGAGGAGGATGCTGTCGCCTGGCTGCAGACTGTGGCGCAGCTGGATCAGCCAGAGGACGTCGCCCGCATGAGGCAGCGCAAAGAAGCGAGTGCGACCGTGGTGTCGATGGTTAAACGGCGTCTTGAGGCAGACTGCGGGGGTGGCACGAGCCGGCTTTTCGTGGAGGCTGTGGGAATCTTGAGGAAGCTAGAGGAGGGCGTCACCCGTAGGTGGTTCTAAGCTTTGTCTTTGCGTTTTTGCTGTTCTCTTTATTTTCTTCTTTTTTTTTTTCCTTTGGGGAGGGGGGTCGGGCTCGTTCCTTCTATCCTCTTGTTTGGCGTCCTTTCATTGCTTTCTTCATGCTCCTTGATGATTTATACGCTTTTCACCCCTATCTATTTCACTTGTTTTTCTTGTCAAAATGTTTAATGAAGGGATGATGGCATGATTTTGGGACAAAGAAAATATGCGCGGATGCATAGGCACGAGGACATCATGTTCTGGAACGAGCCAGAAACGTGTACGAACATAAGAGCGGCATCACAGTATGGATGGCATGGATATGATGATTCTATGGATCAAACTCTTTGGACGGGAAGCAAGTGCAGACGTCACCCTTGGAGTATTATTAACTGGGATGGAGGACGATGCAGGATCTGTACCAATAGCACATCTTCCTTTCTTTTCTCCATGTCTTTTGCTTGCTTTATTCATTTTGTTGTTTTGAGTCCGATGGTGGTATGCGCCAATTGTTGACTCCAATCTTTCTTTTTCTTTCTTTTTCTCTCCATTCTTCTTTTCTCTACTTTCAGTCGCTTCTTGCATGTGCCATGTTTCTATACTGTAGGATGTGTGTATTATTACAACCTTCTCCGCTGGCTGTGGTCAACCTTATTTTCATCTTGTCAACATGGCATAGCGGAGAGCCTGTATGATAGGTAGTTGGTTGGTATTATACTATTTCGTTGCCTTATGCTTACATCATTATCATGTCTCGCCATATCCAGATTTAGGTGCGCATGTCTTTTGTCTTTGTTAGTGTATGATCAGTGTGTTTTCTTGCCTCTTGTAGCTATTTGACATATCTCAGACCTATACTTCTTCTCGCGGCCTGGAATCATGGTCACACGTCAATTCAATACTTTATTAAGTGATAATAATTGTAGACTAGCTGGCTCTAGGGGCTCCAGCCCCTTCTCTTCGCCCTGTATTCCCCTTTTCTCTATTTCCCATGTCTTATTCTCACATCTTCCTTTCTTCAATCGTCCACTCCACCTGCACAGTCTTGTTAATCCCCAGAATCGGATGCTCATCGCTATCCCAGGCTCCCGTACCAGCCGACGGCGCCTGCGCCCCACGTGTATCCACGTTCCCGAGCTCAGGACTGCCCCTATCCGCACTAATAATAGTGGTCGTCGTAGCCTTTGTGGTCGTCATTGCCGCCCCGTAGCCGTGACCACCCATTTCGATATCCTCCCCTGCCGCCATGCCAGAGGCTGGGCTGGCCTCGGAGTTGTCGAAGCGACTCCACTTGCCCTTACTCTGCCTTGATCTTGTATTCCATGCGGAGCCGCCGCCGATGGTCGCCAGTCCTGGGGTGCTGGGGCCGCGGCGGTGGTTTCCGTAGGCACCGTAGCCAGAGCTGCCGCCGAGCGAGGAAGGCATGACTGACTTGATCATGGGCCGTACGATGGGCCCCTGGTTTTGGTAAAGGTGGGAATGTCAGTAATGTTATTGGCGACCAAGTGAGATGCGGGTTTTCTTCTTTTTTCTTCTTCTCACAACAACAACAACAAACCCCCCCCCCCCAAACAAAAGTGTCAAACATACCAGGGTTGGGAGACAAGACGAGATGATACCGCTGCTGATCTCGATCACATTCCAGGCACAGGGCACGGCCAGGGTGTAAGGGATGTCTTTCTTGGTGTATGACAGATAGATGACGAATCTGTAGATGGAGGTGAAGACGACATAGCTGCCCAGCATGAAAATGACGACGAGAAAGATCTTTTGCGTCCTGTTGGTCTTGAGGCGCAAGATGTGCGGCAAGGGGAAACATAAGATGGCAATGTCGCAGAGGATGCTGGGCACAGAGATGCAAAGCTGGGCCAGGAAGATGTCGATGCAGTAGCCGTCTACCCAGGGCTCCCAGATCTTGGTCCGCGGGAGGCACTGAAACGAGGCGGCGAAGATGCACGCGACGTTCCACGCCGTCGAGATGCCGCCGCAGATATAGCCCCATTTGCGAATCGAGGGGAGCGGAAAGATGCGGAAGTAGAGGAAGAGGAGCGAGATCTTGTACATGTTCACGGCGGTGGTGTACACGACTTCGGCCCCGACTACAGTCTGCGAGGAGGAAAGGAAAAGAAGAAGGTGAGTAATCTGGTGGTTGCTTCTTGACCGCAAAAGAAGAAAAAAAAAAGGATCAAAGCAGGAGAATTGGCTTTGATTGTACGTACCTGGTTCAGTGTCATGAGCTCCCCGATCGTGAGGCGTCCGGAATGGAGACCTAGCCCTTCGTCTATCATCACCAAGTTGAACACCAGGTTCCCAGCAAGGAGGACCAGTGAGGCGATAATCAGCCAGTCGTCCACGCCATACGGCGCACTCTGCTTGTACCGCGCGAGGAAGCGAAGGCCCACGACAAACGCCGCGAGGACGGTGAAGACGATGCTCAGGTTCCGAACCTCTGGCCTTAGGTCTTGTTCGAGGTTCTGGGTTTCTGCGTATTCTTGGAGCTGCTCGAGATACGCTCTCTCGCCCGCAGAGAGGCTTGTATCGTTGACGGGATAAGAGACAGGTGACACCATGATTGTAATCGTTCGTATGCTGGTGTTGAGAAAGGAAGGAGGGGGGGGGGGGGAGTAAGAAGCCAGACAGCACAAGCCACTCGGAGGGGGAGGGGGGTCACTGAGAAGCAATTGACTTGTTCATTGTTATTTTTCCTTTTGGCTTTCCCCCTTCTTTTTGGCCACAGGGGCGTCTAAGAGACTTGGCCATATTGGAACATCGGTTACTATCTGGAACACTTGGGCAGTTGAGCACCGATGTTAATACTAAACCCTTGCCATAGCCATGTAAAAAGTTTTCCTCTTCTCTACTAGGCACTCTCGTATGCATTGTGCCAGGGGATGCAGCAGAGCAATGCACGAAATGAAGTGGTCCGTGGCAAAGGGTCTGAGGAAAAGCAAAGGAAATAGAAGCAGAAAAAAGTGAAGAAAAAAAAAACAGAAAGAGGAAATATCCAGGGTGTTGCAGATCAAAGATTGCTTTTTCGATGATAAACGATCAGCAGAGGCCCAGGGAGAGACGTCTGAGCAACGTCCTATGGTCTGTCATGTCTGTCGCGCCGTAATGATATCCCTAGTAAGTATTGTAGTACCATGCAGCCATGGCATCGTACTTTTCCTTAGAAAGCACCCTTGTTGAGGTGAATGTCGGGGGCAGGGAGCCCGGGAGGTGGGCTCAAGGGTCTCACTCCGCCCAAGCGATCATGTGTGTGTGGGTTTGACTGGACTTACACCTATTTTGTCTTTCATTCTTCCTCCCCCGTCTCTATCCGTCTATGATGCCATTCTGTGGTAGCAGGATCAGAGTTACGGACCTCCCATGCCTTGCGGAACACTCCGCGGGCCCTGTCCGAACCTAATAATGCATCAAAGCAGTCAGTCCAGCGTGAGTTTTCTGTGACCCTATTGCCACATTTGGGCATAACTTGACTTGTCAACTCCTACGACCCACATAAAATGCATTCATTCATTCTCTTGTAGGAAAGACCAGTTTCTCAACCCTTGGGGGTTGGAGCCCCTTTCCTTGTCCCTTGGAGAAGCGATTGGAGAATGGCCTGGGTTATAGTGACACGTGGGCTGTCCTCTCCGTGCAAGGACTTTTATGTTACTCAATGTTACTACAGGCCCCGGCCCTTGACGAGCACACTATCATCTACATGTATCCCTTCCCACTTGTGATAGCTGTGCCGCCCCAACAGCAACTCCTAATACCCAAGATTCCTATTCTGGATTAAACCTCAGAACAATCTCCATAAAACAGGACAAGGCTCGTTTAAAGTACCCTAGGCTGCAACATCTCGACCCTTTTCCTCAGGAATTGCATCGACAATTACAGAGGGCTGAAGAATTGAACCAGTGGTGGTGCGGAGGACACAGGCAAAAAAAAGACTGACCAAACCACGGTCAATGATATAATTAAGTTCCATGGTTACAAAGCTAGCCACTTTCAAACCATCTCACATGTCGAGCCAACCGTGACATTCGATTAATACAAGCAGGTGGCATAAAATAGTAGAGGTGGATGCCCCTGCAGAAACCCCCCATGCACGTGTAATTTCATTTCTTCCCGTGCGTATTAATTACGACATCGATTGTGAGGTATCCAGTGGTAGACCCCATAATATGCCTTTCCAAGCTGTTACATTTGGTTTTGTGCGTTTTTTCTCTCTGTCTCTATTTCGTTGGTAGCACTGCGGCTGGATATTGCGGAGACGTGCGTGCTCCGATACCACCCCAGTCTCCGCCACTTGTGACATCTCCGTTGTGACAAGGAGCAGACGGAATCTCTCGTGGGTCGTCCGTCCGTTCCTGCAGTTCAGCTGCAGGAGACAGGAGAAGCCCCCCCCTAGATAGTGAACAGGGCGTACGAGCTATTACCCCGTGGCTTTTACATGGTGCCTCGGTAGGGTGTGACGGATCCCTGAAGAAACAAAGAGGAAAGAAGAGAACAGGTAAAAGGGGATCCACCATGCATATGCACTGATGAAGATTATAATTACTTGGAAAAAGGAAGGTCGTTGTAACATTCCCTGGAAAGATAAAGTGAAAAGTGAGAGGAACATCCTTACAACAGCCAGTCGCTTGGAATCATCAATCACTTAATCGATCCTCCCTCTCTGAGTACACAACCTTACCCACTCCCTGAAACCGAAGGAAGGAAAAGAGAAACACCATGTCTAAGCCAACCATCATTATTGTCCCCGGCGCATGGCAGAAGCCCTCCGCCTTCGCCGGGATCGTCGAGAAGTTCCAGCAGGCCGGATACCCCACGGTCCACGTCCCTGTCCCCACCACCGGCGGTGTTGCTCCTACCGGCCTCAAGGATGATGTCGAGGCCGTGCGAAAGGTGCTGGTCCCTCTGGTCGAGGAGGGAAAGGAGGTCGTGGTGATTGGCCACTCCTCCGGCGGCATCTCCATGAGCGGCTCGGTGGAGGGCTACGACGCCGCGAGCAGGACGGCAGCTGGGAAGAAGGGCGGCGTGGTGAAGTGTATTTTTCTGGCCGCGTTTGTCCTGCCCAAGGGCCAGAGCTTGCTGGGGATGCTGGGAGGGCAGCCTCTGCCGTGGATGGTTGTCGAGGTAACTTATCTTTCACTGATTATTACTTCCTTCCCTCAAATCCCCCCCATTCTTCCTTCCAAACCTACCGGTACTCTATCTGTGCAAATTCTAATTGTCATCTCTATTTTCTCTTCTCCCCGCAGGCCGATCGTGTCAGTGGCAACCCGGACATGATCCCGCAGGTCGGCTTCAACGACTTGTCTGCGGAAGAGCAGAGCAAGTGGGCCAAGGAGATGACCTATACCTCTGCCGCGCTCTTCGCCACACCGGCCGAGTACGAGCCGTGGGCCAGCGGCATCCCGTGCGCCTACGTTTACACGTCAGAGGACCACGCCCTGCCGTTGCCCGTGCAGCAGGGCATGTCTTCGCAGCTTGGGCCCGAGGCCAAGACGGCCACCCTGAAGGCCGGCCACTGCCCCTTTCTGAGCATGCCTGACGGCCTTGTCAAGGCTGTCGAGTCGGTCCTCTAAATCATAGTTTGTCATCTATCCTGGGTGTCTTATAGATGTTGAGGAAGGAGTTTTTGGTCTTGTGGTAATGGTTCAAAGTCTGTACACAGTTTCCGTGTTTGTATTTACCTTTGCAACTTGAACAGTGGCGGATATCGAACCATAGATACATAGAGAAAGATCAATTGTGTTGGCTGAGTTGATAGATTGCATTTTAATTATAATCAAGGATATACTGTCACTATATCCGATTTGAGCACTCTTTCTGATCGAGTATTGCGCTATAATAGAAGAAGCTCTTGCATATTAATTTTTACTCGCTCGTGTTATATATATATATAACGGTTTTCTCGCTTATTCTGTGGCAAAACATATAGGTACAGCCAGTTCTGAGAAACTGGCGATCGCTTTTTCCCCGACACATTCCTATTTTATTTTTAAATCTTTGCTTTTTCTCTTCTTAACTTGTAATGCTACTATTTTAGAATTTATTTATTTTAAAAAGCTTATTGTTATAACCCATCCAAATTGCAGGTCAGGAAACGGGCCACACATATCCATTCTGAAGAGCTGGATCTGTAACCTCACGTTCAATACCAGTAGATAGATCACATGTACTTAGCTCTTCAGTCGTCAATCTAAGTTCTAAGTACACAACACACTTAGGAGTCCCAAAAGCAGTGAACACTTGCACTCACAAATTTTCTTTTGTTCAAGGCCTGTACTTGGCACCGCTCTTGTGAACATAAATGCAAGTAGTACTCTGGAATCCTCGGATTGCTGCAGTGCTCATTACATCGCTCCACCCAATATCCTGAGGCTACCACCCTGGCCACCACAACACTAGAATTTTCTTCAACATTACGGTTGCACAAATATTAAAGTCAAGGAAATTGATACATGTATGAAAGATCTAATGCCCCTCCCCTCCCCCAAGATAGTACTCGAAATATGGATATAAGACTAGCTATTGTTGTTTCCGTCCTTGCTCTTCATCCACGTCGGCTGGAGAAGCTCTTGTCCTTCTAAGGCGCAAACATTTGAGTTGCCCCTTAAGTTGCTGAAACTTCGGGCGTGTCTCGTTACTTTCGTAAAGAACCCATACAAGTAACACAAGGGTTGCCGGAATGGTGATGGCCCAGTAGACACCGAATAAAGGTTGGCCTGCAGCAAACTCTCCTCCCATAGAAAGAACCGACGCAACAAATGTGCAGGGCACTACGATTGTAGCAATGATAGTGAGCTGGCCTGCACTCCTCGCCTGCTGCTTTGCAGCAAACGATTCTTCCATGGTCGCACGCTGTGAAAACATGTCCATGTGCTCGGCAATTTCGGCTTCCATCCTTGTCAGCTTTTCTTCCAGCTTTTCCCATAGTCCATGATCTTTGTCCACTATCCCGCTGTAAGTAGAAACTCTAGCGCCAAAAGACCACATGATACTATTCATGTGCCACTTCCAGCGTTTCACGTCATTTCTGATCTCTATCAGTCGCTGGTACTTCTCAACTGTCCGAGCATCCACGCCGCTTTCCAAAGGCTTGAGAGCGTTATTTCCTTGGCACAGATGGTGGGTAATCTCGTCGTCCAGGACAAGGTCACGGAAGTCAAAGTCTTCCCTCCAAAGGAAATCCGCCCAAGCAGCGTGGATGAGTCTGCGAGAGAATGTGGTGGCTGAGAATGGATCTTCAGTGGCCGGACCCAGTGAACCTGTGCGCTCACCAGAAGAAGAATGGGCTCCAACAATGGCATCATATAGAGATCTTTCGTATGGATGTGAATATGAGCCACTTTCTCGATCAATACTAGCTTCGGCGTAGGTTCGCCGGTTGGGAAAGTAATCATCAAGACGACTTCGTTTGTAGGTTTCCTGGTGACGAAGCCAAATTTCGTGGGGATCCACAAGTAGCACAGCTATTATCGTTCGTGTCAACGGAAGAATTCAAAATTGACCGGGCGTCTGGATGAAGAGAAGAAACAAAAGAGCAACATGAGAGTCCCTCATACCTGTCCATGATCTATTCCCCTCTCCGTAACGAGTGGCCCAACAGGAGACCTGGCCAAAGAAGGTCACCCAGTGGGTCGTGTCTGTGATTTCTATCTCAAGACGGTCGACGCGCCCAGATTCAATATAGTAATGCCCTGCGGGTGGCCGAATTTCTCCACTTGCAATCCTACGCATCTGCGGCACTGCAACCCTCCAGTATGTGGATGGGCTTTTCATTTCCCACTGATTATCCAGAACGCCGAGGTTGACAAACGGGTCACAATGGGCGAGAAAGACTTCAGGCGGTATGTTCAACTTCACACCCAGGAGCTCTAGAACCAGAGGATCCATGTTCTCCACGATGAAGAGGCGTCGATTTTCTGTTCCAACGACTGGCCCGATTTGACTTTCAGGGGCTGTGCTACCCTCCGAATGGTCGTTATCTTCCCAGAACTGGATTAGATCGAGAGCGCCGTCGTAACTCTCAGGCCATTTGGTTTTGTCTTTGTGGTCGCCCTTGAACTCGAATATTTGGACTCTGGAGCTGACCTCGGGGGCCTTGTCGTTAATGCTGGCATCCTGCATCCAGGGATGCCTTGTTCCTTCCTTGAACAGCCTGTCCTGAGCAATCTTCCTCGCTCGCGACTCGTATTGCTTCATATCTCTCCATAATTCATCGGATAAATAGGAAACTCCATCATATACTATCAGCACATACCATGATACACGTATAGAGTAGATTCATGGATTAAACTCACATGGAGAACGCAAATCGTCCATGCTTTTTATTTTTATTTCTGTAAGAGACTGCTCAAGTGGGCGCACTGTAGATAGGAAACGAGTACTCAAGAGAGATAGAGACCAAGTCTAACAAGACATGAGAGCATTCGAACAGATAAATACTTCATCATGTGAGTGCTCATCTGCCTCCATTTTATCAGCATGGATTTGACATCGAGTTGATCATTCTTCCAAGAAGCAATAAAGCGGATACTCCGTCACGCGGAAAATGATATGCATTCAGCATTACCAATCCTGTACTTACCTCGCGATAATGAGCGAGTTAGCATCACGTAAATCATCCAATACAATGTAAACTACTGGTTCAGCTACGGTAATAATTACCTGTGGGTGTCAGCCCTCCTGGCCCACTACTCCCTCTACATTCGCATTGGGTGCCAAGATAGGAGAAAGGTGCTCATTTTCGAGGAAGGTTTTTGTATAGCGCTGCTACCCAATCGAATGCTTAGGTAATGTTTGTTCATGAATTTATTCTATAGTCTTTCTCACACGAATGCAGAGGGGTCTGAATGCTGCAATTGGATAAAATCTTCAAATCTTCCTATCTAGCTAGACCTTTTAGGTTCCAGTACACTCATTTCTATTGGCAATATACATCTGAGGCCAAGTAGATGCGAACCGAAGGTCGCGACATTCTCGACGAGATCTTCCCCTGCCTGAACGATATCGATAGCAGGCCTGCCCAAGTTTGCCTCTCGGCTCCACGTCGATGAGAGAGGTCATGAGCTATCCATCATCAACAGTGAGGCCGCTATACACCTGTTCGACGTCGACACCATCTACCAACCCGCCAAGTGAATTTTCGACTTTGCCTTGCGACACCCGTCTTTACACGACGAAATCTCTGCTGTTCTGCACCGTCGACGTTACCACGACAGCGCAGCTTCTGCAATGTCTGGCGAGGAAGGCAGGCGAGGTGATCTTCTCGCCCCACTATCGAACAATCACTGTGCCGGCGTACACGTCCCGTGGCCAGAAGAGGAAAAGGTCCACGTCGTTGTCATGGGGATCAGAGGAATCACCGTCCACGACGGGCGAGGCAGCCGATGGTGCCGGTGTCGACATGGAGGTCCAGGAGGAGGTTCGGGTGGAGAACAGCTTTCAGGTGGCCCACAGGATTCAGGTTGAGGACGAGCCGCAGAGCGCGCCCATGCACCCGTCCCTGGCCAGCATTTCCAGCCGTCAGGTCAAGACCGACTATTACTGCTCTTTGATCTACAGCACGTCGTCTCCTTTGAGCAAGCGGATGCAAGCAGGTCAAGCATGATTTGGCGAACGCCACGACAGAGGGAACAGTCGATAAGCTTCGTGTCTTCGGTAGCGACGAAAGCTTCGTACCCCGAACGTCCCACCCGCCTGCGATACTTTTCGTTAGGAAAAGGCCATTTTCAGCTCAGAGTTCAAAAGCGGCCAGCAACACGTACCAAATGTGCAAATTAAGCAGTGCATAAGCATGGTAAGGCAAACACCCTGCACATTTCTCCGCCGTCGATCTGAATTCAGGCCTTGAGGTCGCTGTGGTGGCATCCGAATGTGCTGAGATGAAGGCATAGGCTCCGCCCTCACTGCTCCTGAACTCCACAGTAAGCGCCTATTGATACCAGGCGCTCGCATACACACAAGAAAATGTCGGTGTCCACCAGCGGGTATCGCGCTTGTAGATCCCTGCACGACGAAGTCAGGCGGAACGCCTTCTTCCACCAACATCTGAATAAATTGGGTCTCTTCAATACTATTAAACCTTGAGCCGACCGCTAGACAAGATACACCCGTCCTGGACAGTTCCGGACCACCACTGCTAACTCCCCGCCCGCCGCCCTCCCAAGAACGACACCGAACACGGGCTTGACTCAATGTAGACATACCATCAATGATCGTGAGCTGGGGCTGAGAAAGTGTACAAATCACAGGGCCTCCAACAGCAACGATAAGTCCGTGTACGAAGCATACCACGACAGCTCTTGGTGTCAAAGCAGTCACCGACCCACTTTATTCCACACCCTTGATCTGCAGACTAACTGGAATGCCGCCCCACAGCCGTGCTGTCGTTGCAGACGCCGAATGTTCTGACAACGAAGGAAACGTGATGGTAGAGTGAAGAGGTATTGTCAATGGACACGCCGGAGGGTGGCTGGAAACGGTTGCTCATCGCCGGACAGAAGCACCTGAGACTAATTGCCTTCCTCTACTGCAGCAGACAGACATGGAGAACTTCGACCTTAGAGCAGCTCTGATCATATAAGTCTTGTCGTACTTTCAATTTTGGGAGGATAGTTGTTGTCGAACTTTTGGATGTGAACACCATATGATGTGTATTTATCTCGGTGAAGCATTTTGGAGCTTTTGCAAGGGTGTTGAAAGTCAACTCTACCATATTTCTTAGGACTTCTTAATATGGCTTGCCCGAATTCATACCTACCTTTGCTTGTCAATAAGAGCAAAATTGATTGGACTTGCAGTCTTCAACATTCTCTCTCTCCTTCTCCCTGTTTATCCCCCATCTCCGCCCCCCCCCCTCCCCCCAAAGAAGAAGTCCAGATTGATTACACTCCAGTTGAAAGCTTAAGGCAAGTAAACTCTACGAGTGAATGTCGAAGAAAAGTCTAAGGGTAGTATGCTTATCTCATTGTCCGAAGATCAGGGCAAGTACACTTTGCGAATACATTTACATTCTTACATGGTCCTGGGTAACTACACACTTGCTCAACCTTCTAGGATCCACAGTCCTTTTGCTCTGGCGCCTACAGCTCAGGACGTTATGCCCACCAGATCTGGACCTGAGCCGCCGCACGCTGCACCGCTTCCTAGCCGTCCGCATAGGGCATGGCAATTTCAAATATTGCCATGGTGCCTTCGGCCATTCGGACGCTGACCTCAGTGATGAGGAACTCAACAGTGAAGAGGACTATGAACCAACTAGAGCCTAGGCGGCGACCGATGGCGAGGACAAGTAGGCTGGTCTGGATGAGAGATGAGTGACAGATGTGCGTACGGAGGTCTAGAGAGAGGCAGGCAAGAAAGAAGATATAGAAGGGGAAGAAAAAAAAGGGGGGGTGGTCCAGATAAACTATACTCCGCCCTGCAATTTGCATTCTCGCCTGATTACAGGAAGATTGACACTCGGCCTAGACCTGAGACACACGAGAGTGACCTCTAATCCTTTATTGTGCTAGTCTTGGCTCGCAGATAGACGCGAGGATGATACCGAGCGGATGACTTGCTGTCGCTATCAACGGAGTTCGAGTTTCGAGAAGAGTGAGGGTATTTGTGTGTAACAGGTAGATCCAAGCTTAGCGCAGGGTGTCCCATACTACTAGGAAGGTCTTTCGAACAGTTCGCTTGACAAGCAGTCCTTCTATCCCCTTAAACCCATCAAGATCTAACCTCACACAGTTTTTTGTTCATTCAGAGTGCATAAACCCTAATATGTAGAGATCCAGGGTAATTACACTTCAGAACCAAAAGAATATATTGAAATCAAAACTCAATCGCGGAGCACATGACATCGTTGAGTCTCAAGAAAAGCTGCCCTGCCTTGCCTTATTAGAGGACGGGCATTTCTCTGGTTTCACAGCTGCATTGATTAGTTGAAGAGGACAATCTTATCTTTTTCCTTTTTTCTTTTCTTGCCTCTCAAAAGTGGGTTCGGGTTGTATAATGCCATGATAATCCAACGAGAGCCGCACCAGAATCATATTTTCAGAGTTGAGAGAACTAATTAACCGTTTTCACCAGTGATGAGATACAATGTTGGTACCCTAGATGAATGTAACTATGTTGAACATAAGCAATTTCAATACCTAGTGAGACATAGTTTGACATTGAACTAAATAATGACTGGCCCTGCGAGCGTAAGAGACATGTACTGCTTTCTTTTCAAGCCGATACTCAGGCCGTTCGTCTGGCCTTGTGCCAACAAAGAGAAGATCATTCGCTTCGCGGACGATGTCAGTAGATATAACGAGTGTACAGAAAAGAAAAGAAAGCAGAAGAGTGCACTGATGCAGTAAGAATTTTGTACTTAGTAGCGTGCCAATTACACTGCAAATGCGCGCGTTCACGGATGTGGTGATTACAGAGTTGCAAATATGTGACATGTGTTCAAGGTTTTCCTGGTTTAACCATTTCATGCCCCTCTACACGATGTACTGCTCACTCAAAGTTCAATAGGGCCATAACTTTCTTTTGTGCTAAGTCTTCCATTATTGCCTGAAGGGTTCAAAGTGCAATATTTAAGAAACTCCAGCCAATGCATGTAAAGATTAAGATTGAACTGTTGGCCTCGCGATATGGTATTTATGTTATTGTTGTTGCTATATCTACCATTTATACCACCGTGTTCAGCATTTCTCTTCTTGATGAATTGCATCTTAAACCCACTTCATACATGTATCATATCAATTGGCGAGGGAAAAGGCATGGAGAGACCGGCATCGGATCCCCAGATATATAGATTGTTCATACATTTCCAGTCGTCACAGGGAGTAGTCACACCTTTCGCTGCGGCACAACAAGTCCTTTTCCTTCGTCTTTTCTTCTCCCCTTCCTTCCGAGCATATTTCGCTAAACGTACAAGAGCGGGAACATAATATCAGGATGGTTGCACTCGGGCGGGTTTACACATACATCCGATAAATCTCCACATACTGTGTACAAATGACTCGAGTATATTTCAGGTCATGTGACGGCCCCAAGTGCCTACAATACAAACATCATAGTTCAGTAATGACAGTGCGTAATCCGTCGTGTGATGTTTCAAGAGCTGTTCATGTCCCACCCTGACACTCTGCTGCAGCGTGAAGATTCCGGGTTGAGTTCCGCAAGTCATAAGTTCACTCAGACCGCAGTCCTAACAAATGTCCCCGATTACAATTCTACGTGGGAGTTCTTCTCTTACGAGGTCACAGTAGAGTAACGCCAAATTGGAACGAGCACGGCTTTCTTAGTGAATGTGTGTTTGTATATTAGCGCCAGAAATCGACTTGATTTCGAGGAAAAGGTGCATTATCGTCTGAAGAAGACGGAAGCACCACATCATGACAACTGCTACAGAATAATTGAAACAATAAACGATAAACAAAACAAAAAATAAAACCAAAAAAAGAGAGCCTCCTATTTGCAAGTCAAATCATTAAAAGACTGGAAAATCCATGCCTTTCTCACCCCAGCAATCGATTTGCTCCATCTTTTCTGTGATCTGCCCTCTCGTCGGCTGTGTGTGTGCATTGCCGTCGGGAGTTTTTGGGTCTGTCGTTTTGCGTAGAACGTAGAACGTAGGTATTACCGTAGTAGAAATTAGGGGTACCTAAGTAATAGTAAAAGAAAGGCGGAGAATGGGTATTTGAGGGGTAATCCTGTCCGATGCATGGGGCAGTCCAAGCGACAAGGGAAATCGTGAGACATCGCAGAGAACAATGATCAGAAACGCAGACAACGTGTGCAGTGAGGGAGAAGAGGTCACTGCCAGATAGTTCTCAACACCAGGAGCGTAGATCCTAGTTGCCCTCCTTGTGTGAGATCTTGGCCCTGAGCTTGCCGAAGAAGCCACTGACCCGGTTCTTCTTCTTCTGGTCAGACTTCGTCGAGTTCGGCGTCGTAGGATCAGCAGTCTTTGTAGACTTAGCCGGCGTTGGGGGCGTTGGGGGCGTAGAAGGTCCGGCGCCATTGCTTGTGGCCCCATTGACTCCGTTGGTCGGTGTGGTGGTCTCGGGCACCTCCTTGGCCGGAGCTGGCGGCTCAACAACCTCGGGTGCCGTCTGAGTTGCCGTCGCAGGTACCTCAGCAGCCTTGGAGGATTCCTCGGTCTGGGGCGCATCGCTCACCGGCTCGACAGGCTTCACCTCCTTCAACAGCTCAGCCTCTACAGCCTTCTTCTCCTCGACGGCCTGTGTGTTGGCGGCAGCCTCGGGGCTCTTGCCGGCCTCTGCAATGGACTCCTTGACCTCGGTCGGGACATCAGGGGAGACCTCTTCAATCTTGGCCTCCTTGTTGGTCGGGTTGGCAGCGATTGTGTCCTGTACGGCGGTAGGCAGCTGCTCCTTGACGGAATCAGGCAGTTGGCCAGCCTGCTCGAGAGCCTTGTCTTTTGTGGTGTAGGCAGCGGCGACAGCGGCGGCACCAAGACCAGTAGCTGCAGCAGCGGCAGCCTCCAGCAGGGTCTTGTCGCCCTCAGACTTCTCCGTCCCCTTGCCAGCAGTGCCTTCAGAGGTCGAAGGGGCCTCTGGGACCTTGTCCTTCAGCTCTTCCTCGAGCTGCTGCTTCTCCTGCACCTCCGTCGCATTGGCGCTAGCCTCAGGGTCGACACCGGCCTTGTCTTGGCTCTCCTTGACAATCTCGGGAACCGTGGGCTCCTTTGGCACCTCAGCGGCCAGTGCGGCAGTCGTCGCGTCGGCAGAAACCGAGTTGACGGTCGCGTTGCCATTGCCTATAGGCAGGCTCGACTCGGGAATCATAGTTCCGGTAACAGGGGGCACGTCCAGGGCAGTCGTGTCGACACCAGGGAGAGCATCGCTCTTCTCGTAGGATTCCTTGTCCAGCTTGACGTTGGAGTTGACATCAGCAGCCGAGAACTCCTTAGGCACGGGCTCGCCGGGCGCCAGCTTGATCGGGTTGAGGCCACCAGCTGCGGCCGGGAGGGGGCTGATGCCGATGGGCTTGTTAAGCTCGTCAGCTGGCGTCTCTGGGTACGTGCCGGGTAGTGCCTCAGACTTGTTCTCCTTCTCCAGAGGAACGTCCTTTGCCAATTGGGCTGTGGTCGAGTCGGCGCTGACGGAATTCATGATGGCAGCAGTAGCTGGCAGGCTTGCGAGGAGGGTTTCGGGAGTGAGGACGTTGTTTTCGTTGCCGCCTTCGTCCTTTTCTTTGGGATCGGTAGTGTTCACAGTCCAGAGACCGTCGACGACGAACTGGAGATTCAGGTAAGTCAGTCAGCCTGGACACGCGAAGCAGATGATAACAACAGCTTTCTATGAGCAGAACGTGACGAGTAACAAGGACGTAAGAACGAAAAAGGAGAGAAATTCTGAGAGGTGAGGGAGATTTCAGGAGCACAGCACCCAAGCGCAATGAAAGTGGGCTTGCAGCGGGTTATGACATCTGGAGCGTGCAGGGGCGCAATTGTCGCAGGCACTCAGCCCGTCGACCCGCTTGCTCTTGTCAGTCACGCGTGAAAGCAAGGCAACTAGCTTTCTAGTTTACTGCCAGGAAATGAGTGCTGGTGGTCTTTCAATCAACCCTGCCCTGCTTTTCACAGGCGGTATGTCCGACCTGCAGCAATCTTGTGAGATTTTCCAGAATAGGATCACTTGGCCCCGAGGCAAGATTGCGTCATAAGTGGAACGGCCGGGGTTGCTTTGGGAGAAAGAGGGGGGAGGGGGTTGAACGGGTGGTGCAAAGCCGCCTGTGCTTCGCTGGTGGATTGCGACAGGTGAATTTTTATTTTTTTTGGGGTATGTCTGTCAGAGAGGCTCTGCCGCCCCAGGGATGGTTTTTCGAGCAACAGGATATGTATGCATCAAGCGATGGGAGTTAATCGAGCAGTGGGAGGGGATCTTCCAGTTGTCGTCCTGTTGGGTAGCTCTTCGCCATGTCCTTGTCCTCGCCATCAAGGGTGATGGATGGGAATGACTGAAGGGCTGACGTTGAATGCTCCCTTTAAGAGGGCTGTTATAGACACACCCGCGGGGACCGCCGTCACCGCCATCGAGCTTATTTTTTCCTCTTCTTTTCCGGTGGGCGTCGCAAATTGAACGATAGTGTAGTGTGTAGTACTTCTGCACCTCGGGCAAGCTCCCCGCCCTCAGTTGTACCTGTCGAACTGCGGGTGGGGGCAGAGCCGTTGGGCTGGGTGACGTCTCGCGGGCGTGCAGCAGGATGCGCAATTGGTCACAAGCCACGAGACTTTTGGCCAACGCACATCCCCCCCGGCATGAGGCGTGTGTCACGGAGGAAAGGAAAGTTTGAACAGGAGCGGAGCCAAGCGCGTCAATTGCAGAAGGGAGGGGCACAATGCGGACAGCCGCATGCAATCGAGACATGGTGACATGCACGAACCTTGTAATATATCTTCTCGGAAGTGTCGGGTAGCTCGACGGTCTTCTCAAAGGCATCTCCGTTCTTTGCCATCTTCTCGCTCTTGGACCAGTTGTCAAAGGTACCGGTCACGTAGACCTCCTCGGCGGGATGCGCCCTGTATGCAGCAGCAGCAGCAGCAGCAGAGAGCCATGTTAGCGATGCTGTCGCCAAAGTTTGATTCCTTTGTCCTGCGCTGAGACAACGTGGATAGAATCGCATTCCAAAGCCTCGCCGCCTTCCTTTTGAGACGGTATACCGCATCGCATCATGTACTCGCATGCGTGCAGAGTCATGTTGCGTCAAAAGATCGGAGGAATGGAATGGGGGACCCTCAGTAGGCAGCGGGCCGTGGCTTCGTTCATGCGGAGAGGTGGAGATCTGGACATCGTGGGCTGCGATGAGTGGACAGCACGTACCATCTGAAGGTGAACGAAACCATCTTGACTAGGATCCGAGGGGGGCCGGCGTCAGAAAGGATAGGATATCGAGATCGGAGAAGTTGTGGTCGTGGGGTTTAAAGCTCCAGGTTCGCGGCCAGTAAGGAGAGGAGACGTTGCGACGAAAAGGAAGGAAGGGGAAGAAGAAAAAAGTTCTCCCGTGGACAAAAAGTGCTAGGAAGGCCTGTTGAGTGTGGTGGTTGGCTGCAGGTGGTGGTGGTCGGGAACGGAAATGACAGTCTGTAGTGTGCTTCACTAGCTCCACAAGAAAGGTCGATCTCGGCCGTGTAAGTCGTTCGAGGGTAGGGTAGGTCCAGAACGAAACTTTGTCGTTGCAGGAGAGCAAATGGTTGTGTGTGGCGTGTGGACGAGTGGGGTATGATGCAATGCAGAACAAGATTGTGTAACCGAAAGAAAGCGGAAAGAAAAAAAAGAGAGAGAGAGAGAGAAGGGTGCGTGGGAGAGGAAATGTCGAAGGGGCAAAACGTTATGTGTCTTGACAAGATGATCCGCTATCGCGACCCCCAGTCCCAATTCCTGGTGGCTGACAGGAAAAGGATGCTGATTAGAGAGGGAGCTCTTCCATGTCTTCTACAGAGGGTCCAGGCGCAGGGACCACCCGCTCGCTGTAGGGTGGAATCCTAAACACGAGCCAGGGCCGGATGACGACCTTATCTCGTCGAATAACGGGGGCTGGTCAGTAGCATGCCCTCTGGAGTTACAGGGGGTTTAGCTGCTCCTGATAGGGCAGCTCAGGCGCCGTGGTCGAGTGCTTGCAGCTAATTCCACCCCCTCGGAGAGACCATCTGCTTGGCTGACAGATCGTTTGCGGCTACGGACCACAGCCCACTATGCCTCATCACCGATTCCGGTGTGAGTGTGTGCGCGAGTGAGAGAGGGAGAATAGGCGAGAAAACTGTCAGCCCTTACTTTTTACGCCCCTTCGAGTACCCAGTCAGTCATACAGGCAGCCAGGAGGTGTACGCAAGCAGTGAGTTGGTACATAAATATATATTAATGACACCAATCGGCAGCCAACCAGCAAGTAGCTAGTGCTCACGACAGTCATGCAGCAAGGGAAGTATTACAAGAAGAAATGAACAAAACAATTCTAATAAGAAGATCCTACCAGGGTCTGTCACTTTCGCTTGATGCAGGATCATCATTCAAAAGCAGAGAAAAGGCCCAACAGATTGATTACGAATACTTCAGAATACTCTCAAAATACTAATAACACCCTTTCACGCAGAAGTCTCCCTTCCCAGCACGCCATAAGGCTGCTCATCCTCCTTCCCCCTCTCACCGACCTCCCTCTCCCCCGTCCCCGGTGCCCCCTTCGTCTGCTTCAGCAGCATCGAGTGCACCGCCTCCCTTCCCGGATCCTCCTTGCCGCCGACCTCCACATTGAACTTTGCAGGGCGCCCCGTCATCCCCGGGTCTTGCGTGATGTTCGCCCCGTGTGGGCCCGAGCTGTCCCGGGTCCGCTGGATGTCCACGTAGCTAGGCGCTGCCTGACCCTGCTCAGACGAAGCCTCCAAGCTGCCGGGCGCCTCGTGGGGCTTGGAAGAGGCCAGGTTGGAAGCGGCCTCCGTAGAGATGGTGTTGCGTTTGTTGGAGGCAAACTCGCCACCTTCCCGGACGGACTCAGCGGCCAGGGAGTCTGGGGCCACCGCGCCTGCGCCTTCTTGGACCACGGGGGCGTGCTCGCCAAGGGTGACCTGGGGCCTTGGTTAGGTGTGTCTGGCTCGGAGGAACAGGGAAAAGGAAGACACTGGGTGCTTCTTGACTTACCTTGGTACCTTCGCTGGTGTTGTGGCCGACCATTTTTATTTAACTCTCGAGGAAATTGTACTGAAGAGGAATGTTATCGATATTGGAGAGGTTGTGTAAGCGAGTTGGACTTCTGAGGCCTACTGGTTGAATTGGTTGAGAAAGACAGAGAAATTGGTCCAAAAACCGTCAATGCATTCTCATTCATTGGGCTATTCGTCGTCACTCATATACTCGAGTCGAGGAGGCTCAATCATTGTGATGTCACAGAGGCTGCTATGATGCAATGTACTTCCATAGTACCTGTGGAAGGCCTCTTACGCCTAACTGTCGATTCGCCGCATAATGTGGAACCCAGATTATCTACATACCTCACGGAGTATTTGCTCCTGGATGTTCTTGACGATTAAAAACATAAAGTACAAAACCATCCTCGGCCATCAAGAACATTCTGTGGGTCTACAAACAAGTGACTTGTGGTGCCTTGGACGAGGTCAGCCCGCATAAACTTTCGCTCAAGTAGTGTGGCGTGTGTGGCTGCTCTTTCAGCAAAACCATGTCCTGAACCCGAACCTGTTGTCTTCAGGTCATTAGTGTGGGGGGGGGGGGGCAAATTTTCCCTTTTTTCCCCTTCTTTCATGATATGATCGTTCTGGTATGTTCATGTCTACAGGCTACTCTGAACCAAATCGCTCCAGGTTACATAGGATTTTGAAGTATGGTCTCTCATCGCAACCCATCTTCACCTGTTGTGAACGTGTAAATAGTGTAGACATTGCCCGCCACTCCGGTCTATCACCGGCTGCGGGCTATTCAGATGTCTGTTCTGCAAAGCTGTTCCGGAGCTGTCACCTGTGCTTCGCTCAACTCTGTTTGACAATCGAACTGCTTTCATCCAGAGAAACTGAGCATTTGACAGCACACCGTCCAATCAAAGCCGATCTAGAGGTCTTCAACATCAATGACACCCATCAGCACCACTACGACTTAGTTCCCTCTTCTCCCACCCGTACTCATCAGAGTGATCTTCTGTTTCTGCTTCTTCTTACCCTTGCCTTTGCCGCTAGAGCTGCCGGCAGGCGCCCCCTCGGGCGCAAAATTCTCTACGCCGAGAGCTTCCATTTCAACAGCCAGCTCTGCTGCTCCGAGCGATCCCATGAATTGATCATCTTTCAACCACCCATCATCCACTGCTGGTGGAGGATTGGCGGGGCCCAGTCCAGGCGACGGTGGCAGAGCTGGAGTGCCCCAGACTGTCTTTTGTGTTGATGGGCTGGTAGACATCGACGCGAGGGACGAGAAGCCAGGCCGAGGGTTTGGGGGCGTGGTACCAACAGCCCCAAGTGGCTGAAATTCGTCCAGATTTAAGCGGTCCGAATCACCTTCGGCACTGTACTTGACAGTGAACTCATCCATAGAGCTTAGGTTGGTTCGACCTGCGCCTCGGCGGTAGGCAGCGGATTCAATCCTCTCTGCTTGAAGCCGTTCGCGCTCCTCTTGGATCTCTTTCTCGCGATTTCTCCTGCGCCGTCTTTCAATATCATCCTTGAAAGTCTCTAGAATCTCCTCTGGAACAATGTCGGTCCAGTCACATTCCAGAAATGAGACCAGGCACCCACGGGGTAGGTGACCGAGATACTTTGCTCGCTTCCGAAGAGTATCATCAACAGTATTGCCAGTGGAGATGTGCTCGACTCTTGGCAGCAGGGTCGATGGGAACTGCGAAAAAGCGCCGTACTTGGTCTTGAGGATTCGTATGTCGAGGGGTGACAGGTAAAGATGGGGAGGGGAGGTATAGAAGAAAAAGTCGTGCTCCGTCTGCCGAGGTTGACTGGAGCCGGTGTGCTTGGATGCCTCTGCCAGGGCGACCTCGACCTCTCCGAGATCCTTGACTTTGTCCTTGGCAGCCTCGATCGCCTTTATAGCCTTCTGCGTCCATTCGCTGCCTTCATTAAAGAGCAGTTCGTCTTCCTTCTCCTGCTTGGTGAGTTCCTCGATTTCGCGGTCGTACTCCTTGGTCATATACTCGGTGGTGCCGAGCATGATCCTCGCGTAATCCAAGACATTGGCAGCAAAATGCCAGGGTATTGAGTCCCTCGAGTCCAGAACATCGGCCCCGCCTTCCCTGGGCAGTGCCAGTGTTGACTTGTCGTATCGCATCATGAGCCGCAGCACGACATCGTCCCCAGGCCGTGGTAGTGGGCTCTCCTGTCCAGAATAGAACCGCACAGGCCGCGTATCGGACAGGTAGATAGTATCGTCGCAGATTGGACACTTCCTCCAGCGCTGCTTCTTCTCGGCGGCAGTCGGCTCATCGCTCGTGTTGGTCTGCATGAACCGGGACAAACACGGAAGACAGAAGATGTGCCCGCACTTGGCCATCCTCGGTGCTACGGGCTCGGACAGGCAGATTGGGCAAGATGCAGCCTGAGACTCGGCAGAAGCCAGGACCTGGAGGACATCTGCCCAGTCGAGATGCTCGTCAGCATCGACAGCTTGCTTCGAATAATCGCCTTGGGGAGACACAATAAATCGGTAATTGGCGTGGACATAACGAGTCTTGTCGGCCGCGTGATAGCCAGACCCAGGACCCCAGGTTGGGTTGCGCCGATAGTTGCGGTTGTAGGCATAGTGATGATTCTCGAAGTGGGGGCGGGGAGAGGAATAATTCAGTAGGTGTGTGATGGAAGTCTGGCCACGGCGACTCGACGCGTTGCGGATCGCCCTTATCTCCGCCATGTCGTCCTCGTCTTCTTTGTAAGATGGCTTTTTCTGATTTCTGTGCTGCTTCCTCTGACCTTGTCCTTTCCTGGGTGCTGCGCTGGAATTCGATGGACTATTCTGTGTCGGCCGGCGGCTTGAATCGAAACTCGATGATGCAGTCGGGGTGAAGGGGCTGCTATAAGACGAGGGCTGAGTCGACGAAGACTTCCCGCCAATCCCGGAGGGGGTCGTCATATTCTGGAAGACTGTTGGTTTACTGGCAAAATCGTCAGAAGAGACCCCTTCTCTGAAGGTATGAGCGGGGTGGACAGCCGCGTACCGTACGTAACCTTATAGCAGAGGCAGTCAACGCCACCGCAGACGAACCGACCTAGCAGAACGGAAGCCAGAGCCAATGGAATACCAAAAAATGCGATAAGGGGACAGGAGACTATAGCTGGGATATCTAGTCGATATCACAACGATAAAATCCAGAGAAGACCAGCACAATTAAGGTCGTCAAATGTTGTTCCTTCGGTCAAGATGCCGGAGGCAACGGAGAGTCCCACGGGATAGCGCGCGGAAGCGGGAAACGCGTAGAGGGGTGACGTCGCTGATAACATCAAATGATAGAAGCTAGGAACATCAGGAGCATCGTCTGGCGAAGAACGGGGAAAGAAACTGGATCAAATGCAGAAGAATGATGGCCTATTGTAAAGGTGGACTTGCATACCCTACGGCGAACCGTGGGGTGATGTAGATAGGAAGAGAGAGGCAAGGGGATGAGGCCTGAATAGAGTCATCGGGTGGTTCACGGCGGGGCAACTCGACAAGCATCCATGACTTACTCGCCGGCTTAGTCATCCATACCCTCCGTGCTGCTGTGCTCACATTTCAAACTATAAGCTTCCCTTGTAGACTTCTTTTTCCCCTTCGGTGCTCATTTTTCTGATTTATATGCTCGTCAATCCTCTTTGAGATCAATATCCGAGTCCTATCAACTCTACAGCCAGCTCAGTATTTGTGCCGAATGACCATGATGACTATGAGCCAAGATCATAACCCCACATCGACCTGGCGGAGGCACTTTAAGCACTATACCGGGGGGTAAGAAAGGAGGAGGGGGGTGTTTGTACCTGCGGTAACAGCTCTCTTCCTGAGCTTCTCGTACAGCAAGCAGGGCGTGGCTCATCCAATCCCCACCCACTGCTCCAGGCATGTGGCCATCATTTGAGACTTGAGTCGACTCTCTTCCAAGAGTCAATTAAGTCTCTGGCTCACTCCCTCAACTGAGAAGACGCCTTCTTTTCAATCCTTGCTTACGTAGTCGACGTTTTGGTTGAGGTTTCTCGACGCAGCTTCTCGGTTGCCGGCACGCTCAGCAATAAACAAAGTAAGCTACTCTATGCCAAAGGTTGCAGCGTCCACGTCTCAAGCGATTCCTGATTGGCGCCACCCACACACCTTCCCTGTTTTTTTTTTTTATCTGCTCAAATTCTTGTTGTCTGCTTGTGCCAGAAGAGCATCATCATAAGAACGCAGCCTTGTCCCTCCGCCAGCATTACCCAAAGTCTTGGCATCAATCGTCTTGTCAGCCTCGTGTCCCCCAGTAAAGTTCCCACGCGATTTGCCAGCACAGAGCAAATCGTCTACAATGGCTGAGCAAGGCAATGAGCAGCAGCCCCTCCTTACGGATCAGCATGATACGGAACATGAAGAGCAGAGCACACCGCTCCACGCCACCTACCACAAGCGGCGGCGACAATGTCAAGGTCTGCTCGTCTCGAAGCAGAAGCACTACCTGATCATGGCCTTGGTTGCCCTCGACGTCTCCTGCCTGCTGGCTGATATCCTCATCGCCTTGATCGATTGTGACAGCAGGATTCAGGATGACAAATGGGTCCCGGACGTTCGTGAGGCCCTCGAACATGCTGGTCTCGTCTTCTCCTGCCTCTTTCTGGTCGAGTTGCTACTCTGTCTCTGGGCTTTTGGAATTGAGTGGGTGGCTTCCCTCTCTCCTGCATATCTCTGCGCTCTACATTACTTTTTATTTGCTCCTCGCCCCTAGCACGTCTTGTTAACGGTCGCCTAGTTATCTCAAGTCTTGGTTTCACATATTTGATGCCTTGGTCATCATCGCCAGCTTCCTCATCGACATCCTCACGCGTGGCGTTGTCGAAGAGGTCGGGTCTCTCGTGATCATCCTGCGGCTGTGGCGCTTTGTGAAGATCGTTGAGGAATTGAGTGTTTCGGCGAGCGAGCAGATGGAAGATCTTGAGATGAAGGTCGAACAGCTGGAAAAGGAGAACGCGGATCTGAAGGGCGAGTTAAAGAAGTTCAAGGCCTCGGATGGGGAGGAGTAGGTTGGGAGTTCGATTTGTGTGGACGGGCATTTGCCAAAACAGCTGGCTGGTACCCAGCGCCCCCATCATTTCAGCGCCAAGAATACCTCAACACGCCTCGGACCCTGGATTTTCCCCGAGCAGCATGCCCAGCTGCCGATACGAACAGACAGGCAATTCCCGGCTCGCGCTATACGCTCGTATTCACAAATGTTGTGTATGCACAATAGGTTGCAGCAGTGCACCGCTTCTCCACTTTAGTACCCAGACACTCCGATACTATTTTTCTCTACCCAACACCAGAGCTTGACTCACAGCCAATGGTTTTTCCTTCTTACTACTTCCTATCACAACAGGCAGATGTATAATTCGATTAATTCGGAGCTCGGCGCACTGAAAGATATCTAATTGGGCCTCGTCAATTCGAAACAAAACAGTGTTTCCGTATGGGCCAATGTGAGGATTCATCGACCAGGGGGTTTTTGATTACCTCGCTATCGATACTGTGCATGGCCACTTGCAGGACAGAGTCCCGGTTCAGATGCATGCAGCCTTGAACAACAAATGCATTGCATTTTGTGACAAGTCTCGGGCTAGCCTTGGAGGACTGCGCGGTCTGCCTGCTGTGGCCACTCATTGACTGGAAAACTCTTGCGCCCTCAGCTGCCATGAGCAACACATCGTACGCAGGGTCGACCTCGGAGGCCCCCGTGTCGACATCCGGCCCTCCATCCCATAGCACCCTCGCCGTCCACGTCCCCCCCATGTCCGTGGCCTCATTTACCTCTCTTTTTTGACTAGTTCTCAATCTGGGCTAGTTTATTAGTGTTCACCGTCGTTTTCTGGGGTTTCGACCGCCTGATCCAGTGGATCGCCGCCGGGGTACGGTAGCTCCTCCTTTCCCCAATGCAGCCTCTTGGTCCCTCATATGCACAAAGGGGTAAAATACAGCAGTTACTCTGATTAAGCTTTTATAGAAGCTTCGAGTGACCAGTCGTGACTACGCTCCTTCTTTCTCTGCTTCTTCTCCTTCTGCTCAGCTCTTTCTCTTTCTCTCTTTTCTCAACGAGACTTTGCACATCGCACTCGCCTGTTCCCAACGGTCTTTGTACCATCCTTTCGTTTTGTTGTTGTTCCAGGTCACGCTCCTCTCACCACTGCATATCACAACATTCTCATCATCAGGCTCGTTTTGATTGAAAGCAAATATTCGTTTACTACCAGTCCACAACAATCTTTGCACATAAGCAAACATCTTCACTCGTCATAATCATCACCACCGTCCATCCATCCAATTTCAAATATAAAATGAAGGCCACTATTTTCTCCCTGGCGGCCATCCTAGCACCCGCTGCCGTCCTGGCCCAAACAACCACCACGACCGCCTCCTCGTCGTCCTCGACCTGTGCCGCTGATTACATCGTAGAGAGTTGCTTGACCAGCACAGAGGCGAACCAGGCAGCCTGCGGTACACAGGACTACTCTTGCCAATGCGCTGCGTACCAGGCCATTGAGACGTGAGTTTGCCCCCCTTTCTTCCTCTTTGTCACAACAACCGTGACAGACCAGTGTCCCCATCCCCTTTTGTCTCGCTCTCTCCTGTTCTCCCCTCTTCTCTTTGCACAGGCAGAAGAAGGTTGCATGATGAATATCTCTCCATCTTGCAGCCGCCTGGTCAACTCACATATACTGAAAAAATACATCGAATAACAGCTGCTTCAACAACTGCCCTGACGACCCGCGCCAGTCTACCTACGAGGGCCTGGTCTCCCAGTACTGCGCCCTCGCTAGCCAGTACTCCTCGACCAACACTGTCGCGGCCACTTCCACTAGCGCTGCTGCCTCTGCTGCCTCTGCTGCCACTGCTGCCACAACAACCGCTACGGGCACCTCGACCGCAACCTCCTCGGGCTCTTCCTCCTCGTCGACTGCCAACTCCGCAGCTCATCTCGTCAAGGGTGCTGGTGGTGTTATGGCTGCTGTCGCAGGTGTTGCTGCTGCCTTGTTGTAGGCATCATGAATTAAGAGTGGGCTGATGGGATACCTGAATAAAGAAGACATGAATCACCCGGAATGGGTGCATGGGCCCTCCTGAGCTCGAACTATGAATTGGGTTTGATCACGTATGCTGGAGAATTGACTCAAGTGTATACTGCTACACGTAATGTTGATGGAGCATGAGGGATGCAAAGAGAACTACTGAATATACCATACACTACAGTACATAGTGTGTCTGGCTAGTGTCTAATACGATTGTTAACACGTTCGACCATCTCCTTACCCAGCTAATTAGATCTATTATCGTGTACATGCTGAGGCCTCGTTGTAAGATTCAACCCGGTGGGCTGAATGAGGGTCAGTAGTTATTGCTACACGTAGACTCTTCTTCTATGCCCGCTTTGTTGTTGACCTCTTCAACGGTCTTGCGATCGAGGCAGAGGTGCCATGGTAGGTTGAGTTGGTCAGGCAAGTCGGATGCACTCAGTACTTATTTACAGTAATTACCGAACATTCCTGCAACTATGCCATCGCATGGCGATCTCCCTCCCTCCCTCTTTCTTCTTTTGAAATTGTTGCTGAAAGCGTGCCATGTTTGAATTCCTGCGGAGATGGACACAGTCTAGACATCGATATAGCTGTGGACAAAAAGCATACGCCATGTATGAGCAATGCCGCGCTTGATTTTTCCTCCCACGCGGCATGTCTTCTTTTTCTTCTCTTTCCCAAATATTTTCTCCCTTCCATGGCCAAGCATACATAAGGGGCAAAAATTCCTCATTATGTTTATACCAATTCCCTATCGTCATACAAGTAAGTGGACTGATCGTCTTTCTTTGGCGGCAAGTTTACCCGCCGTCCCCACACCCAAATCAGACGCACAAAGAGGTGTAAGGCACTTAGTCACACACATCACGAGCACAGTCGGCACAGGAGACATATCGGGCTTGAAAAAAGCAATTGGTTTTATTTGTGGTATCATCTTCGTCTCGTCGTGTATGTGTTGGGTATGGTAAAGTGCCAGTGCAAGTACAAAATGCTACATAAAACGCTTTTCCACACTCGAGTCTAATTCTATTCTCTTGTGAAGCTCAGTCCCAACATCTGCACCAGTTCATTCTTCTCCAACAATGGCTTCATCTTTCATCCTCCACCAAGGGTGTTTTGTTGTACACTGAGACCATGTCTCGAGCCCCACCCAAGGGCAGCCCGACGGCCTGCCCAGCACCAATATGCGGAAGAAGTGGATAATAAAATCGGTATACGTAAACGTTCGTGGGCAAAAAAATGTTGAATCGAGAGGGATGAAGAAGAGTGTTCCCGGCGTATACGCACCGGCGCATTAAATAAAAATTCGTAGGCAAAAACGAAAGGGTCGAGGAAGTCATCGAGAGTGGCGTCTCAAACTCTTGGCTTGCGCCGGGCAGCAGCCTTGCCAGGCACCGGGGTCACAAAACTGACATGCCTAGCCTCATCCTTCTTTCGAGCACCGTTGCTTGTGCTGCCAGCATGTTGCGCAAGAGGGTCTTGCATGTCAATATACTCGATATCGACTTCAGCGATGTCAGACATATCCACGTCAGACGCATCACTAGAGGACGAAGCATCATCTGAATCATCCCCACCGTCGTCGCTCACCAACGATGGTGCGTTGTTACTAGTCGCGGTGTTCGGGCTGCGATCAAGATCCATCACATTGTTTTCAAGCACGCTCGAGGCATCTTCATCGGCAGCGGCAGTGACACCCGAGGGAGGAAGTAGAGAGAGGTGCGGCGAACGGCCCTTGCTGCTAGATGTACCCGACTCGGTTGCAGAGGCTGTAGGGACCGCCCGAGCAGGAACGCGCATGGCAGGAACACGAGATGCAGCCTGGGCACTGGCCATGTCATCCGACTTAGTATCCGGACCTTGTTCGCCTTCATCAGACTCGTCTTCACCTGGCATGATGTCATCCACGTCCTCCTCCCTAGTCTTCGCATCCTCGACGTGTGTCCTGAGGTCGCCTTCGAAGTTACGAGCGTGTAGTAACTGAGAGAGGAAAGGAGTCGCGGGTGAGGCAACGAAACTCTTCGAAGACCTCCAATCGACTCGGGCAGAGGGGGCTTGAGACGAGACCCCGGGGATCCTCGTGATCCCCGGCAATTTGCCCTGGTGGAACAACTTGAGCGAGGTATCGATGCGCTGGAGAATCCTTGCGTAAGCATTCTGCTCAGTCGTAGCGTCTGCTCTCGCAAGAGGATGGACGACGCCAGCGCCTTGGCCGGTGGTGGGCTGGGCTCCGGTGGTGGTCTTCTCCTCGTTACGGGCCGGCACGCTCTCATCAGCCGTTATGGGGACACCGCAGAAAAACGCAGCCTCATCGTGAGACTTGAACTCCTTCTTGTGTGTGATGCGCACGTGATTGATGAAACCCTGCGTGCTGCTAAAATCGTCCCTATCACACCTCTTGCCGTCGGCTTTCTCGAGGTGGCAGAAGAGCTTGACGGTAACGCCGTCGCTCCTCTTGAGGATACACGGTCCCTTTGTCTTGGGCGTCGCAACTGGTACCGGTGCCTTAAAGGCAACCTGGCCGCGCGCGACCCGTTTCCCGATAGTCACACCCTCGGACTGGCTATTTCTCGTCGATCGCCCCTCACCCACGAGTCTGGACGCGGCTGGAACCACTTGCCACTCGGGCACTTGGCCATCAAATTTGGGATCGGGGATAAGCCACTTGGCATAATGACGCGCATAGGGACCGTCCACCACTCCGTACGGTGGGGCCCATTGCGGTGCAGGTCCGCCATTCTTGCTCTGTACAGCTGGGACCTTTCCGTCGACGATGTCCAGCATCTGCTGTGGAGTAGGGCAGGTTGTTGGGTAGGGGATGAGGTGGCAGCGGCGAAGCTGCTCCAATGCTGCTTGACACTTTGCCAGCTCTTGATTTATGAAGCGGAGCTCCTGGTGTCTCAAGAGGATCTCAGTCCCAAACTGCTGATTTATGATATCGACTATGCGATCAGTAATCCCTGACGACTGTCTGAGTACGGTAGGTGGCGGTGAGAAATATTCCTTGCGCGCCGGCGCGGCTGGCGTCTCTGGTGGCGTCGCGACGCTGTATTCTACCCTCTGTCGTTTAAGGCCATCTTCATTAAGATCGTCGCGGCTCTTATCGTCATAAGACACCTTTCTCTTGAGTGAGCGCGCGTCGGTATTCAAACTGAGGGCGTCCTGTGGGTGTGACATAGTTTGTTGCGAGTCGACGTCCTCGTCACCCTGCGCGTCAGAGCTCCAGAAGCCAAACATGACTCACAAGAGAGACACCGATAACGAGGATAAGGCTAGGGAGTAGGATGGAACACCGAAGAAACAGAGAGTCACGCGTCCACGGCGGGCGACAAAGTTTTTTTAAGTGCCCGAATCTAGGGGCTGTGCAGATGCAACGGTTCAGTCGCTTGTCTTGTCCAACCCTGCTAGGCAGCCGCAGTCAGAAGTAGTCAAGATATACTTCCACAGCGGCCGGCGTCAGGTTCGTCGTCGCGATGATAAGGTAAGGAGAAGATTTGGTCGGTGTTCACGGTTGCGATCAGAGGTGGTGGCCAAGGCAACGAGTTGTCGTCAAGCGGCAACAAGGCTGACGTAACCGGGGTTAGAGACGACGCTAAAACACTAGCGTCGTTCCTTGGCTGCAGCTGCAGTCGTGGGGTGGGTCGGGTGGTCGGAGCTTGCAGTGCCAGGCACGGGTGAGCGTGGCAGGGCAGGGGGGGCCAAAGCTCAGGCAGCTGATGTGGCCAGTGCGAAGGACCTAACCAAACCGTCCAGGAGAGGAAGTTGAGATGTCGTCAGACCACCGTCCAAGAACGGATCGTGATGACGCGACAGCGAGAGATAGATAGCTGCTCTCGTCTGGTCGGAAGGTCGAGAGACGGTGCGCGACAGCTACCAAAAGCCTCGCGACGTTGTGCAACTCGAGATAGGATGCGCTGAGTGGTAAAAATGCGCGAGGATGCAAGAACACAGAATAATGATCAGGTGTTTCTGATCCTCAGCTGTCGCGTCGCTATTAGCTTCTGGGAGATCAAATATTGAGCAGGAATGAGATAGACAGGTTTGGGCGGGTGCTCAGGGAAAGTCGTGGATGATTTGCGACAACAAGTGTTTGACTTTTCTTCTTTTTTTTTTTTGCGTTTAAGTGGAGGGGGACGGGAGATGGAATGAATGGGGGAGGTGAATACTGCTTTAGGGATCCAAAAGGTCCCAAGTTTGGTTGTGCTGCGCAGAGGTGCGTTGGGGGCGAGGACAACCAGGGTGTGGGTGTGTAAGGGGAGATTGTAAAAGGCGAAAAGGGGAAGGCGGGAGATAGAGAGGAAAGTGTGAGAGACAGAGAGACGTGTGTGAAAGGAGGGAGTCAGTCAGACTGAGTGTAGTGTGTCAGACCCTATGCAGGGTGATTGACACGGAAACGGTGACTGGGACTGGCTGGTATGGGCGGGACGGTGGCCACAATCACATCACACAGGCTGTGACTGGGGCTGCACTGCACCCTTAATGCACCGAGCCTTGGAAAAGAGGAGAGACAAAGAGAGCGGCCAGAGAGGGTGGATATTGAGATCGTCAGCTTACCATAAAGTCAAAGAGGTCCTTCAATCGACACACGCTGCTCTGTCGCGAACAACCAAATCGATGGGATGGGTCCGGGTGAATAAAGGCGGAGGTAGAGGGAGAGAAGAGGGAGAGGGAGAAAGAATTAGGTCGGGAGACTGAGGCCAACGAGATCTTCCAAGAGAGAGGTTAGTATACGAAGACGTAGTGCATCTCACCGACCAGAGCAAGGAAAAGGGGGTGAAGGGGGGAGGGAAAAAAGGGAGGCCCTCGAACGGACACGAGACCGACCAGCAAAGAGAGTCCCCACAGCACGCCCACTGACTGGGCCACCTCGGCCGGTCGGATCGCAGCCAGAGCCGTGAACGTCAACTTGCACTTACTGACCTGATTTCTTGCGCTGTCGCCGCGTCCTCCTTGGTCTACTATACGTTGAAGAGAGAGAGGGAAAGGATCAGGGAAGGAGAGAGAGGGGGAAAAAAACAAGGAGACAAAATAGTTGCAGAGAAAGGAAAAAGAAACAAGAAAAGATCGTTGGATTATTCTGGTCTCTGGAATGGGGTGAAACGGGTTCGAGTGCTGCGCTGTAAACTGCCGCGAAAGTGTTCAGAGGGAACAGGGCACAAAAGGGCATTGACAGGGAGAGGAATGGTGGGTGGTGGGAATGATGTGAGACTGAAATTGAGAGTGTTGGAGGGAGAATGATGGCACACCCGGAGGTAGAGGGGGGGGCCGCCTGGCGAGAGTGCCTGGAATCAGGGGGATGGAGCCTAGGAACTTCCTGACCCCTTTGGTTGCGTGCTGGTGGTGGGTGGGTTACGAAGGGCGGGCGACCGTGGGTGAGCGAGTTGGCTTGGGTGCTTGGCTGGCGTGTGTGACACGGACTGGGAAGAGAAGTGGAATGGGATGGGGATCAATCCTTGGAAGCGATGGATCCAGTCTGCAGCCAGCAGGACCCGAGATTGGCCCGCACCGAGCTTGGCAGGGAAATGGGGGGTTGCTTTCCGTGCAGCCGTGTTGGGTTGGGGCTTGGGACTGTGTCCGGCGGGCTAGACGGCGCGTCCAGCTCGGTACCCCCTCTCTCTCTCTCTCCATCCCTCGTACTCATGGTAGGGTAGTACTATAGTACAAAGTCAAGCAAGGTAGCCCAGTCCTGGGTTGGAACTAACACCAGCAAACGACAAGCCAACAACAAACCTGTCCCATGAGTCGCGGCAGCGCTTTGGGCTCAAACCTAAACTTATCCAGGATATCGAGATGCAACCAAGTCATTTCCGGGCCTATCTTGGGAAAGTTGGGCGACAGTATCGTGGTGGGTGGGTTTCTTTTCTTCTGTTGCTCATCACATGCTGTCATTCGGTTGATCATCTATGCAAGGCAAGACTTGAACTTATCAGCCCTCCACTACGACGCTGGCACACCACACCACACATACCACACGGGCGTACTGGCGTACATGGTGCTGCTGCACAGAGAGTACGTATTTTACATAGTACACATGCAAGTCTTACTCTGCATGCTAAGAATAGGCAGGCTGCACTAGCAAACATGCACTTTCATCCTTCCTCACATTTTTCTAGATCAGCAAATCATACCCAAACCTTGACATTCTGCATTCAGGTCAGAGTTGCATTTATTCCCTGATCGCAGCGGAGCCAGCCCTTCCAATAAACGCGCAGAATGTCAACATGACTGGCTGGGCTGGCTGGTGTTTATTATGCGCCTAGCTCGGCGGAGAGTTTCAGGTGGGGTCCATCAGATAGTGTGGTACGTACCTCGATACAAGCCCGGCCATACTATGGATAGCGACCATCTGCATTCAGGAAAGTCTCTCATTATCGTTTTCAACCACATCTTGTGTCACAGCCAGCCCTCCATTTCTTGGGGTACGAAACACACATCAAGCTTCCCGTTAGCGGCAGATTATTATTTTTTTGTATACAAAATAATAAACAAAAAAGCAAATATGGCCAGCCTTCTAGGATACCACAGCAGATAGCCTCAGAAGATGGCATCCACATCAATCTACAAAGCAGAAGGACATGGTGGTGTCTTAAAACCTAATGTAGCAGCTTGAGTCGGGTGGGTTATGATTTTGGTATTTGTGGTTTTAAAGACCTGATCATTCGGCTTTACCTGCTGCAGCTCCGATGCACACAGCTCTGGAGAAGAGGACAAGGGCTCAGGGATTGGATAGTACTGACCAGGAAGCGAACAGCCCAGTGAGATATACTTCATAAGCCTATCAAAAGAGCTGAGAGAAACATGAGAACCCTTCCAAACTCTACCAGTATATGACCTCATGGTGAACAAAGTGTCTCAACACTGTCAGTCCTTTCAATCCTTTCAGTCCTCTTGTGCCAGCCTGCTTGCTGATGCCATGCAGCTCATTAAATTAGAGCTGATCCGATGTAGTTATGATAATGATGTTGAGGCTTGCGTCCTTAGCATACTCATGCACTGAGTTCAGGTCTTTTGACATGTGATTGCCATCTTGTCTGCATGCTGGAAAGAGAAAAGCCAAAGTTCTCAAATGATCATTACAAGTGAAGTGCTTGGCTTCATACTTGAGTCAGTATCAAACTTTTCTCTATCTAGTACATTTATCAACCAAAAAAAGTTGGTTGAGGGGGGGAAGGGGAATATAGGAACAATTAACAGCCTTTTCTTACGGTTGATAAGCTAGAATTCCTATGGTTACAAGTGGACCACAGACAGGCTTATCGATAAGTAAATGTATGTCAACAGCAAGCACCTTGCTCCTATCAAAATACTACCACAGCCCTGAAATCACACCTGCCATTGTCACTTCCTTTCCCTTCAAAAGTATCGTCGCCACAGAACCAGCAAAACATCATCCCTCTCCCGCTCCCCTCCCCCCCCCCCAGCTTATCGAGATTCCTGCACGTCGGCCTCGACACTACAGATCAGAATGCCTGGCTCAACAGCCATCTCCACCAACTGGGCACCACCTGGTCCCTCGAGCCCGTCCAATTCCTCCCGCGCAGGCAAACGCCGCCGCGACGACGACGACATTGATTCCGACAGTGCCGCTGCCGCAGCAGACCCTCGAGTCATCGACCTGACCAAAGATTTCTCCTCTCAGCCACATGCAAACCACCAGCTCTCCCGCAAGCAGCGGCGGGTCGGCCCCTCCACCTCCTCCATCCCGCACACCCTGCCAACGCAGCCCCACGAGGAGCTGCTCGCCGAGCTGGGCGGCCGCTATGATATCCTCACAGCCTCAGTTATCTCCTCGAGCAAGATCAACAAAAAGGTCACGTCCGTGCTAGCGCACCTGGGTCACGTCGACCTGTACAACCCCGAGAACAAGCCAGGCGTCATGATGCTACATGCGCGAGCGGGCGACGCGGGGAAGATGGTCACGGTTATGGAGCTTGCGAAGAGACGGATGGGCGAGGAGGGCGTGGCGTGGTACCAGTACAACCGGGTCTATGAGGTTGCTGGCGAGGCGAATACGCGGGGCAGAGGCGGTCCCAGCTCCCGCAGGGCCGCACGAGGCGCCAACCAGACGATAATCGAGGATACGGTGATGGACGGTGCCGAGCGGGACGATGATGGGGAGGAGGAGGATGAGGAGGAACAGGAAGCCTTCGAGCCCATACAGACGGCCTTGGACGTGGCTATCCGAGACAAACCTGCAACTGAGCCCAAGACCACCTACATGAGTATTTTCCTGTCACGGGTCCCGATCCCTGAGCTGCAGGCAAAAACTTCCATCACCCTGCAGACGAATGCCAACGAGGTTGGCAGTGGTAAGGCGTGAGCCTGGAGTGGGAGGGGGCATCTCGTTCGTCGTAAGATCAATGAACAACGCATAGCAGGAGGTAAAGCATGGCAACCTATTTTGATACCCATTTGGAGTGGCTTGATTACACTTTTCTATAGCCATCAAATTCACACGGCTGCTACAGTCATATCAAAACCTTTGTTTCCCCCCAGGTGACCTGGGGGCAATGCAACCACCAAGTACAGGCATTGCAATTCTAGACCTGTGGTAATGCATTTATACTTCACTGCAAGGTAAACAATTCTTTTCTCTCACATCCGTTATCGGAAAGACTGTATCGCTCTCTTGCATCTATGAGAGACAAGGTCTACGTGTACGTCATTCAAGTGCATCTGCAGAATTTATCCTTCAGTAGTGAAATTCCTTGCAGCCATTAATTACCGATTAAATGGCTGGCAAAACAAATACTATATGACCAATTAGGCGTTGGGCAACACCTAGGCACTAGGCATCAATCTGCTCTAGGTGTTGTGTTGCTGTTTAGCTTTAACATCAACATTGTATAGGATATGTGTCTGCTCAACTGCTTCTAAGTACTTAATATATAGCAATCCGGGCACTGGAGAGACTCGCCCACGTCTGGGCTGGTGACGACTGTAGAATGTATACTCAATAGTGGAATTAATTCACAGGGAATGAAGAACTATCCAAAAGATATTGCCGAGGTTATTGCAAGATATGCCCAAACCATGATTACTATGTTTTCATCTGTTTGGTCTCCATGATATATTTGCTTTTGTTTAATTACTCCTGGAGTATTTGGAAGAACAAGAAACAAAATGTCAAAATGACTTCAAGCTTCTAGCCTTCTACCCAGATGCACAACTTGACACGGAGGAAGAGTCTCAATACTGTTTACACTGATATCCGGTTCAGGCCAAATTTTGTGAAGCTAGGTGACAGACTTCCATTGTACCTCTTGTATTGTACTATTACTTGACGAGGGAAGAGGAAGTATAGACCAAATATTTAAAGCACTTAAGCAACTTAGGTGGTGACATACTCACGTCGGTCTACGACTATGTCATCAGAACTGTGCTTCGAATATGGCTTCGAAACCCTTGTGCCTGAAGCTGATTCCGAACCGAAATAGGCTGAGGCCTGATGTCATTTGTGCAACGGTTGCTCCATAGATCCTCAGCTGCCCCCAAAGAGTCAAATGGGTGATGACATAGGTGCCTGCGGTGTCCGTTGATCTAAACGTACTGAAATTAGGAGGAACGTTTGTAGCCATGTGCGGGTTAGAAACAAATTCGCATGATAATGGGTTTATTAAAACCTGATACTCGGCTGGGCAATTCCACTAGTAGGCATTCTTTTCTCTCCAGGTTTTGCCCGGTCATCTGATGTCCCTGAAACTGTTCATGCATGCTTCTTATGCGCGTATCTGAATAGCCCGCATGCATCCGAAGATTTGACGCATAGCATGTAGAAGCCCGTGCCTGCTTTCGAGGGTTGTCGCTGAAAGCTATTTGTTGACCTCTTCGAAGGTGAGATGGTAATCCCCATGGGATTTCCTGCCCTAAATTGAAGGAGAGAAGGGGGAGGGGGCCGGTTCTTTTTGACATATTTGGGCATGGCGCTCTTCATTTAGAGTTGAAGGTGTGTGATGCCCTGGCGCCCAATGAGATCAGCATATGCGCCTAGTTCTCTGTTGTGTATGCATTCCTCCGTTTCAATTTCCGCGCTGACTTCCTGTCCCAGGTTCTGCCACACTGCCCCCGACGTGGTCGATCCTTCGGGTGGCTTGATCTCCCAAGAGGCGGGCGCTCACGGCTCACAAGCGAGGCAACTGTCAAAGCGGATCCGTTTATCGCGAAGGATGCACGCAACTAAGAATCAACGGATGTCAATCACTTGAATATTCATGGCAGTTGATGGCCATTTCCATTCCCCCCTGCTTGGCATGCATAAGCATGCTTGACATGCATAAGACATTTGCATACAGTAGAAGGTTTTCCCAATGGACACCTTCTTTTTCAATGTTTCTTCCCTTTTTTTTCTTTCCTCTTTTTCAGCTTCCTGAGATCATTTTAGATCATCTCATGGATTGGTGGCTGGAGTGGAATTGCAGTTCCCGCTTCTTGTTCAGCACTACCCACTCAGAGCCCGGGGCGAATCCCATCCCCCATCGGCAGTGCAACCCATTCAGATTGTAAGCCCACATGGCTTGAATCCTTCGAACTCGCCGTTCCCACCAGAGATCGCCGGCGCTTGCTCAGTGAGCTCCTGGGCGGCAGCCTTCACTCGCCAAGGCCAAAAGAGCCCTCCCATAGGATCGTAAACCGTACCAGACCTGCAAAAGGGCCCTGCAGAGGGGACATATGCAGGGGCCTCCGCGTGCGGCTCGCAGGAGGATGCGTTTCCCCATCGCCTGCTTGTAGAAATTTCCCATCAGCTCCCCCCCCAAAGATGCAGTGTGGTGTCAGTCTCTCCCTCTTTCTTCGTAAGCAGATAGAAGAGAGAGAGAGAAGAGAAAAAAAGAGGGCAAATTTTCGTAGCCCTGTTTGTTGGTGATTTATCTCTTTTTGTTCTTTGTGTTCATGATCGATCACCGCCACCGACCGATAGCACAGGACGTCTCTTTTTCTGACCTCTCTCTCCCCTCTTGTGGTCCGCCCCGCCCCTTGTTTTTGGGTTTCAAGATGCGCCGGTACCACGTGCCTCGAGCTCGACTGATCTCTCCCATCTTTGCGCTCTCGCTCGCGTCGTTCCTCTTCACCACCCCGGTGTGTCATGCCTCGTTGACGGTCACGACGAGTGTTACGGGCGAGGTGATATTTGACCAGCAGTTCTGGGTCGAGTGGACGGGCGGCGATGCGTCGACGTACAAGGTCCTCGTGCAGCAGCAGGAGACGACTGGAGATGGAGCCGCAGTCACAGTTGCCAGTATGATATATATTTACTTTAGGCCGTCAGGTCCTCGAGCCGTGGAGAAGAGATATCAAATTGCTAATCGAACCAACTTGTGTCGCTGAATAGGTAGTACAACGAGTCCGTACTCATACTCATTTAATACTGGCGTGTGGAAGGAGGGCCACTTCGTCTTCATCGTAGAGTCAGACGATGAGCAGGCTGACTCAAATATCCTGACACTTGTGAGTCCAACCTACCCCCCAATCCATGTTCACTCCACGAGGTTGCGTATCGAGGTTCCCCGCTATCAGCATCTTCTCACTAACATCCTGGAACTAGACGAGCTCAGTCGACACAACATCAACGACATCCACAACCTCTTCGACAACAACATTGGCAGTAACGTCCACGACGTCTTCTTCCGAGACAACATCAACATCAGCAGCAGCAGCATCATCAGCAGCATCATCAGCAGCATCATCAGCAGCATCATCAGCAGCATCATCAGCATCATCATCATCTGCCAAAGCCAAGGTGGCAGAGACCGCCACCTCAACATCGGGAGCAGCCTCCGATGTTGCCGCCAGCACCGCCTCGTCTTCATCGGCATCGTCCACAGCCGATGCAGCCGTCGCAGCCACAACATCACAAGCCTCCTCTGGTCTGAGCACCGGCGCAGCGATCGGCATTGGTGTTGGTGTGGGCATCGCCGGCCTCTGCCTCCTCGCCGGGCTGCTCTTCTTCGTGTACCGGCGCGGGGTCAAGGCGGCAGCTGCCAGAAACCACCCCAAGGAGCTTGCAGGCGACGGGTCGTTCCATTCACAGCCGCCGTCGACTGCCAATGGGGCCTACTATAACCAGCAGACTGGGATGTGGGAGGGAGCGCCAGGCGACGACAGTGCCGTCTCGAGGGCCAGGTATGGAGGGGTAGATGTCAACAGCGCAATCGAGCTGAGCAAGGACCCGAACAGACCGTACCATGAGCTGCACCATAACTCGACCCAGTTTGCGGAGCTGGGTCACAACGATACCTCGTACTACGCCGAGTTGGCGGCTGCAAGGGAGAATACGAGATAGGGATGCCCTGCACGTGGGCAACGAGAACACAAAAGAATGTGCGGAGGTGCTTCCGTATTTAACTACATAATGCTTAGTTTGTCATGTTCTTGATAGAAACAGCGTGGAGTTTCTGGAGGGGGGGGGGGGAAGGACAAGGATGTACTGTATAGACAATATATACCCCGTTTCATCTTCACGTCGTTGATCGCGGGCATGCCGTTTGCTTAGGACCGCATTGTAAAGGGCTTTAGCAGAGACTCCACGGTGGCCACGAGATGGCAATGGCAGTAGCATCGCCTTCAGGGAGTAAGATATGGACTCGCCACTGCCCCACTCATTTCCACCTGAAATCCGAAGAGTCAGCCTTTGAGGGTGTGGATAGATAGATGCTGATCAAGCGCAAGAAGCCCCTTCATAAAGATCAAGTCGGCAGTCGGTCCACACATGACTGTGCAGAGAGCTACTGAATACAGCGTATGATTGTCGATAGCACTGCAATGACTGCTCTGAATAGTACTTTGTGATAATTTTTAGCCGTCAGATGATTTCGTCATTATCACTTTGTTCTCTTTCTCTACCACTGTCCTTCGCTCCGGCCTCTTTGCAGCACCATCCCCAGCGACATTGCATCCTTTGGGGGGGGGGGGGGGTTCCCCCATCCACTTTCTTGCTGTTACAACCGTCTTTCTTTTCTTCTTTCTTCTTTTTGCCTCCTTCCGAGGCTGTTCAGATGGCATGAAGCCACCATGTTACCTCTGCAACTCGCTCTCACCCTTCAAGCCGTGAGAGCGTTATGTAAGAATGAGAGACAGAAAGGACAAAGTAGAGAGAAGGGGGGGGGGGATAGTAGTGATGGGAAACCTAGGAAGATTGAGCATCGCAGCTCATTGTAGTGATGAATTGAACATTCAACTTAGCTCCTATGACTGTGCTGTCCGCCAGCAAATGCTCACATAGAACGACGAACTGTCTCCAACCTCAGCCGCTCCGTCGCTTTGGTCGACCCCCTCCCTAAGATACTTGACGCTGTCGGGGACAATGATCCAAGGATCCGAGGTGAACATATATATAGATAGAAGACCTCAAGGCCCTCATCGCTGTGCCGAGATGACCTCTCCGGATTTCCTCTGTTCATCTCATCTTACGTGTGGCTCTTTTCGATGTCCCATTCGATTGCTTGGCCTTTGAGACTCATGGCTGTGTGCCACTGTTCTTCTTGGAAGACTCTGCGATCCTCAGCCCGAAGTTGGCACATACAGCCACAAGCAGCAGAACTGCCAGCACAGTAGGTCCGAACCTGTCGTCGAACCCAGCCTGACCCCTAGTACGTATCGATTTCGCACGCCAGTGATACGTCCTGAGCGCATATATAAGTGTAGCGACAGCCACGCCGGTGAAAAAGAACGCAGAGATCTTGGCGGCCTTGTCGCCGAAGTTGAGCATGCCGACGGCCAGGGCGCCCACAATGACGGCGAAGTTCAGCCAGGACAAGAATGTGCGCTCGTTGGCGAAGTAGACTTTTGGTTCGACACGCGTGGGAAGTGCAATGCGCTTGCCTAGAGGTCAAGCCAGTCAGTCACCAGAGGGCCTAAAAAACAGGGTATGAGGAGCTTTTGGGAGCATACCTGGGGCGGTCTGGAGGAGAGGCTGGCTCGACATGGTGAGGATGCGTATAGTACAGAAGTACGAGAGACTGTCGACGTCGGTGTCGATGTCGTGGCGAACCTAGAAACGCTGGGCTGCTTGCGGTGGTCCTCGTGGAGGACAGCGAAAGAAAACCTGTGGTGGACGGACTCGAGACGCTACAAGTAATGGACGCAATTGATGCTGTGGTTGGATGTTAATTGGCGAATGCTGTGTACGAGCCGAGCCCACCTTGGGAGGAGAAAAGTTAGAGCCTAGAGCTAGAGTTACTCTAACATGCAAGTTGACGTTGTGAAATGGCACTCCAACCTACAGTAGGCTCAAGAGCTGGTGATGCGGTAAGGAACTTTGAACAGGGGGGCCTGGCATCCCAAGAGGACTTCACGTGTGTGGATTGGCAAGTCTGATTCGTCTGTGCTTCTTATCAACCTTATCCAAGAAGTTCATGCAGGGTCTCTGCAGTTTCCTCTGTCTATTTGCACGGCAGGGGTGTTTGCAGTACTCCCAAACTGCACCTGCAAAGTACATACAAATTTACTAGGGTGGACATGTGGCTGCTGGACAACAACGCGCATGCTCGGGCCGCGGCGCGATCCAAAACAAATCGCAACCTTACACCGTCACGTCAACAGACATCCCACTCCCTTGTGACAGGAGCTTGACTGCGAAACTGATTCAAGAGAGACTTACCTTCCATCCCGACTATTACAAGTCATCACAACTGCTCCTTTCCTACAAATCAAGGTATGCATGCGATTGATTGCTCTGGCTATTGGATATCCTAGCCTCTTCATACAGTAGCCAGGATTATTGACTGATGTTCAATACCTGCAGTCGGAATTGGTCATCCTTACCCCTTTCTGTTGACGACATCAATAACTGCAACCATGGCCGACAAGAAGGAGAATACTCCAGTTCGTCAGCATCCAGACAGGCCTTTCTTGTATTTGGACGTTTTAATCTGACCATATCAAATAGCCCATCGCTCTGAACCGTCTCAAGCAGATTGCCAATGATGTATGCCCGCTTCCCTTTCCCCCATCTCCTGTCAAACAATAACCAGCATCGCCGCTCCGTATAACACGTCTCTTACCAATTGTTCCTGGAAGAAGCTGATTGGAATTATTACCAGGCTTGCCAAAGTGCTCTCGGCAGTGTCGAGTACTATGACCATTCCAAGACAACGCAGTGGAACAATACCATTATCGTGAGCTCTTCTGTCCCACCCCCCCTGCTGAGAGCCAGCTCATTGGTGACGATCCCCAGTACTGACTGTCTTCCTGCTGGCTACAGAACAGCATCCTCCGCGCTGTGATCTCCGAGTCCACCCCTGAGAAAGCCTCTGCGCCCGCCTTCAAGTTCGCCATCAACAGCACCATCGTCCAGCATCTGGTACCAACGTCCCAGCTGAACAAGGCCAAGGGCACCTCGACCGGCACATCCACAGAGGGCGAGAGCAAGGATGCAGCCTCCGAGTCCGCCAGCACGACGACCGCGACCGCCACCGACGGCAAGCCGCACGTGGGCCGACGGGGTATGCATAGCGCCACGGGCGCCTACTGGAACGAGGAGACGGACGGTATGTGGAGCTATAAGTACGACGGCGAGGCCAAGGGGCTGGACGTTGTTATCATGCTGATATGGATCGCCATCTGAACCTCTGGCCCCAAGGCTGAGGTGCTATGCGGGCGATAGCGTATAATCAACGAGAAAATGCTTTCAGAACGACTGCGTACATTACCGCTGTGTGTTGGCTAGGTCTCGAGGGCATATTACCTACGATGGCAGCGCGGACTCGGCAAAGTCTGCTCATCATGCATGAAACGGAGTTTTGCCTTGTTGAAGAGAGATGCAAAGGAAGCCCCAAGACGTTCATGATCTTTTCGAAGCCAAGACACATTAAGAAGGACGGGTCGATTGGGCATGGCAGATGTAGGATATCTTCCATTTGTACAAATTCAAAAGCTATCATACACTATCGAGCAACGTGTGGATCATCCACGAGTGTCGCTCGCTCGCTATCAGGCCACACACTCTGCGTCGCAGACTACCTGCTTATGTGCTTTGTTGACTCTTGTAGTAGAACGCACCAAAACTCGCCCCATGGCCAATGGTGGCTGTTCTGCTGGAAGACTTGTCTACGAAGAAATTCTTGAAGAAGATGTCTAGCTAAGCGTGACTAACCCTCTTCTCTGCTCAGTGGGAGGAAACCGGGACTGAAATGCTGTCTCTTGTCGATGGCGATTTCTTTCAAAGTTTAACGTAGCAATTTTCCAAGCAAGCTCATCATGAGTTAATACAATGCAACGCAGTTGGCAGCATATGTGCATTTACATGGATGTCACCGATCAGATTGACTCTTCGCCCATTGCGCTTACCCTCGAAGGAACCTCTATGGGCCAAGCTCGCCTCTGAACGTTGGACTATCTTAGGTTTGACCAACGACCCCGTCGGCTCAGGTATTGGCACAGAAATATTTCCGTTGAGGATCGATCCATGTTGCATGCTCTAGCACAGCAATGTATCGTGCCAATCGCTCGTAAAGCATGTCCAGACAGCCAGCCTTGCTCAAGTGCGGCCTGGCAGGATCTCTCGAGACCACTGGGGGCCTGCACATACATTGTGGTGGGAGTTTTTGTTGAGATACGCATAATAAGCGAACTGATTAGAATCAAGCACAGCCACCGAGGTCATTGACCTCACTGGCGACAGTGACAGCGACGATGATGGCGGCGGCAGTACAGCCGCGACCACCGCGACCACCAGCAACAAACCACCAGGCGCGTCCCTTCCCTTCTAATCATGCCTCGTCGTCCTCCACCATCAATCCTACTGGGAAACGGGCTAAGCTCACGAACGCCCAACATGCGCAGGTCACAGCCACGACGCTCGTACCTTTGTATGTCCAGACTGGTGCCCGAGAAGCAGCCTCGAACGAAGCGCACGTGGGCGACGGCAAGCTCAGTAGAAGGTCAAACATGCCACCTGCTACAACTATGGACACAAGAGTTTCACGGGATGTCCCTAGCTAAAATCCATGCCGCCTCGAAGCGGCAAATTGAGTCTGACCTTGGGCTTTCTTGTGCGAACTTCTTTCACCAGCAAAGGAGAAGTGATCGTGGTCTTGCAGCGTGCATGGGGCCCTGACACTGGCATACGGCCTGCTGGATTCTTCCAGTCTCTCCAACTGACAAAACTATAGTACAATTTTCAGCGAGTATCTACTCGTTCGGCAAACCCAGTTCTCGGAGGGGCAAGCCTCTCTCTTTTCCCGTCCCTCCCTCTCTTCATAATCCTAGTGCAACTAGCATCCTACCCTTGAGCGAACAGGTTCATCAAGCTCACCTAACCCATCACACCGAAAGAATAGTCAGGGTTGCAGGTGCCCGGCCCATCAGCGCGGCATGTAGGCGGCAGGGCAGGCAGGTCTGTCACCATGAGGCGCATAACAGGACCTTTAAATGTGTCTTGGGTTACACCCGAACAGCTGCAAGACATGGCTTGAGCGGGCGGTAGATCGACAAGATCTATGTTGCTTTTCTTTCTTTTAAGGTTCACGCAGGATGCCATTGCCGAACGGCACGGCACAAAAACCTTGATCAGATCACCAACCATGTTGTGCCCTGGCAGCCTGGATGGCTATTCGAATCGCATTTCTGCACCCTTGGCGATCGCTGCCTGATAAGATGTTGAGGCTGATTGGCGACGTCTGAAACCTCGCGCGGCTGGCCACCACCGTCAGTGTTCGATGGCTATCTTTCAGTCTCGAGCAGCATCAGGCTCAGCACCTTTGAGATATCTCACGTGCTCAGTATCGACCCCAGACTCCAGACTTGGCTGTTCCAGTGGCTCCGTCTGGGGCGGTTGAGCGGGGAGTTGAATGTCATCCTCCCCGGCCGAGACCCTCTCTGCCTCGACCCACTTCCAACCCCCCCTCCCCACTGTCCCTGGAGTTTTAGGAAGTGAGTTGTGGGCCTGATGACGGTCACGAACTTTTGGAAGATCTTGTTGCCGCCAGGTTGACAGCCGCCCTGAGCCGCCCTTACTCCTTGTTGCATGGCGCAATCTCGCCACCGTCCTCGTTGTTTTGCTCGCGCGCTCGGAGCTCAGTTCTGAAGGAAGGCCTGCCTACTCTTGGGACTTCAGATACACATCGCGACTTCGACCAGCTTTTGTCGTCGTCCATCGTCCCGCCGCGGATACTGGCTTGCCGAGGCTGGAGTTCCCGTCCCGTGGCACCGGATCTGGGAACGGCCCTTAAAAACTCAGTATCGGAGCCATGCGATGTCTAAGACCTGCTTTGTGGAATTGGGACCGGGCTGAGAAGGGGAACCCCTAGGACCCTTGGACAATTTTTGGCGATGGTCCCGTCTCTTCAACAAAGGCAGACTACAATAACCTTAGCCGTGTACATTAGCGGGACATGCGGTGCTTCCGTACTTGTCTGACCATGCCGGGTCGTTCAACACGACAGTGTGGCCTGTGGACTACCGAAGACAGAGAGGCACATGGTACCATCCTGGCGGTCTGAGATGCTCCTACGGACCTGGATATGATAGACCTTCCTGTCAAGGACCGGACCAGATCAGACAAGAAGACTGCATCTGCGCCAGACATCCAGGCCCTGAATTGCAAGCCATCTCGAAACTCCGAGCATGTGCGGTCGGTCGTCGGCACGGAGTTGCAATCTAAAGCCCACGATGTCGGCCGAGAGAGGCTCTGTCCACGACTAGGGAACACCCAAACGTCGTTCTCTCTTCTTATAGGGCACTCCGCGTGCTCGGGAGAAGGTTCCTAGAATGATCTTCGCTTGTCTCTGCCAAGGTCTCGCCGTATTAGTCCACCCCTGACGCCCTTGCGACATCAAGCGGACGACCAACGGCCCGCTCACCTTTGGTCTACAGCGGCCAGCCTTGCACGGCTGGCGGCCCATCGTGGGAAGAATGAATCCTCGTGACTCGTGCGGAAGTAGCGCAAGCGCGAAATTGGGGCTCGCTTTGCACTTGCAGACTTGGTCCTCATGATCATCAAAAGAGGTCCAATTTTCTTCCATGCCCCGTTCTCACCGTCTTTCTCACTGGTTGATCGAAAACTGGGCCAGGTGCAGATTGTTTCTACTCAGAGCCTTGGATGAGGCAAAATCTCATTCTTTTTCATCCTTCTCACGACCCCCCCCCTTCTTTCTCTTCTCTTCCTGTCTTTTCCGATGGTTATCCTCTAGATAAGCAAGATTGATAGCTTTTCCCTGATTTTTGTACTTCTTACTTTTGAGACTCGTCTGTTTCCGAGTCATATCCGGCGACTACGCTGTGAACAATCTTTTTTAAAAGTGCTGGCGTCTCGGCCCCCTCCGTGTGGTTTTCTTACCTGTCATTTTGCTGCTACGCCCCCGAATCTTCTTCTTCTTGAATCGCCCACCCTGCGTCTCGAGTGGATATCACACCACGCAGCAGGCAAGCCTCGCCCGACTTCTGGACCTCGTGGTTCGTTTCTTTTGAATAACGCCACCCTCCATTGTTTATCGTCCACTTAAATTAGACAACGTCAGAGCCTATCTTGTGGTTCCTCTCAAGACATCTACACAAAATCATATACATTTCCTCCTCATCAAAGCATATTTCCCGGTTATATCCGCCCATCCCTTATAGAGACATCACGCATTTCGGAGCAGCCTCCACCCCATGATCTCGCTAGTGAAGAGACTACGGCTACGATTACAGAAACCCGACGTCGGTCCCTGACTTGCAAATTCATACGATACTCCATATTCGTCATTGGCACACCCCTGGTCGCCCCATACGATACAAATACCCGCTGGGCCTCCCCAGGTTTCTACCCCACGGTGGACCATCAGCTCTAAGGTTGTCGGCCTAGACTACACGATATTCCAGAAGCCAACAGAATCTTCCTAGCGGAGACAAAGCAACAACACCTCACGCTTACTCAACACAAAAACCACACTCGAACAACCCCCCTCCTCCAATCCAGTGTGCAACTACGTTACTCTCCAGTGACCATCACCCCAGAACATACATTTGTCGTCTGCGAACCTCAATTTGGTTTTCATCCTAGACCAAACGGCTCGACATGTTCGTGGAAGGCGTTCAGACACAGAGCCGAGGCTCGTCATACAGCCATGGCACGGTGGAGATGAACCCTAAGGGGTTCACTCCACGGTCGAGACAGAACTCTGGTGTTTTCACCAGGGAAGACCACATGGCCATGGCCAGAAGTATGCACCACGGCAGAAGACCACCACAGCGGTCACGAACCACCCACGAGAACATCCCTTCGGGACCACAAGTGCTCACATTCACAATGGCACCTCCGCAGGCGCGCTACCAGACACCAGCCGCACCTGCACCTGCACCTGTCTCGCCTATTCCCTCACCGCTAGGGGCCGAGGTTGAGAGCACCTCGGTCTCTTATCCCACAGAGCAGCAGCAGCAGCAGCAGCAGCATGAGACCTCTGACTCGGTCGCACCACTGCCGAGCGGTCGGCCTGCCCAACCTCGACGGCCAAAGCTAGGACCACCACGCCGTTCCTACTCGGTTATGGACTACGAGCCAGTGCCGCCAGAACAACGGCCAGCCTCGGGCCCCCTCACACTCACGACGCTGCCTCCAGAACTGCACTTTGCCATCTTTGACCACCTGGACCCGATCGACGCAACGTGCCTGGGCCTGACGAGCAGCCACTTCTACTCTATCCACCGGAGGATGCACGGACCCGTCCCACTGAGCGTCAGGCGCGACGGGCCCAACGAGCTGGAGTGGGCCTGGCACCGGGCTGCGTACCCGACGCCGTCCATGTCTCTGTGCCCGAACGCGGCCACCACGGGCTCGTTGGGTCTGGAGAACGCCAAGGCGGGCCACCTGGCAGCGCTGCGGGTCCGCGGCAAGGGCTTGTGCAGGAAGTGCGGCACCAGCAGATGCGAGCTGCACAAGCACATTGTGGAGTGGATGCCGGCGGACTACGAATACTGCGCGGTGCGGGACAAGTTTGTGCCCCGGCCGGGCGAGGAGGCGAAGGCGCAGTGCTATATGAGCAACCCGACCAACACGACCCGTTGTGGACGACACCGCATCAGGAGGGACAAGACGCCAACGTCGTGAAAACGCGGGCGATGAGTGCATTATGGGGAAGGAAAGAAAGGAAAGCGAGCATATCCATGATTGGCATTGCCAACAGCCACGTGTCGGCGTGGGTTTTTTTCTCTTTTTTTTTTTTCTTCTTTCCGTCTTTTATTTGGGACCTGCACAAATCATTAGCTTCGCATTGCGAGATATTTGCCCTAGATGAAGAAGGGAAGGCATCACAGGAAGAGCATTCCAGAGCATCTCGGAAGAGGGCACAATTTTCTTTTCTTTCCTTTTTTCTAAGATATGATACCTTGGAAACTCTAGGCGCATGGGGAATTTTTTCCAAGAAGGATTGTATGGGGGGAGATGCGAGTGTCTTTACATAAAGAGCTTGTCATACATAAATGCATTCTTCCAACTCAAAGACAGACATCATCTACACAGCTGATGTAGATAGATGAAACTTCAAAGATCAATGCTTGACGCTTTGGACAGACGAAATAGTCGGTGAGTATTAGTAGTGTTCTGTAGTTATTTCGCAATCGGTAACTCGTTCGCAACTTGCATAAAACATAATAGATGTAAGAGTTATTATAAATTATAATATACGGCGCACAAGCATTGTATGGAAGTAACGATGCGTCGTCAAGTAAAAAAAAAAGAAGAAGAAAATAACCGAGACACTTTGATGTGAAGTCACCACGTCCAATCCCGGTGTCTCGGGACAAGACGGACAGAAGCGACCAGAAAAATCCCACGCTGCCACGCTGCACAGCCAAGCGGGATGGCAGCAAAAGCGTGGGGGTAGAGCATACCACACAACATGCCACAAGAGATCCAATTGGACCCTGGTTGGCACTACATGACATGACCGATGATGATGAGGATGAGTTCAGTGCTGCTGATGCGAATTGACCACGTCTTTTCTGACATGGACTGTGAGATCCTACGCAAAGCAGGGATACGCTTGACCGCGCTTTCTTGACGACCTTTTTCCCTCTCTCTCCTTCTTTCCTTCCCTTGTCTCTGGCCAGACGTTTGAAGCACGGCTACCTTTCCCACCATAGTAGTACATAGCAACTTCGTCTCTTGGCATGGTACGTAACAGAATCTGCCCCTTCCTTTCTGGTCGTGTATCTCTCTTTCCTTCTGACTCTTGGATAACGTAATCTATCTGTTCTTTTGATCGCGATTGCTCCCTGTTCTCCTTCTCCTTTCCCTCCTCCTGGTTTCTCTTACTTGCTCTATTCTTAGCTCTCTTTAGATATAAAAAAATAAAATAGTCAATTGGCGATAACTTGAGAGGATCGACAACAACACCCCTCTCGTCTTGGAAAATCTGGGGCGGCGCGGTGACGTCTTCCGCGGTCTAAATTAGCGTGCAGAGAGCTTGGGCCTCCTAAGAGAAAGGGGAGAGAGACACACCTCGAAAGCTGCTCCTAGCAAAAGCAGGAAAGCAAAGCAAGCCAGCATCTGGTTTCTGACGCGTTCTACCCAGAGGAAGAAGATAAAAAAGAGAAATCAAGGAAACGGGAGGCAGCCCAGAGCAGCGAGTCCACAAAACAAAAGACATTCCATTCTCTCAGCGTGGCTGCGAACAAGCTACAACTTGGACGACGTGTTTGGTGGTTCAAAAGGAGGACGACGGGGAATCTTGACCCACCTAAACTTGAACTGCTCCATCTTCTGCTTGACAGATTACTATAGGCGCGCACGAATCTCGACCCCCCTCCCTCCCTTACCTTACCCTGCCTTCCCAAGCTTCGTCCATCCTCTTCTTCAACTCTGGCTACAGCTCGACTCGATTCGATTCGATTCGCCTCGACTGGGTCCTCCTACCATACCTACCAGCTAAACCCACACCTACGATCCACTCCGACACGGCAAACGGGCAACGTGGGCATCGCACCTAAGTATCAGTCCATCATACCAAATTATCCATCCCCTCCACATATTTATCAAGAAACAGCTGGCTGTTGGGCAATCACCACCTTCAACGCTTGCAGTAGCAGCAACATCGCGTCTAGACCAGCAAATCGTTCTCATCCTCTCGTCCTCTCTTGGCATCCTGCCCTCTTTCTCCGATCCCGATCCAAAAGACGACAATGTCATCGTCTAGCACCTCCAGCCTCGGCGGCAGCAACAAGCGCAAGCGCGGCGCCCAGCCCCCAGCCTCGGCTGCGGCCATGGACGTCGACGCGCCCGCCTCCATACAGCAGACCCCCGAGTCGCGCGATGCCTCAGGCGAGGAGGGTGACACAACGGCCCCAGAGTCTGCCGCGCCTTCTCAAAGCCTCGGCCACCGCAAGACAGACTCCTCCGGCTCCGCGTCGCAGCAGCACCCGCCCAGCAAGAGGCAGCGGGGCGCAGACACTGCTGGCCAGGTCGTCGACCCGGGCGAGCCCAGCGACACCACCGAGGCGAGTGCCGACATTGCGGACCGCGTGAGCACTCGGAAGGGCGGGCTCCGCGCCAGGGCAGCGGTCAACAGCGCTGCCGCCTCTGAGGAGGAGAAGATGCCGCCGCCGCCTATTGGGAAGCTGACACACCCAGAGGGGTACACCACCAACCCGCCGCCTGCGGGCAGGGCGGTCAGGGTCTATGCAGACGGCGTCTTTGACCTCTTTCATCTTGGGTGCGTGGCTTTCTCTCATCTTGTTTTTTTCTTCGCCGAGGGGGGGAAGGGGAGAAGGGAGTGGGTGTTTGTGGGCCTAAGGAGGGGGAGAAAAGGCGGGGCTCAAGGTGTTGAAAGGAAGCAGGACCGACCAACCGACTTTGCATCTCTCTCTGATCGTTGCTGTAAGCCACAGAAGAGCTAACCACGTGCCCTTTCATGTTACAGGCACATGCGCCAGCTCGAGCAGGCCAAGAAGGCGTTTCCAGACACATACCTGATCGTGGGCGTGACCGGTGATGAGGAGACCCACAAGCGCAAGGGCCTGACCGTCCTCTCCGGTCGTGAGCGTGCCGAAACCGTCCGCCATTGCAAGTGGGTCGACGAGGTCATCGAGAACTGCCCCTGGATCGTGACGCCTGCATTCCTCGAGGAGCACCGTATCGACTATGTCGCGCACGACGATCTCCCCTATGGCGCCGCAGAGGGTGATGATATTTACGCGCCCATCAAGAAGGAGGGCAAGTTCTTGGTGACGCAGCGGACCGAGGGCGTGAGCACCACAGGCATCATCACGAAGTATGCCACCTTTTTGCTTCTTGCCTTCCTTGTCATAAATGACTTACTTATATCTTGGATGCGTGTGTTCTTTCACATGTGTCTTGAGAGAGACACCGGATTGTCAGCTGACGATGATTGTTTTTCTTTTAAAAAAGGATTGTTCGTGACTACGAGAAATACATCGCCCGCCAGCTGAAGCGCGGCACCTCCCGCCAGGAGCTCAACGTCTCCTGGCTCAAGAAGAACGAGCTAGACCTCAAGCGCCACGTCCAGGAGCTGCGCGATAACATCCGCTCCAACTGGTCAACCACGGGGCAGGAGCTCGGCAAGGAGCTGCGCCAATTCTGGCCGTCCAGCAGGCCTCAGAGCCCAGCCCGGGTGCCCGCCCTTAACCCGCTCGCAACTGCGTCCACCGCCGGGTCGTCCTCCAGCGCGCTCGCCGGTGCAAATGGCAACGGCGCTTCCCTCCTGGACAGGCCCACCAGTCCTTCGTCGATACTGGGACCCAGGTCTCCTGGTGCGGAGGGTAGGGCAGGGCTGGCGAATGATTTCATGACGGGGTACACTATTGGACTGATTGGAGGTGTGAGATCTTGGGTGAGTAGATATGATCCTTCCCTCACCCTCTTCTCGCCTTCACTCTGGCTGGTTGTGAGGAACCTTGGCATTTGTGTATGAGACTTACTGTCAATAGATGACCAAGAACCGCAGGAATGTCCGCGACAGCAGGCCTCCGAGCGATGACGACTCCGACGAGGAGCGTGGGCGCAAGAGAAGCTCAAGGGGCAGCGCGGATACGGCCACCGCCGAGGCGACGACATGAGACGCGCAACCGCGTGTGCGTGTGATGGGCACAGGTTGGCTGTTTGACTGACTCCCTGGGTCTTTTGATCGCCGACTCTCCTCCCCTTTCCATTCTGACACAGGTGCGTCACTTGGCCAATTGATGGGACCGTTTGTATCTGTGAACTCGAAGTACCAAAGGAAACAAGGAAAACAGTAGATCAAAACATGCACCATAAACGACACAGGAAGGCGGGCAAGAACGGGTAAGGCGGTTCCGGCTCGGGGAAATACATAGACTGACTGATTTCAATGAGGAGGGAGGACATCGGACTGAAAGGAAGGGGTGGGGGGGCCTCAGGGCCCTATCAGCGAGGAAGAGAAAAAAAAATCACAAAAAGAAAAGACCAGATGGGGTGGGTAATTCCGATACATGCGCCGGTTGGCCGAGACGTCCATACAAGTAAAAGACATCCATTACCTCCTACCTATTTTAGGTACTTGACTTACCCACTTCACCCCTTTCCCTTGTATCAACCTCTTCTGGGAAGCGTTGCCGATGGTTTTGGTTAGTTCTACCAATTTCTATATACAAAAATAAACTAGTAGATTTTTCCTACCATTTTCGCAGTCAGTATCTTCCTTATAAATCTGTCTTTGTATAAAGCAAACTTAGTGGTGACTTGAAACGAAGACCAACAAATCTGCTCGCTGAGATGATAGGAAATGTATTCGTCGCAGGTATGCAAAGCCACCTGTTGACAACTTGTTGTTTTTGAAATTGAAGAGTGTCAACCTCTCATTATCCATTGCTCCCTCAACATATGGAGGCGAACAACGGCAGTGCTTATCTCCTCTTTCTGTCAAGATACTCTCAAGAGAAGAAGCAGACACTTTAGATGCCCCGTAGCACTGCACTCATCAACCATATGGGCTTAGGTTTACCAACTCCGTGGCCTATCGACGTGAGGAGACTGTGGCTCATCTTGTGCGCACACGTGTATGCGCGCACACACAATTTTCAAGTTGACGAAGATTGCCTCTTCCCAAAGTATGCATTGTTTTTCCTGTCGGACCAACCGACAGCTAATAGACATCCAGCTGAGAAAAAAACTGAAAAAAAAAAAAAAAAAAGATGCAGCAAGACTATTTACCAACCAGGTTATCATCCTGCTTTCCCAATGATCCATTCCCCAACCATACAATCGTTTTGATGCAACAGTGAGAAGGATAGAGTCTATCAATCAAGCTCAATGTCAATGTCCAGGTCCAGAGCGCCAATGATATCATCATCAGTCAGCACCTTGTGGATCATCGGGATGCCCTTGGCGCCCTTGGAGCCGGACTCTGCCTCCTTCAGCTTGGCCAGGTGCGGAAGGACCTCGTTGTCCTTGGGCTTGGCCCTGGGCGTGCCGTCGGCGGCGGCGGAAGGGGTCGGCGCGCCGCTGCCAGCCAGACTCGAAGACTCGCGTGAGAGGTCGCCGCGCGCGACCGCCTGTTCAGCCTCGCGCACTTTGCGGCGCTCCGCGAGTTGCGCCTCGCGCACCTGCTTGGCGTTGCGCTGCCGGTTGAGCGCGTTCTTCTCGGCCAGGCGGTCCTGCTGGCTCGGCTGGGCAGGCTTGACCGGCACGTTCTTCTTCAGCGTCGTCTGGAAGGCAAGCCGCGGCTGCGGCATGTTGTCGAGCTTGTCTTGGAGCTCGGTGGCGTGCGCGGTATTACCGTGCGCCAGAGCCTGCGCCAGGTCTCGCTCGAGACGCGCGCGGTCTGCGCCGCTGAAGCGGTCCATCAGAGCATTCTGCCGTCGGAGCTTCTCGGCGACCTCTTCCTCCTTCCAGTTGTGATTGATGAGCTTGTTGATGTCGGTGGTCTTGCGCTCGAGTTCTGGCTTGCGAGGGATGTTCACGCCCTCATTCTTGCAGACGACTTGGTATCTGTTCCACTCGGGCTGTACTGTCGTCAGGAGACACCCTCCACCACGCAGAACGTGGAAGCACTCACCTCGGTAAAGGGGCCTTCCGAACAGGCAATGTATGGCCACTCCCTCTCGGCCGCGCCGTGAGCGGCTATTACATACTGGTCCACAACAATCGGTTTTCCGCGTTCGTTCTCAATGGCATACGGCCGTCCGGTTTTGAAGCCTGGGAACCTGCTTAGCTGCTGCTCATCATGTTGTGAAAGATGGGTAAGAAAAGGTTTGCATGCTGAACTCACCTTTGATCACAGCCATGCGATAGACAGGCTGGCCATTGTCCGGATTAGGCCCGATGTGAACACGGATGTAACAACCAGTCAGGGCACTCTCGAAACCGGGATAGAAGGCGACGCGGGCGAAGCGGGTGCGGCTGAGGCGGCATCTCTCGACGTCGCGCAGCTCGGCCAGCGGAGCCTGCTCGGGTGGGGTCTTGGACCTCTTCTTCTTGGTCGTAGCCCACTCGACGTCACTATCGTCCGAGTGCCGGCTACGGCTTGAAGTGCTCCGGTATGAGGGGGACCGGTCCCGGCGGCGCTCGTTGTCCCTGCGGCTTCTGCGGTCGCTCTTCTCGGCGCGGGCACGCTTGAGGGCGTCGAGACCGGGTTTGGAGCTGGACTTGGCCTTCTTGCGCGCGCCTTCGTCCAGATCGGCGTCGCCACCCTTGCGCTTCTTTTGCTTGTCCTCATTGTTCGTGACGAGGCGTCTCAGCAGGGCGGCCTGCCGCAGCCGCTCCTTCTCGGCCTCGCGCTCTGCCAGGATCTGCTCCCGGTCGACCTCGCGCATGCTCATGATCTCCTTCTTCTCAGCGTGGTTGGCGAACAGGCCATCGACAGGGTAGGGGTTCTTGTCGTCGTCCTCACGGGCCTTGGCTGGGGAGCCGCCAGAGTCGTCGTCAGAGTCGGATTCGTCCATCGCCGCGGATCCCTGGGAGCTGGGCGTGCCGGGCTCGGAGCTGGTGGGCGGTATGACAACTTTAGCATGAGAGCAAATGGGAGATGATGATAGAAAAATAGCCAGAGGATTTGAAGCAGGTAGGGGACAAAGAAGGCGAAAAAGAGCTGGGACCTGCAATGTTGCGATGCGACAAAGCCGAAGATGGTCCAACAAGGAAGGGAGTGGGCAAACTCACGCTTCACCTTCATCGTCCGACTCTGCACTGTCTCGACGCTTCTTAGCCTGTGCCTTCTTGTTTACAGCAGCCTTAGGGGGCGAATCATCTGCAGTCCAGGCGCTCTGGGACCGAGAGCGCGACCGGGACCGCGATCGGGAGCGAGAGCGCTGGCGGCTAGGGGGACGAGACGCATCGTCATCGGAGGACTGGGCGTCACCACCGGCAAGAGCCAGCAGCTCGTCCTCGACGTCGGTCATGGAGTCAGACATGATCGACTCGTGGTGGTGATGTATGCGTGGTGGTGATGTATCAATTCAAGGAGGGGTGTCTCAGGCCGTGGTAGGAGAAACTTTGTTGGTGTTGGGGCCTGCTTTAGAAGAACGGAGCGTAGCTGGTTGTCGAAACGGAAACGCGGTGGTTTGACAGCTGGGGAAGAAGATGGAGGACAAAGGAGGGGGAACGCGAAGTGCAGAGTTCGAGATGGCCAGTTCTAGAAGTAATCAGATATTGGACAGTGGCAGTAGACTCGACCAGGCCATAATTGGCGAGTTTAGACGCGGTTGGTTAACTGCGGTCAGCTATTGTCTCCTTAAAGTGAGTATTCGGACAGTAAGTGGCAGGCATCTCCGGACTGCATGTCTTACGTAAGTCAAAAAGTAACTTTATTACGTTCACCCTATCCATTCTCTCTACAACCCCTCCCCCCTAGCCCCATCCACGCCCAGCCCCTTCCTCAATAGGCCAATTGCCCACGTACCTCGTCCATTAAAGTTAAGAATGCTATTATACAAGAAGCAACTGACTGTTCGAGTGAGGGAACAAGGCATTCGGGATTCCCAACTACTGTACGCAGGCTATAAAAGACTGCTGATTGAATTTGTATCTTTCGTACCTGTCGAGGATAAATACATGCTGCCTTATCTTATCATGCCGGAGTTCCCTTCTTCATAAGCTCAGGTGATGGGGAAGGTTATGTTCTTTTTTCTTTTGCACCATGAGTGATACGCATTTGGAACTGATACGAGCGCTCTTTGGAATCCAACAAGGTGATGAAATATATACTCGCACGGGAACAAGTCCAGCGAGCATGTCCAGCCAAGGCCCGCCAGCCCTCGAGATCAATCCACCCTTGGTGAACTCAGCAAACCCCTGGGCCACCACTCTTCAAGACCTCACAGCCTTATACAGTTGTCCCCACACTGGCGCTGTCACCACACGGACGTCCCTCCTGGGGAAGGGTTTCGACCATGACCCCTCAAAGCACCAGTTCACGCTCTTCAGCGTCTCAACCCACCAGTCCAAGCAGAACCGCTGCAAGCTGACCGGGCTCGAGAACGCCAGCCTCAACACCCTGGGCTACAGTCCTCTGCCGCTCGAGACATATCTGGGCTTCATTCAGGAGATAGCAAACACATCACCACCGGCAGCACAGCAGCCAGGAAAGAGTTTCATTATATCCGTGACAGGCACTCCTACCGAGGTCGCCGGGTGCTACAGGCTCATCGCCGAGGCACAGGAAACCGTGCCAGTTCCCCTGGCAATGGAAATTAACCTGAGCTGTCCCAACATACCAGGGAAGCCCCCGCCGGCATACACATCGGCGGGTGTGCTGGAGTACCTGGTGGAGCTGCGGGCAGAGGCAAGGCGCGGTGATGGACTGCGGCGCATTCCGTATGGCCTGAAGACGCCACCGTACACGCAGGCCAGCGAGTACGATGGGCTGCTGCTAGCGTTGAAAGTATCAGCGGAGGAGGACGGTATCTGTCCTGTCTCGTTCATCACCGCGACCAACACCTTGGGCTCGTGCCTGGTCTTGTCACACGCGGAGGCTGGTGCGGCTGGAGAGGCGGCCCTGCCAGGTGCTGGAATCGGGGGGATGGCCGGTGCACCGCTTCACCCTCTGGCGCTAGGAAACGTGAGGAACATCCGGAAGCGGCTTGACGAGCACGACGTGGAGGGTTGTCGCTTGAGGCATATTCAGATCATTGGGACGGGTGGTGTCCTCGACACGGCTGGCTACAAGAGGATGAGGGCTGTAGGTGCCAGTTTCGTAGGCGTGGGGACGGGACTGGGCATTGAGGGCGTTGGTATATTTGAAAAAATTATGAAGGGCTTATAGGTAGGGAGCTTCGATTCTATCTAGAATAGATCATCGATGGCCTTGTCTGCATCTTTCGCAATGAGTTCCCTCATTCCCTGCCGGAAGAGTTAGTCCTGGGTTCCAAAAGCTCCAACACGTGCAGCCTCGAGACCTACCTTTGGCATGATGGGTTGTCCATCTTCACCCTTGACATATCTGAAGGGCATCTGGGTGCTCTCATGGTCGTTGATTTTCAGATCCGGGTGATCCAGGTACTGGATCTCATTGAGTGGGACTGTCGAAGGTTTTCAGTGACCAGTCCGGCGCGATAACATATCTGGTAAAAAGGAATGGATGAATAGACTCACTCTGCTGCTGGATGACTATCCGAGTGACACGGACCGCCGTGTCTGTGGTCATTTGCACCGGACCAAGGCGTCGTCCGGGAAAGCCCTTCTTCCTCAACTCGGAGGTTCGATCTGACCAGGTCAGCAAAGAGGGTTTACTTCTCGTGATTTTTCTCGATTTGGTGTTACGTAGTCCTACCTCTTGGAGGATCATCACCTACATGCACGTTAGTAATGTGAGGAGAACAAAGGTAACACAACTTCAAAAACATAAGAAGAGAAAAAGTCGGAGCAATGACTCTGTCTTGGGGTGTTTGGGCTTACCTAATATGCCGCCAAACAGGAAAGTTTCAAACTCCTGCGCATCTTCTGGAGAGAGATCCTTCTCAGCCGCCGGATCGAGCAGGCATACGGTGTTCTTGGACGAGGCGTAGATATCCTCGACGCTGCTCTGGGTCGCCGTGAAGGTGGGTATGGCATCCAGGGAGCCAGGGACCTTGAATTTTGGCGAAACGGATGACAGCGTGAAGCTGCTACCGTTCTCTAGGGACTCTTTTGCGATGGCGATATACTCGAGCTCTGACCAGGGGCCTAGTTCTGGGTCGAGGTGCTCGACGATGTAGGTCTTACCACTCATGTTGGGGATCATTTCTGATGATACCAAGCTCGAAATGAGATGCCAGGCACACTATTTGTGGATCTCAAATCTGAAGAAGCGTATGCCTGTGGTGAGGGTTGTGCTGTATTTCCAGATCAGGACGAGAAAGTGCAGAGAGAAGTTCCACATCGAAATTTGACAACAGTCTGAAGGCTTGATGGAAAGCTACTGCACAGCTACAGTGCAGTCAGTCAACTCTGGCACTGCGGGTTTAGCATTAGCGCCCGTCTTGGCACCAGTACCGCGTACCTACTGCCACTGTATCTCTGCATGAGAAGTACCTACCAGCCATTAGACGTTTTTTCCAGATCTCCCTTGAATTTCATTGTCACTCTCGATAGTTTGTCATAAGGCTTGTTTTTACTGGCTGTATGCTTACTTGATCGAGTGTCATCACAGTGTGGGCAATGTCTTGCATCTCAAAGTACTAGAGTGGCTGTGCATTTCCGAAACCATGAAGCCTGGGCCTGGGCTCGGGCCCTTTCATTGATTTAGACGTGATACCTGGTAAGCATCATCCTCAATTCAGGTGTGAATAGACACACAAAGTCCCACCCATTTTCAAGAGGGCAGAGCGACCAGTGCCACAAAGAAGGAATCGAGGAGAAGGGGAGCCAACGCAAACTTCTTAGTGCAGCATTCATTAATCGCCTTTGGCTGTTTGGGGAGGGGAACGGGGGTAAAGCATCTGCAGCGCGAGCTGGAGGTCTATCTCTCTGCATGTCTGCATCCGTCCAAATAAGGAAAATCTCAAGTGTGCTGACGGCCATGTATTCAAGCCAGTGCTGCGACCAGTTAGACCCAAAAAGGTGAACAAATATAGTAACTCACGAAAGGTGAACTTGAACAAACCCCTGCAGGAGAGGATCAATCTACCGTACAGTGCTTGCCACTACCATACCTGGTACCTTGCACCCCAATTACTAGTAGCAGCTTTCGGGCGAGGCCAGGCCGCGTCAGACCCCTGCCCACGGTTGACATGGTAAAACGTCGCGACTCCTTTTGGAAACCCTGGGGATCCTCTTTGCCTTATGTGAGATCTGTCACCAAGAAAACCGCAACTCAACAACACTGACGACGACCTCTTCAACGTTCCCTATCAACTTGCCAGCAGCTCGACTATCCAGACAACTGCTAGGCGACCCCCTTTAGTCTCTGCTCCCGACCCAAACACCCTCTCTCTATCCACCTACCGCAGATGACTTTCCGGCGCTGAGTGCTCTCTTTTCCCCGACAGCCCCCCCCCGTTCGTCAAGACACTCTTTCGTCTCTTGACCCTCCTGGGTCGAGCCATCATGGCTCTCCTCATCAGGTCGAGGCTGGCAATCGCTGCCCTCGCCGTTCTTTCATGGATAATACCAGCAGCCAGCGCCCAGAGCGCCGCGGACTACTTTGTCCATGCGCTCCCCGGCGCTCCCGCCACCCCTTTCATCAAGATGCATGCTGGGTAAGTTGCTGAATGACCTCCTACTGCCGGATTTGGATGCTCTCTCGTCAGGACTGGGTTTGCTGACCGCGCCGCTGGGCTGTCCTGCAGACACATCGAAGTCACACCGGAGCACAATGGAAACTTGTTCTTCTGGCACTACCAGAACCAGCACATCGCAAACAAGCAGCGCACGGTCCTCTGGCTCAACGGCGGACCCGGATGTAGCTCCGAGGACGGCGGCCTCATGGAGATTGGACCATACAGGCTGAAGGACGAGAACACGCTGGTGCTGAACGATGGGTCGTGGCACGAGTTCGCAAACCTGCTCTTTGTCGACAACCCGGTCGGCACCGGTTTCAGCTACGTTGATACCGATTCCTACGTCCACGAGCTCGATGAGATGGCAGACCAGATGGTGGTCTTCCTCGAAAAGTTCTTTGCGCTGTTTCCAGAATACGAACAAGACGACGTAAGTAGCTCAACATGACGCTGCCTGAGGGCAAAAGAAAGAAAGAGAAGAGGGGAAAAGATTGTGTCAGAAAGCAGACGAGAAATGCTGACCCTTACCCCCTTCAACGGGATTTCTAGCTTTACATCGCAGGCGAGTCCTACGCTGGACAGCACATACCTTACATAGCGAAACACATCCTCGAGCGGAACAAGAAGGCAGGCATCACACACAAGTGGAAGCTTGGGGGTCTCTTGATCGGCAACGGCTGGATCTCGCCTCAGGACCAGTACCAGGCATACATCGACTTTGCCTACGAGAAGGAGCTCATCAAGAAGGGCAGCGACGCGGCTAGAAAGGTTGAGTCCCAGCTCCGCATCTGCGAAAAGGACCTCTCGATCGATGGAAACAAGGTCGACTACATGAATTGCGAGTCCATCCTCCAGGAAATCTTGTCCGAGACGTCGACCACCGGTGCCTCGGGCAAGAAAGAGTGTTACAACATGTACGATGTGCGCCTCAAGGACACGTACCCCAGCTGTGGCATGAACTGGCCGCCAGATCTCAAGTCCGTCACGCCGTACCTCCGCCGCAAGGAAGTCACCGAGGCGCTGCACATCAACCCGGCCAAGAACACGGGCTGGACCGAGTGCTCCGGCGCCGTGAGCGGCAACTTCCGCGCCTCCAACTCGCGGCCATCTGTGCAGATCCTGCCCGAACTGCTTGCCGAAGTCCCCGTGCTCCTCTTCTCGGGCGCCGAGGATCTTATCTGCAACCATCTGGGCACTGAGGCCCTTATCGGCAACATGAAGTGGAACGGTGGCAAGGGCTTCGAGCTGTCGCCTGGCACCTGGGCCCCCCGCAGGGAGTGGACGTTCGAGGGCGAGGTCGCCGGCTTCTGGCAGTCCGCCCGCAACCTGACCTACGTGCTCTTCTACAACTCGTCCCACATGGTCCCCTTCGACGTCGCCCGGCGCTCCCGTGACATGCTTGACCGCTTCATGGGCGTCGACATCTCCTCCATCGGCGGCAAGCCCATGGACTCTTTCCTCGACGGTGAGAGGCTCCCCGACACCACCGTCGGCGGCCAGGCCGGCAACTCTACCGCCGCCCAGGAGGCCGAGCAGGAGAAGCTCGACGCCGCCAAGTGGGAGGCCTACCAGCGCTCTGGCGAGGTCATCCTCGTTATCGTCTCCGTCGCTGCTGCCGCCTGGGGCTACTGGGTCTGGAAAGAGAGGCGCAAGAGGCGCGGCTATCTCGGCCTTGCCCAGGGCTCTACCTCCCTGCTCTCCACCGCCCAGCGGAGGGACTTCCGGGGCCGCGGGGGCGTCGCCACCAACGGCGGTCGCGACCTCGAGGCCGCCGACTTTGACGAGGCTGAGCTCGATGATCTGCACGTCGAGTCACCCACCGTCGAGGGCCACGAGGAGGGCGTCATGGGTGGTGGCCGCGGCGAGGGGCGGTACAGCCTCGGCGACGATAGTGACGAGGATTCAGGCACGGGGGCAAAGAAGGAGGCTAATGGTGGAAAGCACTGAGAAACAAATTGATCATGCGAGGGAGGATTGAGTGAGTTTCATACTGGACTCCCCTACACACCCCCCTCCATCTCTTTTTTTCTTCTGTGTCTTCCTCCAGGAATGGCGTATGTGTATGTCTTGTGGGTGTGGGCATGGTGTGCTTTGGCATTGAAACTACTATCAAAACCACTAAATTAAACTTCCATGTGCTTGGAGTGACCACACGGGCATCATACAGGCGGCAGAGTACGGGGCGAGAAAGCTCGCGGGTTTGCTTGGTTAAGGTCAGGTCACGGCGTACAGCGTTTTGTTACACACACTCGGCTAGGTTGATTGGTTCTCTTTTCAATTAAGAGCTGTATTCTCAAGTCTTGTCTCGACTCGACCAGACACAGTGCTGTCGTGCATCTTGACTGTTGTGGCTTTTCATATCCATCCATCCGGCTAAACTAGATCCCAACTTGACCCATCACTCTGCTAGCCAACAACGGCTTTGCTTGATCTTTTCAGGACAAAAGTGGGATCATTCAGCCCACCCAATGTGATCATCCCCTTGATTTACCTCCCCAGAAGCCATCGCTGCAATCCGTGGCTCTTTTCTTGAGCGAGGACAGGGATGAGTTCGTCATGCCAGTATGGTCTCCGACCTTGGTGTCGTTTTCTGTTGGGCTGTGCGTTCTCGAACAAGTTAAGCCAGCTACGATTCCGATTATTTGACTGGAAGTTGTTTGCATCCAGATGCACCGAAAGTGCTGCATCGGAAACCCGATAGCGCTCAGAACTGAGGGACGTTGTTCAGGATCTTGACCTCCTCGCCAGGTTTGAAAGGAGGGAGACCGACTGTGCATAGTTAGTAAAGCTGTCCCACGCCGGCACATGCAGAATAGGATATAGACGTACTGTAGGGGCAATCGGCACATCGGAACGCATCGCCCAACGCACAGCTGCCGCAGCTACCTGTCTTGCCCTGCACTGTAAAGTCTAGCTCGTTCAGGTCCTCGCTCTTCAGTTTCAGGGTGTTGAGGTCCTTGTCGGCCTGGGTGCGGCGGGCTTTGTCCTCGGCCTCGAGGCGCTCTGCAAGACCACAGGTGCAGTCCTTACAGGCGCGGCGCTTCTTGCCAGGCTGAGGGGCACACTCGGGAGCTGCAGACATGCCCTCTGTTAGCAAATGGACAAGGGCATAGATGGCGGGGTGAGGGGTGTACGCGACATACGAATCTGGATGGGTCGGTTGAGGTCCGCCTCGGTCATCAACTCGTCCTCGTCAATCAGGTCGTCGTCATCATCCAGATCATCGCCAAAGTCGAAACCGACACCGGCAGGCATGGCCTTAACGGCAGGAGGGACCATAGACAGAGTGGTAGGCTTGTCGGCGATATTGACCGTGACATTGTCGACGGCAGGACCAGCAGAGCTGTGCAGGGCACCATTGCCGTTCTCGATATTCTTCTTCTTGCCAAATCGCAGAGGGATAGCAACAACCTCCTCCTCGACCTTCTCGAATGCGCCGTCCTTCTCAACCAGTCCAGCGAGGACCGCCTCGCGCAGCTCTTTCTCGCCAAATCGTCCGTCCTGGGTTCTCAGCTTTGCACCCGCACGCATCGCGGGGACCAAAGCGTTAAACACCTCGCGCGACAGCAGGACGACTGTCTCGGCGTGTCTAGCGCCATCCGCGTCAGTCAGGAGCAGGACGAGGTCATATGTCTCGGCGGGCAGGGTGACGAGGCCTGCGGACAGGCGGTCGAGCATCTGAAGGTCAGTCGTGGCGCGGTCGTAGCTGGGAATGACCGTGGTTAAATCGCCCTGCGAGGCTACGGAGGGAGGTGCCAGCAGGAGGGTGCGGCCTGCTGAGGAGGACGAGGTGGTGGTGTTGGAGGAGCCATTGACCAGCTTGGAATTGCCACCGAAATTGAAATCGGGGCTGGTGTCGATGGTGACAAGAGAGGGAGACATCTTGGTGGCGACTTTGGATTTATGAATGAATGTGGTGTGTGTGGTGTTGTCGCCGCTGGAGGGTATCTGGTGAAAGAGAGTTGGGTTTGTGGGCGGCGAGGACTTGAAGGGTCCAGGTTTCAAGGTTGGCGTCGAGTTGTTTGTAGGTTGGGCATGGAGATGTTGGGGTTCGTGGAGGAAGGAGTTTTCGACGGCTCTACTGTGCAGCCGCAGGGTCCTCTTTATCTCTAAATGACGTCTTTATACTGTGCAGAAACACCCCTCAAATGTGGAGAGGTACAGTGCTAACAAATCAGCACGGCTCTGATTACCAACCCTCTTACCTCTTGGCTTGTGACATCCCGCTATCGGACCTTGAAAAAGGGTTCCTGTAAGCACTTTCCACACGGGGCATATTTTAGTCTTCCAGAGCAAGACTGTCATGTTGGCATCAGCCACACCTAGCAAGGAAAACGACCCAAGGGTACAAAGCTTTTCTGGGGAAAGGGCTTGCCTGGATTTACTCATGAGGAGAGAAAACCCTTACAATACTATTATTATTCAGTGAACAACCTAGAACCATTTTGTACTCTTACGCACAGAAACAATCATCTGAGCAGGAATGCTACTTTTAGTATTACTTGTATCTGCAAGCCGTCTTCCTTTTTGAACCTCCAATCTTCTATTTGAGACCTTACCAAGGAAAACTGTTTCTATGCTCTTCTCTAATGAAAAGTCACTCCAACCATCCCCCCCTTCCCTGACCTCACTTCTCCTGCAGACTATCTCCTTGACCTTTATGCTTTCGCGTACAACCAAAAGGATCGATAAGCGTCATCCAATAGTTTGCATCGTCCTCCCACCCAGGCCCTTCAGTCTCTGTGATGCCATCGCGTTCAAGAAAAACGTGAGGATCCGCCGGGAGGTATCTCCTAGGGTGGTAGATGGACCACATGCACACGTTGGCGCACATGATTGATGCCTCAAACACATAGAAGAACCACTCGTATCTCAAGATTGGACTGATGGCTGTCACCGTTGGGGTGGCCTCCAAGTTGGCGATACTAAAGTACTCGACAATTCGGTACACCGTACGGGCCAGGATCAGGGCGGTGCTGATGTACATGATGATAAGCGGTGTCGACACTTTGCGGTTCGTAGTAAGCCCGGCTCGGGCGCAGCGGCGGTGGAAGACGACCGCGCAGAGGACGAAGAGCGCGATGGCCAAGATCTGCAGACACAGCCCAACTTTCATGAGAACCTGGCCCAGATTGATAAGGTTCTCGGGTAATGACTTGTTGGCCAGGTAAGTGACACCGATTGCGTTCAAGACTTCGATGAGGCTGGAAAGCATGGCAAAGGTCGTGAGGACGCGACCGGGATGCATTGGTGCGCAGTATGGCACGAAATAGAGGATGCGGCCCAGGACGTGGAAGTTGGCAAGTTCGAGGAGGGGTCTGGCAGAAGTTCCACAACGTTAGCAAGGCTCCGACTTGGCTCCTTCATGCTCTCCTTCAATTTTGCATCCCTCGCTTTCGAATTCATACTTACGGCGCCATGTAGATCAAGCAAGTGCTCGCGATGTATATATTAAGATTTGCAGTCGTGTCGTAATAGTTGAACGCGCCATATTCTCGTAACACAAAGCCAAGGCTGAACAAGAGGCAGGAAAATGGGTACAAAGCCGTCAATTTCCATGACTTGTAGGAACTAATTAAGTGATCGTTCAAGTTAGCTATGGGAAAGCTGGATTTTGATTGGAAGCTACTGACTGAGCTTGGCAAACATGCGCACCGCAAGCAAGCGCAAACGCGACACTGAAGAAAACAGGGGCAATCTTGTTCGGAGCATATATGTATATGCTTCCAGGCACTGTTATGGTTGAAACATTAATTGTTAGTATACGCCGTCAAGTTTTGACAAGATGTCATGTTTGCCTACCGATGTGTCCTTCTGACATCTTGAGAGTATGATGATGATATATAATGTGTGTTCTTGATAAAGAGATAATAATGCTAATAAGTGACAATGATCCGCTTGAGAGGTTTCAGGAAGAAAAGTTGCCTTGAGTGACGAGGAGTCCGCTTCTATATAGAAGTAATTTGGAGGCACTCACAGCCTGTATTAGTCTCCCCGATTAGGCAATTCGAAGTTCTTCAGTACTGTTTCAATCTTCGCAGGTTAATCATCCTGCGCTTGGCTTACTATGGTGCCAAAGTAAGGCGCAGCCCATACAAGTTGGATCGCGGGCATAAGCGCTAAACCCAAAAAGGAGAATGTGAGTCTCCAAGTACCTGTCAGATTTTGGTGGTATCGTCTAGCCATGGGTTGCTCAGCGTACTCAGCCGCTCCTGTTGCCCAAAAGCCCCGGCAGGCGCCCACTAAATCTCACAAGGCAGACTACATATCGGTATGGTCTTTTGGTCGGGCGATGGCTGTGGAATCATAAGTCTGAGAATATGACCGCATTGCCTTCTTCGTTATACTCTTTAAGGGAAATTAAAGTCTTTCTCTTTCTCTGACTCTAAGCACAACATCGTTGTCAATCCTGGGAAGTACTGAAGAAGGCCGAGACTTTTTATACTGATCAAGCTGGGGCTATGTCGAAAAAGATTAAAGGGCCTGTCATGGGCCTAAAAGAGGCGTGCTGGGAGTGTCTCCGCCGGCAGGTTGCCTGCGATGCTACACATCCAATCTGCAACACGTGCATCAAGAATGGGGTGGTGTGTCCGGGCTACGAGGACCAGCGACCTCTGCGCTGGCTGGCACCCGGCACAGTAAAGTCCCGCACTGGAAGAAAGCCAAAGCGCCCAAACGTGTCGACCAAGCAGCAACCCAAAGAAACTCAGGGTGGGGTGGAGGGGGGTTCATCTCTTTCACTCGTCGTGCTGACCACGGAGCTTGACCCCATCGTTGAAGCAGTGAAATTCTGTAAGTCTCTCTCTTGTACACTCATACTTAACTTACTCTCCAAAAGTGAGGGTTGTTATCTTCAGTGATAAAATGGCTACCAATCTATACTTACCCCCAGTTGTGTTTAGGGAATGAGGTGGCTTTACCTGAGTATCGAGCAATCGGCGAGCTTGCGCCAAACCCCTGGCTCACTTCGGTACCCATGGACACCATCCGTTTGCTTCCGACTCCTATCGTGGAGACTGTAGTTTTCATGGCCATAGGTTATCGTATTTCACAGTTCCCCGAGGCGGCAGACCGATCTGAAACCGCGGTGCTGAGGACGCGCATGTATCACCACCGCGGCAGGGCTGTCAAGACCATCTCTCTCGCCCTCAGCAACGATAAGCTTCGGGACACAGATTATGCGTTGGCGATCGTCCTGATGCTTTTGTTTGGCGAGGTGAGCATCACTCTCTAACCCTATGAAGAGTCTGATCATAAAGGATACTCATGCCCGTATTGTATCGAGTATTCATCCTAGTAGCATGCGCTGACTCATTTGACCCTGCGTGGTTCTGCAATTACTTAGTCACGACAGTGTGCCTCCTCGACCTGGGCGCATCATTTCGAGGGCGCTTGCAAGATGATAGCGCTACGGGGTGGATTACTTACTTTTGCGGATAACCTATCCCTGAGACCCGTGCTTGAATATTTCCTCATGTGAGTCCTACATGTAGCTTCTGAATCTAGGTCGTCTGAGCCCTTTTTTTTCTTCTTTTTTTTTCTAAAGAGAGGAGAGATTCTTTTGCGCGACGAGACTTTCGATTATTTCGCCAGCAAGACAAGAAACCCCTCCGATGTGCCTTCTTCCGTCACACCCATCCTCGCCATTAGGCACTATCACTGATTTCCAAATCTCGTCCAAGTATTGGCGTCATGGCGAACACGATAAGCCCTGCCTCCAGACAGCTCGCGATGACCCGCAAGTCCTCCAATGTCGACACGATCGCCAAATTCTACGGTGATGACCTCTTTCCGGTGCTCTTCTGTCCGCCGGAACTCTTTCTCGAGGTGATCCGCATCAACGACCTCCGAGCTCGTGCCTGCGCCTTGGGCGTAGCCGATCTCCCGGACCTCATTCCCACAGCCAACGAGATTCTCGATCGCATCCTCTCCTTCCAGTCTCAGTCCTGGGCTGATGTCCACAAGGGCTCGTCTGTTGATGGCCGCGACCATAGTGCCACGTGGATTCTCCTCGCGAGCGTCTACCAGTCGGCCATAGCACTCTATTGCGTCTCTTCCCTGCAGAGTCTCTCGGTCCTCCCATATAGTACAGACTTGGAGAATCTGAGGTCTGAACATAGAGAGATCCTCGGGTCGTCTCTGGCGGTTGCTCTGCGCTCGCCACAGCTCAAGTTTTGGATGATGTGGCCGGTGGTCGTGGCAGGGCTGGAGGCTGGTCCATCAGACACTTATAGAGACGGCGGCAACGTGTGTGAATTTGTCAGCAGGGAGTTGCGTACGATGGCGAAGTACTTGGGCACACCATTGCCTCTGGTGGCGAGGGACAGGCTGCAGGCTTTTTGGGGAAGGCCAGACAGAGGATGGGATGATTGTTTTGAGCAGCCGTTTGCATTTGTAACATGAGATGATTCACAGTGAGGAAGGTAAGGGGAGCAGAAAATGTTCTTCTCAGCAAGCCCAGAACTCTTCTTCCAGGCTTCTCACCTTGTTCCTCCGGGTGGCTCAGTCCTCCTCATTCTATTGGTTCTGCAAATCTGGCATAAGAATACGGTTTTAACGGACAACAAATCCTTGAAGCATCTATAAAATGTGATTCAGTCTAATCTTCACAATTTGTCTTGTGCGGGCAAGTCTCACTATTCCAATGTGTGGCCTGTCTTCTACAACCACAAATCTCACGACTGACAACTATCAAACCGCCCTTGAGCCATCAACTCGATGGCCTTTTTGGCTGTTCTCTCAGTAGGCGACCGAGGCTTTGGCATAGCTTATACGGATCACTGAACGAAGCCTGGCTTCTGCTGCATTTAGACTTTTGAGAATGCTGAGGGATTACGTTGTTGATGCACACTCATCCAGTGGAACGAGGGAAACAACAGATCCACTCGAGTTCCGTTCCCAGTCAGATGGCTTCCAAATGTTTCTCGGTCATATGTTTCTCCAGTAAATGCATAAAGTTAAGTAATGATGGTGGAAGCCAACCTTGAGATCCCCTTCTTCACATACAAAAGAAAGGAAAGCCACGCTGAGCTTGCCACGGACGACTTGAATCGACCATTCGTTCCTTTATCTTTTTAGACACCTCGTTGCTGTGGCTGCATAGCCAAGACGTTAGTTCGGAATCGAGCTTGCAAAGACAAAATATTCGTATGGTATCTTTGCTGGTCTCGATCGACCGTATCACAGACTTGCCCTCAGAACGTGGTCTACTATGGTATCTGAATACCCCCACGCCCCCCCCCGGATAGCAAGCTCTATCTAAATCATAATCGCGTCTCGAATCATGGTGGCTTTTCCGTCATGAAACCCTCCCATATGAACTCTAATGTCAGTACGCAAATTAGCTCTGTTGACTAGCTAAAAAGACCTCACACCTGCAGAATATATACTCTCGTCTTGTCTATCGTGATACTTAGTCACAGCATCCTCTGCAAGGGCGGAGTTTGATAAGAGCTGCTTGACTCGCACGATAGTACTACCATAGTTACAGTACAATCAGTACATGCGTGCTATGTACGTGGGAAAAGCATGCCAGCGAGCCGGTGGAAACAAAGAACTCGGAAGACGCGGCAAGTCAGTAGCCGCGAGCAGCTTGGAGCTGTTTCCAAGCTTGCGTCAACCAGAGAGGGGATGATGATGCTCTCATTCCAGGGCGACCTTGCACCATGAAACTCCACTGCAAGAAAAACAGACATCTTGCCTTTTTTCTTGTCGCACACAACTTGGGGAGCAGGTGGCCGAGTTGTCTTGGCTCGGTCTGCGATCCGTGTCTCGCATGTAAATCGATGTGACGGAGGGTTCATCTATGATTTGCGTAGCCGCATTAAGTTTATTGGCCGGGGGGCGGGGGCGATCTCCATTCTTCTTTCCATTTTTCCATTTCTTATTCCGTGTGTTGCGCATAGACAAATTGACAAGTACAGTATAAGACTTTGCTATATGTGCTGTGGCAGCCCGAGTTGTCGTTTCAACCATAGTACGGGGATCGGGGGTCTGTACAGTAGAAATCGACAAGGGGAATTAAGGTTCAACGCTACTAAGGATGTACCCCAGATTTCCGGGTGAAATCTAGCGGCAGCATCGTACGTGCTATAGCAGGTGGGGACTAGCTGATGTCATTCTTGTAGCTCGCGGTGCGTTGCCCTTGCCCCCTCTCCTCGGGCGATCGCACCCGCTGTGGGTCTGGGGCAGAAGGGGGGCAGGTGCGCGGCGGGGGGCTACCTTTCGGCGTTGTCTCTCAGTGTGGGTGGCTCTTGTGTGTGTGGAACAGCCCACGTTGCCCTGAAGCTGGCCTGATCTGACCTGACTGGCTGGCTGGTACCCTCTCGTCTGCTTGCGGAAGTCTCCACAACCAGAGTTGGACCGGAACATCGCGCCTTCTCTGCCTGGAAGCTCGAGAGTAAATTGCACAATGTGGGCAGGATGATTACACCATTGGCATTTTGATATTTTGATTCTCTTTTATCTAAACATGTCCTCGTCGTCCTGTTGAAGGCAAATTCTGGCAGGGGATGAGCACATTGCCATCACGTAATGGGTGGGCGCTCAACGGGAATAGCAGGAGGACCCTTGTTTACCCCAGCTCTGTACCTCGCACGCCAAAGTCAGCCCATTCCACACCTGCTCGCGTGACGCATGCCCACATCCTTTTATGTGTTGTACCGTATGGACGTACAACGTTGTGGCACTTCTCCCGCAGCTCTGCAAGGTGCTGACTCTGTTGCGACATCACAGCATTGGTAGTAGTTTGTACCAGCACATGAATGAATACTGCAAAAAGAGGTGGAAGAGCCCAGAACGAAGAGGGGGCAAGGAGAAAGGAAGAGAAGGGGCTAGTCAAGTAGGCAAGTACATGAGAGAACTATAATGGCAGGAGTGGAAAAGGCAGCCCCATCCACAGTTTGCAAGAGCCACCACAAGATGTACCATGTGACCTTGTGAGCGTTGAGGTAGTCACCCCATCCAAGCTATTCATCAAGGGGGGCCCTGAGCTGCGTCCTTTCCATGAGCAGGTGAGGTAATAAATGTAGGCCACGCTGCAACCCCCCTTCCCCTCCAAGATCGTTCAATTGTCGGCCACCTAGACACACACCCCTTGACCCTCTAAGGAATGCCCCTTGTCTTGCGAAGATCGATCCATCCCTCTTGATCTACTTTACTGTCCTCCCTCCAACTCTGTCACATCTTCCTCTTTTTGTCTTCTTCCAACAACAAGCACAGACAACAAGCCATCATCAATCCATCTTTGCCATCTCCTCCATCTCTCACCCTTCCCACATACCAACCGCATTGACACCACCTGACTTCTTTTGGTGAGTACCCTTCCTCATCTTGGAGCGTTCTCCAACACGGCCCCTCTCCCCCCCCCCCCCCCCCCAAACTGTGGTCGTCTTGGCGACGATTTCAACCAGTTGTGGGATCACCATCAACAGCAACGACAAAAGAACATATACTGTGTCATCAGGTATCCGTCTGGAACCGACCATTTCGACCGGTCCTCTCGGGCTTTGGTGCCTCCCTCGACTACGAGCTCCGAGAACCTTCCAAGGAGCTCAATAGAAGCCCCGCACCATCGTGTGAGCTATGCTGACTGGGTGGACGACAGCTGAAGCTACAGAGTCTCAACCCGACGTCATCCCCTTCGGGCTCCGTTAACCTCGCCTAACTTTCAAAACTCAACTCCCAAACAAATCACCAAGAGTAAGCCAGATTGATCTTGACCATCCCCATTGGTGCACAGAGAGAGCCAGATTGCTAACATGCCATAGTGACCCGTTCTCACAAGGTGCGACAGGTCCCTCTTTTTACACCCTTGTCCAGCAACAATCGTCGCGGCTAATGCTGTCATCTAGTACAACGACAAGGACCACGCCGGTTTGGCTGACGGCACTGCTGCTCCTGAGGAGCACCTCCCCCGTTACTTCGCCAAACATGGCTACGCTGGCGAGGACCCCAAGAAGATCAAGAAGAGCGGCGGCGGCAAGGGTAACTGGTGAGCAAGCCCCGATCTCCTTACAGCCTACCAGCACCACCACCACCATGATCCGTGTCACAAAATGGGGGAGGGGGTCGTATTTTGTCCTTGTTACCTAGTGACTGGCCGATTATATACCCCTGAACCGCCCGACCCGCCCTGCTACGGGCTTCCCCATTGGGCCGAAGCACACACCGTGTTGCATATGCGCCTGTGAAGATCACCACGCAACACGAGCCGCTCTCCCCCCCAAATCATATTTCGTATATAGTGTCCACTGACGAGACGTAGGGGCAACCCTGGTGACGAGATCCTTGATGACCAGTTCAACCTGGCCAATGCCCGCCGCCGATCCAACTCGTCTGGCTATGCCAACAACCTCTCGGACTTCAAGACCAAGTTCGACCTGAATGAGGTCGAGCCCGTCTTTGAGGAGTCCATCCACGGCCCTGCCGAGGATGACCTGACCAAGACCGAATCTGCCTCTACCAGCGGCGGCTCTGTCGATGATGCGACTTCTGCTAAGAGCGTCTAAGTCTCCCTCCTAGGAGGGGCTTGGACATGATGAGGGCTGTCTTGTTTTCACCCACATACATACACATGTCGTTTCGAGCGCTGCGTATGACACAGTCACTGCTGGTCTTATTTGAAAACGAAAAGCGTGTTGTTTGGCCTGTCGCACTTGGCTGGCTGGCTTGTCTCGTGGAGATGGTTGCTCGATGGTCCTCTTGACATCTGGCGGCGTCTCAGCCTCGATTTGACTGACCCCCTCATCGCACGATGGTCGTGCCTTGCTCAACAGATAGCACCTTCTGGTAGTCTTGTGCTCACCAGACTGTAATATTATTTCTCTCCTTCCAGGTCGTACAACAAATGAATATGATGACTTCTTCTTCTGCATTCTTATCTGGTGAAAATTTTGCGCTTTCTCTTGTGATTTCTTCAGCTTATATCCCAGTATGCTACCCGACATGTATGCACCAGCTCACTCTCACTCTTTTGAACAATGTAAATAGGGATTAGTTGGATATCAGATTCTTGGCGTCCCTCTATGCCTCCTCATGGGTCGTCATGATGTCCATAGCATAATCTAGATTCGTAGCCTCCTCCACCGTCAACCTCTTCTCCATGAACCGATCCAGCGCCCTCGAGGCAGGCTTTCCCACCCCGCCCTCGTTCTTGATCATTCTCACTCTGATGGCAGTGCACGGCCCGAAGCTTGTCCCTACCAAAGGCGCAGCCTGTCCACCGGCAAATTGATACGGCACACGCAATGGTATCACCACGCTCGTCCCCTCCTTTCCTTGCTGTTCCTCGCCGTCGTCCTCCACCAACACGAGCATCCGGAACTCCCGTGCAGCATGCTCGTTCTTGGTCGAGAAACACACATTCACGATCTGCGCGGGCAACTCTGTCTGCCGCGCCTCCTCGTCCAGCTCCCTCGTGTCCTCGCCAGCGGCGGCGGCAGCAGCAGCAGCAGCAGCAGCGGCAGCGCGGTCGTGTTTGCGCTGGACGATGGTCATGACGGCGTCCTGCAGCACGCGTGGGCATGGGATGGCCTCGACGTCCTCCAGGATGAGCCGCTCCTCGTGCGGGTTCTCGGGTGTCATGGCGTGGGTCCACAGGCCGGTCACTTTGCCTGCCGGTTGGTACCCGACGGCGCGGAAGCGTGTTTCGAGGTCGGAAGCGGTCCAGCGCCCGGCTGGGTAGAGGGCGTGGTCGCGGGCCCAGAGGGTGCTGTCCCAGTCGATGCAGGCGTCGATCTTGCGGATCTTGGGGGCGTCACGGAGGGAGGAGGAGGAGGAGGAGAAGAAGGAAGGGGGCAGGTCTAGAGGGGGTGGGTAGGGGGGGACGTGTAGGCCCTGCTGGAGAGCGTCGGCGAGCAGGGCGGCACCGACTGGGGCGAGGCTCTCGAGGAGCTGCGGGGTGGTGCACCGTGGCGGGATGGGGAGGCCTGGGGTGGGGGTGCGCGCGAGGATGTGGCCCCGGTCGTACTCGGTCGGGTGAAGCGTCTGCAGGGTGACGCCGGCGCCGGGCCGGTTGGCGAGGAGGGTCCACTGCAAGGGGGCGGGCCCGCGCAGGTCCGGCAGGAGGCTGGGGTGGAGATTTAGGCCGCCGTATGCGAGGGAGAAGAGGATGCGCGGGGGCACAAAGAGGCCAAAGGAAACGGCGATGAGGAGGTTGAAGGGCAGGTGGCCGCGGTGGGTGAGCTTGCCGGACGGGTGGGGGTGGATGGTGCGCTGGCCTGTCGTGGGGTGCGTCACGCGGCCTGGCAGGGGCAGGTCCCAGCCCGTGAAGGTGTCGCGCTGGTGTAAGGGGAGGTGGAGGGCGTGGGCGAGGTGGAAGAGCGGTCCTACGGCGATGCGCTTCAGGCCGCGGCCGCCGGGTTTTCCTGGGCGCACGAGGACGTCGATGGACTCGATCAGGTCGGGCTGGGCCTTGTGCAGGTCGTGTAGCGCTGTGAGAGAGGCGCAGCTGAAGGCGTCGGAGCCGCAAAAGAGGATGCGAAGCGGCGCTGAGGTCTTGCTGGGGGAGGAGGAGGAGGAGGAGGACGAGGAGGAGGACGAGGAGGACGAGGAGGACGAGGGTGAAGCTGTGTGATTATGGCGAGTTTGTCTTGAGGTCGATGGCCTGCTGGTAGTGTATGAGTGGTTACATGTTGCGAGCAAGCTTGTGTGTCTTGGAACGAGTCTGCACATGAGTGCTGGACGGTTTATTGACGGTGGCATGGCGAGTGAGGGAGTGAGTGAGAAGGTTGCTGGTGGTAAAGAGAGCGACGAAGGACGGTCACCAAAGGTGAGAGAGAGGACCGGCGTTGAACGAACTCATCGCTGTATAAGAAAAGAATAAAACAAAATCCCAATGCAAAAAAGATAGAGAGTTCCTCAATCAAAGTAAAGGTATCAAATATAACACATAAATTGTATGAAAGAAGTTCACAGGGCGCATCCTCCTGTTCTTGATGGACCGATGAAACCGTGGAACTTTTTTTATGCAAGTTTGATGTTCTCAAGTACTAATTAATGCTGTATAGAAAAATAACATGACCTTGTCATGTTGGTAAAGTTGCAATAATCGGGCGCTATATCCTTGTAACCGACATCAGCCCATCATTAGCACTGAAAGCAATCCGCTTGTGAATGGGGTGGTTCTCATCTCCCACAAGAAATATATCCATAATTACTACGACCTTTGAAGACTGAACTATCTTCTGAGAGGTGCTTAGGCTTACAAAAATCTCCATGGAGCTGTGGCTGCTCGGAAAACTTGTTGGAATCCTCACATGCATAAGATGTCTTGCTCCCAATTAATGCTTGTTGTCCTGAATAAGTATGGATCCCTAAGTCAGCTTTTACAAACAAAACAATGCTTTCTGAGACTCAGTTTCACGTATGGAGGACTTGGAGAGTAAGCCAGCAAATACTCTGATCACAAACAAGTTTGTCATTGAAACAGCCCTAGGTGAAGGGCAACCCTATAGACCCAACAAAACAAATGCAGGACGCTTGACAGGCAAAAAGTCTAAATACGCTGACTGAGAAAGAACAGAGAAGCCCAACCCACCTATCCTACGCCTTACCATGCATCATCACCGAACGGTTGCAATTGAATAGACAGCTGAGCAGCTTTGGGAGCAGCCCACGCCCTTTCATCATCTCGCGTGTGTGCCCTTCGCCTTCGCTGTCGCATATGTTCCCGATTCACTCGTATCTGTTCAGGACCGAGCACAGAAATTGCATCGATCGCATGAGGCCATGGGGAGAGGCGACGGACGATGGCGTCGAGGTAGACAGTCTCTGAGAAAAGCTGGTAGATTGGGACGAGGAAAAGCGCAGACCCAGCCTGATGCGCGTTTCGGTTTCGGTTCCGTGTTCAGAGTGGGCGTATGTTGCTCTAGAGAGAAGAGCCGAGAGGATTGCGCCTCGACGCATGCATCGAGGTGCTGCTCTCCCATGTGTGGAACATGCGGGACGAGTTGATCCGCTACGCCATCTCGTGCACCCGTCATTGTTGGGCGGTTGCCAATTTCGCCTTCAGCAATGCCAATTCCGGCCATCACAGCCTCGTGAACCGTAACTACCTCCACCCCATTCTCGCGTACCGAGCTGATATCACTCACGCGCGGGCGACGCAAGAGGCTTTGACCTTCACCTGCGCCATCTGCCCTGTCGGTCTCTCTCGAATGCTGTGGTTCGCTGCTCATACCTGCCACATATGCAATCTCAAACAGAGAGCCTTCATTTCGAGAAGAGCCTGCATCACCGTCATGGCAGAGCCCATGGGGATCCCGTGTGCTTTGTCTTGGTTGACAGCTCATGAGAACATTTCCATCTAAACGACCAAGAGCGGGACGGACAGGTCGAGGTATACGTGAGTATGTCAATCTTCGAGGAGGAGGGGACTGTGGTGTGGGAGGATCCCTATAGAACTGTATCTCTCTGGAAATGCTCTGCGTTGCTGCGTCTTGATAGATACGGGATGTCGACGGTGCAGCAGTCTCTTGACTCATGGCAGCCTCCGATGGTGGTGCCACGGCACTGATCTCGACTTCCTCAAGACCCACTGTGGATGTTACATTGATTTGACGTCCTGCAGGCGCAGGAGGATCACGGCGACTGGATCGATGGAATGTGAAGCTGGAATTGGGGTCATCATGACCCTCGAGAGTTGAGATAGTCGTGTCTGGCGTGGGCGTATCCGACTCGTCTTCGTTGTCGTCACTCGAGCTGCCATCACTCTCATATTCTGTGGCCCCCTCGGAGTCGAACCTGTCCTCACCATCACCGTCCGTCTCAGAGTCAGAGACCACGTCTTCTTCAGAATCAGACTCGACTGGCGCTTGTTCAATTCGGACAACTTCTAGTTCTCTCTGCCAGACTCCCCGTGACAAGTGATCAGGAGCCCGTCGACAGAGATTCGGATCCAGTCTGTTTGCCCGGAGGTAGTCACTCCATAGCTTGTCACACCACTTCCGGAAGATACCGTGCGCTTGGGACTGATGCCAACCGGTGATACCGCACACGACGCAGGAGGAGATAACTTTCAGGAGAGAATTTGCCTGACGTGAGGGGATGTTGACTTTCACCAACTCACTGAGGAGCCGAGACCTTTGCCGCATATTGGATGCATTGACGGGTCGCGAGCAGTGGGGTGCATTGCGGGCGTATGGAGCGTATGCGATGCAGTCATTGGAACGGTTTTGTATACCGAGGAAGTCACAAAGATCAGCCTGCGATCTGAAATGGAAGACATCGACCTCGACAAGGTCTTGAGAGAGGTAGCGTGAAGATTGCATTCTGAAGTGAGTAATTGTAGCACTGTGGGATACTAACGAGGAGACAAAGCGGAGTCAAGACCAGAGGCCGGACGACAGCCTCATTCTTGTAGTTGAAGACAATTTGTATTTCGTAGCTTCGCTCCATCTCGATAACCATGCCGGCGATACATCGGGTTTGAGACAACGAGTACATGGCCCCCACGTGTGAATGCAGGTCGGGCCCCTGAGCGGTTACCTGGGCTTCAGCCCCATTGCGAAGCCCAAGATATGGGCTCAAGCCGAACAGCATTTCCTCCCAAAGCTTTGATCCGTGCTTAGTTCCGTACTTTACCCATCTCGAATTCCAGCATCGGGAAAAGCGGGCCCATTGTAGTTTATCGTTGTGTAGCGTTTCGTGGGAAAGGAGGGATAGTAAAGATGCACAACTTTGAATGCCCCGATCCCATTGACATATCGAAATTGAATTATTATTAGCCAGTGTATTGGTGGTTGTGCGGCGGAGCGGGGGAAGTGCGTCTTGAAAGCTGTTTTGCATATGCAGTTGGCTGCAAGGTTCGGTGGCGCCGCAACCTGTGCGACGATCCTTGCCGATAAGGTGCTCAAAAAGACCAAGTATGCCTCGGCGGCCTCAACAATCGAAAATAGAGTTCGTCTGAAGCTTGGAATACTGCCTGTTGTGCAATAGTCAGGCCTTCGTCGCCTCTGGTATTCTATGCCTGGAGCCAATGTCGCGTGATTGCGCTGCAGCGGCGTGTCCACCAAGCTGAAGTTGAACTGGCCTTGAGAAATTGTACCTCTAGATGGCTGAGCTCTGAACCCGGCGGGCATCGTTTCGAGTGACGCCCATTCTTTGCGACTGCCTGGACAAACAGTACCTCAGGAGCAGCCGCTCGGATCATCCTCGAAGAAAGAGCCGATCGTCTTTGTCGGCAAAGATGTGCCCAGCGTAAAGCAGAGGGCACAATGCTTTGTAGCAGAAATGTCCCTCAGAGCAGCTCGAAATCATCCAGCTTGTCTCTGTACTGCATGATGTTGCGCTTGATCTTGCTGCCAACCGACCAGGTCACGAAATCCTCGAGCTGGCGGGTGACCAAAAAGGCCGGGTCTGTGACGGTCTCGGTGCCGACCCGCACGTGACCTTGCTCAATCATCTTCGTCGCAGCTTGCTGTAGACATGTTAGTAGCGGGACTTTCAGGTTCTCAGCGATGCCTGCAAAAGGATACGTACGACAGTCTCCGCCATCCTCAGCCGTGTCATGACCACGGGAAGTCGACGTCGTGCAAACGCGGACACGGTTGCACCATGCTCGACAGCGCTCAACTTGGACGTGGAGGACAGGATGCCCATGTCGTAGAGTTTATCCAGTAGCAGCTTCTCATGCTTTCGCCGGACCTCGTTGTCCGGCGGCATGAGCGAGAGGCGATGGGCGAGCTGACGGACAGACTTGAAAGGGCATCATGTTAGTCTCTTCGGCGGTACGTAAAGGACTTGGATGCATCACTCACACCACAGAGTCGATTGTACTTGTTGTAGTCCTCTGGTTTCTGGATCATGTACCCTGTGAAGAGTCAATACAAAACCTCGACTGCAGAAAACTTTTGTTCCGGCCCCGACGACTTTTGGTTCCTTGAAGATACCCATGCACCAACAAAAGCCACGAAATGAATAAGAAATCCGTAATCCAAAAAAGGAAAGGAGAAAATTATCAACGTACGTCTGATGACATTGTGATCGCGGTGACCGTTGTCCTACATATCAAGATCAGATTTGTGTTCGCGGGGGGGGGGGGGGGGAGACTGGAAAGGGCAGCGCACCTGTTTGTATGTGATGAAGTCTGTCTTCTTGAGCAGCTTCTGCTCATGATACTTGAGCTTCCTGACCATCTTGGAGACTTTGGAAGGATCAACTCCTACAAGAACGAGATATTCAAGGGAACTTTGGCGCTGGCGTTGAGATTTGTAGAAGGCGATATCCGAGTCTTCAAAATTCAGCAGACGGAGCCGCTCAATTGATGCTTAGCGGCCCCACTTTTGCGCCTGGGCTCCCGCGCCGCATGAGCCTGCCGCCAAAACTTGGGTTTCGTCGTGCACCGGTTACAAACCCACCTCAAACCTCTAACTTTATTTTCCTATCCACGACCAGCGGGAGGAAAAGGGCAGCAGTTCACAGTTCAACATGCCTCCACGGCTACCATTACGACCTCTCCTGAGGTCTCTCCAGGTGTCTGGGCCTCAGACGAGAGCTCCCATCTCCTCGACCTCAAAAAATGGAGCCCGTACGTCCGGACCCGATCTCTCGTGTACACCATACTGGCGAAGCTAACCACCACCACCTCCCTCAACAGTCCAGGACCTTGGCGCGGCCGGACAGTCCGCATCGAAAGCCCTGCTCGATTTCGACGACAAGTCCTCCGACGCCTCTGCCGCGAACAACACCAGCGGCAGCGGCAGCGGCACGCCCTCGCCCAACAGCTCATTTGCCGCATCTCAGGCAGGCAACGCGCTCTATAGCGTATTGAAACGGAGCAACGGATTCGAGAACATATCGCAGAACAAGGAGACGTTCGATGAAAAGACTAGGCTCGCGAAGGAACGTAGTGACATGTCACGGCAGATGACACGCAGCTGGAAGATGGGCGATGTTTATGCGCCGCACGACATAAGTCATGTCGAGATGCTCAAGTGGAGGCAGCCCAAGAGGCCGACCAAGGACATTCTGGACATTCTGGGCTTGAATCCCCTGGATCACTATAAGGTATGTGACTTGGGACTAGGTTAATTCTCTGTTGATCAGGAAGTTTTGACTTGAATACGTTTCCGAACGTTGGGTTGGATATCACTGAACCCCTAGCTAATTCCCTCGACCGCAGAATTTCGCAATGATGTCTGAGTTTATGACCGAGATGGGACGGATCAAGCACTCGAAAGAGACCGGGCTCCGGCCCGTCAACCAGAGGAAGATGGCCAAAGCCATCAGGAGGGCGATCGGGATGGGCATACACCCCAGTACACACAGACATCCGGAGATTCTCTTCGGCCAGTCAAGGGCCGGCCCAAGATATCAGAACAGCAGGATGCCCGAGCCCACCCAGAACAAGATCAAGGTGAAATAGAGAGACTTTGGAACGCATGACGCATGTAAATTTAGACAGGCAAATGGCTGTATATTGCATTGAGATGCTCGTGGACCTATGTGCCGCTGGAATGCAGTACTGCTGTCTTATCAAGCCTTAAGCCTCTCGGCTGCGATGGAGATCCGATCCGTGCCCTCCACTGTCTTCGTCATCTTGTACTTGTTGATCCTTTCCCATTTATCTGGGAATTCTAACGATGCCCAGTCTTTGTAGGCTTGCTGGAAATGCGGGAACGGGATTGCGTTAAAAATGTATGCGAGCCTGGTTCTATGTAAGTTGACTGATACACTGACCCAAGCATGGGCGACGAAAACGAGGAAGCTCCAAGGCGTATTCAGGAGAAGGGGGGGGGGGGTGGGGAAAGGATGAAATGTAGGCAACTTACAGGCGAGGAGTGAGCTTGCTGCTGTACTCAACCGCCTTGGAGAGCAACATATCCTGGACCTGGTCCAGCTGCCCCTGGCCGGCTAACATCAACATGTACGCATCATAGACTCTTTCGGGTATCTCAACCTCCAGCCTTTGCATCTTCTCCCAGATGACCTTGGCCCTGTCGTACCCAAACGGCATCTTCTGACAGGCTCGGAAGGCCAGCTCCAGACTCGTGTAAGTCGGACCTTCCGGGAGATTCGAGATCTGTTGCCAAAAGTCAAAAGCTCTCCGTGGCTCATCACAGCCGGTGTAAGCAATAATGAAGGCGTTGAATAGCCTCACGTTGGGCTGTATCATCGTGTCCATCTTGAACATATTGTGGATCATGCCCAGGCTCTCTGCGTCGGGAACTGCGCCTAGGCCTTCGAGACAGAGAACATAGGCGTCGAGGTCGGGTCTGATACTCTCATCGGGATGGGCACGCATGTGTCCGAAGATGTGAGAGGCCATATCGGCACGTTTGCGGCCAAAGAAACCCTCCATGAGCTGGACCCGCTCATGTCTTGACGTCTCAGGAAAGAACTGGCGCATGAGCGAGTAGCCATCCCATGCCCTTGCAGTGCTTACAGCCTTGTCAAGGCAATATCTCGAGAAAGCTTCCCGGACGATTCGCCGCTCGTCCATGCTGAACGTTTTCAGGTGCAGCCCCAATGTATCCACGACCTCCATGGTTTTATCGTCCCTCAGGAACCTTAGACACAATGCCACCACTGTGTCGGGCTTCAGTTCGCCCTGCTGGCTTTCGACAAGACCCAGAACGTCGACGATCCTCCGAGAGTCCGTGGAGTCTGCGTCGCACAGATGCCTTAGATACAAATTGACGGTATCCACGTTTTTTGACCCCGATTGTAAGCGGCCACAGTGGATCAGATCTTCGAAGGCGGAGGCGGCGCCGGTCCTGTCATGCCCAATCATACGCGCCTCGAGTAGAAGCGCAAACGTTCTCACATTTGGTTTCAGGTCCATCTCAGAAGCCAGAGCGTTCGCCCTTTCGGCAAGGAGAGCGTTCTTGGTCTCGACCGCGGCCTCAATCAAACCATTGATGGTGAAAATGTCTGCCCTGACATACTCATTGCCTGGGTTCAACTGCACAATGACATCAATCATGTGTCTGATATGGTTGATGTCCTTGCCCTGGTATACAGCCCACTTCAGAACAACATCCCACCAGAGCTTTGGTGGATTCGAGTCGCAAAGATCCTGCATAGCCACCTGCAGCCAGTCTGGCTGACAACTTGTTCTGAAAGAAAATCTAATCAGACTCATGTAGGACTCTGGCCTTGCCATCTTGCCCCCGACGATCGGTCTCTTGAACCATTCGTGGAGCTGTCCGTCGGCGTCGCTCTCCGTTTCAGCGAAGAATGTTGTCATTATCTCGTGGAATTCTGAAGTGTACTCAAAGCCGAGATCTTCCAACTGTTTTGCATATATTTCGGGTGATTCCTGCCGCTCTGTGGCGATCCCCCGGAGAACCAGCATGTGAAGCCTCGACAGCTTGTCGGACTGAATCAGCTTGGAGTGACGCATGAAGCCCTGTAAGCTCGACAGGACTTGTGATGCCTTCCTCGACCCGCCGAATCTAGTCAGTGCTGTAATGTAGAGTTCCAGATCCGCCGAATTTATTTCTTGGCGTGCATCTTCTTCCGGCCTGAGATTCTTAGAACCAGTTCTTGTGGCCTTGATCCCATCATACAAGATAGTAGCAATCTCACTGTGGTCGCGAGAAATTCCTTTGGACCGCGGCGTTGCAATCGCGCCCAGGGCCTTTTGTAAGTCCTGGTGGGTCAACGCGAGCTCTTCCGTCTTTATCGACTGCAGGTGTTCGAGGACTAGACGCGCGACGAAAGCCTCAGACGAGTTGACAGCCCGCCTGTGCGTAAGTTTGGAGTCGAAGAAGGCCCGGAACGCCTGCACCAGCTCCTCGTCAGAAGGTAGTCTGGTGCCCTCGACCGAGTGCGCGCGGAAATCGACAAAGGTGGTGAAGCCTGGTTCGAAGCCTGCTTGTTTGACTTCTCTTGGCTCTTTCTTCCACATGTTCATAAAGGTCCTTCGTGAGAGATGCGTGAGCGAGCCATGGCGGGGCCGTGTTGGTCTCAGGGAGAGGGAGGTATGGCCCGGCGCGGAGAGGGCGCAGGCTGGCGAAGTGAAGCCATGGGAGGCCACAAGTTGTCGGCACACCCTGCGCGATAGGCTGGACCGCATCGTAGAGCTGGATTATCGGTAGAACCCTGAACTGGACGAACATTAGCCATGCCACACGCTTGCTACCTCTGGAAGAAGATAAACTCGCCTTGGACTTACCGAAACATGGTGTTTGCGGCCAATTGGCCTACTTCTTGATATGTGACTCCTCGAGTGTGCTTTGGAAGCTCCTTGCAACTTCCTGAGAATTTGACGGCCCCCCCAAAAAAAAAAAAATCACTCGGGGAGGGGTATTCTGGCTGTTGAGGTTGATGACTTCAGTTGCCTGTCGCAAAGTTCCGAAGCTCTCCCACATTCGATGCCGGCCGGCGCGGGAGCTTGGGCGCCCAGGGGCGCGATTGCTTACAGGGGTTCAAGAGCCTGTCCTGCCCGTGCTTACCCGCTCCCCTGGTGGCCCAGATGCAGGGGTAGGCGCTGTAGAGTTCCACCACATGAAGTCGCTCGACGACATTCGCCATTGCCAACCTTAACGTCACGCACAATCATCCCTCTGTCTCTTTCTAACTCAATCTCCTCCTACACGTTCGTCGGCTGCTTGGACGTAATCTAACTGAATTATTCGCATCATCACGACGCGCGTTCCGCAAGCATCCTGCCTCGTCGCAATTTAATCTCACGAAATCTTCCGCATCAACATCACGATGAACGGCCTCAACGGCGGCAACGTGTCCGCGATGGTGGCGGGTTATCCGACGCCGGCCGGCTATCAGGCTGAATTGGCATACATCTACAGTATGGTTGATGTCTTAAGCCAGCAATTGGCAGAGAACAAGCGGGCCCTCGAAGACGTGGTTTCTAGCGTTGGCCGGGTCAGGAGTCGAGCAAGAGCACAGTCGCTGGGCAATGAGGACTTGATATCTTCCGCAGTCGATGAGCTCGAATGTGGGTGGTCCCTCCTTATACGAATGACTCCCATGGTGTGATAATCTCGCAAACTAACCCCACTGATGTCCGCCCTACAGCACAACAAGCGAATATAGACACCACCATCTCCCTGCTCACTGAGCTCTTTGAACGCGCTAAGTGCAGCCGCGACGAGTATCGCCAGCTCTCTCAACAGTACGCTTCCGTGATCGCCGCCATGCTGAAGCAATTCCACGAGTACAAACAGAAGCACGTCGCCGACGTCGCGGCGTGGCACCGGTCATACCGCGCGCAGCTGGCCGAGGAGCGCGCCGAGAACATGCGGCTACGCGACCAGATCTGGGAGATGCAGGCGCACGCGGGTAAGGCCAACGAGAACCTCAGACATTTTCGCAAGAAGTACGACGAGGACGAGACACGCTGGGAGCGGCGCGTAGACATGAAGTCCGTGCGGCAGGAGCTGCGCTTCTGGAAGCGGATGGCGATGCCCGAACTGCCAGACGATGATCCATACTGGAGCGACGATGACGACTTGGTCGACTCGGTGGAGAAGCTGCGACTGCAGGAGATAGAGAGAAGGGTCGCCGACGAGGCGCTCGCGGGTATGGGCAACATGGAACAAGGACTCGCGGGCCAGGACCTGGACCTGCCGCAGGGTTTACAATCTCCAGCCATGATGGGAGGCGTGCCTATGCAGAGGGATGACTCTGGCGCGATACCAGTGCTGCCACCACGGCCATCCAGCGCGGCGAGTACAGGCTCCTCAGGACAGCCAAGCTAGCTGCGCTTGTCCACAAGGGTGATGTGACCTGAGGATTCGGCTCAGAGAGAGAGAGAGAGAGAGACAGCATTGCATTATAACTTGCACGCATCGCAACTGCTTCACGATACCATGTTAGAAAGACTACGACACTAATACACTCGACAATGAGAACAGATGGGCAAAGATGAAAAGCTTGGCACTCCTGGAAACGGCCTCTCTTATTACTTTCCTCGAGAGCAGACTTCGAGGAGCTAGAGGGTATATTTGTTGAACCTGAGAAGTCCAAGTGGCGTTGCAGGGGATTATTTGTTCAGAGAAAGTGGCTATTCGGCTGACGGATATGTATTTTCGTGATAAATAAACGAATAACCTGACCGTCCAATAACCCATGTCTCCCTTGGGACTGATGGTTTCATACCTTTTTCCATTATACACAAAACCTCATAATCATTACAGTGGTCAATTAAGGACGTGACCATATCCAGTCCTTTCAATACCCCGGCTGCTCCTTTCTGTGGTCTGATTTGGCACTATCACCGGCCTCCTTGATCGCCTCATCGTCACCACGCAGCTTGGCAAAATACTCCTTGATGTCCTCTGCAGAGATGGCCTGGCCACTTTCCGCAAACTGCTGGAAGAAGGGCTTCAGCTTGTCCTTGAGCTGGTTGTATGCCATGACGCCCTCGATGGCGCGTACGCGGTCTACGTTGCGTAGAGCACTCTCACCGCGCTCGTACAGGCTACCGCTGCCGTGCGTCGAGCCACCATTCTCAGAGCCCTCCTCTGAGATGGGCGGTTCGTAGATCTCTTCTTCCTCGAGCAGCTGTGCGTGCGCCGCCAGGGCTGGAAAGCACTTCTCACACCGGCAGAATCGGTCTCTAAACGACTCTGTGCAGAAGATAGAGAAGCTTCCCTTGGGCGCAGGCGGCAGTGTGTCGGCTTTGCAGGTCTCGGGCTGGGTTTTGTTCGGCGTGAGCTCACCCTTCACAGCGGGTTGTTCGTCGCTGGTCGTTGTTGCGGGTCGTTCTTCGCTCGGCGCCTCAACCCCGACAATGTCAGCACCGTTCGCCTCGTTCTTGAGCCTCTTTGGCACTTGAAAACCACCAGGCTCATCGTCGTCGACCTTGCGCTTCTTCGAATTGGACTCATCAGCAGCATCGTCGACAGCAGTCTGCTGCTCTGTATCATTCTTCGTCTTATAAAACACTGGCGGAAGGAAACCGGACGCCCCGGCGTAGCGCTTGATCCAGGGGTGTGCGTCGACACATTTGAAGCAGATAAAAGTTTCGAACTCGTCGTCTTTGGGGAATCCTGGCGGATTAGGCTCATCGTCCCCGTCTTCGGCGGCCTCATTCCCATTGCCTGATGTACCGTTGCCATTTGGCGCGCTTGTCTCTGCGTCTTCAGAAATTGGCGGCAGCGCCCCGTCTTCGACTGTCGCAGCCTTCTGAATATTTTTGCCCTCCGTCTTCTCCATCCAATCCGGACCAAGGCCTACAACACAGCCAGGGTGGAACCAGTCCTCGCCACAGCCTCCTGTTTCATGCGTGCCCAGCCCCAGGCACTGGAACATCGTCCCTTTCTGCTGGAACGGGTCATAATCACACTCGCACGCGCAGAAGCGATTGCGGAAGTTCTGGTTGTACTTGTTTGTCGCGCTGGGCTCCTCCGAGTGCACGCCGCCAAGGGTGTTGGTCAGTGGATTCAGGCGCAAGGTGCATGGGCTCGTCGAGGGTAGGCGCTTCGTGCCGCAGTCACACGTAAAATTGCGCTTGGTGAATATCTCGACTAGCTGGTGCTCGCCGTGGCACTGCACGGAGCATGCGTAGCAGATACCAGCAGCATTGTATGGGTCGGTCGGGTTCTTTGGGGGAGGGTTGCAGGTGAGGCAGGAGAACACGCTCTGACGGAGGGGACCGAGCTCTTTGGTACAGTGTTCAATGCTCTGCGGTCGTGTCAGCAACCTGTAAGACCACGAGTGAGAACGCGACAGGACATAGGGAACTCACGTATGGCAGTGCTTCGCGCGCATCGGCTTCGAGCTGCATCTGATCGCGGAGAATGCTGATGTCGCGTCAGTACAATATAGTCTGTGTTTTCTAGAGGACCGCACTCACTCAGCCGCGGTCTGAGAACCGTCGGACTGCTGCGAGGAGCTGTCGCGACGGGTCAAGCCGTGGTCTTGCTCGGCGCCACTGGAAGGGTCAGCGGAAGGCTCTGGTAGGGAATCCATCATGGCAAGTAGTGCTGTGTGTGGGTCTTGAGAGATGTGATGTGTGGAGAGCACTGCTCCAGATGAAAACTTGATGTTGATACGCTTTTGGATTTTGGATCTGGGAAATAGAATCCAAGATACAGCACGTAACGCAAGCCGCGTCGCTGGACGTGTGGTCGTCTAACGACCCTTGCTAATGTGTATGTAGTACTATGGTAAGCTTTGGTGGCTAGGGTGCACTGCAGTGTGAGGACTACCACAGCTGCCAGGTAGTACACGCGCTAAAAAGCACTTTAAAGTCTGCTCCAGCGCATGCTGCAAAGGGCCTAAGCTGCTATATCCAGAAATTCTTAGCGAGTATCGCCCCGCATTTACAGCTAGCAGCTGCAGAACCGACGCGCCCCCCCCCCCACCCTCAAAACGCGGTTTTGGGAGAAGCGCGTATTTACGCGTAAATTGGCTCCATTTCTGAAAGTTCCCATTTCCCAAACTCCCACAAGGGAACTCAGCCTTCATCTGTCGTTGCCCATATTCCATCTTCAACCTAACCCTCCCCAATGATCTATTTGAACTGGTACTGTGTACGCTAGATCATATCATCAGTTGACAAAATGAGGTATGTCGTTCACTTACAAGTAAACAAATCTCTTAACCTCTCGAATGCACAAGCCCTGAGCGGCTGACACTCCCGACTTCCAGCTCCCCTCTGCGAGACAATCCAGCCTCCGCCAACCGCGGAACGGCACCTCGATCGGGCCTGAAGCGATCTCGTGGCGCTGGTGATGATATGTCTTCCTCTGTCGGCCGGGCATCGAGCCCCATGCCTTCCTCCCCTCCAGCCTTCAATATTGCCCACGGTGGTGATGACGATGACGACATTGAGGAAGAAGCCGAGATCCAGGATGATATCGACGACCTTGATGAGATGGCCGAGGATGATGTCGATCTTTTCCGAGAGGGATTTGAGCACGATTACCGTGAGAGAGACGCCAATGACGAGTACGAAGGGATCGACCTCGACGATGACGGGCAATATCAAGACATGAGCATCGCCGACAGGCGGAGGCTCGAGGCACAACTGAACCGCCGAGACCGCGAGGTGGCCCGCAGGGGTCTGCCGCGCATTTTCCTTGATGATGGTGTAGATGAAGAGGGCGATGTCGACTTGACTGCACAGCCTCGCCGCCGCCGCCATCGCTACGATGAGGACCCCGACGAGGATATGGACGGCGACATCATGGAGGAGGAACTCTCGCTGGAGGCACTCCGAGATGTCAAGTCGTCCAACATCACTGACTGGGTATCGCAAACAAACGTCCAGCGATCTATCAAGCGCGAGTTCAAATCCTTCCTCACCGAGTTCACGGACGACAACGGTCTATCTGTCTACGGCAACCGCATCCGAACCCTTGGTGAGATCAATGCTGAGTCTCTCGAGGTCTCGTATCAGGAACTGGCGTCAGAGAAGGCCATCCTGGCCTTTTTTCTAGCCAATGCTCCCGCCGAGGTACTCAAATTGTTTGACGAGGTTGCCATGGATGTCGTCCTCTTGCACTACCCCGACTACGAGCGCATTCATGCCGAGATTCATGTTCGCATCTACGACCTTCCCCTGAATTATACTCTGCGCCAGCTCCGACAGCAGCACCTGAACAGCCTGGTTCGGGTATCTGGTGTGGTCACAAGGCGTTCTGGCGTGTTCCCACAGCTGAAATACGTCAAAGTTGACTGCAACAAGTGCGGCGTCACCTTGGGTCCTTTCCAGCAAGAGTCCAACGTCGAGATCAAGATCACTTACTGCCAGAACTGCCAATCACGGGGTCCATTTACCCTCAACTCTGAGAAGACAGTCTACCGCAACTACCAGAAACTAACCCTGCAGGAGTCGCCTGGTACGGTCCCTGCTGGTCGTTTACCCCGTCATAGGGAGGTCATTCTGCTCTGGGATCTGATCGACAAGGCCAAGCCTGGCGAGGAGATCGAAGTCACCGGCATCTATCAGAACAACTATGATGCGCAGCTGAACAACCGAAATGGTTTCCCTGTCTTTGCTACCATCCTAGAGGCGAACAACGTGGTGAAGACCCATGACCAGCTTGCTGGGTTCAGACTCACTGAGGAGGATGAGCACGAGATCCGCGCCCTGTCGCGAGACCCACAGATTATCGACAAGATCGTCAACTCCATCGCACCAAGCATCTACGGCCACACAGATATCAAGACCGCAGTTGCGCTCTCTCTGTTTGGCGGCGTGGCAAAGACAGGCAGGGGCGAACACCACGTCCGAGGCGACATCAACGTCCTTCTTCTGGGTGATCCTGGTACCGCCAAGTCTCAGGTGCTCAAATATGTCGAGAAGACGGCCCACCGTGCTGTCTTTGCCACAGGCCAGGGAGCCAGTGCTGTCGGTTTGACGGCTAGTGTCCGTCGTGACCCCTTGACTAGTGAATGGACCCTTGAGGGTGGTGCTCTGGTGCTCGCCGACAAGGGCACCTGTCTCATCGACGAGTTCGACAAGATGAATGATCAGGATCGTACGTCTATCCACGAGGCCATGGAACAGCAGACCATCTCCATCTCCAAGGCCGGTATCGTCACGACCCTACAAGCTCGCTGCGGTATCATTGCGGCTGCTAACCCGATCGGTGGACGATACAACTCGACCATTCCCTTCTCTGCTAATGTGGAATTGACCGAGCCTATCCTGTCTCGTTTCGATGTTCTCTGTGTTGTCCGCGACACGGTTAATCCGTCAGAGGATGAGCGCTTGGCGCGCTTTATTGTGGGATCGCATAGCCGCAGCCACCCTTCGACGAACTCGCAGAAGACGCAGGACGACTCGATGGATGTCGAGGCGGACACGCAGGGAAACAACACGCAAGCTACATCCAAGCCTGCCACAGCTCCGGCCAAAGAGGGCGAGATCCCACAGGAGCTCCTCCGGAAGTACATCCTGTGGGCACGAGAGCACTGCACGCCGAGGCTGGGCAACATGGATGAGGACAAGATTGCACGTCTCTTTGCAGACATGCGCAGAGAGTCTCTGGCCACTGGAGCCTACCCCATTACTGTAAGCTACGACCCAAAGCCCCTCGTCAGATATACACAGGGTAAAAGGCCAGGACTAACATTCTTCTTCCTCCCCAGGTACGTCACTTGGAGGCTATCATCCGCATCAGCGAGGCCTTTTGCCGGATGCGACTGGCAGATTACATCACGACACAAGACATCGATCGGGCCATCGCCGTCACGATTGAGAGTTTTGTCGGCAGCCAGAAGGTCAGCTGCAAGAAGGCCTTGGCACGGGCTTTTGCCAAGTATACGTTGGCCAGGCCGAGTGCAGGTCAGCGGAGAGCTGGAGGCGCTGCTGGTCGGAGTGGTCGGCCAGCTGCTGTCATGGCTTGAGGGGGTGGAATGATTGGCTACCTCGGTTCTATCACCTGCGGTCTATTTGTTATGTCTTGCCTTGTATGATTTCGGCGTTTGGATTCTTTTTCGGCAACGATGCCTGGTTTCACGCGTGCGACTTTTGCGCTCTTGACGGGATTCGACGATGGATATGAAGGATCGATGACGGGAAGGTATGAAGAGGTAGAGGGTCTCGATATTTTTCATCAACGAAGGGAACTATTTGTTCTTCATCTTTCTCTCCCCTGTAGAAATTCAATGGTTTGAACTGGCAACGAGAAGGGGAGGTGGGTGGATGCTTTTTTCTTCACCCGACGGAAGTATAGCAACACATCAGGTCGCATCCGAACCCATCAAAATTCAGCCTCCTTCGCATGATTGGAGTCTTCTTTACGAGAGGCATTTAGCCAAATAACCCGACTGGAGGAATTGACCCCCCCTCCCTTTTCCCCTTGCCCAATCTGCAGACTCTAGGTTGGTTGCATCCTGCTACTAAAGTAGACGCAGCAAATGGCGGCAGGATCCCTTTTCACATTTTTCTGTCGTGACCAGATGACAAAGAGAAGAACAAATTCTGACACCGCGATCCTCCTTCCGCCGTCGTCGGGTCCATCCGCCCTGGATGAATTACTGTGGTAAACAGCCTTAATCATCCAGGCGGCACGACGGTCCTAGCGTCTGACGCCCGCATGAATATGTGCTCCATTTCTCTCTCTTGAGACAGGCCAACAAGAGAGAGTTCCACCTCTGCGGTGAAAGTTCGGGGCTGGGTAAACCTCGGCTCCACAATGGTTTTCTGGAGGAGGGGAATAAGCCTTTGTGTCCCACCTGTCTGCTGAAAGGGGGGGGGGGGGTCTGCAGCGTATGCCAGCCTGGATAGTGGTACCGAGAATGGGCCCGGCCTGCGCACCCTTCTCCAGGTTGTTGTGACTTTGCGAGTCGATAGCTAGACACGAGGTTATAGAGCGATTGAGAGCGAGAATGGAGGGAGAAAGCGGTTGGTGGTGGAGTGGATATACCGTCATACTATCTATCATAGTAACTGCATTCCACTGCAGGCACAATGGGCAGGGGTCCCCCTCTTAAATCGACCTCGGAAGGAGCGAGCCAGAGACAATCGCTGGAGAACGTCACGTTACTACTTACTTATGCCTTTACAGTACAGTATGTCACCTTACTAGGTGACTCAGGATATAACTTATACGAACCCCTTCCGTCTTGGATTTCAACCAACCCCCTCTCCCTCTCCTCCTCCCTCACCTATACTTTAAAGGGCCAACTACCATCTCCTTGCTCCAAACGTTCTATATTCCATTGTCGTGTGTTTCATTCCTCTTCTCACTTCCATTCCCTCTCTCACCTTCTACCTAAGCACTTCTTTCCTCGTTCTCATTTCTTTCCATCCCTCTGCATAAAGACAGGACGTGACTGCACTGCACAAGATGGCGGATATTAATGTAGAAGAGGTTCTGAAAAAGCTCTCAGACGGCGAGAAATGTGACCTACTGTCGGGCATCGACTTTTGGCACACAAAGGGCCTCCCTCAGCATGGCATCCCGTCGCTGCGACTCTCTGATGGACCCAACGGAGTGAGAGGCACCAAGTGAGTTCACTTCGTAACCCGGCCGGAAAGCAGGAGGGAGGAAGAGAGCACACTCGTCAACATGATGACCCTAGTCCCCCTCGTTTCTAACCACTCCAAAAACAATAGGTTTTTCAATGGCACCAAAGCCGCCTGCTTCCCTTGTGGCACCGGCTTAGGCGCAACCTTTAATTTACCCCTCCTTCACGAGGCAGGCATCAAGATGGGCGATGAGGCCAAGTCTAAGGGCGCCCACGTGATCTTGGGTCCGACAATCAACATGCAGCGCTCCCCCTTGGGTGGTCGCGGGTTTGAATCGCTGGGCGAGGACCCCGTGCTGGCTGGTCTGGGCGCGGCGGCCCTGGTCCGCGGCATCCAGAGCACAGGCGTGCAGGCCACCATCAAACACTTTGTGTGCAACGACCAGGAGCACAAGCGCAACGGGACGAACGCCATCGTGACGGAGCGGGCGCTGCGGGAGATATATGCGCGGCCATTCCAGATCGTGGTGCGGGATGGGCACCCGGGAAGCTTCATGACGGCGTACAATGGGGTGAATGGCGAGTGGTGTAGCCAGAACGAGAAGCTCCTCGGCGACCTGCTGCGGCGCGAGTGGGGCTGGAAGGGCCTGGTCATGAGCGACTGGTTCGGCACGTACAGCACGGTCGAGGCGGTCAAGGCGGGCTTGGACCTGGAGATGCCTGGTCCGCCCAGGTTCAGGGGTGAGCCGCTCAAGTTCTCGGTGGAGACGGAGAAGGTCAGGGAGCATGAGCTCGACGAGAGGGCCAGGACGATGCTGGAGTTTGTCAAGACGTGCGCGGCATCTGGAGTCAAGGAAGGCCAAGAGGAGAGGGCCGAGGATACGCCCGAAACGGCGGCACTGCTGAGGAAGATTGGCTCTGAGTCAATTGTGCTGTTGAAGAACGAGGGTGGTCTCTTGCCGCTGAAGAAGGACAAGAAGGTGAGAATAAAAGAAATACTGGATCTGCGAATAAGTGACTGACTGGCTGACATACACAAACAGACCGTTGTCATCGGTCCCAACGCAAAGATCGCGACCTATCACGGCGGTGGCTCGGCCTCCCTCGCCGCCTTCTACGCAGTGACTCCCTTTGACGGCATCTCGGCCAAGCTGTCCACTACCCCAGGCTACACCATCGGCCAGTACTCGCATAAGATGCTGCCTCTTCTCGGCCTCTCGGTACGGTCCCTCTCCGGCAGGCCAGGCATGACCATGACGGCATACAACGAGCACCCACTCGAGAAGCCCGACCGCAGGCCTGTCGATGAGGTCGAAATCGACAAGACTGAGCTGCTGCTGGTTGACTACTACAACCCAAAAATCACCTCACCGAAATGGTACGCTGACTTCGAGGGCTCCTTTGTTGCCGATGAGGATTGCACGTGGGAGCTCTCGCTCGTGGTGGTCGGCACTGCCAAGCTTTTCTGCAACGGCGAGCTCATAGTGGACAACGACACCCAGCAGACGGCCGGCGACACCTTTTTCAACCAGGGCACAGTGGAGGAGAAAGGCAGGCTGAACGTGCGAAAGGGCCAGACATACAGCTTCAAGGTACAGTTCGGGTCCGCGGCGACCTCCAAGCTCCGCGGTGGGCAGGTCCTCTTCGGCTCGGGGGCGCTACGCATCGGTGGGTGCAAGGTGATCGACCCAGCGGCCGAGATCAGGCGCGCCGCCGATCTGGCCAGGGATGCCGACCAGGTCATCATCTGTGCTGGCCTCAACGCCGACTGGGAGACGGAGGGCTCAGACCGCGCAGGCATGGACCTCCCGCCCGGAATCGACGAGCTAATCGAAGCCGTCGCTGAGGCGACCAGCGGGAAGCTGGTCGTCGTCAACCAGTCCGGTACGCCCGTTACTATGCCATGGGCGTCCAAGGTCAATGCCGTCGTCCAGGCCTGGTACGGCGGTAACGAGACCGGCAACGCCATCGCCGACGTCCTGTTTGGCGACTTCAACCCCAGCGGGAAGCTGAGCCTCAGCTGGCCCGAAAAGGTCCAGGACAACCCTGCGTTCCTCAACTTCAGGACTGAGGGCGGCAGGACCATCTACGGCGAGGACATCTACATCGGCTACCGGTACTACGAGTTCGCGCAGAGGGCTGTGCTATTTCCCTTTGGCCACGGGCTCAGCTACACGACCTTTGCCTTCAGCGGTCTGCAGGTGGCGACGTCTGAGAAGGGCAAGCTCTCGGTGAGCGTCCAGGTCAAGAACACGGGCGAGACCAAGGGGGCTGAGGTGGTCCAGGTCTACGTCGCGCCCAAACAAAAGGCCAAGGTAAATAGGCCGCCCAAGGAGATGCAGGGCTTCGCCAAGATCGAGGTGGGGCCTGGAGAGACGAAGGAGGCCAAGGTCGAGATGGAGACCAAGTATGCTGCTAGCTACTTCGACGAGGAGAGGAACAAGTGGTGCGTGGAGGAGGGCGAGTACGAGGTGATTGTGAGCAATAGCAGCGAGGTCAAGGAGGGCAAGGCTGTCAGAGGGACATTTAAGGTGCCCAAGACCTTCTGGTGGAGCGGTATTTAGGGGACTTTTCCCCTGGCCCCCCTTCCTCCATACAGCAGAAGGGGTCACATATTTATACATGCATGGAAGAGGAGGAATGAAAAAAGGAGATAAGGAGTTAAGTGCTATTGCTAAGTTGAAGGATTTGCTGAGACATCTCGGTGCGTAATGTCATGTATCCAATTTAACGTGGTCCCTCATTCAATAGGCAATCCCTCGAGAGGATTTTCAGCATCCTCGCTTCACGTGCTCTCACGCTAACTATTGTACAGACGAACACCGCGTTTCAACCAATATGCACACACACACTTACACACACACACACACACACACACACACACACACACACACACATTATATATGGGGGCTGAAGCGGTATGTCATGTTGAGTAGTGGGAAGCGTCCAAGTAAAGGCAGCCGCATCATAAGGAAGATGTTCTTCCCCACTCATGATAAGAAGGGAGAAGCGGGTACCAACAAGGAAGGGAGCCTGTTCGGCATGCACAGACTCAACCTTTTCGCACATTCACGTAGTAGTACCACGTCAACGCAGCCACCACCCACCGCAACAGCGCGCTCTTCTTGTTGGCGGTGCCGAGGCCGAGGACGAACTTGAGCCAGTAGCCGGCGCCGCGGGTCACCTTGCCGTCGCGGTCAAAGTTGGGCTTCTTCTGGGACATCCACCGCATCAGCCGGAGCTGGCTCCAGTCGTACGGCTGGTAGCGGATGCGCAGGCCGCCCTCGGCCCAGCTGGGCGTGTCGGCGAGGGTGCGGAAGTGCGTAAAGGTGTCGAACGAGGCCTTGCCCCGGTAGGCGCCCGAGCCGGACTCGCCGACGCCGCCAAAGGGTACGTTGGCTACGGAGCCGTGCATGTAGGAATCGTTGTAGGTCGCGCCGCCCGAGGTGACGGCGTTGATCACTGATATGCGTTTTATTAGCTTGGTATTGCATGAAGGAGAGAAAAAGGAAATAAAGAAGAAAAAGAAGAAGAAACGGCCAGCCTTTTCACACAAGAGAGAGACTTACGCTTATTGAATTCGTCCTTGGTGCCGAAGCCAAACAGGGACAGCGGGGTAGGGTCAATGCTGTTGGCGATCTCGATGGCCTGGCCCAGGGTATCAAAGGGCATGATGGAGAAGAGGGGGCCGAACGACTCCTGCACCATCATGCTGTCCTCGACAGAGTTGACCAGGACGGCGGTGGGCGCGATAAAGAGGTCGGACTGGTCCATCTGGCCGCCCATGACGATGCGGCCCTTGGTCTCGTCCAGCATGTTCTTCATGCGCAGGAAGTGCCGCTCGTTGACCACACGGGCCAGGTCAGGGCTCTCCTTGGGGCCGTTGGGGAAGAAGTCGCGGAAGGCAGCGGTGAGGCCCTTGATAAAGTCATCGACGACCTCGCGCTCGACCAGGACGTAGTTCTGGGACATGCAGACCTGGCCGGCACACAGGGTCTTGCCCCACAGCAGGCGCCTGGCAGCTATCTTGAGGTCGGCGTTGCGGGTGACAAAGGCCGGGTTGCGGCCGCCCAGCTCGAGGGCCACGGGGGTCAGGGACTCGGCGGCCTTCTTGCTGATGATGCGGGCGATCTGGGCGCTGCCCGTGTAGAAGATCTTGTCCCACTTCTGGTCGAGCAGGGCGGTGGTCTCTTGGACGGCGCCGTTGACCACGCGGTAGGCAGAGGGATCCAGGGCCGCTTCGACAATCTCCCCGATGACGGCGGCGACGTTGGGGGCGCCCTCGGACGGCTTGACAACGGCAGTACAGCCGGCAGCGATGGCGCCAACGAGGGGTTCCAGGCTGAGCATCAGGGGAAAGTTGTAGGTGCCAATGACCAGAACAGCACCCATGGGCTCCCTGCGGACGCGAATGTTGTTGGGCCTGTGGTGGAAAGGGACGCTGGGGTACTCGTCCTGGGCCCACTTGTCGAGGTTCTCGATGGTGAAGATGATGGTGTTGGTAAGCCAGTCGATCTCGGTCAAGTCGGTTTCATACTGAGACTTGCGCAGGTCGCGCAGCATAGCTTCCTCTATCTGGGAGGCGCGGTCCATGATGGCCCAGTACAGCTTGCGCAGCTGGACCTTGCGGTATTCCAGGTCCTTGGTCCTGAGGGTGCGGTAGGTGTTGCGGACAGTGGCGCACATCTCGGAGATGGTCTCGACAGGCGTGGCGGCAAAGGCGGGGATGGAGACGGCGGAGCCCCGCTGGGAGGCTGACTTGGAAGCCATCTTTTGCCTGCCTTCTTTGCTATCTGCTACAGTTGAGTGATCTTGTTGGAACCCAGAGAAGAGAGAGAATGTGTGTGTGTGTGTGTGTGAGTGAGAGAGAGAGAGAGAGAGAGAGAGAGAGAGAGAGAGAGAGAGAGAGAGAGAGAGAGAGAGAGAGAGAGAGAGAGAGGGCAAGTGAGAGTGTGGTTGGATCTCTTGAGATCAAGGCGGTGGTCGTGTGTTCAAACGATATTGTTGACCAGAGCCGAGGCCCAATCCAGCTTGAGCTCTCTCGTGCCTGCTCAGAGAGGACGGAAGAAAGAGGTGAGGAGAAATACGACAGGTGTGTGGGGGTGGGGATGAGTGAGGAGCGGAGTTTGTTGCGGGAGCTTGAATATTTAACAGTAAAATTCGAGATTGATAGGCCCGAGGTTAGAATTGTTCCTGTAGACAGGTGAGGAGAAAAAGAAGCAAGAGAGAGAAAAAAGCCAAGGATGTGTGAAGCAGAGTGTGAGGTGAATGGAAGGCGATGAAAGGTGTGAGGGAGACGGAGGTTGGAGTGCTGCTGGTGAACCAGTGAAAGGTGGAGAAAGTGATGCTAGAGTTGGAGTTGGGGTTTATGCCGATGCAGAACCCCACATGGAGGGAACCACGGATACCGTCGCTCTGGCTCTCCAGGCCCAACACGGGAAGCTACCGAGGTTAGGGGCCCATGTGCTGCTGCCCCTTGTGGACTCGTTAGCTCCCCGGCGTCAGTGTCAGTGGGCGCGTCTCGGTGCTTAGAATCCCGGCCCTTTTACTACCCGAAACATTGCATCGCACTACTGAACTTTCTCTCTCACATGCAATGATTGATTTGACAAGCCCCGACGCCAGCCCTCTCAGCCCCCCAGCCAGATGGCTTGCAGACCAGGGGACGGCGAAAGATGCAAGCTATCCCCCCGACGGACCTTTTTACATAAGTATACCTAATATCCGCTCCCGTGAATAGCATCATGCCAGTTCATCGTCTGGGGATGGCGAGTATTGTTGTACACCTTGTTCTTGTCCACTGACACATAATCAAGATTGTTCGCTCCTTTCTTGTCCACCAGTACCAGCTGAGGCTCATCGTGCGCCGCTGTCGAATCTCGCACGTAGTACGTCGCCTCCTCTGCCTCCTCGCTGGCCTCGCCCCCGACACTCTCCTTGGCACTGTCGATCGGTTTGGACTGGTTGGCAAGCAACATGATGCCCCCCTTCTCGAGCCAAGGGCCCGGCTCTATGCCTTTAACCAGTCCATATAACCCACCAGCCAGCAGGGCCAAGAGCACCACGACGAGTATCACTACCGCCGCCCATTCCCACGCCATCCTCGGCCCAGAGGCATAGATCTCCCATCGGATCGGAAAAGACACAGTCGTCTCCTCGGGGTCGGACGATGTGGTCGTGTTCCAGTCGGCAATGGTGACCAGATGCTGGGCCATCACTGCAATGACGGGCGCCATACCGCGTGCATCGTCTGTTGCTGAGAAGTTCTTGTTGAAGTAGGCCAGGTTGCGGGCGGTCAGCACCATATGGTAGACAATCCCGCTGTCCAGCAAGCCACTCATACGGCTGGTGATGCTGTTGAGTTCGCCCTTGACATCTCCAGCACAGGTCCTGTCCTCTGTGAAGGGCCCCAGCGGCAGCGGCTTGGTGCCCTTGTTGGAGCCATAATTGTCCAGTGATACAGAGACGCCGGCGCCGTCTATAATCCAGCTACCAACTGGATAGAGGGCCTGGGAGAAGGTCATGTTGCAGGTGACACCGGTGAAGTTGAGCGCCGTCACAGCCCCGATCGTCACCTCCAGGGTGGAATCTGTCGGCGATTCTCCTCGAGGACCGTCGACCTGACGCCACAGATTAGTCACGACTCTTGGGTGTGCTTCTGCGCGGGGGGGGGGGTTCTGCCGCTTACCTCAATGCACCCATCGCACGTGGCATTACCAGGGAAGCCAGACGTGCAGGTGGTGGTCAGCATGGGCACCGTCAGATTGAGGAACGCGTGCCAGCCATTGGCGTAGCGCTGAAAGCTGTGCGACCCATTTGCTGTGAAATAGTTGAAGGTGTCCTGGACCACAGAGTTCTGCACCGACATGGTCTGCACGGTAGACCCGTTGACGACAGTGTTCACGCCAGTCATGTAACCAGGTATCTCGGTGGTCACTGCAAACCAGCCTGGGTCAGGCTGTTGGTATGGTGCCGGGATGCCGCTGAGAAGTGTATACGTCGACGCAGCTACAATAGCCGCCGCCGCGTCCCAAGAAACCGGCCCGGAACCAATCATCTCCCACGCCTCGTTCCAGTAGTTGTTCCAGTCCAGGCTCACAAAGTGGGTGCGAGGCATGGTGATGGTCATCATCTCTCGCATGCTGCCCGTCAGATGGTATCCCTCGGTGTCCCCCGTGGGCCACCAGCGCTCCTTGGGAATGCCGATGGTGTTGACGGCGAGTCCCAAGAGCAGGACACAGAAAGCCACCGAGAGAGACGCCAGGAACCTCAGGATGTCCCTGGTCCCCAGCTTCTTCCATCCGTTCAGGGAGGCCCGCTTGTAGAAGTTCACAATACAAGTCAGCGGCTCTGTCAACTCCTTCTCCAGCTCCAGGTCGAGCAGGCCAGCGCCCCTGACCCCGAACGCCATCCAGATGGTGAGCACCACCGAGGCCGTGTGTTTCAGAGAGGACTGCACAAAGGTGTCCATCACCTTGTTGATGAGACCTATCGCTGCCAGCTGCAGGTCGACGTCGACTGAGATGCCACCGACCGTTGCGTCGCCGAGGTTGAAGGGCGTCCAGGAAGCCCCTAGCCAGATGATCCTAATGAAGCCAGTCAGCGTGTTGTCTCTGGAGGGGAATAATTCACGGAAAAAAAAACCCCCCCCCCCCTTGAAAAAGAAATGTGCAACTGATAAAAATGCTCACAGGATAACTACAACTGCAGGTAGGCAATCTCTCAAGACAAACATTGTCGCGGACTCCCATTTATCTGCCTTGAACGTCACCTCCGGATTCACATCTTTTTTCTTGAATCGTTGCCAGACCCTCCACCACTTCCCCGACTTCTTGGACCCTGAACTTGTTGACGACATTAATTATTATCTGGTTGCTGAGATAGAAAAGAAACGGAAAACTGTCCTAATTTTTTTCTTTCTTTTCTTTTGGGAATGGTTTGCACCTTTCAAGAACCAAGAGGGGATGAACAACAACACAGGGCGTTGTGAGCTTTTACAAGGCTGCGAGCATTCACTTATTACCACCCATTTCGCCTCCAGGTCCACAATTCGAGGCTTCACCCATGTAAAATGGCGTCCATAGAATGGACAAGCTGATACTTCAGCAATGTGGTTATCAACATTATCAAGCTGGGCATCCACTCTTCTCAAATCTAATGCCTAAATGTTTACAGCTACAATCCTACTCAATAAACCATGCAGGGGCCTTATGGGCCTTTGAGGTGTTACTGTGTGGGTGTCGTATACATTCCCACCGTTGCCAAGCCGCGCGGGCAGGATTCTCGTCGCTCATCAGATTCGCCTGGGTGCCTTCAAATGGATGGATGCCCTCTTATCCCATGGTCCCCACTTCAGCTGACCAAACCCGGTCAGATCCTCTGTCATACGAGTCCATAAGCAGTTAATTCCAGCCCACCTGCCAGACATGTGGTACGAAGCTCATGTTGTGTAAGTATTGAGGTGGAGTACTTTGGTAGGAAGTAGACGGGTGCCTAATATCATTTGGATCTTTGATGAGATGTTTAAATCTTCTATGTCTTTTTTCTTTTTTTAAGCATGGTGACCTCGATGCTGATTGCAAACTGAACAGAGAGCTTGATACGGCTTGAGATTACTCGATCCTGGTCCTTCTCTATTTGTGCAGACTACGTTTTGACCAGTCTGGTACACTTTCACTGCTCTGAATCTCTTGAAGAGTATTCATATATTCGGCGTAGCTAGCCATACTTGCCAGGAAGAAGATGCTAAATTTAGAGTTGGTTGAGCAATGTATCAATTTGCTTATAAGAATCCACATTTTGTTCATTATGCTGGATTGACACCTACAAATCAAGTTGCGCATAGTAACCTCTTCCTGTACATCGAATCTTGCCTTCTATCACAGGGCAAGGGGGGGTTTCAGGTATGCACTTTTATTCAGACCAGAATACATGAACTAGTATACTGTATTGGCCACTAAGTGGCTCAGGGTAACCGGACAGTTTCCAAGAATTTGGGAGCAGTCAAAACATGGTAGACCAAGTAATTTTCTAGAATACTGCCTGAGTAAAAAGAGAAACAATACTTTTCGCTTCTACATTCAGCTCACAATAAGCACCGAATCCAATATAATCAAAAAGCATAGACAATTAAAGTTTGCAGAATCTCAACGAAAAACCAAACAAAGCCCTCCGCAAGGCTTATTACACCTAGGTTCAAAGATAAGCAGACAAACTCAAATAACCGTTCCCAGCCCTATAGCAAAGTTCTACAATCGCATGCTGAATAATCAAATATCTTGGCGACCACCGGCTTCCAGTATTAGATATCTCGCTCGAAATAGCAGTTTCCCTTCAGGTTACAAGCAATCATAAGTAGGAACCCAGTCTTGGCATCGTTGTTATAGAATCGCCTTGATGTAAAGTCTGTTTAATGTAGAAGTAACTGAGCATTCATCTTTCGATGTCGCTCGAATCCACCGAAGGAACCACTAAAGATCTGGGTATTACCTGGACACACCCAGACACATCTCAACCTGGACAGCCCCAGGAGCCAAATGCCAAAAATTGCATCGGGCGCCGGCAGGCCCTTTCACACAACAGCTGTTACTAGTCCTCGGCAACCCACCCGCTGCCTCTCTCTGCTGGTCAGGTACTCAAAGCGCACCCTCGACCGTGCCAACAGCTGCTCCGGCCGTGCTTGCTACTGTAGAGGTAACGTCGCCAACAACAGTCTCCGCAGTAGAGACAACGCCATCGAGGTCGTCCAGCTGGCGCTTGATAATGCTCTCTACCCCAGAGGTGACTCCTTCAAGTCCAGTCGCACTCTCAACTCCGGAGAGAGTACCGGTGACGGTGCTGAGGGCCCCATCGATGACAGACCCAGCATCCAGGCCGTCCACCTGACGCTTGACAATGCTTCCAACCTCGGACGTAACCCCTTCAAGTCCAGTAGCGCTCTCAACATCAGAGAGCGCGCCGGTGACAGTGCCGAGGGTTCCATCGACAACAGATCCAACATCAAGGTCGTCCAGCTGGCGCTTGGCAACGCTCTCAACCTGAGAAAGAGCACCTGTGGCGGTGCTTTCAACAGTATCGAGAGCGGGCCCAACATCAACACTGACACTCGTGGCTAATATAGAATGTTTGTCAGTCTCTATTTCCTTTGCTGCACCAAGTTTTGAGCAAAGGGGCGAGAAGAGCCTACAAATGGGAGCCGCGAAGGCGGAAGCCATAAAGGCAGAGTTGATGGCGATTCTTAAAAAGAGCATCCTGGCTATTTTCGTAGTAATTTGGTGGTAATGAGAGGCAAAAGCGAAAGTATGGGATAGTAATGAATGGCAAATGGTTTCTGAAGGAGTGACTGGAGAAGACTGAGGAATATAGAAGTTGATGATGTTGTTGGGCAACCTCTGGCTCAATTTATATAAAATATCTGCACCTTCAGCCCATTCTAGCCACTGTTCCTGCACGGCACCTCTTTTGCCTTCTATTAGGAAATGATTCCATGATAAAAAAGCTTGTGCCGTTGCGATCGAACTGTGTTGTCTCAGGTTGTCAGGGGTGAATGCCTTAATGATCGACCTCCCCGCAGCAAGTTGGTGAGATTATCGTCCAAATAGCCGCGTTCAGTAAGAAACGGAGGTGGCATGCGACTCTAAGCCTCCCCCATACAACACAAAGTTTTGCACATCGCAATCTCATCCGTTTGATCAGCCTCATGATGATAGTTACTAGAAGGGGTCGTAAAAGTCAACCAGTCTCGAGCAGGAGTTGCAATGTCGGTGTGCGACTCTGGCAGGATGAAGTCGCAGCGATTGTGTTTGATTGAGGCGATATCTGATGACTAAAGGATCGCGTGGTTGCAACGTGGAAGTGCTGCCAATTTCATTTGAGCATTAAGGTTAAGACTATCAAATCTTCTGGCATCTACAAGTCCATCCGCTGTGACGCTCGTGATCTCCTCAGCCACGTAATCCCCAGCGCGAGGAAATTGGCTGATGTATGTGATCCTCCGCATCATCCTGCTATAATCTGAAGACTGTTATCTGGAGGCCATTTCTGTGAGCCGGGAGATACATGTCTCCCATCTTGCTCCGAGGCCTACAACACACAGAACAAACAAGCCCAGCATATTTGCAACGTATGAATGAGCGGTAGGAGATGGAATTACAAAGTAGCTTGATTGGATATTCTAAACAACAAATGCCTATCGCAATCTTTCAACCCTTCTGTCTTTCAAATGTCTGAAACGCAGTTTCTTCTAAGCCGCCTCCTATCCCCACCCAACGTTCCCCCGCAAAAAAAGATGTCCAATGGTAGATCTGCCGTCTTTGGCAACCATCTGCCGTAAAATGGGTCTGGCAGTGCTATTTACTATCATGAAACGGGTATCTATGAGTCGTAGGTATCATCAAACTCGCGTAGGTCCACCTTGCTCCTCTGCCGCTGCCACCTCTCCTTCGTCATCACCCTCCAGCCAAATCTCGTGGCCATCACCTTCTCTCACGAGCCAGCTCGCCATCCATCCAATGGTCGCGAAGCCGCTCAGGCCCCACCACACAGCGCCAACGACTCCTCTGGCAAGTCCGAGGCCATATAGATATCCACAGAGCATTGGGCCAATGGTCCTTGCCGCCGAGGTACAACTCTGTGCTAGGCCGTGCACGGTTCCCAGAACGCTTGGATGTGGTGAGCAGTTGTTTACCAAGATTGTGCTGTTGGGCAGGCTAAAGGTCCTCCCGACCACCTGAAAGAATAAAACAGCTGCTATGGAGATCCATAGCAAGATGCCGGACTTTGGGCTCGGCGGAGGCGACGCGCTCGGCACAAGTGACAGGTATGGAAGCAGGAAGTAGGTAACAGGGAAGCAGAGGAGGAACAACCGCAGACAGCGCACAGTGCCCAGTCGTGCAGACAAGGCTGGATAGACGACCAGTTGCAAAGTAATACCAATAATGCCCAGGATCGACATTGCCACACCGACTTTAGCGGGCGGAAGACCTAGTCCACCTGTAAAGACGAACGGCAAGTGACGCTCGGCCGCCGACGGCTTGGCAGGATCGTAGACCGGAGTCGAAAGGAAGACGAACCACAGGGAGTTGAAGGTGCCCACGTGGAAGGCGAGGAGAGAATGAGCAACGAGGGTTGTGCAGACGTTGCGGGTAAAAATGCGGCGGAAGGCAAGGCGCTGGGTATACCGAGGTCGCCGCTTCGTAGAAGTTGAGTCCCTCCCGACCGCAGAGGACATCCTCGGCGAGGTCGGGGAGTGTGCCATCTCGAAGCTGGTGTTGGCGTCTTCAGTAGACGCAAGGGCTTCGTATTTGACCGACGCCTGCCTACGAAAGCAGCAGGACACAGCCGAAGAGATCTTCTTTCCGAGCTCAATTCCCCAGTCTCTCCTGTCGGCTCGCGTGTCGAGCGTCTTTGAGAGGGTCAGCCATTTGTAGCATCGGCAGCATCCGAGATGATGACGATGATGATGGACCGGAACGACTTACTTCTTCCAGGCGCAACCAAGCTGACAAGGCTGCAGACATCAAAAGAAACGCACTGACGATGTTCGGTAAGGCGTACGGGAAGCGACGGAAAAACTCGACCTCCCCGAAGACAGTTGGATAACTGGTTGCAGGGTCGGCGAGGAGCCCGCCGAGGATGGGTCCAATGATGACACCGATATTGAAAGTCATTGGCAGCAGAACGAAGGCCCTCTGCTGATACTTCTTCTCACGCACGATTTCCGAGATCATCGTCCTGAGAACACCGACATTTCCGTTCGTAGCGCCTCCCAGGCTCCTAAACAGCAGCGCCTGCCAGAACGCCGTGCTGAAGCCAAACCCCAGACAGGATACCATGGTGCCCGTCAGACCAATGAGGAGAACCGTCTTGCGGCCAAAGCGACTGGAATCGGCAATACGCCCCCAGAGCATGGCTGTAAATAACTGCGCAGCTGTGAAGGAGGCATGTAGGATCCCCGCCTGTGTGGCAATAACCGAGTCCGGAAGTGACGGGTCGAACCACTTCAGCTGATAGAACATATAAGATTGCAGACTGGTCTGGACAAGAGGCTCCGACAACCTGGTGAGGACGATCACCATGAGCTGCTGCTTGTGAGGCAAGTCCTTCCAGGCTACTGCTTTCTTCACACCTTTGTGGTGGTTTCTGACATGTTGCTGTTCGTCAAGGCTTTGTGCACCGGCAATTTGTTGTTGCGCCCCTGCTCCTTCAGGTGCAGATAAAGGCACTGCATGTGCTTCACCCGTGTCTTGATCAGCATTTTGGCTCTGCAAGGGCCTGGATGCTTGCTCCACGTCACTATGACTTCCTTGTTCTGGCACATGTAAGTTTAGTTTGGTGTCTGCCATCGTCGGCTTTAGAGTTCAGCTTAAGCTCATTTCATAGGGATCTCGCGCTTGGTGCTTAGCCAGGTGATTATGACGTTTGCTGCGAACAGACGCTATTGTACTCCAAAGAGTAATTAATAGATCAAGGAGAAACGAATGTTGCTAAAGATGCACTTGTGTAAGGGTGAAATTGCGACAAAAATAAAGTGATCTTATAATTGTAGTATTGTTTGCATCCTCGGCTGGTATCTTTTTTGAATGAGCCAAAAGTCTAAGCATAATTTCTCAGCAGGCACTTCAAGAGTGGTAGTGAGGGGAAACGCAGATGAGTAGAAAACCCATCGCAGTGGAAACCCTAACCCAGCATTTGTGTTGGGCCCAATTTGATCCGAGCCTAAGTTTTCTGTATTTCTTATCTTGTTGCAAAAGGCTTGAGTTCCCCTTGTCTTATTCCAATGTTTGAAAACCTTGTTTGCTCTCCATAATTTGGAAAGCCGTGTTCATCGGATTTGCCAGGGCATTGGCAGCGCAATTTTTGTAGTCTCTTGAGTGTACTTGGCCTATGCTGTAGCAGCTAACCTACCGAAGAATACATCACATTCCTCACTGGACATCATTGAGCGCCTGCTCAGATTTGACCATCTGAAATTCCAATCATGTCTCGGGCAACTTCGCTTTCAAGAAACAGGAGGAGAGATGTTGCGCTCTCCATCTGGTCCAGGAGTGCTCCAAGTCAGTTTTGGATAGACAAATCACGGAATTCGACAAGTATCCCCAAGGCCGTCTTGCTGCTTGCCTTTCCAGGCAGCACAAATCACAGCCGGTAGATTGAGTCTTGGGAATTCAACATCCCAGAAACTCGTCTGGTCTCATAGCGTGATGTCGGACTTGATGTCGACGCTCGGGTTGGAGGAGATTGTAGGGTGTGGGGGGACCTATACGCAGTCACAGCAGTGAGTGTAGAATGCATGAAGTACTTACCTATGTATTGTAGCAGTGTAGTCGCAAATGATGCAGGAACCCCAGAGCCCCAGTAACCTTTAGGCACCCCCGGGAGTAGCGGGTCCCTGCCCTGCGCTTATCGAGCAGCCGATTGTCAGCAGTAATGTCGTCATGATTAGAGCCGTGACAGGGGTAGCTTCGACCACTCAGAGCGGCCGCATACTAAGCGTATGGGAGCATCACCAGTGTGGGAAGGCGTATAGGAGAGGGGGAGGGAGGGGGAGGGAGGGGGGAAGGACAGCCCCTCGCCCTGGGGCCCCTCACTGCGCCTGCCCTGTGAGAATTGAACGTGTTATCATTACTTCTGCTCCGCGTGCGTTTCGTATTCTCAAACGACTTGCAGCAACCCCTCATTCCCATTTGGTCGAGAACGTCACCTTTTCTATCTTGTCGTCCCCCATTGTCCCCCTTTTCCTTCTTCTTTTCCTTCCCCTCCTCCTCTCCTCCCTAGACTTAGGATCGTGAGCTTCATGAATCCTATCACACTCAGAGCCAGTCCATATTCTTTCTATAGAATTGCAAGACCAGCTACCATAAGCAACATCCTGTCCCTGACCAGGCCCAGAAGAAACCACGTCCAGCTTTATCGTCTCAGCACATCAGCTACACGAGCCATGGCCCAAGAGTACAAACTTCCGGGTGTCACCTCACTCGACCTGAAGCCAGGCTACAAGGAGGAGGTTGACGTCGAGGGGCTCGACACCAAGGTCCTGCTTGTCAATGCAGGCGGAAAGATCCAGGCTCTTGGCGCAAAGTGCACACATTACGGTGCTCCTTTGGCCAAGGGCGTCCTGACGACCAATGGCCGTCTCACATGCCCGTGGCACGGAGGTGAGCTCTTTCTTCTCTCCCTTGTCGGTTTCTTCCATACGCGAGCCGAGGCCTGAGCTAGAGCGCTGACAACATGACTTTTCTTCCTCCCAGCTTGTTTCAATGCTAAGACAGGTGACGTTGAGGATGCCCCGGCGCTGGACGCCCTTCCTGTCTTCAAGGTCACACAGAAGGATGATGGATCAGTCTACATCACCGGCGAGGAGGCGGCGGTGAAGTCCAGCAGGCGCCAGCCCAAGTTCAGGTGCAATGCCTCCACTGCCAATAAGGAGGACAGGGTTCTCGTCGTCGGTGGTGGATCTGGTGCCTTGGGAACGATCGAAGGCCTGCGTGGCGGGGGTTTCCAGGGACCCATCACCCTGATTTCCAACGAGGGATACCTGCCCATTGACCGGACCAAGCTGTCCAAAGCTCTGATCACGGATGTAAGCAAGATCCAGTGGCGTGACAAGGCGTGGTTCGACAGCGGCAGCGTTGAGATCGTGGAAGACGAGGTGACGGGCATCAACTTCGCCGATAAGACTGCGTCGACTAAGAGCGGCGGTAAGTTCGGCTACGGCAAGCTTGTCCTGGCCACGGGCGGCACGGCCAAGCTCTTGCCCCTGCAGGGTTTTAAGGTACTGAACAATATATTCACGCTGCGGAACCTCCACGACACACAGAAGATCGTGGATGCTATCGGATCCAAGGGGAAGAAGATTGTTGTGGTCGGCAGCTCCTTCATCGGTATGGAGGTGGCCAATGCCACGGCCGCAGACAACCAAGTGACCATCATCGGAATGGAGAGTGTCCCCCTGGAGCGTGTGCTTGGCAAGAAGATCGGCGCGGCCCTCCAGAAGGCTCTGGAGGGCAAGGGCGTCAAATTTTACATGGATGCCTCTGTCGATAAAGCAGAACCGTCCAAGGCCGATCCCTCTAACGTCGGCGCTGTTGCTCTGAAAGACGGCACAAGTCTGGAGGCAGACCTGGTGATCCTAGGCGTCGGCGTCGCACCGGCTACGCAATATCTCAAGGACAATAGCATTGTCAAGCTCGAGGAGGACGGCAGCCTCAAGACGGACGAGAACTTCAGCGTGGTCGGGCTGAAGGATGTCTACGCCATTGGCGACATCGCGTCGTACCCTTATCATGGCCCTGGGGGCGAGGGCAAGTACGTCCGCATCGAGCACTGGAACGTGGCCCAGAACGCGGGTCGTACTGTGGCAGGCCATATCGTCGCACCCACCAGGAAAGCCGCCCCGTTCACGCCCGTGTTTTGGAGTGCGCTCACGGCACAACTGCGCTACTGCGGGAACACGGCCGGCGGATATGACGACGTGGTGATCCAGGGTAGCCTGGACGAGGGCAGTTGGGCGGCGTATTACACCAAGGGGGAGACGGTTGTCGCCATGGCGAGCATGGGCAAGGATCCGGCCATGACGCAGAGCGCGGAGTTGCTGGCTCTTGGGAAGATGCCGTCCAAGAGCAAGCTTCAGGACGGACTGGACCCTGTGAGCCTGGGGCCCCCGGAGTAGAGCTCTAGGGAGGGAGAGCAGAAAACCGTCATCCTTGGCTCGTCTCCCACGGATGTCCTCTATTGGGCATTCATCGCGGCCTTGATGGGTGCACAGTTGACCTTTTTGCTGATTCTGGGTGGCACCGGAATCGCGATGATGACTGTTTTCTTGCGGTGCTGTATTCACAACTCATGTGAGTTTCTATAAACAGAAAGAAAAACGGATCTGGTTGTGAGAGGCATTAATACATACAATAGTGTGCTTGTAATATGATTCACTAGTTCCTTTTCACCACGCCAAAATTCATCTAGTTCCACGAACGAGTCCTTTGAGGGCCAGGAGAGTCTCATCGCCATGTTCATGATGTGCCAATGCCTTTATTGGCGATCTCCAAGTTGTCGCACTCCAAGTTGTCGCACTCTACGTCGGCCCGGATCAACGGACTTGAAGAGGAAAATCCTTCCTACCCAAGCTCAGCTTACTACAGTTCTGTAGGCGTGAGTCGCGCACACGCTGGTAACAGTATAAGCACTAGTTTGCTTGGACCAGTGGCAGTGTTCTCACTCAGCTGCAGTGAGTGGCTCCAGTGGAGGTTCAGGGGTTGCTGCGGACAAGGGCCCTGCCGATGGGCAATGAGCAAGTGGCGCTTTCTGACAAGAAGGATTTCCTAGGTTATTTGCCGGCGTCCAGGCCAAACGAGGCAGGGAGGCGCTTTAAAAGGAAGAGAGACAGAGAAAGAAAGATTCAAATTCTATGACATCCCTCTTGTCGAGAAAGTCGTCGTTTTCACTTTCTCGAGTGGTTGAGCCAAAAACATCATGGGCAGCCAGGAAATAGGCAGCGGGTCAGATCGACCTGCGCCGCGTAAACGGACCAAAACTGGATGCATTACCTGCAGGTTGGTGTTGTATTGAACCCTCGACAGAACATATTCTTCCCTCTTTCAACCCTCGATGTCATCAAGAAGAAGAAGCAATGTCTCGCCCAGTACTGACTGCCATGTTCCAAGGATTCGTCGTGTGAAGTGCGACGAGACTCGACCGAGCTGCAACAGGTAATTACAGCCGGGCTCCGGACCTCCCGTGGTCTTTTATTCAGTCTGGCCATCCACAGCTAACCACAGTCCACCACACCAGATGCACCCAGTCCAAGCGGGTATGCGATGGCTACCTGCCCAACACAGAACAGGACGACCCTCGTGGTGAGTCCTCGGGCAATGGGCGCCGCACCACGACGGTCAAACCCGTCTCGCGCCGTGCGCTCGCCATCGCCATTCGACAGGTGAACGTGGTAGGGCCAGCGGTGCGCGTGCTGGCGCCGTCGCCGTACCTCGAGGACGACGTTGCCTGCTTCGACTTCTTCCGCCTGCGGCTGACGGCAGTATCGAGTGATCCCAAGGACTCGGCCCAGAGCGTCAGCGGCTTCTGGAACTGCACGCTGCTGCAGGCTGCGCATCTCGAGCCGGCTGTGTGGCAGGCCGTCGCGGCTCTGGGTGCGCTGTATCGGAGATGGGAGGTTGTGTCGGGTGGTGGTGGTGGTGGTGGTGGTGGTGGTGGTAGTGGTGGCCGTCATCGTTTGTCACGACATGCAAAGAAGCAAAAGAAGGAGGGAAAGAACCTCCTATGGTTGGAAGCCTCGAGCAGCAGCAGCAGCAGCAGCAGTGATGACACCGGCTCACATGTCAGCACACCAAGTAGTAGCAGCAGTGATGAGAAGAACGAAGACAACGACGACAACGACGATGAAGACCACGATGATCACGGTCATGGTTCTGGTGTGGCGGACCAGTGGAACGAACAGTCTGTGCGACTCGCAGACCAGGCTGGTACTTGTTACAGCAGCGCCATGAGGCTGGCCAGCTCCATCCGGGACCCGAGCACCATGCTCGTGCTGAGCCTGGCCCTGGCCGCGGCGGCGAACCTCTCTGGGAGATGGGTTGACAGCAGCGTGCACTTCCGCGCGGGCCAGAGGATCATGACCCAGCTCCGGAGCGAGGCACAGGGGAGGCCCATCCGGGACGTGGAGATGCACGCCGCCGAGAGCCTGGCCAGGCTGGGCGTGCAGTGGCTGTCCTTTGGCGACCAAAGGGCACCGTGGCCGCGCGATTCTGAGGAGGCCTTCTTCATGCTGCCCTCGTCGTCAGAGGCGGGACAGTATGGGGTGCTCTGGAGCCTACACCGTGCCCACATCGCCCTCATTGGGATCCTCGGACGTGTGCTGGCTGGGGCAGGAGGCGAGGACATAGAAAGAGAGCAGCAAATGAACGTACCAGCAGCGGACACGAACAACACCACCAACACCACTGACAGATCTCACTCTACTGCCACAAGCACCACCGTGCCCTCACCCACTGAGGCCGAGGCCGCCGTCGTTCGGGATCTGGAGGCGTGGGAACAGAACCTCACCGACCTCCTCGAGAGCAACAGCGTCTCGTCGTCGGCCAACCCTCACCACCACCACACAAACCCTCTCGACCTGCTCGCCCTCAAGCTCCTGCACGCGGCCACCCGCCTCCTACTAGCCGCGAATATCATGCGGCCCGACTACAGCGAGCTGGGCTGGGACGGCTGCCTGGGCTACTTTGAGCGCATCCTCGCGCTGGTGGCCCTCGTCCTGCGCGCCGAGGCGCACAAGAACCCGCTCCTGCAGTCCGTCATGTCCCTCGACGAGCCCGCTATCAACGTCGTCCTTTGGCTCACCGCCTACCGTTGCCGCCACCCGATCCTCCGACGGCGGGCGCTGGCCCTGCTGCAGCGGGCGAGGCGGCTGGAGGGCGTGTGGATGAGCACGAGCACGGCGGCGGCGGCGAGGAAGGTCATCGAGGTCGAGGAGACAGGGGGTCTGAGCAGAAACAGCAGCAGCGGTCCGTCCGCCACGTTGGAGCAACAACAACAACAACAACAACAACAACAACGAGAAGAAGAAGACAACAATAGCGGCTTCTCCTTCTCCTCGTCCTCCTCCCTTCCCAGCTACAACGTCGGCGGGTGGTCTGCGGTAGAGGCGGCGCTGAACCGGGAGATCGAGGCCGAGGACCCGCGGTCGTGGCTTGGCCCGCACTGTGCGCGCCGCTGGGCGTCCGAGTCCAAGATGGGCTGGGGCGTGCTGCCGGGCGACTTTGTGGTGCCGCTGCGGCGGCGTGTCACGCACTTGGGTGTGTTGGCCGAGTATGACCCGCGCGTGGGCAGGTCGAGGGCCGACCTGGTGTTGCACTTTGCGGACTGGGGCGTTGATGGCCAGCTGCGGAGGGAGATGCTGTCGGTGTACTTTTGAGAGTCTTTCAGGGGGGTCATCCATTGGTGTTTTGGTATGGAGGGGGAGAGGTAGAAAGGGTAGCATGGTCGGTAGGTTTCAATTCATTCAAGCTTGTGATACTGGAGTATTATCCTCTCTCCCCTTATGGGTCCTTTTGAATTTCACCCTACCAGTCTTGATCGTCCTGAGATGAGCTTATGTTGTTGCTGAGTAAAATTAAAGTCTCCTGCGAACGGAGGTTGTTTGATGATTAAATTCTTGCCTTCATTAAAATGACTCCTCATGTTGATAAGCCGAGCCAAAAGAACCACACCAGATACATCTCGTACAATTATTTCTTCTTTTGCCTCCCCCATGGCCAGAACCACACTTTCTTGCTTCCTTGTCCTCTTTCCTCCATCCCTCTACCGTCCCAAGCAAGACGCAACTACTTTCAATCCCTCAAGTACCTCTCCAACCCTCCAAAACGAGACCGGTCGAGAAACATACCATCTGCTTCCCATTACTTCCTTCTCACCCCATCCTCCTCCATAACATCTCTCAATCACCTCCTCACAACCGCCGTCGCAGTCTCAGTGGCGCTCACCGTCGTGGGGTTTCCGCTCGTGGCATAAAAGACACCCGCGGGGCTCACGATCTCCCAGTCCACAACCACAGCGGTCCCGGCCTGCAAAGCGGCGCGCTGCTCGTCTGTACACGATGAGGGGTCGCTCGCGAGGTACCAGCCACACTGCGGTGCGGCCACGACGGGCGGGAGGACGGCGTTGGTGACGTTGAGAGTGCTCAGGGGCCCGCGGGTGCTGTAGCCTGCCCAGCTGTCGTTGCTACTGCTGCTGCTGCTGCTGATTGCACCGCCGCCACCACTGCTCTTGGACGAACACCCTTGAGAAGAAGAGGAGGAGGAGGAGGAGGAAGAGGAGGAGGAGGAAGAGGAGGAGGAGGAAGAGGAGGAGTTGGTTTCAGCAGCTCCTCCTCCACCTCCCAGAACGTCAATCTCGCCCGTCGCAACATCGCGCCCCAGCACTGCGCGCTCAAAGATGCGCAGGACGGTTTCGGGCTGGTAGTCGGCGACAGCATGGCCTGCCTCGAACACGCGCGAGAAGGACACGCGGTCGTGCTGCCGGACAAGGCCGCCCTGGTAGCTCGCGTTGGTGGTGATGGGGGCGTAGCCTGCGCTGCGGAAAGACTCGGCTCCTGGATAGTTCATTGAGAGTGACACGTTTTCGACGCCCATCCCTATTTTTTTTATATTTTTTTTTTTGTCTCTGTTAGTCTTCTCATCCGGCCGACCCACCTGTACATGATCTTCTTTGTGGAAAGGGGTTGTGCCTTACAGTTACATTGGTAGTCTCGGTCACCGTAGACGAATGCGATGCCGATGCCCGCTTCGAGGATGTACTCTAGGGTGCTATATGTCTGGATCATCGGATCGCCTGTCACACCAAACATGTTCACGGCGCTGGCCTCGGCGCTCTCGGTAAAGTTGACGGGAACACCAAGGGCCTCCTGCACCCAGCGCTGGTTATAGAACGCGGCGACGGTCCCGATGATGGGGAAGTCTCCTGGCATTGGGAGCGCGAGGTCAAACACAGATCTCTGTTGGCGAGTATTTTACTCTAGGTCAGTTTCTCGTTGTACTGTATTCTAATTTTGCGGTAGCCTCCTCTACCCTGACGGGAATAGAAGAAAGAGAGAGATAAAGACAGGACTCCACTTACGTTTGAGCTGAGATACATCTCCTCTAACCCGGTGAAGCAGTTCTCAGTAGCGTTCACACACAGAGCATTCACATCATCCACCGCACCCGTCCCGTATGGGTCCAGCTCGGCCGCTGCGTCGCGGCACGACTGGATCAGCCCATAGCACTCGTCCACGACCTCGGCAAGCTCGTCGTAGTACTCGTCCGGGACCACCTTGATGCCGTACGTGTTGTTGAACATCATGGCCGGGAAGGATGACAGCTGGCTCTCGACATCGATGCAACCGTTGTTGGTGCCCAGCGTGCCGAGGGACAGGCTGATTGGTGCCTCGATGCCGTCGGTGGTCTCGTAGCTTCCGTTGGCGATGCGCTCGTTTTGCTGCTGGATGTAGGCCACTGAGGCGGGGCCAAAGAAACCCGAGTACTGCATAGTCCTGGTCAGCATCATGTCTTGTTCCTGCTCATCTTGATAGACGCAGATGCAGCAGACAGGATCAAACTTACCGAGTAAGACCAAAGGTCGATCTCCTTATTGTTAGTGTTCCACTCGGGAAACCTGGCCACCCTCATTGTCAGCATCCATGCCCCTTCGCACCCAGACAGCTTCGATGCCGCGGTCATGTCAAGGAACAGGGAAAGGGAGAGAAGAGAACGCACTCCTGGAACCAGACCTGCGAGAGCTGGAACATCTGCCGAGCAACCTGAAGCGTGGTATTCGCCGTCCTGCTCTCGTCCTGGCTGCTCATAGTCGCCGCGGTCGTCGTGCTATTGCGCACCACATCTGCCTCCGTCCCAGGCGTGAACAGGCCCGAAACAACATCAAACGTGCCGTTCTGCACCTCTGTGTAGGAAAACCCCGTCTGCACCGGTATGTCGACGTAGAGCATGTTGACCTGGCTGTTGAGCGACCACGGGTTAAGGGTCGTGCCGTTGCCGTCGGCGTTGACGCTGCAGGGGAAGCCGGATCCGCCGCCGAGGAAGGACGTGCCAGGGCCGCCGGGCATCCAGATCGTAGTCGGAGCCTGGTCGGCGTTGGTGCGAGATTCTGTGGGAGTTGTTAGAACTTTGCCGGAGGTGAGGATCCCCGGTTCCATTGGCCGAGGTTCTGGGAAAACACACCAAAGTACCAGAAGAAGATGCTTGCGTTGTAGGTGTCGCCGACGGGGAGCGTCACATAACCGCTGTAGCTCTTCACTCCAGGCGTGGTGTCGCAGATGTCCGTCTGTATACGAATAGAAACAAGAGAGAGAGCATATTAGCATACTGTCATCCATCAAGCCATGTCGATTGCATCCGACTGTATGCGGTGGAACGGGTTCCCTCACCTCTTTGTAGGAGAGTGATGCCCCAATGAGGACACTGGACTCTTTGAAGACGACATCGTGAGGCTCCGGAATAAACGTCTGCGCGGTACACAGCGACTGCAAGAGAGTAGCCAGAGCGGCTGCCCGCCGGATCCAATGTATCATTGTCATGGATTGTGGCTCGGAGTATCAATACAATATTATGAGGAACCACAAGGAGGGTGAGAGGTGGCAGGTGATGGCGAGATCCTGTCGACTTGAGCGCCAAAGAAGACATGCAGCCTCCATCCTAAATATTGTTGAGGCTTGAGCTCCCATATCCATCATCTCCATCATTTTGGCGGTAGGCACCGTTGTGTCCCATCGCATGTGCCACTATAGACTCGGCTCGAGGATCACCAGCTACCGGCTGAGCCTCCTTCGCGAGGCCCTGGGATCGTCAGCCTTGCAAGGCCACCCAAAATCTGGCGAGCAGTCCAACGAACAGCGTCTATCTCTCAGAAAGGACCCACATTGCAAAGCGGTAACCTAGACTTCTTATTTTACAGTCATGAAGATTTTCGAAGCTCAGGACTCCTTTGTAGCGGGAAGGATCAGAAATAATGGACACCGCAGTGCCATCCTACAGCCTAACGTCGTGCAAGCTTGGACCGGCTTAGAGGGCATTTTGGCGAATGAGCCAATCGGAAAACAATTACATCTCAGGTGGACCCGACCCACCATAAGACGAAGAAGGGGGGCGGAGACGGGTTGCTTTCACGGTGGATTCGCAGGATATGTATGTCTGGTACGTGTGTGCTTTTGTATATTGGTGCTGCGATGTAGTGTAGAAACCCACATATAGCCTAGGAGAGGAGCACATGCTGTTGGATTACATGATTCCTTCAAAGAGCGACCAGTATGCCGCATCCACACCTTGTAGCGCCCAGTCATCAGCCCCCGCCATGAAGTCTGGCTCTGCGCCCAGACTCGGCCCGGTGCCAAAGGGCAACTGATTGTCATACTGCGCAAATTGCATGAAGCCGATGTCAGAGAAAGACGACTGAGGCGCCTCGAGGGATGCGGACACCTGCTGCTGTGTAGGAGAGAGCGCCATCCTGTCCAGTGCACTGGTCGCGGACGAGGGGTGCCGGCGATGGCCGTGCCAGTCCGCAGTATACGAATATGTAGTGCTTCCGGGTATCTTGATGTTGACAGAGCCCAGGTAGGGTATGTTGAATTGCAGGTCTTTGGCGACGGCCTCTGGGCTTGGTGGTGCTTCGGCCTCTGTGGGTCCTTGAAGGGCTGCAGTCGCCTTCTGAATGATGGGAGCTAGCTGTCCAATGATGCCGACCGCCTCTTTACTGAGCCGGTCTCCATTCACGCGCGCGACATGCTCCATCCGCCTCCTAGTCAGCTCGATCAGCTCACTATCATCGCTGAGCCTAGATCGCACCCAAGTCTCGGTCCTTCGCCTGCCCAGATATGAGAGGCACAAGGTCATCGCTGCGATGAGACCGGCGTAGTCGACCCGCCTGCAGCTGTAAGCCGACACATTATGAGTGCGAAACGAAAAGAAGCGGGAGAGCAGGTCGCGTGCGGTCGCCACACAGGTTGTCTTGGAATAATCGTACCGTGGGGACGCGAGATCTCGAAGCATGTAGGGCACGTGAAGCAGGAGGACTAGGGTGAAATGATGAATCTGGAAAAGGACTTTTGCAGTCGCATCCCACATTGACACTTGGGAGGCGAAAGGGTCGAGGCGTGGTTCGTCCCACCAGCCCGGAGGCATTGCGCTCGCCGCGGCCTCGAGCTCGAGGTCGATGTCCTGGGTGAGCGCATAGATGCTCTGATGTCTAGACGGGTCCCTCTGATGTTTGTCATTTCGCTCACTGATACGCTCAGAGATGAGGCTGTGTGCCTTCTCGAGTCGGTCGATGGGAGTGTCCTCCTCCGATGCCTTCTCCGAGCCAAACTCGTTGCCTCGGCTGCCCAATGAGAGGCCGAGGAGGAGGGACAAATATCGATCCCAAGACACGACTTTGACCCAAAGTACATGAGGGGACGTTCTACGCGCCGGGCTGGTGCTCGGATCGCATGACCTGAACGCTGCTGTATGCTTCTTATCAAGCCCCATCATCTGAGCGAGGCCCAGAGCTCGCCGCGTGGTGATCCAGGCTCTGCGCAGGTTGCCGCAGTTCGCTTGGTAAGAAGCCTGCAAGAGAAGGCACTCTATTCCTTCGGCATACCCCATCAGCTCATCGTTAGACGTGACGAGCGTCGCCCCGTTGAGCAGTCGGCTCATCGTGTCGGTGATGGGAGCACTCGGCCCAAGTGCATCCCAGTCGTAAGCGGGTGGGAGTTGCTGAACGCAGATGAGAATCTGTAGAGCTCTCTTGGCGAGGATGAGCGCGTGGGCGGTCATGGGAGGGCTGACTGCAAGAGAAGCTGTCGTCTCTGCCCTGCCTGCACACCTCTCGGCATCGCTATAGCACATAGACACGGCGTAGAGCGCGCCCGGGCTGGCTGAGATGATCGCGTCGACGACAGCCTGCGGCGGCACGACGCTCCGCAGCGAGTTGCAGACCCAGTAGTGCTGGTTTAGAGGCGGAAGAAGCTGGGGTCCAGCACTTGTCGCCGGTCTCGAAGCCGGCCCCTGGCTCGCTGCGGTAGTCGGAAGGGTAGGAGTAGAGGACTCGATGGAAGTCATGGCTGGCGTCGGGATATGTCCAGACTCTGAGGGTCCCCGTCGGTGAACAGACTCGTGGCGCATAGCTAAAAGGGCGGCGATGGGGCCTTCGCTCGCTGCTGACGTATCGAGCACGTCGACGGACGACGCCCTACGTCCAGCAGCTGCGGGTGCCCCGTGGGACGACGACGCCGCTGAATGACTACGCCGTCCCTGCTGCTGGACATGGGCTGGAGCTGAACCCAGCGCACCTGTGTCGTCTGGGACGATCTTGTCGACGATGCGCTCCATCATCTGCTCGAGACGGTCGAGGCGCCTGGCCAGAGGCGGGTCTGACTTCTGGCCCGGCTCGGGGGCGTTCTCGTCGTCATATTCCTGACTGCGACAGATGGTCCCTCGCTGCTTGCAACCGATACACACGGCATCGTCTGGGGCGTCGAACTGACATTTGATCTTCCGCCTCCTGCCTGTCGATGCTTGTCAAAACCATGGATCGTGGTGGTAGTAGTAGCAAAAGGGGAAGCCCAGGGTAAATGGGGCTCACGATGATGATGTTGATATGGTGGTGGAGGAGGAGGAGATGGAAAAGGGGGGGACGAGTCGCGCGTGTATGTTTTTGCTAGAGAGGTGACTTACATTCCCAGCAGCTCCGGGTACCCTTCCTGACCTTCCGTCGCTTTGCGGGTGGTTCTGAGCCCTCCGCGCGACGATCAGACATGTGTCTTTGTGAATGCCCGGCGTTCGGCCGAAATCCGGACGAGCGACGGCTCCGAAGGTGGGCGCGTTGAGGAGGGCAGTGGGGGTGCAGGATGGTGTGTAGACGGCCAACACCGGTCTCTTTTCTTGGGTTAAGAAGTGTATGGCTCTCTCTCTCTCTGTCGCTCGCTTCTCTCTTCCTCTTCCCGGTGCTGCAATGCCAGAGGGGGAGGAGAGGGCGCAAAGTTCAGCCTTTCAACGAAAAAGCTGGAGGGGTCTCTGTGGATCTTTGGTTCGTCAGCTCCCCTCTTGCCGTCCGTACGCCGCCGTGAAACCGGTTCCCGAATCTGGTAGCTCGAGACGCCGAGCCTCCGACATGCTAAATAGGCCTTCAGCCCAGCCAGCCCATTTCCTGCTCCGCGACCTGCTTCTTCTTCCCTTCTTTCCATGTCCTTATCGCTCACAAATTGGCATCATGATAACATTGTTGGCTTTATTTGGGACAAACACAGCGGCGGTGGCGGCAGTGGCAGCAGGGACCCCACGGCAGGCTGCTCGACTCAGCAGGTGTAGTAGCCTCAGGGCCACCGAACCCACACATCATTGTTGCTTGCGACTTGCTCCTGAAAAACACCCGGGGGGGGGGGGTTCTTCGTGGGCCGCGGCTCGAGGACTTGAGGCGTTTTCTATCATGGCTAGGCACGGTTGCTAGCCAGTCAAGGTTGAAAGTATGTCGGTGTTTTCTGGTGGGCACCTCCGATCCAGGGCTGTATGTACGTGTACGGACTGATCCGTTCGTTGGACGTCTTGGCGACGGCAGATGCATGCAACTGTAGATACCATAGCAATCAAGAAAAGAGGGGTTGAGAAGCCCTCGGGTATAAGCGAGGGACAGACAGCCCTTCCGGTTGGGCAGTTGGCCGCCGCGTCTAGGCGACCTCGTCGTGAGAGGCTGGCTTGCAGCTTCTGCTTTGAGCCATCAGAAGCCCATTTCTGTGCCATAGGCATGATGATATACCTGCCGGTCGGGTGCAGCATACGCATCCGAGTACGTCAGCCCCCTCCCCCCCTCCCTTCCCCAGCCTGTTGGGTCGCTTAGCCGAGGCGGATAGAAAATACTTGTATAGTATTGCATAGTATCTTTGCAGCCGCCGCTCTTGCAACTTGAGGCTTGTGATTCTCCACCGATCGTGATGAGCCGCGGGGTTTAGACGGGAGCCGCGGGGGTGGTCGGAAGGGGGACCGAAACGTGTGTGGTGACACCACAAGTGGCACTTTGCAAGGAGACACTATGTAGATACTGTAATAGAGACTGAGGAGAATGCAAGATGTGGTAGTGGCTTCGTAACTTGATGGTTCTCTCTCTTTCGATCTTGGGAGATGCTATAAGTAGAAGCCAGCTCCTGACTGCCAACATCCATGAGCCGTCTCTATCCTTTGAATCCTGGCGCAATCAATAATCATTGCAATTGCCTTGGAAGGAACGAAGGTGGACCATGGCGAAGGTGCAGTCTGCCATGGCTTGGTCGCACTTGACCTTTCAACAACCTACTCCCCAAGACTCCTTCCCCCTTCCAGAGAAGATGAGAAGACGAAGAAAAACTTGAAAGTGCTGAAAGATTTCATGGCGCTGATGACTGCGAAACCTATTCACTCTACTTCTCGGAAGAGTAGGAGAACTTCGATCACAGTACATTGTCTTCTAGGTCTTTTTTCCTCGTTCTTTTCTGTTCCCCAACTTTTTGCCCCGCCACCAGGCTTGGAATTGGAGGCTTCTTCTTGAGGGGCAAGGGGAGGGGAACAGACGGTTTCTTTGTTTTTCTTCTTCCTTTTCCCTTGCCCTTGTTTTTTTTTTCTTCTTCTTTTTCTCTCTCTCTCTTTCTGCTTCCCTGCTGTTTTCCTTATCTTCATCTCATCCCTCTTGCGCTAAATACCTCCATTTTCTTCTTCTCTCCAATCTTTCTCGCCCGATCCTAAGAGTAAGATCGGATATTGCATCGTGGTACTCGGACCTCTTGGCTAAGAGAGGTTCAGGTTCAATTCTAGGCACCAGGGGTCCCCAGGTCGGGACTGTCGTCACTGTTCAGCCCTAAACCTGATGTGGTTCGCTGGGCTACTGGGTAGAACCCAGCTAGGCGCCATACTGTGCGTAGTAGTGGCAGTCGCAAGGAGATGAGGTGAACACTGCTAAGTCTCTCGCCTGATTCAACCCTATTCTTCAACTCAATCTGTATTTCATGCAGCAATCAATCAATCAATCAATCAGAACCACTACTACCACCACCAACCCAGAGACTCGTCTCGACTCGGCTCAACTAGACTGGACTCGACCTGGCTTCCCCTCCCTGGTTGCATTGCTTAGACGCCCAGATGACCTCACCGTACTGATTTGATGAGCAGATGACAGCTCATTTTCCAAGGCTTGTGCATCTCTCACCGCACCAACGTAGCATGCTTGTGCTGCAGAGAACATGCAGTAGAGATGTGTGTTGCAATATGCACTGCACCACAGCATCGACTCCACACATGAGGCCTGGCGAGGTGTGTGTCGACTTATTCCAGAGAGGAAATGTGCACACTATGGTGCCTTGGTATCAAGCAATCATAAGTCATATCGCCAAGCGCAGTCGGACCCAGCCAGTAAACTGAGGGACAGGCCATCGTTAGTGGAGCTTGTTGCCGAGATCATGGATGGCCCTCCTCATGCATGGTCCCAGCACAGGGCTCTTCTGAAATCTTCAATTATTTTTCATTTGTGCCACCCCCCCCTCTGTTGCGCTTGTTATTATTGTTGATGGTAGTGTGGGTGCTGCAGCAGGTTACCTGTCCAGGTGTGCCTGGATTCCCACACATCTCCTACATACTGACTTATAAGCTTATTTACTCACTGGCCTATTTACCCATCATATAGTAAGTAGCACTGCTGCGTACAAACATCCTACACATCCTCTTAGAGTCTTCGACCTGTCAACCAAGCAAAGATTGGTGTGGTAGTAGTGTGACGTTGGGTCCCGGATCCAGCCCAGGCCCCAACAAACGCCACTCACGTTGACGTGGGTGAGCGGCACTCAACTCTTCCTAAAACGGACCTGAGACTGGGTCATGCCGAGAGAGGAGAGGACTTGGACGGGACTCGACTCGACTTGGAGCCTCGCGATCAAGTCACAAGACGAAAGCAGCCGACGAGCAAGAAGATCAAAACCACACGCCGTCCCTTTTCGCACTATCATCGTCTTGTCCAATCTTTGTTCCGCCAGTCCTCCAGTACACTGACGTACTTGCCTCTCTACTCCTCTCTGTCTCTTTGTTTTCCTCGACTCCTCCTCCATACTGAGAACACAAACAAAGCGAGCCACATATCTTGCATTAGTTCGTGGTTTGTTTCTCACATGTTTGCTGGTGCCTCGCCTCCACACAAGACAGACGTGTCTCTGCCTGTTGAACGCTGGCCGGCCATTGACGACCACTCGTCGACTCACCGTTGACCGACACTCTCACACGCGCACGCTCCACACGTCTCCCCAGCCCGGTCTCCTCTATTTTTCTCTCTCTCTCCTCTTGCACTATACCAACCTGACGAGCATCTCGCCTACTCAATTTGAACATGCCGGACGCCTCCTCGCCGCCGCCACCACCACCTCTTATTATCTGTATTCCCCCTCCCTCCTCCTCGGTGCATCGCCTGTACCTTGAACTGTCGGCGAGACAACAGTCCTCAGCCGCAGCAAAACGGCGGTAGAAAAGAGGAACATGGCTGGCCCCCGATCCGAGGCCGTCGATCTGGCCGCCCTCGAGGCCTCTGTCGGTCAGCCAGACGCCCTACAGTGCTGTTGTGGCAACACAGATTGTCATTTTCTGAAACACAATTGCTCTGTCCTCAATAGTGTCGAAAGAGATGTGCATACGGCTGCTCGCCTCGGTCAGGTACGTTTTTGGGCTGTCCCACCTCCTGTCTCTTGCGTCTCTCTGCCTGCCTGTCAGCCTGCCGCCTGTCTATTCAGTCTGTCCTCGGTTGGGCGTACCTGAATCCTACCAATCCTTCCATCTCTGTTGCCCCGGTCTTGTTGTTGTTCTTGTTTGTCAAGTCTGCATGCGGCCTGAAATTGGGGGCCTCTCCGCCCAGGGCAAACCGGATACCAGCAGGTCAGGTACTTGTTGATATACTACTATGTAGTGGACTGCTTGGCTGCTGTCTGTTTCTGTCTCTGTCTTTTCTTTTTCTCTTTCTTTCCGGTGTTCCATTTTGCGGGGTTGGTCACATTCCTGACCGAATTGCATTCTTCGCGTCGGGCATGTCCTGTGTCCTGGGTTCAGGCCGCGTTGGAATGCCAGAGGAGTCTTCCTCCGGCTGCAGTAATGATTTCTTCCTCGCCGCAGCCACGCAGGATGTCCTCCCGACAGAAACGTGTTGTAACCTTCCAGGGCTGACGTTCTCGCTGCAGGCCCTTCTAGCCCGGCATGAGGCTCTCATGGCCTCGGCCGAGACGGAACGATTCGAAATGCAATCACGTATCGACCAGCTCGAGACCGACAAGAAGTCCCTCGAGGCCGAGAACGCCCGCACCATCCAGGAGAACCGCGCCCTGCTCGATCAGCTCGAGTCCCTCAACAGCTCCGTCGCCGACTCCGAGACGCACATCAAGAGCCTCGAGGCCACCCTGCAGAGCACTGAGCAGTCGCTCCGAAAGCTAGAGAGGGCAGAGCTGCGCGCGAACGAGCTCGAGACCCAGCTCAGCGTCGTCGAGGCAGAACAGGCCGAGCTACACAACACCCTCGTCACGACGCAGGCAGAGGCCAGGTCGGCCATGCAGAGGTGGCACAAGGCGGAGAAGGGCATCTCGGAGCTGCAGGAGAAGCTGGAGAGGATAGAGCGAGAGGCCCGTGAGGAGCGCGACCGCCACTCCGACATGGTTGAGCGCATGGAGAAACAGCGCGCCATGGAGAAGGACCTCTACACAGCCGCCGGGAGGCTCAAGGGCGCCGCCGCGGCCAAGACGATCGGTGACGGCAAGAACGGAGGCACCGTAGTGTCTCATTTCGTGCGCGACCTGCTGTCGGACAATGCGAACCTGCAACTGGGCATCGCCGAACTGCGCGAGCTGTTGATGAACTCCAACGACGAGATTCAGCACCTGCGCGAGCAGCTCATGTTCCACCAGCCCGCCGACGACGACGACGGTGGCGACGCCAGCGCGGCCAGCACCCTCAGGGCCGAGCTGGGCTCGTCAGAGGAAGGCCTGGATCCCAAGACACCAAGGTCACCAAAGCAGCCACACAGGCCCGAGCCCACGCCATCCGTATCACAAGAACTACATATCCATCATCACTACCACGTTACGAGGCCCGTCGAGCCGAAGAAGCCGCTGAAGAAGAAGCGGCAGGGCTTGACGCCCAACATCTTTACACCCTCGAGGCCCTTCTCTCCCTCGGGCGCGTCGAGCCCCGCACAGTGGCGGCTGGAGCACAGCGCGACATCCCCTGGCTTCGTCTCGCACTCTGTGAAGGAGTCTATCTCCACAATCCCCTCGACCCGCTGGTCTGTCTTCTCGGACCAGCCATCTGACTTTGCATCGTCATCTGTGCCTAGTTCACCCATGTCTACCCATCACCGGAGGATCTCCGTCTTTGACCAAGATTACGACTCCCCTGCGTCGCCCGCGACCAGTGTGGATCCCAACTCCCCAGCATGGACGAAGCATTACAGAGCGTCGCACAACCACGATACAGGCGCGCGCACATTTTCAACCCCGAGGCCATTATATCTAGGTGATGTGCCGGAGGACGAGCCGCATAGGGAGTCGGTAGGGTCATCTTCAGGGCAGAGAGTACCTAGGCTCACCACCGAGAATGAGCGTCTGATCACAGACGTGTCCCAATGCACACCACAACTGTCGGCAAGCACATCTCCAGACGCATCAACGGGCAACCCCTCCGACGGCGCGCTCAGCATGCCGTTGACGCCCAGCTTCGACGACTCCTTTGTGGGCTCCCGCCCGCGCCTCCACCGTGTCTCCTCGCAGGAGTCCATCATGTCGCTCAGTGGAGGTCTAGACATCCACACTTTGAAGGTACGACCTGGACAGCTCGCGCTGCGACCTCTCGGCTCCGTGTCTGCTGAGACAGAACTGAGTGCCGTCATCGCACGACCCACCATCGCGAGGGGAAAGACGGATGGCAAGAGGGGGAGTGTCGTGCTGCGGGACAACCTTCTCAACCTGCCGAACCTGGTGATCTCAGTCGAGGCACCGTCTCCCACTGGAAGTGAACACACCCCGCAGCGGCAGTCATCAGCCAGCAGCGGCTTTGGTCGCATCGTCAGCTGGCGGCCCTGGGGAGGCAAGAACAGCAATCATAACAGTCCGAACACGGCCACGGAGCAAGCCAGCAGCGAAGCCTCGACGCCCGCCCCATCTGAGCGCGCCCGCAGTGTCTCGCCCAACCCAGTCTCGCCCACCACCGAGTCGCCCGGCTCCTCGATCCTGGAGGTCACGCGCGCCAGCAGCAACAACAGCGAGACGCCGACCAAGAAGAAGCACCCACCACCGCCCACGGACATGGCTTTCTCGCCGCGCAACTTCGGTATCAACCAGACCGGCACGATCCCTGGCTTTTCGGCTTACTGGGCTGCTCATCAGATGAAGGGCCCCACGGCCCAGGTTGTCCCTCAGAATGTTGACACCGAGGCGCTGAGGGAAGGACTCGAGGAGTAGCTCTCGGGAGACTCTTGTGATAAACCCGGCCAGTCACATGAAAGCTGTTAGGTCTTCAGCGACATTACAAGACTATGGGCAACCCCCCCCCCCCCCCCTCTTTTGATTTCTTTTGTTATTGTCTGGCTTTTTTTTTTTTTTTTTTTTTTTTTTTTTTTTTTTGGCTTTGCATATCAGCAGGGTGTAGGAGGTCCGTGTGACGTTTTATCAGATTGCATTTCAGAACCAAGGAGTTGAGGATGGCGGGGGGACGAGGTTTTGTTTCTTCCTTTGTATATTTTATGCAACAACAGAGCGCCTTACGAATTGTTGAGAGGAACATTGGATAATACAGCCAGGGTGTGGCATGTCTAGGTGTATACATCAGGTTGCATAAGGATTGTCATAAGTTGGTCTAGAGAGGAAGGAAACTCAGCAGGTGCTCGCTACAAGACAGAGAGAGTGTGTAATTGTTTGGGAGTTTGAAGCGCGTGTATATCTATGAGTAGTCTATAGTGAGTGTTACAGTGATACCCACCCATGCACCAGATGGATGAAAAAGGGTGCCCGAGGAGGGATGTGGGCAAACTGCTCCATGGAGGCTGTTGGAAACCAAATATGGGCCAATATATAGATATGTGACATAATTAATACGAGAGTTTGATTGATTGGCGAGAGTGGTTAGTCATTTATGCATGTGTGTGTGGTTGGCTGCTTTGTGGGTTGCGACATGATATATGATACATTCATGCTCGTCGTGCATGTGATGAACTCGGGATTGGCTGGGCTGCCTTTGAATCAATTCTGGTAGGCGTTGATTGGAGCATTGAGCGTTGGCAATACTGAGGCTGTCTCAGATTCAAGACGGCAAAGCCACAACTTTCGTTAAATTTCCACAGGCCATGTTACGAGGACTGCGTTATGGACTGAGTTTGTCTTGCTCTGCCCTCGGCAATAACTAATACGATCTCGGGCTTGAACTCCTGTGCATGTGGTCCTCTATTTATTCCAGATGTCGATTTCCCCGTATCTGTATGTCGTATTGCTGCAGCCATGCCCTACCTGTTCCTACTGGACGCGTTACCCAAGGACAAAAGACATAGCGAGAATGTCGTCTTGGGCTCGACTAGCAAATCCGTCCTAGCCTCTTGCTTGACGTGGCCGAAGAGAAGGCCACTACGAAATTGGGCTTCGGGCACCCCGAGGTTCATACCTCATGGGTGGGATGGATTGAATCGCGTCGCAAGGCAGAAGAATTGGGGGAAAACAAATGTGTGGTCGATAGGAGCAGTAAGCCCCCCCCTTGTGCGTTTTTATTCGCTGTAGTCATCTCTTCCTTTCCGATTATGCAGTCCCCGCCATTCTCTTCCTTCAACATTCTTGGTGTTGTGCGCCCTGACTCCATCCGATTATTCCAACCATGCCGACCCGAAATTGTGGTAGCCACCCCTTTTAACGCCGTGAGATATCCGCTCCCTGTATGCATGTGTATTCCGCTGCTCCAGTACAGATCGATCGCGCTAATTAAAATATCTCCATCGCGTCCTCTGTCTTCTGACTTGTGTGTATGCGAGTGTGTGAAGAAGGCACAAGCTCTGCCGCTGACGTAAACTTGAAAGACGGCACACCAAAAAAAAAAGGGGGGTGGAGTGGTTGATCCCCGACACTGGAGAGGCAGAGCGATTCCGACAGTTTCGTATTGTGTGGTCGAGGCCTGTCCTTTTTTTTTCATGTCATGAGTCAGTACTCCTTCTGCACGAACCAGGTGCAAGCTTTTGTCTTGCAGTGAGAGGTGTGTGAACCAACCTTTTTGCTCCAAGTCGCCCATCACCATGCTCTCATCCCAAGCCAAAAGAAAAAACCCTCCAGACCAGACCACAGACAAGAGACACACACAAGAATGGTGTGTTCCGATTGTTGCTCAGTGTTTCAACCAGCCCTGGCTGAAGTGGGACACCCCGCGTTGTTTTGAAAGAAAAGATCACCTCTTCCGGAAGCTGATAGACCCAAGCCTCGTACAGCAGATTATGAAGCCGACGATAATGAAGAGGAGGATGATAACCGCCTCAACGTAGAACAACACAGCAGTAACCATTTTGAATGAGTGAACGTGTTTGACTTTGCTTAATAACGAGTGTGGGTTTTTATTATTATTGGGTGAGGGAGGGTGGTGTCGGCTTCGGGACGCTCAACTTGTACCGGTCTCGGTCTTCCGGAATAACGAGAGGAATCGTGGAGGTCGCGGAATGAGGCTGAAAAGAGGTAGAAAAGAGACCACAAGAAGAGGCTTAGAAAAACGGTGCAGCTGCCAAAGAGGTTAAATATACCATTGCAACATTTCCTGTCAGCCCCAGCGAGCCAGGGCCTAGAATTGGGTATGCCGTTTTTTGGTGCTGCCCTTTCTCCTTTTTAATTTCCGTCCCTGTCCAGCAGGATTACGCACCGCTCAGGGGCTATCTGTGGGTACTAGGTGTGCTGCTGAAGACTTACCGGGGTTATTCACCAAGAGGTTTTTTTTTTCTCTCTCTCTCTCTCACCTTTCTTGTTCCCCCCCTTCGCTCTCGCTCTATACTTGCTTAGGTTATCTCTTCTCACCTACTAGTCTAATGGGCAAAAAGATGTGGGTCTGGTCCGATTCTGAGGAACCTTGCTTCTGGGAGAGAAAGTGAAAGGGGGGCAGGGTGGGCGGCTGACAGCGATCCCTCAGAAGCCACTCGAGTTGCCAAGCTCCGGCGCGGGATCTTGAGTACCGAGAGAGAGAGAGATTATAGGATTGCATTTTCTTCATTGGTCTGCAGGCCAGGGCTAATCAGGATCGAGAGCCTCAATCCCGACGCCTTGTCGGAATCCTGTGTCACAGAGCTCGCTCTTTGGGCTACTGCGCCGCAGGCCTAGTTCTCTGGCCTAAACGAAATTATCCCTACACCCAAAAAGATATGGAACTGCCCCCTATTTGTTAGTGGTGGGCCCTGGACCGGTGTTCCCACTTTGCTGCCCTTCCGTGGGGCAGACTATCCGGGGCCAATTGACCGGGGCGTGATCTAAAAGTGATCAAATGTGTGTGTCCTTGGTTTTTTTTGGTTTTTTTTGGGGGGGAGGGGGGGGGTTTAACCATCCAAATTAACCAGATCTCTGGTTTTCAATGCATTGATAACAGGTCGGCTTGCCTCAAAGGAGATGAGACTCGTGACCAGACACGGTTGAGCACCTTGCGCAAATGTTTTGACCCCTGCTGTCCTCGAATAGGAAAAGCCAGGACAGAAGAAAACGGCTGACTTGCTATAGCTGCATCGCGAACACACTTATCGATCCCCAAGAATCCCTCAGGAATTAATTGTATACGAGTCGTTTGCGGGTCCCCCACCGGGCGCTATCGGTTGTCGGCACTGCATCGAGTTGCGAGCGGAGAGTTGAGATCGACAAAAAACTGGATTTGCTGTGATAATACTGATAGGCCTTCGTAACGAGCAGACGCGCAATCCCATTATGATCGCACTCGTCAAGCTTGACGTGTGGCCTCTCAGAAGCCTTAGGGTCTTGAACTTGGATCTCGTGGCTGGTACTTTGACAGTAGGTGATGATCCACCGCTACGATGTCCAGATCGCTGGGCATTAAACCACAGCAGATTCGACGTGGAACAATAGAGGCCAAGCAGCGCTGCCCGACTTCGCTTCTCTTGCCTTTCCGCCGCGCTGATGCAGACAGGGACGCTTCTAAGTTACATCATCACCACAGGAATAATACCTCAGCTCGGAGTCAATATCGACCTTTCTGGACCGTATTACGATACGCCTGCGTGGCCTGATGCTGGCCAGATATCTGGCCGCTTCCTATGTCCTTCACAACTGGGCGTCCATTGAACACGACGACACCCCTTTAGGCCAGTATTCATTGCCACGGTGTAATCAGTGTGAAGCAGAGACGGGCGGAAAATGCCAAAAACCTAAAATACGAAGGGGGAAAGTGAGATTGCTCTGTTCCAGTCTTCGGTCTCAAATAAACACCTCGCGCCCATTCGATGCAACACTGACAAAAAGCAATGCCACGACCAACATATTAAAAGATACATCTCCTTATCCAAATCGAGAGGTAGCCTTCCATCCAAGAAAACCTTAATGGAGTGGAGATAATGAAGGTTCACGCAAATCCTGGAGAGAAGATACTGCAGGTCATTACTCTGTTGGACACAAACTGCAAGGGCCTTGCGGTACGGGACGAAAGTGTAATTCGATGCGGCTGACCCGCTCGCTGAAGAAATCCAATCTGGCAAACCATTTTGATCACTACTGTAGTTCCGCCAGCTACTGCCATGCTCGCTTGAGGAAACACCAACAGCTGGAGTAGACCGTGTGATTTCTTGATCAATAATGGACTGTGATTCGAGCCAGCTTACGATCTTTGATATCTTCCACACACCCGGAAGGCCGTAGTTCCAAGTTGATTAAGGTTTTGATTTATAATATTTGTACCAAGCTATGAATCTTGCACCATCTTGATGCCACCTCAAGTAGTTTGCATTATATCAATGCTCTGCTATGGCCTACCATAATTCTGTAAAAGTTAATTGAATTTATGCTTACCGTAACTGGAACTACTGCCTGCTGCTAACGTCATCATGCACAGAGATGCCCACCTGCTGCCTGGCCTAGTACGACCTACAGCTTCGGGATGACACTGGAAAGCCTTAGAAGCTACAACACCAATTCATACACTTCCTTCTCTTGGCTCGAAATGTTCTCTTGCGACATGTCAAGAGGGAACCCTATTTACTACAGCGCCCCGCTCTGGTCGCCAAGATGTCCGTCGGCCTCCTCTTCGTGATAGCCCCCGAGGCAAACGAGAACTCTATCAATCGCTGCCTGCTTCACCTGAAGGACTGGGAATACGGCAGCGGCGACAGATTCCGTATAGTCACGTCCAAATCGACAGACGCCCTCCTGCAATGTCTCGTCCCGCCGCCCCATCCGAAACCTGATGCGATACCCCAGCTGCCTGAGACGTCAGCACCCGTGCCCCCGAGCCTGGTAGAGGAGAACGAGTGGGCAGGCGCCAGCATTTCCGACGTTGAGGCGTTCTGCTTGGCGTTGAGCCAGTCCGAGACGCGCTCGCTCAACTACTCGGAGGTTGTCGTCCTGGATGCTGAAGGGATCGACAAGCAGACCTGTGTCCTGATGTCTCGCCCGTACGACATGGATTACTTTGAGAAGTGCCGGTTTCCGTGGTACCAAACCTACCTGATCTGGTGTAATCTGGATATCGCAAATATGGATTGGGAGGACTACGTGGGCGAAGAACCTGCAGAGGGTATGGAAGAAAGGTGGCGAACTTCTATTGTGGAGGATCAAGGGGAGTTCCTTTCTGACGAGAATAGAAAGCTGCGAGACAAGGCCATCAGAGAGTTGGAGGACTTGGACAAAGCTTAGGACCGGTGGTCTCGTCGATTTCCAGATAGCGGCGGTTTCAAGATTGTTAAGTTGTTGGAGGGTCTGTGAGTACATATGATATATAAACTGAATGACTTCACTGTTACATCAAATGCATCTTCCTTTGCCTTTCACTGTTAACTCGGGCCTCTTCTTAGAAATAATACCATTTGATTAGCCGTTATCCCATCCCAGGTGCTGATAGTTTAGCTTTCAATTTCACATAGCGCCTTCATATGAACCAGGTTCATGAACGCTGACCTAAATCTCATACACTTTATCATTACTCCTAAAGATGAATCATAGATCCTCGAATCTTTGCGGCTGCGGATCAGTCCACGGACGCCTGCTCCTTGGCCATCTTAGCCGCCTCCTCAGCCATCCTCTCGGCGCGGTACTGGAGAAGGGCCTTGAGGACCTGTGCAATGCGTGATTAGCAGACGCACGCAAACGCTCTTGTGACACCGTACGGTTCAGGCATCTCAGAATCATCTCGCCATATGCACTCCAGATTGGGGTGGAAGCGGTACGACTTACCGTATCCTCATCCACCTCGCCCACAAGTTCCTTCGACAAATGCAGAAACGCCTGGTCTACCTCCCTAAGCTTTCCCTGTCGTGAATATATCGTCTGACCGTGCCTCTTCTCGTCCGCCATCAAGATAACGGTGCTCCTGGCGACAACCTCGGCGTCCTGCGTCTGCTTCAGATGCCCTACAGCTTCGAATGCGTCATGTGCGACCATCCCCGTCAGCGTCCACGATGGAGCGATACAGTTGACTCGGATGCTGCTGACATTCTCGGCAAGAAGTGGCACCAGTCCGCGCATGAAACCCAGCAGTCCGTGCTTGGATGCGCAGTAGTCCACGTTTCGGAAGCGCTGGAAGCCCGTCGCGCTTGACGCCAGCACGATCGAGCCGCCGGGTGGCGTCTGGTGGCGCATATGGTACATGCCGAGGTAGGCCGTGTTGATGCATGCTTTGAAGTTGACGTCCAGCGTGACCGAGGACGGCTCCTCCAGCTCGCCCGTCTCCGAGTTGAAGGTCTCTCCGAGGTAGTTTGCTCGGAGGCCGGCTATCCCGGCAGCAGCGAAGACGTGATCGATTCGGTTGTGCTTGGCAGCGGCGGTTGTGAAGAGGGACCGCAAGGAGGCCCAGATGCTGACATCGGTGGCGACAAAAGCCAGGTGGTTCCCTTCGCTGTACTGCTGGAGGAGGGTATCTGGAGGCGGGTTCTGGTCGCCAACCACAACGGAGGCGCCAAGCTCGAGGAGTAGGGAGGTTGTGGCGAGGCCGATGCCTGAAGAGCCACCTGGATTGTATGTGAGTGGATGCTTAGAGATATACGTGGAAACAGAGCAAGGGCCATTACCAGTAATTACAATAACCTTGCCTGAGAGGCCAGTTAGGTCATTCTTTTCAACAGTGAATTCAGCCATTGTCCGCACTGATACGTGTACCTCTTGCACCGCCGTTGAGTCAGTAGTTAGCTTGATTTTGTCAGGAGTATGATCTGGAAGATTGGTCAGAGTTTGTTCTCAAGTTAGCCCATGCAATAATTTTCAAGGAGAAGGTGTTCTGGAGAAGAAAAGAGGAGAACTGAGCTGTCCACTAAGTGATCAGAGCTGGGGAGGTACTTCCTGTCAGCTGACTGAACTCCAACAATGGGCAGGACATTAAGTTACAGGTTTTAAAATATAAGTAGGTGAACTGTAAGATCAAAGTCGTCAAGCTGCTAGATTGAACCATTTTTTTTAATTCATTTTGTGGGGATTCGTATGTTTACTCTCAAGCTTTGCACGGTAATGCAGAGCCTTGGCCTCTACCTGCGGACATATCTGAGCCTGACCTTTTCCAACTATCAAGGCGTTGTACATGTCACCATCATACTGGATCCGAGCTGAGCAGGCGTCCCTCACTTTCACCTTTGCGCCATAGTATGACGATTAATTGTGGCAGACTCTCCCAGTAATGGGCTCTGTGGAACTTCCTCACTATAAGTACTTACTATGTAATTGAGTACTTGAAGTATATTCATTGGAGGGTGCAGCTAAATGCGGGGGTGCCGAGGTCCCAATCTGTCTGCATCTGAGGACCTTATTGGCAAAACCTCTACGGCTTTCTTTAATTTTCAGTACTGAACAGAAGCGCACAGCACCCATAATTGCTCCTGCACCACAATTCTGTACCCATTTGCGACTTTGCAGCTGACACACTCCGAGGTTTTGAGATCTCGGACGACATGGGTACGCTCGGTAGCTATGGTCAGTGACCAGTGATAAAAAGCTCTGTGCGGGATATCCCAAGCGCAGCCTTGGCTGACGCTGATACTAGAGAATGTTGCAGAGTACTGCACAATTGTAAACATCCTATTTAATTGCATGTCAGCGTCGAGATACCCTCTTCATGAAACGCTACTACATGTTAGACTCTATGTATGTGCAGCCGGCTGTATAGGGCCAGCACCAGGGCCAGCGCAGGGCTAGGGCTAGCTGGGATATATAGCTAGCCTTCTTGGATACCATCTATGGGCCCATGCAGCGCTTCCTTTTCGTTTCTTTTCAGCACATACGAATCACTGAAAAATTACATGAAAGAAGGCGAAATCCCTTTTGTGCAAGACTTGAGCTGACGACCGGTCCGTAAGGCGGATTTCCAAAGCAATGTTCGGATAAAACCTCAGGAGAAACAAGTGGAAGGCGTTTATATTAGGCTGAACAAGGCAAAGTAACAAGATGGTTGCCTGAAGCTGGTTGCTCAGCCCTAACCCTCAAGAGATCAATTGAGACGCTATGTGGACCCCCGCTGTCTTGTCGCGCAGGCTGGCCCCCCACCCCACTCCCATTACATCTGTAGTGACACTGCAGCCCATAGCAACCGCCGAATGTAAACAAATTCCCCAACTCTATACCTGACACAGCTTCTTTTACCGACACGCCATCACGTTCTCAATATCGCGACAGCTCTCAACGCGCTAACTTCTCTTCACTTCGCAAAAGATCACTCCAGCACACGTACCATAATGGCAACCTCTGAAAAGCCCAGCAGGGAAAAAAAGGACACCTCCAAGGTGCACAAGCTCTCGCTCCGAGGCAGCGCCAAGCTGGTCGCCGAGTTCGTACGTCGAGCCCAGCTTCCTTCCTCGCCACGCGGCTCTTCTTCTTCAATCTCTTAAAGGACAATCGCTAATAAGACCAATCTCTTTTTCACCTACCACAGTTTCAATACTCGATTCATTCCATCCTTTACCAGCGCGGCGTCTATCCGGCCGAGGACTTCACCATCGTCAAGAAGTACGGGCTGAACATGCTCGTGTCGTCGGACGACCAGGTCAAGGCCTACATCAAGAAGATCATGTCCGCGCTGGACCGGTGGATGAAGGACGGCAAGATCTCCAAGCTGGTGATCGTCATCACCAACAAGGACACTAGCGAGCACCTGGAGAGATGGCAATTTGACGTGAGGCCGCACAGTCCCTTTACCCCCCTCACACCTTAGAAAGGGCCACACAGCAAAAAAAAAAAAAAAAAAAAAAAAAGATGGCCTGCAAGTAGCTGGACGGCACGTCGCTGACTCAAGAGAAAAAACCATTCCCCCCTATAGATCAATATCACCGCCGCACCAAAGTCAAAATCCAAATCCAAATCGTCCACCAGCAAACCTACACCCGCCGACTCCGAGAACCAGGAAAACTCGGCACCGCCGGGCACCAATATCAACACCCTGGCCTCTCAGCCAGCCCCAACCCCCGAAAAGACCGAGGCAGAGATCCAGTCCGAGATCGCCGCAATCTTCCGCCAGATCACCGCGTCCGTGACTTTCCTTCCGCAGCTGGACGCGGGCGAGTGCACCTTCAATGTTCTGGTGTACGCGGATGCAGACTCGGACGTGCCGGTGGAGTGGGGCGACAGCGACGGCAAGGAGATTGTCGGCGGTGAGAGGGTGCAGCTTCGGGGTTTCAGCACCGCGTATCATAACATCGGCACCACGGTCGACTATAGAGGTGACTTCTAGCCGCTGGATAGGGCTGGGCTGTAGACAGCAGGCTGTGAGAGGAGAGGTGGGATCAATCACGCAATCAAAAGGGTTCTATACGTGGGCAAAGATGGCTGGGATTGGGGCAAACTGGTCTGGGATTTGTATTGTAAGACCGCAAATGACGAGATGCGCATGACAACACGGGGCGTTCGGGTCGGTTTAGGGCACCATCTGGAAATACCATGAATCTTATCTTTTATTTTGGACTGCTCATCCTGATATCTTGCTCGCAGTAGGCGTCTCTTGATGGCCTCAAGCGGCCCCATCAATCAAGCAATTGGCTATCTTGTTAGACCGTCTTCAACTCCAGCCGAACTCGCATTGCCATCTCGAATCTAACTTGATACTTTTGGTCCAAACACCTAGCATACTCCTGTCTAAACACGCTTGAAGAAATAGACATAGGCGAACTTGCGCATTTCCTCGATATCCACCGCCTCAACAACCTTCTCATCGTTGAAGAGGACCCAGGCCGACTTGTCCGGCAGCTGCTTGCGGACGAAGGCCACGTAGTGTCTGTCGAAACGTAAGACGTTAGCAATAGTCTCGACTCAGCGGATCCAAACAAGAAATATAGGTTTCACTAACCCAGCATGAATGCTTGTGCCCTTGTGGCACACGATACTCTGTAGTTGGAACTGTGCAGGCAGCGTTGCGCTTCCAGCAGGGCCAGCAGCTGTCACGGGTGCTGCACCTCCGTCAGCGTCATCGCCGCCCACCAGACCTGGATCATCTGGATGACTGAAGAGCCACTCCACAGCACGCTCCATATCACCATTCGTCTCCTTGAGAGCCTTCTGGGCTTGGGCCTCACCAAAGCCCATAGCGCCCAGCATCTCAATCTGTTCGGGGTTTGCTGCCGCACCGCTATTTCCCGCAGTTGAGCCAGTCAGGTCAAGGGGAACGTCGATATCGGGGTCTTCCATGTGCTGGAACAGCCATTCCATAGCGGCGTTTCCATCACTGTTTCCAGTGGCGTGGAGCGCCTTCTCACAGCGCACACGAGGGAATCCCATAGCCTCCAGCATAGCAAGAGCGGCTTCGTTAGGCACAAATGCTGGAGTTGCAGATGCAGCCTCCTCAGGCAGGAGCTCTTCACCGGGTTGCTGGCCTTGGGACAGGTAATGATCCAGTAGGAACGGTTCATCAGGAACAATGATAGGCACGTCGACCTTCACCTCGACCCAGTTGATGATAGCCATCCGTCGAGCATTGACAGCGAATATCTCGGGGAACGTCTTGAAAAGTGTCCGCTTGGCGTAGCCATCCTTGGAGCCGCAAGATGAGCACGTGAGCTCCACTAGCTCCTCAGCCGTAAAGTCGTCCAAACACTGTTTGAATGTCACAGGCTTCCACGGAGCAGGTCCCTCTTCTCCCTCCTTCTGTGACTCTTTCTCCATAGGAAGGATTATCATGATATTGTCCTGCTCATTGGTAGAATATCGAACTTTTTTGCAACCACGGCATTGTAAACGCTGTTCCAGAGTAAAGCGGAAGGGAAGAGTAGGGTCAGCAGTGGGTGAGGGGTGCTCCGAGCGGGTGATGAGCTTGAAGAGGTGCTGGAACAGCTCGAATGCATCTTGTTGCCGCATTGTGGAAAATTCCTGGTGGCCGCGACCGATCAAGTGCTTGAACATGGCTGGGGCCAAACCCCGCTGGTGTGCCGTAGCAGGGTCTTGACCCGATGCAGAGGCATCTGGGTCCGGTTTTGAGTATCGTCCGGAGAGAAGACCATCAGCCATCTTTCTAAGCTGTGTCTCGAGGTCCTCAGCTGGCTCCTGCACGATGGGCAGGTCGTCATAAACCTCGTAGTAGCGCTTGCGGAACGCTGGGAGGTCAAAGAGGCACTGCAGGATGCTGGCAAGATAGCAGCTGTTGCCGAGGTTCTTCAAGCCGGTGAGGCCGGGTCCAAACAGTGGCACCAGCTCATGGCCATCCTGTGTCGTGGTGAAGTCCCACTTCAGGTTCTGCTCGATTTGCATTTCTGTCAAGCTTTTCTCTGTCTTCTGCCTCTCCGCGATGTTGATGCCCCAATTCGCCAGGTGGGCGGCCAGCGACTCGTCAATCCGCTCATCATCGCAGGTGTAGCAGTATACATCTGCTGTCCCCTCTGCACTGATGGAGCCGAGCTTTACAGCGACACCGTGACCCGTCTCCTTTGAGTGCGCCAGCGCGTGGGAGTTGCCGCCCACACCACCGAACTGGGCCCTGCCGCAGCCCAGGGCACCACACTGCAGACACAGCCAGAGGTTCTCCTGGAGATCGCACTTAGCACAGCCTCCCAGGTCTTGACCTGCGATCTCCCGTGGCTCTTCCTGCTGCATGAGGAGGATGTGCTCGCAGCTTGTCAGCTCCTGCTCCCATGCCTTGATCTCCTCCTTGCGCGAGAAGGTATTTGATGTCATGATGCCGTCGACGACCGGAGCGATCTTGGGGTTGGTCGTATCGATGGGGGTATCGCACTCGAGGCACCTGACTGACAGGGCGTGGTCGTATTTGTCTTCATCTTTCTCGGCGGCGATAGCAAGCTTTGTGATTTTCTGGGGCGGCTCGTCTCTAACGACCGCCTTGCGCGTCCTTTTGATATTCAGGACGAGAGGATGGCTGCGGAGGGCAGCATGGAGGGCAGCGTGCTGTCGATCGCCGGCACAGCCTCCGTTGAAGCACTGGAGGCAGACGTCGAGACCTTGGGCCTCGTCCTGTACCAGGCACAAGTCAGCTTCTCGGGTCCTCCGTAAGAAAAAGAGTTGGGGCAGAGTAAAGAATGGCTGCATACGATGGAGTCGAAGCACTGGGTACAGTCCTCTCGATAGACTGACTGGTTGGGCGTCGGGGGCGAGAGACCTGATCACAGCAACCAGTCAGCAACAAACACACACATGCAGACAGCCTCTCTCACAGTTCCCAGCTTGTGCCTCACCAAGTGACTCGACATGTGTGCACGCCATTTTGTTTTCTTTTGTTTTCTTTTTTTGTCCAGTCTGACTGCTGAGAGTCAACGACTGAGAAAAAGAAAAGAGAGGCAAGGGTATGGGTCGTATTGTGTTGTTGGACCCTTTTAAGTTTGCGAGGGGGAGGGTAGAGAAGCTGTCAGAAGAAGGCAATAAACAATTACGTCTGTCAGCAAAGTGCCTGCAAGCTGTAGGCAAGGGCAGGGCACAGGGGAGGGGCAGACGCGACCACCCCGCGTTTGGGCCTGGGACATTTCCCTTAGCGTGCCAGCTCAGCAGGGATGGTAGAGAGGTGGGGCTCCACCATGGTGAAAGGTGTCTATACACCGAAGCACTTGAGTCACTATCAATATGCCATATGATCTGGCTGACGGCTTGTTAATGATAAGCTGTCGACGTCAGAGCTGCTCACCAGGGGCCTTCTACCAGGGTTGGAAGATACTCTCAGTGGGGCAGTCTCTTGGCTTCTCTGACGAGACGAAATTCCGTGTGCATTTGGTGGTACTATAGCATACGACGATCTCACGGGTCAAATGCGCTTCAAGAAAGGCATCACCGCACTGTGGGTCGATCGGCTGGGCAGTAGCAACGTGAGGTTGAACGAGATGGCTTGCATTGGAAATGCAAGTCAAACACAAATTATCTGATTCATCTTATCTCCGCCCGGAGACCATGTAAAGCTCGGCTGACCCACTGTAAAACACCGCGCCCGACCATTCTCCGAGGTCGCTTAGTGACTTCATACCCTCCCGTGGCGATTTTTCTCTGCACCTCTCCATTTTGCAACTGGGCCTTTTCTTGTCCCATTTCACATCCCAAACCCAAAGAACAACCTACAACCCACATCAACAACAACCACCCCACTCATCACGATCAACTTCATCTTGCGATACCTAAAGCAACATATCACCTAAACCGCTCGAGCAATTGATCAGAGCACCATACAACTGCTGCAGGAACCGCCGCGCAGCTGTATCACACAAAAGCACACATCAATATGTTCTCCAGAGGAATCCGTGTCGCCTCGAGGCGAGTCCTCGCTACACCCATCCGCCCTGCCATCCTCAGCGCACCTCGACAACTCACCCCAGCCGTCTCCGTTGGCGCAACTCGATCCTACCACGAAAAGGTTCTTGACCAGTATGTTTGACTGACTCCATCACCGCACTTGGTGCGAGTACTCTGGATATCATGGCTAACCAGCTCATCACAGCTACTCTCGACCGCGAAATGTTGGGTCGATGAGCAAGACTGATGCAGATGTTGGAACTGGACTGGTAGGCGCACCGGCATGTGGCGATGTGATGAAGATTCAGATGTGAGCTATTTTACACCCCTCACTCCCGCCCCAAACTCCGAAATATATCGGCTTTCGTGCTAATATACCCACCTTTTTAAAAGACGCGTTGACCCCGACTCAAATACCATCTCCGATGTCAAGTTCAAGACCTTTGGCTGCGGCAGCGCCATCGCCTCCTCATCCTACTTGACCGAGCTTGTCCGCGGCATGACTCTGGACAAGGCCTCCCAGATCAAGAACACGGACATCGCCAAGGAGCTGTGCCTGCCCCCTGTCAAGCTGCACTGCTCCATGCTGGCCGAGGACGGCATCAAGGCCGCGATCTCTGACTACTACACCAAGAACCCGACTGCCAAGAAGACGAACCTCGCTGGTACTGGTATGAAGATGCCCGAGGTTGAAATCACCTCCGCGCCGGCGGCTGCTGCTGCTTGAAGGCGGTTGTCAAGTCCGACGGAGTTCCGAGAATGGGAGTTTCTCGTGCAGGGTGCAGTACTTGTTCCGGCGTTTTGGGGTTCGTGCTGGGGATTCTTTCACTTTCTTTAATCAAATACCACACAAAACAATCAGTCTGAGCTGGTTGGAGGTGGAGTCCTTCATGAATCTTTCGGAAGTTGGGTCTTGGTGGACTATGAAAGGATCAAGTTCTGGATTGGACATGCTCAGGGGACAGACACTGCAATGACGATGGATGGTTGGTGCCTACGGTCTTTGTAATGTTGCAACAAATTGACATCTCCATAGGTAGCAAGGTAACCGAATACGATGCATTCGTTGACCTGCCATTTGCGAAGAAGTCCTCCATCCTTCAAGGAAGCCGCTTGAACTGGCGCATTGAGATTGATCAGCCTTGCCCTGGGAAGCACCTGCTTGACGTTATTGACCTCCCTCATGAAGATCTTCTAGTATTGCCAGTGATATTTCCCCCCGTTTCTTAGCTACAGTCCAAGCCTACATTCCAGCACGACAAGCCTTCTGCCGTAAAATTGAGCCCCCAAGTCGACAAACTCCATGACTAGCACGAATACTTTGAGCAGCTATATTAAGACGACGGAGATTGCGTCCAATGATGAGGAGAATCCTGAGTCTGATTTTCATCAAACTCGACCAGTTGAACAAGAAGATGCTACGGCCATGTTAGGTGTAGATAGCTACGCTGAACAGACTGACCATACATCTCAAAATGCTTACGACCTCCCATCCGACGACTCCAGCCTCTTCGTCGGCAACAGCGCCGTGCTCACCACACACCCCAGAGTAACCCCACCCGCAAGATACAACACCGCATTCATATTCCCATCGCCCGCCGTCCCGTCTCCATACAAGCTCTGCGCGATCAAGGGGCTCACGATGCCGAACAACCTGCCCCAGAAGCTAGCCACACCACAAGCCGTGCCGCGGACGGGTGCGGGAAAGGCCTCGGGGGTCCAGCCGTACAGCACGGCGTTGAACATGGACTGGAAGAAATACTCCATGGTGAAGAGCCCTAGGTTCTTGGCAACGGTGTCGACGGTGGAGAAGAGGATGATGGAGAGGCCCATGAGGGCGGAGGAGATGGTCATGGTCCACTTGCGGCCGAGACGAGGGACCCGGTACATGGCGGCGCCGGCGAGAACGCCTAGGATGCCGGGAGCATAGGTGTAGATGTAGGAGGCGTAGGTGAAGGAGAGAGACTGGGAGGCGGATCCGTTTTTGAGGGCGAGGATGCGAGGGAGGTAGAAACCTGGGGGTTTGGTGACGATAGCCATTAGCAAACGTGTGTTTCTGCTTCAGAACAAAGGACTTGTGACAAAGTGAGGAACAACACAACTCACCAGCAACAGTGAAGCCCCAAAAGTCCATGATATACGTTAACCACACTAGTATTGTTAGCCTCGTCATGCCCACGCTCGAGAACAACATCCTGTACCGCTCCATCCCGCCCATCACCTTCTCTTTCGTCGGCTTCATCCGCTTGAACGTGTCCACCCCACTCCTCAGTACGTTCCCGCTCGGCGTGCGCTTGAAGACCACACGCGTTCTGCCCTGCTCACCACCGTCCGACGTATCCTCTCTACTTCTACTAGTAGTGGGCGGACTGCTGGTGGGTCTATCGTCACTGCTACCACTACCAACAAAGGAGCTGCTCCCGCTCTTCAGCGCCTCGAACGCAGCCAGGCTCAGACGGCACTCATGCCCGTTGGTCCTGGCAATATGCTGCACGACACGGATAGCCTCCTCGTCCTGGCCCTGGTAAATAAGGAACTTGGGCGACTCGCGGAACCGAAACACAAAGAAGCGCAGGCAGAAGACGGCCAAGGTGATGCCGCCGAGCGTGAAGAGGAGATAGCGCCAGCCCATGTTGTTGCTGCGCCCGCAGCACGGGGCACCGGGAGCGAGGTCGTTGGCTGCGCAGCTGGGGAGAGGGTTGGCCTCGGAGAAGTTGGGGCTGCAGGACATGGTGGGGATGAAGCCGAAGGCGATGGCGGAGCAGATGACGACGCCGATGGGCTGGAAGATGGAGAGGGTGGCGAGGAGGAAGCGCCTGTTCTGGGGGAGGAATTCAAGCGTGATGGTTGTGTCAATGGGGATGTTCCCGCCGACACCGAATCCGACGAATGCTGTTAGGACCAAGAAGGTGGTGTAGTTGTTGGAGGCGCCGAGGCATAGGCCAAAAATTGAAGAGAAGAGGCAGGTCAGGTTGAATGCCCATCTTCGACCTGATCAAGGAAGGAATACGTGAGCAAGTCAGCATTCTTTCCAGCTTTCAAAAAGAGCACCACATCACTGGATGATGATGAGACAGGAGCTCAATCATCGCACATACCAACCAGGTCACTCATGACGCCCCAGAAGAACGCCCCAGCTGTCAGTCCTGCATTGAAGCTCGTCGAGATGTTCCCGCTCTCATCATTTCCAAATCCCAGCTCTTGTTGCAGCGGGCTCAACGTCAGCCCAAAGGCCTGTGCCCACAGCAGATCCAGCATATACCCAAACCCGCACAGGCCCCAGATATACCACTGGTATCTCCCCATTCCCATGGCGTCGATCTCACGGTTCACCAAGACGCACTTCTTTTCGTACAGGCTCAGTCCGTCCAGATCTGAGTCGGCAAGGACTGTGGCGGGAGAGTATGTGGGTGAGAGAACCCGAGTGGGCGTGACGACTGGGGAGGCCTTGTGGTCGTAGCCATCTTCCCGATAGGGGGGCTCATTTTGGCTGTGGCTAGCCATGGTGAGAAGGGGAACGGTGGCCTCGTCGCTGGTGAAGGGATCCACCTTGGCGGTTTGTGGTGCAAGATAGTTGGGCAGCAGGGGAGGAGATGGATTCTCCTTTGTTGGGTGTAATATAATGAGCCAGAGACTCGGAGGAGGAAGAAACCACGGCGTAATACAGGTGACGCCTGGCGGACGACGTATGTGACAGTGGGTGCATTTGGGGCTCACCAGACTGGTTCTCGGTCCCGAATTCGCAACAGATGTTGTGCTTGAGAGACTTCAGTTTTGTATAGTATTGATTTATTTGCTCGCTCTGCTATTATGAACACGAGCACAAGTGTGATACACAGTACACCCTCCAAGAGAGATATTGAGTATTGTTTGCTGACTAGATCGAATCCGAGGTGCCTGATGAAGCGCCTTTCCATGATCATCCATGACGTGAAACTAAGGTTTCTTCAGAGCACCACCACGAGGTAACAATCCTTGGCCTTGGCTAGCTTTAGCTGTTGATGCGGTCCCACGCTGGTGATCTGTTGCAGGACACCGTTTGCGCTGGTGCAACCCCCAGATCGCTGATCGTACAAAGAAAATAGTGTACGTCATGACTTAACCTGTACGGCTGTGCTAAGAAACTGAGCACCCGCCCAAGTTTTGGAGTTCGCTAGCCGTCGTAAGCCGTTGTAACGTGGAGGTAGGATTACTATTTCTAAATAAAAGACTGTATAATCGGCGTTGTAAAAATTGATGATGTTGTCAACAAAAGGCCCCCCAGTGCTACAGTGGCTGGCCCTGAGAACCCCTGGACGCATCTCAATGTAGACACTGTTACTTGCGCCTTGCTGCCCACAAATGCTACCTGTGATTTTTAATTGTTTCTCTCTCTCTTCTGACTCTCTCTGTAATGTACTACTTTATTAATGATTCAAATTTGCTGAGACTGCGGTGTTGGCCGGATCTTCTGGTTCTGAGCAGCCAAGGAGCGTCGACATTAGAACGCCAGGTGAAGGGAGTCTGGTTTTGGTCGTGATTTTAATTAGTGATAGACGGCAATACCAGATAGTACAGATACAGCCTCAGAATCCGAGGCCACTTCCCACGGCTGCTTCTGTAGTGGCTCAAGGAGAGGAGACTGGTTCGGATCCAAGTTCAAGTCCAAGTCAAAGAAGAGGTCGTCATCAGCCATGATCAGGCTGCTGCTCCAGCCAGCTCGGTTCTTGTCGTCATCTTTGTTGTTTTAGTATATCCGTCAACAGTGAGTACAATTTTCACAGGCCCAGTCCAAGGCCGGCCTTGAGGGGCGTGATGCCAATCGTCTGCCACAGCTCCCTGGTGTCGTAGCAGCGGCCCAGCGCCTCCATCGACCGAGGCAGCGCCCTCACACCCTCCTCTTCCATGAGCTCGTGAACCCATCGTGCCTGTTTAGTAGGCTCCTTGTCAAGCTTCGCACCCTCATCCCTCACGCCCTCAGCCCATCCAGCAAAGAGACTCCACCAGTCATACACAAACCCATCCGTCACCATCCATCTCTGCCCCTTGCCGACCTTGTCCCACCCGCCCTTCTCGCTCCGTCTCATCACTGCCAAGACCACACGCGCCACATCGACACCATGGATCATATGCAGGCTCTTCTTCCCCCTGGCAGCGTCCTTGCTCGTCGCCACACGGTCAAACCAGTGCCGTACATCCCTGTCTCCGCCCCACAGCCCGGCGAGGTTGAGCACACAGCCCCCCAGCTCCAGCAGCTCATCCTCCGCCACGGCTCTCGCGCCCGTCCTCTCGTACGGGCTCCTCCGGTCGAGCCAGGGCGTCTGTGCTGGATCGTTCTGCCAGATCCCCGAGCTGCCGAGCTGAACGAAACGGAACTGGCCCTCCTCCGCCCCGCCATGCGTCGCCGTGTAGGTGCGCGCGAGGAGCTTGCTCTGGCCTTCGCCCTTGAGGGGGAAGACGATCAGAACGTGTCGTGCCCGAGGGAGACTTTTGAATGAGGCTTCAAGGTCATTTTCGGAGCCAGAAGGGTTGAAGGTCCATTGGAGGGTTGGGTGGCCTGCTACTTGGCGGCCGTCGGAGGTGGTGGCTGCAAAGAGGAGCTTGTGCTCGTTGAGAAGCGGGATCAAGAAGGTTGCGGTCCAGCCTGCGCCGAGGATGAGGATGTCTAGTTCCTGCATCGTAGGTCCTGCAAAGGGGTTTGGCGCCTGGTAATTACTGGTGCGAGGATGTTTTTTCTTTCTCTTTCTTTCTTTTCTTTTTCGTTTCTGCTTCTTCTTACTGTGAGGGTTGAGGAGTGGAGAAGCGAAGCTTGTGTTGGGAAGGACAGGTTCTGCGACGAAACTTTACGGCGCGGCCCGCTCGGTGCACGTGGGATTGAGACCATTCTCCTGCCGACGAGCACCGAATTACCGAATGTATATTTAAGAACACTAAAGAAAAGCAACGAGATTATTTTCTGGGGGAAAACAACTTTCAACATGCCACTATTTCGTTCAACATTACCCGCAAGATGTTCTTGGACGCCATGGCTGCGGGTCCGGACACAATACGCAACCACAAAGGACCTTGACATGGCTCTCACAATTATTAGAAAGGCAGAAAGAGAGAAAAGATAATCCTTCCTAGTATAAATTAATTACTTGCATTATTTCGGAGATTTCCTACGGGCACTCAAGTTCCACATCTATACTACAGTTGAAAAGAACTTGATCCCCTTCCCGTGCCTAGCCTGGACGGGGCTCAGATTGCCCTGCAGCCCACGGAACGAGTTCTGACCAGACCCTTGTTGAAAAGCCACTTGACCCGAGGGCATCTTGCTGGTGCCATTGCAAGCACCCGCCTTGTACTCCAGATGACAGAATGGGACCAGGTTCGACGAGCTGCCAGGCGTGCTGGACCCAGCCTCGGTAATATAGAAGCCAAGGTTGTCTCCTTTGGCAACAGTCGTATTCAAGGGTACCTTCATGGCCTTGAACGACGTGCCGATCTGCGCTGAGGTGAAAGTGGCTGACCCTAATTGCTCGAATGTGTATCTTGAGAGGAGGGAGAATATGTACGCGTTAGCAGCCAATCAAGACAAGGACCTTTTTGAGTCGGTAGAAAGCGAGTGTGTCGGAAGGGGATCATGAAGAAGACTCACGAGGGCGCGACGAGATCCATCAGAGTGCTAAAGCGGAACACAACAATCTCGACATCGACCGATTGGTTACCAGCGGCGATGTTGACCGTGGCTGAGGTGAGGGTTCCGTCCTTGGAGTTGGTCCAGGTCTGAATTACTCGTTGGTAGAGGTCGGTGTCACACACAGAGACATACTGTTTGGTCGCGGTCGGGTGTCAGCAAAGAATTTTAAATCCCAAAAAGATGGAGTGGCCATGCTCACGTTGGCAAATCTTGGAGATAAGTCTGTGGCCTCAGTCAACGCTCCGGTATCAACTGCCCCGTCTCCCAATGTAAAGGGTACGGTATAATGGGCGTCAGCAGAGCAGTCCAAGTCTTGAACACTGCCGTCCTCGTTGAATCGAAGTGGCTGGAAGAAGTGGCCAGAAAAACTAATCCGAGGTCCGCCGGCTGTGGAGTTTTCAACTTGGTCAGTCATCATGCAGCAGTACTCTGAAGTGCTGCGAAATCGGAGTAACATACGAGTTGTAGTAGCATGCCAGACATAAGTTGTCTCGTTGGTCGCCGGATCAGTAAGAGGCAAAACACCCTCTACCTGACCACCACAGTCATAAGCCGAGATAATTTGACGCTCCCAGGGCCCGGAGAGACACGCTGATCGATAGACAACTCCAACACTTCCAGAACAGAAGCCACAAGTGTTGCTGCCCACGATGTCTGGCTCATTGTGTCAGTACATAGTCCCTTAGGTGTGACTTTCAAGGTTTAGCTGCACTGACAATATATGCCATTGCGCACAAACAAGTCTGGAGACTCCATTTGTTGGTCTACCAAGTCAAACGCGGCAGACGTTACATTGGTGCTTGTTTGCGTTGTGTTCAGCTGCCGAATTGTCAGAACTGTCTCTTCGAGGAGTATCGCAACCATGTCTATAATTACGGCACGTACAAAATCATCTGTCAAAGGAGAGATGTGCATTGTCTGGAAGATGGGCGGCCAGAGACTCCCGGCGCGCGGATCCGCAAAGTTGAGGACAGACCATATCAGGTAGGCTTTGCCACCTGCAAAAGAGGAAGGATTAAATGAGTAAATCCATGTCTTTGGAACGTTTCTGATATCGACATACCAATCGTGACGACGGATTCATCTGCTGGCTGTAGACCAGTGAATCGAGGATCCAAAGCGGCCTCGCCTGCAACTGTGAATGACGCATTTGGTGCTGATGATGTGGCGACCGTATATCCAGTCCCCAGGTTGGACCAAAGCACATATTCCTGTGTTTCCTCGTTATAGATGACATGGGGCCGTCCGCCGGTGTCCTGACCCGAAGACAAGACGCCTTCGAATTTCCTGTGTCCAAATCTCGTATCAGATTCTGAGTGAAATGGACTGTTTAGAGAGCTCAACGAACCAGTTAATCAAGTCAACAGATGAGTAGCAGAGCAGAGGCGTCTCTGCACTCCCGGCACTTGTTGTGAAATCTAGGCCGTACGAGTAGTACTTATTCTCTATAGATATGGCATGGCCTTGTCAGCGATAGAAATTTCCACAGAAAGCATGAAGATGTCATATTATTACCGAAGTCTAGACATTAAACCGAGTTAGCTATGTGGTGATTGATATGGCGTTCGACGTGGGAGAGTGAAGGAAGCAGCTAACAGTAGATTTTCAAAGCATAGGAGCTGATGTGGTTTCCATCAACATCAAACAAGAACCGATTGGCGCCATGAAACGTGATTTCGCCCGAGGCTTTTGCTTCCACTGTTATTGTCATAAAAGCGAAAACGAACGCCCCCAGGAGCACAGTCAGGAGTCTTTGCGCCATTGTCGAAGGTCGTGAAGAGACGCGAAAAGTCAAGTTGTCAACTTTTCTCTATTTTTGCTTTCTCTCTTGCCAACTGTCGCAACAGAACAACAAATTATCCAAAATCCAACATCGCAACATCATAACGGTGAGTTCCAACCCAATCAATATCAATACTACCTACTGTATACTGCTGCATGTGTCACCAGTAACGGCCCCCGGGTTATCCGGGCACCCCGGCATCGAGTACCCCATGGGGTCGGAACGACATACCGATTTAGATGTGGACTGGGGCAACTTTGCGGGGGTGACACTTCAATCGCGTTGGTCTAAGCTGTCTTGTGATATTTTCAACCAGGATGAATATCAAGGATCTCTCAGCTTAAGTCCTCGGCAGGGCCATTCACGCCATATAGACCGCGGTTGTTGGGTGCGGCTTTTCCACACGTTCGAGCAGCTCTACTCGGGAACTCCACGACAATCACCGAACATGTGGATAATTACAGTACAATTCAAGCTTACATGAAAGTTTTGCTTGCCTTCATATTATCGGAAGGTAGATGAGAGACCCGAGGGCTTGAAATAGTCTTCTCAATCTTGTTCGAAGATGAGATAACAATCCTGCCAGCAAGGTTCCTCTTGTTAATGAATCCTGACAAACGCCACCGAGATCTTGCACTTGATCATATATATTACCATATTCTTTAGAAACATATCCCACATCGTCGTGACCTTCTCGGGTATTGCCTTTTCCAGCTGTGTCCGAGAATTCTACACCAAGAAAAGTTGGGAAACAAGGTTGGGTTCCATTACATTGATCGAGCGCGAAGCCTCAGTACTTATATACTTCAACCTGGACATCAACACATATTACCTCTTCTGCTTGCTCTGACTAAAGCCAGTATTCATTCGGATACACCTTTTCTCCAGTCCATGACTCATGGGGGCCTTATGTACCATGAAGATAGAAAGGAACTTAGATGTGCTCTTCAGAGAACCGCTAGTTGAGTCAGATGCGGAAAGGACGCCTAAAATTTTGACATGTATTAAGCTTGTATTGCGCAACGAATTGGTTGCAAAATCTTCGTACACCCTTTTCAGTACTTATTGGAACTTAACCTCGGACATACGCTTAATTCGTCAATGTAATACAACAGAAACCCTATAAATCTAAAACATCAGGAGCTCTATTGGTCTGCAGGAACTCATGCTAGGAATTATGTACAAGAGAAACATGTAAACGAATCTATGAGTATCTACCTTCCCAATGTTTCAGTGGTCTCAGGCAATCTACAAATTGCGGCGCTTCAGCTGGGGAGCAGATGGGGAGTCAGCGGCACCAATGATCTTCTCAACTGCTTTCTCAGCAACGACCATAGTGATGGCCTGCGTGTTTCCAGTAGGAAGATCTGCATGGATACTGGAGTCCACAATGTGCAGGTTGTCCATGCCCCATACTTTGACGTCCTCTGCGCTGACTACAGAAGTCCTGGCATCTGTGCCGATGTTCGCAGTTCCGAGGTAGTGGTCGCCCTGAGAGTACGAGGAAAGGATGTACGACACATTGGTGTACCCCTCGGCCATCTCCCAGCCTTCGTAGGAAGACATGCTTTCCAGCATCTCCTCGATGAACATAGTCGCGCCCTCCTTATCGCCATCATCTCGGAGGTAAGGTTTCTGAGTATAGGTGACGTCGCCGTTGGCACTGATTCCCATTGTTCCAGATGAGGTCGCGCCGTGGGTCAGGTACCCTTTGATGAGGAAGAGACCTGGGCCTTGCGGGCTGACTGAGCCCTGGTAGTATCGTGTAATGTTGTCCGAGGCAACGTTGGAGGTCCAGAAGACCATGCGGTGGTAACCCTGAGCCAGAACGCCAGAGCCTGCTGTCTCGTATAGGTCGATATCGGCGGTGTCGGTGCCATCCACAACAGTGGTGACGTTAAAGGCAGTCCAGTTATCGGGAGTCTGCACGTAGAAGGTGAAAATGGGGTGGTCCTTGATAGCCTGTCCGACAGGAAGATTGATCCAGTCATTCTTGGGCGGCAGAACAACACCAGTCGTGCCGTTGGCGACAGTCTCGATCTGGTCGATAGGGCCGATACCAGAGTTGAAAAGAATTCGGGGAGTTCCCCATGGACCGGCGGCGAGAATGACCTTGCCTCCTTCGTTCAAGCCTATAGTCTGGATGGCGCCGGATTCAGTCTCAAACTCAACTCCAGTAGCCTGGCTTCCGTCCCGAATGACGCGACGGACTGTGGAGTTCAGTTGATAGGAAAAGTTGTCGAGCTCCTCGGCCAGGGGCAGATAGGTTCTCAGAGGGCCAACTCGCTCCTGGTTGCCGATATCCCAGTTCGGGTAGCTGTAGGCCTTGGTCTTCTTATTCGGCTCCGCGCTCGAGTTGACCGACGACCAGCCCTGGGAGTCAAGAAACTTGGACACGGTCTCGTACATTCCTTGATCATAACGCTTGCCGTCCTTGCTTGGCAGGGAGGTTCCTGGGTTGAGGCTCCAAACTCGATCGGCCGCCTCCGCCATATCATCCCACTTCCATCCAGTGGGCCACTTGTCGTCGAAGTCATGTTCAGGAGGGTGTGGGAATACCATATCTATATGCAGATGCGTCAACATCTATCCTGGTGTGCTTAAGTATGCTCAAAGAGGAGACTTGTGTGTTCAAGATATCAAAAATGACAAGGCACCATATGGTTCTTAGAGAGAACCATTGTGGAAAAAAAAAAGGACAGAAGGAGAAGAACTTTGAAATCACTTACAGTTTATGGAAGCACCACCTCCAAAGACGCAAGAAGCGTAAACATCTGGGGTATCAGCGCACAGGTATGCATTGAAAAGCGTCTCGTCCCCGACGTTATAGTCGGCAACTGCTGTCGAAAGACCAGGCACATCAATAGGAGTAAGGCTTTCGTTCCAGCCCACTGTCCCGACGGCACCGGTTTGAACGGTAGGGCCCTGTCCACGGGAAAGAAGGAGCACGCTCTTGCTAGAAGACTGCGCAAGGCGCGTGGCAGCGACAATTCCTGCGGGTCCACCACCTACAACGACATAGTCGTAGCCAGTTGTGTTGCTGGAGGTTAGTCTCGCAGTCGGGTTCCTCGAGTAAATTGCCGACGTGTTGCTGAAGGGCGCAGCAGCCGCGAGGGTGCGAGTGAGAAGACTATGCATCTTCGATGTTTCGTTGCTTTCAAAAGTGACGTTGTTGGACGAGAGTCACGTAGGACATAACCTGGTCCGTTCATCGAGTGACGAGTGTCTCTTAAGTATTTGCTACTTCGTCCTGGCTATACCACTGACGTCCTCGATATCCTTGGTAGCATCGGTTTTCGACCGCAGACTTGATTTTTTCTCTTTAATGGAGCCTTCATCAAAGTGCATGGCCAAGATGTCCACATTCCATGTACATCCGACCGGCCTGTTCGGCCGTGGCAGTGGATGTGAGGGTATAATTCACGCCCAAGATTACCCATCGGGAAGTTTTGGTTGAAACAATATCCACAGAAATGACATGGATAGCCTAGATAACCTTCATCTATAAGGTTTGAGGCTCGATTTGTAAAGAGGATGTAAGAAGTTTTGGTGGGTCTATACTATTTGACAGACGTCAGTTTGGCCAGGCTTTCTCACACAGTATTTCCGCTTCATGATTTGGCCGGCTACAAGTTCCTTGGGATTCCCTACCTCCATCAAAAAGCCGCAGTTCCCTTGATCCTCGAGCGGCGAGGAAATAAAGAGAAAGCCATACATTTCTACTGTGCAGCGTCCTTTGAAACACATCAATCTTCTGGTCTGATTTGTATCGAGTTTTGGGAGCTCAGCAAGTGTGATTTCAGTGACCGCACGGTAGACGATTCATGTTTCCCGGATTTTGGGGTGCTTGGTTCAGCCTTGCCAGTCATGACGAGGTTAAGAGTTTGTCGGAAACCCACTTCTCAAAGATGGAGATCGCCAAAGGAATTGCCAAAATCGGCGGCCCTATAGTGCAAGTATCTGTCTGAGAATATAGACATTGATCGTTTCCAAGTTTGAGGGCTGTATAATCTTCAGTAGTAGAAATGCGATTGATGACCAAGCGTCTCAGTTTTGACTCGCTTTACGCTGATGAAGTAGGACAATAGCAAAGGTTTTTTCTTCTTTTTATCAAGGATTCACTTTGTCCAGGCCGACGTGAAGAAAAAGAGAGAGAAGATTTCTTGAGCATTTGAAACCACCTGCCTTCATGGGCCCGACATCGGCATATCGTTTTCTAGGCGAATTTCACGACCCCAGAGTTTCAGTCATGCTTGAAAGAATCCTTACTACATAGAGATTTGATCGTCAAAATTTCTACTACTAAAAATTCCCCGAGACTCCACACCTCACGTCCCATTTCTGCAGGCCAACTCGGCGGGTTTGATCTGATAAGATGAACGCCATGGCACTATCTGGGGGAAAAAAGAAGAAAAAAAGAAAAAAAGAAAATCCAGGTTCAGACCTTTGCTGGATCTACCTGTAGTCTCTTTCCCAACATTCACGTCAGGCATGTTCGGGCATATGGATCTTTTTCAAGAAGGTGGACTGGCGAAATTCTTTTCCGCAAACGTGAGACTCCCGTCTTAGTTTCTTCTTTATCTACCTGGGAAAGGACAACAAAAGGAACGAGAAAGCTTCCTCCGACTGAAGAGGACCAGTCCACGAGCATGCCGCAGACCCGCAAGCTCTCACCTCATACGCATGCATGTGTTTCTGTCCGTTGTCCGCACTCCAGTCTATATAACATCTGCCCCATACGGACCTCACACATGAAGTAGAGTTTGACACGGAACAAGTCTGCATGGTGGCCTGGCTACTGTAGAACACGAAGAACGCGTCAGATGTACAAGTAGACATATGAGTTGTGCTATCGACCTTCTGCCCCTGGTCACTATTCCACCTACCTTCATTGGGCGCGGTTGTCCTTTTCTTGCGCCTGATCTTACACCTGCCGCCCCCCCTTTTTTCTTCTTCTTCTCTTTTTAATGATATTCTCAATGCATATGTGAGTCCATTGACTGCCAATGAATAAGCGAGACCAAATTGATCAGGTCAAAGCGGGTCTGCAATGTACCACAAGTGCTTCTACGGTAAGATGCCATAATTTTAGATTATCATAATTAGCTTCTATGTGATGACAACAGAATGGCACTGGCCTACCACGCGTGGAATGGTTTGGACACGAACTTCTTCTCACTGTGCTACGTCCAGTCATTGATCCGCTGTATGAATAGAAGGAAAGAAAACTAAGCCCCATGATGGCTCTGTATATCATTTTCTGATTGAAAATTGCTCCTTTGTATCTAGCCCAGATCATTCGGTTCTAATTGTGATGTTTAAGGATTTGATGAGTATCGAGATCTTGCTACACGTTGCGCAGATAGCCCCCATATCACTTGGTGTGGACACTCTTCCTATCCCCTCAGACAAATGTGAGTTTCGTTCTGGGTTACACAAATCCCCTCTTCTATACATCGTATTGTAACATGCAATGATTATCTAAATCCATACTGTGGGGTTTTAACCCCCCATATGTCATAGGGGGAAGAGCCGCTTTGTGGTTGGAAACGCCGGTGCAGGATGTCTGACCACCCTACAGTCCTGACAAGTCACAAGATCGCGTCTTAGCCTTAGGCAGCGGGATACGTGCGCTCCGAAAGAGACAAGATCTTCAACAGCCAATCTGAACTGGAGAGTAACAATGCCTTCGTAATAGCAAATATTAATAGCTATTCTGGTGGATCGCGAGGGCCAATCCATTGTTGTGGAATCGGAACGAAGTCTCCTCGGAGGTCCGAATTGGAAAGCAAAGCTTATACAATTGATGACCCTTAATATGCGACCACCGTGCTGATCTCTTGCTTACCCGACATAGTGAGTAAATGATTCCATGTTTTATTGACATTTTGTTGTGCTCTGTGCAGAGACTCCTTCGCTCTGAGTGTCCTTTTGAAAGATGACTGTATCCACTGTTACTCTCTGCAGCAAGTTTCGCGAAATAATGACACCACCTTCCTCGGCTTCAGAGTAAGGGTGCGTGGGAATGCCACGAATGCCGAGCCTCCTCGAATATCACGCTACGACCCCGCAAAATATTCCTTGAGGATGAAAATAAGAATGAATCCTGGGGGAACACCCATGCCTCTTCTCCACCTTGACCATAACGGCTTTATCCATCTCTCACGTCAACGTCTGACCAAAAACGAAATTTGAAGGGGGAAAGGGGGGAATGCTCCAAATAGAAGACCTCGTTAGAGAAGAAAGAGAGGTCATGCTGTAACGTTCTGAAGCAGTTCATTACAAAATGGTCAACTCGCAGAACCAGCGGTTTGGTAAAAGAAAAGAGAAAGAGGGGAAAAGGAAAAGAAGAATCAAGAGCTGTCGTACCTCCGTGTGCTTGCAAGAGATGCAAGACCGCGAGAGGTGCATTGGCAGAGAGGACAAATCCCACAACAACCTTTGGATGCCATCTCAGAGACCGGGTCATGACCAATGATGATGCATTGTGCTTGCTGAAAGTATTTGTCCCTTTGCAAGTGCTGATCAGAAAATGCCCGTCCCCAAAAGTCCACTTGGGATGTGACGTGTGACATGATGCTGTTCTCTTAAATGACATCGCGCCTCTGACGCAATTTTTATTTATTTTTCATTCACAAGGTTCGACACCCTCGGACAACGAGAAGGCGGTAGGCAGTAATAAGCGGTAATCGCTGCAGCTGTCTGTTGTGCTGTAGTAGCCGCATGCGAGGATGGAGCACGTCCTGTGGATCCCCCTGGGCTAGATGGCATTCTAGCTGGAGATCATATCCACCTTGCTACGGGGCAAGTCTGAGCAAGGGACTGGGCTGAAGGACTTGTTCTTGTCATGGAAAGCCAGGACGGGAGAATTTAGCGGGTCTAGCCGCTCACATTCACGATATGCCTCTCGATCTAGGCCGTTCCAAGACATTCTCGCTTGTATGGGACGCGTACGAGCCGAAAGACATCCCTTGCAGTGGTTTTTAACTTTGACGCCACATATCATTCCGCTCTTTGAGGCCGCCCTGCCGAGGCTATTCACCGCTACAGGCGGAGGGCTCCGATGTGGAGAGAAAACCCAACCCTTTCTCGCGACGATTCCTGGAGTCTTCCTTCATGTCAAGTCCAAGGCAACTTGCCGACAAGAAAACACTTTGCATCCCTTGAGGCTCAGATCAGCTTGGAAGGATTCAGCCCTGAGACGAAATTTGACAGCGCAGCCCCAAACTAGTGCTGCTCCAGCCCACGTGTATGTGCATTGGGGAGCGAAATAGGACTCTGCTTGCTCCATAATGCCTGTCTCTTACCATCTCAGCTGACCACCTATTTGGGAATGGCCTCCGCCAAAATGCCCATCAATATCAACAATAGGTCCCACATGTCCTCTTCCTCCACCCCAGTCTCTCCCATACAGATCTTTCCAAAGGCTCTCTCTCACCCCCTTCGGCTCTCTTAAGTCTAAACAATGCTAGAATCCTTTAGTGGATGACGGATCACGGCACACAACCCCAAAAGTCTGTTGACCAAAGCGGACAAGTAACTCCCGGTTGCCTAGACCAAACCCGGCGTAATTGTACTGCAGTCTGAACCCCACCTCAGCTGGATTGACTTTGCTACATGAAGGCGGCACACTTTCCCCATGTTGCATCAGGCCCTGTGCTCTTTTCCCATCCATCTCTGTATTCTTTTGCCGAAACGTACACAAAAGCCCTTTCTCACCTTATTGTCCATCTATATCATTCATCAAGGTGAAGGCTTCTTGCTAGTACGATCCGATTTAAACCATCCTCCCAGCCTGTCATACGTACTCCAACCTCAGCGTCCACATCTTATACAACGATATTTAGAAGAGCTCCGACGTTACTGCAGCAACTCTAGCACCCAATCTCATTGCCATTTAGAACGCTTGCATTCTCGAAAGAGAGAGAGAGAAAGACCGGGAGAAGATCGACGGCCATAAAAGGCCAGTCTTGCCTCGAACCCATCGCATCGCTTCAGCTGCTCGTGGTCCGAGCAGCAACACCATCATCAACATGAGAAACCTCTTTTCTCGTCTCAGAAAGGCCCTTTGTCGGCGCGCAGGCTCAGATCGACCGTCAAAATCTAATCCCCTGAACCAACCCGTTGCGGGCCCTTCGTCATACAACAGCCACAACAAAGACCGCGCAGCGCCGCAACAAACTCACCTCGAAGAGGCAGCCCCAGAATCCATATTCCAGCAACAGGCGAGACAGATTGCACACATCCAAATCGGAGGCATGAGGAGAACCACAGCAGGAGGCGGGCAGGGCACGAGTTTCGTCACTTCCTACGCGCCAGTACCAAACAAGGGCCCGACGGCGTTATCGGAGAGGCAGCCAGGTGCCGCGGCCGGACACACGCTACTATCCTACGGCGCCACTTGTAGCACGAACGGCACACTGGTGGCGATAGACGATTTCGATGTCGAGAAGCAAATAGATCCGAGGAGAGGTGTGGACGCTACATGGAAGGGAAAACCGAACGGCACCGTCTACGACAGCAGACAGGAGCTGACGGAGGAGGATGAGGATACCTGGGCGCGATTGGCAATGTGAAGAGCTGACTGACGAGGGTGAATCATTTTCACCTAATGAAAACAATTGAAGAGCATGGGAACTGTCTCGAAAGGACAGCCTTGCGCGAATTCATCGTCCATGTCGATGCTAAGCCCAGCCATTGCGCAGGCGACTGGGCCGGTGCTGTGCTTGGACCATCATTCAGCTCAGATATCTCGCATCAAGCATGTGTTTGATTCAGCAAATTATGTTTTGTTCTCTTTCGGAACAAATACTCACTGAGTTGTCGCCCTTGGAGGCTACCAGCACCTAGGCATAGGCATCAAGAAAGAGTCAGACTTCCCTCTTGGGCAACATTGCCGCGATAAAGCCAGCCAATTTAGGTTGCACACCGCCGAAGGAAGTCCTCTGGGCCAGAGATGCTAGGCGCAAAGGCACAAGGCAAAGGCACACCTCGAGAACCTCTGAGGGTGCTAGGTATCATGAGAGGCTCGAGCATCAGATGCATACCTCCTTAGAGCATTTAAGTATCTTAACCAAACGGATATCAGAGCTGGAAACGGGGGCCACGACAGTGTCATCATTGCGGAGTAATTAACAGGATCCTGGAGATTTAGATATTCGGACAATCCTAAAGGGATTACCTACTCCACAACACAATGATCTACAACAGTTCCAGAAATTATCGAAGTGGTCTTCCACATGCGTGTTGACATGTTCATTCACTGACTGATAAGCAAAGCCACCTGTGTGCAGTTTGCACACATTTTGTTTATCCCTCTGCCAATGTACGCGTCCGGCATAGTGTCAATGGGCAGACCCCTTTTGATATATGAAGCTGTTCGAAGCACTGAGTTCGATATTTAGATTATACTTTGCAACATTAGCGTCATCGGAATGGGCGGTATGGTGGGTGCAAGAAGTAACTACTTATATTTAAGTAGTCAATCACCACCCATGGCTGACAGCTTCGTCAGGGACCACCGCCAAGAGCCCACGCGCAGACGCATAATTAATCGTAGGATGCGCTTGGAATTGGATTTACCGGTCCCTGAATACATGTTCCTCCTTATTCTTTCTGTGAATGTATGTACGAGTCCGAACAGAGACAATCTTCACCGTTGACTAACAATGCCTGATGGAAAAGGACTATTCATCTTCTTATGACCAAAGATGGTACGCAAAGTAAGGACTGTTAACGACGGACCGCGCTGCTACGCCCTTCGCCGTCATCTGCTGACAAAAAGCGCCAACGTTTATCGGTGCCCGCAATAGGTGCTGCAGAACCGGTACACATTCAAAGTTTTCCCCAGGCCTGGGCAAAATCAGCCCAGCGCCCGCGGTCTATGTGCCGTGACTCTGCACGAAGTTGCAGAGAACGCGATCAGCAACCAGCCTGTTCAGAGCAGTGGACTGGGAGACGGGGTACACTGGAACAGGAGATGCGCTTTCGGCGTCCACAGCGGCGAGGCCTGTGGCTTAGGACGCAAGTCTGAGAATCATGGTGGCCACTCGTACAAGGAGACTAAGATGTGGGGATGACTACCATGTACATATTTTCCTTTCCTTTCATTTTGAGTAGAAGTTGAGAAACACCGGTACTGGAATATGATCTCACTGGTAAAATCATCGTCTGCATTCAAACATGATTGGTGTTTCTGTAATGTTTATCTTGAGCTAAATTTTTGGAGCGTCAGACGGGCTAATAATTGATGCTTTGTGGAGATGACGTCGCGAAGACATTTGCTTGCAGAGAGGAGGATGGATAGTCGACCATCCTATTGATATTTGTCTCTGCGGGTTTTCGATTTAAATCCGGATCATGGCATCTCGATCTTCTTTCTATATCAATCGATCTCCCTTCCACTTCAGTTCCTTGCCCAACAAATTTTTTTTGATTGCCTTTTTGTTTCTTCAGCTTATCACGGATTGTTGTTTGTGAACCAACATTTCCCGTCCACGTCCACTCCAAGTGTATCATGTCTTCAAAATCACCACCCCGTTACATCCTGGCTTCCCTTGGCATCTCTCTTGGGGGGTTTCTCAATGGCTATGATACTGGGTCTATCGGTGCCGTCACCTCCATGTCACAGTTCACGGGCACTGTCGGCGGATTATCATCCACAATGGTTGGGTTCATCGTCTCTCTGATCATGCTAACCGGTGCCGTGCCCTCCGTGTTTGCCGGCTGGCTGGCGGATCACTACGGTCGTCTCCGCACAATCATGCTCGGCACGGCCCTCTTCGCAGTCGGCGCATTGCTCCAGGGCACTGCGACGCGTCTGCCCCAGTTCCTCCTGGGCAGGACGATTGCCGGCTTGGGGGAGGGCATTTATATCAGCAACATGGCCGTCTACATCTCGGAGATATCGCCAACCAGGAGCCGCGGCGTGCTGGCCGGACTGCCGCAGTTCATGGCAACCCTGGGAATCTGCACGGGCTACTTCACATGCTACGGGAGCGTGCACATCGAAGCATCAGCAAGTCTAGCCTGGCGTTTGCCCTTTTTCGTCATGACAGCGTTCGCTGGGCTGCTTGTCGCCTGCTGTACGAGGCTGCCTGAGTCGCCCAGGTGGCTGATGAGTTGTGGAGACCAGCTGGGGGCGTTGGACTCGCTGCGCAGGCTGGACTTTTCCATGGTCGAGGCCGAGAGGGAGTTCCTAGGCGTCGGTGCTACCACCGTCACCACACAGAGGGTCAGCCTGTCGCCGTGGCAGAGCTTCAGGCTATTGTTCACGAGGGGCTACCGCGCGAGGACGGTCCTTGCTTTGTTTGTGCTGGGCATGGTTCAGCTTTCTGGTATCGACGGTGTACTCTACGTAAGTTTTCTTTATTTTTTTCTAGTTTTTTCCTGCTTTTTCCCCTCCTCCTTCCGGCCCTTTCTACCATACGTTGGAGACTGGCCCACTAACGTGCGATCATTATTGTTTAGTACGCTCCACTTCTGTTTGGACAAGCTGGCCTGTCCTCGTCTACGGCTTCTTTTCTTGCCTCAGGCCTTTCTGGTATTCTTATGCTGGCCATTTCGGTGCCTGCTTTCTTGTTGTCTGATAAATGGGGTCGTCGTACATCTGCCATCACAGGCGGCATCGGCTTATCTGGGTGCAGTATGTTTTCAAATTACCCCCCCCCCCCCCCTCTTTTCCTTTTCCTTTTCCTTCTTCTTTTTTTTTTTTTTTTTTTTTGCCTTTCTGCCCCCTTCTCGGAGCGGAGCAATGATGAGAATTTATTGTTCTGAGGAGGAACCTTAGTCAACTGAGGGCCTGCAAAGACTTGAGACATTCCTCCAGCAATACTGTCTTCTTTTCTATTCCGAAGAATGTATGATGGCTTGCTAATGTTTTAACAGTGTTCTTGATAGGGTCACTCTATGCTGCTGGAGCAGTGCATCCCTACGGCGTGGCCAGATGGGTCGTCATCGTATCCGTCTTCCTCTTTGGGTTGATCTACAGCGCCACTTGGGGCATCGTTGGAAAGATTTACGCCTCTGAGATACAGCCCACACACGTCAGAGCAGCTGCGAACTGCGTCGCCCAAGGGTTGGGCTTTGTAAGTCTCCTCACACTCCGTACTCTCTGATCACAAATCCTGAGCGAGAGCTTCTGCTCCCTTGTCATCTAATCATCATCTTGGTGGAAACCACATGGCTAATCAAGACCTGCAAGTTTACAAATTGGCTGGTGGCCATTCTCACTCCCATCCTGCTAGACAAATCCGCATTTGGCGCTTACTTCCTGTTTGGCGGCCTTGCGCTGTTCACTGTTGCGGTCCTTGGAGCTTGTATGCCCGAGACGCGTGGCCGATCGTTGGAAGATATACAACAGGCCTTTCACCAGCCCACCCTGGGTACTCTGACTTCAAAGCTGAAGCGCCTGGCCCGCCGAGAAAATGAGAATCAAGTCAACACAAGGGTGCGACCTGAGGATGACGAGGCTGGTGATATCGAGTTGCGGACTGGAACGCTGAACCCGACTTTGTCAAGCCAGCCTGCTTCTGACTTGAGAGAACCCGTGATGAGAACACTCAGAGTTGAGATTTGAGGAAATACTGGTACCCAAGCAAAACACAACTGTAACATAGATATGCGTGACTTTTATTTATTTTATTTTATTCTTACCAACGCCAACTTCCCCCCCCCCCCCTCCCCCAACACACGCAAAAGAAAAAGAATGGAAAAAGAAAGACTCTTGCTCAGGTCTCATTGTCACGATTTTTATTACCACTATCAGCTGCTAGTTATTGTGAAAAAGGTGGCCAAAAAAGGCTGCCGGACCGGATAGAAGTGCCGGTTTGCAAGGGATAAAAAACAGGACCCCCAGGCCCTCAAGTGTGGCTGTTCAGTGCTCCTCTCCTTTCCACACTTATAATCTTGTACCGTAGTAACAACAGACTAAGTTGCTCCGTTGATGATAAATCCAGTATAAGCTATCCCGACCCAACCGTACAAAGAACGTGTGCATGTATGATGTGAGCCCTCACATCGATGTCGTGATCGCTCCGCTTCCGTACCCAAATTTGTAATCATTGGCTGAATGTACTGTGTATAACTTGGCGGCGAGTATGCTTCGATATTATCCATGACAGACATTGTTCGATACGGTGTAGACTACTAAGTAGCATCAAGTTAATCCCAGAGTAACTAAGACACAAACCATGTCGCAGCCATCAAAACAACTACACCTTACCGCTTTCATGCGGCCAGTCAGTCTCCACACGGGAGCATGGCGGTTCCCGGGTGCCTATGCAGACGCCAACTTCAACCTGGCGCACCTCAAGTCATTTATTCAGAAACTCGAGGCCGCCAAGTTCGACGCCTTCTTCATGGCCGACCACCTCGCGGTGATGAACATGCCCACGGAGGCGCTGAAGCGCAGCCACACCATCACCTCGTTCGAGCCCTTCACACTCCTGTCGGCGCTCTCACAGGTGACGGACAAGATCGGGCTGGCGGCCACGGCGTCCACCACGTACGACGAGCCATACCACATCGCGCGCCGGTTCGCGTCCCTGGACCACCTCAGCGGGGGGCGCGCCGCCTGGAACATTGTCACCACGGGCAACCCGGAGTCGTCCAAGAATTTCAGCAGGGAGGAACACATGGAGCACGGCGACCGGTACAAGCGGGCGAGGGAGTTCTACGATGTCGTGACGGGGCTGTGGGATAGTTTTGCGGATGATGCACTTGTTCGGGACCAGAGCTCGGGAATCTATGTCGACCCTGAAAAGATACACACGCTCAACCACGTGGGTGACGACCTGCAGGTCCGTGGGCCGCTGAACATTGCCCGCCCTGTGCAGGGCTGGCCTGTCATTGTGCAAGCTGGACAGTCGGAGCCCGGAAGACAGCTGGCGGGCGAGACAGCCGAGGTGGTGTTCTGTCTGCCAGGAAACTTGGAGGCTGCCAAGGAGTTATACAAAGACCTCAAGGGCCGCGCCGAGAAGGCAGGTCGGAGCAGGAACCACATCAATATCCTGCCAGCCGCCATGGTTATTATCGGCGACACCGTCGAGGACGCAAAGGCCAAGCGTCTACAGCTGGACAGCCTCGTGCACTATGACAGCGCCATCGCCTCGCTCTCGGTGGTGCTGGGCACAGACGTCTCTGGTCTCGACCCGGACGGCCCGCTCCCCAAAGACCTACCCGAGACACAGGGAAGCCGCTCGGCCCGTGCCAGCGTGCTGCAGCTTGCCGAAGCCGAGGGGTTTACGGTCAGGCAGCTTGCACAGCGGTTTGGAGGGTATGGCGGGCTGTCGTTTGTGGGGACTGCCGAGAGCGTGGCCGAGGAGATGGGCACCTGGCTTGCTGAGGACGGGGCTGACGGGTTCACTGTCATTTTTCCCTTTGTGCCGCAGGGTTTGGATGATGTCTGTGAGAGGCTGATTCCCGAGCTGCAGCGCCGTGGTCTGTTCCGGACCGAGTATGAGGGAACCACCTTGCGTGAGCATCTTGGCCTACCGAGGCCTAAGAACCGCTTCTTTGAGCCAGCGTAGTCTGTTGCTGATCCAGTCAGTCATGCTCGAATCAATCTCTTGACCTAACCTTCCTTCTGTTATTCCTGCGTCCTTCTCTCTGTACTTGTCATGGTAAGTCCAAGGCGTAAGATGTGGATGATAAGGCTGTATTGCGGCGCTCGCACTTGATATGATGTAACCATAAAGTCTAGATCGCTTCCTAAGTTCACCTCCTTGTCCCGCCTCATTTCTCAATTTCCCCGTGTTGGCGTTGGCAGTTGAGTTATCAAACAAGCGGAGAGCTAGCATTTAATTCCTACGAAACGCCCTTGAGAATATCAGCTCATGAATAATTCGAGTAGTGCTTTTGTGTAGCCCCTGGTCCCTGGACGCCATTTGTTTCACTGAAATGAAACGACAGGGTCGCGTCCGTTCCGCTTGTTGGACAGTGGTGGAAACAGTGACCCTCCACTTCTATTGCTGTGCTAGGTCAGGGGTAAGAAGAAACAAAAGGAAGCTTAAATATCAGTCTCGACCTGCTGTTGTAATTCAAGAATGGACTCTAATCCAGCGTTTTGTCACTACTCGTTCATAGGCCGGTACCCCCATATTCTTGTACATTCTTTTTTTGTTCGTTCTTCTCTTCCTTTTTCGACGTTCTTTCAGTCCCTCTTTTTACGCATCTCAATCGTTACAGCCATTCCAAAATGCATTCCAAACTTTCGGTCCTCCTGCCCGCTATCACTTCGGTCTCTGCTGCGGCTATACACCATGCGAAAACCCCCAGCCAGACTGCTGCTGCTACCCTGACCAACTTCTGCGGGGTCCCAAATGCCTACGAGGTTCTCTCCGGCACGCCATGGATTGTGTTCTCGATGAACTATAATTATCAAGATATCAGCGGGTCGTGCTGTACTGGATACTACGACTTCACCGGATCCGGAGACAACCAAACTCTTCACTGGAGCAGCGTCTGGGACATTGATGAGTCTGTCGACACAGATGTCGTCAAGGGCTATTCATTCATCGGCCTGACGCAGAACCTCGAGACGCAGCTGAGCGCCATCTCTTCCATCCCGAGCACCTACCAGTGGACCGTCACCAATACCACTGCGTACAAGGGTGAGTGACCTTTGAAGGATACGTCCTGAGAAAAGTCAAATGAGACTGCCTGGTGCACAATGACTAACTGATTACTCATACCGTGGCCAGGAAACGTTGTCTACGATTTCATGACCTCCGACACAAAGGGAGACTCCACATCCTCGAGCGCCCAGGAGCTCATGCTCTGGGTGGCCTATGAAGGCGGCCAGGTGCCCATCGGCTACTCGGACGGCGCTGTCGCGACCATCGACGGCTTGTACGGCAAGGACGGGTGGCAGCTTTACCAGGGGGTGAACACCGACACCGGCATCACGGTCTCGTCTCTGCTGGTGGCTGAGGACGATCAGTTCGACGGCGAGTTCTCGGGTGACATCAAGGACTGGCTCACAGCGCTGTCGGAACAGGGAATTTTCAGCACCAGCACCTATGTCAATGTTGGAAACGCGGGCATGGAGCCGTTCTGGGGTACTGTCACCTTTGATAACTACCTCAGCCTCCGTATTGATCTGTGATCGATATCGTTGTGTCCTGACGCTATAGCCCGCTGGAGGGTGGTGTGAACATTCTTGTGAAAACAAATAAAAAAGTACACAGCTTAGGAAACGAGAAATCATTGCATATAAATCTGCAAGAAATGACCGTTTGGTCTCTATGCTTGTCCAGTCCTCTACTTGAGTTTTGCTCATGCATTTTGACTTTGGAGGTATGCACACTATTAAACCAACACGTATTCGGCACAACACAAAGCGAAAGAACCTCGACGCAATGACGGTGCATTAATAACCACCGTAAAGTAAATAGGTAGGCACGTTGCACTGGGAGTGGGAAGCGAAGAAGCACCTGACAGTTGCTTGCAGATGTGCTCCAAAGTGACGCTCGTCAACCCCGCTTCAGAACCTCTACTAAAATAGCAAGGCAAGGGATGCTCGTACCGGTTCAATGCTACCTTGGAGTAGCGACGATCATCCCATTTCCTATTACGCTTTGTTTTTTTTTCCTATTGTCTTTTGGAGAAATTTATGGATCCGAAAAGTATATCAGAACACCCAGACCGGCTCAACACTCTGAATTCCCTGATTCTGTGCTACCGATTTCATGTTGTCCAAGCCGCAATAACAAAGATGATCATGACAAGTTCAAAGCCTCGTCGACTTCTCTTAGTTGTTCACTTGATAGTTTCTTCCACTATTCATCCAGTCTTGGCTCAAGATGTAGGCTCGAGCATATTCCAGTATATCGATCCCCTCATCGGCACCAGCGACGGCGGCCATGTCTTTCCAGGGGCAACTCTACCATTTGGCATGGCCAAGGCTGTCGCAGACGTGGATAGTGACGAGGCCCAAGGCGGCTACGCATCTGACAATAGTGATAGTAAGGTCTTCAAGTACTTACAATCTTTCAGACTGATTGGCTGATGATGTTTCAGTAACCGGGTTCTCACAGATGCATGATAGCGGTACAGGCGGTGTGCGGGCTACAACCTCTCCCCCCCTTCTCCAATGCTGCTGTGGTGGGAAGGACAGCAATACTGATTCGTCCTTCTCATGACAGGGTTTTGCGAAGGGCAACTTTCCCATCTTTCCCCAGACCGGCTGTCCTGGAGACGATATTACCCAATGCAATTTCCCAAAGGCCCTGCGCGCGTCTCAACGGATCAATTCGACAGTGCAAGCCAGTCCGGGCTACTTTGCTGTGTCCCTCAACACATCGATTCACACTGAGATTACCGTTTCCAACCATACGGCTCTATATCGCCTCACCTTTCCGGGTCCCGCTGCCAACAGCAGCAGTGCCAACACATCTACAACAGGTCTTCCGTACAGCCCATTGATACTCGTAGACCTCACAGACCTCTCCGACAGCCGCACCAACGGTAGCGTGGCTGTTGACCCGTCTAGCGGACGTATCATCGGCAACGGCTCCTTCAGCCCCAGCTTTGGCGTCGGGTCATACGACTTACATTTCTGTGCCGACTTTACAGGCGCAGCGCTCAGGGACACTGGTGTTTTCCAGAACAACCGCCCAGGCCGCGAACCGAAAAGCCTTCGCACATACTCCACGGGCACCACAGATCCAGTTCCTGCTGGCGCCTGGGCCCAGTTCCATCCGCCAGATACCGACGACCAGATTGTAGTCAGGGTAGGCCTGAGCTACCTCAGCACCAACAAGGCCTGTCAGAACGCGGAGGCTGAGTTTGAGAGCTTCGACTTTGACGAGGCGAGAAGCGCAGCAGAGGACGCGTGGGGGGACAAGTTGAGCGTCGTGTCTGTAGACGAGACGGGAGTGAACTCAACTTTCTTGACGACGTTTTGGTCGGGCCTCTACCGATCGCTCATCTCTCCGCAGGACGTGACGGGCGAGAATCCGTTGTGGCAAAGCTCGGAACCTTGTACGTCCTCACCCCGATCTTTTGAAGACCTTTTTCTTAATTATTTTCCTTCTGTCACCTTCTTCAAAGAAACAACGTATAGTTCTCCTGACAAGACGCCAGACTATGACTCTTATTATTGCATTTGGGACTCGTATCGGTCCATTCACCCTTTGATAACTTTGGTTGATCCGTTCAGCCAGACGCTCATGGTACGGAGCCTGATTGACATTTACCGCCATGAAGGATGGCTCCCTGATTGCCGAATGGACTTGTGCAAGGGATATACCCAAGGGGGAAGCAACGCAGATGTTGTGCTTGCAGACACTTTTGTGAAGGGGTTCACGAATTCGATCGATTGGGATACTGCATACGAGGCTGTACTGAAGGATGCACAAGGTAATTTTGAATTATAACTTGGTCCGGACATCTAGGTGAATATTGCCGTTCGATTGCTGACAACATATTTGCAGCCGAGCCTCCCATCTGGTCTATTGAAGGTCGAGGAGGGCTTGCCAGCTGGAAGGATCTGGCATATATACCCGCAGATGATTTCGACCCGTATGGAGTCGGCCCATTCACGAGGTCGATATCTCGCACGGTGGAATATGCTTACAATGATTTCACCATTGCTGAAATGGCCTCTGGTTTGAACAAGACAGCCGATGCCGAGAAGTATATCGGAACATCTGCCAACTGGGTGAACCTCTTCAAAGCCGACCAGACATCTTACCTCAACGTCTCGCAAAATACGAGCCCGCTTGTGGACAGCGGTTTCACTGGCTTCTTGCAGCCGCGTTATCTCAATGGCACCTATGGCTTCCAAGACCCTTCGCTCTGTTCACAATTGTATAACTTCACGTCCTGCTATCTCAAGTAAGTGCTTCCTTCAACCACGATAGGCTCGTTGTCGTGCTCCAACATAACGCTAACTTCCATCGAAGCGAGGATGGCCATGAAACTTATGAGGGATCCTCTTGGCTATATACCTTCTACGCTCCACACGACATGGCCAAGCTCATCACCACCCTTGGCGGCCCTCAGGCTTTTACTGACCGCCTTCAATACTTCCACAACACACCCGGCCTGAATTACATTGGTGATGAACAGGCCTTCCTAATGCTTTACCTGTTCCACTACGCCGGACGACCTGGACTCTCATCGTACTACAGACACTTCTACATCCCAAGTCAGTTCAACGACTCGGTCAACGGCATACCTGGCAACGACGACAGCGGAGCCATGGGAAGCTTTGCCGCACTGACGATGATGGGGTTGTGGCCAATGAGCGGACAAAATGTCTATCTGATCAACCCGCCGTTCTTCCAGGAAGTCAACATCACGAATCCGCTGACGGGGAAGACTGCGACGGTGCGCAATGTGAATTTTGACGGCAGCAGCTACAACAACATCTATGTACAAAGCGCCATTCTCAACGGTGAGCCTTATACTAAGAGCTGGCTCACGCACTCTTTCTTCCGGGACGGAGGGGTGCTTGAATTGACCCTGGGAGCGAACGAAAGCAGCTGGGGCACAAGGGACGAGGATCTACCGCCGAGTGTGTCGAACGGGGGGTTTTTCTTCTAAATAGCATTGAATGAGTAAAATATGAAACCTTTATGAGAAATTCTAAGGAAACCTTGATCCATATGATGCAGCACACTACTGAGCCGTAGTTTATCCTTCTCACAACTCGTCCTTTACATCAGTCTGTACCGGTTCCTCCGCCTTCTCTGTCGTCGAAGCCTCGCTTTCTACTGTCTCTTCGGGCTCCTGAGCAGGTGTCTCGTTCTCTCCCGCTGCCTTCTCGCCGTCTTCGGATGGCGTCTCTGATTTCGCCTTCAAGACCTGAGCCTTGAGGGTGAATTTCATCTCGCGCTGTCCTTGCTTTCTTGCCGGGGCTGGGTAGTTTGTTGTCCAACCAACGACACCCCCGTCGACTGGCTTAGGACTGTAGCTGGTTAGATCCGACAGAGCGTCTGTAACAAATTTTCAGAAATTAGTAAAGACTAGACGGAAGAGAGAATGAGAAGCGAAGGCGGTGGATAGAACGAAAAGGGGAAGGAGGCTAGCTTTTTCCAGCACATGTTGGAAGACATACCTTCACATTCGCTATCCTCTGCAACCCAGAGCGGCAAGTTCTCATACACAGCCCCGGGCGCAAAGATGACCACCCTCTTGCCGTCCAGAGAGCGCAGGTCATAGCCAACGAGATCCGCCAAAGACTCGACCGTCTCCGCCTTGCCAGGCGTGTCAAAGACAGCAAAGAGCCCCTTCCCGGGCCCCTCGGTCCTCTCCTGCTCCTCGATCCACTCCCGCACCTTGCGCGGCACCTGTGCGTACTCCATCTTGAGCAGGATCCGCTCGTAGCCGTGGGCGTCGATGCCAGACCAGGCGCCCGGGTAAGGGCGGCCGCCGAAGAAGCCCTTGAGGACCTCGTTGTAGGGGAGCAGGCCCAGCGGCTCCGGGGTGCTGAGGTCGTGGAGCTGGAACTCGGCGGCGGGGAAGGTCTTGGTGGCGTCGCAGGCTGCGTCGAACTGCTTGAGCTCGGGGGTGCCGAAGGGGTTGGCCCAGGGGAAGTCCTCGAGCTTCTCTGGCTTGGACTTTGGCGGCGCTTTTTGTTGTGGGACGGGAGGTCCTCCGGCGAGAACTGGAGCGACGACCAGCGCCAGGTAGAGGAGGGCTGAGGAGAGCATGGCGATCTGAAGGAGGATGAATTGTTGATGTGTTTTGTTCTGTCTTCTCAAAGATGCTGGTGGTTGTCAAGGATGCAGGATGATTTGTTGGCGGCGAGACTCTTTTTCTCTTAGAGTTCTTCTACTTTTCTCGGCTTGAGCATGTGAACGCGCACGAGAATTGAAGCAGTGCGTCATTCTGACCCCTCATCCTCCCCTCCCCTCAATAAATATACATAAAATCAATCGACTTGTGGCCAAAGGTGACTTGCTGTCCTCTTCGGAATGACGCTCCGTGTTTCCTGTTTGGGAGCATCATGACGGGCCGGAACTCGGGCAGGGGTTTCGTGACAGAAGCAACCGAGGTGCAGACACAAATGATGGTCTGAAATGCAGATGTACTGCATAGTACTACTATATGGTATAAGGTACTATTTTAGAAGCACATGCTCTTTCGGCAGCATTGAAGAGGTGTTAAAACTGGACCGCAATCATCAACCTGCAGGCGCACGTGAGGCTTTCATTTTCCTGGGCTACTAATCGAACGGTAGGGCTGTCGCATGGTTTTCTTAGAGTAGTAGATTAATTATTCCCAGACTGATTACTATATACAACTCCTTTCCAAGGGGCTGATCACTCTCCAAACTACTCGACATGCTACTACTATAAGAGAGAGATGGCCTGTCCAAGATGAACAAACCTGTTTCTCCTTTTCCGACCCTTTTTACCTCTGCATTCATCGAGTTTGCATTTACCAAGATCTTTGTTTCAGAGAATCCTTATTGTATCTGCATGTAAGCATGTATACTCCTATCTCGTCATCATTCCCAAGTCTTTTCGCTTCTCTCAACTCCTTCCCACACCATTCTCTGTCTTCCTTTGGAATTCATGCAGGGGCAACAATGCAGACCCTAACCCTGAATTCTCCAGACTTTTCCTCTATGCAAGTGCGGGCCGCGTCTTGGTGGAGAAATAGAACCTTTCCATGTCAACTTCAAGTATCCACAATGTCATCCTTCGCCGCACGCGGCTCTGCACTCACAACACGCCACCAACGCCTCAGAAAGACCAGAACGCAACAGAGCAGCCATGTTTCTGTCGCTCTCTGTCTAGGTCTCGGGGACACAAACCTTAAATTATTGGTTTGAGCTAGGACATGACATCTAACAAAAGCTAGGTCCGCTCGTCAACAAGGAAAAAAAAGATGAAGAAAAAAGATGAAAGAATGAGTCTCGGCTACTATAGCACTGACTCGGCGGGTCCGGCCGAGGATTGCGCCATGAAGAATTTGCGGCCTATTACGTGAAAAAAATTGAGCCATGGACTATGATATTGCGCGATGGCAGCTTTTTTCCACCGTGGGGTGACTCTGTAGCTGCGATGGCAAAGAAAAGAAGGAGGAAATGGAAGGAGACGAAAAACAGAAAAAGCGTCAAGGGGTCCACTGCATGTTATAAGCCATACCATCCCTCGTGGCAGCAGATCAAGTCCTGGTCTCTTTGAGACGTATATACTTTCACCACGCATCGCCGTCGATCTGTTTGCTATTACGCAAGAACCATTCGTTACCTTGGCTCCTCACTCACGCTCCTGTAGGAGAGTGAGAGAACCACATCGTCGATCCTTTTCACGATGGCCATCTCTACCCCCACAGCCCTCCACGGCACATCTCGCAGCAATGACATCGAGAAGGAGGCTGTCCACTCGGACCCAGTCTTTGGGTCCGACACAAAGGCTGGTATAGCCCCGCCGCAGCTCAACGTCGGTGGCCACGCCAACGTCCAGCGGCAGCTGCGGAGTTTCCACATCACCATGATCGGCTTCTGTAGCGGCATCGGGACGGGCCTGTTCATCGGAGCCGGCAGCGCCTATGCCAAGGCTGGGCCGGCGGGTCTGCTCCTGGCCTACTGCATCGTCGGCCTCGTCCTCTGGTGCGTCATGCAGAGCATCGCCGAGCTGGCCACCCTGATCCCCACCGCCGGTAGTTTCCCCCACTGGGCCACGCGCTTCATCGACCCGAGCGTGGGGTTTTCTCTTGCCATCAGCTATGGGTACTGCTACACCATCGCCATCGCCAGCGAGTGTTCGGCTGCTGCCGTGCTGGTCTCGTACTGGACCGACATCTCGCCTGCCCTGGTCATCACCATCAGTCTCGCCCTGATCCTGCTCATCAACCTGCTGAGCGTCAGGTTCTATGGAGACAGCGAGGTCATTACCGGTGCCGTCAAGGTATGTTGGAAGAAGTGGTTGAAATCTTGAAGAAGGAGGACAAAGGGGATTGGAAATAACAACAACAAAAAAAAAAAAAAAAAAAGGCGAGAGGTTCTACAATTTGTTATGATACTGACCTTTCTTCCAAAATAGGTTCTCTGCTTCTTTGGCCTGGTGCTTGTGGCCATCGTCATCACTGCAGGCGGAGGACCCAAAGGTGACCCGATCGGCTTCTACTACTGGTACGACCCCGGCGCCTGGACAAACTACAACGGCATCACGGGCTCCACGGGCCACTTCCTCGGCGTCCTCTCCGCCCTGGTCAACGCCTCCTTCAGCTTCATCGGCGTCGAGACGGTGGTCATCTCGGCCGGCGAGTCGGCCCACCCGCACCGCGACATCCCCAAGGCGGCCAAGCGCGTGACCCTCCGGATCGGCTTCTTCTACATCCTCGGCGCCCTCCTCATCGGCATGATCGTCGACCCCAACAACCCGGACCTGGTCAGCGGCACGGGCAACGCAAAGTCTAGCCCCTGGGTCATTGCCATCCAGCAGGCCGGCATCACCGTGCTGCCCAGCATCGTCAACGCCTGCATCCTGGTCTCGGCCTGGTCCGCCGGCAACTCGTACTGCTGGGTCGGCAGCCGCATGATCCTCGCCATGACCACCGACCGCCAGCTCCCCCAGTTCTTCGGCAGGACCTGGAGCAACGGCGTCCCCTGGGTCGCCGTCATCACCGCCTGGCTTTTCGGGCCCCTCGCCTACCTCAGTCTCGGCACCGGCGGGCCCGCCCAGGCCTTCAACTGGCTGCTGAACCTGAGCACCGTCGCCGGCCTCATCGCCTGGGCCACCCTGTGCTTCTGCTATATCCGCTTCCACGCTGCCCTCAAGGCACAGGGCGTCTCGCGTGATTCGTTCCCCTGGAAGGCTCCCCTCCAGCCCTACGCCGCTTGGGTTGGCTTTATCGGCGCCACTATCATCACTTTTATCTCTGGCTTCTCTGTGTTTCTGGATGGCAACTGGTCGACCCCGAGCTTTGTGGCGTCTTATGTCGGCATTCCCATCTTTATCGTGCCTATTATCGCTTGGAAGCTGTGGTTCAAGACGAAGGTGAGTCTTAAACCAGTCCCTATTTCTCTGCCCCCGGATGTGGATATTATATTTTGGCAAATGACAACTTCGTGCTAACTCTTTCATCATCATAGTTCCTCCGCGCTCATGAGATTGATCTCTGGTCTGGACGGCTGTACGAGCCGACTCAGAAGGACGCTTCCAGTGATGAGGAGCAACGACGTCTGAGTCTTTGGAGGCGTTTCTTGGTTTTCCTCTTTTAGAAAGGAGTTCTGGAATAATAATAAAAATCGGTGGAGCGCATATTTAGCTTTCTTCTTGTTTTCTCTTCAACATAGTTTTGCTGAAGCTGGCATGGGACTCGGCGTTGTTCTTTGGGGTGATTCTAGAGGTCATGTGGCCAACTACGACCTGACCAGACTGGACGTGGGCTTTTCTCTCACGCCTGGCTGGACACCTATGTGATGATCACTGAGCCATAGATGTACAATGAGCCGAGGAACATTTGGACATAATGCGGCGTACAGAAACGAAATAAGCCATCGGTGCAGAAATGATATCCAGCGTACAGAGTGTCGTATTATGCTTGGACAGGGCATGGCTTTGGATGACAAGCCCGTCTGAACTCGGTTTCGGTGACTCAAGGTGCCCATTGGTGATCATATCCGTAGTACAGTCCGATCCCGTCACAGAGCCGATGACAGTATAGGGCAAAGAGGACAGACGAATGGCATTGCTCTTCATTCGTGTCAAGGTTTCGTCATGAGCCCTGAGAACCAGCGAGAGGGGGGGGGGGGGCGGCGGGGAAATTGCCACCACCTGGAAAAACACCGCGCGAATTCGCGTAGTCACATACAGTCTTTTACACAGGACGGAACATGATAAGACCGGCCTCCTTCGCGACAAGACAAGACCCTGATCACTCCAGGCGATGCGGCCCGCAACACCAAACCAGAGGCTGAGCCACGACTGATTACTGCCGCTCTAACGGAAGGGGGTCGAAAGACCACAGCGCCATGAAGTATTCCGTTGCCTCCATCCCCTCCCTATCTCTCTCTCTCTCTCTCTCTCTCTCTCTCTCTCTGTCTCTGGGTAAGGGTCGGTCAAACCTGCCAATTCTTCCGATGCAGTCGTACGAGCCGCCAAGCGGAGGAATGGTCTCTCGAACGCGTTAGCCCTGCAAGTTCTTTCGGCCGACGGAGGCATCCGAGCAAGAGGGTGTGTGTGCAATATGCTGGCAAATTAATTTAGATTCCCTACCGGCTCGCTCTTGCGAGATGGGCTGCCAACGGGGGGAACAGCTTGGCTACCTAGGACTGGAAATACACCCGCTACGAGGACGCTTGAGGGGACTTTCGTTGGGGACTTTTGAAGGAGGTCGATCGCGGGGTAGTTACGGCAGCATTGATGCGACTAGTCATACATAGTAGGTACTATGTATTGCTGCCAAACCATGTATGGGCAGTGCGGTATGTGTGTGCCCGTCGGTGGTTACGAGCCGGGATGGCGAGGGCGCAAAAGAGGAGGCGGTCAAGACAACCCAAAAATCTACCCTCCGACGGGGTTTGAGTTTGGGGTGCCACAACCCACGCCACCTGGCTTGCTTCAAACTTCCAACCAGTGGGAGATATTTTCCAACTTGTGACGCAGCATTGGGCCTCCGAATGATAGCTTGGGCTCGTTACAGCACAACTCCTCAGCTCTCCTCTCGATATCCTGCGCTGCAGCATCTTCTTAGCTGGTGGTGTACCTAGCCCGTCTATGTATGTCTCAATGCCGCATGAAGGCGGGTAGGCGGGCCCAGTAGCTGAGTGAGGACGGGCACGTGTATCTACCTAATGCAACCCGCGTCATGGATCAGCGCACAACCGGTCAAGGAGTGAAAAAATTGAGGCAGCTCGATTTTCTGCGGGAATAGGAAGGCACCCGACCTAAAGCTTGCAGTAGTCACGGTTATAGCATGGGCAGATAGGGTCCATACGGGCGCTGTGGCTTTCTCTGGTGAGACAACGCTAGTCTTGTGCTGCGCTTGTAACAGTAGTGAGTGGCCTGGGCGGTGTGGTGTAGCGGTCGGTCGACCCTCCTAGAGTTATATCACGGATGAAGAAAAGCACCTGTCTTTGGGTAAAAGAAAGATAGCCTGCTGGGTGACACGCGATCACGGCATGGCTAGCCCGGCCGCCTTGTCAATTCCTCGCGTTTTCTGCGTCCCAGAATGCACCGACGGCGGAGATAGTATTTCGGCGAGAGGACGCGTGGCTGCAATCTCGGGAGCGTATCGAGAAGGAACCACATGGCAGGGCATAAAGTCAGCGCCTTAGCAGATAGTAAGCAGCATGCTGGTCAAGTGGCGGCGCCACAAGTCAGTCGGTCCAAAAGTTAGAACACTTGGCAGCGCCATCAGTGCCACAGGCGCGCTCGCTCGTCAGCGGCGTCCCTGATATACAAGCCTTTCCTTTCGTCTTTCTTCTGATTTCAACAGTCTCGTGGGATGGCGTCGCGTTGTCCTGCCTATTCTAGCGCCCGTGCAGTTCGGCTGGTAGGGAAAAACAAGTTGTCGGATGGCTGTGCACCCGCAGAAAAAGGGGTTGTTTGCTAGATGAAACCGCCTGTGGGAATGGCGCCTGTAACAGTAGTACAATACATAGAGTTGGGCTGCTGTTGTTTTTTCTTTCTTTTTTTTTCTCTTTTTTTCCGACGTTGTACTGACTGTTTGAGACTGCCATAGTGTGTGTTATTTTTATGCCTCAGCTCTTCCCTGGGCGATACAAACTTCTGCTCATTTGTTGTTGTTGTTGTTGTTGTTGTTGTCATCGTCGTCGTTGCTGTTGTTATTGATATTGTTGTCACAGTCGTTGCTTTTCTGTCGACCATCTCCCCCCGCCCCCTTCCTGCTCTCCTGACGTGGCTCTGGACAATCATGGATGCGTGAGACACAGGAGTGTCATATGTCGTCTAGTGCAGGAAAGCTTGTCTTTTATTAAATGCTTCTTCTGCCAAGCGAACGGATGTATCGGCACCGGCTGCACCCGGAGACAACCCTTACAACCGCCAAAGCTGCAGCAAGGAGACAGAGGAGGCATGGCGTGATGGTCGATCTAACCGGCTCCTGCCAGAAACCGGTATCAATTCGCACGAAGAGGGCGTGGACGAGGACGAGGGGCAGGGGGGCCAAATCAGCTGTCACAGATAAAAAGAAGGTTCTGACGATGGCGTGGTGCATCTTCAAAGACCAAAAACCGAAAAGCTTCAAGTTGAATTATATTGAAAAGTATGTATGAAAGGGAAGAGATGACAAGAGCAACGCTCCTTTCGCGATACCGGGAATCGGTGTGATGTTCGTTTAAGGTTAAAGCTAACTCAACCAGGCTCCTGGACTGTGACAAACCCTGCTTGCCTGCCGCCAGCCTGTGTGCACGGAAGGAGGGAGGGGGGTCGTGCCGGCAGTACTGTTGGGCGCCCCTGACCTTACTAAGATTCGCCACCTGAACGTGCAATGCATCTCGACCCCGTTGTGGGTAGTGCAGAGTACTATGGTATAGTAGGGATCAGATCCTGGTCCCACAACCCCCCCCCCCCCCCGGCCTCCCTTTCAGCGCCTGTCACAACTGCCAATTGTAGCACCAGGGAGGGCACTTAGGAAAACCGTCGCAACAGCCGCTAGAAGGGTTAAGGCGATAAGCGATAGATGCCACTTTTAAAGAAAAAAGGCAACACAGAAAAAAAGGGACAAAGATCCCACACCTTCTCTAGCCATACGGACATCTAGACTCCTACGACACCAAGAAGGAAAGGGAAAGGAAAAGGGGGCCAAGGGGAAAGCGGAAAGACGAGCCAGAGTGCCAAGCAGTCCGACCGTCCTCATCCTCGTCCTGTCCTGACCCTTTTATCCAGCCAAGAGATTCTGGAGGCAGCGAAAAAAACCCTTCCAAGTCGCCTAAGCCTAGTAGAGGTGGACCCGCCGAGGCTACCGTAAACCAGGGTTTGGCATCCTCCTCTTTTCTCTCTTCAGAATTCAGAAAGAGAAGAGCAGAAAAGAGATGGTCAATCTCCAGGGGTCATTTGCACGAAAAGAGAGGGGGGAGGTTCTCCACAAGAAGGGGCGGCTCCGCAAATAGATAGTAGATGGACCCTCTGACTGCTCGTCCTCCTGCATCGGTCGCGTGATAATGAACTTGTTTATGAAGTAAGTACGTATACTGTATATTCATGCGGGAAGTGGGCTGTGGTCTCAAGTATACGTAACCAATCGCGCCAGTGTCGATTGGCGCAATTGTAGGGGAGAAGCACGGCAGAAAAACCAGGAGGACAAACCGCAACCTGCTGATCCAGGGGCCTTTTTGTGTTCTCTCTATCCTGTAGTCGCTCCCTCTTTCCTTCTTCAATGAACGGGTCATTGGCTGACTGGGGGAGGATGGGCAACAGCCTGGCAACCCGAACAGGGGGAAAAAAAATGAAAAAAATAAAAATAAAAATGATTGGCAGTATAGTAGTGGGCACAGTTGGCCACGGAGCTTCCGCCCAGCTCGCTAGGTTGGCGCTGTCGATCGCGTCTTGGCAGCTTCACTGGGGCCTTGGCTGACTTGTTCACATGTCCTTGTGTGAGTAAAAGAGAGGGGACCAGAGCGGGGGGGACGGGAAGGAGGCGGTCGGACTGAGAGACGGGAATACGTTTGGACGGGTTTTTCGTCTTTGACTTGGATTCCTTCTTTCCCGGATGTTATTGGCAGTGGCGCGGTGGTACCTTTTGTTCTTTTTCTTCTTCTCTCGGTTGTTGGGAGGCATCTTGGTTTGCTTACCGCATTACCGTCTTACCCGCACACCAACGCAGGCACGCACATGTGAATTGCTGACTCGGTACGGTTGGTACCTGTCAGATCAGATCAGATCTGACCCGTGTTTGGGGCTGCGCGGAATGACAGACCAGGCCTTCCGAGCTGCCAAAGTTAGACATGATGTTCTCGGAGAGAGAAAAGTGCAGACCCTGAAACAAACCACACAGCTTAGCTTATCTGAGATCTGCACATTACGCTTAGTTCACAACCTGACAGAGTTACATATTGCACCGTCATCTTGGGCCCTCCTGCCGTGATGGTCCTGGTTTGCCCTGGTTTTGTTGCGTAGGAGGGTTGAAGGGGACTGAGTGGGTAGGATCCCTTCAGTTCCGCTGGCCGAATGCGACTATGTGTGGTTGCGAGCTAAGGCGGCAATAAATTAAGAAAACACAGTTGTCGATCTCCGAGCCCGGTGTGCAGGTACCTTGATGGGGGGGGGGGGGACGGAGCCTGTGTGCACGATACCCAAAGCGCAGACCCAATCATGTTTTTCTTTGGCGAAAAAGGAGACCAACGAGCCCTGGCGGCGAGGCGGCCAGGCGGCTCTTCTCCAAGTTGGGCGGAGGATGGTCGTCCAGGTGGGGTGTGAGTCTCCTGCATTCTTTTACCCTGGATACAAGTACAATCCCATCAATCAGCCCTCTGATCCCGACGAGTAGCGGGTGAGGATTCCGAACTCATGTGTTGCATGTCAAAACAGCCCAATGTTGACAAGCAAAAGAAGAACCTTTGCTACTATCATAGTAAATCCTATTATTATTATTATTATTGTTGTTGTTGTTGTTGTTATTATTATTATTGCAGAACAAAGCGAGGTCAATTTTGCGAGAAGGTTTCCAAATTCAAAATAACTTCTGCGACATAATCTCAAGTTTTTCTACCATACATAGCATAGTACCGAGTATCATTTTTATTGCCATGCGCCAGCTGACGTGGGGTGACCTGCTTGACGCCTGGCCTCCTCTAAACCCGCCGTCTTCCTCCTTGATGTCTGAGTCGGGTGTCCTTACAAGCCGTTTCTTGGCGTTAGACAGTTGGGACCAGTCAACTGTCCACTGTTACTGTGGACAGACTAAGCCTTAAAGCGCCTAACGATCTATCCCACCAAGCCAACACCCACACCACCCCCCCCCCTCTCCTTCCCCCCCTTCTTCCCGGGAAATGCATGACCGTGGTCGCGCCTTTGCAGCAAAAAATGACGACAGCCCCAACTTGGTGCCACTTGGGTGGACCCAACGGGGGAGGGGGCGACTTTTCACCTACTATGTTAGTACTTCTCACTTTGCACCTCGTGGACGAAAGACGACCCATGGAGTAGGACCCTCCAAACCGCGTGGGGGAAAAAGAAAAGAGAAAAAGACCAAATCTGTGCAATGCAGTCAGATGTTGGAGCATGGCCGTGCAGGAAAATACCGATGGTACCTTGCTACGTTCCAAGATTTGAATATGTACAGGCGTGCCATAGTACACCGTTCAAAGGTGGGCCACATGGACTAGGCCCTAGATTCAACTGGGAAATGCGCACTGTTCGGAGCCATGAGAGAAAGACGAAGACGAACGAAAATGGAGGGGGAGAAGGATGAGCCGGAGATCAATCTGTTGCAAGGGCCGGAACGCTGAGATGAGCAGGGCGGACAAGCACATGTTTCTATCTCTCGTCAGTGTCTCGTCCAATCACTTGGCAAAAATCCCAGAAGCCCATTCCATGGGGTAGTAGGGCCAATCTCGCCTTTCAGGGTTGTATATGCAAGCCGTCAGCCGAGCGTGGCATGGGCCCCGGCTCACTGGGGAAGGCTTTTGATGGCCTGTAGCCAAAAACTGCTTAGCCACAGTACATGTTACTTTTAGATGTATTTGCCTGTGTGTGTGTGTGTGTGTGTGTGTGTGTGCGCGCTCCAAAGTAACAACGCATGCAGGTCCTCTTTTCGCGACCCAAAGTCTCCACTGACCCCCCCGTCCCGTCCCCCCCTCCATATCGCCTCATCTCCCCTGGTCGCCGAGGGGGGGGGGGGGGGGACCACGCTGGGCTGGGCAGGTGCTTGTACACCTCACTGGTTTTCTCTTGCTCATCATCCGGCCCGTACTGAGGCAATGCTTCCCTACGTGTGTGTGCGCGTGTCTGTGGGTGGGTGGGTGTGTGTGTGTCTGTCTGTCTGGTGTGGTGTGGCTAGAGATAATCAAACCCCTTCTCTAATTTTGAGTGCCCCAGTCAAAAGACCATTTTCGTAGACCAACCCGGCCCACGCATGGTTATTCACCAAGGGGAGAGGGGTGGGGGAGGGGATCGACTCCTATACGAGCGAGGACAACCCGAGCCTGTTGTTCCAACATATGTCCCTACGCACCAACCCATCCGATCCTTATCTATTGTACTGCCCGCCTTCTTTTATTATTTTATTCCCTTCCCACCCCGTCTTGCCTTCGAACCCGAGTCGTATTCTATCTTGAACCCTTTTCCAATTTCTTTTTTCCTTCTTTTCCGTGTGTCGTTGTCTGTTCTGTCGTCTATCTTCTTTCCGGCCTCGGGTTTTGAAGAATAGGGTTCGCTACTACTATTCATAACAAACCTAGCGAGCGACTCAGGCGCGCTCCGCATCGACATTCTTTTTCTAGTGTGAAGCCGTCATTCCAAGATCTTTTAAGGTTCTTCGTTTAGGACCATCCTCTCTCTCTCTCTCTCTCTCTCTCTTTTTTTGTGCCCGCGTGCCTCCTCTTTTTCTATCTTAGTTCTTCTATGATTGTTATACGGGGTCTACTCTTCTCTCAGTGAGCCCCCTCCCCCCGATTCGTCCTTCACAATGGCGATTGGAAAGGAAGGAAATGTGAAATGGGTGGATGTGAGTATTACCTTTCCCTCCCTCCTCTCTCGAAAGTCTCCACGCAGGCAGGGTATGTGGTGGTAGGACTACTGGTGATGGTGATTAGAGCTAGAAGGTGGAGGAGGCAGACTCAAAATCGACACTACACCAACAGCCTTTGCCTTATCCGTCGACCTCATGCGTCCGTGTGTGTGTCTGTGTGTGTGTGTGTGTGGCTGACATGACCATGTTCTTGTTTAGGGTCTGCGAGGAATCGCATCATCGCTGGTGGTGGTCAAACATGTCACAATCGCCTGGTTCCCATACATCATGTGGCCTTCGCCAGGGCCTGAGGACCTACCCGTTTTACTCGAGAGGCCGTACTTGCGCGTCTTCTTCCAGGGCCGCATCGGTGTGGCCATCTTCTCCTTCGTCACCGGTTACGTCTGCTGCCTCAAGCCCATCAAGCTGTTCCACCAGGGCAACCACGACAAGGCCTTTGCCGCCATTGCCAAGTCCGCCATCCGCCGTGTGCCCCGCCTGGTCCTCCCCGTCGCTATCGTCCTGGTCCTTTCCTGCCTGGCCACCCAGCTCGGCGTCTTCGAGGTCGCCCGGCACAGCGACGGCTGGGGCCTGGACGTGACGAGCCCCGAGTATTTTCCTAACTGGCTTGATGCTTTCTGGGCCTTGGTCTGCGACGAGGTGCGCGTGTGGACATTTGGGCAGAGCATGTACGGCGCTGAGCTCTGGACCATGATGCCCATCCTCAAGGGTGCGTTCTGGGTGTACGTGTATCTGCTGGCCACGGCCTATGTGCAGCAGAGATACCGCATGATGATCGCCCTGTTCCTCGCCATGTTCCGCTACTGCGCCAACGACCCCTTCTTCGGCATGCAGTTCTTCTTCGGCGCCTTCATGGCCGACCTGCAGAACCCGATCGCCGAGGGCCCGCCCGTCGTGGCCTTCCTCGCGCCGCACAAGTCCCACATGAAGTGGCTGCGCATGTTCGGCTCCGTCGCCTTCCTCGCCCTCGGCTTCTTCATCGCCTCCCTGCCCGACGACCACTACGACTACCAGGCCTGGTCCCAGGGCCTGTACGAGTTCCTGCGCGCCATCCTGCCCCGCGACCCAGACTTCCCGCGCTTCTCCTCGGGCCTGGGCCTCGACCTGATCGTCATCGGCCTGCACTTCTCCACCACCTCCCGCAACATCCTCTCCAGCAAGCCCTTCATCTGGCTCGGCCGCATGTCCTTCGCCGTGTACCTGCTGCACAACCAGATCCTCCGCTCCGTCCTCTGCTGGATGGTGTACGGCTTCAGCCTGCCCGAGCAGCCCACCGACGTGCAAGACCCGGAGACGGGCGAGTGGTTCACCCCCGAGGCCCCACGCCTGCAGTTCCCCGGAGCAGGCCGCCTGTTCACCGTGCTGCCCATCTACTGGGTGCTCGTGTACGGCGCCGCCTGGCTGTGGACGACATATGTGGATGCGTGGTGCGCCAAGGTGACGGAGAAGCTGGTGGGCAAGATCAAGGAGGACGACGGAAGGGAGAAATCCGAGCCGCTTCTCCCTCTTGCTGCGCCTGTCCGTGCGAACGAGGAAGTGCCAGCGGCACGATAAGGAGGGAGAGCGAGCGTGTGTGTCTTATTTCGACTTTATATACCAATGTGTAAATGGATTCTCTCATAAAAGGGGATATGCAGAGATGGGGAAATATTTCCGGTTTTTCTTTGGGTTGGAGGAGGGTTTTCTTTTTTGTCGTTGTGTTTCTCGCTGACGTTTTCCCGCCCATTTTCATTATTGCATTATGCATATGTACTAAGTACTCTCACTCGAGAAGCATAGCGAGGCACATCTTTTTCCATAGCAGCCAACAGAATCGCTGCATTTCTGGAAACCTGTATGATTTTAGATATTGAAGATAAGAAGAGGAAGGGAAAAAAAAAAAAAAAATTAACACTTCTGGATCCAATGTCTCGTCACTCGTGTAGTGTTGCTCTGATCAAAGGAAGACGAGTTACTGGATGTAGGGCGGGCCAATGAATAAACAGGGTTAGGGTTAGGGTCCAGGGTACCTGGATCGCAGCTGCGCAAGCACAGATATCTTCATCAATCTGTCCCTTCCTAGTGCATGTTCAAGACGACAACATCAACATCTCTTACGTGCCTTACTTTTCCCGGTTGAAAAAGGAAAGGACAAATTTTCTCTGCATGAAGCAGAATACGACGTTATCTTTCAATCCATACGGCCAATAACTACTGACAAATGGCGGCAGAGGATGGTGAGGCCAGGGTGGTCAGGGGGGCCTCCCTCCTCATCCTCCTGCAGATTGTCTCTCGCGCCATTACTTTTATCGCCAACCAGGTCCTTGTCCGTTTCCTTACTGCTCAGCTGCTTGGTATATCTACGCAGCTAGAGGTATACTACCTCTCTGTCCTCTTCTTCGCACGGGAGAGCCTGCGAGTGGCTGTCCAGCGGCAGGGATCCATCTCGTCGAGCCAGATGCCGGCGCAGGCCAGGACCAAGAAGGACGAGGGCGAGAGTAGACAGGAGAAATTACGGCAGGCAGAAGAGACGCAGGCGGTGGTAAATCTGGGCTACATTGCCATCCTGCTTGGCCTGGTAGCGGCTGGCGTTTTGGGATGGGCCTACCTCCGGTCTGTCCCTGTGGAAACTATTCTCACCACGCCCAACTTCACCTCCTCCGTCTACATCTACGCCCTGGCCTCGATCCTCGAGCTGCTCTCCGAGCCGGCCTTTGTGGTGATGCAGGTCCGCCTCAAGTTCGGTGCCCGTGCCTCGGCAGAGGCTGTCGCGACGTTTGGCAAGTGTGTTGTTACCCTCGGTTCGGCAGTCTGGGCCTCGCGCAGCGGTATCGAGCTAGGCGTGCTGCCCTTCGCCCTGGGCCAGACCGCCTATGGCCTCGGCCTTTTGGGGGTCTACACTTGGTACGGAACCGCACTTTCGGGTCAAGAGGGCTTCTCGCTGCTGCCAAAGCCCCTGGGTGGTGGTGGCGGCGGCGGCGGCGGCGGCGGCGGTGTGGCGGAAGGAGAAGGAGACTACCTCTTGTCATACTTCTACCACCCCACCGTCAACCTTGCCTCGTCCATGATGGTCCAGAGCTTCGTCAAGCATCTGCTTACCCAGGGCGACACCTTTCTCGTCAGTATTCTGTCCACAACCACGGCGCAGGGCGTCTATGCGCTCGCCAACAACTACGGCGGCCTGCTTGCGCGGCTGGTGCTGCAGCCCATTGAAGAGAGTAGTCGGAGCTACTGGAGCCGCCTCCTATCTTCCAGCGCCGCCAACGGCCCGCCTCTGGCTACTGTTACAAATACCGAACAGAAGAAGGACCAGAACAAGGAGAAGCAGAGCGATGGCGTCTCGGCTGCCCTGGCAGCTCCACAACCTCAGTCCTCTTCCACCTCTCAGCTCGCCCTCCGTCAGGCGTCAGAGAACCTGACCGCATTGCTCCAGGCATACACCCTAGCCTCTCTGCCCCTTCTCGCTCTCGGTCCCGTTGCCGCCCCGCTGGTCCTCTCCACCGTGGCAGGGCCGCAATGGACCGCCTCGGGCGCAGGGGACGCCCTCGCCGCCTACGTCTACTACATCCCCCTCCTCGCCATCAATGGGCTGACAGAGGCCTTTGTCGCTTCTGTCGCCACTGAGGCCCAGGTCCACCGCCAGAGCGTGTGGATGATGGGCTTCTCGCTCGTATTTGCAGGCGCGGGGTACGTGTTCATGCGTGTGCTAGGCTGGGGCGCCGTGGGGCTCGTGTGCGCCAACGGGATCAACATGGTCTGTAGGATCGTCTGGGCGATCTGGTTCATCCGGGGGTACTTTACTGCTGCTGCCAGAAAGGGAGGAAGTGCAGGCTGGGATATTACGCAGGTCTTGCCCAAGCCAGCGGCGGTAGTTGCTGCTGCTGTGGCTGCTCAGGCTGTGAGGAAGGTGGTGGCAACCACGACGACAACAACAGGGGGCACTGTGGACATGGAAGTGAACGGCGACGTGAGAGCTGTCATTTTTGAGCTGATCAAGATTGCTGGCGTCGCTGTGCCATTTCTAGGGGTGCTGTATGTCCCTGAATTTCTCCTTGACTTCCCTACTACACCTGCCTTTCTCTACCCCTACCTCGTACCACCCCCTGATTGTTGGTCTGTCTATTCGTCTCCAAATCTCGATCTCTGCATAATATTGACACATCTCCCTTCCTTTTTACATAAACAGGGCCATCTCCGAGCGAGGATTTCTCATGCAGTGCTACCAGACTGTGCGCGGTCACAGAGCTCAAGCAACACAGCCTCCTGGTGCTAAATGAAAGTGGAGAGTGGTGGATTCCAGGCTCCAGTTGCCACCTCAAAACGCCAAGACACAGACCGACATTCGCCAATGCATCTCTTTTCGTGATCGATGAACCCCCGCCCCCAGGAGCGAGCTGCGAGCAGTGGCAGCGAACCCGGAGGGATTACCGATCAAGATCAAAATGTTGGCCGCCGGAGAAAAGAACGGAAATAAGAAATAGGTCCTTGGTCTCGTCGTGTTGAAGGCGCTCTCGTGCGCGTGCCCACCTCCAGCTTGACTTTAGTCAAAGGTGATCTTGGTGGCCTTCTTGCTCATGTCTACGTTTTTGAAGAATGCGCCGTAGGCGTCGTGCTGCTTCTTCTTGACGGTTGTGCCGAACTTGAGCAGCTCCTCGGGAACAGGTTGACCAGCGGCCTTGAGCACGTTGATCAATCTGAAAAGGGTAGAAGATTAGGTCAGGTTCGACGACAAACACACAGAGCCAGGGAAAAAAAAAGACATCAAGGCGGTGGATGACTTACGAGCCAGAGTGTGCCTTGTCGTGCTCCGTGAAAAGAGTGATGGCCTTGCCTTCCTTGCCGGCACGACCTGTACGGCCGATGCGGTGGACATAGTCCTCAATAGTCAAAGGGAACTGTGTATTAAACATATTAGCCACCCTCGTCTAAATCATCGAACATGGGTTTCACAGCACAAAGTCGAACATACCGTAAGGTTGATGACAAGTTTCACCTCTGGGATATCCAGGCCTCGCGCCGCCACATCTGTAGCAAGCAAAACGCTAGTCGTCCCGGCCTTGAAGGCCTCAAGACTCCTCGTCCTCTGCTCCTGGCGCAGGTCGCCGTGGATGGCCACGACCTCGACGCCCCGGCTCTGCAGGAACTGCTCGACACGCGTGGTCTCCTTCTTGTACAGACAAAACACGAGGATCCTGTCGTTCCTCGCCTTGCCCCGCTGGTTCTCCTTGAGAATCTCCAGCAGCCTCCTCTCCTTACCCCTCGGGTCGACGACCTCGACAGTCTGCACGATGCGGCTGTTCGCCTGCAGCTCGACGGTGCCGTTCCCGCTGCCGTCGCCGTTGGGCCTGTTCTTGTTGATGATGACCTTGACAGGGTCGACCATGAAGCTCTCAGCCAGGCCGCGCACCGAGTCAGGCCACGTCGCCGTGAACATGAGCGTCTGGCGCGCCTCCCGCGCCGGACACCCCCCGATGATCTCCTTGATGTCGTCCTCGAACCCCTTGTCCAGCATGCGATCGGCCTCGTCGAGAACCACAAACGCCGCCTCGCCCAGCGCCACGCAGCCCTCGGACAGGAAATCCTTGAGCCGCCCTGGCGTCGCCACCACAATGTCCGCGCCGCCGCTCCGCCGCAGCAGGCTGCGCTGCTCGTCCTTGCTCGCGCCGCCGTACAGGCACACCGCGGAGAGCCCTGCCAGCGAGGCGAGCGTGGAGATGGCCTCGTGCGTCTGCATCGCGAGCTCGCGCGTGGGCGACACGATGACGGCGCGGGCGTTCACAACAGCGCCGCTACCGCCCGCCCGGCCAGACTTCTTGGGCAGAGAGGAGAGGGCCGCGATGCAGGGGAGGGAGAAGGCGTACGTCTTTCCGGAGCCGGTCTCGGCGATTCCGATCACGTCGCGGCCGGACAGGGAGAAGGGCCAGGAGGCGGCCTGGATGGGGGTCGGGGTGGTGAAGGTCTTGAAGGGGTTCTTGGCGAGGAGGCGGGAGGTCGGGAGGTGGTCGAACTTGAGGATCGGGCGGAGCGGGGAGGAAGGGTGGATCGTGATGTGGTTGTCCTTGAGAAAGGTGTCGATCTCGGCTTGCGGCACGGCGGCCAGGGCGGCGGTCTGTTGGTATTTCGTAGAGTCGCCGTCTGCTGCTGCTGCTGCTGCTGCTGCTGCTGCGGCTGGCGCCGAAACGGGCTCGTCGGTCTCACCCTCAGTCGCAAGGTTCTTGCTCTTCTTGTCCTTGGACTTCTTAGACTTCTTCTTGCGCTCCTCCTTGGCCGCGGGCTCGCCGTTCACAGGCGCATCGGCTGGGGCATTGTCGACGTCCATCTCGTCAGCCGGGGTGGCGCCATCGTCACCGGTGCCGTTCTGCTGCTCTGCCAGTTGCTTCTCCTTGCGCTTCTTCTCTTTCTTTTCCTTTTTCTCCTTTTTCTCCTTCTTGTCCTTCTTCTTCTCCTTGTCCTTCTTGTCCTTCTTGGATTTCTTTTCCTTTAGAGGCGCATCGTCTTCCGCCGCAGTGGCAGCATCGTCAGTCTTCACCTTCTTGGTCTTCTTGACCTCGTCAATCTCGCCTTCAAGGCGATGTTTCTTACTGCTGGACATGTCTGCAGGTTTTCGGGAGTTTTTTTTCTCTCTCTTTTTTTCCCCTCTTTTTTTCTTCTTCTTCAATGGATTGACCCAGGAACCTGCAGAAAGAAACTGTTCTTGTGTTTCTGAGTCGTCGCAATGCAGGGTATGTTCGAAATTTTTTGGGGACTCACCTCAATTCTGCCGGGTCTGATTGCTAGCAGGGGTCCAGGCGGTGAGAGGATTGTGGATTGTATGGCGGCCAGGGGCTGCATTGAGCGTGTGTGCTGGGCTGGTATGGCTGCACTGAAACAGTAGATACATCCCGTAGCTAAAGTACTTATTCAGCCAGCCTACCTGAAGGTGCCCATCTGGTCGTGTTATACGATTGGGTACTTTGTGACAAGATGCTGAGATTTTTGCACTTTTATTGTCTACTTGGAATTGTAGATCTTTTCAGGTATTTGATATGAAAGAGCATGATTGATTTCAAAATTTGCCTTCTTCACACTGCATGACCTCGATTTCCAAGTGCTACATACTGGTTCACTCAGACAAGCCTCTGTGACAACGTAAACATTGCCACAGTATATGAATGTCCTAATATTAGAGCAAGGCCAGGTGAATTGTACATTAAGATTCTGTTTTGCATTCCAAGTTGCTAGGAAATTGATTGAAGGTGTATCACTCTCTATGGCTGAGACCCCACATCACACGTTCCCGTGAGCAACCAGCCCCGTCCTCCTGGCATGGCTTCTCCCTACCAATTTCAGCCGGGAGAACCATCGTGTTTTCTCATTCTCTCTCTCCTTCAAGACCCATCCCCAGCAACCTCGGAGTGTTCCAACCCCTTCTCCTTGTCCCCGCCAAAGGCCCCGCCCTCGGCCCTCTGCTGGAATGTCTGACTGGGCTGCCAGTGCTTACTGTTCTTGGCAGCGGTCAGGCCGTGCATGTCGGCGTACAGCTCGTCGACCTGCTCGAGGGATAGGCCCTTGGTCTCGTAGATGAAGAAGTAGACGAAGGCGATGCAGAAGAAGCAGCACCCGAACCAGATAAAGAAGATCTTGCTCTGGAGGTTGGCATAGCCAGGGCCGTAGTTGACCAGGTATGGGGTTGCGTAGGCGATGGCCCAGTTGAGAAGCCACTGAATTGAAAAGTGATTAGTATACAAGAGACCAAAAAAAAAAAAAAAGGGGGGGGGGGCTTCATCCAAACGTGAAAAGGGGAAAACCTACGTTGGTGGCGGTGGTCATGGCGAGACCTCTAGCACGGTTCTTGAGAGGGAAAATCTCGCCTGTGACAACCCAGGCCAAAGGACCCCAGGTCGAGGCGAAGAAGAAGATGTAGATGCACACAAAGGCGATGCCCGCTTTCTGGGCGGCAACGTTGTACACGATGATTTTCCCGGCCGAGTCCTGGCCTGTGGTCAAGGTGCCCAGCATGGCCACCAGGAACTGGCTGATGCACATGCCTATGGCACCCCAGAAGAGGAGGGGTCGGCGGCCAAACTTGTCGACGGCGTACAGGCCTGGGATTGTAGAGACGACGTTGATGACTGAGGTGATGACCTGGATGATGAAGCCGTCGCTGATGCCCGAGTTGATGAAATATTGCGTACCCTAGAGAGAGATTGTGGAGGTTAGTTTTCTTGACTTTCTCCTTTTTCTTCTTCTTCTCTGTCTTCTCCTCATCCTTCCTTGGACGAGAGGAGTACTCAGGATCGGGTATAGAGGGCACGAACATAGTAAAAGATAAAGTTGATGCCAGTGAGCTGCTGGAGAGCCTGAAGACCCATGCCCGTAAGCTGGCGCTTCAGCATGTTGCCCCGGAAGCAGTCGATATAGCTGGCCTTCCCGAGGCTGACCTCATACTCGTGGTTGGCACGAATCTCATCCAGCTCAGCCTGGATGGCAGGGTGGTCCGCAGGTATGCGGCGGATGCGGCCGAGGGCCTTGGCGGCCTGGTCTTGGCGCCCACGCTTGATGAGGTAACGGGGGGACTCTGGGAGGATCAGCATGCCGCCGATGAGGATGATGGCCCAGGCGAACTGGACGGCGATGGGGATGCGGTAGGATCCTGTGTCCTGGCGTTTGGCGGTTGCGTTGTCGACGACGGCGGCAAGGAGGAGGCCAATGGTGATGGCGAACTGGTAAGCACCGACAATCGCACCTCGGATCCATCTGTAGGTTGGGTTTTAGAGTCAGTAAAGTAATGATTTTCAAGGGTTGAGCCGGAGGCAGAATAAAAAGATCTGGACAAAGCAATGAGGTGTATCTTTTTTTTTCCTTTTTCATAAAAGAAAAGTGAGAAGACCAAAGAAGAAAATTCATTGAAATCACATACTTAGGAGCCGTCTCGGACTGGTACAGCGGGATGAGAGCAGAAATGAGACCGACACCAAACCCTGCAAAAAACCGACCTGCCAGGAACAGAGGCAGAGCCACAGCGGCGGTCTGGAAGATGACACCGAGGGTAAAGACAAGCGTGGAGGCGATCAGGGCAAGCCGACGACCGATCGAGTCAGCCAGGAAGGAAGAGGCCAGCGCGCCGAAAAAGGTACCCGCAGAGAGGATGGAGACGATGGCCGACTGCTGCGAGGGCGAGATGCTAGGGTTGCCGTCCGCGTTCTTGTATCCAGTAGAAAAGAGGCGATCAAAGTACGGCATGGCGAGGATGCCGCTGATGGTGCCTGTGTCGTAGCCGAACAGCACGCCGCCAAAGGCCACAAAGGACCCAATGGCTATGGCTGGCCATGCCTTGCCAGCCTCTTCTGGCCGGGTGATGGACAGCTTGCGTACACCAGCCATGGTGGATGGGTGGATGGTTAGTTGGTCGAGTGCCCCAACTTGCCTTGGAAAAAGGTTGTTTGCAGGTGATTTATCAGAGAACGGATCACAAGAGAACTAAAAAGTTTCTATTGAGAAGAAACAGGAGGGAGAGGGAGAGAGAACTGGGTAAAGTTTTTGAGGGACCCAAGTTCTACCACGACGAGAAGAGCTCACGGGTCACAAGAGAAGCAGGCACGGGGAAATGAGGAGGAGGAGGATACCTCGCTTTATGTACTCTTGACGACTTTATTTTTTGGGGGTTGGGACTTAGATCCTACCATACTCTTTTTCCCCAACAATGAATCGTCTTGTCTAGCTCTTATGCTCTTCTCATGACAGCATGGTGGATGTGGTTGTATCCCGTGTTCTCGAAAGGGGAAGCCAAGAGCCAAGTGGAAAGGGCCGAAAAGAATACCTTAGGTAGCTCCATTAAGGTTGTACCCATACTGGGGGGGGGGGAACATGGGGCTGGGACTCCATGTTTCGAATCTGGGGAAGCCTGCAGGAGTTGGAGAAGATGGGCTAGTCACGAGGATACAGGCTCGCCACTAGTTTGACGGCACCCCCGTTTGCCTGCTCGTCCGTCCTCTGGGGGTTCGCGTTGGAATTGAACAGAGGGGCAGATGTCTGAATACGCGCTGCCGCCTCTCTGCCCAGGCTGGAAGCACACGGCATCTCCCCATCAAGAGTGGCTGTGCAGTGATTCGGCGGCTGGGCGCCACGCCCGCCATCCAAATCCACCGTTTGCGGATATTGCAAGCGCACGCTGTCTGGTGACCTCTGACAGCGTCATCTCCTCTTGGCTTCATGATGGAATCTCAACTTCATCCATGTTTCTCATTTACTCTGAATTACAGTAATACTTGAGGCAGTATTAATTCCCTCACTGGGTGTTATATAAGCAACTAGCCCGGATCCTCAGACTTCAAACCACTCTCGAGAGCAATAGTCCTTAAACTACCCAGTTTTGTTTTCTTCTTTTCTTCTCCAAGTTCATTGGAGAGAATTCTGGGGAGACATGTGTGGGGAATGCTACGACCCCAGACGGGGTCTGCTACACCTCCGCTCTAAAAGTCCTGTAGTGGCATGGTAGTTTTTGGGGGGGGGGTAGGGGAGATTGTACCATCTCGACCAGGGTAAAAAACCTTAATACAATACTCGTCAGATCTAAGGTTAACATTGAGTTGAGGCTACTAAGCCTGCGTGTGCGCGCCGGGATTCGACCTTGGATTGAGCAGGCGTCATAACTCTCGCCAAAACGGCCGGTCGCATACCGGTGTTTGCCGCGAGTCACCGACCACGCCAAGGCGAAGAAATCTCCACCATGGCCTGTGATTTCTACGCGCGCTACTGTAACCTGATGGTGATGATAGATTTGGATCTACAAACTATAGTAGCAGCATCAGTACTATGAGCTAAGTGGTAGCTCAGAGACTGATCGTCAGATCAACTGGGCACACACTTGCTACAAGCAGAAGTGTGACTTGTACAAGTAATCCAGTACTGTTAACAGCTGCTGGTGTACTGACTTTAGCAAATCATCAAGACTTCCATAGTCATACTATTCTCCCACGTACAAGGAACAATAATTTCCCTTTCTCTGAAAATCTTCTACATCAATCCACACAAGGAGTCTTCTACATCTTCTATCACCAGTGTTTCTCCGAAGGAAAGTGCAGCTGTCCCGCCCAACTACTATGTTACACAGCAAGTTCAGAAACCTTTCGAGTTCCCCACAGGCGCCAGAATGGTGGGGGGTCTGGGGTCTGGGGTGGCAGCTCCACAGCAGTTGGGGTCACGCCAGGGTCAGCTCCAGGCGCTTCTTTTGAAGCCACAGCTCCAATGTTGCACAGCTCCAGTGTTGAAAACTACTCGGTACCTTAGGATGCCTGAAGGCTAGGCCAACCAAAGGCAATAAATAATTGATACACTCAGATGAGTTTGATACCTTGTGCAGAATCCACCGACATGCCACCGATCTTGAGTATTTAGTTCAACTAGCCACTTGCAGCCACTGCAGAGTCTAGGCACCTTACATGCAGCTCAACATGCAGCTCAACAAATCTAACGGAGTATCCCTCGCTCACATTAGGAGCACGCTGAGTAGAACAGATTTTTTGTTGCTTTGAAAGTGTCTCTTAGACATAGCTAATACCCAATACAAGCCTAATTTAGTCAGCAAACCATGCGTTATGTGAAGGGACATTGAATACTTTACATGGCTGTATGGGTGTATTGCTATGACGGTTTGTCTATGTTACCAAAGAATGGCTACATCCTTTTTGTGCAGACACAGCAACAGGTTTATTGCCAGATTGAAATGGGATCCAACGTCCAGCACAACTTCAAAAGATCTTTGTGATTAATGATGTTGATGATGTTGGACAGAAAATTTTTTGATCAAGACTCGCTCCGAGTAAATCCTCTTGTACGCATTGTAGCTTGGCAATTGCTTCTCCTAGTGCCTTGCCCACACAATTTGTCCCTCTCAATAATGGCTGTTGTACCTGGGACCTAAGCTGTATGTGTGCAGTTAAAAAAGGCTCATGCTTCATACAACGGGAAAGACGGCACCTACCCAAAAACTCGATCAATACTAATGATAGACACTGCCCCCGGAACTAGTGTTGAACTTTTGCTTGTTTGAACTTCCAGATCAGGCATCCTCAACATAGGAGCTTCTTTGATTCAAGGTTCTTCTATTCAGATCGACTGGGGATTGCGAGCCCTTTGTACCAGGCGGGTCATTCCATGGGTGAACTACAAAAGTACTTGTTGGCATTGACACAACTGTCTTTCTCTTTAGTATGATTGAACCAGAAATGGACCTGTCATGGTCCCAAATATTTAATACTGGCAAATTCACTTCAATTTAGAGTTACGAGTACCACTACATCACTGGAAAGCATCACAGAGTCACATATACACACATAGTCACCCACAAATCCACAACGAAGGCACGAGGCCATAGATTTATAGTTTCGGAGTCGCAATATCTCGAACTCTCAGGTCCTCCAGAAAAACAGAGTCGTAACACATTCCAGCATCCACCTCAAGCATTTTCATTTCTACCCAGGCGACAACACCCACAATGTGCATCGAGATCCGGAACCGCCACCGCTGTCCCAGCAAGGATGCGTACCCCAAAAAGAACGTCTTTGTGGATCATACTACTGAGTATGTGGTCTTATGCAGTAGCCCTATTCCATGCAACAGGGCGGGTGTGTTCCGTCACACAATGACCTATGACACTGGTGTCATGTGCAGGCAGTGTCGTCCTGATGGGTACTTTGCTAGCATACTCAAGAACACCCCCATCCGTTCAGACCATGATGAACCTAGCAGCGTCGATATCTACAAGCAGAATATCCAAAACTATGCAGACTATCTCCTGGCGCTGGGCGGCCTAATCATGCATGATCACTTGCCCAAGGATACAATTATCGACGGAGAAAAGCTCTACCCTGTCTCATCCAGAGCCGCCACGGCCTACCTTGAAACAACCTGCGTCGGATGCAAAGCCCGTGGATCGAATGATTGCTGCGTGTTTAACCGGACCCGATCGAGCCACAACATCGCAAAAGTGCTCCGAAGCGTCTTGGCGGCCAAGGCTGAGCGAAGCCTGGCCAAGCATTATACCGAAGCAGAGATCACGCAAGCCCAGCAAAGCAGCGTGGAGCTGATCCATGCAACTAACAGCGGCCAACTACAAGCTATGTCCCTCGGCACACACCCGGCTCACGATTGGAAGCTGGCCGGAGAAGCCATGGAGGGGTTCTATGTGCCAGTGACCTGTTACTACGCATTCATCGATTACAAACCCGAAGGAGATGAGAAGAATTACCCTGAGCTGAGGACGGCCAAGGAGACCGCATACTGGCTCATGGGTTCCATCATTGCCCACGACAATGGCTTTTGGTGGTCGTCGTACGATCATGTTGCGACCCGCTCCATGTCGAAGCTTTTCCTCGGTGAGGACTCGCTCTATGCGAGCAAGTACGGTCGCCTGACCGTAGCCAACCCAGAGACCATCATCACTGCCCCCTCTACGATTCCTCAGAATCAGACGCACTGGCCCGGCTTGATGGCGACCATCGAGGCATATGCGAAATCCGACCGTCTGTTTTGTCGGGGAACGGGCAAAGCCAGTCCGTCCACAATCTTGATGAACCAGTTCGCTGTTGTTCTGGCCAGTGTGCAGGAACCCTACCCTGCTAACCTGAAGGACGTGCGCTCTGATTGGATCGTCCCGAAGCCCAAGGAGGAGAAAAAGCCGTCGTCGAGCTCATCAACTGGAGTGAGGAAGTTGGTCAGAGGCGTCTTTGGTCGTTCCTAGATTCCGGCTAAGATGTAGCACGTCAATTCATTTACGTTATTTTTACTCCTGCGCTCAGCCGGTGAGAGTGGTATGAGCTGGTTTCCCACACCGAGGAGCCAAGGCTTACCGTGTGAGACTCAAAGCTGGGCTTTAAACTAAATCGTTTGCTTTGTCCTTATCAATATAGTTATTGTGTATTCTGTAAATCAAATTCGTGATGATCTATCCATGCTATCTAGACACGAGGGAGAGATTTTGCACCGACTAGGGATATTCCCCAAAGGGAGGAGATGGGTCGTTTAAGCCTAGTCAGCCTTCAACTGAAGCCAAGGAAATACCAAATTGCACGTCATGATGGTTTAAATAGAAGATTTCATTTTCTTGACACTGTCTCAAGGGAGTGGATCATTTGCCAAAAGACGAAATCTATTGGCAGATATTACACATCTGAACAGCTACTGCCTCCATTTTCTATACACATCGTTTCTCTGTCTCTCCCCCCTTTCATGTCCATCGCACTGCTGGTATGTACAGGGATATATACAGACCGACCAAGTTCAACAGCCCAATGTTTATTCCACCATGAGATACTCATCCGAGGATGAATACCTGTTGTTGTCGATGATGATGTTGTTGTTGTTGTTGTTGTTGCTGATTTATGCGGAGAAGCGGGCCATGCGGCGAGCGGTGGCAGCGCCGGCGGGGGCGGGAGCAGTAGCGTTTCCGCCGGTCATCTGGACGGGGACGCAGCCGCCAAAGGGGCCAGCGTTGCTGGGGTTGACCAGCTTGACGATGCAGGTGTTGGCCTGGCCGGCGATGGTTCCCGTGCAGGAGGTGCCAGCGGGCATGTTGACCTTGAAGGGGTAGTCCTCGTTGATGTTGGTGGCACGCTTCATGATGCCGACAGCCTGGAGGGCGCGGGCCCAGAAGCGCTTCTCGGTCTTCTTGATGTTGCCGTTGGTGCCGGGGACCTGAGTCTCGACCTCCATCTCCGTCCAGGTTGTGCCAGTGCCATCAGCGTTGACCATGGCCTTGTAGGGGCCGGCACCGTCCGAGGTGACAATGTGGAGAGTGCCAGAGACGGAGCCGCCGGGGCTGACCTGAGGAAGAGTAGAGCCAGAGAGGGCCATGGCAGACTGGGTGCCGGCCTCGATGTCGTTGGTTCCTTGCTGCAAGCGGCTGTCAGTGATGCATTTCTCGGTGAAACCACTACAAACTTGGGATCATATGGTGCTACTCACGCCCTCGGTCTTGCCGCAGGCATCCGCTGCGTCACCCTTGAACACAGTGGTGTCGGGCTCAGTGACCTTGTTCTTGCCGGCGCCGGGAATGACACCGCCCTGGATACCGAGGGCAGTTCCGTTGCCGCCAGCATCGCCAGTAGCGACGGCGATCTTGCCGTGAGCGGCAACGAGAGGAGAAGCTGCGAGAGCGAGGATGAAGAGCTTGGAGAACATTTTGAATGTTGTTGGGGGGGGTGGAGAAGTGGTGGTGGTGGTGGTGAGGAGTAGTAGTGAGATGGGAAAGAATTAAGAATAATGGTCAGGTCACGAGTCAATCGCGAGCTGTTCTGCGAACCAGGCAGGAAAGTAGAAAAGGAGATTGGAAAGAGACTGGAAACTGATGCTGCTGCTGTTGATGATGATGGAAAGAGAAAATAGTCCACTGAGGGAGGAAAGACTGACTGTTTTATAGATGTCCAACGTACGTGTCTTTCCTTGCTGGATCGTGAGCGCATGGGTTCATCCTTCGTAGGACGAAACCATATTCGGTGCGTAACAGCCCAGAAGCACGGTCGTCACAGCGCAGCCCAGATGTCAATACGACTCGACCGGTGATGTCTTTTGGTCCAGACAAGTTTGAGGCCGCTGGAACGTCTCGCAGAGTCGACTTAGTGATCAGACGGGCTTGGCAACAAAGGTCCATTTGGGAAGAAGCGCCACGTTGAGGTCAAAGCCTGTCATTTGACCTGACAGCTGCCCAGTGATGTGCGACGGAGCACAGCCTGGTAGGATTAATTGCAAGGCTGGCATAGTATTGAGGCAGGTCGTCCGAGGCAGTGCAGTGTATTACAAAATGGGATGTCACACTATGACTTCGTCCGTTCTCGCCCCTCGCTGTGAATTTCCGCTATGGGCACCGCGATTGGGCCAGGGGTACACGTGCATGTTTCGGCAGATCCGAGCGTTTCCTCACCACGCTGCTGCGCGATTCGCTCGTCAATACTAAAATCCTGGATCTAATGTTTTAAGCTTTGCACGATGCTTAACTCTAAGCGGTTTCGAAAATCTTCGGGCGAAACTTCCGGACTCCATAGACAGGTTGCCACCTCACTCTCCCGACTGGTTCATCGGACTGCTCCACCAGCACCGACCACATCTGCCGGGTCCGATTCCTCTCACGTTCGGAGGGGGAAAAAAGTAAAGAAAATAAGAAAAGGAATTTCTTTTGAGGTTCACCAAGTCATAAAGCGTTGGGGGACTTGACTCTAAGGGGGGCGCCTTCGAGGCATTCTCATTTGGTCATTTTGCGCACATTTTAACACCTGAGCAGTAAGCTAGCATATGGAAAACTTAAGAATTGAGCAAAGAGTTCAAATAGATTAAATTAAAGAATATGAAAGCAAATAAACACTTTAAGAAATCTAAACTATGGATAAAGCTCTTCATTACAAAATAAAATAATCTATACTGTTGCCCAAGGGCCAAACTCTAACTCTTCAATGTTCTTTCACGAAAAATAAGCTTAATGCTTTAAGTTGCAGATGTTTAGTCCCTAACTCGTTAGGTTTCTAACCGATAAAAAATGTTTTTAACTCCGCTCTCCTCCAGTATTTCTTCTCCCGTTTTCTTAGTATTGAAAGCATCAAGGAAGCTTTTAATTTGCTTCCAAATCTTATCCTCGACTCTCCCGTCGACTTGGATGTACAAAGACATAGCGTATCGAGTGTTCTCTCCTGCACCCAAGCGCAACCAGTTTCTCTACCAAGTCATCCCACAGCTCGTTCATAGCCGGATGTTGCGCACAGCTCACAATCTAACTTGTTCAAATTCAGTGCACTGCTTGGTTGACTACACTATTCAGACCAACTGAATTAATCTGAACCAACCAGATGTGGAAACTGGCCTTCATTTCATCTAGATAAACTATCGCCGGTGGAATTCCGCTTTTCGGTCGCGGAGTGGCGGATCAGCAGCGACTTTTCCCCCTCACAAGTGGCCGGGGAACTTCAAGTTCAAGCCGCAAGCACCAGAGCCCAATATTCAGCCAAAGTCAGAGTCTAATTCTTCAAAACCCACCGTCTTCCGTTTTGACGATATCATCAACCCTCTGTCATCGCAAGTTGCGCGCGGGTCTCAGCCCGTTCCTCCCGGCGACGAGATATACCAGGTGCTAGAAAAGCTCTCCACCTGTGTGCCAGGGGAAACTTGGCTGTCCGATGAGTTCGAGGACGGTCAAGTTGCGGCCTCTGGGGATCTTGGCTGCCCGGAGCAGGGTCTCACTCACGGCAGTGGCGGGAAGTCGAAGTTATTCTTCGGGCGATCCTTGGAGAATCCGAGACCCTGACTAGGTTTTGGTATAGGGAGGAAAAGTAGAGGTGCGGGCGGGAGGGGGCAGGTTGTAGAGAAGTTGTTTGAATTTTTTTTTTTTTTTTTTTTTTTTGCCAAGGAAGGAAATGGTATAGTGATCAGTTGGAGAAGTCTTTATATATAGTAGCAGCGAGGGTGCACAGGCCATCTGCGCACAAGACTGGCCCTCGCACAATTCGTCGCAGTAAGCAAAAAATGGTATTTGCAACACTTTGTCAGGCGGCTGGCCGGATTCATCAGATCGGGCTAGGTTTCCTCCAATATCAGATCCGTGTCAGGGTTTCTTAACATCCTTGACTGTGATGGAGATCGAATCGATCATAATAAGGTCTTTTTGATGATCTCGACCTATGGAGGCGTGCATCGAAAGGCGGCAGGCGCTGGCTCAGCTTTGGCAGTTGGGCTCTCGCCTCGCCTAGTTTCAGAGACTGTCTAATGTCGCCAATGCGCTCTGCATGCTCTGTGCGTTGAGGAAACGTGTTAAGCACCAATAGTCAAGATGATGATGATCAAGCTCGTTGTCCTGGATCCATAAAATTTGTCGCGTGCTCAATACCCGCCACAATATGCCTGATGCTGTCTTGTACTGGTGCAAAGATCAGGGTTTCAACAGCATAGCCTTGATTCGAATGAGGTTCTCATCGGTAATCTACCTACTTGCGTTCTTAAGTAGGTACTACACAATGTGCTTGACAGTGCGGATCGTAACGACCTTATAATTCGGACAGGTTGGCAGCCCCGTTCCCAAAACTTGCATATAGCACGGAATGGCCGAAGGCGCGGCTCTCGACCTCGAAAAGTTTGTGCCCCTTGAATTAGCCCGCTAGAGCCGTGGTCCACATCGCCGCCGATATTATGACGAGCCTCAACTCGCGTCGACACTTGATAGCACGTCGGAAAAGGCTCATCGAAAACATCAACCGATCGACTCTTTACGCTTATACAAATCGTCAATACTATAGCCATACTTTTCCAACTTCGATTTGATGGCTATCCCTACAAGAGATAGGAACATATATCCGACCTTCTCTCCCAATATTACGTGCGTGGCTTTGCCTACCTGTACCGCAAGTCAACAGACAATGTAGAGCTGCAAGAGCGTCCGGACATTTCGGGCGGCTACCTACGAAGTATCCAATCTCTTCTTCCACATTATATAACCTACTCCCCTGTAAATTAAGTAAGCAGTGAACCAGAACTAGGGCGCTGTCGCCCTCGAAAGAAAAAAGAAGGGACGAACAGCCGCCGAAGCAATGGGCAAGGGCTCGTGCAACCCAAGCGTGCCTGTACAGATGAGGACAGCAAACTAAGGCCACACGGGCACAAGAACAGGGTGAAAAACCTGTCTTAGACCTGTCCAAAGGATTCAAAATTGAAAAGAAGAGAAAAGGATGCTTGATTGTTGCCTATAGCTAAAGAATTTGAAAAGTGGGTGGTATCCTTTATATGTGTGAGGACCCTTGACCCACTGTACTCCATGTCCTACGGACTGCCACCCTGGCCACCACGACAGCAGATATTATAACAATGCTATAGAATATAGTAGTGGAATTCGTATATTTTATTTGGAAAGCAATATATACTAAATTAGTATTAATGGAAATAGAGAATTGTTTCCAATAGTGCTTACAATGCAATTACATTAGCATAATCCCGACTTTCGGAGATAAAATTATAGACTTACTCATTTTTCAACCTTTGACATTAGTATATAATTAATTCAGTTTCCGTAAACATATACAAAACCGTCGTGGCACAATTGGTTTAGCGCGCTCGGCTTTTATCGTATAAATACGTATTTAAACCGAGAGGTTCGGGGTTCGAGCCCCCGCGATGGTGTTTTTTTTATATTCAAGTCTTATGATTGTATATTGTTTGTTTTTGAATTTTCCCCTCTAATTTTGTAGTAGTATCTCTAGGTATTTTACCGTTTTTCTTGTTTTCTCTATTCATGTTTTATTCTGCGTAAAGGTTTCTCCTTTTGTATAACTAGTATATCTCATTTCAATAGTAGCGCAGAAGCGAAACTTGATCCAAGGTCTACCAGTAAAAGTACCACCTTATAAAAAGCCACTGGCGACTTGATATACAGTAACAGAGAAATATACACGTTTCGCGAGATTATCGTTTCAGAACAGTAATAACGTCAGCAGCAGAGGGTGACAGCAAGTAAAAGTGGAGGTCATTTAAAATCGACTAGAGAAAGCCTCAGTTACAAACTGATTAAAACCCTAGGTTACTAAGCAGTCAAAATACCAGCAGCCACATAACTATTAAGCTAATAATTTATTGATATAGTTTAGAAGCTATCTCAATCTATGTAATGAACTCAGAGGAGAAGCTTGTATTATATTGTAGGCCTAATTATCTCCGAACACCTCCCCACAGAAGCCATGGCCGAGCAGGCCCATGTCCATAACCTACTGTCATTCAACATTTGGTACCACATCGGGAGTCGCAAATAGCTGTGGAGGACTGTAGACTTGGGACGCATCGTGGCAATGAGAAGCCGTATTAATCTATATATCTTGGGTTGAGGCTAATCAATGGGCGTGTACCGTCCTGGTCGCTTATCGTGGCTAGCTTGACGAACGTGGGCCACACAAAAGTGAGTGTGCGTGACCTGTGGACAAGCACGCCTGACAAAGATTGAGTGGCTCGTCGAACAGCTGGCGAACATCATGAAATTGTCATCATGATGGCGTTAGACGTCAGGGTGGGTTGCCAGGTTGTAGAACAGGCAGGAGAGGGTTGCGATGACCATGAGCTCCTGCGCCAACCTGGGCGTGCCCAGCCTGCACCTACCCTACCCCTAGGGATCATTGTAATGCTGGAGCATCGACTTGTGCCTGCGTTGCATTTTGTCAGCTCCTGGTCATAGGCGAGTCCCAGTGAGTCACTGACCCCACTAGCGTGGCCAGAAGCACCCCCAAATAGCCTCAGCCAACTGGTTGGTTTTACTTATCCTCTGTAGCACAACCCAATCTACTGCTATTCCAAAGTCCCTTCCTCGGGATGAACGACTCTATGGACTCGCAGGTGGACATGATGGTGGCCATCTCTCTGTTCTGGTCCCCTAACCCCTTCGTAGGGTTTTTGTGCTTATCAACAGGTTCGGCGTAAACTCCCTGCCCGTGGTGTTGTTGATGATGCTGTCAGGCATGCGAGGATGAGCCAGGTCGGAGATTCGAGTGCGACCGTGCAGGGCCGAAAACTCGGCGTGCGGAAAGATGCAGCACTATGTCCTCGATTGCCGGCGTTCGCTAGTATTAGTCCTCAGGGCATACCGACTCTGACGCGTCGCACGTTCCTGGATAGCTGATAGTCGTATGACCACAGCCGGCCTGAGCCTTTGATACTCGAGTATAATCTCTTTTTGCTTTTTTGCCCAGGTCTCAGCTAGCCGTTGCTATCCTTCGATTTCGTCACTGGGTAATTTAGGTAGTAGTAGCACACGTATACACAACTGTAGATAGCTTCAGCTTAGCTCAGTGCGCCTTATACCTTGTAGGAATGCCCTTCATTGGACAGGACTTTGGTCTCTGCGAGATCGCCGCTACCCGGATGCGGGCAGGAGGACTACCAAAGAAACATACATCTGGATCATGCCGCCGTGTGTAGAGCAGGGAGGCCAGGTTGAGCCACTGCTGGTGAGTATGGATGACGTGCACGCCCTCTGGGTATGTCTTCATTGAGCTGCTGGTGATGACGTGAAACTCGAGCAGGCCCTCTAATGTTGAATGCGCGTATAAATCCGTTGAGGCTCTGGACATCGAGCTCGGGCTTGGTGATCCACATGCTTAGGGAGAAGACATGGTCTGCGTCGAGGTGTCCGGCAGCATGTTGCTCCAGAAGATCCTTGGCGGTGAGGTAGATCGTGGCCATGCCAGAGATTGTTTTGCCGACACCCATGTCGGCGCTGTTGATGTAGCAACGGACTGGACCATATTTACAATACTTGTAACAGTTGAAGGCATCTATGCGTAGGGTTATTAGCAGGGGAGATTGATTTGGTTGCCAATAATAGAGAGAGAAGAAAAAAAAAGGGGGGGGGGGGTGGGAGGTTGGATGTGTAGGTATAAACATGCTCGGCTTGAGCTAATTCCTCCCTTGAAAGTTTTTCCCAGAAAGAAAAACATCCTCTTCCAACATGAACTCCATTTCCAAGAAAAGATCCGCATCCGGGGCGAATGAGCCGCACGTATTTGGCATCAAGAAGGCCAAGCATGCATTGTTGGGTTCTGAATATGATGACACCGGGATGAGCGTTCCACAATCCGGCTATGAACGAGCTGTGGGACGACTTCCAAGGTTGGCTGAGAAATTGGATGTGCTCGCGTACGGGAGAGAGCACCTAGCTGAATTTTCGGGAGCTATCGACGTACGTATTCTCGTCCCAATCTTGAGCTCTTCATAATTTCTTATAGTAGGCTATCTTGCTTCTTCTATAGTACTACTTTAGGTTCGTAAAGCTCAAGGTCGATAATTATAGCACCATCATCTAATATACCCGATGAAAGTCCAACAAGATCCGTAGGCCTGTCGTTTACCGTCTCTAAAAGTGAAGACCTGGGAAGTAGACCATCCGCAGCACGCACCAGAGAATCCCAGAACAAGTAAAGCAGAGAATATTTGGTAATCTGCCAGTCCCTCCAACAAAAAAGATTGGCAATGAGTCCATGCCTGCGAGCTGGTTGTGGGGAATAAGTATTCCTCGCTTCTTCCCAAGTCTCTTGACCACGGGACTCTTCCCTGGCCCTGGTAAGTCCCGCGGTGTTCACTGTCTGAAGGGGTGTGTCTCCCCTCTCTGGTGGCCCAACCACTCATGGTGGGCTGTGATTGAGCTTCTCTTTACGTAGTCGGTCCATTGTAGATGGAACCGCCATGCCCTCTACTCCCCCACTTTGGCGCCAGCAGCGTGCTTCTCCTTGGCGAGCCCGCCGAGCTTATCCACCGCGGCCTTTAGGCTCCTCACGTCCGCGCCGCGTATAAGCGGCTGGCCGTTCACACCAACCTGCTTCCCGTTCTTGAAGAACATGAAAGTGGGCATGGCCGAGACCCCGTACTGCGCGGCCGTCTGCCTGTTGTGGTCGACGTTGACCTTGGCGAAGGCGAGGTAGCCAGGGACAGAGGATGCCTTTGCGAACTGCTCGTAAAGCGGCGCGATCTGCTTGCACGGACCGCACCAGTCGGCGTAGAAGTCGGCGACGACGTACATGGTCGTGTCGAGGAGGGATTGGAAGTCGGAGTGGGATGCGACGTGTTGGACGGCCATGGCTGCGACTCGGAGGAGGGTAGGGGAACGGTTGTTTGAGGTTGCGTCTGGGATGCGCTGAAGGGTTTGCTTCTGGAGGAGGGTGTGTCGCTCTTGTTTGATACGTGGGCCAGCGATGATCTTGTGGTGTGGTGATATGCAGGTGAATAGTCTCTCTTTGCAGATTGCACAAATGCTGGTGTTTGGTGTCTCTATTCAAAGTTCAAGGTGGGCTTCTTAGATCTTATCATCAACAACCCTGGCCCCGCCTGGCACATGAGGGACCATTTGTCATGCGGGGTCTGGCAACCCCTGCAACCAATGCAAACCAGGGGTTTCTCGAAGCTGCCATCAGCATTACTAGGATGCTGACCAAAATCCCCCGCCAAACCAAACCGCCAAATGCTCGACATAATCAGTCTTGTCTGGCCCCAAATCGTGATATTTTGAGCTATACACATTTTACAAAGTATCGCTGGTTCGAGATATGGGCTGTCTGACCGTGATCGGAGTCCAGCTGGACCAAACGGTAGATCACTCAGCAATGTCTCAGGCCCCATAAACATCTCAACCTGCTCCTCTGATCTCAATATGCACAAAAGCTTCAAGCCCGGTCTTTACCTGCATAAATCCGACGAATGTGTTCCCACGCCTCCAGGTGGCAGGCAGCCTGGGGAATCCAATGCAGCTAGCGTTTATGTCCGCGTCTTTCCTCCGCGGCTGTCGAGAAGTATGAGCGTCAATGGCTGGTGAGCAACATCGACATTCGACTCTGCTGGACCGTCATATTTGGTCATAAGTATAAATGGATCAGTTCGACTTGTTCTCTTGAGCGCTGACTTACACACGAAACCAAGCTTTATAACTCTTTCCTCTCCGCTGACTTCTTGCTCCTTCATACATCTCGCGCAATAGCAGCAAGCACTACCACAATCAACTCGTCTGATCATGTCTGGAAGATACGCCGAGGTTCACAGGCCCGAAGTCCGCGCCGGCCCAGGCGACGCTCGACCAACTGGCCTACAGATTCTGCAAGATGAGAACCGATTCGACGGGTCTCTCAATGACAAAGTCGTGGTCGTCACGGGCTGCTCCGCAGGCCTTGGCATCCCAACGGTCGAAGCTCTTGTGGCAGCTGGTGCAACTGTCTACGGCGGGGCCAGAGCAGCCAGCATGCACCGTGCTAAGGAGGCACTGGCTTCCATCCTGAACGACCCTGAGACGCGAGACAGACTTCATCTGCTAGACGTCGACCTCACGAGTCTTGCAAGCGTTAAAACGTTCGCAGAGGAGATCAAGAGGCGGGAGCAAAAGGTCAACATCCTGATCAACAACGCTGGGGTGATGGCCGTCCCCACTCGCGAGGTCACCCAGGACGGATTCGAGTTGCAGCTCGGCACGAACCATCTTGCCCACTTCTACCTCTTTCAGTGCCTCAAGAGTCTCCTGTTGGCTGGTGCCGAGGGCTCTCCTGACTTCGCCAGCCGGGTCGTGAATGTCAGCAGCTCAGGCCACAGGGCCAGCACTGTCCGGTTCGACGACATCAACCTCGAAGGCGATGGGAGTTATAACCCCTACGTCGCCTATGGCAACTCCAAGACGGCTAACATCTGGATGGCTAACCATATCGAGCGGCTTTATGCCGGCAAGGGTGTACACGGCTACAGCCTCATGCCCGGTGGGATTTTTACGGGCTTGCAAAAGCACGTGCAGGAGCAGATGGAGGCGGCGAAGCAGGACAGGGCCTCCATGAACTTCACCAAATCTCCTGACCAGGGATGCGCCACGACCATCTGGGCAGCCACGGCCAGGGAGCTCGAGGGGAAGGGTGGTGTGTATTGTGAGGACTGCGCGGTCGCCGGCCCAGTGCCAGTGGACCCTCCCAACCCAGCTCTGGCTCTTGGATACGCGGGGTGGGCATTTGACCAGGAGGGCGAGGAGAGACTGTGGAAGGTCAGCCTGGAAATGGTCGGCCTGAAAGAGGACGAGTAGGAGTGGGCACGTGGCTTAAAGTTGAGGCTCGCAGCAACAGCTAGTCTGCTGGTGGGGCTCTTATGTCTCTGGTCTCATCTCGGATGTTTGGAAAATCTGGGCATGTGTCGTAAGTTTATCCAATTAACTCTCATGAGGCGCAGGATCTTCGAACAGCCCTGCGTATGGTTGATAGGAGGAGAAATGCTCCCAAGTTTTCGATTTCAATCAACGGAGGAGAACCTCCACAAGTTTCGTCTCGCGCTTGAGGAGGACACATCTCTGAAGAAACAATCTCTTTCTTTGGTTTTTGGTGAATGATCTCCTGAAGATCTTCCTGAAAAGCTTTTTTTGTTTTCTTTCTTCAGATGACGTCTTTGCCAGAATCTGAAGACCGCGGTGGAACTCTTTGACTCAAAGGGACAAGACTTGCTGCAAAAGACTGCGGCCGTTGACCGAACATTTCAGCGGCAAGACGTCATGGGCCTTTATCAAGAGCGCTATTTCGGCGGACTGCCGAGACCCAGCGCATCGCGGCCCCGGGTGGATCGGATCCTCGCAGAGCCGCATTTCCCGCGGCGACCCAAATAGAGACTGAACGTATGGAATTCGCCCCGAATGCCACGTACACTTCACCCTCTCATGCATCTCTCTCCTTTCCCACCGTCCTCTCCCTTCTATGAGCCTGCTGATTAGGGCCGATTGGGCATAGTCTAGCTCGGTCGGCCTGGCCCGATATACCTCCGCCAGAGGCTCAAACGTGCGCTGTGCTTCAGTATGGCAGAGGCTCAAAAGGGGACAAGAGGCGTTTGTATGAGGAGATGGTTACCTGCCTCGTCACGTTAGGTGCATGCCAAGGCGTTGGATATCGTATCTGCAGAGAGGAGAGAGAGGTGCACGAGCAAAGTTGGGTGGAAAGATGATAACCCATGGTCAGAAAGGTTTGGCATTCCGGGTAACGTTCCGCCTCGCCCGAAAAATAATAACAAGAAAAATCATCTCATTCACTGACTCGAAATTTTAGATCAGGTTTTCTACTGACCAAATCTCCCTGCCAATTGACAGATTATGACGTTCTTCCAGATACTTTGATGTGGAAAAACCAAAAATTCTCTCTTATGGACCCAGACCGAGGAAATTCTTCGGCCTATTGTGGAATTTGCTCACGGGCCTGATGGGCTGAGGAGAGATTCCCGTCGCGTCGCGATGCAACGTGAATCCATAGTTCCCAAATACGATCGGACCTGGAGACACAGGAGAAGGCGAGATGTAAACCGGGGACATCACGTAATGTTTCCTTTTGCCCCTCCGTGGACGTGGTAAATCGTGTAAATATGGAGTACACGCCGTCCTGTAGTCTCTCCGGGTTTTCTTGTCCCTCTCCTCTGGTCACTTTTGTGTGTTACCTACCCACCCTTTCTTTCCATCCCTCTCCTTTCTGCTTCTGCTGCTTAATGTAGAAGCGTGTCGCACCGTCATGACATCCTACTTCCCTTCCTTTTCAGCGCCTCCGTCCAGACCGGGTTCTCTGGCCGCGTCAAGACCCAACTCCTATTATGCACCATCCTACCGCGGCACTGCGTCGAGACCAGGCAGCCCGGGGCTGTCCAGCCCCTACACATCTCGCCCTGGTACTTCGAGGGGACCTTCTCGTCGGGCTTCACTGTCGAGACCTAGCAGTGCCATAATTGATGAGACGGACGAGACGACGCCCGATATCCTTTCTATTGCGGGCCACGAGAATGAAGTCAAGCGGGACGAAAAGGGGTTCCCGCTCCTGGGCCGCATTGTAGGAGGAAAGTTTGTGGATCTACAAAACGAGTCTATAGATCCCAACTGTGGTCCAATCACAACAGTCGACATCGATATGCCGCTGACCCTGACCGAGGCCGTCACTCACAACGACAAGGAATACCTCGTGCTCAACTTCGCGACCGGGGACAAGGAGAACCCCTACGAGTGGAGCAAGTGGAAGAAGACGATGGTGTCGACGATGCTCAACCTCATGACGCTCTTCATCGGCCTCGCGACGACGGCGTACAGCTCCGGCATCTCGAGCATGGTGGAGGACCTGCACGCGACCTCGGAGCAGGGCCAGCTCGGCCTCTTCACCTTCAACATCGCCTGCGCCATCGCGCCCATGGTCCTGGCCCCCTTCTGCGAGCTGGTCGGGCGCAAGGTCATCTACGCAGGGGCCTTTTTTTGCTTCAGTATCCTGTTCATCGGCCTCGCGCTGGCCCGCGACATCGGCACCGTGATCGGCCTGCGGCTGCTCTTGGGCCTCTTTGGCTGCGTGGGCACGATCCTGGTGGGCGGCACCTTTGACGACATGTACGTGCCCCACGAGCGGTCCCGCCCCATGGCCATGTTCTCGTGGGTCGCCATCTTCGGCACCGTCGCCGCGCCCATCTACGCCGGCTTCATCGACCAGTCCATCGGCTGGCGGTGGATCGAGGGCATCCAGGGCCTGGCCAACGTGCCGCTCCTGGTCTGCATCTTTGTGTTCTTCCCCGAGACGCGCGGCGGCGTCGCCCTGCACAGGCGGGCGGCGGCGCTGCGCAAGGCGACAGGGGACGAGCGCTTCGTGGCCGAGGGCGACATCTACACGCCCGACATCAAGAGCATGCTCCGCGCCTCGTCCGTCAAGGCCATCCACATGCTCGCCACCGAGCCCGTCGTGCTGGCCTTTGGCCTGTGGATCGCCTTTTGCTGGGGCGTGACTTTTCTGTTCCTGTCTGTCATCTCCATTACTTTTGCCGACAAGCGCGGCTGGTCGACGGGCATGGCCGGCCTGCCTTATATCGCGCTGGCCCTGGGCACCACGCTGGCCTGGCTCGCCCACCACCTGCAGATGCGCAAGTACGATCGCCTTATTGCCGATCCCAATGCCAAGGTCACGCCAGAGGCCCGTCTCTACGGCGCCATGTTCGGGGCCATCTGGCTGCCCATCGGCCTGTTCATCTACAGCTTCACGCAGTACGCTTTTCTCATCTGGGTGGGGCCGTGTGTCGGCCTGGTCCTGATCGCGTTTGGCATCTACTTTGTGTTTGAGAGCACCTATAGCTACACGGCCGACTGCTACGGTGAGAGCGCCAGCAGCGCCATTGCCGGCCAGGGGTTGATGAGGAACACTCTGGGTGCAGTGACGCCTCTGTTTGCGACGCAGTTCTTTGTGAATGTTGGGTAAGTTATTTTTTTGATGATATTTTGATTACATTACGTTATTTTCCTTCATCCCTCCCCCTCCTGTTCGTCCATGTGAAGAGGAGGCTATTTTATGCTGACTTTGTTTCTGCTTTGTCCAGGTCCCAATATGCAGGTCTGATCCTCGCGTTGTTCGGAACGGCGTTGAGTCTGATCCCGTTTGTCTTTATGAAGTGGGGACCAAAGTTGAGAGCGAGGAGCAAGCTTGCCAAGGTGTACGATTAAAAGCCGGAGTAGGAAAGAGGAGGAGCTTTCTGGATCTGGGTCGACGCGCCCTCAAGTACATAACGTGCCATATATGGGCACGGGCATCTCCGTTCCTCCTCTCGCCTTCGAGGTTGTCTTTCTTATCCAAGCAGGTGAATAAGCCTCTCTCAGTCTTGAACCACCGCAATCTCCGATTCTCGTGCTGCTCGCTTCCCCAGACTGGTTTTCTGGTCTGTTGCCGGTGTCGTGTCCACATGACCCACATGTTCTATCCTTTGCGGATCGGCCATGGTCCCCGTGTGTGTGTGTGTGTATGTGTGTGTATGTGTGTGTTTGTGGCGTGTGCAAGGTGATTTGGAGCCTTCATCCTTCATCTTCGTATCGCTGCCGCGGCATTCCCCTCTGGCGTCTGTGATGTCGTCGACTCTACCTGCCGTATAGAAACAGATACTTCCGCTGCTGACCCTCCACCCCATCCCAGCTCGAAGGTGGTGCTCGTGCGCCTCGTGAGCGATGTTGCGCTGAAACTGTATCGTTTTTTAACGTCCATTCATCATCTCAAGATCCCTCATCTTTGAGCGGCTCCGCTTCAAGGCCAATTATCTCATCCGTCAAGTCATCCATCATCACGCGAAATGCACAGCCGCCACGGGTTTCGATCCGGCCTCCGATGCCAGGTCGGGATGTGGCATGGCCCTGGTCGGGATGCCCGCCCAGGATGTCCTCATCGGAGAAAACGTCATCTCTAGAGAGCGGTGTTGTTTTGTCAGCCAACAAAAGGGTCCGAAGCATGGCAGATGAGAAGACCTCTCATACGGGCGGGCAGCAAAGCCATTGTTTGTTTGTTTTCATTTTACGAACCAGGAAGTTCAGTGTTGGGCCGCCTGGCCCGGGGATGATGTATGGGCAGCTCATCATTGGGTTCTGGCTCTGGAGGTTTCGAGATCAGCGTATTTTCTCGACGTTACAAAAGATTGTGGATCCATTTTGTGGCCATGTTGAGCTGTGGGATGAAGAACCTACTCTTCATGGAACGAAATAAAGACGTCAGCCTGTAGGGCAGTCGTATGGGTTCCTGTGGGAAGAAGGCAAGTGTTAACCCGTGAAGTCATTGACTTGAGGTCTGAGACAGAGAGAAGAGAGAAGAAAACAAATAAATCACACAAGTTCTCGTGGGTTTGACAAACCTCTCGATTTTTAATTTGTTTGTATAGCCAATATATAAACGCAGTGCCAATGAGAATCGCGAAAACCACGGCGAAGGGAATACCAGGATGGCACTTCCATTGACTCGAGTGGCATACCGGCATGGGACCCCGCCTCGCAACCTCTCGTGCGGCCCCGCGCAGCGACCCTGGGAGCTTCATAGCTGTTGCTGCTGATTACGGAATGTAAATGAATGTCACTGCAGCAGAGAGATCCCGTTGATGTGCTCTCTGTGGAAAAAGCCCCAAGTGAAAGTCGATCGACAACAACCAAGATCGTATGCGTTAAAAGGGTGTACAGACATTGAACAGGTTGTTTTCTTGTTTTTTTTGTTGTTTTTTTGGTTGGAAAGATTCCTTCGGTGCCTTTGTTCGGATGGGGGGGCTCGGGCGAGGGATAAGAAAATGGGACCATGTCCTCTCTTCGCCTGCGTAAGCTGATGCCGCTCCCACCCTCTTACACACGTTGACAAATGTCACCTGAACGCAAATGCAAGTCTGTTCCTGTGGGAAGAAAAAAAGCGTCACGGAGGAGAGTGCCTTGGACTATTCCCGTTTAAGGCCGCGCGGATGCAGCGCTGACGGCACGAGATTCCCTCCCTTGCTCGCCGCCCATAGCAGAGGTGTGGTGCACCCGGAAACTTATTGGCCCGCACCGTTCTTGGACTCTGTGTGGAATGAGAAGGGCTGGGACTAACAGGTCATTCTCGCATTCTCGCATTCTCCTCTGTTGTGGCTGTGGGGACGTTTATAGCAGCACAAGGAAAAAGCCCTTCCGAAGGATCCGAAAACTGCACAGTGAGAGACTGAATGCGTTAGGCAGCTCATTGTTGGTGGCTGGTTGGCTGTGGCACGCTGAGACAAGAGAAAGAGCACGCAGAGATAGAGAGACATTTTGGGGGCCACTCAGCGGGGCTGGAGGAATTGCCCGAACCGTCGAGGACCGATCGATCAATGATATGACTGTTTCCGGCTGGGAAGATATGAAAGCTGCCCTGTAGCAAAACCTCATGTCTCACTGGCTGACTACATGCTCATCTTGATAAATTCTACAGTATGCTCCTGGCACTGCGCTCCAGCTTGCTGAGCTGTGCAGTTCAAAATTTTGGCAGTCTATCAACAATATATTGCCAGCTTTAATATTCCTTACTTCGATGATGAATGTTCATCGCAAGGAATTTGACGAGGCCCCTGCGTAGGTCGGATTATGAAGGATACGGGCTGGATGACTCATTGCCAAGTAATACCTTGCAAAGTAAGCCCTATGAGAGATCCTTCAACCTAGCTTGCGACTGTGATGAAGAACGCGCCCAGGCGAGAATGTCTGACTCCTTTTTATTTGTGTGTAGCTTCATTTCCAAATACGAATGAGCGGTGCTCTTGTTAACGATATGGAGGATCAGGTCTAGCAACCTGACGTCTCTGGCCAGAGAGGGGTGGGGGGGTCTCATCATCATTCTGAGTAGCTGAAAGTCAGTGAGGAAGAAAAAAGAAAGAAAAAGGAAAGGAATCAAGTGGACGTTTGACTGACAAAACACAATTCCAAATATCCACTGCAACGGCCTCGGAAAACTCCTTAATTTGCAACAAAACTCATCACTTTAATCAGTGTCCAATTTTCCCACAAGACAAATGCAAGAATGCTTATACTCAAACATATTCTCTTTCCTCTTGCCATGATTGTGACCTTCCACAGCCAAAGTCGAAGCGAATTGTCAAATACTGAAAACCAGGATTTGTCACCAATATACTGCTGCACAAGGGATTGGGTCAATGCCATATTCAACGTCCTTAATTTAGTTGCACGGGAACCGACTACAGTTCATTTCTAGCTAGATGGAAATGTGTATTGCTGAGAAACTTGAAGGTTACTCCATTCCAGATATGCCTCCTGCACCCTGCGCCAACAAAAAGGAGGACCGAGCAAACGAAAGACGCACAAAACAAAAGAGAATGTGGATATCCGAAGATGTCTGAAAAGAGTCAAAGAAGATGGGTAGAAAATGAAATGAGTGACGAAACGGGAGAAGGAGTTGTCGTGTGTGTTTCTCTCCCTAACCGAAAGACAAACCCCATCTTTTCCATAGGGTGCGTGTACCGTGTTAACAACTTCCGAGGCCATGACGAAGACACCATGGACTGTTTAAGCACCATCAGACTTCCTCACGCTGGTTGTGAGCGTGAGATACTCATGCACAGTCTTGACGCCCCCATCGCCATTCGAGTCGCCCTGTCCATCCCGGCCCATGAGCGTGGCCTTGTCCGTGATCTGAGGGTCTTTCACGTCAACAGGAGTCTTGTTGATACCCGAAAACACATCGAGGGGCGTCAGGCTCTTCGGGCTGCCCTTACGGCTGGGCTTGAGGCGATGAGATGTGCCGTTGCCACCCTGGGTTCCATGAACTGTGCCGTTGCTGCTGCTGCTGCTGCCTCCGTGGATCGTGTGGTTGCCCTTCTTCGCTGCATGGAACCTTCCCGGAGCGAAAGTTGGCAGAGGCGTGTCGACCACGATAGGATCTACAGCCTTCACGTCGGACTCGTCTGCCTCTCGCTTTTGTTGCTTGGGAATAAACTTCAGCGGCACCTCAGCCGCGTTGAATCTCTTCTCTCCTCGGCCGCCGCTTCCTTCGTGCTGGGACTGCCCCGTCATGTGCTTCATGCCTCCGTGCTCGCCGCCGTGCGCACCTCCTGTGGGAGCCGCTTGTTCAGGACCGCCTGCCACGATGCCTGCTACGATGCCTGCTGCTGTGGGAATGTGGGGATGACGCCTCTGGTTCATTCCCTCTTGCATATGGCCGTGCGTCTCCCCATGCTGGCCTCCCTGCATGTTGCCTTGCATGCCTCCTCCGTGCCTCATGCCTCCAGAAGGAGCAGCGCCAACAAAAGCAGCACCGCCTGGCATCTCTCCTGTGCTAAAGCGGCGGTGCTGCTGCTGCATCTTCTCCACGGGCATCTCTCCACTACCACCGCCCGTCTTCCCCTCGTGCTTGCCGCCATTATGCTTCCCGCCGTGATGCTTTCCACCACGCATGGCTCCTCCGGTGGCAGCAGCTTGATGTTGCCCACCACCCGTCACCATGGCCTCTCCCACAGCCATTCGCCCCTCTTCACGGCCCTTGGTGTGGTGGTGATGCTTGCCCTTCTTGCTCTCATGGTCGTGCTCGGCCCGGTCCTGCAGCATTGGGGCGTCAGTCGCCTTCGCAGAACCCGGGTGGGCCATCATCGGAGGACCCTGGCTGACGGGGACGCCGACGCCGCTCATGGCGTGACCAGCACCACCACCTCCTCCAAAGAAATGGCCTTTGCCCGCTGCGTGCTCCCCTCGGCTTGCTGCCGCGTGTTGTTTTCCTCCCATCTCAAAGTGTTGTCCTCCGCCAATGTGGCCGTGGAACGACCCGCCGCCCTGCTGGGTGGGCCTGGCCAGACGAGCCTCCAGGTTGATCGAGGTCTCCGGGAAAAGAGTCTCAAGAGAGGTCACTGTCACGGGGCGGCCATCGTGAGTGACGGTCAGGATCCTTGTGGCTGTGATGACTGCATTCTGAGCCTGCTGAGGCTGCAGAGCCGAGGCGACTGAGGATCCGAAGATCGCAGCGGCGAGATATGTGTACTTCATTTTGAGGGAAAAGAAGAAAGAAACAACAAAAAGAGAAAACAGCGAACAGAAGAACAGGAATCACAAAAAAAAAAAAAAAAAAAAAAAAGGTATTTGCAGAACGAGGCAGGAAGATAATAAAAAATAAAAAATACAAGCCCTAAAGGTGACCGGCAGCCTTGTTAGGGTAAAGTTGGCTGGAAGAAGGGAACGAAGAAAGCAAAAACAGAAAACAATGAAGCGATCAACGCTGAACAGGAGCAATGCACAATCTGTTTGGAGGTGTGATGAACTTCATTGTTGGTCTGACAGGTGAGCGACCAGAGAGCGATACTTATGTAGCTTGTCAAAAATCGCGAGAACGGATCATGACTAACTATGGCTGCTGCTGTTGTTGTCGCACTTCACCAGACCGGCGTGGACCGTTCTGGTAGGGCGGCCCGGGGCCGACTGCTCTGTGCGCGGCGAGGCCATGTCTGAGACGATCGGGGATTTGTAAGAAATTCCGTATTTCCCATGCCTTGTTTTCTTTTTGTCGTCTTGTATTCAATTATGTCTTCAACTATGATCCTGTATTGTCTGCAGGTATGCGTGGCCGAAACAGGCCACCTGCATGGCAAGGTCTGTGGATACACGTACAAGTCGGGGAGGAAGGAAGAAAAGGAGAAAAAACAAGTGATGACTGCAGGAACCTTAGCAATAACTGGGAACATTACAGTGCCCTGGAGGATAGTGCAGTGTTTTGGAGATTCAGGCAATGTCAGCTTACGGTCCTGGAGACCCGCCGCCCCCTCCAAGGTGATATTGTGCAGACGATTTGTTGTCCGATATTGAGTCTCTGTCTCCCCTGGATCAGTGTTGTGTCTGCCAACGGACAGGATGGGTAGTACGCTACTCTGACCTGCAGCAAGGCCCAAGCCAGTGTTTTGTGGTAGGCCCGCTATCTGGTCCTCAAGGCTTGTTTTTCAGAACGCTCCGTGGAATAGGAGGGCAAGAAAGGCCGCGATTCATTGTGGCCCGGTGTTTGGGCGCGCTGACGACTGGAGACATTGGCGTGGGCCACTGCAAACGGGACCCGTCACAAGGGCGCCACACCAGAGTGATGTCAGCAGAATGACGACAAGCAGGGAATTATTAAGACTCTCTTTTGCTTGAAGAAAACAAGAGATCGTCTGAACTAGAACTGGTCTTGATTTTCAAGCCACAGTTTCGATACATCAGACAAGGCCAATGAAAAGAAAATAGAATTCCACCGCACAGAGTGGTAGGCACGTACAATGGATTGACGGCTCATCCTTCCTACCATAAAACCTGAACAGTAGGATTATCAACTCAGCAACCGGTGTTTCTACCGTGAGAACCTGTAGCTAAGAATAAAAAGTCCGAGAAACACTGCGAGACTCAACTTGGAATAGCAGCGGCACATAGCTTAGAAACAGACTTGACTGGCTTCTTTCCATTATTTTCATGAATGGACAAGTCTCTTAATAATATTGTGTATTGTGATCAACCACTTATGAGCAGTGTACAGTCGAGATGGGCGGCACATACCCAAGCAACTCGCTGCCCACCTGCCTTTTTATATGCTCTGGTGTGCCCAAATCTCCACGATACAAACAGCCAAAACAAGTCTCTAACCTGCAGGCGTCGTGTACGCGAATGAGCTGACCGTCTCCGTCGCAGTGATTGTTGACAACGTAGTGACTACAACCCCCGTTCCGTTAACTGTTGTCAGTGTCGAGAAGGAGTATGCCACCTCTGTTGCCCTGCCGGAGCCCGACGGTCCCAGATCCGAACTCGCCTGCGACGGCAGGATGATCTCGGAGGGCACTGCCTGGGTGCTATTCTTCCCAAAAACAGATCCACTCTCGTCGCCCGCACTGTCGTCGTTGAGGAGGCCGGCACGGTATAGAGAGAGTAAGGAGAAGTGTCCACCAACTACTGGGCGGGCCTTGAATTCGATGTTGTCGGGCACCTCTGGATAAGAACCGTCGGCAATGACTTCGTATAGATCTGAGAATGGATATTCGGTGGAGGTGAAGTTGAGCCAGTAGGCCAGGCCGTTTACGAATAGTCTGCGCGTCTCGGGGGAGCAAGTGGCTGCGGTCCACAGTTCCCAGTCGGATTTGGTGTAGTGATGCTTTTTCGTTTTTCCAGATCAGTACAGATATCGAAACACCATGGCACTACTCGACTTCAAGACTCTCCACACAGATCTTCAGTTAGCTATTGGAAAGACTATGACTTACACGATTGTCAAGCGGCACGCCGAATACCTGGCTCACAGTAGCGTACCAGGCCGACTGCATATCATAGAGACTGCTATCGATGATACCGAGGTCCAACAGCTTGTCGAAGAATACATTGTAGAGCAGCCCCCAGGAGGAACGCCACTCATACGAGAGCATTGTGTGGTTCTCGGATGGGTCGATGGCAAAATACGTCCAGTTCTGGTAGTATTGCGTTGCCGTCGTCGAAAAGTTGGCCACATCCGCCGCCTCGCCTGCAATCCGCGCAATGGCGCTCATAGCCTGGAGGCCCACGATCCCCTTGATGGCCAGGTTGGTCTGGTTCTGGAGGGTACCTGCAAAGTCATCCGTGCTGAGCTGAGCCGACGGGATCAAAGAGAATTGGATCAGATAGAGAGCCCACTGCTTCAAGATGTCGTAATGACTCTTGATCCAGCTTGAGTCGCCCGAGAACTTGTAGTACGCGTAGGACATGAGGATCATGTTGCCAGACTCCTCCACAGGCATATACTCGTCGTTTCCCTCTACATGGCCAGTGGCATTGGGGAAATTACTTCCTAGGTCGTGCATGGAATAGCCATTCGGGTAGAATCCGCCCTCCTGGTTTTGGAAGAGGGCCTCCAGCGTCCATTTGAGCATGTCTGGATTCGCCCACAAGAAGAAGGGCGTTGCTGGGTACACTGTCAGTTGAAAGCGAAGGTCAGCTTTTCTTGACTCGTACAAGGGGTAGGGGAGAAGCAACAATCTCTAACGGACTTCTAGGAATCAATTAACGGCAAAGCAGACCAACTTACGGACGTCGACTGTATTGACATTGCCGTCACTCGAAATCTCTTTCTGGAACATCAGCGGAGTGCTCTCATCCGCGCCGTCCAACGCCTCACTTCCGCATGTCGAGGAGGGAGGAATGGCATAAACGTATGCGCCCATGATCTGTCGCGCAGAGAGTGCAACGATGGAATAATACGCCTCAGGTTCTGAAACGTCTGGAATGGCAACGCCGCTGAAGTTATTGGGGTTCAAGAAACCATAGCCGTCGTTTGGGTCGAAAATGTACTGCTGACCATACTGGTCAACGCCGGCCGTATAACCCTCAGACCCATTTGAATACAATGGGGGCACTTGTGGGGTCTGGTTGCTATAGATGAGAGCGGGATTCTCTTGATAATAGGCAGCAATGTCGTCCTTGAGTTGCGCCTCGAAATCAGCCCCCAGGCGCGAGACGGTGTCGAAGTCGTTCCAATGATACGCAATCAGCGAATACATGTCCTGCCCGTAACACTTGGCCCACCAGGGCAACAGTGGTGTGAGGCCGCCCACGTGGAGATAGCGAATGATGGGTGTCTGGATGGAGCCGATGGTGTATCGCACCTGAGCCGAGGTCACGTTGCCGACGTCGTGGGCAAAGGCAAACACAGGCTCGCGCGTGCCTGAGCCACGGTACTCCGAGTCCACGAGATCATCGAGTACTTTCTTGTTAACGAAGCCATACCGGACATCGGCGGAAAAGCCAGCCTGGAAGCTGAAGTTCTGCACGCCCATCGGACTGGAGCTGTACGAAAAGTTCCCCCACTGAGGAAAATCATATTCCTCGCCAAAGGTGTAGGGCTGCTCGAGCTGGTAGATCCACGAATAGAGCGTGCTGGCCGAGTCTGTCGCATTCCCGGTGCCATTGATGGGTTGCGTGGCTCCGATTCCTGACCTATACAGGTCCCAGATGAGCGTTTGGTTACTCTCATACGATATCCAGGCACCATTGATGTCTGAGTAGAACTGCACATCGTGGGACTGTCCGTCCTGCGAACTGATGCTGGTCGTCAGGTAGGAAAGTGGGATTGAACTCCGGCATATGTCTTTGGGAGTCACCGGGGAGAAGAAACTCGCCAGTATCTCGACAGGCCCCGCATGGAACGTGAAATTCGAGTACTGTGAATCATAGCTCACGCTTCCTGGCTTGGCGATCTGGAATTTTTTTAATTTTGGAAGACTCTGCGATCCCGTTCCTAGATATTCCTATCGAGCAAATCGTGGTCAGCCTTTATGACAGCTCTCATAAATCACAATAAGAGGAAAACGATCTTGAGAAGGGAACGTGGAATTACAAACATATGCTATGCCATCGACCATCACAATGCCCTCCCAACCGAGGGAGTCTCCTGGCCAGAATATTGGGTCTGCACTGTTCAGAGTCGAGTCCCCGGCAGTTGAAGACCATGCAGACGTGTAAGGGCCTCTCACAGCGAGAGGAATAGCTGGTGGTCGGGCTGGTGAATAGGATGGCAGTGGGTTTCCATTACCATCAACAGCCCCAGGATATTCAGTTGCATTGGTCGAAACATTTTGGGCAACCGTGCCAAGGCTCAGCAATGCCAAGATGGTCGTGACGCTCACAGAGATCATCATAGCTGCAGATGCCACGGCAAATTCAGTAGCACAGGAAGACGAGAATATTAGCTAGCAGCTAATCAATCCAAAGAGGAACAGCGACGCGTGTGCTGGCTAAAAATCTCAAGTAGTTACGTGGAATACCAGCCTGACCTTCTTATACATGCATGCTAATTACTACGAAGGGAACACCAAAACCGACGGTGGACAAACGAATAGATGATACCCCGCAACTCAAGCTCTGCAAAGCTCTTTCATCATTGATGATCATTCCGTGTCTTCATTACGCTTGTCCAATAGCCCTCACACATCGCCATGTACGACCTAGGCGAGACACCATAGTAGTATCGCCCAAATTAAGTCTGGGATAGTCATTCGCCAACTTCTCCACCGTCGTGCATCTGAACTCCTCATGCATGCTGCAAGCTTAGATCCTAAACAACAGACGGACGGAACTGGGGCGATGAGGAGCAGAAAGCCGCTCCAGTAACGCAAGGATTTCTGTGGTATTGATAGCGCCGAGACAGCGGAGGCGGGGTATTAGTCTCGTCGATCACTACGGGGGGATTCCGAACCATTTCTATCTTTTGCCTCTAACACTCGACTCCAAGTCTTGGTTCATGTGCCGGGTTCCCACTAGAGCCTGTAGGTAATATACTCTGTGCCCTTTCCCGCGGCGTGACACAGCAGTAGCATACATGCAGCGTTCCCATAATCTCCTTGTTGGTCTGCATAGCGCTGCACCTTGGGCCTGCATTGAACCGGGATCTCACAGCTTCTGCCTGGTCAGACCTGGTAAAATGCTGCATATAACCGTATCCACTGAGACGTGATCCCCCTCTTGACTCTGAAAGAGCCCCCTCACCGCCCCCGATCGGTGGGCGCGAATCTCCAGCTCCATCTTCATCTGACGTACGACGATGATAGCGTCCCCCTCGCTGACAATATCGCCCTCGTCGACCAAGACTTCAATCAGCTGACCAGACACCGGGCATAGCAACACCGAGGAGGCGTCTGCGGGGGTGTTCGACATGTCCCCGCGCTGACTGATCTTCAGACTATGCTGTGCATCTGTCCGCTTAGACATTTTGAGGTTGTAGGTTGCTGTCTTCGGACTGTCGGGATTATTATTCCCTGTAGAGAGGCTTAGGGCCAGAGAATTGGGAAAGTCGTTCCTGGTGATGCTGGAAACCGTGGCGTTGTTGCGGAAAATTGTAGGCAGGCCTTCCCCTTCTATCTGTATATCGAAGTGGTCTCCTTTCCTAACAAGTTGGTCTGAGGCTGCCGAGGATGTTTTGGTTATTGACCTCTCCACTTGGGTATTCTCCCTGAAAGCGGACGTATTGGCATGTCTTGAAATGCTCTGATCCTCTCGTAGAAGATTCTCTAGATGTTGTTCAAGCCATTGTGTGTCAAAGCTTGCACGGTGAAAGTCATCTGTGTGGATAATCCTCTGCAACAGGTCAATATTAGTGGCAATCCCGTCAATAGCCACATCTTGCAGTGCCCTCTGTGCCTTGTTCACCGCAGCAGTCCAGTCCATGGCAGTCACTATCACCTTGGCGACAAGCGAGTCAAAGTCTGCCGATACCACCAAGCCGGGGCGAAGGTGGCTGTCCACTCGGATCCCATTTCCCCCAGGGAAGAGTGCATTTTTGATCCGCCCAATCGAGGCCGCAAAATCTCGACGAGGATCTTCTGCTGTGACTCTTAGCTGTATGGCTGTAGAAGCAGGAGGCGGCGGCCTGCTTGCGTCCTTAGAACCCATCGTGTCGATTCCGATATCGACAAAACTCTTCCCCAGAGCAATGAGTATCTGAGATCGGACCAAGTCGATACCAGAGATGGCTTCTGTGATGGTATGCTCCACCTGAAGCCGAGGATTGATCTCCATGAAAAAATATGTTGAGCTCGCGGGCGATACAAGAAACTCCCACGTCCCAAGCGACGAGTATTTGATCGCCTGTGCCATCCGCAGCGCAGAATCGATAACAGCAGTGATCAAGAGACGATTCTCCACCGAGGACGGCGCCTTTTCAATGACTTTTTGGAATCTTCTCTGGATCGAGCACTCGCGCTCCCAGAAATGCCGGACATCCCCCCTCCCGTCACCAATGATCTGAACCTCGACGTGTCTGAAGCCGTCAATGGCTGCCTTCTCCGCAAAGACTTGGTTGCTGGGGCTCTCGTTGGACGCCCTGCGAAAGCTGGCCTCGAGGTCTTTCTCACTCCGAACAAGACGTATGCCGCGGCCTCCTCCTCCGTCCACTGCCTTTAGCATCAGAGGGAACCCGACCTCGTGCGCAAATCTCCTTGAATCCTCTATGTCCTTCACCGGCTCACCAAGTGCAGGGAGGACAGGCACGCCGTGCTCCTCGGCCAATCTCCTCGCGCTGAGCTTGTCGCCAGTCTGTCGCAGGATCTGCGGACCAGGCCCTATGAAAGTGACACGAGCGGCAAGAAGCTGCTTGCAGAACTCGGCCGACTCCGACAGGAAGCCGTAGCCAGGATGCACGAGGTCGATGCGATGCTCCTTGCAGAGCGACACCAGGAGGCCCACATCCGTGTACGATGAGACGGAGGGAAGCTGGATCGACTCGTGGGCATAAGACGCGTGCGCATTATCGTCGGCTGTTGATACGGCGATGGTATGAAGGCCCAATTCTCTTGCTGACGAGAGGACGCGGACGGCAATTTCTCCCCTGGAACAGATTGATACTCATTGATTGCATGTCAGCCAAGAGTGCATTCAAAATCGAAACAAGGGAAGAAGAAAAAAACAGTCACAGTAGGATGCTGGATGAATCAATGGTTAATCAAATACCTGTTGGCAACCAGAAGCCTCGGCGGAACCATGATTGCAAGAGGTGGCCTTGTTGCGTTGACCACGCCAGTCACTTCATTTAAATACTTGTTTGTTGTTGTTCTCCGTGGCCTGGCACATGTGCCTTTCAGAGTTGGCCTCCTGAAGACTGCACACATGTACTATCATTATTGTGACGTTCCCGTTCAAATAATTATCCCCGCTGCGCAACCTCGGCATTGCCACCGTCCCTTGTCCCCAGAGGTGGAGGGGTGCGTTGTCTCGGCCTGGGCACCAGAAATAGCCGGCTTCAACTACTTTCAACAGCCTGTCTCATGTTAAAGGCTGCCGCTCATCTGGCTACTGAATAATTAGTCCAGAGTCGATACGCAGCGCAGAAAGTTGGTTCAGTCAAGTCACTCTTTCACTATGCCCGAGGACGATGCGTCAAAAGCTCGCTCCAGACTGAAGCAAGTTGGCGCGCATCTCCATGTGGATCAGGGCCATCACACTCAGTCCAAAGGACGCCGAAGAAAGAGAAATGGACCACCAGAAGACTGGTCAGACATTCTCGGCCAGGTCAAAACCCTTCAGGGTATGGCAAGGACCCCACCAACCAGTAACCCAGGGTACCTCCGCCAGAAGCAAGCCGGAAAGCTCTGGGTGCGAGAAAGGGTAGACGCACTTCTCGACGCAGAAAGTTTCCTAGAAGTCGGGTCTGTTGCTGGAACGATAGCATGGAAAAAGACAAGTTCTTCAGAACCTGGTAGCAACCAGACCAAAGAGGAGATCGGAGGATTCACACCCAGCAACAATGTCCAAGGCTTTGGCACAGTGGGTGGTCGAAAGATCTTGTTCACCGCAGACGACTTCTCCATCCGGGCTGGCCATGCCGATGGAGCCATCTGGGCCAAGACACTGTACATGGAAAAGCTATGTCTTGATCTCAGGCTCCCGATGATCAAGCTTGTTGATGGGTCGTCGGGCGGTGGCTCGGTGACGACCATCAAGAAAGACGGCTTCAGCTATGTGCCTCCGATGCCTGGGTTCAAAGAAGTCAACCAACAGCTCAACCTGGGGATTCCCAACGCAGGCGCAATTCTTGGCCCGGCTATTGGGCTTGGTGCGGCTCGCGTCACAGCGTGCCATTTCTCGGTCATGGCAGCAGATGTAGGATCGCTGTTCAACGCAGGACCTCATGTGGTGGCCAAAGCCACGTTTGAAGAGGGGCTCAGTGCCAGTGACCTTGGAGGACCGCACGTCCACTGCACAAATGGGACAATCGACAATGCTGCGCCTGACGAGAAGGGCTGCTTTCAGCAGATTCGCCGTTTTCTTTCCTACGTTCCTGACTGTGGCTTCAATAACTTGCCACCGGTGGAGGAAACACATGACTCCTCCCAACGAGACGTCACTTCTCTTCGCACAATCATTCCACGTCGTCGGCAGCGAGCATATGCGATGGTTCGGTTAATACAAACCGTGGTGGATCAAGGGTCCTGGTTTGAGATAGGAGCAGGCTGGGGTAACACGGCCGTTGTTGGCCTAGGTCGTATGAACGGTCGCCCTGTAGGCGTCATGGCGAATAACCCAGAGGTCATGAGCGGCGCAACAGATGCTGCTGGGGCGCAAAAGATGACCAAACATCTCAACCTGTGCGATGTTTTCAACCTGCCCATCATTCAGTTCGTCGACTGCCCAGGGTACGCTGTGGGGACCGCGGCCGAGCGACAGGCGACAATGAAGTACGGAGTGGAGCTGGGCAAGGCATACTTCTCGACCACGGTGCCCATCTTCAGCGTGCTGGTCCGGAAATGCTATGGAGTGGCTGGCGGCATTATGACGGACTGCCGAGACCCGCATCACCGCATGGCGTGGCCGAGCCTTGAGTCTGGAAGTCTCCCGCTTGAGGGGGGCGTGGAGGCGAGCCATGCGAGAGAGTTGAGAGAGGCAGGAGACAGGAGGGAAGAGGTCTATAATGAGCTGGTGGAGGACTATACCAGGCTTCAAAATCCAGTCCGGACCGCGGCCGCCTTCGACATTCCAGAGGTCATCGACCCAGCGGATACCAGAAGGATTCTGTGTGCATGGACTACCCATATGTGAGTTCTTGTTGCAATTTTCTTCTTGCAAGGTTCATCTGGTTCAGTTGTTCCCCCTGCTTGAATGTTGCGCTTATACAGTCCTAGGTATGATGTGAAGCTCGTCGAGAGACTCAGGCAAAGGCAGAGCGGAGCCCTTCAGCCAGTTTTTCGCTAGGAGAGAACCTCGACAGCGGCTTCAACTTTCAGTTCTTAATGAGACTCGGGCATGTAGATGCTGTAATTTTCCAGAGGGATAGTTTAGAAAAGTCATACCTGCTTGTGCGGTAACAAGTCTAATCAAATGGCAAGTCAAACTACACTTTCGACATTCAAGGTTCAGCTGCAGGTTTCTGCAGATCTTCTCGTCCCTGCAATGTTCATAATATTTCATGTATTGATTACTTGATATTTGACTTAGTATACGGCCCTTCTATTTTCCAAGCCAAACCTAGAAGGCGTTTGTCGACCTATCGCTTACTTATTTTACCCCAAATGCATCCATGCACTAGTGACTCTCGAGTGTTGATGTGCATACGAGGTGGTGTCAACTCTGCAGTCCATCCTGGAAAACCCCCCATCGTTCGCGCATAATCCGCCATGTATACCATACCACAACTATCCGCTTTACCCTGTTTAGCAGAGAGTTCCGAGTGATAACACTAGCTGCTGCACGATGCATTCGAATTCAAATGTCAGACGACGTTGCTCTCTCCATGTCATTACACCGTATGACGAGGTTCCTGAGACCCTCTCAATCGGTTAAGATCTCTTCTTGTCTTGCTTCCACGACATCTTCACCCTTAAAGAGTCAAGACAGTCAGCCATACAATGTCGGCAAGAATGTCACTACAGCACGTGCTCAGTTTGGTCGCTCTCTGTCTATCTCTACTTGCGCCCTCAGCCTCCGACACACCAAAAGCTGATCGGGCGCAGACACCAGCATGGCTGGGCTGGGGAAACGGCATCTTTAACAACCGATTTCAAGAGACTGGCTCCTCCGTGGATGCGAGGTCAGCTTCCTCGCTCAAGCCACTCTGCCAGATCGATTATTCCCCGGGCGTCAGCGCCCCGCCTCTTGTCCAGAACGGAGTCGCCTACTTTCCCACCTGGTCAGGCCTTCTGGTCGCCCTTGACTATGCAACTTGCGAGACGGTCTGGCAGATCAATATTACCGAGCTCATCTTTCGCTCTCCCAAGACGACTGGTCTAAGTGTTGGCATAACCAACGTGTCACGTACCACGCCGGTGATTGATGGCAACGTGCTGTATACCGGAACGCAAGCGAAATGTCTACTCTTGGCGATTGACGTGAGCTCTGGCCAAGTTATGGACCAATTGTCGATGCACGACCACCCCTTTGCGATTCTTACATTGTCTCCTACGTTCTACAATGGCACAATCTACAGCGGTGTGTCCAGCCAGGAGGAGGTGGCTCTGGAGGTAGACCCGACATACACCTGCTGCTCCTTCAAGGGAACGATGAACGCTGTCGTGTTTGAGAGCGGGAAACTGAAAATCGTCTGGACCCAGTGGATGATCCCGGAATCACTCTCTGGGTGGTCGGGCGCGGCGATCTGGGGCTCCCAGCCCAGCATACAAGTATCTCGCTCTCAACTCTTCATCGCCACAGGGAACACCTACGACGTCCCCGCCTACGTGGACGAATGTCAGATCGCGACGGGGAACAACACTGCTGAAGTTGTTCCTGACCCGTGTCTCCCAGAAGAGATATACCAAGAGTCTGTTGTGGCCCTCGATCTGGCGACAGGCGCCGTCAACTGGGTTCGACACCTCGGCGCCTTGGACGTATACACCGTCGCTTGCGACTGGACTTTGGGGATCGACTTTGGCAGCGGACCACCAGCCTGCGACGTGGTCCCCGGTCCTGACTATGACTTTGGAATGGCACCTACCTTCATCCCAGCCTCGACAAACACACCCTCGGGTCTCGACACTGTTGTCGTGGCGCAAAAGAGTGGATGGATCTTTGCTCTGAGCGCAGAGACGGGAGACGTGCTGTGGTATAACGATGTGACGCCCGGGGCTAACGAGGGAGGATTCATGTGGGGCATCGCAGTGGACGATAACTCAGTTTACTACACGGCCTTCAACTACGCTCGTGTCCAGTACGAAATCCAGCTCAGCGGCTCGAGCAACGACACTGTGAATGTCTCGACCAGTGTCTTTGGGGCTCTCCACCTCATCGACGGGAAGGTGGCGTGGCAGGTCCCATCCCCACCGAACACCAGCAGTATTGTACAGCCAACAGTTGTAAACGATGTAGTGATCACTGGTATCTCCGGTGTTCAGACCGAACCTAATGTGGACCCTGTGGCCCCAGGCAGCATGTTGGTGTTAGACAAGGCTTCAGGCAGCATTCTGGCAGAGTATGCGCTTGGGAACGTTTTGAGGGGGGGTCTTGTTCCAGTGGATGAGTATCTCCTGTTCGGGACGGGAGACAAATCTTCGACTGGCTTTCCTGGACTGTTCAACGTTTATAGTATGAACCAATAGAATGCGGCTTCCTGGGATAAACTTGGATGATGACGATTACTTGGTCGCTTCGACGACGCCCAGGCATTGTTCCATCTCACACCTCAGCTATCTATATAGGTCTCGAATGGTTTCATTGACGCCTGAAACGCGTTAAATCGATCATTAGGTGCATGAAATAAGACATTCCATAGCTGTGATTAATGAATAAGAATGGATCTTGCTGTCATGCAATACATTGCTGTACCATACTTACCACGTTTCTGGCGGGGTGGCAATACGCTTCTTTCCTTCAAAGGAAAAAGCCAGTCATAAATGCTGTCATGATAGTCCCCATCAATCTATCCAACAGGGTAAGGATCTGGAAGAGACTGAACATGAAAAAGTATATGGGGAAATCATGACTAAATAAGCAGGTCTCCCTCTTCTTCTCTCCCCAATTTCTGCTTTTTTTTTCCCTCCTCAAGAGGTCATACCATGTCAACAGCTTAGTAAACCTCCCACCAGAAGGATGGCAAGGTTCTTGTCTGTTGACAGCAGCCAGACTTATTACTGGTTTATATAACAACTGGGGAGATTAAGACTATACTTGGTGGAGGGCGATCCACAGTCTACGTTTCAGCTACAATGTACCATAACACATGGCCCAATGTTAACGATAAACATTAAGAAACCACAAGTAATTAACCGCTGTCATGCGGCAACATCTGGGCGTACCAGAAAAGCAAAGTTCGTATTTCTCGGCTACAATCATCACTCCACTCGGCTCCCTACCGACCATGACATGCAGGTGGGTGCATCTACCTATAGTACATGAATACTATAGTACATACCTTACAGTAGGTAATGACATAACCACGGCCTCATCTTGTATGTCATGCTCCGTCTTTTACCAAATTGTATTGACCGAGGATTCCTGGACGCATACAAGTGCGCCCAGGCCGACTGCCGACATGCCGTGGTGAAATGGGGGTTTCTTCTACACCATCTGTGACGAATGATGGCCGTGGCCCACGGTTCTTTGCAGCTGCCTTAAACGGAAGGTCGTAGTAGGCAGCGCCTCTGGATACCTAGCCACAGGAGATCTGGCACCATGCCACGAGGAGCCAAGAAACCACGCTGAGTCGTCAGGCCCCTATCCACCTGAACCTGTCGCCTGTGACGACCGAGCCACGATACTAGCAGCAGACCTGCCGTTGCGGGTTGAGCTTGGCCCCACGTTTTTCTAGACCAAGGATGTGAAAAGGAAGTCCGACAGCATAACTGGCCCACCCGCGATTGTTCATCCCAGGTAGGTTACAATGAACACAAAGTTTTTGCCAATCACCTGTCCGGGCCCAACCGAGCTCGTCGCTCGGTGAAGCATGTTTGCCAAGACATATTTAAAGAGGACCCTTCTTGCGCAATAATGAATTTGAACTTTGGGTAGTTGAGACTCGAGAGCCACGGTCAACCATCACAGGGTGTTTTCTTCCTTCTTCTCTCTATCGCTAATAGCCACCAAGATGGCCGCCCTCGTCTCTGCCCTGCTCGCCCTTGCGGCCGCCTCAGTGTCCAATGCTCGCAGCCCTGAGTCCATCTTTGGCCTGAAGTCGCGTCAGGCTACCTGCGCGACGAGCGTCGAGAGTTGCTCTGCCGCGGCTGACCTCGCCAGCACTTGCTGTGTGAACCGACCTGGTGGACAGCTTCTTCAGGTTCAGTTCTGGGATACGGATCCGTATGTGAAATTTGGATTTCTATATGTCATCCTTCCCGCGCCCCCCAATTTTCTCGGACCCATGAGCCGGCATTTGTCTGTCGGTGACGAGTTTGGGCATTTTTTTTTCTCTTTACCCCCGTTTATCCATATTGGTGGTGCTTCGACTAACATCATAATAGGGTTGAAGGTTAGCTTCTTGCTTTCTTGAGGATTGTGCTATCTCCAAAGTGTTTCCATTTTGGATGGCCGTCGATATGGAGGACAATACTAATCAAGCTCTCCATAGGCCCTGCCAACTCTTGGGGTATTCACGGTCTCTGGCCCGATGATTGCGATGGCGATTACTCTGAGGATTGCGACACGTCCCGTGAGTACACGGACATCACCACGCTGATCGAGAAGTACGGAACCACCGAGCTGCTGGACTTTATGGAAACCTACTGGAACAGCAATGACGAGTCGAACGAGGATTTCTGGGAGAGCGAGTGGGCCGAGCACGGAACCTGCATCAGCACCCTGGACCCGACTTGCTACACGGACTACGAGACTGGTATTGAGGCCGTCGATTTCTTCCAGATCGTCGTGAACCTGTTCCAGACCCTGGTATGTCCCACATGCATCTTGAGTGCATCTTCTCGCTACTCGATTTAGGCCAGGACTGTACTAACCACTCTGACTTTAGAACACATACGAGGTACGTCTTTTTTTTTTTTTGCGCATGAGACCGTGCGATTCTACGACGAGCCTAGGCCAGAATCTCGGCACCGCTGAGAAATTCACATGACAATTAGTCGCTGTGAGCTAAACTCGCAAAATGATGTACTAATGGATGACCAATAGACCCTTTACGCAGCGGGCATTGTTCCATCCAACTCTGCCACATACACGCTGTCCGAGATCAACGCTGCCATCTCGGCCCAGTTCGGTCAGGATCCCGTCCTCCTCTGCGACGATGATACCATCTCCGAGATTTACTACGGTTTCTACGTCAATGGCCCTCTGCTGAACCAGGACTTTGTTCCTGCTGCTGTTGTTGGCGAGGACTCAACTTGCCCTAGCAGGTCAGTTTTGAGCAACCCACTCTCATGCCCTTGCATGCCACGAAGAAATGATCAGAGCTGTCATATGCTGACTATTATGATGCTAGTGGAATCAAGTACCCCGTCAAGTCGGGTGCGACGACCACCGTGGCTACAACGAGTAAGTCTCTCCGTTGGAATCAAGACTGGATGTCTTCAAGCATAGCACGCCTTCTGTTGGGAATTTTAAAATCGTTCTGGGACGCGACACCATCGCTTATAATGCTCACTTGCCGGGTGAGCTCCTAAGCTCAGAAAAAAACAGATTTGACTGACACACAATTCTCTTGCTAGCCCCTACCACCACTGCCACTTCGGTGCCGCTGCCCACCACTGGGACTGTACGTATCCAGCCTGCTGTTTTCTTCTCTCTTGCGTAACATGAATTGGTACTTACCTTGGGCAACAACAGGTCACTACTACAAGCGCTGCCACTACCAGCACGTCGACTAGCCGAAAGTAAGTTTTCATTCTGTCTCTCAAATGTGTTCCTGGGCAGCTGCCCAGCGACGCCATGAGGGCGACCATTCCAAATACACAGATGCAGAGGTCTAAAACCCTTCCCCGTTCAGGATCACCCTGCCCGGCAAGACCACCACTGCGACCGCGACGACGACCTCGTCCTCGAGCAGTGCCACTGGCAGCACCGTTTCGGGAGATGGATACTGGTACGCGTACTATGACGGCGAGAAGAACGGCTGCCTGATCAGCGAGGGATACTGGTACACGACAGGCACTTGTGCGACTTACGAAGCTACCACCTCTGGTGCGTTGTGAACCCCACCATGCCTGGGTCGGGGAGAGCACTCATAATCCTGCTTCGCCGAGTACTTATTAACATGTCATCACAGGTGACGGTTTCACCATGACCTCTTCCAAGGGCACCTGTGGAGTCAGCGACAATGAGCTGGGTTGCGCCTCCGGCGTTTCCTCGACCACCTTCACTGTGAGTACCGTTGCATTACCCTTACCCATTCCTCAAACTTTTGAGCTGGACTGACTGGTACATTCTCCCCTCAGGTGATCGATGGCTACCTTGCGTACGACGGTACCACAACTTTCTACTCCAACGAGATCCCTACTGGTGATGACGAGGCCTATATCTGGACCGACTACGGCGATTATGAGGTTACCTTCCAGTGGTATGCTCTGTAAAATGACACGACATCTTCAATCACTTGTTCCAGAGTTTATGGATTCAGCCTGGGAGCTGAGCTTCGGTGAATTGTCGCCGCGAAAAGAGGCAACGCAGGGCCAGGTTGAGTCTAAGTATATATACTTGCATACGTAGTAGATATTGATCATAAAATCAGAATACATGGAATTATTGTCCAGTCCGCTTCGCTAGTCAGATTGAGTACAAGAGAAATCTAGAGACGGCTTGATCATCGTCTGAGCAATGAAGACCAACGTCTCTTATGCAACAATGTCGATCAAATTGCTGTAGCATTCCTTACAGGAATATAGAGCGCATGTTAAAAGCTCGACCTCATGATAACTCTTGAGAGAAGAAGAAAGGAAGAGATAGAAACTTAATCACTGCCTAGGTGACGTCAGGCTTTGCAGGCCAGCACATACAGTACCATAGTAGGTACTCCAGGCGTGCCAGTTGGTGGTTTAAGGGTCTCGAGGGAGCATCCGGCGCTAGTGGACAAGTCGGGTGCCCCTGTAAATGAGAGACACCAGGCCCTGAAATCTAGTGACATCACGACTCAGGCTTTCTCGTCTTCGAACGTTACAAAACCCAAAATCGAGACCTGCCCACCGAAGGTCACCTCACGACCTGAGCCTGCGGCGTTAGTTCTTCATCTTTAACCCTCGTTTCAAACAACAGGACTACTTTTTCTGCATGATCCGCAGCATTATGGCCAGAAGTACCCGCGCAGCAGCCAGCACGGCACCAACAAGAACGATTCCACGGCGAGCAGTCCGAACAAAAGCCGAGGCGCAGTCGTCATCACCTCAGGTCAAAAACGAACCACAGGACGCACCAAGGACAACACCTCGCAAGCGCGCAGCACCCAGAGGAGCCGAGGATGAGACCCCCAAGAGACTCAAGACGGAGCCAGATGTGTCTCCATCGCCAGACGGCAAACACAGCGCCAGCAGGCAGAAGACGAAGACGAAGAAGGTGAAGAAGGAAACCTCGAGCGCCACCGACCTGAAGGACAGGAAGCTCAAGGCCTACGCCGCCTACGCCAACGCCTCGCCCTTCCCAGACTTTGCCCACCCCACACCCGAAGAGTGCAAGCTCGCGCACAGGATCCTGGCCTCGCTCCACGGCGAGCGCAAGCGCCCCGAGCAGGTAGTGGCACCCTCGGAGCGCGCCGGCTGTGGCGACTCGCCGTCTGTGCTGGATGCTCTGGTGCGTACGATCCTGTCGCAGAACACGAGCGACAAGAACAGCACCCGCGCCAAGCAGAGTATGGACAAGGCCTACGGGCGCAGCGACAAGTGGGAGGCCATTGTCGAGGGCGGGCGCGACAGGCTGCAGGAGGCGATTCGGTGTGGTGGGCTGAGCGCTGTCAAGAGTAAAGTCATCATTAGCATCCTGGAGCAGGTCCACGCGCGCTACGGGTGCTACAGCCTGGACCACCTGCACGATGCGACGAGCGAGGAGGCCATGACGGAGATGCTGAGTTTCCAGGGCGTGGGACCCAAGACGGCGAGCTGTGTATTACTGTTCTGTCTGCGTAGGGAGAGCTTTGCGGTCGACACACATGTGCACCGCATCACGGGTCTGCTGGGGTGGAGACCTGCCAAGGCGAGTCGCGATGAGACACATCAACACCTAGACGCGAGGATTCCGGACGAGGATAAGTTTGGGCTGCATATCCTGTTGGTGAACCATGGGAAAAAGTGTGAAGAATGTAAGGCAGGTGGGAAGAGTGTAGGCAATTGTGAGCTGAGAAAAGCTTTCAGGAAGAGCAAGTTGCAGGGGGAGGCTGGACAGGATGTGAAGAAGGAGGAGGAGGCCGCTGTCAAGGACGAGTATTCTGACTAAAAGGACGCGCTTTCTCGCTGTTCAAGCTGAAACAAGAACTCCTCGCTCACAGACCTGCTTCTTCCCTCTGCTTGGCATATAAAGAATCAATATCTTCTTCCCAGATCCATCTCATCCGACTCTGCAACCTCTCAACCACAATTGGCTCAGCCTCTTCAAAGGGCAAATCGATCAGATCGGGCGACTCGAATTCATATAGCGCGCCAGCCTGCCGGCTCGTCGTCACCACTCTCTGCGCCCTGGGCAACCGGATCCGCTGATACAGACCCATCCACGCTTCGAGAGGCGCCCTGCGCCCACCTGTCATCCATTCTGCCAGCGCCTTGGAGACGATGTACCCATCCTCGACGGCCTGCCCAGCCCCAGCACCCTGATGCGGCGTGGTGGCGTGGCATGCGTCGCCCACCAGCGCGACCTTGCCCTCGAGAAAATGCCACTGGGAGACCGGCTCGTGGTCGTTGATCCTCCACTTGGAAGGCCTGTCCGGCATCAGACGGATCACCCCCTGCACCGTCTCCTCGCAGTCCTTGAAGTCTTCCTCCAGCTCGCTCCGGTCGCACGTGCTGGTCCAGCTCTCCCGCAGGTCCGGGATCTCCTCCTCGCGCTTCGAGATGAAGGCGACAACGTTGAGAGACTTGGTCCTGCTGATGGGGAACACCAGGAAGTGTTTGTGGCGCGCGAGCCAGATCACCGCGTAGTTAATGTCTCCAGAAGACGACCGGCCAGGCCACGTGTCGTGGGGCAGCTGAGAGATGGGCACGACGCCGCGGTAGGCGATTTTGCCGCTGTACAGAGCCTTTCCTGTGATGAATTGCTTGCGGACTTCAGAATGGATGCCGTCGCTGCCGATGAGGAGGTCTGCCTCGGCGGTTGTCTCGTCTGCGAAGGTGATGAGGACGCCTTTCTCGCCTAAGTCCTGTATAGTTTACTTGTCCAGCGTCAGCCAGTGGGAGGACTTGCAAAACAGACCATAAGAGAATAAGTGGAAATAGAAGGACGAAAAGATCAGAATCCATTCTTGCAGAACAAACAGCACATACATACCTTGCAAGATGCAAATCTCTTCTTCGTGTGCAACTTCGCGACGCCTCTTTCCCTGATCTTTTCCAACAGGATCTCGAGAAACTCACTCCGTGCCATCGAGCTCGGCCGCACCGGATCGTCCTTGTTCACTGGAGTGTCCACATGCGTGATCCGCCTGCCATTATCCCACCTTACAAAAGTGAACCAGCTGTTATCTGGACGTCCCTGGATTGATCTCATGGCCTCGCCGACGCCAGGGATCTTGTGCATCAACTTCGCGGCATTGATGCCGATGCCGACACCCGCCCCAATCTCGCGGTACTCGGCGGCTTGTTCGTATACATCGATTGAGATGGTATGGGGATCAGGTTGGACGGTCCGGCAGAAGTGGTCGAGGAAGAGGGCGGTTGTGAGACCGCCTATGGCACCGCCCACGATGGCGATGCGGAAGGGAGCCTGTGAGGTGTTCATTGGTGGGGGGTTTCCGTTCATGTTGTTGATAGAGTAAATACTCAGACAAAATCTTTTTTATAGATAAAATGGTGTTCAAAATTCTTCACAAACTGTGGAATATATCTTCTTTCATAGTGGCAAAAGAATGTACACAATCTACATGTACGTCGCCACGGCGTTGATGGCGGATGGCATCATAGAGGCTTGGGAGGAGCCTCAACACTAACAAACTATTCATCAGCAAAGTACTACCCCACATGCGCCAGGCGATATCAGGCCGTAATGATTAGTTTCCGTTGCACGGCCGGAGACGCAACGCGGCAATGCTGACCGAGGAGCGTGCCCGACCCCAAGCATGTTAGGTTGACGTCGAGCCCTGAGACAGCTGCGTCACACAATATGAGGAGCTCTGGAAGCCGATCTCTCTTGACTGGCAGTGATAAATCAAAGAAAGGGGAAGCTTGCTGTAAGGATTATAGATGTCCAGTGGCGATGCACGTTACAAAGGTCTCCAGTCTTCAAACGTGTTGGATGAACTCCTTCTCACAGCCACTAAATCTACCAGACTCGTTGTTCACGCAGAAAGAAGTCCCACTGCCCAGAACTGATCGTGTGCTTCGAAGTATGCGTCCATCACTTCATTCTCATCGTTCTGGGCCAATATCTGATTACCGTTCAACGAGCTGCAGGGTGTTAACCCCATGATACTCCTCCAACGATCTCAACATTTCAGTCATTTGTTATTTAATTAATGTGTCAGCATACACTCAAGTTATTGCAATTATCCCAGAGTGACAGATCGACATCTCCTCACCCCGCCAAAAGGGAGTGATTCGGCAATCGGCAAGATGATCAAGACGATGCGTTGCAGGACGGCCAGAGTGGAGATGGCTGGGCTCTTGGAGATATGAGGAGTGTGTTCAGTCATTCGTCGATCCATCTATAGGGCTTACCTTTCGTGGCTGAGGGGCACACAAACCTTCTCCTCCTTTTTAAGACGCAATCACTGCCCTGCAGGTGGATTGAGGGGATCCTTCTCAAGTATCTCGAGTCTGCCCACCATCCTTCTCGGGTCATTTGAACATCCCCATTTCATATTGAGAAACGAAAAGAAAAGAAAAAACAAGCAAGCATTGAAAAATGGCGCCCTCTCTTCATCCACTTATTGACAATGGCCTCACCAAGGGCAACGCCAATTTCTCCGGCGGCAAACTCTACTGCAAATGCTCCAGCATCCCGGTGGAAGTCACCCTCTCCTCCAACGTCGCGCACAACCACGCCTGCGGGTGCAGCAAATGCTGGAAGCCCCAGGGTGCCCTCTTCAGCGTCGTGGGCGTCGTCCCGCGCGACAAGGTCAAAGTCACCGCCGGGCAGAACAAACTGCACATCGTAGACAAGAACGCGGTCATTCAGCGCCACGCCTGCCAGGTGTGCGGGGTGCACATGTTTGGCCGCATCGAGACCGACCACCTGTTCAAGGGGCTCGACTTTGTGCATGTCGAGCTGTCCAGGGAGACAGGATGGCAGGAGCCGCAGTTCGCAGCGTTTGTGAGCTCTATTATCGAGCAGGGGTTTGATCCCGACAAGATGGGCGAGGTGCGTGGTGCGCTGGAGAAGAAGGGACTGCCGACGTATGATGCGCTCTCGCCGCAGCTGATGGATCTTATTGCTACGTGGACGGCGAAAAAGGCGGGGAAGCTTTGATTGCTTACAGAGGAGAAAACATCTTGGATCAAGAGCGCGAGTTTGGTGAGCAGAGAAGGATGCTATCGAACGTTGAGAAGCGGAACCTCGGGTGGCTAGGAGTTCATTATCAATCATAACTAACACGCTTTGCCCGTCACCCATCTATCGTCTGCTAAAGTCACTTGCGTTTGCTGGCCAACGTCCATCCTCTCAGCACACAGAAGACAATTATCTCAGCAAATTCTCAAAGCCTCATGCCATTCTGAATCGAAGCTTCGGGTATATCGTGGAAGATGTGCTTCAACAGGAGTGGAGGACACAATTTTCTCGCCAAAGATCGTTGCATTACAACTGCTCATTTTCATCCAGTATGGATCAATTGAAATCGCTCGCTATCTATGCTTTATCGCAATGTGAAAGTATGCACCGCAAACTAAACCAATCTGTCACTTGATATACCACATCGCATAACTGCGAGTCGACATTATCTCCTCTGCATAAGTGACAACCAGAAGTCCAAATCACTCTGCGTAGTCTCCAGTTCCTCCTGTCGTCGTGAAGATGACTCTCGAAGTTCTTCATCCTCACTCCGCCTGCGGTCATCTTGCTCCTCCGCGATGATGGTTTGCGTCTCGACCGTTGCCGGCGGCGGTTCCGCACCACCTACGAGGGACATGAAAAAGCTGATATCTTCCTTCACGACAGACATGGTCTCTCGGTGGTTGTATGGCACTTGCCGTGGCCTCTCGAACATTGAAGCCTCAGCGTCCTCCACCGTTATAGTCTCTGCAGCTGGGACCGTCTCGTTAGATGGGTCGTCCTTGGAGGCGTAAATGTCATAGTCTGGATCTGTGTTATGAGATTCTCTCCCAACCATATCCCTTGGTTCCTCGGTGATCCACTCTGGAGAATATTCAAGTCGATTCGTATCTGGAAACTCCGGCGGTGTCGGTGGTCTCTGGGCCTCTGTTGGTACGGACTTTTCCTCCTTGTTCGGACTCGAAGGTCTGCTGTAATCTGGCGTCCATGGCCTTCGGATCGCATGGTCGGGATCAAGTCCGATATGCACGGTCACTCTCGAGTCATCCATGCTGGCGAGTCCTCTGCTCAGGTCGGGTTGGGTCCTCTGCAGTAGCTCACGCTGTCGAATTGGTCCCTGCCCGTAAAGCTGAGTCTCAGGAACAGTTGCAGGCTCAGGTTTGGATATCCCTCGTTGGTTGTATGATCGAAAAGTCTCGTCGAACTCGCGTGTCATTCTCCACGAATTTGTATGCGCCTTCTTAGGTGGCTTGGGCCCCATGTACATAGATCGTGGCGGTGTCAAGTTTCGGGTCTGTAATGCCTGTTGAGAGATCGCAGGGGCAGCGGTGTTGAAACGACGTGGCGCTGGTCCTGCGTCTCGCCGCCTAGATGGTGCAGTTGTGGGTGGCGGCCGAGACTGCGGCATGAGGTTCAGCGGTACCGAGATCTCCATAGTGAATGTTGATGGCTATGAAAATCAAATATGCGTTGACATGAACGCCTCCTTCCTTCACGGATGGCATCCATCCGGTCTCACGGCGCATGAGGAGCCTGGGGTTGTTTATATGTCTCCGCCATCTTTGATGCGAAGGACAAGGGTGGAGCTGTCAGTTCTTTTTCTGTTCATCCCATCCTCTACGAGGAACAACGTCGTTTGCGCCTGTGAGGAAAGAGTACTGGAAACACACACCCTCTTTCTGTGTGTATGTGTATTGTGTGTTGCAGAAAAGTGTTTTAGTGGGGTTACTGGGCCTCGCAGCCTCAGGAGCCGCCAATATGTTTCATACAATCGGACGAGTATCACCGAGAATCTTGGCCTAATCGCAATTTTTGCATTGGTTATTTTGAGTGATAGATTATCATTGCCTCGCGGACCAGAGCTCGGACGTAAGAAATGATGAAAATTGCGGCATGGGACTCTTGAAATCTGTACGTTTCATTGTAATGGCACATCTAATCTGGCCGCGCTTATACATACCTGAGCCTAATATAGTAATCCAAATTGACTCAATAATACTCTCGTCTATCGTCAGGCCATATGTCATACACCGTAGCACTGAATAGTCCGAGGCAGGCTCACAGCGTCGGACCTGCGTACAATTCTAATGAAGCCCAATTTGCCTTTAGTATGTTCCGACGACGAAAAGGATTGAAGACGACTCTCCAGCTGCCATTTGAACCACACTGTGGGCCTCTTATCTTTTTGCCTCTTGTTTTACATCAGCCTGTTTCGCCTCAAGTCAGGACGAGCCCACTGTGCCGGCCAGACATGAAAATGTTCAAATGAAACGTACAGCGCTGACGAAACTTCTTGTTCATCTGGTTTCTTCTCGATTTGAAGGAGAAAACATGCGCCAGAAATGCTTCACGGCTGGTTTGGGGCGCCATCGCGAGCAGACCGACGACTATTCAACGTCAGTCAAGAATCATATCGGGCCCTTGGTCATACTGGTAATTATACGCTTTGAATATTGACAAGTCAGATTTTACTTTGAGATATTCGTGTGTCTGAGCTCCCGTCATTCGGGCTCCGTTAGGCTTCGAAGTGCTTGACTCCCCCTCACCAGCATACCCACCAGGGGAGCGACATGCATTACCCCTTTGCATACCTAGACCCATCGGGTGATGGGGCGCACATCGCTGTGTATCAGTTTGGAAGCAATCTCAATATAAATATTGGTAAGACCCAGGATGATTGGGAATATGAGAAATTGTGTTAAGCCATAGAAATGGAACGAGTGGTATTTTTGTGTCTGTCAAGGACAAGGACCAATTCTCATCAGTAGCATCTCAACCAATTCATACATACACAACAGCCTATGAGTATTGCAGACACGTAATAGAAAACAGGCAGATCTTCATAGTTGTTTGCTGCTCAGAGAACGAAGCATCGTGCTCTACATTCTCCTCCAGGATCAGGGTCCTATAGGACATCCATCACACGACATATTGGTCAAGGAGTACACGGGTGAGCCATAAACAGGATCCTGCCACTCGCAAAACCAACCTTCTCCCGGTATGCAGGTCATATGTACATTCTCTGACTTGGCTGCGCATGAGGCTGGGAGGGCTGGTACCACGCAGCTCCGGGGAGGAAGAAAGCCCATGCCCTTGTTTGCAGACTGAGTAAGAAGTAAATTAAGTCAGCTGTCACTGCCTAGAAGGAACATCGGGTTAGCCGAAGCCAGCCTGCGGCGTACCTTTGCTATACCCATCTGCGGATGCGCAGTGGCGAGCTGGAGGAGGCTGGAGCAGATTGCCGCTTGGAGGGCGTGTATGAAATGCATGCTTCTTTGTTGATGTCGTCTAGGCAGGTAGGGACGAGGGCTGATTTCTATGCGTCGAGGACGCCAAACTCACGACAGTGTATGAGAGACGTGGAGCACGAAGACTTGTATACTGATTCTTCTCATGTGGCAGATAGTTGTTTATATAAAAGTTTTCTCCTGTCAGCCATCTCTAGCCTGGAAAGATTGCTTATATCATAACAAGTAGTCTACCTAGCCGATGTTCACACAGTCGTGAAACTGAAACTCGGCATGTTATTGGCGATGCAACGATCATGTTCAAATCCTCGGCCTGTCCGAGAGTACAGATTTCACTTTGCAACCAAGGCTTTCACAGCAGAGCCTCTGCACATCGCCTCGAATGTATCACGTGTCGACCATCTCCCTGTTCGCCTCTATGCAAACCTCATTTATCTTCCAGCCAATGAACTGGGTTAATGAGGCTGAGTCCATATTCACAATCCTAGTGTAGTGAAAGGTACCATGTTTTGATGTAGTACAAAGCTCGGTTAGGTGAAGTTGGTCCGTATTCCATGCCCAGGTGGTCATGCAAGGTTCCGGGCCAGTCTTTTTCCCCAGGATCAGCTCGCACGAGGATCCGATTGAGACATTTACATATACATATATCCATCTGCTGAGACTAGGTGAGCAAGATCCTGCAAGTCGAAATTGACATTCAAGCTTTGAGCAATACCTCTCTTCCAGTGAGGCGCTTGACAAAGTCATTTCTTGCTTATATGAGCCTTGGTGAATAGACTCCAACTTCGAGCAAATATCTTGTCTTGGGAGCGTGCTTTGGTCATGCCACCTCATTCTGTAGAGCACCGTCTGAGCTTGGTCATTCTTGACGAGGTTACAATGTCGATGGCCACAATGTCTGTCAAATAGAACTTGTGACTATTCTTGTGCAGCAAGATCGGCCGAGCCGATGAGATGATATATCTGTTGCTCTGGCAAATTTCTTGAGCTACATATTTCCTCGGAGTGGAGGACGACAAGTCTCTCTAGTTGCACTTCGCCACTATTACTTTGGCGAACAATTCTGGTTGTAAATGGGTACATTCTACGGTGATACCAAGGCAACAGCCCATAATGATATCACACTGAAGCCAAATACGAGTCCTACTCTTGGAAGATCGAATCCATTGATGTAGGACCATTTCGGCTCACTCAAAATGTGGAGAAATTGACAATGACAAGCAGACAGGTGGTTATGCGTACCCCAAAGGATAATCGGAAGCTTTTCATTCCAAATGCTTCCTTGTTTACCTCGACGTACAAATAGGGAGCGAGCTATGTACTGATATGCTAATGGCTCATAGCAATCGGTTGTAAGAACTGGGATAATATTGACAGGTACGAAGTTGATAGCCGACACTTCAAGGGTTCATGACCATGTAGGTCCTTTTCGACACCACTTTTGGTTCAGGTACTGAGCCCTCTTGGCTTACGGGATGCCACCGAAGCCACCGGAGCCGAGGCCGCCAGCGCCGCCGGGGCCAGAGTCACCGCCGCTGACAGCAACGCCACCGCCGGAGGTCAACTCGAAGGAGTAGGTAGGAGCTGCAGAGTAAAGTCCAATGTCAGTCCACGGCACATTGATGGGTGAGATAGAGAGATTTCAAAAAAAAAAAAAAAAAATTTAAAAGGGAAGATAGAAGAAGCTTACTGTACGAAGCGGTGGTGTTGATGCCAACCAGGATCCAAGTGAAGAGACCCTCGCTCAGATCACCGTCGTCGCTGAAGTAGACGTAGTTGAAGACAGGGTCAGAAGTGGTATCCTCGGTCTCCTGCTCACCAAAGACACGGTCGTCAGCATTGGTGGTGATGGGGTTGGTGTTGGTGTTGTAGGGGCTGGTGGCTTCGACAAGGTCGATCAGAGACTGGTCCCAGAAGAACTGTCCGATGTGGGAGACGCTGCCGCCAGTGATGGTGCCGTTGGCGAGCTCGGTGGCGTTCTCGTGGAGCACAATGTGGATGTGGTTGGTGCGACCAGAGTAGTGTCCGGGGAACAGAGTGGTGAACTGGACGACACCGTCGTCGTCGGCCTGCTGGATACCGCGGAGGAAGGTGGTGTTCAGGTTGGAGGCGTCATCCGCGTTACCGTTGCCGTTCTCCTGGACACCTGCATGTGTGGACAAGTTGAGTCAGCTTAGGTTTTGCTGAATACTTCTCCAAATTGAAAATGTATTGAGACCTTACCGGCATAGACACCAGTGGCGTTGGCGTTCCAGACATCAGCCCAGACGCCGGAGAGAGGTTCACAGGTGGACACGTCGATGAACTGGTAGTCCGAGACAATAGTGACGCCCTCTTGGCCATCGGTCACGTCGGAGCGGACGTACTCGCCCAAGACGTAGAATGGGCCAACCTCGCCCTCAGGGTTGAGCACGGTGCAGGTGTCGTCAGCGAAGACGTACTGTTTAAGGACTCGTCAGCTTGAGATGATAATACATGACTCATGGTTTTATCTTGGTAGGCAAAGTTACACACAGTCTCGTCGCTGATGGCAGTGGTGGCATTAAGGTCACCCTCGTGGTCAGTGTCCAGAACCGTAGTGGTGTTACGCTTCATGATGGGGGCTGCAAGAAAGAGAATTACAATTTTAGCGTATAATCACATATAGGGACAGACTCAGACAAGCCTAGGCCATAATAGAATAGAAGTAATCACGGGAGGGCATGACTGACAGTCCTTGGCAATGTTCCTCGCCATGCGGTGCTTCTCCATGGTGGCCTTGCGACGCTCGATGGCACGGGCAGTGTGGCCGCGAGCCTCAAGCTTGGCAGCGCAGTTCTCGAGGGCACGCTTGTTGGAGATGTGAGCGCTGCGGCTCTCGACGGCATGGCGGTGCTCCTCCTCCTCATGGCCCGGGTGGGCAGCAGCAAGAGCCGCGAGGCCCAGGATAATGGTCTGGGTGAAGATCATGATGCCTTTGTAAGCGAGGACTTGTGAAAAGCAAAGTAAAGAGCGAAATTTCAGGTTTCTGGCCGCTGGGAGAGATTGTGTGTTTGGCTTCGGCTTGATGCTGAATGTTTTCCTTTTCGACAACCTGATCTTCTTCAAGGAAACCAGTCTTCTTATATACCCGAGAGAGTGTGTATAGTGCTATAGTACTTGGCACTTAAGTCATTTACATACAATATGGCGATGTCCTGCACGATTCAAGAGCATCATTTTCCCCTTCATGACGTTGTCCGTTTGTCCTGCACTTGCGAATACTGTCCGGCTCTTCGCAGTGCCCACTTCCCGCTGCAAGATGAAAGGACCTGGGTCTTCTCGCACGCACATGCAACAAGAATGGCGTTGTACACGGCGAGGCGAGGAACAGACGGTGTTCCTCTCCTCTTGCGTGGGTTGATCTCTTGCCGAAATGGTTCCTGGACGGGGCCGTCTCTTCTCACAACGTGGACGTGTCGACATATCGACGAAGTTCAAAAGCAGCAGGTCGTCTGGCGCAACATTACCGGTCAAATAGTAATGTGGGCTCCTTGATTGGTTGCGAACCCTGGTGCGCCCGGGACTTGTTGGCGGATGTGGTTGAAACGCAGCCTTGGCTGCAGCATGGAGTCGCACTAGAGGAGTGCATCTTACGCGTCACCAGAACAGGGCCCATATTAAACCGGGGTTAAGCTTAAGACAAACGTTGGACGGCTGGTCCAGCTCCAGAGCGTGTATCTTGGCTGAGCAGTGGGGCCACGCCGCGATGTGACCTCCGGTAGGTGGAATCAGTTGTCGTTTAGACGGGACGTCTATCGTGGGATCGCGACCTGATTTTCAAAGAAAAAGGCAACCTCTTTTAGGGTCCGGCCTCCTTTCGCAGAGCCGTGCATGATCAACGTCCCCGAATACCATACACGCACATGTGAATCCTTTCCTAAAGGGGCTGAGGTAGAGAGCCAAGTAAGTATGTACGTACCGGCACTTTCGCATTTGCATGTAATTACAGTAATACCTCTCGATGTGCGCGGCCAGGCCTTCAGATAAAGTATCATATCCAGATACGTCCCGATGATCACACCATAGAAACACAACTTACTGATGTGTACATAAAGTGTGTGAAGAACTCAGCCTCACCTGATTATAATGCGTCGTCATACTTAACTCCACGCCCTGCGTAACGGGTTCTGTTCAAGATTCAGGGCGGCGCCTGGCTGGCTGAGGAGGATGAGTACGAGGAACCACGGATTGCAGATCCCTTTGACAGGTTGACGCGTCTCTCATCAAAGCAGGTGCAAGTACAAACGGTGAACGTGCTTCCGCGCGGCAATGTAACTCATCACACTCATTACAAGCCTCCCGCCGCCAAGACCTGAGTGAAAGGTCCGTTTGGAAGGGAAGGGGAATGTCGCCTCTCTAGATATTGCTTTTTCCGGAAAGTGTGGATGAAACGACCGCGCAGGGTGGTCGGGAAGTGGGCGGCCTTGGGTAGAAGTTCCCTGCACGGGGTGGGGGTTACATTTTACTTTTGATGTGCTCCAGGGGTCTTCGAAAGGAGGGAGTGAGGGCCTCAGCTAGCTATAGAGGTTCATCTCAAGCGCGGGAGAGATCTAACTCTGAACATCATTACTCTAATCTTTTTCTTTTCTTTCCGCATCTTCTTCTTTTCTTCTTCCACAATAGACACTTGCCGCATGGCCCCAGGGGTAGGAACGGACATGGCCACAGCAGTCCCTGTCTTCACATGTTCAGCTACGCAGTCCTTGCTCGTGATTAACCTATAGGTGAACGTTGATTAATATTATGCATGTTCCATCCCAATCAAGACCATGTTGGTAAGTACGTAGGAACCGATCCAACATTATTTATACGTGTTCCTCCCTAACAAGGGAGCTTATGCCTACTTCATTATGAGCAAAGCCATTGAGAGTAAGTAACTTGTACATGGTAGTATTCAAGGCTTCATCTCACGGCACTAGCTGCTGCAAAAGGTCAACGGCGTCGGTCACATCTTTTGTGGTCCGTGAAGAGAATATCTGAGGCTAAAAGTCTCGGAGTAATTCGATGCCCGTTACCTACCTAATAGAGTGTTGACGAAATTGGATGATCGCCTTGCTCAAGTGTTTTTCCAAGAACACCTCGTAAAGAAGAAGAAAAAAAAAATTTGGATTTCTATTTATGATCTCTGAATCTAATTTACTTGCTCCCTCACCCTAATCCAGGAATTGCAGAACTGTGATGTCTATCATGTGCAATTCAAGTACAAAGTGTTTTACAAAATACTCGTTTCCTATTCTAACAGCTCATGTCTGTCCGTGATGCATTCTTCTTTGTAAATACAAATGTCTGCTTGAGAGACAAATAAATGGATGGGTTTGGCCTGAGGAGCGATACTACCATCGGATCAGGCTGTAGAAACGCATGCTGGTCCCCGCCCTGCTCTGTACCACGATGACCTCGGGATGTGGGTGTGGATCTCACTTAGTTCTATTATTACGACTATGCATGTGTTTACTGTTGTAACAATATGCCAGTCTCTATTATTGTTGTCTTTATCAAATCATGCACGAGCGTAACCGCTCAAGTAACCCAAGGCTGTAGTTATCCTTGGCCCTCAACACCCCTAAACCAAGAAGACCATAACACCGGCGCTCTAAACAAAGAAGCATCTTCGCATCTCGTCTGAGTACTCTACCCAGTTTTTTTTTTTTAAATAAGGTATCAAAAGTACCATCTGCTACACCATCAAGGACCTAGCCCAAGGGCGTGAGACCTCCCCTAAACGGCCTCGGTGCGCCGGCCACCTTGTCGTCATCCACCCGCCACACCCCCTTCGTCTTGTCGTCGTCGAGCTGCCAGCTGGTTCCCTCGGCCAGCTGGTGAAAAATCGCGTGCTCCTCGCCCCTGCAGCTCCTGAAGAGCAGCGGCTCGAAGCTCGTCCCCGTCCTCCTCTCCTCCGCCCGCATGCGCCTCTGGGCCTGCTCCAGCTTCGACTTCTCCGCCACCACGTCGCGGAACTCGCCACGGTCCAGCGCGTCCACGACCCCAGCCCAGGCCCTCCTGGACTCCCACGGGTCTTGTTTCTCGATGGGAGCGACGTGCATGGGCGCAGGCCTGTTCTCGACGGCGTCGACGTCGTACTTCTCCAGCACCTCGCCCGTCCTGCTGTCCTTGACCGTCCACCCTTCGCTCCAGCAGCCCTCAACCTCGTAGATGGGCGTCTTCTTCGGGTCGTCCTTGCGGTACATCCTCGCCTGGAAGGAGTTCTTCTTGCCCCTGAACACGCCCGCCCCGCTGAAGGTCATCTCGCTCACGTAGCCCGAGCTGGAGACAATGGTGTAGGTGCCCAGCACTTCTGGGTACAGCCGCCCGGAGAGGAAGCCCCGGACCTTGACGTCAGGCAGGGGGATCAGGTACTTCTCGTCGTCGTACCTGTCGATGGAGAGGATGGCGTGTCCAACCTGCTTGATGTCCACGCTGGAGCTAAAGGTCATCTCCACACGGGCGTAGCCGTCGGCTCGGATCCCATTCTCGTCGTCGATGATCGCCATGGCCGTGATGGGAGGGTGATGGCTGACCTGTTCTGCTACCAGCCGTGTCGAGGCCAGTTTGCCGCTGCTGTTCATTCCCAGGCCCAACCCTGCTGCATTATTGATCTCTCCTTTCTTGTTGGTCTTGGTCTTGGCCTTGCTTTTGTCCTCCTTGGGCTTATTGGCGGTGGAGGGCTGTACCTGGGTCCACGACGCCATGAACAGCTCGCCGAGGAAAGCGTTCAGGGGCTTCTTAATGCTCACGGTGGGCGAGCCTGCCACGTAGAACTGGCTGCGCATGGCGATGAGAATCATGCGCAGCACGAGCAGGCCGCGCCTGGCCGGGTCGGGCTCAAGCGCCGGCGCAGCAAATACGCCTGGCCTTTGAGACCAGCAGTGGCCCACCTCGACGACGGACGAGGGCGCCAGAAAGAAGGGCGGCGCAGTGACGTTGCTCAGATCTCCAGATACAGAAGATAAGAACTGCGTGTAGCGCCGGTTAGTCAAAGTTGGAAGGGTCCAGATAAGACCAATTTCTCTCTCTTCTTGTCCCTCCGCCTCTAAGGTAGAATATTTGATCTAGCTGACACTTACCCTGACCAGATCTCGGAACCGTGAAGTCATGGACGCTTTGCTGGAGCTGCAAGTGTCCATGCTTCGCCCCATCTCAAATGAAGGGCCGCTCATGTTGTTGTGTCGTGGGCTGAAAGGCCCTGTGGGAGAGGGCAGAGCGCTGACTTCGATACTCATCTTGACGGATGAGGAACAGGTCGTCGATGCTGTCTATACTTCAAATGTTGTATGAATGTCGCTCAGAGGATTATGTCTTTTGCACTTGTGTGTTCGCGATGCTAGTTCGGCAACGATAAGAGGACTTCATCCGCACATATAACACATGCAAGATAAGGTTATCAGACTGCTTAGATGGGATGAATGACCTGGATTCTCCAAGAGGGGAAGAAGAAGAAAAGGAGAAAACAGCCAGCAGAAAGGAGAGGCTACATCTGTGGATTTAAACGACAATACTGAATCAAGTTGGCGACAAGGTAAGGAGGGGGGTCCCTGAGAACACAAGGCGTTTCAAATATGTCCCATCGTCGTCCCTGGCGTGCGCCGCAGCCAAGTCACCCCCCAAACATTGATCAACTCTGGCCCCATGTGGACCACCACATAATGTAAGTATGCAGATCCGGATCCGGTGAGTGGCTTGTGAGTGGTAAACGCGGGTTGAACGTACAGCGGAAGCCAGCGCATCCGATGTGTATAGTCAAAGTCAATTTCTTTTCTTAGGGCCCAAGCAACGTTCCCTTGTCGCTTAGCTTAGCCGTCTGCTGTGACTAAGTGAAGAGAACCCGCTGACCGCTGGTTCTGGGCCACTATCAATTACACTTTAAGATAATTATTTAAAGACTACTATAGTGCTAATCCCCCACGACGCATAGGACTGACTGCCGTGCTTTGCTGTGGATATTTTTGGATACATCACTAGACAGACCAATACTTCCACGAGACACTGACGAAATTGCTCACACTAATGCATGACTGGTACCATAGTAGTAGATAGCTGGCTGGCTCTTGGTAGGTCAATCAGCCCAACATTTGTACCCATACTCTGGTAGGCGCATTTGGCTCTGGCCAATGCCAGCTGCCGGTAGCAAGGTAGCAGGCATTGACTGACATGTGAAAGTGGTCATGTGCTGCAGAGTGCTGCTAAGATATGCGCAGGCAAGTCATTCATTCATTCAGCGTTTCTTGGGAAACCTTTTCATCATCGTCGCCCTATGACACCCATCAGCGAGTGGGCCAGCCAGCACCACCGCCGAGCCGGCGCCCCAGTCCTCGCCCTCCGCCCTCGTCACACCCCAGAGCTCAGTGATGTTGAGATCCTGCACGTCGACGTCCTCGAAGCCTAATCGCTTGTAGAGAGCATAACCCTTTGGGGATGCATCCAGCCAGTGCATCTTGCCTTCCCTGTCGGCGAGCTCATTACCCCAGTTGAGCAGGGCGGTTCCGGCCCCGAGGCGCTGGCGTCCAGTCCTGCAGGCGAGGATGTCCAGGTCTGGCAATAGGAGAGGGCACGTGTTATGTTAGTACTTATCTCTAGTGTTCATGGGTTGGGTGGTTGGTTTCGTTTCTCTCTCATCATTATCATCATCTTCTTCATTATCATCTCTCTCTCTCTCTCTCTCTCTCTCTCTCCCCGCGCCCGGATCGGTTACTCACGCAGGAGCGGGTCCCCCTTCAAATGCTTCCTCCGCAGCCGCTGCAGGTCCCCGATGAAGGCCGTGTAAACGCCCACATTCACACCTTCGCCCAGCATCTCAGAAGTGTACTCCTTGACGACGTTCCACTTCTCCTCCGGGAGCGGCTCCTTGATCAGCTCCCACTTGGCAAAAGCAACAATCTCTGGGTTGGGGTTGGCGGCCCCCTCCCCGTCTTCGGGATGATGCAGCTCAGCCAGCATGACAATGTTCTCGGCGGCTGGTGAGGATGTTGTTGTTGTTGTTGCTGCTGCTCCTGTAGCCGAGGCGGGCTTCTCGTCTTTGTTGCTGTTAATATCGTATGGCAGGGTGAAGAGGTCCTTGCAGAATTGAGACCGCGCGCTGTCTGTGACGCCGCCCGGGTACATCAGACGGTCCATGACATCGGGACCAAACGCGTCGAAATGGATCGAGGCGAGGTCTTGCGCGTCGGCCGGCGTTGCTCTCCGGACGGTGATGCGCGGTTTCTGGGACGCGGTTGTGTTTTCTGTCGTCGATGCCATGGCTGAGGAAGTGAATCAGTGAGCCCTGACTGCAAATTAATAAATGGACTGCTGGACAAGCAGAATGACAAGGAGAAGCATTAATAGATCACAAGTTGAGAACGCTGTTTTCATTTATTGATATATTCTCGCAGTAAATCTCGCAAAATGTCGGAAACCACCCCGTCAGAGAGGCCATCGTGGTTCCCAAAGAATAATGTTGCCTAGTCGAGCTAAGGAAGCCACGCACGCAAGAAACGGTGTGACTCACTTGAACAGACGCACAGTAAGCCTACCCCGCGCAGGGACAGGCCATTTGAACTGTTTAGGTAGGGCTCACCTAAGAGCCCTCCTCTTCTAGGCTCTAGGGAAGCCCCTGTATTTTGAGGTTCTAGGGGCAAGGACGGAGGGGGCAGGCACGCTAGTGCCCTGTAAGCTCACTAGTACTAAGTCCTCGTTCGAGTAAATGGCGTGCTCTGCTGACCACAGGAAATGACCTCCACACATCACCAGCACGGAAGAATCATCTCATAAGTGGCTCACATAATCATTTACAAAATCGATCTTGCAGTATCAAGCAGTAAAAATTATATATACATTGAATGTTAACCAATTCCCACCACAGCCTGGTCTCAACACGCCTACAACTTCACCTTAACCCCCCCCCCCCTTTTTCTTTCCTCTTCCTCCTCTCAAGCTCCTCAGAAAGCCGGGTTCGCGTTCGTCAGCAGCTGCACAAAGTACGCCTCGAACCAAGTTCCGGCCTCAGGCGCCGGCTGCAGCGCATCCGAGTACCCGCAGTGGTAGTCATAGCGCGGCGAGCTGGTGTTGCTGGTGCCGTCGCTCTCGCCACCAGGCTTCACCCACACGAAGGCGTCCTCGATGTCGAGCCCCGTGTCCGTTGTGGGCCGCGTGCCGAATCCCGTGCCGATCACGTTGCACCAGTCACCCCAGGCCTCCTGCTCTGTCGGCTGGACGCCCGAGCGGGACTGTTCGGTGATGAAGTACGCGTCGAAGCCTTGTTCTTGGAGGAGTGGGGAGAGGGCGGTTACGTAGAGGTACTCGTCGTAGTTGGAGTCGCCCGAGGTGTACTGCAGTAGAGGTCATCTGTGTGAGTATATTGAAGAGGAATAAAGGCATGGCTTCTCTCTCTCTCTCTCTCTCTCTCTCTCTTCAACTCTCTTCTTCGTTACTGAGAAAGGTTTTTCATTCACGTACCGAAGGGGCAGATGCCAAGTTCCACCCGTTGTAGTTGGCCACGTTGGTGGCGAGCCCACGGATGGCCGCAGCCTGGGACGCGTTGGCATAAACCTGGCCAAAGAGCTCAGCAGCAGGGCCGATGTTTGCACTCCAGCCCTATTTCCATACCAAAAGATGAAGAAAAAAAACATCGTTAGCAATCCGAAAAGATGTAGTGCATAATGATGAAGATGATGAACAAAAGAGGAGGGAACTGGACACTCACAAGCCAGCCGGCATGACCAGCATCAATGTACATGGCCACATTGGGCAGGTTGAGCTGGATGAGAGCATAGTTGATGCACTCATAGTAGGCGCTCTGGGCCGCGGCGCACTCGGCCACGGCGAGGTTGGTCACCATGTTGGCCAGCGAGTCGGGCTCGATGACGAGGATGGTGCGGATGTCCGCGTACTCCTCGATGACGGCCTTGATGCTGTCGATGTATTCGTAGTCTGGTAATTACTCCTTGTTAGGCCACGGAGGGATGGGCATGCCAAACACAAGAGAGGGGCAGGCTTACAATACTCAACACCATTGTCGGCAATAGTGTACTCGCCGTTTGAGGCCGCAGCAGCACAGTCACGGTCAGGAAGATCGTATACCACAAAGAGACCAGCATATGGAGGGTCGGCGCCGGCCTCGTTGGCAGCCCGGATGTCATCGAGCGTCTCGACCATGAGGGTATCGACCTTGGCAGCTTGGTCCCTGCATGTCGCAGCCATTTGCCTTTATTAGCCCCCCAGATTCCCCCTTTTTTTTTTTCCTTCTATTCTTTCTATCTCCCATGAACCCGAGGGTTAGGAAGTGTTGGCTAATTACTTACAGCCACTGGAAAGTTGGCACCTTTGCCACAGCAGATGCCTGCGTCGCCTGTGTTCCAGTCAAGCTGGGAATGGCCGAAGCAGAGATCTCAGATGCGTAGTAAGCCTGATGGAATGAGGGTGTTATCAACAGACTTTTTTCTCTTGCACTTGGATCACGAGTCTGTCTCGAGAACTTACATTAGCCCAGAGCTGTACGTCGGTGAAGGGGTTGCCCGAGTAGGAGGCGGTGCCGCTATAAAGACATGGTCATTAGCCATCTGTCTGAACCGCAGGGAAGTAAAGGACGCTCCATGATACTTACGTGCCAGTGCCCACCACTGCTGTCGTAGTCTTCGAGGAGGCAGTGGTAGTTGTCGCCTTGGTCGTGCTCGTGGACGAGACCGTCGACGCCGAGCTGACGCTTGATGAGCTCGAGGCCGAAGTTGCTGCCGTGGTGGTGGTCTGCAACAGTAGCCCTGCTTCAGCAACTTCATTCAAAATGTATCTCTTCCCCCCTTCTGCTTCCACAGAGCTCCAGGTGTGAGTTTTCTTACAGCTGTACCCGGGAGACACTGCGAGTAGTAGTCATTCTCGTAGCTACACACGCTTCCGCTGGCGCAGCATGTCGCCCCTGTCCATCCTGTACCACCGCATTGTGCGCTGTAGTAGCACTTCTCGTCAGCCTCTCACACCCTTTGATTGGCCCCTTCTTACAGGGCGCATCCTGAAGCGTTGTTTTGGACATACTATACGGCACCACAGCTCTGACGATCTTCAAGAACGGGAACGGCCAGCGCCGAAGACGTAATGGCAGCGGCGAGGAGAAACTTTTGAGCGGCCATGGTTAGAGTTTCGATACTTTCGCGCTGTATCTGTGGCGAGAGCAAGTCTGTAGACGGCAATAAGAGACCTTCTCTTCCTCTTCTCGCTCACACACTTTTTCTATGGCATCGGGGAACGAGGCGATCAGCCTTGCCCTTTTAATAACCACGAGATAGGAACCACGCCAAGCCATTTCTCAAAGCTCTCTCTCGGCACGGCGGCCCTCGAAGCCTCCTCTAATACCTAGCTGGCTGGCTCGAATGTCGAAACATCCATATCAAATCTTTGGTACTATAGGGTCGGTCTCTCACGGCCAGGAAATGCGGAGCCTGCCTGATTTCGGTGGCGCTCGACGGAGCAAGATGGGAATCTATGTGCCGGCGTCCCAAAAAGGTAAAATTCGGTGTGCCATAATGGTTTTTAGTTTTTTTTCTTTTTTTTTCTTTAGTACTGATGCCTCCACGTGTGCTTTGGAGTGGAACGTGGCTTGAACCTTTGCTGCTTTTCCTTCTTCGCGGTCTCGACGTTGAGAGGGAGACAGCGTGATGAGCTCTGGCGCTGAATATCCACCAACCACAGACGGCGGAGGTGGCTGAAAAGGGCAAGTCCATTGTATGACTTTTGCGGCTGACCAGTGCTGCAGAACACGTCTCGGAAGGCAGGCCTCCGTTCTGGTGGAGGATGAGGGCCCCATGGGAAGGATTTGAGGATTCCGTTGACCAGGAGGAACATCATGGGCTCCTTGAGATATGATTTTCTTTTCGCGCAATGATGGATGAGATTTTCCTGGATGAAATCTTTGGTCGCCAGAGGGGCCCAGAGACATAGGGGAGGGGAGAGGATGTAGTTTAAGTACTGCAAAAGACCTATACTTGTAGATTAGAGGGGTCTCCCAGGATCTTCGATCAATATTCTTGCTTCATACCATAGTAATATAAAATCACTTAGGAGTCTTATGGATGAGCAGGTCTCCGGTGTAAACTCGGCCTAGCGACCGAGACCGTGATGAGTGCTACGTAGTACTCTTTTGAGTAAGTCGACCTCTTAATTATTATTACCCGGGACCTTTAGGCGTTGCTCTCCTGTACCTTTCACGGGACTGCCACTCCGAAAGGCTAAATGAAACAGGGTTGCAGATAACATCACGTTATCACATTGCAGCAGGTGATCCCAAGTCCACACTGAAGAAGGATACAAGGCCTGTTCACCATTTGCTTTTCATGAGTTTTCAGAAAAGTTCATCTTGTATATGGCAGAGAATGGTGCTGTTTATGGCAACATAACGGCTTTGCATCTCTTTGATTATGGCAAGTAGATCCTAGAGCTTGCAAGGAACTAATACTGATTCAAACTAAACAAGTTGCCAGAAGTTGTCCAGGTGCTGGGGTTCTAAGGTTTCTGGTGGTTGGTTGAGCACTGCCGGCTTGGGTGGCAAAACATCACTGGGGGTCTGGGCCGCTCATCCTTCTCAATGGCTAGCTTCAGTCCAAGACGAAGAGAAGAATACGCGACGGGAGAAGGGAAGCGGGCGAGACCAAAAGAGATCCACTGCACCTTAATTTTAAGCATAGCGAGCCTTTTGTGAGCGATATGAAGGTGTACGCAAATTCCTCTAAATACTAAGTACATATGGACCTGGCTGGAAGGGCCCTCAGAAGGAAAAGCCCAGAGGGTTAGGGGCTGGCATGGCTCCTTCTTTACACACCAGTGACCTAGGGCTTTCTTTATCTTTCTTTCTACCATCAAAGACACCCATCAATATACGCCCAATGCAGCCATTCACGTGTGAAAACAGAGGGCCCTCAAATCCCAAAAGTTATCGACAAAATTGATTTGCAGTCTGTGTAAGAACTCATACTAGCATCAAAACACGCTGATATGTCTTTCTGCTCTCTATTCATCACCCAAACCTTGTGGTCGTCCGTGTTTCTAGACCGTTCTCGCTACCGTACGCTATGCGTGTATCAAAAAATCACAACCAACCCGTCATGTGCACCCGTCTCGCATATTAAGAAAAGGAAAAGAAAAAAGAAAGGGAAAAAAAGGAAAAACACAAGCTGGCTAAATGAGACAGAAGAAGAAAGAAGACAAGAAGAAGAGGGGAAAGGAAGATATGTTTGGCGTGGTCCAGGGAAGAAAGAACAAGAAGCAAAGAAACAGAAACACACAAAATCAGTCTTCTTGCCAATATCACCTCCCCTCCCCCCAAATACCAATCAAGAGTTGAATTCAAAATATAACCCTCTCAACAGGCTTCATTACTCCTCCCATTCTCCACCTCAACGCCTCGACCGCTTACTCCGTCTCCGCTCCACCCGATCCGCAACAAACCCCCCCACCGCGTCCGCCGGAGCCGCCGCCGCCGGAGCCGGTGCAGGAGAAGAAGCCGCCACAGGACTCTTCAGCGCCCCAAGAGCCGCCGCCCCGAGCGCCGCCCTAGCCACCTTGGTCCCAGCCCCGCGCGTCCCCACGGCGCCCACCGCAGCCGTCGCGCCCGCCTGCAGGGCCGCCGTCGCAGCAGCAGTGAAGCGCGGGTCATTGAGGAACGAGAAGCTGCTCCTCTTGGGCTTGGCCGGGCGCGACGAGGAGGTGGTGCCGGCGTGCGTGGTCTGGCTGTGGGAGAGCGCTGGGCGGCGGCGTGGGCTTCGGGCGCGGGTGGTGCTGCTGTTGCTGTTGCTGTTGCTGTTGCTGTTGGCGTCGCGGTTGCGGTCGCGGTGCTCGTGGCGGCGCGAGTCGCGGTCGTCCCTGTGGCGTGTGGACCGCGTGGACGAGGACTCGTCGCGCCGGCTGTGTGGCCGTGCTGCCTCCTCGCGATGTCGCGGCGGCGGCGGGGAAGAAGAGACCGAGTAGCGGCGGTGCCGCGTGTCAGACCTGTCGTTGCGAAAGTCGGGCGTCGTGCTCGCTGTGTTCAGAGGTGGTCTGCGCGGGCGGCCGCGGTCTGCGCGAGGCGGGTAGCGGGCTTCTTTCTCGTGCTGGCGGGACCGCCTGTCGTCCTTCTCGGTGTCGTCGTGGCCGTGGTGTCCTCCTCCTCCGCCTGTGGTAGGGGACGCTGATGTTGTTGTCTTGTGCGAGTGGTGTCTGTCGCGGTCGCGGTCGCGGTCCTCGCCCAGCTGACCGTCTGATGGAGGCGTCAGTGGGCGTGTGTGATGGTGGTGGTGGTGGTGGTGGTGTCGTCGTGAGGGCTTGTAGGAGGAGTTGCTGTTGTGGCCTCTTCCTATAGACGAGCTCTTGTCTGAGGGTTCCGGCGACATGTTGGGGTAGACATCCTTTGGCACGTATTTGTTCGTCTTCTCGTCGGAGATGTCGTGATCTGGGACCATGTATTCAACATCGTGGCCCTCCAGCCAGTCTTGGACGTTGGACCGCCCTGGGTTGTAGTATGGGTTCGTCATGATAAGAGTATCAAGTGTTGAATCTCTTCAGGCGTTGTTGAGGTGAACTATTGTTCAAACAATAAAAAGGTTGTAGAACAGAAAGAAATGTGGGACCAGAAATAATTATAATAATAATAATAAACAGGAGGTCCTCGTGGCGATATATACTATATGTATTGATGTATGTATATATGCCAATAGTGCTGGAGCCTTTCAGCAAGCAGGCAGCAAGACAGGCGGGTCTCGGCTTGTCAAGGCCCGACGGAGGTCACAGCGAGGCTGTCGGCGGTGGGGGTTGTGGTCTCGGGGTCCAGCAGGTCCAAGGTCACCCACCCTTTGCCTATGACTCGTACTGCAAATCTGGGGTACAGGTAGCAGTGGTACTGACTGAACGTATAGAAGATAATGACAGGAGGGTCACCTGTCCTTAAACTCGGGTGACTCCAACCTGGGAAAAAAGGTGAACAAGGCTTTGCAGAATCACGCTCCACACGATGAGAAGGGAGAAGAAGAGCAAAGAAATATTATTTACTGTAAGAACACGCACAATTTGGAGCGAGTGAGAAGCCGAGCCCGGCGCCCATCATTTGGTGTTGCAGAAAGAAAAAAAGGCATTGGTAGTATTTTAAATCATTACGCGAGTCGTCCATGTTTTACTCGGTGGTGATCTTTTGCCTTCGGGAATTCCCTCCACCCACCATCACATCACACCACCTCCTCCTTTCAGTGTGATGGGATGGCACAGGTTGGGGTCTATCGGCGCCGAGAATCGGGTCAGGGTTCTGCTATTGGTAAGTGATCAACCCCCAATTCCAAAGGGTCCTGAAAGTATAAATCTTCGTTGAGAACTTCGCTGGAAAAGTAAGTTCAAACCCCCCCCCCCCCATAGGAACAAGGGAGGGGTGAGAATTCTTCAACTCTTCAAGCACCGTTGTTACGCCATCGGCGCTGCATCTTCCCAATGAGGTGTCATGAAAAGAGGGGGAAGTATGAACACTGCCTGGATGCCCAAATGATCCATTCAATGTTCTCTGTCGAGATTGGTTGTAAGGTTGGGCAGCCAAGGCGAAAGCCCACGGTTCAGATCGCCACCCCCATTGAAACTGTGGGTCAAACATCTCTGATGTGACTACCATGAGATCATTCCCCCCAACAGGGTGCGCAATAAACAGACGTTTTTTTTTTTTGCATCTCTTCGTCAGCGCGACTATCGTGTTGTTGTTGTTGTTGCGTTGCTCTATGCAGTATACAAGTGCAGAAACGAAAGGGCCTGCAGGAAAAAGGCGGGACCAGACTCAGTCCCAACGTCTCATCTGACGGTCCCACGACTGAACAGCAGCAGCACAGGACGTCATCGTGCCGCTGAGCGCAGGTACCCGACTGGACACACACACCCCCTTGAGCTGCAAGTGTTTGCCATTTCCCCCCTCCACATCTCGGCCCTTGCAGCGCTGAATAGATTTGTCATTGGAAGAAGAAACAAAAGTGACAAAATGCCCATGCCTAGCCCAGGCGCGAGGACAACAGCGACGACGGGGGCGCGACTACCGACACATTAAAGGCGTGCTACGACATGATGTCTCTTGTTCCTCGATCACACATCGGGCTGAGGGGGGTTCATGCAAGAGGGCGACGGGCGAGACATTGTCCGCCATGCAAGTGTGGCAAAGCCGAGTGCGTGGCGAAGCTGGGGATGGTAAGATGGTCGTCCTTCCCTCCCCGGCCAGACCCGCCACGCCCTGCAGGTGTCCCAAAACTTGGTACTGACCGATTGCGGTCCCACTGTCGTCGTCGTCGTCGTCGACTCTGTCTCTCTCGTCTCCTCTCTCTCTCTATCCCCTCGTTCTAGATCATTCAATGAGAAGAGGCACTAAGCACTGCAAACTGACGCAAGACAGGCCATGCATACATAGTACTGTAACACTAAAGTTTGTGGGGTTTTGGTGTGCAGAGCCGTGAGTCGGAACGCAAAACCCCATGTACACATCCTCCGTGTGTATATGCGCCCAAGACGCCCTAAGCCCCCGGAATGCCCGCGTGGTGGTGACGACGTGCTACATGCCCTGACGAAGTGCTTCGTAAATTAGAATCTCTCTTATCTTTCACACATCCTCTAGATCGCCTCGTTTCATCGGCCCTGCCGCCGTCGCGCGAGGACGTGGTTATCATTTCAATAGCCTCCTCCTCGGCCCCCTTCTAAGGTCATGCTCTTGTCTCATGATGCATCATGGTCAGCAGCCAAGAATAAACGCAGCACCGCTTCTTTGTTCAAGACTGAATGGTCTAGTGTACTCTAGCCTACACACCGTAGAATTGCGAGACGTGAATTTTGTCGTTCAGGGCCTTGTGTTGGTACACTAGGCTGTTCTATGTATGACCGAACCACGTCTGTTGTCTTTCCCTGGCTCCCACGAATAAGAATTGATGATAATCGTCGGACGAATGACAGCGTGCATCACTCCTCTTCAACCCCCCGCCCCCCGCAGGCGTCTAACGCAAGTCGCTCGCTGATCAAAGCTGTTCCCACGGGGCTAGGATGAAAGCACTCTGACGTTCCGATGCGTCTTCGTCTTGTCGACTGGAGCCAGCGAAGTGCCTCAGAGCTAGCTAGTGCCCTCGCCCTACCCTCTTCTCGGGATCGGAGCTCAAGTCGTGGAGAGACCCACCAGGAGGGGGGGGGGGGGGGGTTGCGACCCCGTCATAGCGAAACGACAGATGTGGTGCCACGATTCTTTGAGAGAGAGAAACTCCGAGCATCGTGATTGTCCAGACTGAAACCCACCCTGCCTCTCCTAGCATCCAGTACCGAGCCACCAGGGAACCAGAGTGCAACATTACTGGCAGGACCAGCAGACACTTCTGACGTCTTTTGACATGCCAGTGAGAGAAAGAGAGAGAGAGAGAGTGTGTGTGTGTGTGAGGACCCGAATGGTCCAGAAATGCTGCTGAATTGATCGTACATGCCATGTGTCCTCAAGACCTCTTGGCCTCGCTCCATCTGTGGCTCCGACAACAAAGAGGTACCTGTCAGGCGTATTTGCCTCCTCCTCTCACCTCCACACAGCTGATGGTACTATCGTGAGCTGCTATAGCCACTACACTGTGCAGATGCGCATGTATCTTGACGTCAGACTGCGCAGGCCCTCTTCGGTGTAATTTTTTATCGTGCTGACGAACATCCCACCCTTTTGCGCCGAACGCCCCAGGCCATTACTGTACAGATTGCCGCCGTCCATCCTGTATCCTGAATTGACCAAAAAAGTGTAAAGGAAAACAAAATGTAGAGGTACAGACCGCGGACTACTCCTTGGTCTTACCTACATGAACCCTGCGGCCTTCACAGGGCCGTCTTGCTTCCTGAGCACCTCGAATTGGGGACTCTCGTACAACTTTAGGATGTCGTCCCAGCCGTCGCGGAATATGTTGCTGATCCACGGGACCTCGTCCCCGACGATCCAGAGCTTCTCGTGGACGATCTTCAGTAGGCCCTTCTCTTCCTCCTTTGGGTAGAAGCCGTTCCACTCCCTGCCAAAAACGGTAGGAGGAAAAGGCCCGGTGGCGCGGAAGGCATAGTTGAGGAAGGCCTGCTCGGCCATTTTATTGTCAAACTTGGTGGTGTCCTGGCTCTCGCGCAGCAGGCGCTGGTGCATGTAGCGGTTGGGCTCCAGCACAACGACGCCGACGTTGACCTCGTTGCCCAGGCCCTGACCAGCCCAGACATAGTCACATATGTCGGCCTGGTGTGGCTTGTCCTCGGGCGGGAGGAGTTCCGGCTTGCAGCGCTTACGGGGCGCGACGCTCTCCTCGAAGATGCCGTCGATGTTCTGGACAGGGAAGGCGTCCAGGTCGAGGAAGGCGAATCTGGAGAAGTCGGTCTGCCCCCAAATGTTGAGCTTGCTGAAGAGGTCCTTCCAGCGGGCGAAAGGGAACATGCTCCCGTCTTCGCTCGGTGGCGGGTCCCAAGGGACGAGCTCAAGCTCGCGCACGATGGCACCCTGGGCCCGGAGGATGTCGCGCTGCTCGTCGGGGATAAAGGGGGCGACGAAGACGACGATGGGGTGGAAGGCGGAGCGCGAGGCGGGGTCCCATAACAGGCGGTAGACCAGCTGCTGGGCAGAGAGAAAGTAGGGGTCGTGGACGGAGTTGTTGCGCGTGGAGAGGTAGGTCGCGAAGGCGAACTGACCGGCGCCGTGGTCGTTGTGGGCAGCGTACTGTTTCAGCTTGGCCGCGTCGAGCCGCGGCTGCCGGTACTGGACGAGGTCCTCCTGGAAGGGGTACTTGATCTCGTTGAAGGTGCCATCCTCCTGCGATGTCGTGCTCTCGTCCTTGTCACCGCTTGACGGTGGTATTGCTATGGGCACCTGGATAACGGTTGTCGACTCGCCCTGCGACTCCCAGTGGAGGCCTGACAGGCTCAGGATTGTCGAGTGGTAGTAGATCAGCAATGCCGTCACCAGGGCGGCAAAGAAGATCCTCGCCGGTCGGGAAACCTGTGCGGTCATTGGTGAGCAATTCATCTTGTCATCGCGCGTCGTTCTTGGTTGGTCTAGAAGGTAAGGAAAGACAAGTAGGAGGAAGAGGAAGATCCCCTCTTCGGTTTGGGCAAAGAAGCTGAATAGTGTCCTTGTTGATTTGTTTGGTATGGGCCAGACTCACCATGATGACATGCAATCAATAGCACTGCCGCGCACGCTCTCCAACTATGCAGCCAAGAATGCAATACTGCAGGATGCTGGCTGCAGTACCAAATCTGTCGTTGTGCAAGAATGCCTATCAACCACTACCACAGCAGCATCTCAGAAGTGGGTGCAGAAAGAGCTTGGACGCAATCAGGAAGGTGAGTGTCGCAGTTGGGAATAGTGCCAAGGGGAGGATGGTGATGAGGAAGAGGAAGAAAGGGTAATGGATGGTGATTTGATCGAGTTGCGCTTGCTGCTGCTCTTCATCTACTGTAGCAAGCGCATAGCAGGTGCAAATGAGAGACAGGCTAGAAATACGCTTCAGCACTGTGGTTGGTTCAATTGCTCCAGGAGATCGACATAGTACCTTGCCATGAGGGGGGAACCTTGAAAAGCCGAGGGACCTTCTCCATTAAGCACTAGAAGCATCACGGCATGTGTATTCTGTACTGTATATATACTGTACTGAAATTCAGTATGTGCACCATAAAGTCAGAGTAAACTGGATTCAAACAATTCATGCGACACAAGTCTAGAGGCAATGTGGAAATGCAATGCGACAACTCAGCCTCCTCTGCTTTCCCTGCTGGAGAGTTTGAGAAACACCCTAGTATAATTGGTGTCTGTGCAGATTCACCTGATATCCATGTGTCTACCACGGTACCGCCCCCGTTCACATGTCAGGTTGACCTGGACACTTCACAGCGTAGCTTACTAGTGTTTCTCACACGGTACCAAATGAGCTCATCATACATGATACCCATGCCGGGTGCTGATGCCGATGTGATGTGCCCTGCTTCTGTAGACCTATCTTGGCTTGTCTCTTGATATCTCACTAGAAGAAGGACCCAAGGAGAAAACAAGAAGAAAAAGAAGAAAAGAAGAATACTATGTAAATAAATAAACTCCACTCTCGGTGACGATCGGCAACCGTAGCAGGCTCCGCCCGGAGACCAAAGTATTTCTCCACTTATCCCGCCTTGCATGGCCGGAACCCGGATGAGGTCCGGTTGCGTCGTTCATCACATCCTGTTTGTCCAACGGCACTCAAAACAATGTAAACAGGAAATGGTGGTAAGAACGCATTATTCATTTGTGGGTATCATACAGAACAAGAATCTCGGCGAATAAGAGCGATAAAAAACCAAACATAAAGACAGTGCCGTACAACGGTCACCACCTCACCAACCAGCCAAGTACTGACACTCTAAGCCTCAGGGCTTGTCAGTAGCGCCTCAGCCATCCTACTAAACAGGGACATGGCATCCCCTATCAGCAAGCCAGATTCCCAAGGAAAATGCCCCCTCCTATCCATCCCTCAAGACGTCGCGTCGATGAAATTGTCCGAGTTCGTCCTCTGCGTCGACTCGGACTCCGGGAACGCAAGAATGCCGCAGATAATCGCGGCGACGATAAGGCCCAGTGATATGAACCACCAGATGATTCCCAACACCCTGCCGTTGCTGACGCAGAAGCACATACACAGACCGCTCTCCCTGGCGTTCCTGGCCATCTGGTGCGAATCAGACCCCTCGACGTCCCGCCTGATGCAGTCGTCGAAGATGTCCCAGACACTGTATGTGGCTGTCAGGGTACCGACAAAAAGCTATAGAGGCGACGGCGGAGTCAGTCATAAGGAACACCTCAGAGAAGAAAGGGGCATGCAAAAATATGTTTGCAGAGGCCTACTTACCACATAGAAGCGCAGGGCCTCGGAGTCCGCAATGAACCAACACGCCACGAGGAGGCCGGTGTTGAACAAGATGATGGCCGGGGCGATCCACCTCTTCTCGCCCTCCTTCAGCTGCACGTTCATAGCCCGCACAACGCCCCACCACAGCAACAACAGGAACAGCACGCCAATCACCAGGCTCGCAACCTTGCTGGCCACAATGTCGAACCCGCAAAAGATCATCAGCGACCCGACCAGCGAGCTGCCCAGATAGCCAGCCGGGTACGTGACGGCGCCCAGGCCCCCGCTCATCTGTGTCGCGCCACCCTCGTTGATGTCGAGCGTGATGTGGTGCACCCGCCCGCACGTGAGCTTGCAGGCGATCGCGTGGCCCAGCTCGTGGAACGCCACCGCTTGCAGCTTGAACGGCTTGAGGAGCGCCCGCACAAAACGCACGGGAAAGTACCAGAGGATGACGATGGCGAGGAAGTAGCCGCAAAAGACACCGACTGTGATGCGCTGCGCGTCCGACGTCAGCGCCAGGCTGGCCCGCCGAAAGACGATCGTTGGCCCGGCAGCGCGGAGGACACGGGGGCCTGCCTCGGCGAGCGTGCGCTTCGCTGCCGATACTATGGCCGCATTGGGGTTTCGAGGGATGTCGAGCCCGCGGAGGGCTTCGGTAGGTATTGTAGGGGCCATCGTGATGGCTGCTTTCGCCTCGAAGGACTCTTGGGATACGGTATGGCCTTTTGTTATTCCCTTATCGCTCCTTGTAGTCCTCGCTCTTCAACCCCACACCTAGCTGTTGTCTGGGTACGATTTGATGTATGCTCAGGTGGTGATGTGGTTTTGTGTATTTCGCCTGCTCGTCGTCGTAAGCAGATGCGAACAGGGATTCGCTATTATGGATCGAGGAACGAGTGTATGCGATAGAAAATCGTATCGTCGTTGAAATCGTGTTGCAAGAGAAAAGAAGGAGAGATATAGTCAGGGATGAAATGAGAGAATCGAAGGCAAAAAAACAGTCAAAAACCAGAGATGACTGTGGCTATGCACAACCCAGGAAATCTTGGCTGTTTCCATGGGGTGGTGACGCGCGGTGCCCAGGACAAGTCACAGTGAGCGGTGACATCTGGAATGGAGTGGCCCTGGTCTGACCTGTCACGCTACAAAGGTTGGCGGGGAAATGTCCTGTAGTCTGGGGCTCAGCCCGTTATTCAGTGGTTGACAGTGGACGACACGGCATTTGGTTGGCCCCGCTTGGGCAGTGAATCCAGGAACAGAGCAGGGTCTCACCCCAGCTAAAAAGTTGCGTGGCCTGGCGTGGCTGGCACCTGGGGGAAGACTTCGTCATCTGCCCTGGAGCTAAGCCGCCCTGCCGCTGTGATATTTTTAGCACCCGCCTTGCCCCTACGAACTCTGCTGGTCGATGATCTCTCCTGCAACAAGGTAATGTATCAATGCAAACTGCAAAATATCATGGTATGAAACTAAACCTTTGTGTTTCGAGCACCCTCCAGTGCCTATCGGCAAGAAGATACCTAATTGAGAAGCAAATGCTATGAGACCGCCGATGTTGGACTGCAACTACAGATGAAACCAAAGCGTGCAATTTGAGGCACCTGCCCAGCCTGTCATGATTTTGAGATGCAGGACCATACGATATGCTGTAGAGATTTGAGTGAGCACCCAGTAGAAAGATTTCAACCTTTACGTTTGCCATGATATCATGGTTCCTCTGAGGTTGACAAATCAAAACACGCAAGCTGTCCAATGACTTGGGTTGGCCAGCCGCTGTCAACTCTGTAGTGGAGTGCTTCGAGCCTAATAACTACTCAAGTCCATCCTTAGTAATATGCACTGATCAAGTTCAGAGTGTAAGATGTACTTCTGTCATCCAGTGTTGTACTGATATCCTCCCCCTGGTCTCCGGGTAACCTCTGATCAACGGGAAAAGCATCTGACTTCTGGGGAGCTTGTTGTTACCTCGAGATTTTGTAATTGCTGAACAATAAGTAGCATTTGAGCATTGCAGTCGCTCTAATAATAAGTAACGAATATATATACAATAGCCCGATATCTCACCTCTTATTGAAAAAAGTCATGGGGTAGTAAGGCGTACAAGATGTGACGTGATTGGCAGAGGCTTCTCCAATGACTCTTTACATGGGCAGCATGTCAAACCCGCAGCTATATTTATGCAAGTCATCATTACAAATAAAGGAATAAAGAGAAAGGAAGCGGATTAATTCATTGATCTCTACGAGCAATCAGTCTCACCATTGGTCCCCTGGCTATACTGCAGACTGGTCACCTGTCAAGTCTGAGCTTGCACCAGTATAAATCCAATGTAGACTATGACTTGCATATCTGATGCTAAGGTTCTGAACCAGAGCCATACCTAACTATAAGGTCTTGACTCCTCAACAAGAAAAAACCACACGCAGCCATCTTTGACTAAGTATTGACAGCAATATACACACTCTCTCTTCTTTTTGCTGCCCTTGCCAAGATTGCTTGTCAAACAATGACCTGAGGGCATTGGGTGCATACATTCTGGCAGTCCAAGAGCTCAGCACAGTGCCCGATTAAGAATTACCTGATAAAAACAAAACCTGGAGAGAAAGTTTGACACTTTTGAATCACAAAATTTGAATGAGATATTTGCTTGGGGCCCCAGAATTATCCTTCAACATTATAGCTCTGGACAGAACGCGATTCACATTCTTCAGGATATAGAGCGAGATGACACTGCAACAGTCAAGATGAGGAACGTATAAGAGAAGGCGATGAGTACTACAAATGCATACTCTCATCTGCATACTGAACTGGTGAATTAACACCAGTAAGTGTGACGAAATGGTGCACGGATACGCCTTTTGAGGCAGGATGGCAAGAAGGCCGTCGGGAATGTGGCTACGCTCCTGGTAAGAAGCACGTACTGGCTTGAGGGTGTCGGTCCGGATCATAGGGGACAGGCTACATCCGAATCTGGATGGGATTGATCTCAAGTCCATCCAAGAGACTGTTCATTATCAGGACAGCCATCCCAGGAAGCTGGCAGCGTACACTACTGGTGTAGGCGCTGCTTGCCTCGAGCTGATGTCAGAATTTGCGGAGGATCTTCATCTTTGGAGACCCAACCATGGCCAGAGCTTATACTTTGACGCAAGGCCTGTTTTTGCCATCAAGGTCTGAGGATTCGGATCATGTACTTTAGATGGTGGCAGTGGAAGGCAATGGTCTAGCAAAAAGCCGAGTCTGGGTCTTGGTAAACTGCCAAATAAGCAACTCGAAGCTACAGTAATACATCGGATAGCAGAAGGAGCAGTGGGCTCCCATGAACACACAATAAAACATATCCTCGGTGGCCAAGTCGACATTCAATGGACATCGGAAGATCAATTTTGGATAGGAGCATGGCGCCCTTCTGGTACTGGAGCTGGTTGGCAAGATTCCTATCGGCTGAAATTATGAACAAGACCGTCCACGGACGAGAGTAGTTCGGGTATTAGTGAAAGCCCGTAGGAGCGAGGTGATGAAAAGAAGTATATTAAACTTCAACGTGCTGGTGAATGCCGGCGGCGGAAGATATCTTATCCAAAGAACTCGAAAACTTCCGCGGCTTCTTCCAAGCGGTTCTTCCCGCTCGACAGCTCAAACTCACGATGTCCCTGCTCGACAAGCGAACAGGGCCTCAGGTTGATAGCATACACGACGAGGCCGAGATGCGCAAAGAAAACCACCCACACAACCATAACTTTGTAGAGCCGAATTCTGCGGTCGGCATGCGCGAGAGATCAAGCGCAGCCAGGGTACAACACACCAAAGCACCGCATAATTAACCAAGCGCACTGCGCGGAAAAGGGAAGCGGTCGGCGCATGCATTGTCAGCCAGCCATCCAGCAAGCCAGCCAACCAGCATGGTGACTATGTAGGTACCCAAAAGGTCCAGACTCGCAGGGGACCCGGCCAAACACTCTGCCAGCCTGTCGCGCCGGTTAATCACCTATACAATGATAGTACGTACATGGTATGTACATGGTAGGTAATAAGCATCCCCCCTTCCCCCTTCCCCGGTGGTGCCCGTCGCTGGACTGGATGGCACCGCCGAAGGCTAGGGTCTGGTAGGAGCCCGTGTGAGGGCAAGACCAGTGGGGTCCATGGGCCAAGAATCCCGGGGAAAACAAGTCTGGGGAAGAATGAAATGGAGAGAAAAGCAGGAGGGGTAAAAAAAAAAAAATACAAAAAAAAGTGAGGAGTAGTTTCTAGGTTCCTTCTTGTCGGGACAATGATTCACTCAGCCCCAGCCCACGTGTGAGCCGTTCGCGGTGCCGGGACTATACAGAGCGTTGCTATAAAAGGCAAGCCGCCGTTTCTGTCGTGGATTCAGAAAACGGCGAGAATTGTTTCTCTCTTGCTCATCATCCCTCACTCTTCCCACGCTCAAATAGTGTGGGGGAATTGGAGAGCAAGATCCCCTCACCTCAGGACGGTGGAATGGAAAGGTGTCCCACTAGAAACAACCCTCGCCAATATGAACCGTCAAAGTCAAAGGTGTGTGTTGTATGATTCCAGCTCGTCTAGGCAACGATGTCTCTTTTTGTCTGTCTGCGTCTGATTATTGTTTTGTCACAAGAGGGGAGGGTGTTGAGGTTTGTTGGACTAAGTGGTCACCTAACCTTCCTTCAGCCGCACACACACACACACCACCACCACTTACACGCATTTCTCTCTCTCACACCGGCCGGTCGCTATCGGAGTGATCGATACGCCAGACCGTTTGCCACCCACAGACGGCGTCGTTCTCCCGCATTAGGTCGACAGGTACCCGTCAGTGGTGCTTGGCCTCGGCGACGCCCGTGGTGACGCTAGCCCCGGTGTCTCCTCGGCGTGACGCCCCAGCAGCCAGTGGGACCATGGTAGGAGCGAGTCAGAGCCTGTAGTGGTTTGATGGATGTTGCTTTTGCCTTTTGCTGTGGATGAATCCTCTTCCAGGCCTCCCCTGTCGTACAAAGTGCAACGCTGGGTTGAGGAGAGGTACGTACAACGGTACTGGTGCTGCAGCCTTGGCGAAAGAGGATCTGACCTGGCTTGGCTTTGATCATTGTGTGGCACCACCCGTTGAGCCGCACTACTTTCGTCTTGTACAATGGGTTGTTTAATAGGTTGCATTATGCCTCACGGTGCGTCCGTAGTGGTGGTGTGGTGGTGGTCTGGGGAAGAAAGACTTCACACCCTTTCTTGTCTCTCTTTTCTATGCCTTTTCTGTTTCCATTTCCCGTTTGTCTGGGGATTTCCCCACTCGAACCACTTCCAGTGCCACATCCTTTTCTGGAGGTGGAGTTCGCCCGTCGTAGGTCTGATTCTGGAGAAAACTGGGCACGCCTAGATTTTCCCAAAGGAAGAAACCGGGCAAGACACTCCAGATGCTGTGGGGATGTTGGAGACGGGGAGACAAAGAGACGGGTTGGAGAGACGGACACTGGCACACAGTTGACTGACTGGGTCCCACTACCCCTTTATCTTTTCCCGTTTGGCACTACAGTACTATGTATGCTGTACTATGGTAGTATGTGGTCCTTTTTTGCTCTCTTTTTTTTCTTCTTCCTTTTCTTCTTTTCCACAAGATGACGTCTGTTTGGGCCTGTCAACTATGCTACTATACCCATAGCATAGTAGTACTCCCGAGCCGTACCATTTTTTTCTCTCTTTAATTTCTTCTCGTCTTAGACAGATTGGCCCTACTGTTCTACTACAGAGTACTACTACTATGCTATAGTACTATAGCAGGATAGCGAAAAGATTGACAGGACTAGAGCGAGTCAGGATCGGCGAGGATTTCCTGAATTGCAGGCCCGAGCATCATTGTCTTGCGATCCGGAATCCGGCATACCGATCGATGGCATCCCCCTTGGATGCACCCCAGACGCATCACGCATACCCTCGGCCGCTACGAGGGAGGGGTAACCAGGCGCTATGGTTGATCCCATTAATTCTCTCAACAGCTAACAGCTAACAGGAAACAACATCAGAAGAGGGTTACGTGAGTCGACACCTGATCTACAGGTCCCATGATCCGGGGTAAACGGCGAGCAAAACAGCGAACTTGGGGAGCCAAAGGACAAGTCAATCCGCTTTTCTCCTGGTGATGCAGCTAGATTATCGCAGAACCCCCTGGGGACCCCGGTGGAAAACTTTCGGCCCTGTTCCAATATGGGGTCTCTCTCCACACCATACGATTTCGAGCTAACAGATGAGGTTTCGCCAGACGAGGGGGGACGAGAGGCGACGGGCGAGAGACGCGTATAGGAAATGGACGAAGCTTACAATAAAAAATCGAGAGATTGAAAAAAAAAAAAAAAAAAAGTCCATCGTTTAGTGTCCGATCTCCTCGACGATATGACACGATCGACAAGGAACCATAAATACTGGCTATCATCCTCTTCTTCACGCTTCATCCCAGGGTGGTAATGATTCACACGCACACTTACCTCTCTTTCTCCCTTCTCCCTACTTCCCCCTCATACTTCCCCTCCCCCTCTTTACAAACCTGCTCTGCCCACTACTTCACAAAATTTAAGTGAGGGCAAAATACGTCTCTTTTTACCAAAACACCAAAACAAAACTCCATAATTGCCACCACTCATCATGGCTGACGCGGTCACGCCGGTGGCACCAACCACCAGCCCCAACACCCAGGGCAAAAAGCTCAAGGAGGCCCAGATCGAGAACCCTGTCAGGGCTGATGGCATTCCCGCCATGGACGAGAGGCAGGCCATGGCCGTGGCCAACGCTGGAGGCTACGAGATCGACGCCTTCATCGGCGAGATGGAGACGGAACTCGAGGCTTCTGGTGGCCTGAAGACGGGCTTCTTCCACCTGCAGTTCAAGGACCCCAGGCACTTCACCTGGGTCATCGTCGCCTTCGCCTCCATGGGTGGTCTGCTGTCTGGTCTCGACCAGTCCCTCATCTCGGGCGCCAACCTGTACCTCCCTGGGGATCTCGGCCTGTCCACCCGCCAGAACAGTCTGGTGAACTCTGCCATGCCTCTGGGAGCCGTTGGTGGTGCTCTGATCCTTGGACCTTGCAATGAGTCCTTTGGCAGACGCTGGGCCATCATTATCTCTACCATCCTGTACACTATCGGTGCTGCCCTCGAAGCTGGCTCCATAAACTTTGGTATGTTCTTTTGTTCTTTTTCTTCTTCTTTTTCTGTCATGTCAAAGAAGAAAGAAACAGGTTGCTGACTGTTGGTAGGCATGATTGTTGCTGCTCGTGTGATTCTTGGCATCGGCGTCGGTCTGGAGGGCGGTACCGTCCCCGTCTACGTGGCCGAGACTGTCGAGCGCAGGATGCGAGGCAACTTGGTGTCGCTGTACCAATTCAACATCGCCCTCGGTGAGGTTCTTGGCTACGCCGTGGCCGCCATGTTCCTCAAGGTGCCCGGAAACTGGCGCTACATCCTCGGCTCCTCGCTCGTCTTCTCGACCATCATGTTCATCGGCATGCTCTTCCTGCCCGAGTCGCCCCGTTTCCTGATGCACAAGGGCAAGACCCTCGAGGCCTACAAGGTGTGGAAGCGCATCCGCGGCATCGAGCACGCCGACGCCAAGGAGGAGTTCTTTGTCATGAAGGCCTCGGTCCAGCACGAGCACACCGTCGTCAACGAGAGCGCCGTCAACAAGCGCTTCCCCTGGCTCGACTTCTTCACCGTGCCCCGCTGCCGCCGCGCCCTCGTCTACGCCAACATCATGATCCTGCTCGGCCAGCTGACCGGAGTCAACGCCATCATGTACTACATGAGCACCCTCATGAACCAGATCGGCTTCAACGACGAGCAGGCCAACTACATGTCCCTGGTCGGCGGCGGTTCGCTCCTGATCGGCACCATCCCCGCCATCTTCCTCATGGAGAAGTTTGGCCGCCGCTTCTGGGCCAACGCCATGCTTCCCGGTTTCTTTGTCGGCCTGGTGATCATTGGTGCCTCGTACCACATCCCTCTCACCACCAACCTGGGCGGTGCTGAGGCCTGCTACCTCATCGGTCTGATCCTCTACATGGGCTTCTTTGGCTGCTACGCCTGTCTCACCTGGGTCATCCCCTCCGAGGTCTACCCGACCTACCTCCGGTCCTACGGCATGGTCACCTCCGACGCCCTCCTCTTCCTCGCTTCCTTCATCGTCACCTACAACTTCGCCGCCATGCAGAATGCCATGACCCGCACCGGTCTCGCCCTGGGTTTCTACGGCGGCATCGCCGTCCTCGGCTGGTTCTACCAGCTGCTGTTCATGCCCGAGACCAAGGACAAGACCCTCGAGGAGATTGACCTGCTCTTCGAGAGGCCCACCCGCGAGATTGTCGCCGAGAACGTCCAGAGTGTCACCAGGAGCACCGCCAACTTCTTCACCGGCCGCTGGACCAAGAGCTCCCAGGCTAAGGCTGCTGCTGCTACCGCCGCTGACGAGAAGCTCGGTGAGAAGATGTAGATGTGTGTAACGCCTTGAAAATGCCATTGTGCATTGAAATGAGAAGAGATAAGGGACAGAGACAACAGAGAATGGCAGCCCCGACCAGAATAAGGGTCGAGGGCCTACAGCCAGTATTAGCACCGAATTAACGGAGGCGGCGCATGCTTCTATGCCTTGATGTAATATCATGATACCCATAATAAAAAGAAATTTCTACAAAAAAAAAAAGAAAAACACTACTCTGGCTGTCTGATCTCGTCGTTCTCGAAAGTACTTACTGCAGACGCATACAGAATGACCTACATGTATGCACGAAGCCCAGACATGTGGAAAGGCCCCTACACGCTCAACGGCAGCCTCCCTACTGGACGATCTCGATACCGGCTTGACGTCGTGATCTACATGATGCTGAGCTTATTTTCTTTCTTTTCTTCAGGCATCAATCAACTGCAACCACGCCCCATCCCACAATTCCAGCCTAATCAATCCATTTTGTGTGTAAACTTCTTCGGCGTAGATAACACCCCCCCCCCCTCCTGGGAAGAAATCTATCACAAAACGCACGCCGTCCCGCGCGGAATGCATACTTTGCGGACCATTCCCAAGACTGCTTGTGGCCATAGTAAGGAATGGATTTTCAGGGGCGAAATAAGATACAGCGGGGATTGCGGGAAAAAGATATTTTCCCAGGCCTGTGCGAACCCATGTCGTGGTCGGTGATTTTTGACCCAAGGGCACCGCGGTGCTTTTTTTTTTTTTTTTTTTTTTGTGCTAATTATGGGAATCATTTTGGTCAGAGAGAAAAGGAGAGAAGAGTAAAAAAAGTAGTGAGCATAGTGAGTCCTATTTGGGTTTATGAAGGCTGCTGTGATCTTCCAGTATTTCTGCGAGATATCGTGTTGATCCGTTTTCACTTCTCAATCGTCATGGTTTGTGCCGGGCTGCTCAAGGTTGGAAGCCTACAACAGGAAAATCATTACCCCCCGATGGTACGACATTGCCAACATGACAGGCCATGGTAGCATTACTATAGGAGATGTGCCAATAAAGCTTTGGCAGAATGAGACTCAAAATACTCCGTCAATTATGCATTGGTATCTGGATATCGTGCGTTCTAGTTTTTGGAAAGGCTATGCCACCATCGCTCAGATCAAAGTGTACCCCCGCCGGGAGCTCTATATGCACTCCCTCAAGCAAGTTCCATTGGCTCATAAATCTTGGGAGCGAACAGATCCCCCCTCCCTCCTGCCCGTCTGAAAATCTTTCGACGCCAGTTGGACAACCTTGTTTCCTCCCTGGCAAAGGTGAGAGGAGACCGTTAATGTGCATCGCATACCCCGTTTGCTCCTCTTATTTACCATCTGCTCGTGAGGTATTTGGTCGTGGCGGCGGCTCCCCGTAGCTGTTGTTTGTCGAGAGTGATGACGACGGCGTCATGTTCATGAGATCCCTCGCAATATACCGACCCCGTCTGCGGTCATAGGCGTCCAGCAGGGTGAACACCACGGCAATGTCCATCTTGGGCATGACCCGGATCGCCTCGAGGAACTCCTTGCAGATCCCCTGCGCCCCGGCTTTCTCGAATTCGACTTGGGGCGAGTACAGTTATGTTAGTCATCAGACAGAAAACAAGGAGGAAAATACCACCCGAGCAAGTAATTTTTCAATGATTAAAACTGGCTCCCTTTTTCTGAAATGGGTGCAAAAAAGTAGAGGAAGGAAGAAAAATCGACGAATAGAAAAAAAACCCTCGACAGGCTCGGGGAAGAGGAGGACTCACTATCAGTCCTGTTCCACTGCAACATCTGCTGCCACGAGATAATCTCGTCGCCCAGGAGAAACGCAGGAAACGCCGAGAGGGTCAGCTCCTCGACGATCCACTGGCGCTTGAAGAACGGCCTGTTGGCAAAGCTCATGATGGCCATGTACAGCGGGCCCTTGTCGGCTCCCCCATTGACCTTGACGTCCTCGGCGCAGACGGGCCCAAACGGCGCGAGCCACTGCATGATGGGCGAGTAGTTCTCCGGGTGGTCGATCTTGTCCTGGGGGTGGCCAAAGTTGGGCGGGAACAGGGTCTCGAGGCGCCGCAGCGTGTTGATGCCCATGTCGGAGGTCTCGTCCTTGAGCCCCAGCCAGCCGACGGTGATCTTGGCCGACTCGTAGGCCAGCGTCAGGTGGGCGCGCCGCTGCTCTGCCTCGGCCGGGTCCCGGAGGTTGACGCAGATGCAGTCCAGCCAGACGCGCAGGGGCACCTGGCGGGCGGCCGGGTTGGACTCGTCTGGCAGGATGGACCGGAAGCCACGGAGGACCTGTCGCAGCCAGGCAGGCGGCTTCTTGGTCTTGGAGGACGATGCGCGGCGGGGGGAGGGCGGCGAGGACGGCTGTGTGCCCGACGAGGAGCTGTCATTTGACGAGGTCTGGTAGAGCGAGGCCTTTTCCCGCAGGAACAGGGCGCGCACATGTCGTAGGGCCTGGCCAAGGGTCTTGGAAACTGTTACTCTGCTGGCGTTGACCCAGATGTGCTCGGTGTCGTTGTCGTCAGAGTCTCGCAGGAGCGCGCAGAGGCCGATAAATTCGAGGTCCCTGGTGACCTTGACGTTGACCATGCGGCTCACGACAGGGTCATTGATGTCCCGGCCCATCTGGATCTCCAGCAGCCGGATTTCTCGGTCATCAAGCTGTATTGGCTTGTAGTCCAGGCTCCTGACGTCGAGTGCCATCTCTCTCTCGCTCGCTCGCTCGCTCGTGCGCGCTCTCTCTTTCTCTGCTGAGGGAAAAAAAAATGTCCAAAAATAAAATAAAATATTGAATGCTAATATCAAAAAAAAATATGAAAAGAGAGGTGTCAAAATATTAGTCTAGTCCCTGGCTTGCGGCAACTAATGTTTTCTAGGGAACACCAATCCATCGCATCCCGCATCGCTAAAACCCAGAGTTCCCACGAAAACTTCGATGTTCCCACCCCAGTCACGTCGATACGCTGATTGTGTTGCGTAAGGGGCCTGACCCTGGTCAAGGCTGTGGCGAGAGACAGGGCAGAAGAATCATTTTTGGGTATTTTTTATTCTTTTTTGGGAGGGGGGGAGGGGGAGGGGTTATGGAAATTACGGGCTGGCTTGAGTCGTGCATCTTGATCTTATAGGACCTTGGTCCTCCGTCTCTATCCATCGCCAAGACTTTTGAGATCCGGAGAACCTGCATCTGTCTTCTCTTTCCCTACACCAATCGATGTCGGCCTGCAGGCGACAGGTTTGAAGACTGACAGGTTCTTGTCGTCCAACCCCCGCCCCCCCCTCTTCTTGTCTCCTCAAGGACTTGCGTTGTGAACAGCCCCTCCGGCCCGATGTCGGTACCGTACCGTCGTCAGTCAGTACTGTAGATTGCTTTCCACTTGCAACAAGTACATAGCCCATAGGTAATCATTGATGCAAGCGGCCGCCCCTCCCTCTCCCCTTTACCTGTCAGGCAGCATGCATCGTTTCCTGGAATTTTCCAAGATTGATGCCCCATTGCTGCCACAGTGGGGTCATCAGGCCCCACAAGTACAACCTCGGTACTACGGAAGATCTTCTTAATCGTCTCGAAAATTACCTGAAGTAGCAAAATGGAGCGTACGTGCACACCGTCCAAACTAGGACGTCAAATTAGAAGGCGCAAAGTAAGGGAAAAAATCTCTTTGACAAATCAGCTGGAGTTTTTTTCATTGTAGTCTCTGCATGATAGCAAGTCGTCGTGCCATCAAGAGATTCTTGAAGGAAGCGTTGGGGGGGGGGGGGGGAGGGAAACTTCCGTTGCGTTTACGAGTTGATAAGTGACAAACTATCTGTAGACGATATGAGCGCCTACACACTGTAATATAATAAGGTTTCGCTCCCAGTATGTGCGGTGTACAATACTAAGTCAGGCTTCCTTTCCAATTGAAAAGCGTCAGTGACAATGTTTTATATCATGGTCAGATAGGGAACGAGCTGGACTTGTTTACCACCAGTCTGCAGTCCTTTTCAAAACCCCCTCTGACCTTCACTAAGCGACCGTGAAATACTAGATACACCACTGCTTTTCTACCCATAGTCTACCGCCACACTAGAACCCATGTCAGGACGTCTATTATTTATCATAGAACATCAGTTCAAATCTACAAGCACCCATCGACAATAATCACAAAAAAGCGTGAGATACTTTTTCGGCCGTACGGTAAGGTTTTGACCATAATACGTAGCGAGGTGGCTGAACACGATTCAACATCCCTGGCTTTAAAAGGGTCATACCGCGCTTAGAGAGCATCCTGTGATTAATTCTTTTCAACTCTAAAAGTCAGGTAATCCTCGTGAACATAAAACTAAGCTAACATCGTGGATAACATTATCAAGAAGCCTGGCGGTGGGTGGATGAATATTGTACGAAGCGAAGCGTCATAGAATGACCAGGTCGCTGTGGTGACATCCATTCCTATTGATGTGCCGAGTCGAGTCACGGCTTGTAGAATTATGGCGCTGGTCATCTGTTCCTGAAATGAGAGAACATTGCTGATATGTTTCTGGAAGCAGTCAGTGATGGTCATGCGGACAGCAGTCGCTCTCTCAAGAGTTCGTATGGAGTCTCACATTGTTCCTAATCCAGTCAAAACCCAGCGTGCTTGAGAATCAGCCATGGAAAGATGGAAGCGAAGTTGCTGCTATCCTTTCGGACCAAAAGCAGCAGGATACCGGCACCTGCTTGGCACAAAATAGCGGCAAGGAGGACATGAATTAGGTCGGTCGAAGGCATTCAGCAGTCCGCCAACGGGCTAAATACAAATCCTGCCACGACTTGTGGGAGAAGACGCACACCTAAGTCGAGAAGGTTCAGCTTCTGGACGTCCTGCACAAAGAATGACGCCCAGAAAAGAGACGAGAAGAACGCAGCTGGTATGCAGAGGGTAGCTATAGATGTCTATTCAAATCAGAAGGGGGCGCGTAAGTGTGCGACAAGTACTTGAGCAAAATCAGATGGAACACATACAAAATGGAAGCGGTAACATTGTTCCGAGACCCTAGACAACAATGGTCTCTCCGCGTGCTGCTCCCATGTCAGGAACCAAAGCCAACCAAACTGCCGTACATCCACAAAACGAAGACTTCAGTGCTGCTCTAGCCATGCGTAGGTCCCAATGTTGGTGCCGCGGATAGGCAGCCCACGCCTGTAAGCAGTTAGAACAAGCCAGGCCAGTTAAGTGTCTTGACGACGGACCACTAATCAGTCGCCAGGCTGCTCTTGTCGATGAAGTTGCCGAATACGGCAAACTGAGTGTCTGAAGGAGAGCCCGCGACGTTGGTCAGGGAGGTGCCTGGGATGTCGGGGATGACGAAGAATCAGACAGTAGAATCTGGCACGGCCCTGACAGAGACGCTGTACTAGTAGACTTGCGCTGGTCTTCAACCCTTGCGTTGTCATCTAGACGTACATCTTTTAGCTGCTCCTCTGCAAAGCAGATCGGCCAGAGTTTCCTCATGTTTGAGTGTATACTTAAGTACTTAAGGAGTCGAATCAAAAGAGTGGCGAGAAGTGGCTGGAATTACGGTGCAGTATTTGTCTCAACAAAAAATTGTGGTGAGAGCAGCTCACGAGTAGCGATTGCGGGGGACTGCAGGATATCCCAAGACTTGTGGTCTGGTCTCAAGTCGGGTTGTGGAGAGTAGAAAAAGTCGTTTCAAAGAAGGGCCAAGTCATTATTGTTGAACGCAAAAGGTGAGCAGGAGACTGAGCATGCAATGTTCTGCTTCCTTGGGGCCGAGCGGGGATGGGCGCTTTTCAATACATTTTCTTTTTGTCCATTCAGATAGAGCAGTTTCGAAGGAGATGTGAATGAATTTCAGACAAGGCCTAGCAGACCAAGACGATCTGCTTCCCGGCCTTTTCCTTCAAGAGCTCTCGGAGGCATTCGTAGCATACTCCTTGCCTGGGCAGCACGATGCACCGATGAACTTTTTTCTGTACAGCCACGATTGCGGCAGTCAGTCTAGCTAGGGAATTGGCGTGTGCCCTCACGATGCTGAAATCACTCGGCACATCAATTAATTCATCCCACGTGTCAAGGGAGGTCCACTGCAACTCGCGCTGTTTATCATGCTCACAGGAGCGTGGGGGCTTCCATCGGGCAAGAAGCTTGTCATCCAGACCCTTCAGAATATCTAGGTCCGCGACCCATGCCTTGCCATTGTAAACAGACACCACCGCCTCCATATATTGGCACTCCACGTCTTGACGCCCGTGTTTGACAGCGTTGCGTACGTGTCTCTCATACCCGGTGAAGGAAAGATGCAAACTTGTCTCCTGAAAATAGTCTGCACAAGTCGAGTCGAACTGAGCGTGGTTGATGACCGTCCACTTCTCGATCTCAGGCTTGGACATGCGTGGGTCTGACGGCGGGATGAGCACCGTCACTCCAGCTCGGCCAACGTTTCCCACGATGCGGGTCAGTTCGAAGTCCGCACAGCGCTCGTACGGATCGCAAAGGATGGCGGAGCATGTATAGATAGAGTTGCCGATCGAGACTGCGAAGACGTCCAGAAAGTCGGAGGCTGGCATGTCCAGAGTCCCTGTGTGAAAAGCTGACACGCATGCCAGGGACTCCTCGCGGTCGAAGCTGAAAGATTCGAAGGCTCGTTCACCTCCTTTCATCAAAGCAGAAAACGAGCTGTTCATGAACTTTGTTAACCCGTGGAGCTCTTTTCGAATCAGGCTCAAAGCTACCGGTGCTCCTGGTAGGAGCTTGTAGAGTCTTGAGGCTGCGCCTAAAAACTTCATGGTAATAAAAAATGGTTCCGCCATGTAGCTGAAGCACTCGAAAGGATCCTCTGATGGTTTTGGCATACTGGAGTATCCCATTGTTATGTCCTCCAGCCTGAAAAAAAAACGACATTATCTTCGTGCTATCCACAAAGCGACTGTTCAGAAGCTTCAGCAATTCGGAGACAGATAGTTCTGAATCACCAGTGGTCCGAGTATCGTCCTTTTCAGCCGCATCATGAAGAATCAACAGTGCAGTATCCTCGGATGTCCCGAGGACACTTTTAAAATGACAAATTCTGTCTGGAGAATCGTCTTGAACTTGGCCGAGATGGAGTAATCCCTCCTTCCAGGATTTCATTTCCTCCGAGATCTCAGGCAAGTTCTTTTCCTTGGGGCCCCAGATGTCATTGTCAGACATGGCTCCACCACTGACCTCGTCTTTCTTGACTGGTGAGTCGGATGTTTTACTGTCGAGATATTTCGGCGGGTTGCGCCAAGTGAGGATCTCATGCTCCATCCTGACATCCTCGGGGTCATATTGCAGATATAGCTCTCTTTGCTCATCTATATGCTGCCGTGCTAGGTTTGCATCGGATGTATCTGGGCAAGGCCCAGAGGTACTGTTGGTGCAAGCTTCGCTGCTGCATTTGCAGCATTTGTCTCGCTGTGCCAACTTCGAAATCCAGCGGACGTGGCCAAGGGTGACCAGTTGCTTGCCGTCAAACCCCCGCTTCAGTGACAGTATCTTGCAGGGGGCTGCGGTCGCGTATTCAATAGTCGTCTCATCATGCCTTCTCTTGCAGCTGATAAGTGGTAGAAAGCATCCGAGGTTACGAACATCGCTTAGAATTCTCAGAGCTTCAAATCTGATTGAAGTCTCGTCATGCAGAAGAGAGAAAAATCCTGAAGAATTGGACAAGCCAAAAAAGGGCGGTGGTGGCGTCCCCAGCAGCGGACGGCCTCTGCGGATGCCTAGGGACACAAGTCTCTTTGCCCTGGGGAGCTCGTCAGAATCGGCTTCGGTCAAGAGGCGAGATGCTGACACCAAGAGACGCATCCAATTGTCTCGAAGTGCCATGAAATCTCGGGCAAGCTTTTGCTTTGTTGCCGCTTCCTGTATGAGTTCCCACAGTTCAACAAAGACACGGGCTGCGTCCATGTATTCAAATCTTGGGTTGAATGAGTCTCCCGCCCACAGACCTAACAAGCCACCAAGAACGACCAAGGTGAAGTCGTCAAAAGACACCTTGGACTCGTCTATAGAGCTGACGGTCGAGACAACCGGGTCACCATAAAATCTGAGGTGACCAAGAGATAGAGACCAGTAGATACCGCGTGAATCCTCGTCATTGTAGTATTCGAGGCCGGTGGTAACGTGGCCGCCTTGTGGGATGAGCTGATCGCCGAAATAGACGCACTCCGCGCGGGTGCTGAACTTCTCGACGTCAGGATAAAGGTGCCACGCCGACATAGCAATCAGCACTGCTCCATTGACGAGCTGCGGCATGCCCTGCAAGAGTTTACCCATTGCCGACATTGCATTATCCCAGGCCCGCATGACGCTTTTGTATACATCGGTGCTGTTGTCGACAGGCAGGTCAATGCCCTGCAGAACGCCCTCCATTTTCTTGTGCTCGGCTTCTTTGACCTTGTCCGCAAAGGAGATCCAGGAACGTGCACTTGCGTCCCATTCAGCCAAGTCCTTTCGGGTGACCTCCTGTTGAGCCGCGGCCATCTGCACAACGTGCGACGGCTCGCTACCATCGCACTGCTCTGCGATCCGCCTCTTTCGAGCGTCGACGAGCTCGACCCAGATCGAGATTGCCTCGGAGGAGCTCCACAGGCGTGCTAACATGCATGCCAGCAAGTTGACTGCCATGGCTGACTTGCCAGATGTGGCCGCTGCCCAAATGCTTGTGCCATCAGCACCCACATGGCCTGAGAAGACTCCATATTTTCTCCTCTTCTCTGAGCTGATGGCCCCAGACTTGGAAATTTCCGAGACGCGCGTGCCATATGCGACAAAGAGCTGGTCCGGAATCGTTACGACCTGCTCAAACAACGCCCCAAGCTTCCGCGCTGTTCTGTGAGCTGCGCCAGTCTCTGCAGCCGTCCGACGACCTGGAGACAATGTGTTGCCTAATGGCTGAAACTGCGCGGGCGCTTCAATCTTGAAGAGGGAGAAATCAAAGTTCAAGTTGGCTAGAGCCAGAGTATTTTCGTTCTTTGCAGTTAAGGCGGAAAGCCCAATATTGCCCAAATTCGTCATTTCTGAAGATGATAACAACAATTTCCCCCGGGGTAAATACAAGTGTAAGAGGGAATAAGTCACACTGGTGAGAAAGCCTAGAGGAGAAGAAGCCCCTCATTTTGAGGACAGTTCTGTTGTACATTTATTCACGCTACCCTGCAGTGGTCTCTGCGTCGTTGGGCATTCTGCCTATGTCTGAGCCCTAATTACTAGTAATGCGTTGCCCCAATGACATGTGAAACTGCCTTGTGGCTGCAGAAAACCCTTGTATAGCTCAAATCAATATGCAAGCCTTCAGCACAGCCTCTGCTACGTGGCAGAGAACAATAGGTAAGGCATTTTCAACACGATGTCACCATCCATAAGCCGGCAATCACACATGGGAGAGCACAAAAGAATGATGACAACCCAAAGTGCTAATTGACCACGGACATGTAGGATGATGTGGTTTGGAGAGGACGTCAGCACTCATTGTTGTAGGTAGGCCGGAGGTCTCGCCCAACAGACATACAAGGGCCACAATGAGGATAAGAATTAGTTGCTGCTTGACATCAGAGTGATCAAACAAGATGCTTAGAAGCATAAGGCTGAAGAAGAAGAGAAAGATAAAAAGGAAGGAGGGCCGAGATGATTTTCTTGTACAAACAGGCAAGGGTTGCGCCCCCCCCCCCCCCCCCCTCAGCTCTGTTCTTCTACCATTGAAGATAGAAACAGTATCATTTAGGATTGAGGCACATTGGAGCTTGTGTGTATAGCAGAGACCTGTTTAAGAGAGACCACCATCAAGATTCCATGACTGCTACACATGTTTCTACAGTGATCAGATGAGAACCTCAGGACGGGCGTCAACAGCATCGACTCTTCTTCGCACGTGTGTCTCGAGGGTAGTGTTAGCATGTACCATCGCAATCACTGCAAGTCGCTATCCCCAACCAATGACGATGATCATGAAATTTTTATTTTTCCTTCTGATCCACTTGCGCCGTTGCCCTTGCCAGATGAACCTGTGCTCAACTATGCTTTTGCAGCGTGTCCTACCAATCTGTCACTGCTTGCTATGTTTTTGACCGCACCCTGCCGCACCGTTCTAAGGCAAAGAAGGAAAGGAATGAGACATGCTAAACTACACCATACAACGCCTCTCTATCCTCCACTACCAATTATCGGCCATTTACATTCTGCATGCGCGAGATCTCAGCCTGATACCGGATTTTGAAACCGTTTGTCAGAGCCTTCATGTCCGGATACTGAGCCTTGAGGAACTCATAGCCATTGGGCACAACGCGGACCGGCCAGCCCATGACTCGTGAAGTACGGTTGGCCTTGAAGCAGAGCCAGAAGTATCCAGCATGCTTGCTATCAATGCAGAAGGCGTAGCTGGATCGGTTGGGGTTGGCGTCCATATAGGTGGTGAGCCATCTCTCTGTGAAGGATCTGGTTAGCTTACTGGGTGGTACCATTGATGTAGACGCTGCTGAGTGCACGCGAGACTTACCCAACTCATTGCGCGAGCCCTTCTGGAACTTCTCGTGCTGCATCATCTCCGCAACCTTGCGTGCCATGGCCTTGACGTGCTCGACGATCAACTCATCCAGATCCGTGTAGTTAAACTTGCCGACCCTGAGCAGACGACCAACAGAGAACTCGTTCTCCTTTTGCAGCTCGAGCACATCGACGTGCTGGTAGACGCCATCCGCCACCTTCCAAGTGATTGCCAGATGATCGTTACCCTTCGATGATGGTCTGATAATGACCTCTCCAGACGCTTGCGATCCGAGATACTCCTCAGCCTGTGTCGAGTTGAACGGTTTGAAGAGAGGGTGGTTGATGACACGCTGTGTGCGACCTGTCGTGCTGTCCTTCTCCTTGAGCTCCTCCCTGTCGTGCCTCTCCAGATCAAAGTCCCAATTGCGGTCATCATGATCCATGCGCTTCCTGTAGGGCACACGCAGAGCGTCCTCCCGAACAGACAACTTTGCGATGAACGCCTTGCGGTCAACGTGAAGAAGCTTGGCCTGGACAGTCTGTCCAATAGAGAGGACATCCTTGACAGAAGTCGAACGGTAGGAGACCTCATCAGCTTCGATACGGCCCTCGATGCCGCAGTCGAGCCTGACAATGGCAAAGTCATCCTTCACCACCCGCACGTTGACGGGAATGATCATGCCCTCCGCAAGGGAATCCCTTGTCTCGCCTGTGAACATAGTGAAGATTTCTTCAGTGCTCAGTGGCAAGAAGGGGCGTCGCAGCTCTTCGTACGGGGCCTGGAGTTCTGCTCGGATGGTCTCGAGCGTGGCGCGCTTACGCTGGCTGTATTGTTGTTCCAGCTGTTCCGCGTACTCTTCTAGCACGAGCTCGTTCACCTTGTCCTGCTCGTCGTCCCGGAAGAGCTTGCGGACGACCGCACCTGGTCCGTTCTCATCTGTCTCGGCCTTAACATCCTCCTCGTCCAGCTCAAGCGCGTCGGCCGCCATCTTGCGACCAAGCTCGTAATCTTCGGGGTGGACTCGGGTGTTATCTAGGGGCTCCGTCTGGGGATTCGTCGCATCGTATTCGATGTAGAGGAAACTGGCACAATTGTCCCAGACCTTGACGCCAACCACGGGCAGTTTGTTGTTGTCAGGATCACCCACGAGTTCATCCCGCCTAATGACAGAGCCACCGTTCAAGTTGATACCTTTGATGACAGCCTGCGCTTTTCGAGGACCCAGGCCAGAGACATAAGGCAGAAGATTTGCAACATAGGGATTGCTAACCGCCTCGTTGATGTCGACACCGCAGAGATTGACTAGATCGACCATGGCCGTCTCGAGATATTTCCTCAGCTTGTCCTCTGGCAACAGGCTTTGGCAGGGGTGGTATAATAGTGAGACAATGTCCTTGCCGAGCGCTGCATACTCCTTCAGAGGGTCCTGCAGATACTTTGCGAGTGCCACGCAGTACCGAACAAGAGGGGCGAGAGTGGGGTGCTCGGCCTTGCCTCTAGGGCTATCCTTGTAGAGTCGGGCAACTTCGTCGTTGACGACCAGGACCTCAAGCAGATCTGTTCGTAACTCGTTGGTTTCAGGGTCATCATAGGATGGCCCCATAATCCCTTTTTCGTTGACCAGATTCTCCAAATCCTTGACGAGCTTGTTCGAGTCGGAACAGAATCCGCTGACAGCGATGACATCGGGTTGCCGCCGGTTGACCAGGTTGGTAAATTCTTCGCGGGCTTCCTCATCCCGGGCTAAATTTCCTAGTTGACCGCTCTCGATGACCCGGCCATCCTCCTCAACCCAGGCATAAGAGATCTTTTCCCTGCCTGGGTCCGTCATGCCGTTCGAAAATGCAAGCACGCGAGCAGCCGTGCCGAGTACCATTCCCTTTGGCTTGTACGGAGCTTGGTCGAGCTTTTTCGAAAATTCCTCGCGGCAGAGCTTGAGGATGGATTCCTGACATTGTGTCCGCATCGCATCCTTGACCGCCTTGACCATGGCCTTGTCCAGCTTCGACAGTGCGAGCTCGAGCACCTTCGAACGCTCCTCGTTCCAAGCGTCTGCCTTGTTACTGTAGTTGTCCGAAGTAAAGTCGGCAAAGAATTGCTTTTTGAACCGCGAAACATCCCTGAGGCTGATCTTGACTTCAAGCAGGCCCTCTTCCTCGGCCTTGAGCATCTTGAGGAAGATCTCTGGTCTCCGCGCGAGGTCCGCCAACGATTGGTTTTGAAGGTATTTGACCTCATAGTAAGGATGCGACTCTTCGATTTTCCGCATGCCTTTGCTCGTCCGTTGACAGTCCACAACGCAAGTCATAAAGTAGGTGGCCCGCATTGCCTTGCGCAGGCGGGGACTCGTAAACAGTTCTTCAGCATAAAGCTGCCGGGCAGCACTGATGACAGAGTCGCCAGTGAGGAACTCGCCGTCAGTCAGGTTATCGGCCAGATCGACTGGATAATCGGACGGGTCGTCGGCCACGATTCTCTGCACGTTTGATTGCGCATTGACTCGATTCGTGACCACCTGTTCCGGGGACAAGCCATATGCTTGAAAGAAGTTGTAGGCCTTGCTCCTTCTGACCCTATCAAAGATCGCAGACCTTGCACCAGGCCGCTTCACCTCCTTTGTCGTGCCATCTGTGGTGGCATCCTTCAGTTGGGTGGCATATTTGAAATTGACGTAGTCGAGTAGATCTTGCAGCTCGTCCATCTCCCTCGCCTGAGGGATGAGCTCCTCGAGCATCTGGTCCTCGACGCCTATGCCCCGGAGTGTGGCGGCTAACTTCTCCACCGCTGACCTCTTCTCTATGAAACCACGGAATTTGATGTCGAGTTCCACGATGCGCCAGAGATCGTCCTGGTTCAGTAGCTTCTCGGCCTTGACCTCGTACTCAGACTCATTCGAGTCCAGATCACGCCTATCGAAGTGTGGGTTCTTCATCTTCCTGGCGTGGATAAGATAGTCCTTGCGGTGCTGGAACACATAGGGAACCTCAACGTAATCAACTACGAAGAACTCGAGGACCTTGTTCACCGCCTTCGAGAACGGTCCCTCGAGCGACGACTCCATAGCAAACTTCCTGGCCTCCCACATCTGGTTTGCGATCCACTTCGTCTCTTCCTTGAGATCGGGCGTGACTTGTGATTTCTTGAAAGGTCGGCGGTCAAGCTGGAAGCGCTCGGGCTCGTCCGTGACGCGAACGTCGTTGTCGGCCTCGGTCAACAGCTTCTCGGAGAGTTGTGACGGTTCGAAGACATCTTTCAGCTCCAGAGGCTGCTCCTCCTTGCCCGCCTCCTCGTCCTCTTCCTTGTATAGAGCCCATTCGTAGTCCTCGCCGTTGCCGAAGATGGCCTCCATATCCTCGAGTGTCTCCTTGTCAAGGCCAGTGGCGTCGATGACGCTGCCCACGGCGAGTCGGTCACGCCCCCGGGCGACCTCCATGTCTTCTTGCTGCCTGAGCCGCTCGTCTTCGTCGTCGTAGTCTTCCTCAATGAAGTCATCGAACTCGTCGGCAGCGGCTCGGGTGTGACTAGGGCGGGAATAATGACGGTCATCATCCGCAGCGTCTTCGTCTTCGGAGAACATGTTGGCGAGACCGTCCCGCTTGCGTAGATCGTCTTTATCGCCATGGCCACGCTTGAGGCGCTTGTACTGCGACTGAGAAGAGGGTTAGCACGTGGCACAAAGGGGTGAAGGAGTGAAGGCTGGGAGATGGGGTGGTCACGTACCTGAGCAGCTTCTCTGCGCTCAAAGTCAGGATTCGCTTCGCCGATCAGGTCGAGATCCTCGTCATCAAGGACTTCTTCTTGTTCGCGTTCAGCGCGCCTTCGCTTCTTGCGCCTGCGCCGTTCGCGCTCGTCGGAGTCTTCAGCGTCATCCTCTTCATCCTCGTCGACGATGAAGCCTTCGCGGATCTGTAGCAGTCGAGGTCAATTTGGTAGCTCGGACGCGCAGTCAAGCGACAAGAGACGTTGGTTGGCGTGACTTACCTTGCGGGCCTCCTCCTCATCATCGTCATCTTCATCCTCCTCACTGGAATCCTCCAATGCAGGGTCCCGTTGACGGCGGCGGGGGGCACTGCCCTCATCGTCATCTCCAGCAAAGGACTCGTCATCCTCCTCGTCGTCAAGCTCAGCATGATCATCGATCAGATCTCGCATCGAGGCGCTCATGGTGGCGGTGGATGCGCTTAGGGCGCTATTCTGATCTTTCCTGTATTGACGGAGCTGAAGCGACTCGTTCGTAGTTCCGTATTTGGCAAAGCGATGACCGCCTTGGATGGTCTAGTTGCCAAGCTCGGTGCGTTGAAGGATGAAGAATAGGTCGGGGTTTCGCGAGGGAGTCGAGGATCTCTGTATGCCAGCGAGAAGGCTCTGGCGCTGAGGTCCGCCTTGGATGTGGGTTGGGGACTTTGCAGCTGCTGTTAGCAATGGAGCAAGCTCGTCAAAGGCAGCGCGCCAACCTTTTTGCCAGCCTCGTTTGCAACGCACGGGCCCCTACTAGAAGCCTCAGGGTTAGGGCTGAAATGGAGCTATCGCGTCTTGGGGACGAGCTGGGCACACGCCGTGAAAATGCTACAAGCAGGCATAGACTTTCCACTTCTGCAAATGGCAAGCAGCTCTATGAAATTTTACATTTCAGGACGGATGTGCGCTGGTGCTGGTACGCGTGAGGCATGTTCAGGCTAGAGTAGGGTCTGTTATTGGTGATTCGCTTTAAGGGTCACGTCTATCGACGTCGAGCAGTCATTATGATTGAATGATGCAATAAATAGAAGACTTCACTTTCACCTATCTTTCATGAACCAGTCATAAAAGCGCTCGCTCTCACCATTTCCCACTATGTTTGGCAGGCAGGATCGTTCCCCGTTGTCTAGGAACATTCGACAACCCAAACATGGAAGTCAGCAGCCCCTTTTGGTCACGGAAGAGGCCTGACGCATTGGATGAGTCTATAAGAGCTGCTCGAGACCTGCAGAACACATCTTGGGAGATCACATCTTGATTTACGCATTCGAGATTAGGTCGCTGCCAACGTCAAAGAGGGAAAGAATCAGGCCGATATGCAGCGATGACCTTGCATTTTGAACATTGGCATTCATGGCATGTAGTGCTTGCTGTATGTGGCCTTCCCAATTACCACGCAGTTATTCTCCCCAGCCCTGGATAGCCGTGCAGTCCGATCAGACTCTTATGTCGATCGGGTCACAATCTTTCCTAGTTAGGCTTTCGTGATGCTGGGAAGGATGCAGTCTATCTTTTTTACGCTAAGCTCCTCCTAGCTGTCCAGCATCGCAAAGCTCGAGACGGTGAGCTCACCTCTGCGGAGCGAGATAACTTCGGGAAGATGAGCCAAGCTATAGACAAGGTGGCCGACAGAGTATTAAAGCCAGTGAGCCAGAAATAAGCGCTGTCGCGCGAGGAAAATACTGGTGTGGATGATGAGCCAAGGGCCTGGGCTCCGTCCCGGCGGCTCAAATGTGCTCTTGTATGAAAAGAGACGGCGGAGAGGGAGAGGGGAAAACAAAAGGCTCAAAATAAGTAAAAGTATGTAGTTGAACAGAGGACTCAAATTGAACAGTGAAGCATGCCCTGCCTGTGTTCCGAGTTGTACAGAAAAAGGTAGATGTCTGTCTGTTCTTGAAATGGGCAAGGCCGTGTAGGTGAGGATCCACTTGCATGCCTGGGCTTCATTGTCCGTAAGCCACACTACCCACCTAAACACCAATAGACATTGAACCAAGATTGAACTAAGAGGATGAGATCAATGCCTGTAACGATGATTTTGTAGATCAGGTAGGAAGAATATCACAACTAGGCGTTTCAAAAGGTGGCTCGATAGCCGAAGGATGATAGCTATATCAACAGCGGGAACACGCTGCATCTTGGACGAGCAAGCCAAAATCAGCGGGCACCTTTGTTAGGGGATGAACACTGCGCCCAAAAACGAGAATATGCTTATGAAGACCATTTTGAGAGCGCCGCCAGTGGTGTCCCCAACCCAGAAGCTGGGCCTCTGATGGGCCGCTGGAACGGCGCCTCATCATCGTATCTCCACTGTGTCGTCAATGATGCCACTTTCTCACCCCTATTTTCCCTGGTCTAGGAGGAAGGGGAGGATGACGGATCGTGTTCCAGAAACAAAGGGTGGGACGGGACGTATTGATATCACAGCGACGACCCGGGGGCGAACTACCGCCTCAGACCGCAGCTCAGCGTCAACACAGGGTTTGAACGTCATGAATGTCATGACCTCTCAAACATGTCTTGATTGGAAGAGGACAGCCTGAACGACAATACAGCAGTATCTGAACTCCTATGGGCAGGGGGGAGGGAGGGGGAAACACGAATCGGATCAGCGCGGGTGATTGTGCAGTGTTTGGACCGCATTGTCTCTATGATATAGTCAGTTTGTACTGTACAAAGTATTCACTTAGACTGGGACCAAAGGCTGTGTAGTTGTCGTGCAGAAACGAAAGAGTCTGGTGCTGGATCTGAGGGATCATAACCTTCCCCCCCTCCCCTTCTCCAACCCCCGACGGTGAATCATCATAGGTTCAAAAGGCCTACCAATAGTGTTCGTTTGTCGTACTTCTGTCCTCAAGCCTAGGTGGATTCATCGACTAGCTCCTCGTTTTTCTTTGGCACACAGGCTTTGGGTTTCCGGCCGTGCCCTCGTTTTGGATTGGCCCCCACAACTGGTGCTGTAGACCACTGAACCAACTCCAAGCGAAGGACCCCTGACCTGATCCAGCACGGCGTATCTTCGTCTTCCTGACCTTGACTCCGAGACCCCTTTCATCTTTTCAGCCTCCAGACCGCAGTTTACTGTTTTTCTTCCTCCTCTTCTTCTTTCTTTGTCTTGTCTGTCTGAGCAATTCTGGTCTGGTCTGTCTTAACATGTGTCAGTACCCAACGTCTTGAGGACGGTAGTCTAGATCTTGCTTGCCCCAGCAGATCGCCTAACGCGTGTACGGGAACCCCAGTCATACCCAGCAGAACTGCTAACGAAAAGCGTTACAGCGCCTGGGACCAACCCAGCTAGAGGAGACACCCGCCGCGGACCCTAGCGCCACGAACCACCTTCACCCCACCAGAGGTTATCGTTGCGACCTCACCATCCATTCAACCTGACCACGCTTGGCGGCCCAACCTCGAAACCACTCCTCAGACATCTTTGCCCACGTTCGTCGTTCACCTCTCCCGGCGCCCTCGCAGCTCCTATTCTCTGGCCTCCCCTTCCGTTGAGGACGAGCTCGAGTTGAAGAGTCCAAGACCAGCACGGGATCCTTAGAGACTTGAAGCGAAACACCAGTCGACACACCAGCGGGCCCCTTCCTCCCAAACGCAAACGCTCGCGGTTGTTTCGGCCTCCACAACCTACGAGTGCCCGTATCAGAGGCCTCGTGGTAATCTGAACAGACAGTCAACGAGAGGCGCGACGACCCTCATCAAGGTCATCTTAGGAGCAACGACAGACAACACATTTTACGATGGCTGATCCTTTTGCGCCGCGCTCTATGAAGCGCAAGAACGTCAAAGGCCTCGCCTTGACCCCCGCCGCTCCCAAGCCGCCACCGACCGCCGAGAACGCCAATTTCAGTCACTCGAGGAACAACCAGTCTGAAGACACCTCAGCACAGCTGGAGATCGGCATCGAGTTCAACCTCGACCTGCGCCCAGAGGATCTCGAGATCATCAAGGACCTTGGCTCGGGCAACGGCGGCACCGTGAGCAAGGTGAAGCACATTCCGACCAACACCACCATGGCCCGCAAGGTTAGCCGCTCTGATATGCCTGAATCGGCTGCATGGTTGTCCTAACATTATGCTAGGTCATTCACGTCGAGGCGAAGCGAGAGATGCGCAAGCGTATTGTTCGAGAACTCCAGATCATGCACAACTGCCATTGCGAGCACATCGTTACGTTCTACGGTGCCTTTCTCAACGATAACAACGATGTGATCATGTGTATGGAGTACATGGACGTTGGGTAAGGTGATCCCCTTGTGTGCAGCGGCTTCCTGTTTGTACCATCATGCTGACGACCGCCGCAAAGTTCTCTCGATCGCGTCTCCCGAGTTTTTGGCCCTGTCCGCGTCGATGTCTTGGGCAAAATTGCAGAAGCGACGCTCGGTGGCCTGACCTACCTCTACTACAAACACCACATCATGCACCGAGACATTAAACCCTCCAACATCCTTGTCAACTCGCGTGGCCATATCAAGCTCTGCGACTTTGGTGTGTCTGGAGAGCTGATCAACTCTGTCGCGGACACATTTGTGGGCACTTCCACATACATGGCCCCGGAGCGAATCCAGGGTGAAAAATACACGGTCAAGTCAGACGTTTGGAGTTTTGGCCTGTCCATCATGGAGCTTGCCATCGGGAAATTCCCTTTTGCCGCCAGCGAGCAGCTGTCGGATGCGGAGGCAGCCCCGGCTGGTATTCTAGACCTGCTCCAGCAGATTGTGCACGAGCCAGCGCCTAAGCTGCCCAAGAGTGATGCTTTCCCGCAGATCCTGGAGGATATGATTCAGAAGTGTCTCTTGAAGACACCAGATGATCGGCCAACGCCCCAAGAACTCTACGTATGTCACCCCACCAGATACAGGCCAGCGTGGCAGCCACTGACAAGCACCATGACATAGGATCGCGACCCGTTCGTTCAGGCCGCGAAGAGGACACCGGTTGATTTGAGAGAATGGGCAGTCAGCCTGATGGAGAGGGACAACCGGAAATCTCATCTTGCTCCTCAGCTCTCACCAGGTACTCAGGAGCTCTTGAGATCCAACAACTCTCCAGACGGCGCCGCAGAGGATCGTGCATTGGCGACACCCACGTCAGGTGAGATCCCCATCGTGGGTGCTTTACTCCAGTCACCTCGTGACCAATATAACAGCGCATCGAACCGATCACCGACGCGAAGCGACCGGGGGCCAGGGAGCAGCTCAGCTGGCCGACCAGGTGGACCGCCTGTTCATCCGGGACTTGGATCACGCGTAAGCACGACAAACTCGATCCCGAAAATGGCTCCGCCTCCACCTCCGCGTCCCGGTCGTCACAGCCCCAATCTTTCAGCCGGCTCGGGCAGCGGCAGGCAGGCTACCTTTGCCTTGCCCGTGCGTCCTGCTCCTGCCGGACCCCTTCCGAACCCACCGATGCGGAAGCAGACGCCGGACGAGACAACAAGCGGCAGGGGGCCAATGCGGCGGCAGGCGACCTGGGGTGCTTCGTCGGGCTCGATGGGTGCCCAGGGGATGGGTGGATATCCAGCAAACCAAGTAAGGCGCGAATAGGATCCGCTTTCCTTACTCTCATATCATCTGGACAGCATCTCCCCGCATCGCGAGAGAGAGCCTGTCATTCCCATCACCTATCCAAGTCTCCTTTTCCATTACCTGTACTCAACCCAGGACCAATCCGTCATATCTCTCTACTACCAAGCATCTTCGTTCTCCTCTCTTGTGGAGACTGGTCCTTCCGAAAGAGATCTTACCACTGCAGCCAGCTCTCCATTCTCGTCACTCTAGCATCTCCTCGGAGTACTCGGCTTTGAACTCAGCAGCTCTAGCGAAGGGCAAGGTCGATGTTAGCACTGTTTCACAACAGACTGTCGGCTTGTGGAACGGAGGGTACTTCTGCTCGTCGTTCTCCTTTCTTTTTCTTCGTGTGGATGGCATCAGAGTAGTTTTGCAAGGATTTATTTTTGTTCAAGGACGACCGAAACATTCAAGCACCTTTGTTGTGGCCAGCGAGCATAATCAAGATTTGTTGGACAGATGCATTGTCGTCTAGGATAGCAATACCAGATCCGTTGAGACGCAGAGTAAGCGAGCCTCAAGGCTCTAGGGGTTCATTGAACGGTCTACGCTAGACGGGGGCAAATAATACGGTTGTTTGGTTGAGAACTCCTTTCTGTGTCGTGGGTCTATTGAACGGTCGTATTATATGCGTCTAAACTTGAAGCTCAAAGGCTTGCCGGTCGATGTAGTGCCTCGCCAAAGCGTCTATGGCGTCTCAAAACTCTCGTCCCTTGAACCCCTCTTCTAAGATTCCAATCAGCTCATCCAGCCGCGATATCACTACATCTGTGTGCTCGTGCTCTACGAGATGCTCATTGGCAGAATTAACAAGCAGCACCGTCGCAGCGCCAGATTTCCGACCAGCCGTCATGTCATCGATCGAGTCGCCAACCATAATCAGCCCGCTCGCATCAGCGTCTCCTGCAACACCTCTTGCATCGCTCGGAACAGCCTCGCTGTACTTCTCCCCCTGCGCGTCTACACGGATCCTCTCCCCATCCAGCACTGCCGCCTTTCGACCTGATGACCCCTCCTTGGTGAGCCCCCAGCTCGACGCAATGTGCAGGATACCTGCTGGGTCCGGCTTCGGCGGCCTGAACTCGCGCGTGACGATGGGGTGGAAAGCTTCGACCTCAGACAGGAACTTAGTGAGCAGGTGGTTCACGGGGGTGTCGAAGTTGCGAGTACAAATGCCCTTCGGGATGCCGCGGTCATCGAGGTAGGTCATCAGCTGGACGAGGCCCGGCTGGGGTTTCTGAGAAGCCATAGCTGTGCGTTCTATGTCGCGGATGGCCTCCATCGCCTGCTCGCGGGCCTCAGGGGTCGGGAGCGAGTAGACGTGCTCTAGGATGTCGGTCTTCTTGGTGATGTTGAGGGCCTTGCGCATCTCGGCGAACATGTAGTTCTGAGGTTGGCTATGGGCGGGTGAATGGTCAATTTATGTGTCGCACAAGCCATTGTGTATCTGAACATCCAAACACTTTCTCCTGTTTTGCAGATGTGAGAAAGACTCACCACAAGGTCCCATCCACATCAAAAACGATTCCCTATGTGATCATATTCATTAGACAAAGGACGAACGAAAGGTGAGAAGCCATTCCCCACCCTCAGTTTGGGCAGATGACTGCCGGCCGTGGACCCAATCTTTAGGGGTGCAAATTGCCTTCTCGATCTTGAAGCCATGACGGACATGAACCTGCGCATGAGGGCTCTGATGAGAAGACGATATCGAGGTAGTCCGGCCGAGGCAAGGTCAGAGTGCAAAGTTAAAGCGTCACCACACGAGATGGCTTCGTCGACCTTGTGTGACCACCGCGGTAATGAGTTTTTCCTCTCTCTTCGATGCTGTTGCTACTTCCCAGTGGTCTTGTGACATCAAATGTCTAAGATATGGACAGAATTTGTGGATGAGCGTGCACGTATCAGTCTTTTTGGTTGTTTAAAAGGGGGGAATGGTCCGTTGTGATCATATCGCCTTGGTACGTACTATCCATTACTCATTGGAGGTTTCTCTTGTCGCCTCAATTAGGCAAGTTTAAACTGCTATCATAGAAAGCTCCGTAGTACGCCTACTGTGTGGAAAAAGCAGCTTCCAGGCCCGGGCCATTGCTAACGGCTCCAACGTTGGGCAGGGATGCAGCCCAGCCCTTTCTCCCCACATCTCACATCGTTGAACCTTGGCCTGCTTGGGTGGCCAGCGGGTTGCAACCACAAGGCCAGCGGTCCGTCGTCATCCGTGTGGGTCCTCTACCTGTCTCTGCTGCTCCAATGCTCTAAAATCAGAACGTTGGACTCCTCTTGCCTCCTGCATTCTTCGCGCGTAAGACAACACGCGAACCTGCGCAGGCTCCAGCACCAAAATCGAGCTCATGTTCCTCCGAGAGAACATGAGTGATCTCTGCTTCCTCTTTATGCAGTCTTTTGGCGATGTTTTTGTACACAGTTTTGCAGACTGGCTTAGGTAGCAAGCAAGAACAATGAGCACCTCGTCACCATCAAACTCTCCCTCGTCGCCATCCGGCCCTTGGCGACGGCCACCCTTGAGAAGCGTAGGTCCTCGTCTGCTTATACCTGTTACTACTTTTCTGCTTCTTGTTTCTACTTCTCCAGTCGCCTCCACGACAGATCACTAAACTCTTGTGGCTTGACTACACAACAGAAGCTTCGAAATGGCACCTTCATCGATCCCCAGACAGGCGAGCGCTCACGTCGCCAGTTTACCCTCCGCCACACCGAGACGGGCGACAGCGAAAACTCCAACCACGCCGTACCCTACTTCTCCCGCGAGAACTTCTCTGGGCACGTGGACGCTCTGATGCACAAGTCCAAGGTCGTCGCTGCGCACTCGTGGGAATGGCTGCTGAGCCCAGCTGGACGCGGCGTCCTCAAGTGCACGCTCGCGTACTCACTGGGGAGCCTGTTTACACTGTGGGCGCCGCTCTCGGACTTCTTGGGTAAGCCGGACGGCAAACATGTTGTTGCGACGATCACGGTCTACTTCCATCCCGCGAGGACGGCAGGCTCGATGATCGAAGGGACTCTCATCGCTATAGTGGCAGTGATTTACGCCGAGATTGTGTCCATCGCTTCAATGGCCACTTCGGTTTTCTTCGGCTCTACCCTGCATATGGTCGCGTTGGCATATATCCTCGTCTTGCTCATCTTTGTCGGGGGAGCATTTGGGTTTCTGGGGTGGGTAAAGCAGAGGTTAAACAACCCACTGGTCAACGTCGGGAGCACTCTCGCCTCCTTGTCCATGATCAGTGTCCTGACCAAGGAGAACGCAGTGCAGGATCACATCTTCTCGAACCTGAAGATTGTCCAGGTCCTGAAGATGCTGGTTTGCGGGACCATTATAACTATCGCAGTCAATCTTTTGTTGTGGAGAACGTCTGCCCGCACACAGCTGCGAGAGAGCATGACGAAGGCCTCGCAGTCCCTGGGAGACATGCTGGGGATGATCTCTCACGGATTTTTGAGCGGCGCTGAGGAAGAGATGCTCACATCGGACTTCAGAAAAGCTGAGAAGGCATACGACACCGCGTACGGGAAGATGTCGAAGAACCTGAGAGAAGCCAAGTTCGAACATTATTTTGTCGGCGATGAGAAGATTTACCAGCTAGACAAGGCGGTTTACAAGTCCATGGAGAACCTGGCCCAGTCTATCAGAGGCCTGAGAAGTGCAGCAAACACACAATTCGTGCTGCTGAAGGAGCCAGCAACGGAGCCGGGGTCTGGGACGGTGTCTCCGGCACAGTTGCTGTCGCCCTCGCTGCATCGGACTTCCTCGATAACCTTCAGACTTCAGCCGACACTATCAGCTATCGACGAGGACTCGGATGAGAGCGAGGAGGATCAGGCTGTTAGAGGAAGAAGCCCGAGTAGTGCACCCACGTTTCGTTCGCCGTCTGACATTTTCGATCTCTTCATCGCTTTGTTGGGTCCGTCGGTGAAGTCCTTGGCTTTCACATTGTCGGAAGTCCTTAAGGAGCCTCCTTTTGGAGAGGCACCAAATTACGATATCACGATTAATGACACCTTTCGACGAAGTCTCCTGGATGCTGTGTCACTGTTCAACCAAAACCGAGCGAAAGCTCTAGAGGAGCTGTACAAGACGATCGAGCTGGGGCGACCAAGGTCGGAAAAAATCAAGGCAGACTTCGAGGAGGTCGCCGCCGCTTGCGGACACTTCAGCTTTTCCCTTCAGAGTTTCGGCGAGGAGATGAGCAAGTATTTGGATGTGCTAGACGACCTCAAGTATGCCTCTGAGCACAAGAAGCAGAGCTGGCAATTCCTCGCCATTTGGAAGCAAATTCACCTCCGCCAGATTCAAACTCCCCTCCTACCCTTCGAGGTGGAGCGAGAGCCCATGGTGCGACCCATCCGAAAGTCGCAAATGCCTCGTGGGATTCCAGATCAAATGGTCTCGCGTCGCGATACCTTCAGCTGGGAGGCGGAGCCTCAAGCCAGCCACACCGCCAAGAAAATCTCAACGGAAGTCTTGAAATTCTTGCGTTTTTTGGGCAGAGATGATAGTAAGCTTGAAACCCTACGATGCAGGTCCTACGGAAAGGTAGCTAACCAAATCCTTTTACAGTCCGCTTCGGAATTAAAGTCGGGTTCGGCGCCATACTCTGGGCCATGCTCGCCTTTCTCCCTGAGACCAAGCCTATTTATATGCACTGGCGAGGCGAGTGGGGTCTGCTATCTTTCATGATTGTCTGCTCCATGACGGTTGGCGCCGCGAATACCACAGGCACAGCCAGATTTCAAGGGACACTCTCTGGGGTCTTCTTTACCCTCATCAACTGGAATGTCAGCCAAGGCAACGGTGTGGCACTGCTCTTCCTTGGCGCCATCGTAGCCTTCATCAGCTTCTATATTACCATCGTGCAGAACAAGGTATCTTTCGGGCGGACAACCCTCCTCGCATACAACGTTTCTCTGCTTTACGCCTATCTCATTGCCAACAAGGTAGAAGATGACGACGATGACGAGGGTGGGACTACTCCCTACATTGGCGAGATCTGCCTGCACAGAGCCCTTGCTGTCACGGCGGGTATCATCTGGGGTCTCGTCGTGTGTCGACTCATCTGGCCCATTTCAGCGCGCAAGAAATTTCGCGAAGGCATCTCCGTCCTATACCTACAAATGGGTCTTATTTGGAAACGAGGCCCCCTCGCCATCCTCCTGCGCAGTGACTGCTCGCGCTCATACCTCAGGTCCGGCGAACAGGCCGCCTTGCACCGCTATGCATCTCGCCTCGAAGTCTTCCGCCAATCCGCCATGTCCGAATTCGAACTCCGTGGGCCATTTCCTAGTGAGGCGACCGGCCGTATCATGCACAGCACAAACCGACTTCTCGATGCGTTCTACGCCATGAGCCTCGTGACACAGCGGCGAGGCCAATTGTCTGATGGCGAGAAAGCTCTATTGCTATTCACGGCTAAGGAAAGGGCGGTCCTGTGCGAGCGCATCTGCCACGTCTTCCAAGTTTTGGCAAGCTGCTTGATGCTCGAGTATCCCCTTACGGATGCGATACCGAGCGTCATGGGCACGAGGGACCAACTGCTGGGAAAGATATTCCAATTCCGAAAGGAGCATGCTGCCGCCCTACGAGAAAAGCGGGATGCAGAGGTTGCAGAACAAAGCGAGTCTGCCGTTGTGGCTGGCCCGACCAATGCCTCCAGCGAGAGCGTGAATGGCGATCATCCCCCAGCTGGGCCAGTCTCCACATCTATCACCATTGCTAAACGTCGTGGTAGTGGCGGTAGCAGCACCAAGAGGCCGGCGGGGCACTCGACACTGAGCGGCAGCCTCGCAGGCCAGGTGCAGGTCGAGGAGAGGGACTACGCCCTACTATATGCATACGCGCTTGTCACTGGTCAGGTTGCGGAGGAGCTCAAAACCGTCAAAAAAGAAGTCGAGGCTCTGTTTGGAGTGCTGGACGAGGAGGCACTTTTGTTGCAGTAGAATGGGCGAACTGGTCAACGGGTTCAGGGACAAAGATGGAAATTTGGCTCAACGTGCTTGGAGTCCGGGAATTGGAAAATAAGAGATGGAACGCAAAACATGTTGTCTCTCTATCATGGACACGATAGCGGTTTGGAATTCTGTCTTTTCATCACCGAGCACGGTGTTTTGGTCGTTTCTTGTTTCCTACTTATTTCAGGTGTGACTTCAGGTGGAATTTTTTATTTTTATTTTCCTTCTCACAGATTGAGATTAGTGACTGGGATCGAATACCTCTTGCGTTTGCGCGGACTACTTTTATATGCACCTGCGATTGAGACCTGTAAGGGAAGGCAGTACTTCTTTCCAGGTTGTTTAAGGGGGGTACAAATGTTCATATCGGTTCACAGATTTATTCTCTCTCTCTCACCCCCCCCCCCCCCCCAACGACCCTGCGGTGATAAGTGATTAAGAATTCTATGCCATTCTGAATCCTACGTCTTACCTGGCCTACCGACTTGACTCCTTTATTGGCCAAGCAATCGTCCGGCTGACAATGCAATTGCCTGAACTCGCTCCGGCTAGGCTAGCTCTTTTCATCGTTTACTTAGACAATGCATCAAGCTTCAGCAGGATACGGCGGATGGCCTCCTCCCTAGTGCTTGAGGTAGACTTGAAATACTTATCCAGCCGCTTCGACTTCGCCAGGCACCACCTCAGCTTGTTGATCAGGTGCGCCTCGAGGCAGACGCCCTCGTGACCCAGCAGGCACTCAAGGAAGTCCAGATCGAGCGTCCCATCGCTCGGAAATCTCGGTTTAGAGATCATCTCGGACTCGGGCCACAGTATGTAGTACTCGAAACAGGACTCGATGAGACTGGTGATCTGCTCTGGCAGGATCTTTTTGCCGTGCTGCTCGTGCTCGACCATGGCCCTGATGAGCGAGATGGACGAGAGCCTCTGGGCCAGGGACATGTCACAATACCAGTGCATCGCGGCCATGGCGAAGCCACTCCCCCAGCCCTTTGGCCCGCGCGGGGTCCAGAAGTCGACCCCCTTCTGGACGAGGTGGATCTTGACCTTGACCGAGGCGCCTGGATCACGGAGCATCCTGTGGAGGATGTTCGTGTTGTTGATGTCAAGGGTGTCGAGAGCGAGTCCCCGTTCCTCGAGGAGGTCCAGGACGAGGATCATGTTATCACCCACATCAATTTCCCTGAAGATTTGTTGCAGAATTGGGTTGAAACCCAGCTCCACGCTGAGGAGATCTGGGAACCGGTCAAGAAACAGGCCGACTACGGCGACGTCTGCGGCTGTGAACGTGGTCTCCACGGCCAGCCCCACGTACCGCCACATGCTGCCTTCGGGCCATGCCTGGATGAACGCCTCGCTGTGCGGGCCTTTGAGCAGATAGTCGACGATGTCTACCGATCCAGCCACGATGGCAGCCTCCATGATGTCGAAAGGGATGGAAAGATCGAGCACCGGGAGGGTGACCGTGGCCTCGCGCTCGGGGACACCGGGCTGAATCATCTTGAAGATCTCCAGGTTGTTCGCAGCGGCCGCCAGGGCCAACGGACTTGGAGTGGGCTGCTTGGGCCCCTTGTCCAAGAACTGCATCCGGCTGCCAGGGATGATGCTCCTGAGGCGTGATATGCCCGTGTTAAGGACGGCTGTGGAGCCAGCCTCGACGGCGAGACGGGCCACTTGGACGTCGCCCTTGCGGATCGCCCAGTCGAGCGCTGACTCTGTTGATTTTAGCAAATAGGGTGCTGCGTAGGGAAACTGTTTCATCGCATCGCCGTGGCCCCCGTGGTGGCAATGGTAGCCGCTGACCTGGCATCTGAGGGCGGCGCGACAGCCCGGGTGGTCAAGGATGTAACTCACCAGGTCATGGTTCTCCTCAGCAGTCTCGGCCTCAATTTCGACGTCGCGAATGTAGATCAGCTTGCGGAGAATGTGGTAGTTGGCGCCGCAGGTGAGCATGAGCGAGAGGATGTCTCCTGGACGGAGCGTTCGGGCGACTTCGTAGAACACGTCGGGTATCAGCAATGGAGGTTTTGGGTCTCCCGTGGCCATGGATGATGAGTGGCGTTTGTTCATGGTATCGTCTTGGACACAAGATATTTTCTGTGAATTTGTTGGTGATTACTGGTTGTGAGGATGAAGGGAAGGTCTCCGAGCGATCTCATATATATAGGAGTATACCAGCTGTGAGATTCATTGAAACTATAGCCCTGTATATGAGTGACTCGGCTGCCAAAAGCCAGATGCCTTGCGCAAACAAGGCTGTTGCCCTGAACCAGGACAATGCTGCTTTGGTGACAGTAGGCGGTAGTAGTAACGGGAAAAGCAGTTCTGTTCAGATATACAAACAAACAATAGTACTTTCCCCCAATGGCAAAACTCGTGAGCCCGGCACACCACAGCTTTGTCTTCATACATGTCATCTCATCGCCTTGTTATGTCCGTGACAACCTGATTGTGCGGTCTTTCATTGTTTTCCCGTCGCACCAGCTCCCATCTTGCCTCCAAATCTGGGCATCTTTGAGACGTAACAGATCGTGCCTGCATAGAATTAGAAAATAGAAACTAGTAGTTGAAGAGACATTGGAGCTTACTGTGGTAATATGCGTTCTTCAAAACGAAAGTGGCCGTTAATCTCAAGATAGACTCACAAAGACTCGCTTCCCAACTCAAAATACTTGGTTTTAATTTTTCATATTTCACACCATAACCAGATGGGAGTCAGTGTCCTCTTCTTGTAAGAACAAGCAGCCTCTCTCCTAGACAGAAAGACGTCGTACGGATAGAGGTTGTCAAATGTCTGGTTGACTGTTGGAAGCAGCCCTTTAGAGTAGGAAGACCTAATCAAGGCAAAACATTTTTACAGAGTCAGCGCCGTCAGCATTCTAGGACCCTGTTTCACCCCTGGAGCATTCCGTCAGCCTTACCAGGCAGAGGTGAATGACTCCTGTGAGGAGGCATGCTGGCAGAGCTAAGGTGGTCAGCCGACGTGATGCCACAGTTTGATCAGTAACACGTTCTGATACGATCCGAGACCCTATGGATATATTCATTCTCTTCATAACGTCTTGTAGGTGTGGTCCCTGGTGGGATGTGATGGAGTGGTGACCATGGCACAATATGGTGTGCGTGGCATTCCAACTTCAGAGCCGCGCGTCACCCTTTGACGTCCATAGTGGAAGGGATATGTCCTGGAGGGCGGAGCACTGTTTGATGCTGCAGGGAATCTAATCAAGATCTTGAAGGATGCCAGATTGCAGTTGTCAAGATGGCGGGAGAGCATAATCGCCAAGATGTCGATTATCGGTTTTCCCCCACCGCCCCCCCCTTCCTTGGTGACTTGAACTTGGCAAAGATGCTGGAAGATCCGAGGTGGCTCACTCATGATCAGAAAAGGTGAAGAGCGTGTACCAAAGTACCACAGGTAAAGGGTGATGAGTGTGTTGTTAGGCTGGCATTGAGATTCCAGGGCTAACTCAGCAGTGAGGACAGGGGTGAACCCTTGGATTGGAACACAGTGCTGGGGTGGGGGCCGGAGGGTGCAGCGTAGCAGGGGGCGCCTCAGCGCAGCAGGGGCCCAGCAGCACGGAATCAACCCTAGCAACGTGCGGAAGCTAGTCCCGTCCTGTCAGGGGCGTGCATTGTGCGGTGACACGAGCTGTCATAAAACGAAACGTTTCCTGAACCCTTCATTACCATTGATTACTGCCTACCTTTTTAATAGTAGACCTTCTTCAGTGTCACTCGTTCCACGTTCGCCAGTCCTTTCCTCCACCTGCGTAGCTCATGCTCTGCTTGACCACCCTCGTACACTGTGCTGGGGTCAATCTCCTTGAATCACTTGCCATACAAACCGCCTAAGACAGCTTCCCAGCATTCCACGACACTCTCGTCAAAGATCTGCAGCCTTGCGTCAGGGGGACGAGGTGCCACAGCCTCGTGTTTCGACCGTCTGTTCACCTCTCCTAGCAGGCTGCTGCGTTCCTTGGCGACCAATGGAGCTTTGCGACTACCGAACACTACTCCAGATCTTCTACGCCCGGTGGAACTAAACAGTGCCAACTGTCAGTTGACATCATGGCTGGTATCGAACAGCTCGAGATCCCTAGCAAGGTACGTTTACTCTAGGTTCCTGGACCTGAAGAGCTATGGAAGTATGGAAAGGGGTGAGAAGGCTGATTTCTGGGGACAGTCGTATATCGTCCGTTGGGTCAGTGTTGAGGAAGGTCACACGATTTCCTGGAGCTTGCAGCCGCACAAGAAGTCGATGTAAGTCACCCCTTATTGCTCCCCCTCCTCTTCTACTCCCTGTCCTCCAATCTGCGTAACTGATGGACTGTTGACACCACTCTGTGTACATAGAAACTTCGGTATCGTTAGACATCCTGGCAGCGGCAGCACCAACATCACTGTCAACCAGCTCGAAGTAGCCGAGGGACTCGATGGCATCTCCGAGAGCAGCAAGAAGGCCGTGTTCGCTAAAAAGGACTCGGGCAACGCCCAGGAGCAGCTCACCAAGAAGGGTTTCATCGTGATAAATTGGCATGGGAAGTGCGAGGCGGACAAGGTGTCCACGGGCACCTACGACATCGACTCGGGCAACGGCGGCATGTACGGCCTCATCTTCGACAATACATTCTCGAAGCAGACCTCAAAGTCCGCCACCTTCGTCCTCCTGACCTACCCGACCGGTGCGCCTCCGCAGACTGCGCGTAACTTGCCCAACTTGCAGGCCGGCACCAGCGCGAGTACGAGCAGGACGAGTCTGCCCACCAAGGGGGCAAGCCCCAGCATGAGACCGAGCGCCTGGGAGTCGGTGGACTCCCTACAGAGCCAGAAGACGAGAGGGAGGGCGGCCTCGAATACGCGGAGCGAGGCCTCGGGCCATACGAGCTCAGGAAACTACCACACAGGGCTGCTGCTGAAGAGGAGGCGCAAGAAGGGACAGGGCTACGCGAGGAGATTCTTCTCCCTCGACTTCGCGACCTGCACGCTCTCTTACTACCACGACCGGAACTCGTCGGCGCTCAGGGGGGCTGTCCCGCTCAGCCTGGCAGCGATCGCCGCGGACGAGACGAGACGCGAGATCAGCATCGACTCAGGCGCAGAAATCTGGCACCTCAAGGCCTCTAACGACAAGGACTTTTCGGACTGGGCAAAGGCCCTGGAAAAGGCGAGCCGGATCGCACGAGGGCTGGAGCCCACGTTCCTTGAGCCTAAGCCGATCAAACGCCAGGTTACAAGGCGCTCTTTACAGGCCCCGCCGGACACTCGACAGGAGGAGGACCGAGAGTGGCAGCAGGTAGAGGCCCTCGTGAGCAGGGTTGTGGGAACCCGAGACGCCCTCCGACGGCTGGTTAAAGATATGGCCGCACAGAAGCACTCACACCCTCATCGGCCGCTCTCTTCGCACCTGTCTCCAGGCACCCCTCCGATTGGAGAGGATGGGGACTATTTCAATGCGCCATCCGAGAGGAAGCCATTCTGGAAACGCAAATCCAGCGCTACCATTACACCTTCAACACTTGGACCCTCTGTCTCGTCGGCCCTGGCAGTTCCAAGTCCCTCCAGTGTCACCACAACAATCATTGCAAACGGTCCTGAGGAAAAGAGAAAGTCGAAGGGCTTCCACTCGGAGGAGGAGCGCACGATGCACGATCACTGCAATGCACTTCTTGGCGACCTAGACTCGGTGGTGGCTGAATTCTCAAATTTACTATCTAACAGCAAGCTAAGGCGGATGCCACCATCTGATTCCGCTGACCCCCGCAACAGCATAGAGTCAACATCAACAGAAGAGTTCTTCGATGCCGAGGAGGCTGGTGACCGCTCACAGCTGCTGGTTATTGACCGCCATAGCGAGGATGAGTCGCCTGTCTCCGAGGTTGATGAGGCAGAGGTGCACGATGACTCGTCTGTGTCCAGCGTCGACGGCCCAGATGATACCATGCCAGGGAAAGACGAGGACCACAGCAATCGGTTCCCCAGCAAGCCGAAATCACTTACCCCCTTACCGATCAATGAGGAGGTCAAGCGGCGCAAGACAGTACCACAGCCCAAGATCATGCCGCCAAGCCTCATAGCATTTGTGCGCAAGAATGTTGGAAAGGATTTGTCTACCATTAGCATGCCTGTGTCGGCCAACGAGCCGACTTCAATGCTGCAGCGCGTCGCCGAGCAGGTAGAGTACGCTAATCTGCTCGACTCGGCGGCGAAGCAAGGCAAAGCCAACTACCGCATGCTTTATGTCGCCGCCTTTGCAGTATCGCAATTCAGCGGTGGTCGTGTCAAGGAGCGGTCCATCCGAAAGCCCTTTAATCCACTGCTAGGCGAGACCTTCGAGCTCGTTCGCGGCGAGAAGGAAGTTCCTGGCGGCCTGCGTCTCATTGTCGAAAAGGTCACTCATAGGCCTGTCAGGCTGGCCATACAAGCCGACTCTGCAACCTGGTCTTTAGCACAGTCACCTGCACCTTCACAAAAGTTCTGGGGCAAGTCTGCCGAGATTACCACGGATGGCCGGGTCCGCATCGTATTGAGACTCCCGGATGGCACTGAGGAGCGGTACAGCTGGACCATCGCAACCATGTTCCTGCGCAACGTGGTCATGGGCGAGAAGTATGTTGAGCCCGTGGGCGACATGACGATCCTGAATGAGGATACCGGTGCGAAAGCGGTGGTGGAGTTCCGGTCCAAGGGAATGTTTGGTGGGCGGAGCGAGGATGTGCAGATCGAGACGTACGGTGATGACGGCCAGAACACAGGCCTTGCGCTGTCGGGCACCTGGACCAACTCCCTTAAAATCATGGAGTCGGGCAAGGCTGGCGAGGAGATCTGGCGGGTGGGGTCCCTGGTGGACAATGCTGCCAGCACCTACGGCCTGACAATGTTCGCGGCAGGTCTAAACGAGGTGACGGCCATCGAGAAGGACAAGCTGCCGCCGACAGACACACGTCTCAGGCCCGACCAGAGGCTCTGGGAGGACGGCAAGCTCGACGACGCCGAGAGCTGGAAGGTGAAGCTTGAGGAGGCCCAGCGGGCGAGACGGAAGCAGCTGGAGGAGCAAGGCGTTGAGCACAAGCCCAGGTGGTTCACCAAGGTCGAGACGGGCGCAGAGGGCGAGGAGGTGTGGAAGCTCAAGGGCGGCAAGGATGGATACTGGGAGGAGAGAACAAAGGGCCAGTGGACAAGCGTGGAGAACATCTTTGAGGCTTAAGCTTTGCATATCATGTTCATTTGATAGACAATTATCTCTGTTATACTAGCGAATATAAGAAAGACACCATCGTTTACTGCAATTGAAGCAAGTACATATGAGCTAGTTTACCTGTAATGTTGGTTCTATGGAGTAAGTAAGTACTATGTACCGTGTCACTATTATTGTTTGAACGAAGCCAATCCCAGGGGTGAGTGTGGCCCGTGCACCCTCCATCTAGGCGGATAGTTCCAGCCTGCAGCGTTCCCCCCTGGCTGGTAAGAGTGCCTGGCTGGCCTCCACGTATTGCGCTTGCTTGCGCTTGTGACAGCTGCTGCCACCTTGCGACAAAGCTCCAAAACCCGCCAATTCTCCAATTCCTCTTTTTCGAGACACCGTTGCGCCGCCAGCGACGACGTCCTTCGTTTCCAAACACAACAAATTACATTCCTCCTTTTATCAGCTCTCCCGACAACCCTCCCTCAATCGACACAACCGCACCTCCTTCCCGACCTCGCTTCGCTCACAAACCAAACTCCTTGAACCACACTTTTGCCCAAGATGGACCCTTACTCTTCAGAAGGCGAGCTGATCAACATCCACGCCGCCTTCCACCAGTACCAATACGAATCCGTCCTCAACGACTTCGACCCGTCGTCCTTCTCTCCCGAGAACCACCTCACCGCCCGCGTCCTCCAGCTGCGGGCCCGCATTGCTCTGGGCCAGGGCCAGGATGTCCTCGACGAGGTCAAGGGCGAGAAGCAGCCGGAGCTGGTCGCGGTGTCTGCGCTCGCGACGCTGAGCCTGGGCGACGAGGAGGAGGCCGTGGGCATCGTACAGAGCCTCCTGAATGCAGGCGGCGACGCCGCTGCGGAGAATGCTACGGTGCAGGTGCTAGGGGGCACAGTCCTTGCTGCGACTGGCATGGGCGAGGAGGCGCTGACCCTTCTGGGACGGCATCAGGGAAATCGTGAGTTCCTCCTTCTCCCCCCCCCCCCCCCTTTTTTTTTTTTTCTCTACCCTGAATTGGTACGAGAGCTTGTGAGAAAGGACGGAAGATTGCCTGAGGGTTATTGCGTTTTGGCTCGGGAACAAGAGTAGCTAATATGTGGACATGGCCTCTGCTCGTTAATAGTCGACGCCGTCGCCCTGATCGTCCAGATCCACCTACAACAGAACCGCAACGACCTCGCGATCAAGGAGGTCACGGCTGCGCGGCGGTGGGCGCAGGACAGCATCCTAGTCAACCTAGCCGAGTCTTGGGTCGGCCTGCGGCTGGGCGGCGAGAAGTACCAGCAGGCATTCTACGTCTTTGAAGAGCTTGCACAGGCGCCGTCCACCTCGTCCGTGCAGACGCTCGTTGCGCAGGCCGTCGCAGAACTTCACCTCGGCCGGACCGAAGAGGCACAGTCGGCACTAGACCAGGCATTGAAGAAGGAGCCGGACAATGCAGAGGCTATCGCCAACTCGCTGGTGTTACAGGTCCTCGTTGGGAAGAGCCCCAACGACTCGATTGAGTAAGTGCTGCTCTGGATTTCCAGCCTATAACCCAATCCCCATCTTCCAATACTTTGGAATTGCACGGACTGACTCTTGTCTTCACGATGTAGGTCTCTGAAGAAAGTAGCCCCGCAACATGCGTTCCTGACGGATTTGGAAGAGAAGAGCCAACTGTTCGACACCGCGGCATCGAAATTCAGCGCAAAGGTCTCGGCGTAAACGGTGCAAGTATGGCTTGATAATCAGGTTGGGAACCTATAAAGAGCAAAGACAAACAATAATAGATTTCACGAGACATGATCCAATCTGCGCTCTCCTACTTCGGATGCGTCTGCCGAGCTGTTTGAATGCAGCTGGATATACGCGCCACCTGAGTTCCTCCTGTCAAGATGTCGTTCTTCCGTTGTTCTGCCCTGATGCCCGACGGGCTAAGTGGCGTATTTCTATTTCTCTCCGCGGGTTCATCATGCAGGGAAATGGCGATTTATTTGCAGAGTCAACAAGCCTGCAGTTGTGCATCGATGTTTTAGAGCACTGTACTTGACTGTATGGCTGCTCGACGAAGAACATTCTGGAGGAAACTGAACGAGACGAACGAGTGTAGACGACCGGATGCACGTCTTCAAAGGTTTCAAATTCTAATCGTGACCGCTACTTCATCCCCAGCTTTCATGCCTGCTGTTGCAGTTCGACCATGGGAATGTGCAACTGACTTTCTTATACCATTGACATCACCGTCATCTTGATAGTCGGTCAAAGGAGCAGTTGAGTGTCATGGAGAACCTTATCGTGACGATGCCATTCCTGGAGGCTAAAGTTCGATCAAACGTTGACACAGGGGGGCCTGGTTGATATCCCCTCTGTTCGATGCACAATGACGAGGTTCCCCTGGAGGGCTCTTCACTGAATTGCTATTAGACGTGGCTGCCCACCCCCATTCACCGCCCGTTAGCGTGAGAATAATGTACTGTGTATGCTTGGAGCGGTAGCGTACTCGTGTCCCATGTGAAATCGAGAGGGGTTTTACTATGGTACACCTCGGCGAGAAGCCCATGAGAGAATCCACTTCTCGGAATTCCTTTTTTTACCACCTGCAGCACCGGCCGGTATTAGTCCCCATGGGGTCAAGCGTGCGACCGACCCGAAATATCTGTCAGGACACCGTCTATGACATCACTGAAGCTGACGATGACATGGGACCGAAGCTGTGCGTTCTGACCGGGCGACGTCGTGTCAACTGGGGGAGAAGCGCCAGATGGACTTTTCTACAAATGATTTTGGCTGTCTGTTACCCCACTTGCCATCATTGTGCATGTACAGCTGGCTGGTCGAGAACTTTGAGTGAAATGGATATGCGGCATGTAGAATATCGACGATCGAGTTTCTCAGAGGTACCGTTGTCGGTGACAATCTGCTGATCCCAATCTTCACACACGCACAGAGAGTAGAGAAAGAGGGAGGTCGAACCGGAACAGAGCCTCCTACACCACACTGGCCACTGCAAAATCTGAGACGGTCTAGATGAGTTTGGTGTGCCACCGGCCTTCTAGAGGGTGGCGGATCTTCAGCGGATTGGCACATTAGGCCGAGTAGATTTTTAGATCTTTCTGGCCGTTTCGCCGGCCCAGATCGATTCCTGGGGCTGTCCTTGCCCAGCCAAACTTGACCCCGGGACCTTCAACGGCCCAGGTCTTTGCGGGCGTCTCGTCAGCCAGTCGTTGGCGCACACGCTCCTCCTCTCCCTCGTCAACCTTGTCTTGCCTCCCTCATAAATCATCGCTACGCGCTCCAAGCCTGCTGCAGAAGTGACGATCCTCCCCTCGTATGGTTTGGTCGTGATCAGCCTCTGCAGCAGTCCAGGCCCTCCTCCTCCCCCTACTCCCAAGGGGCCCCGGCGGCCAGCTATAGTACATACACTTGCAAGCAAAAAAATAAAATAAAATCCGCGCCATAGAGGGCATGATTAGCCTCATGCATAATAACGCCTTTGCAGTAGTGTGTGTCGTGGGATTGCTTTGCAAGTGCGGAAGACGAGGATACAAGCCACGATTGCCTAAGCTAGGCTCCTTATTATGGAGTCTTTGTTTTCCTTCCTTTTCCACAGTTTACTATAGACGGTCGTCATCTTGCTGGCCACTTCTTATCTCTCCTAACCTGTTTCCAGTTTGGCGTCGGTTTGGTGATTTTCCAACAACGCCGCCCGGCATGGCGGAGCCCCGGTGGATAGTCATAGCCATAACTCACGATGTTTTTCTCTCTTAGCCCTGATATATAATATAGTCTCTCTGTCTCTCCCTTTTCCCTGGTCCAGCTAGTTCATCTCTGATTTTTCCTTCTTGACTCTCACCAAGTACAAGTTTGAAATTGTCTTTTGTGTCTATATTCACATAGAGCGTTACTCGGGTTCTTCGCCATTCATAAAACACCTATTTCTTGTTTTCCTGCTCGAGGTTTCACACCAATAACGTTCATCAAGATGCCTGCGGCTACTATTCCTGCTCCCATTGCCGTCAAGGAACCCGCCAACTTGGCTGGTGTCCTCAACAAGAAGAGAAAGATCATCTGCTTCTCTGGTACGTCACTGTGACAGATTCCTTCTTCACCACCATGGTTTCGCTTCCCCTCCTTTCAAAAGACCAACAGCTAACATGAAAACCCCACCTAACAGATTTTGATGGCACAATCTTCATGCAAGACACGGGACACGTCCTGTTCGACAGGTTCGGCTGCGGCTCCAAGCGGCGAGACATTCTAGACGAGCAGATCAAGACAGGCGAGCGCTCGTTCCGCGAGGTGTCAGAGGAGATGTGGGGGTCGCTGAACGTCCCCTTTGACGACGGCTTCGAGGTGATGGAGGAATCCCTCGACATCGACCCAGACTTCCGGTCGTTCCACAAGTTCTGCCTGGACAACGAGATCCCCTTCAACGTGATCTCTGCCGGCCTGAAGCCCGTCCTGCGCAAGGTGCTCGACACCTTCCTGGGCGAGGAGCAGTCCAAGCACATCGACATCGTCGCCAACGACGCCGACATCAACCAGGACGGCTCCGAGTGGAAGGTGCTCTGGCGCCACGACACAGAGCTGGGCCACGACAAGGCCCTCTCGATCCAGGAGGCCCGCGCCGCCGCCGAGGCGGACCTGGCCGGCGACGACGGCACCATCCCCCTGATCGTCTTCATCGGCGACGGCGTGTCCGATCTCCCCGCCGCGCGCCAGGCCGACGTCCTCTTCGCCCGCCGCGGCCTCCGCCTCGAGGAGTACTGCGTCGAGAACGACATCAGCTACATCCCCTTTGACACCTTTGCCGGCATCCAGACCGAGCTCGAGAGCATCATGGCCGAGGACGCCCAGAAGACGGGCGGCATGGGCGTGCCCGCGCGCTTCAACCCGCGCGCCAACCTCTGGCGCCGCGTCTCGAGCAAGAGCGCCGTGCCGCGGTACGTCGTCATGACGCCTGCCCGTGAGGACAAGATGTTCCTGTGGCCTGAGGCCTTCTCGGAGCTCAAGACGCCTGGCGTCGAGACCAAGACTTTGGAGCTGGGTAGCGTGACCGAGGATGCTGTTGCCGAGGCCACGGCGCCGGCGGTTGTTGTGCCTGCTGCATAGACGAGAAAGAATGTTTGGCGATTGTGCATTGGGATATTACAATTTTTTTTTTTTTCCTTCTCTTTTTTCAAGGAGTCACTGGGTAGACTGTCGTATCGACAAGTAAAACACATACACAGCAGGTCAAGAGGGCACGGCGTTGGGGAGATGATTTAATGATAAATAAGGCTCACTTCTGGGATAAAATCCAGACATGAAATCCAACGAAATGACAATACATTCTTAGTTGAAAATTACTTACAAGTCGTTCCCACACAATCCTTCCAAGTCAAATTGCAACACTGCTGTCTTCTTGCAGCCCCCTTACCACCTGCTCAATTCAAAGACTGCACACACAGTACTTGGCTTATACAGGTAAATCACATTATGCAGCAGACATTTCAAAGAACTGACGACGCCTGCCAAGATGGCCAAGGTTCATGGATGGCGTTGTAGTAGCCAAGTCACGGCGCATAAAATCCCATCGGCCAACGAGCAAAACGCAAAGGTGGCACTGGTCATGCATCAGCCATTCGCTGCATATTCACATGCACACACGCACACGCACACGCAGATGGTGAGATAGGTCCAGGCCCAGGTATGGATCCGGAATAAGGTTACGGGTTCTCATCCGAGAGGGGCGCAGTCCCGCACTCCGGGGTAGCAAGATTATCCACGACGTTGCCAAGCTGCCTGCAGACTGGATGCCTGCAGGTTCGGATAGGTGGGCGGACACTCTTCCCGGTGAAGGGGGTGTGGAAGCACAGGGCAGGAGGCATACATTGATGGACAATAATTACGCGGCATGCAGTTGTTGCACAATGGGAGGTGCACGTCTCCTTCTCAACCAGTGTCTATGGTTTGACCAGCCACAAACCCCCTTCTTTTTACCTGCTTAATTAAGTGATGCTTCTCTCGATAAGCGAACGTCTCGTCCAGATTGTTTTCTTCCACGAACGAACTGGGGAAGGGTGAGGGGTTGTTTAATCCCAGGAATCCGGCCCAGCTTGTAGGAGTCTCGGTCAGCCGGAGCTGAAAATTGGAACCTGGGCGCGCAAGTCAAGATACCGACGTCAAAGGGGCTTGAGTTATGCAATCTTAATGGTTTATAGTCTGCCCCTGGTAAACTCACTCCGATGTGCTTTCTTTGTTCATGCCACCCCCCGTCTCCAGGAGTTTTTACTGAGCTTCTTGACGCCTCAAGAAATTCCATAAATATACCCAAACAAGACCTGTTTGCCAGACACATCTCATGAACGGACAGCCATCAGCCGCGGGAGGGACTGGAAGGCCCCCGTCCGGCGTCAACGGAACGAACAGCACGACGAGCATAAACGGCACCACGTGGTTCCCAGGCCCCGCCGTGCAGAGCAGTTTCGGCGCCTCTGGACTCGAGGTGATTGGGGTAGTCTGGCCCCTGGTCACGGTCGCAGCGTGTTTCCTCGCAGCGCGGGTCAGCATCAAGCGGCGGTCACGCAAGGGTCTGTGGTGGGACGACGTCCTCCTTATTGCCTCGTGGGTGATGCTGGTTCTCTTTGCAAGTGCGACGACGTACTGTGTACATATCGGCCTGGGCAGCCACAGCGGCGCCGCGGGTATCCAGCAAAGGCCCATGCAGTTGTGGACCATCATAGCCACCGTGTTCGCGGTTCTGGGCGCCGCGTGGAGCAAGACGTCCTTCGCACTTACCCTGCTCCGCATCACCAAGGCCAGCCAGGGCAGGACACTGTACTGGTCCATCTGGGCCATCGTGGCCACTATGAACGCAGTGCTATTCTTCAACGCCATCATCTGGTTCATCTACTGCAAGCCAGCTGCGGGGGCACGGGATGCAGACCTGCACGCGCAGTGCTGGGAGCGGGGCGTCGTTGTCAGGTATACCGAGTTCGCGGCAGCGTACTCGGCAGCCATGGATTTTGTGCTGGCTGTGCCGTGGGTAATCTTCATGAAGCTGCGGATGAGGCTGAAGGAGAAGCTCGGTGTGGTCGTCTGTATGAGCCTTGGTGTATTGTAAGTGTCGTTGATATCGTCTTGCTGCTCCTCCCTGCGTTCTGCCGTTATCTCGTGCGTGGTTCTGTCATCACCCCTTGCGGCTTCCTTGCTGACGTCCCCCTTTTTCGCTTCTTCCAGTGCCGGCTGCACCTCAATCATGCGTTCCATCACGGTGCCGACATTGTCCTCGAGCGACTATACCTATGAGACAGGTCAGCTGTTCATCTGGACGGGCGCCGAATTAGCAACAACCATCGTGGCGGCATCCATTCCTGTGCTGCGGGCCTTATTCAGCGACCTCGTGAGGTCCAAGCATCACGCGAGGGAGCCGATGACGGAGCTGCACACGTTTCAGACGCTCAAGGATAGCGAGGGGATACGCGTGACGAGGGAAACGATCGTCACCAGGACGCCGTGTGATGCAGAGGAGCGCGGTCTGGCTGTGTCCAACGTGAGCCTGGTAGGGGTTGTAGAGGAGGGTCCGTTCTCGCCGGCGGTGATGACGGCTGGGCCGACATATCATTCCTTTCGTTGACCAGAGTAATGATGGTGAAATGACGCAAGCCTTCCAGTTATTTGAATGATTGTGCTATGTACCGGAATAATGAATCCAGAGCGTGATGAGGGAAAGTGCAAGTGAAGAGACGTCAGAAAACCCAAAATAGAAAGGAAGGTGCCAGGGATACGTCAGGGGTCTGCGCAGAGAATGACTCGAGGTTTCCCAAAATCACGGAACTCTCTGTAAACACTCACGGTAGGTACAGATTAACTTTTCGTCATCCGGTGGGTGACACGATCCGGTTATGGAGCTTCCGCCCAAGTGGAAACATGAGGCAAAGAGAACATCTTATCTGGAGTAACTAGCTCGTCAGATTCTAAACCAAAAATTTGATAACAATGGGCAGAGGAGGAAAGAGGAAGAGAGATCTACATAGTACAAGGAGAGAATCACGTAAATTTTCTGGGGTCGTTGCGCAGCGGAGGATAATGTTCCCTGATCGGGACCAAGAGCGGCTGGCATGGTTCGATTTAAGCCCTGAGAATCGAACCACCGCAGACGAAGCCAGCTAGGCAGGCCAATGAGCGGTGCTTAGCAACTCCTTTCCCCTTCAGGGCATTGGCTGGGGACCTTGTCAGACATTTCCAAGAATGGCATCAGGCCGAACAAAAGGAGTGGCTCCAGGGGGGGAAGGTCGAGAAATGGCCATGTGTGTGCCTCTGCCCCTCCTTCTTCTGCCTGGATGTTTCTAGGACCCTGATGGGCAGAAAAGCAGAAGGAGAAACGAATCGTTGGGCCCAGATTGTGGAGATCCTCCTCTCCTCTCGTGATTTTTGATGGCATGTGGGTGGGCCTCTGCTTATTGGTGTCCCGTCCCTTGCACTGCCAGCCTGGTATGGATGAAAAGTAACAAGTCAATCCTCCTTTCCAGCACGCATACGAATCCTTCCTTGGAAAAAGAGATCGAACCCCTATCCTTTTCTTATTTAAAAGAGTGGGAAAGTCCATACTCGTCTCCTCCTCTTGCTGCGTCTTCTCGTTGAAACGTTTTCTCCCAAAAATAAAAACTGCCACCATCAATCGCCCTCGATACCACCAGACCACCACCGCGGCGCCACAGATCTACATACACAGTATTCGCCACGAACCTTCACGCACCCACATCCAGTACAAGTACAGATTTGGTCACGCGAGAGACTTTAGAACCTCCATTTTACACTCGCACAACACTATACTTCTTTTTCTTCTCCCGAAATATAAACAGACAGACGACAAAAAGAAGAAACAGAGTTGGAAAGGGAAAAAATGTCTCCCTCTTGCGTCCTCTCGTCACACCTCGCCAGGCAGTTTGCTGCGTCCTGGAAGGAGATCCGCCACCCCCTTGAGCCGGGCCCGACGTCCCCGACCAGCAACAACGGCACATCCTACTTCCAGCGCGCCGGATCCCCGACGGGTTCTGACGACGGCAAGCGCTCCATGGACAACGACCGCAGCAGTTCTTCGGGCCCCCCGATGTCAAGGAGTACATCGAACTCCAGCTGGAAATGGGGAGGCCGATAAAAGACGAGAAATGGTCACGAAGCACGACACATGCACACACGGACACAGAGAGACACACACTCACACTGCACAACCCCATCTCATCCACGATGGAAAATAACACAACCTGCAACTGCACCACAGCAAAGCGCCACGTACTGTCATGCGACTCATACCTCTTGTTGTCCGTCAGCTTGAATTCAAATTGGTGCATTTCTCAGCATTTGCCAGCATTACAAAGCCAACCCCTACGCTTTTCCCTCCAAACGGTTCTACCGCAGCACTACGAACAAAACACCTGCAGAGGTGGGGGAATGGCCACTGAAACCGCAAAGAGGGGCCCTCGCAATCCAGCCTAGAGGTTTCGTCATCCCACCTCACTTTTAGCAAACTACAGCACTATGCAACAGCCCCCGTGATCTACACGAGGCGGCAGAGCCCGCCAACCTTATCCCGGGTGCCAAAGAAGACGAAACCCAAGCCTGCAGGGAAGGTGACATTACATCCATCGGGCTTGTGGCAGGTTGGGTGGAATCGCCTTCTTACCAAGGGTGTTCGGGATTACACGGCGACTCTACTAGCATCGCCGGAAGATACAGGACAGTGGGCGGATGCTGAGGCGTTCTGCTGTGCTTGTCCTTTAGTTGACAAAGGACAGGACAGGACAGGGCCAGTTGGGGAATGGAGTTTCCTGGCGGGGCTATTGCGTGCTCATGGGAATCGGGCGTGTGCTAAAGAATAATAATAGCACGCAGCAGCAGCAACAACATTGGGGTGAAGGGGGTTTAGGGAGGAGAGGGGTCTGGCATTATCCGCCACACTGACGTTCGGGTTTCAGAGCGGGCGTCAATTGTTTACTTCAAACTCGCTCGACATTTTCTTTTGAAGTATTGGATTGTGATAGCCAGAGAGATATTTCCCAAACACAACTTGATACCCCTTTTCCCTTCGTCTTCCTGGTTTCCAAAAATTTTCCTCAGTCATCGATTCCCCCTTTGTTCCTCCTATACGCAACGCCCAAACCATCCTGCGGCACCGTCACCGCCTTTGGGTCTATACAAGTACTTAAAAAGGAAGTCCTTCTTGTACAACTCAGCAAAGACACTAGTGATAAGGTGGTGGAGGGGGCTGACTAGATAAGCATCTCAAGACCACCCCTGCCTGACTCGGGTGATCAGCAGTTCGATCCCTCGGACATGGCCGAGAATCTTACGTTTACCACGGCAGAGTCTTTTTCCCTTTATTTGCTGAACGCTGACTGCTGGTTTGTACTCTTGGTGCACTTTCCAGAGTTGCCACGCACATGATCTGCGTCACGAGTGGGAGTAAATGTCCTGGTTGCTTTGCGCAGGTGTCAAGGCGCCAAGCGAGATCATGAGCGACCAGCTGTCGTACAGGGTCTCTGGCCTAGAACCACATGCTTCTTTAGATTATATGTCCTTATGTAATTATTTAGGTGCACGTGCTGCTTGATTTATACGGTTGAGTACTATTTGGGGCCCCCCACTTATATCCCCGGGCTTCTCCTTTTTGTCCCCTTCTTTTTGTTTCCCATGTTCTGAGGAAAAAGGTAGGGGAGGCGGGGGTTGAAGGAAAGAAAGAAGAAACCATGATTTGGTATGTCTTCCTGCGAAGGATAGACCTCCCATCATGGTTAGGCCGCTGGCAGTCCAGCTCAAGACACAATGCGTCACCTATAATCAAGAAGGTGATCTCCTAATATTAGGTCAAAGCGTATAGAATCTTGTGTCTATCCCTTGACTATGAACCTGTACATAATGATTTCTGAAACCAATGTATGTGTCTCAAACCTTCTTGTTCAACATATCCGCCGCATGCTTGAAACCCAGCACTTTATACTCGGAACTGTTGTAATAAATCGAGTTCACATCGCCCAGGTTCGCCGCAGGCACACTCAAGTCATATGTCCCAAACTGCCAGACCTGGTCGGCCGCCACGCCGCTCTTGAGCACGGTATCCTGCCAAGGCTTGTAATACGGCGTGTGGTTTCCGGGGAAAGGCGCCCCGTACTCCTCCAGGATCACCGGCTTCCCAATCTCCCTCCCCACCTGGTCGTGCTGCAGGATCCACTCGTTGCCCCAGGTATAGTTGTACCCCCACGAGTCCGGGTACAGGTGAAAAGTCCCGTAGTCAAGGCTCGAGATCCTCAGGTTCGCAACCCAGTCCACGCCAGAGGACCCGTCGTAGGCAGACGTGCCGTCGTCCCCAGACACGTACGGCACGTCCGCCGGCGCAAACCACCCCTCGTCGCCCAGGGTTACCAGGTGCGCCGCGTCGAGCCCCTTGATGTACCCAGCCGTGGCCTCGGCCCAGCCCGTCAGCACAGAGGTGTCGCACCCAGAGCACCGCGGCTCGTTGGCCAGCTCCCACGCGAACACGGCCGGCGACGCCCGGTAGCGGCTGACCACGACGTCGATGTAGTTGCGGTACACGGCCTGGCTGGTCGGGTCTGTGAACCACTCGGTGGCGTTGGCGCCAAAGGCAGCCGTGTATGCCGCGATGCCGCCGTAGTCGGACCAGTTGTTGACAAAGTTGAGCACGAGCTTGACGCCGTGCTGCTCGGCTGCGTGCACGGCGTAGTCTAGGCGCTGGAGGCCGTCTGGGCCATAGTTGATGTAGCTGCCTGTCGAGTTGAGGACCTGGAAGTAGACCTTGTTCGGATCTGTGTTGGTTGGGTCTGGGAGGGTGTTGACATCGCCGAAGCCCCAGACACGGAGGATCTTGTATTGGGTCTGAACGACTGTGTTAATAGCGAGAAGCGTTGCGAGGGGAAGAGGCTGGAGCTTGAACTGACCTTGGCTACTTCGCTCAGGGCAATGTCGATGTCGGAATTGTGGCTTAGGTGGGCGAGCCACCAAGCGTTGCTCCCTGCATTTCCCATCACGGTCAGCAGTTTGATAACCAATAGCGATGACCTGTGATGACCTGGAGGAAGAAAGAGAGGCATCTTTCAACAGTCAGTCGACGTACCTGCAAAATACTCAATCTTGCCATCGATATCAAACAGCCGCCCTGCTACTTTCGCATTGGGTCCATGAACCTGCCCAATGGGGTATGCTGGAGGGGGCTGATTGTTATCAATATGCAACGCGGTTGCAGGCAGTCCTCTCACCGCGATGCTCAAAGCACTCCACAAAATTGATGACCTCGAGAATCTCATGATTTCTGTGTCAGTCGAGGCGGGAAAAGCCGTTCATACATAGGACAGGAGATGAAGCCGCAAGCTTGAATCGTACGAGGTGTCCCAAACTAAGTAGTTGTGCTCGGTATATATAATATGTTTCTGGCTAAGGGTTGAGCGTGCCCTCCTCACCGTGATGTAATAATGCACTGTTACTCGGTAGAACATCCCGAAGCCATCAGCCTACAGTGCAGTAGTCAAAAGGAGCTATGTTCAAATCAAGACTCTATACCCAGTATAACCCCATCGTATCCACGATGCCCTCGCGAAGTAAGCCAGTTGCCCGGCCTGCATACCAGGTTCTCCGCATCAGTAGTATACGGGGACTAGGCCAACGCTGGATAAGCCCACATCGTGAAGTGTGGAAAAACAATCCTGCACGAATTGTAGAGACCGAAAGAGGGGTAGTTGGCTGTAGATGAGCGTACAACGGCCGCCGGAATTACGGGCAGCATTCCGCCGATTACTTACTTACGGTCAAGTCAACCCGCAGTGGGAGCAGTTCAGATTGCGTGCATCTGCCCTAAGAAGGTGTCTGCTCTGAGGATCTTCAATACACAAAATGTCCGAGACGTCTCTTGTGCAGACCTTAAGCGATGGGATTCAACATCTCTTTGTTTTGAAATATGACATGCAACTTGCACACATCAACTCAGTCCTTGGGCAAGGGAGTCATTATGTCTCATTTAAAATTTTACAGAGCACAACCGTGATGTTGCCCTGGATATTTCAAAAGGATAGGAGATACCCTCAAAATGAGATTTGAGAAGAAAGATCAACCAGAGAGAACGGAAATGGCTGGCAACCAAGAAAAGATGCACACTCAAGGCCTGCCAATATGCCAGTATACTTCACAGGATTTCGCTTTTACCTCCGAAACATGAGCACAAGCCAATAACTTTGGGGAACCTACGGCAATGTATCACCTTGATCACCGAAAGAAGTGTCATGACTGAGGCTCTCGCACCATTTTTCACTCAGTTAATGAACACCAACCACCACCAAAGTCTAGACGGATTGAACTAAATTGCCTTACAAGTAGTGGATTGTAAGCTGATGAAAGACGGGTGATGATGAGATGGCTTAGGTGCGCTTGATAACAATAGTGAGCAGATTTATGTGGGAATATACGTGACCCAGTTTCGGACCAGAAAGAGAGATGTCTTAACAGTCTCGAAGCAATACATAGGGTCTCAAAACAGCTCACTAAGGGCTTTCATTTCTCTTGAAACTCAGCAGACAAGTTACAAGTAGTAACACATACTATCCGGCAATCGGATCCAGAGTTGTCACCTTTCTACCAGACCTTGTGTCCTAGCTTTGGAAACCTAAGAACAGAGCGCGGTCTGGTTCCAAGGTTGTCGTCTTTTACCCTGTTCACAAACAAGGACGTAGCCTACTGGGTACACGATCCTGCCATATGCGTTTCAGATAAGACCTTGCCGTATCGTGATATACGAGGGCTTCCGATGTTCCAATCCCCAAGACAAGTGATTCAAGATTTACTAGGGAGCCGCGCTACACCATCCATGATTTCCCACCATTTTCCAAGAGGGAAGAAACATTGGAACCAAATTCGTGCGTATGCATATTTACTTTTCGGGTAACCAGAGCACAGACATAGACTTATCTTTTATTGGTAGTGGGGCGTGTTATGGAGTAATTGACAGATGTGAATGGCCAACTCGAAAGGACGGGTCTTTAGACGTGTAAAGTAGCGACCTGAGCAGGCTCAAGGACAGGCCACACCGTCAACGGTGCCAAGTCGCGGTTGATAGAAGTTGGTCCGATACACCAGGAGATTTCATCTCAACAAGGGAAGAATCTCGTCTATCCACCAAGAGTGAATGGAAGGAAGTCTCCGTTGCACGGCCCAGACCTGGCCATGCTGGTGCGCAACGCGTCTGCCGCGTTCGAACCATCGTAGATTCACAGAGTGACGTGCTTGATGGGTCATGTTGCAGCACCGGTGGATTTGAAGAAGAAAAACTTTCAACTCTCAATAGAAATAACTCGGCTATCCTGGTTGATAAATTCAATATAGTAACATCTCTTTTCCTTCGGGCAGCGAACAAAACTTAGTAACGCACGCACACGGCCCACATACAATCCGTATGTCCCGAGTCAGACCTTAATTTTTGCCCAACCGCGTCAGACTGGGAAGCTGAGTTTCGATGTAGTATTAGCACCGGCTGAGCTGTTCCTGCTGCGGGAACCAGAGAAGGGGTTCTGACGTCACATCGCCCAAGGAACTAGCTTGTTGAGCAAGCTCGTGTTCTGCTGGGATGAACCATGGGGCAAGGTAGAGGGGATGTCTTGCTTTGGAACTGATCTGTCACTTGAGGGTTTGAACTAAATGTGATTGATTGACAAGACGACAAGCTCAACTACTTTGGGTTTGCAATTAGAGGAGAAGAAATTTATTAAGAGCTTATACCATTGATTGAGTTCTCCCTATGTTAAACATAGAACAAACCAATTGAGACAGTGTAATCCATAGAGTGACTAGCTCTTGACGACATCATACGTGAACAATACTATGCACTGTGGCAGTGGAGAGAATGAATGCACCGTCTAAATCAAAAAAAAAAAACACAATGTTTCCCAAGGACGATCAAAAGATCACAAGGTCAATCAAATTGTGAAGAGCAAGAAATGACACACTTGACGGCCTTAAACAGAAAGCCAAACGGTCCGCAAGTCCCCTAGTAGACAGAAATTGATGCCCTATCTTTGCTTTGACACCGTCACAACCGAGACGCCAATTCCAGCCAGGCGTCTTTCCCTTTCCGACGCTCGTTGAATGACCGCTTTCATGTTCGAGGATTACCACCCCTCCCCCCTTACGCGAAGAAACTTGTACATGAGAAAGTCCATTGAAACCCATTTCCATCATCTGATCCCAAGGCATTAATGTTTGTTGTGACCGTGAGGTTCGAAGCCTTTTCCCTTCTTGGACACCTATGATGTAAAGTGTCCTACCCAAAAACATTGCACCACATCCAGGCCCATTTAAGGCGGAACCCCCTCCCCCCTCCCCCCCCAAAAAAACACCCAAAATATCCAAGACATCCTTATCATCACGTCTCAAGTTAAAAGAGTTGAGTTACACACTTCCGGTGATCCGGAGGAGCCAGAGACAATGCAAGGAGAACCAAAAAAAAAAAAAAACAACCAAAAAAAAATACAAGAAAGAAAGAAAGCTGAAACAATCCTCGTGCGACGTGTGGAGGGAGCAAGAAAAAAACCCACCAAAAAAACAGACATGATCCAAGGGAGTGTGATTGAGTGGAAGGGACAGAGAAGAAAGGACAGCCTCAGTGCCTCGATGAAGGCCCAGAATCGCCGGGCTGGCGGTAGTAACCCCTGTCCCGGAAGCCCTGGATGATGGTCTTGGCCGTCTCGTAGTCGTCCGGGTCGTAGGGCTTGAGGCCGTAGGAGAGCATGAAGTGGTGGATGTTGTCCCAGCCGCCGTCCCTGATGATGCGGTAGTTGGTGCGGTCATCCTCGATGCTGTTGTCGCCGCCTGAGGCGGTGGCCATGTCGAGGTTGTGGTGGGCTTTGGACCTCCTCTGGCTGCCGCGGGAGCTGGAGGATGAGGTGGACTTGGTGGAGGAGGGCATCTTTGCGGGTTGAGCCAGTGTGTATGTGTGTATGTGTGAGTCCGAAGGGGAGAGAGATGTTGTGATGGTGAACGATGTGTATTGTGGGCGTGTATCACGGTTGTCGGTATATATAATTTTGCAGTGTTTTATATATTTGTTTATTTGCTTGCTTGCTTGTGTGTGCGTGCGTATGTGTTCTTGTGTGTGTGTGTGTGTGTGTGTGTGTGTGTGTATGTGTGTGTGCATACAAGTGTATTTTATCAATGTTGTAAATGTTGATGTTGATGATGATGATGATGGCATGAGTCGTGGAAAGAGGAACTGGAGAGCTTTTTGAGAAGGGTATTCATAGTAGTATAAGAGGTGTGCTGACAGGTGCACAGACGGCGGGGGGTTCTGGATCCTGAAACAGGCGACTGTCGACATAAGGTTGGGTCCAAAACCATGATCCTTTGGTGTACCTGGTCGTGTGTCACTTCGTCCAAGAGGTCTGAGGCCCAGATGTGCCCGACAGCTATCCAAGCTCGACAGCCCTGCCCCACAACGGCAGAGCAGAAGCAAAAGGAGGAAGAAAAGGGCCTGGACCTTCTCCTGATGTGAATACGAATGCATATGACGGACCTTGCGCTTAAGAGGATGGGGGGCAAGAGGGGTGGAAAGGTGGGCACTATGCGCTTGTCGATTTTGCCAGGTGTGGTGCATAAGTGCTGGGGGGAGAAAACTGAACTGACTGGAGACCTGACTGACACGGCCCCTCTTTCTCTCTCTCTCTCTCTCTCTCTCTCTCTCTCTCTCATCTCCCCTCCCCCCCATATCTTACCATCCATCTCCCCCCCCCCTCTCTCTCTCTGCCCCCCTCCCCTATTTTTTTGTTGCCCACCCCTGCCCTGTCCTTTCAGGTGGGCTGAGGAACCCATCCGGCAGTCTGGGCAGCTGGTTCTCGGCCCACCTTGGAGCTCAAACACGTTACACTCGGGCGTCCCGGCTGCCATTGCCGGCGCATAGTCAGTGAAACAAAACACTATTTTCCCATACTATCATAGTACATACTTCTACTATAGTACTGAGCCCGCGGCACCTGTCCCGGGCCCCGGGCGGCGGAAACGTCGGGTTTTGCTTAAAACGTGTGCCGGTAAATAGTGGAGTAAGATTAATTTATCTAGCCAGTGGGCAGACCGCTGACGAACGGACCCTCTTTCTCTTCCCTCCTCTCTTTGTGTCTCTCTTTTCTCCCCCTTACTCGGAGTTGCTTCTTCGGAACACGTCACCGGGGGGGGGGGGAGGGGGGTGGGCAGCGCAAGGCATGGCAGGCAACACGGGTGATGACGTTCTTGGGGGTGGTGGTTGCGCCTATAAGCGGCGGTCCGTTCCGGTTCGTCGTTCTTCGTGCTCGGTTGTTCGCCTCGTTCTTGCTTCTCCTGCAAGTCGAAACGAATTCGTCCAAGCACAATTGGAAAAAAAAAAGGGGGGGGGCAATAGCATAGAGAAAATAAAAACAAAACAAACACACTGGCCCCTGAGTGAAAGAAGAAAATGAAAAGAAAAAAAAAGGAAGAAAAAGTAACCATAACCGTTGTTTTGCTGTGATTCCCTGCAATCAATTCTGCATTGACCACTTCGGCATGTGAGAGACGCAAGGAGAGCTTTACCAATTACGTTACACCCCCGAGGCAAGGCCGTCGAGGTTGGCCTCGTGATTATAATAAGAATAAGCAATATTGTTCCAACGGACATGCTCAAGCGATATTAGATTCGCCCGGGTGAATGGAAGAAGCATCGTGACATCGATTGTAAGCCTGCCGCCGTGCTGCACTGCCAGCGAAGATTTACAACGGACCCAATCAGGATTTGATGTTTACTTTTGACCATGATTGGAAATGTCCCCCCCCCCCCCCTTACTCTCGAAAAGTCCAAATGATCGTGTTGCTAATTTCCCAACAATACTTGAATCGTAAAAGACCAATCGTCACGGGAGAGGGCTTCACAAGGTGACATGAAGGCCCGCCAAGCTGCGCGATCTCATTTCCTTAGCCTACGATCTTCTTCTCGATGTCAATTGACGAGTCCCCTACATTTGGCGCTGGTACGCCTTATACAACTACTAGAGAGGCGGGGTGGGTCAGCTGTGGAGCACACTCGATCTGCCCTGCAACAAAATAAGGACTCTTGCATTATGCATAGGCCATAAAAAGAATAAGGAGAGGGAATGGATCGGGAATGGGAGCGCGCTGGTGGTTGTCCGTTTTGTGTGCGTGGGAGGTGGAGGCTGCGTGCCTCAGAACGAATCATGCCTCTCCGCCTCATTTCCCAAGGGATAATGATCTATCTATCCTTGGACCCATTCGAGCGGGAGCAAGAGCTTGCAACATCAGCTTACCCCCTCCAGTCTCCGAGGACAGGTCACGAGGCCGAGACTGACTGTGATTTAATCCCACACGTCGTCCCGACCGCAGGCAATCAACCAGGAGGGTCTCCCCGCTCTTCACAGTGGGGGTTCCAGACCAGTTGATAGAGTCGTGGGCCTTTGTGGCAAAGAGACTCGAGCACGCTACCTGCGAGGGTTTTGAAGCGGGAGCGCCATTCTATGCAGACAGTCTGAGGTTGGACTGATGGTATTCCAATCAGAAGTCATGAGTGAAGGTATTGCTGAATCACAAACGTCAATCAGTTCGAATTCCAGGTACGTAATTCTTTCGCCCTGGAATTACGGAACCTTCCCATCTTCGGTTGATCACGTCGCCACGTTCCGTTCCACGGCTTGTATCGCTCTTGTCGTTGGCCCGTGAGTTTCTGAAAGGCTGGCTCGTTCCAATGAGAAGTCCAAAGCAGGGTGAACCAAAGAACAGCTCAATGCTCAGAGACCATTAGTGACCGAGGCCGTCGGATTTTCCGAGACGAGCTATCGAAATGTAATCCTGCATGTGCTCGGCGCTTTTATGTCCGCCTTCTACTCTGCGTTGGAATAATTGTCCCATCGTTTTGGAATCTAATCTCGACCGTGAAGGTGAACAAAAAGTTCTCTTTCGTATAGATTCTGGTGCTAGTCCTGACGACAATTCACTACGAATGTAGCCACGAGACAACACCCACGCACACTCACAACTTCTCTGATAGCCCAAGTTCATCTGGGAATAATACATAGTCTACCACTGGAGACAGTTCACAACAGAAGTTGAAACTTGAGGCTGGCACAACCCAAAGCTAGGACTACCTAGCCTCGCTTATGTCATCACCTCGCATTGGAGGGTGGCATATAAATCATGCAGGCAGCACAGCAAAGCGGCCTGACCACGTGGCTCCAACAAAAGGCAGGGAGATAAGTATGAAGGTGTCATAAACATGTGTCCAAGGTATGATGATCACTGCATCAAGCTATGCGATCATCATCTGATCTAGGCTAGGTGCATAGGAGGGAAAGCTAGGGGATGACAACTAGCGACGACAACAAAACGATCAGCAGACCTCCCCCAGTGTATCAATGTACTTCAGGTTCTGTTTCCAGGCTGGCCTCTCTGCCAGTCATGCCAATGTGTAGCCCTGAACTGAGAGACAAAAGGCAGTGGGGTTTGCTGTTTTGGTCTGGACTGCTGTCATGTCCAGGCCCAGACATACGACCGCCAGTCCTCCTAGCCCGAGCCGGCAAGGCGCTGGGTCAAGGGTGGTGAGTCGTCGCCGCTGTCGTCACCCCCCTCCTCAAGATTGAAGCTTCCCTGAATACGCCTCTTGGCATCCGCCTTCTCCTGCTGCGTGATGTCCTTCGCGTCCTTGCGCTGGTCAGGTGCGTACTTCGGGTGGCTAGGCGAGTGGCCCACGGACATGCCTACGCTGATCTGCAGTAGGTCGTTAGCATTGCAACTTCGTATCAAGCTCTGAGGGTCATTGGGTATATCACTCACCAAAGTCTCCAGCGCACCATTCGAGTTATCCACCAGATCGTCATCAAATACCATCTTGCCGTCTTCAAATAACAAGACGATGGTACTGCCGCCAAACTTGAAGTACCCAAGCTCCTCGGCCCTCTTCACCTCTTCGCCTTCGTTTCTGGTAATTACGGTGCTGCCGACCATCATGGCACCCACACAGATGACCATAACACGACCATGCGCGACACTGTCGATCGGCACGATCACGCGGACGTTTTCACCGTAGACATCGAGGGCAGATCGAATTGCCATCGGGTTGACGGTGTAATACTCTCCAGCGATGAGCTTTGGCTGCCGCAACACGCCATCAACAGGAATGTGGAAGCGATGGTAGTCCTGCGGCGCGAGGCGGAAGATGCCAAGCGCACCGTTGTTTTCGTATCGTGCTGCATCCTCGGGGTACGCGTCACCAAGAAGGCGCCTGACAGAGAATTCCCGGCCCTTGATCCAGACATTAGTGGCGTTGTCGATCTTGTTGAAGACCACGGACCGGCAGTCAGCGGGAGACACAATGATATGAGGATTGTCAGGCGCTGAGCATGGTCGAGCACCTGGCTTGAGGGCGCGGTAGAAGAACTCGTTGAAGTTCTTGAACTCGTCCACCGATAGTAGAACCTCAGACATGTCTAATTTGTGAAAGTCGATGAAACCCTGGATTTCTGCCTTGGAGGCCGGGTCATCGTACTTCTTGCCCTGCTTGATACTCATGCTCTTAAGAAGTTTGCGAACTGCGTTTTTTTGTGTCAGCAGACATGTTCCTCTCTTCCCGGGAATGGAAAGTCGACTTACTTCTCTTATTTTCCATGTTGTTTGACTTCAAACCCTTGTACAGTAGTCTGATACCAAGTCTAACATAGACGCTCATCTTCTCCTCGTTGATCTGTCCCGTGATCCGGTCTTGGACCAGAATGTTGGCAGAGTTGGCACCCAGTTTGTATCCACCGTACGAGATCTTGGTGATTACCTTGGAGTACCACTTGCGCTGAGCTTGACTGGCTGTCACAAACCCGGCCATCATAAGATGGTTCACCTGACGCCAATCCTGGCTTGCGCAAGTGGCGATGTGCGTGATGATATCGGTATCTGTTCGCTTGTTGAGACGCGGCTGGTGGCAGATGGGGCATTCCCTAATTTCCACTACATGCTCTTCTCCGCGGTCGTTGAGGTCATCCTTGTCCAGTGCCTCACCTTCCTCCCCCCCGGCGGATAGCTCCGGGAGCACAATCGTCGAGGTAGAGAGTTGGCTCTGGGGAGCCGTTTCGGGACCTGGTGCAATGTCGCTTGGACTAGGATCCTTAACGCCCGGGACAGAAAGAGTAGCACCTTTGGCGAAGGCAGGCACTTTGTCCTTCAAGCGATCGGCGACTGTCTGAGGTTTGGGCTTTTTCTGCAGCTGGTCCTCGAGACATATGACTGCCTCGTCAATTGTGAGGTCGCCGATGTCTTCGTCATTAGCAGCATGCGGGAAGCGCTGAAAGAAACTGTCGATTGTCGAGTCTCTCAAGGTAGAGCCCAGCGTGTCAAGCATAGTTGTCAATTCCACCTTGCTGATGTTGCCACTCTCGTCGGTGTCGTACTGCCTGAGCATGGCTCTCCAGAATTGCTGTCTGAGCGCAGGGTATGGCATGTATTTCGCCCTTATGAAAAGCTCGGGACGGTGCTTGTCTTCCCACTTGTCCAGGTTCTTCATCTTCAGAGGCAGCTGCATCACGGCGAAGTCAGGGTCTGAGCTCTCAGGCAGGGTCTCCATTCCCGCAGAGGCAAGATTGTGGTCGCCGGATGATAACGACAGGCCCGAGTTGGGCGCTGATGTCGGCGCGAGGTCTCCTGATAAGTCTGTCTGAGACACCGCAGATGGATTTTTGCTAAGAGCGGGCCGGGTCGACTTGGAAAGGCTCTGTTGGGAGCTCGAACGGGAAATGGCTAATCTCTTGAAGCGAGACTTGGACTGTGCGCCTTCCGGCACATACTCCTGCGGCTCTCTGATCGCGTACAGACCAGTCTCGGGATCAGCCTCAGGTGCTTTCTCTAGCAGCTCCTTGAGCGGCAGGGAGGTCGAGGCTATGAAGTCATTGCCAGTGTAGCGGTCTCGGTCGATGACCGTGAACGCAAAGGAGTACGTCTGCTCGTGGCTGAGAACATTGAAAATCATCTTCTCGTTATAGACGGGATTCAGATTGTGCCGCACCACCTTGGTTCGATACGTTTTCTTGCCCAAAGAAGCGACAACGAAAGGGTCCATGTCGAATCCGGTCCTGGTGAAGTTGGACTCTCGCGGTAGATCGGTGATCTTGACAATCTCGAGAAATATGAGACCAACGACATCATTGCTCCCTCCATTCAGGAACTCATATGGGTTGTCTCTCTTCTTGCGCTTCAGGCCCTTGATCCTCAGCCTCCGCTTGCGCTTCTCAATGTTCTCCGGTTTGCTCAGATCCTCTTCCTCCGGCGTCTCATCATCGTAGACCTCGTAGTCATCGTCGTCCTCGGCGCCGGTGTCATCTGTCCCTCTCCGGTTAAGTGAGGGGGGAGAGCTAGTCGGCTTAGTCGGAGCCAGGATGGGTGTGCGAGTAGGTGTTGGGGCTTTGGAAGATGATGGCTCCGCCTCGGGAACTGATTTGCATAGCGCCGAGAACTTGGCGTAAATTTCGGCATCGGATGCCTCCGGGTTGTTGGTGTCGAAGAGTGTGAACTGCAGGAGCACCTCTCCGGAGACCTTGGCGGCCTGCTTTCCAGACCTCTTGCTCTTCAGCGGGAACCAAATAGGGGGCTGCTCGAACTGGCCATCGGCAAAAATCTCCTCGAGGGCAACGTCGAACTCGCCCAAGTAGTCCTTGCCAAATCTATCCTTGTCCCAGCATATCACATCCAGGAGGAGGTGGCGAATGTCATTAACAGGGAACTCGCATTGCTCATTCCAGTCAGGGTTTAGGTTCTTGGGTACGGCGTGGGTTTGGTGTTTTCCTTCTCCGAGAGTCAAGACAAGATACTGCGTGCAAACATCAGCCTAGACTCTGCACCGGTGGTCGTCGCGACCGGTAGCATGGACATTTTGGGTTGATGTATGGAAACTCACCGGGTCAGAAGTGCCACTCCGATCAGCAGCTGCCAGATTGCGCGCCTGAGAAGAACAGTCAGAGAATATGCCTTGCGGAACGAATATACATGCGGCAGCGGGCGGGGCGTCAGGGACACAATCAACATACCCTGAGGATCACAGTATTCAAGACCAGTCCCGTCTCTCTGCGGCCCTCAGGGCTCGCGGAATCTCCTTTATTCCTCATTGGGCTGGCGGCACGACTATTTGTGGTGGACGGATTATTCGAACGTGTTGATGCTTTCAATCGCTGTGGAATTATCCGAACCATATTTAGAGGTTATGGCAGCTTGTTGCAAATGCTAGTCTCGTGGGTTGACAAGTCGGCAGACTGCGGTCTGACGGCACTGGAAGCAGCTCGTTCGATTGGGAGCAGAAGGTTCACAATGTGGTCGCAAGGGGCACCCGAATTCGCTGCTGTTTATCAGGGGTTGTCTTCAAGGAGCTCGTAGTTTCTGTCTTTGGAGCTGATGTGTATGGTCGGAATGCGGTCTAATGCTATGCAGGACGTCGCAGGTGCTTCGTCGAAAAAGAGGATATGAGGGGTCGCAATCTGATCGAGGTTCGTGGACGGGCGAAAAAGGTCTGTAAGAGTGGCAGAGTCGAGGTCCTGGCAGCACGCGGTCAGACAGACGACAGACAGCAGGGACGTCATCGGTAAGATCTAAGGTGAAAGGTGGAGGAGAGAGGGCCTCAGGAAATCAGGTACACTGCATGCACGCATGCACGTTCGTTACCTACCGATGGGTGTTTCACAGTACTGGCACCACAGCGCTGCTCAGGTCTGCTGTGCCTCTGTGTCCACCAGCTCCAGGTACAGCTGTCCGGATCTGGGTTTCGGTCCAGCTCCGAGGCTTCCAGGGGCACGGCGGGGAGAACGAGGATGGCACAGGCCCGGACCCCCAAGTGGTGCAAGGTGTGGTGTGTTGGGATTATTGGTGGAGCAAGTATATTGGACAATCTTCCCAAGTTGCGTATTCTCTGCTCTAGTGTGGACTAGGAGATCGCAAATGAAATTGGCGTACGTGTGCCTCAGGTCGACGCTTGTAGAGAGAGAGAGAGAGAGAGAGAGAGAGAGAGAGAGAGAGAGAGAGAGGTCGAGGCACTGCAATGCACACAGGGCCCTTTCGATCTGGCGTGTGCCCTGTCGTGGATCGTGGAGCTGTGCCCCGCACCTGGCGCCGGCCCTGTCCGTCGTCTGGTTTCACTCAATGACCAGAAGGTTTCAAGGTGCTGTTGGCCATAAACTTTCTTCTTCCCCTTTCTCTTCTCCTGATGCTGAATGATGGGGACAAGGGCCGAGTGATGATAGGTCTAATGCTGACGGGGAAAAAGAGGGGGGGGGGGTAGTAAGACAAGTAAAGGGAGAAAGAAGATTGGGAGGAAGAACAGGAAACAGGACAGAGGTGAGATCGACAGGCTGGTCCTTCAAATGCAATGCATATGCTGTCCCTCCATCGACAACAAACAAGACAGCTGAAAAGACGAGACGATCGATCGACCCGGGAGGCCGGGAATGGAGCTGAGGGGAGGAGGCCTAGGATCAAGAAGCCAAGGGGCAGCGAGCATCCAGACAAGCAGAGGAGACGTCACTCGCGCTGCTAGCCTCTGAAGTGATGATGTACCAGGTAGCTACAGCGGCCGCTACCCCAACTCCGCCTCTAGCTATTAGTGGGCAGTAGCCACTTTGCCCCTCTGTTGGCCCAGGGCATCGCCTGTTCGAGCCCCCCAAGCCGCCCTCTAGAAGGATCGATCGATCACTATCCACTCGCGTCCAGCAGTGGCGAGTGGCTTAGCAGAGGACCTGGTGGCTGCATGTACTGCGTAGTTTGTTTAGAGGATAGAAGCCCAGCAACCCCTCCACCTCCCCCACCTCTGATTACCCCGCCATGCACCTCAAGCACCTCACTTTTCAGCCTATGAGTTGAAGAAGCTCATCCGCGCCTTTTCCAACTCATCATTTCCAATATGATTCCAAGATGCTCTCTTGAGGCGAAGAGAAAGAGCATCGCGACGAATATTCCGTTAGCTACTATCTTCATATGCAATTACTGTCAGTCTAGCTGTTCGTTCCGCCGCCACAGTCCGTACGTAACACGCGAGATGCGCCGTTTCTGGTTGACTCGCCCCGCAATACATACTTACTGTAGTTTGGGATGGAAGATTACTAGCGCGCAACCTTCCCATCGTCTATTGGTAGTGACTTGGGGGGCAAGAGGTAAAAAATAGCAAGGCCCGGCACGTCGGGATGCAACTCGAACCCGTAAAGCTCAAACAGCCACACTGTAGTATTGTGGTAGCTGCATGCGCAGCACCCAAGGGCACAGACACCCCACACTTTTCGCTAAGCGATAGCCGTAGTGTAACTGCCTGATCAGGTACCTGTGGGGGACCAAACCAGTCAAAGACGACGATGAAACAACAGGCTGTGGTAAGTGTAGAGCAACACACCAGAGTGTGTTCTAAGAAGAACAAGCAAATACCACAAAAGAACAAATAGCACAAACACACATAAACACAAAGACAAGAGGAGAAAACAGCAAAGAGGAAGAGAAGGGGAAAAGGGTGGGGGAGATGAAGGCTGGGCGCTATAGAATGCAGAAAACATCTAAGAATTTGGGAAGAGGACGACTGGTATGCTCCTCCGGGATGTTAGTATGAGAAAATTCTTGACTGTAGATATCATTGAGATGCAACACAATAACTACTATCAAGATTCCTGCCAGACATGGGCCTGTGCATGAAAATTATGCTCATCAACCCCCTAGAAGTAATTGTCCTCGACCCGCAGACCCCTTTGAAGTCGTGTGACTGGCAATGTGTAGAGCTTGCCTGCATCAAACTGCAAATCTACAAGACGGCTCTCAATAGGAATGTGTGGAATGCGAGGGTCCTTGGGATAATACATCATGATCTACTTGTTGCATTTCTATTTAGCTCGAAAGCTTTGTGTGCTGTCAAGGGAGTTGCCAAGGTTGAGTGAATATAACAATTTGTCTTTCCTTGGAAGACCTTAGATCATGGGATTTTTCCTCCTATTTTCTTTGACACTTGAAACCACATGGTCAGTCCGCAATGATATTCAGCCCATCCTATCTGGAAATAATGTGATATTCAGTCCAAGTAGTAAGTATTGTCCTTTTATTGTGATGGCTGAAGCTTCTACCGAAAGATACTCTGCTAAAAACGGTGGTAGTTATCGTTGAAAATCGATGAAGCTTCCCTGAGCTTGTGCCAAAAGCCTGTAACAAAAGTCATGGCGATCTCATACATCTCACAATGACCAACATATCATAAATCAAGTTGCTCCTTATGGTCATAGTGAGAATGTAGGAATCAATGACAAGTCGGAATCATAGATCCAGTCGACATATTCTGAAGATTCACTAGACCAGGCAAGCGGCCGCCTTGCGAGATGAGAACGGAACACTACAGACGCCGGAGAGACCGAATACGAGACCGACATCTGAACGACGTTCATTACGCTCGACGACGATGCTTAAGCGGCGTGATACCAACGGCAAGTGATAAAAATCGCCGAAATTGCCCACTGGCCATGCACGGCAGGACCGATTGTCATCCTCAGCGGCCGTTGCTAGATGTCTTCGCTCGCAAGAGTTAAGAGTTGTCCGCATAATTTTGAAATGCCTTGTCAAGCAGCAATAGACACACCCCTCCGAACCCACTTCTGGAAGTAGAAAGTCTGACTAGGCATCGAAGCACCTGCAGCGGGAAGCGAGGAGCAGTCTCAGGGAAAAGAAGGAGAAGAACGGAAAGGGAAGAGAAGGGGGGGGGGTTCTATGCACAAGCAAACGGGCCGCCGAAGGAAGAGCGAGTTTCTGGAACAAGAAAGATCATCAAGTAATCATGGGCTTTCTTCATGAAAGTGGTGACTTGTCACTAATGAGGGCCCTACCGAAATGAAGAAGTTCTAGAAGTTCTCGAAAGAATAAAAATAGCTTCGAGAACGCATTAAGGGAGAGCAGCTGATGAGAGGTTAACCAGGCTTAGGAAATTAGGTACCCGAGAAAGGAAGTCAACATGTTGAAGACAAGCAGTGCATGGGCTCCAACGGAAGAACTCCAACGGAGCTGGCTCTCTCAGCCACGACTGGTCAGCTCCACACATAGGCAAATTAGTGTATAGGATTGATTCCCGTTCAAGGGTTGATAAATAGGCCACATGTTTATCAAGATGCTTCCAAAGAAGAAGAAGAAAGGAAACCAGTGAGCATGCATGGCCCTGAAATAAGGGTACGTTGCAGGGAAAGAGGATGGCCAACCTGTCTCACACGTGCGCACGCGAGATTGAACCATGTTGATATATTATCATGTTCCATGAAATTATTTTGGGTTGACTAGTAATTATCAGACTATTTGGGTTTCAGCCATCTAGATGAGATTTGCTGGACTTTGGCTCCCTGTTATGGAAAATGACATGATAGCCGAGCAGATATGAACATGCTGTCTGAACAGCATCCGTCATCGAGGGACGGGTCTGCGGTGGTTCAGGATGGGAGCCTGATGAGACCTACAAGAAAGAAAAGAAAAGGTACACCATCCAAGGGAAATATCACCAGATTCAAGTGGAGCGCCAAGAAATGACAGAAGGGTAATGGCCACCGCTAAATTACCAGTGTAGGACTATTTCCCACGAGGCCCATCTCGGTTTAATTTCGGACATGCGCTACCATATCCGCACGCAATCAACCTCGCAAACGAGGGTTAGTAGGTGACAGGACCCTGAAGTGAACAGGCGGGATGAATTTTTTTTTTTCTTTCTTCTCTGTTTGTCTTTTCGATTTGGTATTTTTTTTTGGAAGGGGGGGGGGGAGGGGCGTGGTTCAAATAAAATAAGAAAACCCCCACGCACAAAATGATTGCTCTAGGCATTTTTCAGTCTGGGACACACCCCTCCCCTTCCCCAAGGCGGACAGGACAGCTAAAATGAGGATAAACCGTGCGGAGAAGTTTTAAATAGTACGACGTTGCATGAAGCTTTCCATATATGGCACTGTCTGTCCGGATATGTAAATCAGCAAGCATGCCGAGCTCACGGGGAGGCAGTAAAACCCGAGGCCTCCAGCCGTTGACTCTCACTCTCTCACGTGGCAGAAGTATGGTTTTGGTTGGGGGTTTTCTGGATCTTCACACCTCTTCGCAAACCTAAATTGAGAGCATCCCTGACAGCCCTCTCATGACCCACCACCCAAATATCTCTTTGAGCTCTGTGATATGCAATACAGTCTGCAATGCTCCAACTCACTTCGAAGCCGTATGCGATCCAACGCAGCTGGCACTGCTAGCTGAAGGTCATAATTTGCAACGAGGCGATTGGCAATGAGGGGGAGGGGGCCAAGAAGAAGAAAAGTTACTTTCAGTGAATCTCACGTCAGATACAGAAACGCTTTCCTGCGGCCATAAAGACACAGAAAAGAAGTCTAGCAAGAACAGTAAGCTCCACCGCTATTCACTGAGCCTTAAACCGAGGAGGCTCTACGCGGCCCCCTTTTCTTTTTGTTCCCCTTGGTGGTGTAGTGTCTCGGGGGTCAGCCGTCATCTCAGATACTCCTCTGGAGAGAAAGGATCACCATAAAAGAGAGAAGGAGAAGAAGACAGAGAGGACCCATCTCCATCTCCCAGAACCACACTCTGCTTTAAGAATACACACACACTCACTCACGCACGCATTCGCACACAACGACGACAACAAAACCCCCCCGGGAGAGCCGAGACACAACCCAGACACGCCACAAAACTTGCACCCAGCCCGGCGGACCGGTAACGGCTCCAAACCTAACGCCAATCTCCCCACGTGTCAACCAGCGCCGCTGTGGACCCCCCGGGGAACCACACCAGCCTGATCCGGGGGAACGGCCCGCCCCTGTTCGCAAAGACCCCGTTGCGCCCGTACGGATCCTCTCTTGTCCTCTTGCTAGCCGAGATTGGCCCCTTCGAGATTGTCGGCCGAGTCCTCCATTGGCCAACTTGCTCTGCTGGAGTCAAGGAGGGGGTAGGAAGGGGAGGGGGGTAGGTAGGTAAGGTGTGAGCAACCGAGGGCACCGGTCACCAAATCCTTGGGTGGGCTCCACCTTGAGGATCAGGGGTAACTTCCGCCTTGTGCGTGCGTGCGTGTGTGTGCATGTGTATGGTTGTGCAAGGAGAAAAGAGGAGAGAGGAGCCTCGGAGCCAAAGATTCGAGAAATCCTCCGCAGGTTCTCGACCACTTTCTCTCGCAAACCGTCTTTGGGACTTTTTTTTTCTCTCTAATATTTTTTATTTTATTTCTAATTTGATCCTCTCGTACTCTTCTTTAATATTCTTTATTTCTCTGATCCTTGTCTCTTGTCATATTCAACCTTGCCTCTCTCTACTTCGCTCGACTGTTTCGCTCATCACAACAACACAATCCTCCGATTCCTGTCGGCCGTAATCAGCCCCATATACGGATACCATCGGAACGTCGATACCGGTAAAAGACAAACGCCAAGGGCGGAACATCCCCTTTATTTTTCAACCGTCGAGGTGAAGAGAAAAGGAAAAAAGAGCAGGACGTTAGGAGAGTCGATAAACAGAGATACCCAGAGTTATCACTCAAAGATGGCGCTATCACCAGGGGCGGGCAAGATCACCGACAAGATCGCGATGTTGGGTGAAGGCGGTGTAGGCAAGACGTCGCTGACAGTGAATGTACGTCCCTTGCGCTTCTCTTCCTCTTTCTCTCTCTTTCTGTCTATCCCTCTCTCTCTTTCTCTTGCATTCGGAACCTCTGCGACAATAAAAGACGGAACAGAAAAGGGAGAGAGATTCAAAAGAGAAACAAGAGTGACGCTGACAAAAACGCCTCTTCTTTTCTTCGCGTACAGCTCACAAAACATGTCTTCTCCGAGACGTATGACCCGACGCTGGAGGACAGCTACAGGCGCCAGTGTGTCATCGACGGCATCCCCAGCCACCTAGAGATCCTGGACACGGCCGGGCAGGAGGAGTACGGTGCGCTGCGGGAGCAGTGGATACGGCAGAACGAGCTCTTCGTCATCGTGTTCGACGTGACGCGGCGGTCGAGCTTCGAGGCGGCCGAGAGGCTCTTCGAGGAGGTGATCCAGACCAAGCGCAAGCTCGACGAGACCAGGCGGCACCCCGGAGACCGACACCCAGACGACCTCCCCTTCGCGCCGAGCCTCGTAGTCCTGGTCGGCAACAAGTGTGACCTGGACACGCGGAGGGAGGTCGGCACACTCGAGGGCTCGAGCCTGGCCAAGAAGCTGGGCTGTGGCTTCGTCGAGACGAGCGCCAAGCTGGGCACCAACGTCGAGGAGGCCTTCTTCTCCGTCGTCCGCGCGGACCGGCGGCGCAAGCGCGAGGTGACCGACGAGGAGCAGCGGCAGCGCAACGAGGAGCTGGCCGGCATGGGCATCAAGACGCCGAAACCAGGCAAGATGAAGTTTCTGAAGAAGTTTAACAGCTTCCTACACCGGGAATGAGGGAGAGAATAAGACGAAGAGGAGGACAAGGAGGAGGAAGATGGGCCACAGGACATATTGGAACTCCTACGAGACATGCGACTGCGTACTTGGGAGAGAGAGCGAGGGAGAGGGAGAAAGAAAGATTGGGAGGAAGGAAAAGAGAGTTCGGGTAGATTCATTGACGAGGCTTCAAGATTGTTGAGCATCAATGGTGTTATTTTTTTCAAGCAGAGCAGTTCAATTTACTTACAGGAGGACATCATCAACAGCAATAACACACAAGGGACACACACACAAGAAACAGGCTGGTAATCATGGCGGGAAAAAGGATCCATAAGAAAGAAAAAGACAAAAAAATTCACTAAACTCCTCCGACCAAAACACCTAGGGACGACAAAAGGGCATCCGGGACGGGTGAACCCAGCCGGCGCAACGGAATGGGCTGGATGGATTCTTTTCTCCACGTTCTCAACGGTAGAGTCAATGCCTAAAGACTCTAGCTTAATTCTTGTACATATCATACTTTAATCCAAGAATGAGCACTATGCTTTGATGACCTGCGGCCCTCCCAGCGAAGCCCAAGATAGTAGTAGATCAAACTACTCTCATCACTGCATGCACTACTCAACCCTCAACCCTCGCCCCCTCCCCCCTCCCCCAAAACCCAGGCGGTGACACCATGCAGGGAGGGCTGAGAATTACACAACTGATACAGTAAGGAGTAGAAAGAGGCCATACAGTACACCAGCCAAGGGCGAAGACGGTCCGCCCAGCCGTGTGTCTTTCGTGACGTAGACTGTGGCGCATGACCTCCGGGAAGGAGGACTTCCACTGGACTGGCTGCCCGGCTAAAATCCTCACAGCCTGTCACAGTCAGGCTTGATATATATTAACTGGAAGGAGACCTCCGAACGGAGGACAGTGGTTAGACCATGAAACCGTTCTCGTCACGATCGGCCTCTTCTCATCACGAACTCCTAACACAAGATCCCTCGTACGAAGGAGAGGAAAGAAAGAAGAAGAAAAAGGGAAGAGAAAAAAAATGGGTTCAGCACGAGAAGACATGTCAACGTGCAAGAACATCGTCATCACCGGTGCGGCGCGAGGCATCGGCAGGGTAACTGCGCGCCACCTGGCGTCGCTGGACCACAACATTTTCCTCATCGATATTAACGAGCCGGAGCTGATCTACACGGCGACAGAACACATCCCCAAGATTCTAGCTGAGCAGCAACAGCAACAACAACAGCATCCGCCAGGAGGTCTCATAGGTTACATGGCCTGTGACCTGCGAGACCCAGCCGCCATAACCTCGACAATCCAGCATGCAGCCACCTTCTTCCCAGGCGGGGAGATCGACGTACTCATCAACAATGCCGGCATCGCGAGGGCCCGTTTTCAAGAGAAACGCACCATGGAAGATCCAGCGGTGCTCGACGACTGGATGGCCTACCTGTCCACCAACCTCACCGCCCCCTTCCTCGTCAGCCAGGCCTGCATCCCCTTCATGAAGACCAGAGCCGGCGAGCAGCCTTCGCAGGCAGACGAGGCTGTGATCCGACCTGAGGCTGCGCAGGCCGCTGCGGGCTTTATCCCGGAGAGTATCCGCCGCGGCTTTGCCCGGCCTGAGCGCCAGAGCAGGTGTATCATCAACATCTCGTCGTTTCGCGCAAAGCAGTCAGAGCCCAACTGCGAGGGCTACGCCGCCTCCAAGGCCGGCATCCTCGGCCTTACACAGGCCATGTCCATCTCTGGCGCGCAGTGGGGGATCAGGTGCAACACTATCCTGCCCGGCTTCACCTTTGTGGATCACGAGTGCAGAGAGGCAGATGAGGCACCCGAGAAGATGTGGTGGACCAAAGGCATCGATGGGGCTCGACATCGGCATCATCCAGTAGGACGCATTGGGTACGGCGAGGATGTGGCAGAAGCCATCGTCTGGCTCATCTCGGCTGGATTTGTGACTGGACAGGAGATTGTGATTGATGGCGGTGTCAACAAAGTCAAACATGCGTCTGCATAGTTATGTTACCAGTAAATGGCTGATGCTGTTCAAGTTTGTTATCCACAGTCAATCGTAATAAACAGAGGCAAGTCACTTGAGTACAACCTGACTCAAGATGTACATTATCGAACACGAAGAGTGTATTAGCAAATACTCTTGAGGCACAGTCGAGCAATCAAGTTTTCGAGAAAAGAACGCAACATTCATTGAACCCACACACAATCTCAGAACTATGAAAGCAATATCAGGAAATTACCCATGTTTGGAATCCCTATCGAAAGTAAGGCCACAGTGGAACCCCCCCCCCCCCACCCCACATAATTGTTCCGATCCTACGAGGGCCGACTTTCTCTGATGCTTCTCACGTAGCAACAAAACCATCCCTCACCCAGCATAACAAAAATGGTGAATTTTTGTTCTCTTTCTTTCGACCCTCCCTACCTTAGATGTAGATCATCCTGGCCTTCAAGTTATCGTGCGTCTCCATCTCCCTCTGCAGCCGTCGCATGTCTTCGTCCGTGAGCTCGCTGGACTCAGTGATTCTGCGGGAGAAGATGCCACCAGACGCCTCCGACGCTTCGAAAGCACGCAGGTAGCACCCAGCCCGCTCGCACAGGATGTCGGCGTAGTAAGCAGGTGTGCAGATGCCAACGGCACGAGTGGCCCGGCCGAACGCGTAGCAGAGGCTCTGAGAGACCTCCTGCAGGACGTCGGCTGCGGTGGGTTTGCTATTCGCGGGCTTGTACCAACGAAAGATCTCATCGTGCACCACGGTGTAGAACCCAGGCCGCGCGTGGCCTTTGATGGCGCTGTGTGCCTGCAGGTAAAAGTTCCAGGACGCGAGCTCCGTGATGCCGCTGTCCACCACCAGGCCAGCCTCGCAGTTAAATGTCTTGTCGCATGCGCCATCGGCGCCGGGTGCAAAACGCGTGTGGTGGCGCTTGGCGACGATGACGATGGTGATCCGAGGAAGGCCCATCCCCTGGCTGGCCGGCGGATAGACAGCCTGGCAGGCTGCCCGGAGGAGTGGCAGCTCGTGCTTGCGGACCTCCTGGTGTTGGCCTTCAGAAACGCCGTCGCGATAGACGAGAATGTTCTCTGGTAAGGTTCCGTTGTTGGCTTGCTTCCACTTGTTGAGACAGGCGATGAGCATAGGCTCGAGGTCCGAGACCATCTCTTGCCGCTTCTGCTGTACCTGGAGCACTCCGGGCCATTGGGCAACGTGCCTATCTACAGTGGCTACCATACCCGCCACACTGGGCATTCCACCCCTGGTTTGGTCTGTCGAGGGATGAATCACATCAATACCGACTAGCATCGTCTTGCCCTCGGAGATGAAGTGTAGGCCAGAAGTGATGCGCTGAGTTACCAAGGCACGAAATGATTAGCATGAGAATGACTTGCTATACTTAACGATCCGGATCGTACAGTGAGGAAATGATTGCAACTCACCTGGTTCATTCCTCCAAGCTTCAGGTTGACCTTGAGAGCCTCATTTCCAAGATATTGGCTCTGGTATCTGGGGTCGCGTTCCTTCAAAGTCTTGTCAACGGAAACAACTGTCATCACTCCCAGCTTGACATCTGACAAGTACTTGATTCGATCATAGAGCAACTTGGAGCCAGCAGGGACGATGACCCACACAAGGTCCTTGCCCCTGAAGGCTTCCAGGGAGGTCTCGAGCGCAGGATCATTTTGGTTCTGCAGAATGCACGCGCGTGCTATGTCTCGGCCGTCTTGGGACTTATTTAGTCGAATCCCATAGGAGAGCATGGCGTCTTGAAATTCCATCACGGTCGGTAGAAATGTGTTGATAGACTCATAGGCGGGGTTTTGACCCGCGATTCTCACATACACCCAGCCCCAGGATTTGGTCGCGTTATTAGGACAGCTGAGCTTCTGGCCCATAAGGTTCCATGATGCCCTGGCAACATTGAGAGTTCTGTCCCCGTACACGAGGCGAGGTTTGTTGAGAGTACGACCTCTAACACGTGACAAGTCATCGGCATCGGACTTCATGAATTCTTGGTTCTTTTTCTGTGATTCGAAACACGTTCGTGGTCAGAAATCTTTTATCTCACAGCAAATCAAAATGCGAGCTGATGGTACTCACTAAGACGGAATCGGGGTCGTCAGAGAAGCCGACAGCCTTGAGGCCATACTCTGTGAGCAGCCGGAAGTTCTGAATGGGGTTGTTGCAGGTGAACTTGATCATATTGCTTGTCTGCTTTGAGCTTAGGTTCGCAAATTTCACCGGCTGACCAGCTGGAACGCCGCAGACCTCTGGTGGCAAGTAAATTGGATGTTCGTGGGAGCCAATATTGATCACGGGCAAGTCTGGCCGCTGTAGTCGAATGCCATATTGCTCTTTGGATATCTCGATGTCAGGACACTTTATAGTCTAGAAATTGCGACATGGAGGGACACAGGATAGATATGAGAGGGGGTTTATGAAGCGAAAGTGACGAGGGAATACGAATATAATCACTCACTTTCAAAATATTGGTAGACAGTGAACCAGCCATCGTCGGTGGAGAACTTGACATTTTTCGCTCCGGCGCCGAAAAACTTGACCTGTGGTGGTGACTTCTTCGAGGTGTCGCCAGCCTTGGGCGTGCCGTCCTCGGGCGAAGCAAGACCAAATATCTTTCTCGTGGGAAAGACTTCTTGCCCTTGCTTGTTGCGTTTCTTCAGGAACTTCTTCTGAATTCGCAAGCCCCTGAGCAATCTCTCAATGTGGTAATTGTCTGTGGAACCGAAAGCTGAGATCAAGGACGCCAGGTTACCACCGGGAGCTTCGTAGAAGGCGCTGTAGGCCACACTGACGTTAACGAGGGGTCGAAGACGGGCAGGTCTGACGCTCGCAAAGAACCCTTGGTACACGGCCACACCTTCTCCCAGGGCCTGAGTCTTGCTCGCGGGGCCAGAAATGGGAAAAGTCTTGTTTCCCACTGTGAGCAGGCTGTTGTTGCGCCTGAAGTAGTGAAGGAACAGGGTCTGCAAGGCATTGATCATGGCGTCTTTGTGCTCGTACGGCATGGCAGAAGGCTCTCCGAGATGGGCCAGGAAATCTTTAATCGAGAGGATGTGGCTCAGGTGGACGTCTACATGGTAGATCTCCGCACCTGACTTGGCTTCGTCTTCATCCTCTGCAAAATATTTGACATTGTACTTGGCATTATCCTCTTGCTTCTGCCTTACAATGACTGCCCTGAAATCTGTGGCTGCTCCGCCAAGATTGTTCTGCTGAAAGAGAAGCTTGATTACTCGTTCGGCCTTACGACCCACAGCCTTGGGTTCTATGTCGACCTTGTACTTGTATAAAACCGCCTCAGGAGTCAGGTATAAGGGGACATAGTTTGCTTGTACTATGATTGGGGTTCCCTCAGCGCCATAGGATGGTCGAGGAGGCAATGAATCGCCACTAATGCTCAACTGGCTGAGACTTAGCTCGGCTGCAGATGAGCTGCCAGCATTGCCGGTGTTTTGGGTGGATGAAGGAGCAGGGCTTCCGCTGGGGCTGTGTTGATATGTCAGATGGTTTGTACTCCAACCAGTATTGGGCACACCAGCAAACACAGGAGAACATACAGGGAGTTTCTTGGTGGTTGAGGATGTCGGCTGGAGCCACGGCTGGAGCCACGGCTTGAGCCGCGACCAGATGACTTACCACGCCTGGGCATGATGTATGTTGGTTGATGAAGTTACCTGCCAGATGAAAAAAAGATAAATCAGCATACAATTGACTACAAGAAAATCAGGTTGATGGCACCGAGACGACGCACTGTAAATGCTGTTGATGGTGGGTTTGCTGAGGAAGGCAAGAAATAACGAAGGGGGCCTGGCAAAAAGCTGTTTAAATAGTAAAGGCAAACGGAGAATTTTGGGTGACTTGGTGATTTGCATGTGGGTAACTTAAGGATTGCAGTGACGAGAATAAAGGGAGAATGTAGAGGACATGCAGGATCAATGACAGTGACAAAATATACAGTGATTAGGTCTGGAGCTCTCCAGGATTTCTCTGAGAAATAATGGAGATTCTCCTAATCTGGTCGGCTTCTTTGGAGTTCCTGGGTTGTTTGAGTGGTATGATGATCAGAAAAACAAGCAATTCCTCAAACATGATGACAAGCAGGCAGAGGCAAGTAGTCTACTTGTAAATGAAATTAAGAACGTTCCTTGTTTATGATTTAATCACTAGGGGCATTGAGACTTGCAATAGTACAAGAAGTCACAAACAGAAGACAAGAAAGCATATAACTTTGTCCAAAATTTATGTATCATGGCTGCAGAGAAGGCTACCCAACCAAGAAAAGTGCAAAAGATGGTGTATTGGGGGGAAAGTCCATTCAGAAGTGCTGCAATAGGATATTGTAGACCGGTAGTAGATTAAACATTCAGTGAACAATCGGTGATTAATGAGAGATCTACTGCTCTCGACTCATTTGATAGTATCATCTTGGTTAAATAATCAGAGCCCCCTCCCAACAACAGCCGCAGGCTGACTCTCTAAGTACTGAGGCAGAATACCAATGACCCAAGACATGTGTTGTTCATTCTGGATACTCTACTCGATGTGAAAGCCACATCTTCCTCAGCTCGCAATACTATAAGCACAGAAGCATAGCAGCGTCTTTGTTTACAACACAGCAGATCCTCTGAATACATGGCTGGACAACTCAGGACCATGATGTGCCTGTTCGATCAGACTGATCAACAGACAATCTCCCAGCCAACAGTACTGTCAAGGTACAGTGAAGGTTCAGGTCTGGCTCCTCTTCCCCTCCTGCCTTGACAATGATGTGATCCTGCCATGCTCAGGCCTGGCCCCTGTGATGAGAAGCACGAGCAGCCAATCTCTGAGATCGTCCCTTTACGGTGCTAGAGAGGTCCCCCACCGGCAGGGAGATGGGGAAATCCACAGACTCGAGAATGATAGCCAAGAAGATCCACCAGCCAAACATACATGCCATAAAGGCAAAGGCGCCAGCAGCCTGAAGGAAGTGAGAGTATTGGTTAGCAAAGTAATTACTTTTTTCTTCTTGCGGTCCCCCTTCCCATGAAGAAGCCTTTGCATGGTGTGGTCATATTATTGGAAGGCTTACAATTATGAATTTTCCTGCCGTGGCAGCATTGCCCGTATAGTCTTCAGCAAGATACCAATAGGCAGACGTCAACATGGTAAACGTCAGGAACAACGTGAAGAAGATGAAGACGAAGCAGATGTTGGTGCGGACGGAGGCGAGGAGGAAGCAGAAGCACACGACGGCCATGAAGACTTGGAAGAAGCCTGGTCAAGAGACAAATCAGTATGTCAGATATTATTCTCTAGTTTATACATACAAGACAGAGTTGTTCATTTGTTGTCCGTGGGAGGCAGTGGGGGAAAGATCAGAATAGAAGGTGACTGACCAAACGAAGCATTAAATCCTTGCGTCTCAAGTCCTGTTGCTGCCGGTTGTCCGGTGGCGGCATAAGAGGAATACGCAGCGAAGGCTGGGTTGAGGGTACCCGCAAAGGTGAGCCAAAAGGCGCCGAAGGTGACGAAGACGACGCAAGGGAAGCTGTTGCCGAGCACCCATTCAAGAATCCCGCCGAGGATCATAAGGACGCCGCCAAAGAAGAAATAGTCGGGACTATGTAGTGTCTCGTCAGCTTTATATTCTTTCCACGTGTAGTACCTCTCAATATATTTTTCTCCCTCATTGATCTATCTACCAGAAGTAGGTAGCGACCAACATTGCCAGGAAAAAGTCTGCTTACATTCCTACGGCACCAGTACTACTCGCGCCTCGCCATCCCATAAGCGAGCAGGATAGGGGGCTGAGACTGAGAAGGAACCCGACGAGGCCACTAGAGAAAAGACACAAGTCGTTAGTCAAAGTGATTACCTCCAAAGAAAGCGCATGATGGTGGAGGATAGTGACAGTATGAGGGCGTAGTATAGGTATTTTACATTGGCGTCGGGTTTCCAAAGGTCCTCCTCAACTCCCCGTTGACCTCATTCTTGGGTGATAGGTACAGCTTCTCGAAGAGCTCAGCCGAGATGGAGACGGCGCCAGTCGTCTTGGCTCTGTTCAGAGCATATTCGACATCATCGGTATGGTCGTAGCTACTGTCCTCGGCGATCTCGACCTTGGAGGGCCTTCGGCCGTTCTGGGGGATGGTGGCTGCCATTGAGATGGAGAGGTGGAAAGGACGGAATAATAATAAGAACAAGATGTATAACTTGAAGAGAACCAGCTATCCAAAGGATGAGTACAGGCCAAGACCTAAAAGAAAGAGCATCGAGGGCCACCTAGGTAGACCACCAAGAGTGGGATAGGTCCACCTTAATGAGTTTTTCTGGATTGTGGTGCATCACTCCTGTTGCCCCCCATCACACATACACTCGCACGCTCTCTTCCTTCGGGGAAGTCATCCCATCCCTTCGTCGGTGCTGCCTGACACACTAGATCTAGATCTACCACGTATCCGGTCTACATACCTAGTAAAAAGAACCACCCACACGTCCCCTTCCCCCGTCCTAGTCGAAAGCCTCAGCGGGGAAAAAGCTGAGCACCAAAGTACCCCACAGAGGAGGATGCCGATTGGTGTTCATCTTTGGCTCCTCTGGAACGTAGTGAGCTCCCCGAGAGTAGGTGGAGGAAGAAGGGGTGGTGAGGAGCGGTTCCGAGAAACAAAAGCCCTGGCAGTGCGCGCGTCTAGCTTCTTGCAGGCTGGTCTGGCTGGGACTCTGGCACGTTGGGCCCATCCTGGAACCCGTTACGGCGAGGCTTGGAGCTGGACACTCTGTGCACCCCGAAGGTTCTTGCGTGCCGGGCAGGATCAAAGGAGATGCTGAGACAAAGTACCGAACAGGCCTCTTGGCGTTACGGTACTGTACTTTGTGGGGGTTTTTTGGGGGGGGGGGGGGACGCAGTGGTGGAGTTGGGCCTGTAAAGTTTCCATGGGATACGTATAAAGTTCCATGGGGTACAGACCACTGCAGGAGCATCGAATGTACAGTTGGGTGTGTCCTCCATCATTTCATTGTTCAGCGATATCAGGAGGAAAGCTAATCGTAATATTTAGCTGATAGATTTCCTCTAGCGGAACTGTACCGCATATGGGCGAGTCGAGACCGGTCAAGGGACAGACAGGCAAAGAAGGGTTGAACACCCCTCCCAAAACGCAAAGAAGAGAGAGACAGCCCAAAGAAAACACAAGGACGAGCTGTTCTGTCCCCATCGCACTTTGGAAGGAACACATTTCAAACAGCCGTACGTAGTACACACGCCTCAATGACGGGTCCATCCATCCTCAACCCCATGCCCCAATCGCGGATCCGCATGCACCTTTTAGCTCCAGAGCCACTCCGAATTACGCCTCCACCCCCAACGACCCGTCAGCAGAATCTGGGGTAACAAGGTTGAGCTCAAACTCCACTCCACAAATTTGAACTGCAAATCTGAGGGTTTGGCTGGTCGACGTGGCTTTCAGCGTTCATGCAGGGGATGTGTTAGTTTCGGGGATACGGCTGCTTGGCCACAGCATTACCGGTCGTGCGGATGATACTGCTTGAGGGTTAAAGCTCGTACGATTGACAGACGCGTATGCATGGGCTGATGGTATACATAACGTTTGGGGAGAGAAGTTTGAGGTTAAGGAAGTAGAAAGTCTAACTTTGAAGGTAGTAAGAAGAAGAAGGAAAAGAAAAAGAAAGAGAAGAAGAAAAAAAACCAATAACACACACTCGGCAACTACAATACTGCAATCACAAAAGGAAGCCGAGGGCCGCCGCCATAGTGTCCCCGGTCGACCTCGAAGTTCGGCGAAGGTCTCACACCACAAGATGCCAAATGCCCCGTCCAGCTCTATGGAATTGATTTTAATAACGATGAACCAGCGCTTCACAAGGGAGAATGGAACATAACAATGGCATCAATTCGAGAAGGCGTGTATTTGTATCAATTGTCTCCATTATTTTTTTTCTTTCTTTCGAAAGCACTAAAAAATTCCGTAACTCGACAGACTCGGGTATTCAGGACAAGAATATAACCAATGAATAAATAGTTCGTACGCCAAACCCCAAAACCCTAGAATAAGGTATACCATGAAGAGAAAAAAAGAAAATCCCTTGATCAAGAAATTATTCAGAGAGCAGCATTGACCTGGATCAACCCAGGCGCCGCAAGGGTCGCGTCCGGAACAGCATCAGGGTCGGTGAAGTTTCCGCTTGTCGTCAGCGCCGCAAGGCTCAGCCCATCCATGACATTCTCCGAGTAGGGGAACGCCGCCTGGAAAGTGATGACATTGCCACTCCAGCTGCAGACGGTGACAGGCTCGCTGATGGGCACGTTCAGGCCCGTGAAGTAGGTGACGTACAGACCCTCACCGTTGCCTCCCTGGTACTGGTCCCAGCCGGCCGGCGCGTCGGTCAGGTCCGCGCTGAACTCGAGCGTCTGGTCCTCAGCAGCGACGTTGGCGCCTCCCTCACCGCTGACCACCGAAAGGGCAGGGAAGATGGGGAGTGGGATCTCCGTGGCCGGGTCAAAGGAACACTCGTCGACGAATCCTTGCAGGACGGAGAAGGCGAAAGCCGCGGTTGAGGTCGTGAGGAAGGGCTTCTCGCTGGGCTTCAGGCCCAGCAGGGCGCGGTACCAACCAGTCTGCTCACCCTCCTGGCCGATGACGGCGGCGATGGTGCGGACGGGAGCTGCGTCGCCGTTGGTCGCGAGAAGCTGGCTGGCATCTTGCAGGGTGCCGAGGACGACGGCCGTGAAGGTCTCGGCGAGGGCGATGGCCGACTTGATGTCAGTCGTGGGGAATTTGTACGTGCAGGGTGGAGGGGCGAAGGCACCGAAGTGGTCCAAGACGGCGAGCGCGCTGATGGCGTGAAGCTCTTCTTGCTGTTGTGGGTGTCAGTTCTATATTTTGACATCATCGAAGGAAGAGGAAGCAGAAAGGGGGGGGGGGGGCAAATGGACTTACAGCCTTGACCGCCTTCAAGACGTCAAGCACCTGCTGCTTCTCCGTGGCCTCCAGGTTGTAACCCGGTGCGTCGGCGGTGACGTTGTCGATGAGAGACGAGAAGAAGCCGACCTCGAAATTCTCGTTGAAAGCGATCAGCTGGAAGGCCGTGAGGCTGCTCGCCGCCAGCTTGGGCGGAGGGGCAGCGTTGGAGATCTGTCCGCCGGCGATGCTCTCGATCGCAGCAAGCTGCTCAGCGCTGGGGCTGGGGAACCCATCGTCGGTGGGATCACTGAAACCTCGCCCGCTATTGGCCGGGGCAGCACAGACGAGGCCAACAATGGCTGCTGTGGCAGCCAAAATTCGAGGGAGGTTATACATCTTGGGAGGAATGTTGATGATCTTTTACTGAGTGGTATTAGGGATTGTAGTCTGGCTTGTCAAAGACTTCAGAGAGGACATGAGACGATGGAGAGGAAGATCGAGAGAGAGAGAGAGAGAGAGAGAGATCAGATGATGATTCAAAAAATAAAAGCGTACTCTCTCTGGGAGGAAAAGGGAAAGAAACAGCCCGATATATGTACTGAGATGCAGCTCTCACACAGCCCCAACACCACCAACCATTCACCAAGAGAAATACAAAGATACTTAGTTGCTAACAGCAACGAGTGGAATGCAGTGCAACGGGGGGCAATCGTTGAGACAACGGCTGACGTTCGCCAATCGACCACCTACAGTACGTGCAGTACAACGCACCGACTGTACTGCCACAAGCGGGTATTATGACAGCATGACAAGAAGCCACTCTCCAGCTGGTTGGGCAACCCTGGTTCGGAACCCGGATCTTCCGCCTTCCACTGTCAACTGGATACCTTCATCTGGTAGTGAGAAGAAGCCTCCTCCATCATGATGATCACTGTCATCATCATAGAAGACTGGCGTCCCGAATTAGCGGAAGGGGGCGGTGTGCTAAGCACAAGCACCACCGGGTTGTTGTCTGTGAGTTCTGAGTTGGCGTGAGCGGTGGTAGCAGAGCACAACCCCCAAAAGGCCCACTCTAGCTGTCATATGTCCTAAAATTGGGATCTGGCCTTTTGGCACTACAGGGCGGCCGCAGTGCCAGCTTTCGAGCGAGATGGTGGGTGGTGGTTGGCTCAGGCGAGCTGCAGGATGCGCCAACGCGGCTGGGAAGATGCCGCCCAGCTGGTTAGGGCTGATCCATATGGGCTAGCCAGAAAAGAAAATAAACAGAGCTAAAATATGTAATACCACAAAGGTTGGGTATATGCCAAGTGCCGGATGCAACGGGTGAGCTGGAAGCCGTCCTCTAGTGTGGCTGTGGGCGGAAAGACTGTCATCCGGGTCTCTTTTTTTTGCTCTCTCTCTTGTGATTCCCAACGATACACACAAGACTCTGTACGTTAGTACGTGGGAATAAAAATAAGCCTTCTGCTGATGTCGTGGGAGAAGATCCATAATTTAAGCTTAGAAGCCCAACGGGTTAACGTGGCCGATGTTTATCCAAATGCCGGTTGGGAAACATCCGATCCCAAGTATGTAAATCATGCGGGGAAAATGTTTCTGCCATCAGCATTCCTTGATTGATTCCAGACTCAGCTCGTCTCCATGTGAATTCCCGTCCTTTTGGACGGCGTAAAGCAGTAATTTCTGGTCCGTCCTTGATTCCACGATGGGGCTCTGTCTATGTGTCGAATACAGAGAGATCCTTCCCGTCCGTCTCCCAAGTGTCAGCGGCCGTGATTCATGGTCCATGGGCAATCCTCTGAGTTGGCGCAGTCCGGATACCACCAAGCCGGACCGGATCCCAATATCCCGCTGTTGCCGCCCCAGAAACTTATCTCCCAAAGTAGTAATTAATCAGTCGTTCATCTGGCCTAAAGCATAGCAAGCAACCAGATGTACTGAACCGCTTCTTGCTCTCTCTAGTAATTGGATGAGCCAAAGCAAACGTGAAGGTGGACACATTATGTCACAAGTAACGTAACAGTTCTCTCGCGACGGGGGAGCGACCCCACGCCCTCTCCTCTGTTACTGCGTCTCCACGCCGTCCTGCTCGTTCGTGATAAACGGCATCACCTGGGAGTCGCACTTGTGGACACCCGGCACGTTCAGTCGCCGGTGCAGGTCCTTGGTAGCCTCCCGGATCGAGTCCTCGAGGTCAAAATCCCAGATGTGGCCCAGCCGCTGGGCCAATTCCCTCTCCATCCTGGCAAAGTCTGTGCCGACGTCCTGGGTGAGCCATTCATACAGGTTGCCTGCACGCCGCGAGCTGCGAACCAGCCACTGCGTCCGAGCCCGCCTGTGCGCATCGTACACTGCGAAGACGACCTCTACGTGTAGGGGCTCTGTGACTTGCGGGTCTGCGAGCAGGGAGGCCAAGAACGCGGCATCTTCGATGCAAAAGCCCGCTCCCGCGCCGTGGTGAGGAGAGGTGGCGTGTGCTGCGTCACCGACCAGGCATACGCGGCCTTTGTAGTATGTCGATAATGGGTGGTCGCCCAGGTCGAAGATGGCCCACTGCAGCCATGATTCAGCCATTATTTGTCAACTTTGCAAGTGGCGCGGAGCTTGATGGATCAACTCTGGGGAGGCACGCTCAAGCTTACCCGGTCCAATCGATCCGACGTGAGCTGGATGATATTCTTGACATTTTCGCCGAACTCGCGGAAATCATCCAGGGCCTCGGCCTTGGTAGTGGCGAGGGTCAACTTGCTCGTGCTAGGCCACTCTTCTCGATTGTTTGTTACAAAGGCCACCATGTTCATCATTGCGCCGTGATCGACGGGAAATGTTAGGACATGTCTGTTCTGGCCGAGCTGTGGTGGGCCGTCAGCGAGAGGGTCTTCTCGTCTATACACAAATATAACAAGACATCGCAGCAGACAAACAACCTGACTGCCTGTCGATTCATGTCGTCAAGTACCCACCCACATGTGCGCGTTCACCGCCCTCTCCTCGCCAAGGACGTGAATGGCCTCGTCCATGGGGACCAGCCCTCTGTAGGCATACTTGTGCGTATACACTGGCGTGGCGGCGGGGTGGCCTTCGCCCACGAGTGACACCCTGGTGCGTGACTTGATGCCATCACACCCGATGATTGCGTCTGCCTCGGCCACCGACCCGTCCTTGAACTTCATCAGCATCTTTCCGGACCCGATCCTATCATCCAGGATGTGATCGAGTTTCTTGTGGAACTGCGCGGCACCTCTCGGCAGCAGCTTGACCAGCTCGTCGAGAAACCGTGCCCGGTGCACGGCGTTCTGGCCCACGCCCGGGTCGACCATGGAGAAGAGTGGTTGGAGGCGAGGCGCTGGCTCATGCGACATGCCGTCCATGAAGTCGAACCACACGCCCCTCTTGCCCTCCCACTTGTTACGCGTGGCCACGATATTGAAGGCGCCGACCACGCTGCGGTCGATCACCTCCATGGCCCGCACGGCATTGCGCGAGATGGACACGCCCGCGCCGATCTCGCCAAAAGCAGCAGCCTGCTCGTAGATGGTACAGCTAATCTTGCGCTTGTGAAGAGCAATGGCGAGCATGAGGCCTGAGATGCCGCCGCCAATGATGGCGATATGGAAGGGCTTCTTCTGAGCTGGGGTCGCCATATTGACAACGGGGAAGGACGTAAAATCCAGCACAGTGCGCCACGGACGGCAGTTGAACGGGTGTGTAAGCAGATAAAGGTGAATGTAGCGAGCTGCAGAATGTCAAGTTTCTGAAAATGTCCTGATTCACCTGGGTGGTTTCCAGTGTAGCAGAGTCAATCAAGGGAGGAGAGGACAAACCGCTGATGCTGTATCTGATCCTTTTTCCCTATTTTGTTTTCTGCTCCTTGCTGTTTCCTTTTCTGTGCTCAATGTAGTTCACGTCTTTGCCTCGACCTTACTGAGAACCCACAAGATAATCCATCTTGAACGAAGGAGACAAAAAGATTGCTGGTCCCATCGCGAACTTGGTGTGACGTAATCGAAGGGAGAGAAGACAAGGCAGGCGCCTGCGTAGGTGTTAGTCCATAATTGAATTTAGTGAACTTTAGCAGAGAGGGTCCGTCCGTCCATAGTAGTGGAAGTAGGTGGAATATATACCAAGGTATAAAAATAAGTCCTCTACGCTCGGCAAGATCCGCTCACAGCATCTCACGACCGCTCTTGCCAATCCTGAGTCTTCGCTCCGCGTCTCTCTGTTACGCACCTGCAGTAACAAGTATATATTGCTGCGAACCTGTACTGTGTTATCAATCCGAAATATCTGCGTCGGTCTGAAATGTATGCACTCATCGTTATTTCGAATCATCAATGTCTTTTTTCCTGCAGAAATAGTAGTGATGCTAAAAATTTAGCTCTCTTTATTATGACACTGCGCCGCCTCACTATCACCACACTAACTGAAGTTTCCCCTCCCTGATGTTTCATAACATAAGAACAACTAAGACATAGAAAGTCTGGCACTCTACCATGGCGACTCCAGCGAGATTCAAGCTTGGGAGCTCAGTCTGAAACATGGATAAGAAGACCATATAGGCATGCTGTCGCAATTATGCCTTGTAAGCTGTAGCGAAGGCGGAGTGAAAACTCCAAGGCTCTGGACACGGGAGATGGGAAATGGGCGACAAGGAGCCACAGTCGAATCTAGAGAGTCTAATTAACTAGGAAGCTGTAGTGTAAATGCGATTGAAGAGCGCACAGTTGACATCTCTTTTAGTAATCAAGCCATTAGCATTTGTAGAAACCCAGGCGTATCGAGTCGAGTACGATGAAGGCAGTGTATTAGACACATCTGCCGACTTTGGCAGATAGGGCTACAAACGCTCATAATTTCCAGGCGACGTCTTTAAAGAACTTAAGAAACCCTGGGGCTTTTACTATTTCCGCCTCACGCCATCTGCGATACGATGGCGACATGCATAAGCCCGCATGGCTCTCACAAATATTCTCACTTATTCAGTCGAGCTAAGGCCTATATCGCCCACTTATCCTTAGTCCTACACAGTATGCAATCGAGAACAGATCTGCAGGAGGGATAGAAAGTTGTTGATTGGAGCATAGCCAGATGTGCTGGGTGGTGAGGCAATATGTGGATGCTGTGACGATACTCACGACATGTCGACCAGGGTGAATAATACATATAATATCAATTAAGTGAAGAAACATCTACTCGAGAGAAAGGCCCATGTCACAGAATCTACGCATCTAAGTCTCCTCCAAACACTCATACACGCATAAAACCCAAGAATCTATCATGGGATCTGACGCTGACGGTTCTCCAGTGAAGAGGAGATGGTACCAATGGTACTCGGCCGAGGACAGTCCAGAGGAGAGGAAGCTGGTGCTCAAGCTGGACCTCCTGATCGTGCCTTATGCCTTTATTGTGTACTGGATCAAGTACATAGATCAGACTAACATCAGTAAGTTGATTATAAACACGTACGATAAACGAATGAGTGAACCGTGCGGAACACTGACCTCAACCAGACAATGCCTACGCCTCGGGCATGTCAAGCGATCTCAACTTTACCGGCAACCAGCTCGTCCAGTTCCAGACCATCTTCTACGTCGGGAACGTAGTCGGCCTCCTCCCCTTCATCTACCTGTTCCCGCGCGTGCCCATGCACATCCTCGTGCCCACCCTCGACTTGTGCTGGGGCATCTTCACCTTGCTACAGTACCGCGCCCAGAGCTACGGCGAGATCATGGCCTACCGCTTCCTGGTCTCCCTGTTCGAGGGCCCCTACTTCACCGGCGTACACTTCGTCCTCGGCTCCTGGTACCGCAGCGACGAGGTCGGCCGCCGCGGTGGCACCTTCTACACAGGGCTGACACTCGGCACCCTGACCGCGAGCCTGTTGCAGGCCGCCGCCACGACCTACCTCGACGGCCACAACGGCCTGCCCGGGTGGAGGTGGTTGTTCATCATCAACGCCATCATCACGTTGCCCGTTGCGCTGCTGGGCTTCTTCATCTGGCCTGGCACGCCCGACAGGCCCAACCGGCTGGTCATCAAGCCGCACGAGCTCGAGCTCGCGAGGGCCCGCCTAGAGCGCCACGGTTCCCGAGTAGAGAGCGCCCCTTTCACGTGGGCCTTGCTAGCCCGCATCTTCAAGAATTGGAAGTTCTGGGTCATCTTGTTCTGGGACACCATCTTCTTCAACACGAGCGCCAACTCGGCCGCGTTCCTGCTCTGGATCAAGAGCCTCGACCGGTATGACACCGCCGCCATGAACAACCTCGCCGCTATCAGCCCCGCGCTGGGCATCTTCTTCGTCTTCTTCATCAACTATTCCGCCGACCTGTGGGTATCGCGTCCCGTCGCCATCAGTACCGCCTCGGCCTTCAACTTCACGGCGCTGGTGATCCTGTCCGTCTGGGACGTGCCCGAGGCCGCCAAGTGGTTCGCCTTTAGCGTGACGTATTCGTCGGTCGCCGTGTCCTCGGTCTTGTACGGTTGGGCGAATGCGATCCTGAGGGACAATATCGAGGAGAGAGCGCTGACGCTGACGCTCATGACGGCTGTGGGCACAGCAACGAACGCGTTTGTGCCGAACCTGACGTACCCAACTGTGGAAGCTCCCAGGTACCCAAAAGGTTATGTATTCTCTGCTGTTATGGTCGTGTGTCTTGTCATCATGACCTGGATCATGTCTCTACTCTTTGGGGAAAATGGGTATGTTATCACCATATCTCAGAGGTTGTTGTTTATAACGCTAGTGCTGACAACTTCATACTTTATCAGAGACAAGAGACAGAAGCAAGTGTCTGGCACAGAAGAGGTGGAAGCTCTCCCTTCAGACTCGGACCTCCACAGAATCAACCAACATGTTCAAGTCAAGGGCAACAGTGCTGATAAGGTTGAGACCATACCAGTCAATTAATGGAAACAAACTGGTCAAGAGCTGTTGTCTAGATGAAGATCTCTTGACTATCTATTCATTGAGTATTGTATTTTGATTTCTTCAAAGTACCCAAGGTTTATAGCTAGCATATCTAGCCTCAAGTTGTGCAATATACAATTCATTTTGATAAGAGTATTGAATTAAGCTGCAGGCCTCCCAGTAAGAAGGCCGTAGTCAAACAAGTCGCTCAAGTATTGAATTTGAGAAAACGTCCCGCCTCTTGCGCCTTCCCTGATTTGGTCTCCCTGTGAATAATGATGTTGATGGTAAAGTCAAGGTAGTGTCGTCAAGATGGATGCCTATGCTGAATGATGCAGTCTCAATGTCGTTCTAGACAAAGCTAAGCATGGCACAGAGCATGCCTCACAGGCTCCTTGTATAACGCCACAGTCAACGCTGCCCTGTCCCTTCTTTCAGGAAGTACCACCTTTTTTTGCTTGTGTAATAAATACCATAGGCCCATAAACTACCCCGACAGACACCTATCCTTGTCGACCCGATGTTTATTTCCCAGCCCCAAAATGCACTATGCTTCATGCTCCTCAAATCATGCCCCTCAAGCAGGCAACTCCGTCAGCTCGTGCGCAGAAAGCTCACTCGGCCCAGCCTGCTCCTCGCCAAAGCCACCATTCTCCATAATAGCCTCCATCCGGCCCGGCGAAGTCGGCATGCCTGTCGTCCCCATCGCAGGAGCCGCGCTGCTGCTGTTCTCGCCATCGAGCTCCGAGACCAAAGACCAAGGGCGCACCGCCTTGTTGATATGGTGGCTGTCCAACTCCGAGATTGCCGACGGGTGCGGGCTGCCCAGCTGGGAGGCGGACTCATTGTAGGGCTGCTGCTCATGTACATCGCCTCCGACGCCGCCGTAAGCGATGCCGATGCTGTGATGGTCTCCTCCATTAGGGTCACCGCCATAGGAGGGGGTCTGCTGATGAATAGATGACTCGGGTGTCTTGGCAGCGATTCGGGCCTTTAGAGTGCGGCGGCGATGTAGGAAGAGGTAGACGAGCCCTGCAAGGAGGGCGACGCCGCCGATAGACGCGCTGACTGCAATGCCGATGGTATCGCCAGTGGTGAGACTGTTGTTTGAATGGCTGGTTGTAGTCAGAGCTGGGGACGACACCGTAGGGCTCAGAAAATTGGAAGTTCGAGCAGAAGAAGGACCAACTCTAGGAGTAGGATTGGAAGTGGCAGTCGCGCTCGAGGAAGCTATGGTCGACGGTGCAGTCGGGAAGAAGCCCGCGAAGAATTGGACGCTGAGGCCAGTAGCGCTGGGCAGCCAGGCTGTCTCGTTGATCTGCGAGTACTGGCTCAGGGTCATGCTGCGCTCGGCGCTGGCAGTAGGGCAGTAGCACAGGTCAGGTTTGACAATGGTCCCTGGGTGGCCCTTCTGGTCGCAAAGAACCCATTGATTGCTGGTGCCATTGCAATAGGACATACCCAGCCATGGGGCGTCTAACAGTAGTACATTCTGTGTCAGCTGAATCGGAAATGGGTGGTTCGGGTGCACTCCATCGCGATCAGTCACCTGGGCACTCTCACCTTTGTCCTCAAACTTGTTAGGGCAGACGGGCGATTTATATTCTGAGTCAGTACAGCCAGAAATATAGGTTGTATAGTACTGGAAGTTGAAGCAGACGCCACTCAGTAGGCATGCATCTTGTGCCTGGCAGCAGGAGATGGCCCCATAGAAGGAATTGCCACAAGGTATCATGGCTGGATCTGCCTCATGGTTTGGACCACTGTAGCAGGTGCCATTGGAGATGAATATGTTGGGCTGCTCCGCCAGCTGGGACTTGGCCATCTTGCGCTCATATGGGCGTGTGAGGGCGTCTAACGAGACCTGGAATCTTGGGAATCGCTTGGAATGGCAAAATCTTCCCCAGCGCGGTTTTCGAGGCGCAGCGTCGACGTGTCGTTGTTGTCGACGTGTGTAAGGTTGTTTTTATGTACGTTCGGAAAAGCCCCTCAGAAAGGCACGTGTAGAAAAGGCGTTGAGTTGGGTATGGGGTGACTGTCGATTTCAAACTCAGGAACAGAAAGACTGATTAAACAGTCGAAGAAAATACCTCTGGAGACTTTGTCACAAATCCCTGAGGTCTGGCTTTGAGGCTCGTAGAAATATTGGGTCACAAAGATTAGAGGGTAGTGCAGTGTTGTGTGATGAACGCTTCTTCCATAGAGCAGAGTGAAGTTTGGAATTCACAAGACCTGAAAACCCTCCAAAAAAAATTTCATCCCAAGAATCTGCAGAGAGAGCAAGCTCTCTCCCCTTTTGCAAAATGTCTCTGGTTGGTCACGTAAATGTTTGCTGCCAGTGACAGGTCACACCAACCCTCTCCAGCCTGCTCTGCTTGCTTTGCGCCCAAAGTCCCGGGCAAGATCATATTCTACTAGGAGGGAGGAACACCTATCACCCCAACGGGGAACTTCCAGCTTGCTACATGCCAAAGCACAACAGTGAGTTCAGGGTCTGATATCTAGGTAGCAACTGGTGATGTTAGACGAAATAAGTAGCCCTCTACTGGCCTCGAGCAAGGTCCAATTCTAGAAAGACAATGCCCCTCTTTCTTAAAGTTCCGCTGCCATGTGCAATTGTCGACTACTCCAAGCATGTAGACACAATTTCTACCTGAACCTAAGGTTCTTTCTTGCTCACTCAAGTTTACCTTTGACTTGTACATGAACTGGAAATTGACACATACGGGGGAGATGATTCAGCCAGCCACCTCGCCGTAGAGCTGGGAGCTTCGACCGCAAGACCACGGACGAGTACATGTCAAATATGCAAGAGCCATCATGTCACCAGAGAGAAGCCAAGATTGAAACGCGGATGACATGACAGCAACTAATGACCATCGAACTGGAAAAGGAGTACAATCATTCCCCTCGATACAATTCCCACTCGTCACCGCTAAGGCCACCATGAAGAGAAAAAAAAATAATCCAACAAGGAAAACAACACCTCGATCCTCGCCGTTCGTCACTGATCCTTTTTTTTGTATTCGAAAGTCATTCATCAGATGCGATAAGAGAGTTAGAACAGAACCCCTCGGATTTCTTTGAGAGAAGGAAAATGATATGATGCGTCGGAGTCGGGAAGCTCGCTTCAGGAAACGATGTTGCCGCTGCTGCTCGTTTTGTTGTAGTCGAGATGAGAGAAGGAAAGAAGGTGTAAAGTCGGCCATTGTGCTTTGTCGGGTTGAGAAAAGAAAAACGCAACAAATGTTACGCCGTCGTGTGTAGTGAATGAGCAAAGGCGATTAAGCTAACTGGAGAGTGATATATGAACCAAACCTGAAAATGTAACAAGCCGCGCCGTGAAAAATTCCCCATCACGAACACGCATTACACTGAAAACCCGCCGAAAAGGAAAACCCCCGTAAGCACCAAGTACGAAATCAAAACAAGCCCATCCCTAGGAAATAGTAATAATGAGGAGAGCTCCGAGAGCTCAGTATTCGTTCTGCATCCGCGATGCGTTTGAGTTTTCGCTGCAGGAAGCAACTGATTGGTGCGACCACATGACTCCCCATCTCATCTCCCAGTGCGTATCCACGTAGACCCAAATGGCGGCGTGGAATGCGGGATGACCAAGTAAGAATACAGAGAAATTTTGGGTATCGACAAAAAATGTTTGCTGTCTTAAGTGCCGAGGGCCGGCGCATGTTCCTTGCACAAGGCCGAGAAACTCGTTTTTAGGGATTTAAACCTTTCGAATTGTTCACGTTGGTGAGACTGGCGATCAGCTAAGTCTCAATCCCATCGGTATCCATGAAGGCCCCAGTGGAGGAAAAGTCGAATCCACCGTCGCCTCCTTCATTATCATGAAGGAACGAGTCAAAGTCGAAATCGTTCAAGACATCGGTAGTGGCCAACGGATTCGCAAAGTCCAGTGTTCCAAAATCACCCTGCAAAGATGTGATTTGTGAGTAAACTTGACGACGAAGACGTGAAGTTGAGGGGAATACTGACCATATTTTCCATGTTGAAGTTCTGATTCGGGTCAGGCTGCGGGACCATGGTGGCAGCAGCCTGCTGGGGCACTGGGGCAGGAGCCTGGCCGTTAGGCATTGCCTGGCCGGGCCCGGCACTTTGGCCTGGTCTGTTGAGGTTTTGCTGCGGGTTGACCGGCGTAATGGGCGTCGCAGGCGTGGGCGCCTCGGCTTCTGTGGTGGGCTCGGCGGCAGGCGTGGCTCCAGCAGCGGCATTGTGGTTGGCGTTGGACTTCTTCTGATTCGCAGCGCGCTTTGTTTAGAGTAACGTTATTATACATTGACGGGCACGCAGAAGGGGGCACATTTCGATCTCACCTTGTCCTTTGCACTCTTTGTTTCCTTCTTCTTGGGTGCCGACTTGTTGGACTGGGATGGAGTGGGCGGTGCGGCAGTGCTGACCTGTGGCGATGAGGTGTTCCGTGCATTGGCAGCAGCTGCGGCCGCGGCAGGCTGAGCCGGCGGCGGCATAGCATTGGCCTGGCGTGGCGTGCCTTGGACCTGCTGTGGAGTCTGGCCCTGAGGCACCATTTGATTACCATTGGGGCCCGCGGGGCCGTTCTGCTGCTGTTGCTGCCATTGCATCTGTTGACCAGGGGGACCGGCTATCTGTGCCTGCTGGCGAGCAGCCATCATCTGCTGCTGGGCGGGATTCATCGGCCCGTTGAATGGCGGCTGAGGATGTGAGCTAGGAGGGCGCATGCCGTTCATCTGGGGCCCACCAGGTATGTTGCCACCAGCGCCCATTCCATTCATGTTGGAGAAATGAGGAGCCTGGGGATCCATTTGGTTGGCCATGAACATGGCGTTGGGCGAGCCACGAGACTGGGCGCCCTCGGCCATAGGAGAGCCCATACCAGCCGGGTTCATCTGCTGGGGCCCGCGCTTCATGTCAGCAGGGTTTGGCGACGCTCCGGGACGCGCGCCCTGGGGCGAGGCACCCTGGAAGGGCGCAGTAGCGCCAGGAGGGCCGCCAGGACCACCAGGACCAGCAGGGCCTTCTCGAGGCATTTGAATGGTGTTTCCGCCGTCCTGTTCCTGGCGAGCCATCATAAGCCTCTTCTTGTTCTGCTGCTCGAGAAGCATGAGCTGCATCTGATAGTCCTGGAGGGCATGATTGCTGCCACCAGGTTGCTGGCTAGCGCCCGGACCGGCGCCGGGTCTTATCGCGCCGGGCGCACCCATGCCATCTGCGTTGTAGAAGGTGTTGATGGCAGCGGCGCCTTCGGGTCCTTGGGGAACCATGGGGGAACCTTGGCCTGGGGGACCGTTGGCATTGGGAATGGCACCATTTTTGGGCATCTGCTGGCTCTGCTGCTGCTGCAGATTTTGAGCGTAAGTTTGAATGGTCTTCTGTTGAACAGCAGGGGATTGATTTTGGAATGTGGCAAACTGTTCTGGTTTCAGTGATGCTGGGTCTATGCCATTGAAGATGAGGAGCTGCTTGGATTGTTGCTGAGAACTTGAAGGGTCGGATCCTACCTGCTGGCCTGGCATTCCTTGCCCTGCAGGGCCTGGTCTTCCGTTGGGCATCATCGCCGGCTGGGCAGGATTAAAGGGAGCACCACCATCAAGGCGGGGCCGCTTGGACGGGGACGGAGCATTCTCAGCGGATCCTGGAGACGACTGACGCGCACGGTTACCGTCCATATCCGAGGGATCTCGCTGCATCTGGCCTTGCTTTTGTTGTTGGAGCATTTGCATCATCTGTGGGCTGCAGGAGTTACGATGTCAGAAGAGTCGTCGATACTGCCAACGTGCCATGGGCGATGCTTACTTGTTTTGGTTATTGGCCATGGCTCGCTGAGCCATGCTGTTGGGCTGCTTCATAGCCATGTTCATGCCGCTGTTCTGCTGCATACGCATCATCTGAAGCTGTTGCTGCTGTGCAGGCGTCATGTCTGGGCGCATGTTGCGTAGCATTTCTTGTTGTTGGTTTTGTCGGAGACGGGACTGATTCTGCGCGACAGATTAGCCACCGGGCCCAGCATATTTCGATTGCAAACATGGAGGGACGGAGCGAAGCACAGCACAGCACGTACCTGAGTGTGGTTCATATAAGAGTTGACTTGAACGTTGGCGCTCTTGCCCTTCTGCGCGTTGAACATATCCCAGAACAAGCAGAACCACTCGTACAGGAAAGGATTATCTAAACTTGGGTTGGGGATGGAAGGCTGAGGCAAGCCCTCAGGGCCCTTGGCATCGATGCCATCCTTATTGTCGACTTCCATGGAATCACCCACACCACTCACGACCAGGTTTCCATTCTCGTCGCGACGGGCATTTGGGCCATCTTGAACCTTGATCTGAGGATCAGATCTCAGCAGTGCGCGCGCGCACTCAAACATATCGTTGCGCAAGAAGTACTCGTAGATGTAGGTGTTCAACAGGTTCTTGTTGGCCTCGCTGGGCTGTTGAGGTCGGGGCCCGGCGGGGGGAGCGATACCACCGTTGGCCATCATGGGCATACCAGTGCCGACCGGAGGGCCGGGGACCATGGGCATGTTGACATTCATGATACCGACGAGTGCTTCTGCGGGTGCAGAGCGGGTCTGCCGCGGCGGAAGAGACGGCGGGGGTCAGCGATGAACAGCGCCGCAAAGGAAGTGGTCAGGTTTGCCTCGATCTTGGCAGACAGGCTCGTCTGCGCTGCCTCCAAAGTCGCGGATACGCGGTGTCTGAAGCGATTGACGGACGGGCGGTGTCGGCAATCGTGATTGAGCCAGCTCTTCGGGGGTCGGTTGGTGGTGTTGCAGGAGCGTGTACGAATAATCGAGATGCAGTCACGGCACCAAGGGGCGAGATAAAGTTTTGCTGATGTCTGGTGATGACGGGCCGAGTAGTGGAAGGCGATGGACAAGATTGGTAAGAGAGTAGATGATCAGGCAGGGAAATGGCGGCCTGAGACGCGTGGTCGGGTTAAAAAAAACTCGAAGGGTACAGCCAACAATAGATCGACCACGCGTGCTTGGGTCCGGAGAGAAACGGTATTCGATGTCTTGATACCGTCTCAGAGGCCCAGCATGGGTTGAAGATGTCCGATGAGATTGTCGAAGTGGACACTGGCGGAGGAGGAAATGTCGGTTTGGGGATGGGTGATGGGATTTGACTTGGGTCAGGTAAGGTTCAGTTAGGCTAGGTGGCCGGGCGAATAAAGCGGAGGATGCAGGCCACACACTCCGGTTGATGGTCGAGAGGAGCCCAGGTAAGGGTGCAGTGCAGTGCAGTGCAGTTGAGTGAGCGCACAGGGGATGGGCCCTGGGTGCCGGGTGCAGATGCTGCGAGGTGCTAGGCCTGGGCGCCGCAACTCTGATCCGGGTTGGGTTGGGGGGAGAGTCTAGTAGGGGACGGGCGGGCGAGTAATGCCTGCCACCTGGCCTGGTCCTCTAGGCAGAGCAGCGCAGCGCAGTGCAGGCAAGTGCGATTGCGGTACAGCGCCCGTGTGGAGCAGAGCCCCCAGGTCTCTTGGCCGGGGGTTGGCGGGCAGAGCAGTAGCAGATGTTGCAGTCGCGTTCTTGTCGCAAGATCTAATGTTAGTCGCAATTCACATCAGAAAAGAACAGCTGGTCCACGATGCTCCTGCGACGACATGAGAGAGCATTCCGCAGGTCGATCGGGAACGAGGGGGATGGTTAAAAAGGGGGGAAAAAAAAGGAGGAGGAAAAGTGACGTGAAGGTATGGTGCGGGTAAGGCAGAGAAGGCAAGGTAGTAGTAGAAGAGACAAGAAAGTGGGAGAGAAGATCTTGGGGCCCTCTAGCTTCGAAGGTGGGTGGGAGGCCACGAGGGGTCCTGTCATTGAGCCATGACCCATGGGTGATATTAGTCTTCTGCCTGAGGCAGCAACATCGAGATTGGCGTTGGTTTCTGACTGGATGCCCTGAGCTGCCCACGTTTCATGACCATTCTGGCGGCTCCTGACTTAATACCCCTAACCCTAAGTACCTGAAGTAAGCCATATCATACAGTACATTTCACGTACTACACACCGAGCCTCTCCCCCGACAAAAACTCTGGTTGCTTATTTGCTCCGTCTTCCGTTTTATCTCAGCAGTTCAATCAATAAATAATGCCATAATGCCATAGTACTTTGGTCATCAAACGATGTCGATATTCTCCCAGTATTAATGGAGGGAATGTCTCATGAACATGTTAGGCACGATGAACCTAGGAAGATTAGTCGCATTTCTCTACGTAAGTATTGCCAAGAACTGATACCATGATGGCGATGTACCACAGTATGCCTCACTGCTAGGTTCACCGGCTCAGTCTCCACTGTCATATCACATCTCAAGCATACTAGATGTTTGTGACGGATGACCCTTTGGGGAATATTGAAAAGGAAATTAAGAGAAATATCCCATTGCATGATGAAATTTCTGATAGGAGCGAGAACAACCCCTCAAATCTTTTTTTAATTTTTTAAGGCGAGCTGAGAAAATTGTGCCATATATGGCTTGGCGTTTTAAGTCGTAATACCTCGCACACTGAGGAGATGAAGTAAGTGGGGCAACCTACTTTCGGCCTGAGATATCAGACAGCCCTGCATCACTAGAACACAGCTCAACCGGATCTAACAACTCTGGGGGCGGATGGATCCCATGCCTGACTGATGATCTCGGGCAAGGAGGCTTTGATCCAGGGCTGATTTGAATATCCTATCAAGTCAAGAAGCCGGTCCTGCTCTCTCCCTCCTCTCAAGGTCGCCCAATTCAGAAACCTGCTGAAGCCTCTGACTGCTAGGGAACTTCTGTATCACGACCGTAACACAAAGAACCATATTGACCGGCAGATGGTGGTGTGATCAAGCTCCGATCTAACACGGACCAGACGAAATCGCGTCAGGCAAGCAGCGTGATCTAGATGAGTCTGCTCGGACGTGTCTGTCACCAGGCCGGGTGACTCGAATGGGTGGTGGCCAAACAGGTGATTTTCAGTTTTTCCTCAATTTTTCTCCTTCTCTTATTTTTTTCTTCTTCTGCTTATGTTTCCTCTTCTACTTTGCCTCATCAGATTGGCCTAAGGCGCAGAGCCCACCATTTCCATAAGGAAAAGGCCCTACCAAGAAATGTGTGTGCCGGACACCTTTCCAGCGGCCCCCAGAAGGCATTTACTGGGATGCTCTCTCCCATGCGTCGTCGTGGATGCAAAGTACTTGGATAGTAGTCACTACGACAATAAGATTTCTGATCCTTTCAGACTTGTAGATATGCTGCTACGTCGTGTAATTATTTTGTGGATCTTAGATTCTTCCCCAGGCTGTGTACGTTGTGTAAGTCCAGTCCGTCTGCTGCCTGCCCACACTCAGGCCGTCAGGGTACCCGTCCATGGCGCTGTGTGCCGAGAACTGCCACCAGCAGGGCTCTGCCTTGACAGCTGCAACTTCACCTACCCCTTCCCGAATTGAAAGAGAGGGGATTCTGTACCTTGCATTAGATTTTGTGTCCCCTCTTGCTATTCAAGAGCAAGTACTCACATTCTACAGGCAGCCAAGCATTCTTATAGATATGGTTCAACATCTGCAAGGACATACAGGACGACCGAATACATGTGTCATTTTCAAGCAGTGTTTGCGACAGATACCTTACAGGGAAATATTTTCCCTATCCAAATGCAAACCCTTCAGCTGTGATCTGGCTCGCTTCTTTGACCCCATTGCCATCCCTGCCCAGGCACGCTGGATGCATCAGCCTCCACGCCCCCGCCTCAGCCCTACCACAACGCGATGTCCATGTAAGCTTACCCACTCATTCCACTATGACATCTATTAACGCTGCTACAGCCTTCTTAAGAGGTTTTCTTTGGAGGCGTAAGACAAGAAGAAAGAGCAGGCTCCCAGAGATAAAAGCAACATTGTGAAACAAGGCTCATCGCCCTGTCACAGAGACGGGCAACTGTAGGGACAAGTTGTGGCCCCCAAATTCTTGAGCCTGGGCATATTTTTCTTTCAAAATTTTCTCTTTAATATTTATTGATTTTTCCTTCTTCTATTCCAATTTGAGCTTCATCATGCGGTTCGTGCCGCTGCGGGCCCGGCACAGAAGCAAGGAATGTAAAGGCAAACCTTTCGTTCGTACGATACTGTTGAAAATTGCTTTCTTTCTTCGTCAAAACCAACTGTAGTGGCTTTGATTGGGAATGAAACATGCCAACAGGAGTAGTAGCGGGAGAAGCGGGGAGCAGGCGCTTTTGGAAGGGTGGCAGTCCAAGACAATAGCACGGCTGGCCCAGCACGGCGGGACAAATACGACCCAATGGCGTTGTACTTGTGTAACAATCGGGTCTTGGATCAAGTCTTGACAATTCAGTGCTCCGCTCATTGGGTGGAAATGCAACATATTGCATGCTATCGCAAAATGTGGCTAACGGCAGAGGACCGAGGAACCAGCAGTCCGTGTGAAAAGATACCCTGGCTTGTGCAAAGCGCTTTGTGGTCGAGGGAATTGGATGTGGAGACTCTATCATGGTGGTTCTTCGATTAACTGATGCATATGCCTCGTGTTCGCACATCGCTATCAGCATGGTAAATGGTCGCATTCAGGACCTATTTGGTATGCATACCCAACCAATAGAGGCAAAGAGGGCGGCAGGTACATTGCATTATGGAGAGGATGTCCAGCCATTGTGGAATATTGGTCCAATAGTTCTTCTGCTTCTCTAGTATTCTGCTCTACCGCACTGGAATGTAAGGACTAGCACAGACCTCCGATTTCAAACTGTCTACATCTGCTATTGGTAGACCTGAACAGAGCCATTGCAGCTCAAGCATGTCCCTCTCCAGCGCCAGCAGTGCTATGGGAATGGATGATAATATGTATAGCTTTCCCCGCCGGCATCCATCACTGGCCTACTATCGATACCACCATCATTGGTGAAGCACCGGAAGGGCTTGTCAACTTAGTAAGTCCACCCAGGAGGAAGATCAGTCATCCTCTGGCGGGAGTTCATCATCGATGTAGCGGATCAGCGATATCCTCATTTCGGTGGAGTCGTTGCCTCTCAGTATATCACTGATGAAATGTGCCTCAACCTGCATCTGTACCATCTCGAGAGCGCCTCTAAGCACACCGCAGAAAATGTTCGAGTACCAGAGCTCGTCTTGGGCACGGCCGTCGTCTGGCAGCTCCACGAAGTCGGCGAGGGGATTCTCTTCGAATACCAGCGAGAATTGCTTGCTATCGCTAGTCCAGTTCGTGATGGTGGGTGTTATGTTGAGGAAGATCTTGAAACCGACCTGGGATAAACGTGCGTATGTGTTAGCCATGCCATGTGCAGATTCCAGGACGCACTTGATCAATTCAGGGGAGTTCCCCTGAAGTGCGCACCTTTGCAATCATCTCAGCCGTCTCTCGGAAGTTCACGCAGCGCTTCATAGTGTTCGACTTGGCCAGGTAGTCCTCAATCAGTCGTAGGCCGATGTTGTAGCCCATCTTGTCCAGTTGTTTGTTGACTTCCACATAGTCACTGTCGAAGTCCTTGCAAAGCTGTGCAACGATTGTGCCATACGTGAGCACCACGAGCTCCGAGTTGACCTTGTCGATGCGTGTCCTTCGAGCCTATCAGCAAGGGAGGGGAAGGCAGGATAGCGTCGGGCTAGACCGGAACGTAGAGAGTGGGAGTTGAGAATCCAGGGTAGAACTTACTTCCATATCCTGTGACCCAATTAGCAATCGAACGGAACAGCACATGTATTGGAAGTAGCAGAAAGAAGAAGCACATTGACAAGCCTGGGAACGTGGGCACGTACTCTTCGCCAACGCGGGCAGCTTTGCTTGCAGACATGGTGAGGGCAGCGGTGTCAGCAGCTCAGATCGAGCTTTGCTGCGATCAATGCTCGTAACATGTAACCATTCAAATCCCCAGGGTGTAGGCTTGAAAGGAGGTGGGGTTCAGGAGAGGTTATTGCAGTTGCCAGGACCCTTTTGTCTTCTATGAGGTTTCGGTGAGGGAGCGGGTGTAATCCATACTAAACACTACGTAAGTGGTATGGTGAGAGGCTTGGTAGGGAACCCGGCAGGCATGCTATGAACCACTCCAGAAGCACGGACCATGTCGCGACAGCAGCTACAAAAATGTCACAAAATGTAACAGACAACGCCCTTCTTTGAGCTGTGCAAAACAAAGGTCCACTGGTTTCTGCAAACAGAATTCTCCTGCTTCCAATTTCAGCTCCTAGGCTGTGCAGTCCAACCGACGCAACGAAAACAACGCGACCATGTCTGCCGAGAAACGTCCCGCATCTGGTGAGCCAGAGGGCCAACTTGTGGTCAAGCGCCAGAATCTGGGGGAGAAGGCCCTAGCACGAGCAAATGCTTCAGGTTCTGGCGCATTGGTGCAATCAGTATGTACACTCTGGTTCTGGCCGAACAATATGAGGCTAACGGTAGCAGGCACCGCGCACCAGCGGCCTTCAGGCACCAGTGATGGAGCTGTCTGGACACTCGGCGGAGATATTCTCAGCCAAGTTCGACCCAACTGGCAACCTCATTGCCTCAGGTGGTATGGACCGGAGCATCAGTAAGTTTACAAGAATTCCTGGCAGCTCTCAGGACGGCGGGTGACTGACTGACTGCCTCAGTGCTATGGCGAACCTACGGGGATTGCGAGAATTACGGTGTCCTGACCGGCCACCGCGGCGCTGTCCTCGATCTCCAGTGGTCCCGTGATTCCGACATCTTATTTTCCGCTGCCGCCGACATGCACCTCGCGAGCTGGGATCTGACATCCGGGCAGAGAATAAGACGCTACGTGGGACATGAGGAGGTCATCAATACTATGGATATCAGCAGGCGCGGCGAGGAGACATTGATCAGTGGAAGCGACGATGGCACAATCGGCATCTGGGATCCGAGAACCAAACACGCTGCGGACTACATTGAGACCCAGTTTCCCATTACAGCCGTTGCAATATCTGAGGCCGGCAACGAAATATACTCTGGTGGCATCGACAATGACATCAAAGTTTGGGACATCCGCAAGAAGGGTGTGGTGTATTCAATGCTAGGACACCATGACACCATCACAACATTGCGTGTGTCCCCAGACTCCCAAAGTCTTTTGTCATACTCGATGGACTCGACAGCACGCACTTGGGATATCCGACCTTTCGCCCCGGCGGAGAGGGCGATTCGCACGTTCGATGGAGCTCCAATCGGCCTGGAAAAAAATCTCATCTCAGGCAGCTGGGACGCCGCTGGAAAGAAGATTGCTGTGGGCGCTGGTGATGGCACTGTTGTCATCTGGTCGAGCGACAACGGCAAGCTGCTCTACAAGTTGCCAGGCCACAAGGGCACAGTGAATGCCGCAGAGTTCTCGCCAGGCAAAGACCCTATCATCCTCTCCGCGTCCTCGGATAGAACGATGCTGCTAGGCGAGTTGAGATGAACGCTGTTAGGTCCTACCCACCGCGAAAGGAAGACAGACAGCCATTCCAGTTCACCACGATGACTGAGGCAGACAGAAGAAACCTGGCTCCTTCGCGCGACCGTGATCGCCAAGGTACTGGCTCGGTTCCGCTGAGCAAAAAGAGAAAGAGATAGATAGAGAGAGAGAGAGGAAGGAAGGAGGGCGCCTGGATACGGTCATAAGACTTGATCGTTAGAGACCGCTGCGTCCAAGATCTGGCTGCCCCGCGGATGATGGGACAAAGCATTTTGTTCAGCCGAGGGCATCGCGACGTTGTTAGAATTGATGGGCCACGAGGCTGCAACTACCTCAGTGGATTCCCCTACAACACATGGCCGTGACAGTCACAGTTTAGGGTTGGCTGGATGCACGAATCACTTTAAGCGACACATGAAACCAGCGATTCACGACTTGGCCACGTGCATCGTCTGCGCGAGTTTTTGGCATGGAGAGCGGATAAGCATCTCGAGCCCGACCGCGTCTGCTCACACAGCCTTAAGGAATATTCTTCCGCATTCTGCATCTTGAAACCGGATCATTGATAGTATTCGCCACGAAATACGAGCAAAATGATCCCACAGTGTCTTTTCAAGTGGTCATTTGAGTGACATCGTTGTTGCGTCTCTCGACACTATGGCAGCTAGTGCGACGACGCAAACAGCCTCGCTCCCTCAGATACAATAACGCAAAGACTCGGGACGAAAATTGAGGTAGTCCACAGGCTGGAGTTAGGTGATCAGTTTCAGTTCGCGACCCGCCCATGGCAGCAGACGACAAGCAACCGCAACGCGCCAGAGCTTGGCGACAGCAGATGGCAGAGGCCCCTGGTCCCATCCTTAGTCGGGTGGGGTTACCCGGCACGATTGGATGAAGCGCGTAGCCACAGGCCTAGGATGAAACACTGCGCAAGACTCGCATTTGCCCCTGCGTATGCCGTCCACACCACACCAGCGGCAACCCCTTGAATCAATGCATGGCTTTTCCCCAAGTTCGTCCAATCTTGTCAGGCTGCGACACAAGACTTGCGCCATATGGTCCCCAATTATCAGGGTTTGTCTTCGTTGTCCGGTCGCATCGACGTGAGAAGGGCATAGCGCAGGAAGGCTGAGGAGAGCGATGGCTTCAGCTTCATGCCGTCCTTAGGGACTGGAGACTGGGACTGTGATGTTCTGCGGTCTTTCTGTACTGTATTGGTCTGTGCGCCAGGATGAATAACTGGCGCTGACAGCCTCAACACCTCGTGCTTGGCACCTCCATCAAAGGACCCTCCCAGATGAGGGCGTATGGATAACCAGATGAGAAGAAGGCTAAGGCAACCGCTAGGGCAGGGGGGCAACAAGACAAAACGTACAGCCAGTCCAACTTCGGATCAGGAGAAAGAAGAAGAATGAAAGAGAAGAATCTCTCGAGACTAAGCTAGGAAAGTGTGTATCCAGAGAGGGATGGACATATGATGATATAGCCTTTGAAACCTGTTTGATGATAGTTGTCTACCCCCTGCGGAGGACAGCCAAAACAGTATCTCGGATCGAGAGTATCCAATTTAGAGTACAGCACATGTGGACCTCCACCGGCTCGCGCTCACTTATACGGGGTGCCTCACACCCATGTCCCTGAGGGATCCTCGCGTCCAATTACCAGGGTGCTGCAACCTGCAACTTGCATATGGCTAGCTGTCGTTGACATTCAATTTCGAGCGCTGGCCACAAATCATTTCCCCATCGTCCACGACCTTTCAGACGACGTGGACAGGACAGCCCACCAAGAACTTTCATCTCCTCCCGGACTGGGGCAAACAACAGCCATGTGGATCGCCAATCCTCTCTGATCGTCCCGCTCCCTGGAGTTCTCTTTTTCTTCCAGTATCAAGGTCCTCTAATTCGTCCGTCCTCGCTTCCTGCATCGCTAGTCCTCCTGTTGTTGTCTTGCCAGGAACCACTTCGTTGGCCATCGACGACCCGTTCTCTCGCTTGTTGCCGATACTTCTTTTCTTATTTGAGACAGGCTCTGTGAGCCAACACTTCTTTTCTTCTTATCATCATTTAACTCTATTGACTCACGTCCATGTCGCTCTGACGTCGGGTCGGGGAATTTGAGAGAAATAAAGGGAAAAAAACCCACAGAGGGAAACATACCATAGTACTCGGCCGTCGTGTATGGGTGATCAGCCACCAGCCCCTTCATTTATCGAACTCAGCTCTTGGACCCCGTTTTTATTTCATTAACCATACGGTACCCCCATTACCGGTGTTCTTTCCCTTGCATATTATTGTCGTAATAACCATTTTTACGGAGTTTGTTCGCCCGGAACAATCGGACCAAGTCGACACGACACCGACGGCCTCTTGGAGGTCCGCGGCTCACGTTCTGACCCGAATCCTATTGTTTTTCCTCGAGACATCAGCCTCTCTTGACTTACACACAACCGAGGAGGGGCATATTCGAGTCGCCAAGTCTATACAACATCGCATCCGCGTTTTCTATCATCGCAATATTACCGTTGCGGGGTGTGACCAACTGGTCCTTCGCTTGGCGTTCACGACTACGACGAGACTCAACCACAATTTCCTCGATACGCCCAGGCGTGCTTTGACGTGGTGGTACAGGAGATATTTGACCCTGACGGACCTCACCTTCTTGTTACCGAGAACTCTTTTGAGAGCCTGAGTCACACACGCTGCTTCGCCAGTATAGTCTTCCTTCACGGCGTCAAATAACACCAAAAATCCACAGGAAGTCATGAATTGGACGGGATCCCAGCAGTGACCACATTTCGGATCGTCCATCCACCCACCAACCACCCACCACCCATAAACATTGTTGCCGCCACATATCGCCCCAAGAACAAGCAGATAATCCCAAGCAAGATGTTCAGTCGCGTGGTTCTTCGTCGGCTGGACCCTGCTTCGGCAGTCAGCAGCCAAGCAGACGATCTTGAGACCCAACCTCTCTCCCCACGAGAGCCGGCGGTCGCACCTGAGATGACAGAACAGTCCGGCAGCGGCCTTTCCCGTCTGCTACCCAGACGCATGTCAAGCATGCCCTCCAGGTTTCGCTTCTCCAACGCCACCGATGCAACGAGCGCAGCTGGCACCGACTGGCCGGGGGCCGCCCCCACTGCGCGAACGTCGAGGTCCAATACCGTCCCGACCGTGGAGCAAGCGAGCAGCAGTGTCTACTCGGACGATGATTACGACGACCTGGACAGGGAGGAACGACGAGAGTCCGGGCTGCCAGACCGATACAGCGTTGTGCTTGATCTCCCGAGCACGCGGCTGCACCTTCCTGGGCTCCAGCGGACGTGGACGCGGGGTTCCAACGGCCCACCCACGTCGAGGCCCGTCATGGAGAGGAGAGCACCGCAGAGGGAACCACAGTCGCCTGCCTGTCGACCGCACACGCCACCGATTCCCTCCCTGGCGGTGGCTGAACCCTCACGAGCACTTATCCGACCACAGGCGTCCACGAGCCGACTCGGTAGCGATGAGGCCGACGAGCTGTATGCTGCCGGCGACCGGCAGGCCCGGGGCAATTTCACGGCAGCGGACCCAGCTGAGACGCAATTGGCCGAGATGGCGGCAGACGGGCGGCGGAGGCGGCAGCGCAGCGGCAGCGATCGCACAAGGCGGCATCGGCGCGAGGGCGAGACGACCGAGGAGCGAGAGGAGAGGAGGCGGCGCAGGAGGCAGAGGCGGCTCAGGGATATCGAGGATGGGGACGAGGAGTCGAGCAACAGGCCGCACCCGAAGCACTTCCTGTTCTGCTTCCCGTGGATCAAGAGTCGCAAGATTCGGTCGCAGATCCTGCAGTGTTTCGTGTCGGGCATGTTCTTGGTGCTTCTCTTGACCGTCTGTGAGTACAACACAATCCCTAAGCCGTGGGTGTTTATCTGCTGGATGCTGACTGGCATGTTTCTTTTTTCCTTGCAGATCTCGCCCTGTTCGCTACCAGAAACATCAGCAACAACGAATTCTCCGTCCTGCTCATCCTCATCATCCTGTTCTCCGCCATCTTCTTCTTCCAGGGGCTCATCCGCCTCTGCCTACAAATCTTCCGGCCGAAACCCGTCGAAGAACGCCGACGCAGCAGGCTCCCGCAGATGTATGGCCCTGGCGGCTACGCGATACCTCGACAGCCAATCCGCGTGGTGCTCGCGCGCGACGAGGAGGCTGCTGGCATCGAGAGCGAGGCGACTAAGACGAACCCGCCGGCCTATGGACTCTGGAGGGAGAGCGTGGTAAGTTTCCAGATGGGATTTTTGGCTCTTGCCGCCCCACAAATCGTCAAGACAGTATGACTAGGTGAAGATTACAATGGACCTCTGTGCTAACCACGAATTTTCTCTCTTCCCCTCAGCGTGTCGACCCAAACCGCATCTACTGGCAGCGCAACACTGAAACCACGGCATCCACGATCGACGAGGAGGTGCAGGCGACCGATGAAGACGAGACCGGGGAGGCGAGCTCGGAGTCCTCGAGCGGAGAGGAGGGCGGCTCCTCGTCCACACGGTCGCGCACCGGACCCCGCCCGCCCTCGTACGCGTCCGAGGATGGTGTGAGCTACGTCGTCGAGGCACGGCCGCGGTCCATTGCTCCGTTGTCAAACGTTGAAGTCGTTCCTATGCCATCGCCACTACCTGTGCATCCGTCAGAGATGGGAAGAATTGCCACCCCGCCGAATAGGTGATGTGTATTCTGTGCGTGGGCATGTATGAATAGGAAAGGGGTTTGAGAGGTTGCATTTCTCTAGCTTTGGTGTTTAGGACATGGAAAGAAGATATCATCTGCTGTTGTTGCTCATTATGGAAGAAGATGCTTTCGTTTTCTCGATACTGGAATGTGAAACCTGGATCTTTGATGCCTGTGGCTGAAAGGATCGGGGCGTCGGGAGAGGTGGAAAGGGCCAAGCTGTCTTGTCTTTATTCTGTAGGATACATGAGGCGTACTGTACCCATATGAGAGAGAGAAAACATTGAGACCAGCTGGAGAACATTTTCTCCTGAAAAAAGAGAGAGAGGGAAAAAACCAAGGCACAAACACCGTCACTGGAATTTCTCCTGGTCATTTTCACCACTCTTCGGTGTCAGGAAGCTTATGCCTGTCCTTTGTGATCCTTAAAGCCTGGGACAATATTGGCAGCCACCATGAAGAAGGCTTGGTATCAAATTGTAGATCCCTCATGGTTTGAATCTATTCTCGAGCTCTGCGAGCAAGTGCATTCCTGATGAGCTTTTGCCCTCCGTATTCACAGTATATTGAGCAATGAGCCTCCAATCAGTGTGTGGAGTAGCATCGTGTAGGAAGTGCACACGTGGTGCTCTGCATGGCATGGTGGGTGGGTTTTATGGTACTACACACCACGCTACTGACACTAAGATAGGCGCAAGACTGCCTTTGCATTCACTGGTCACCAGCAACCAAGGTGTGCAAGGGTGGCTGAGTGGGACCCCCACCATAACAGGGCACTCCCCTCCTGACAGAGTTAGCACCCGCAGCAAGAGCAACTCCCTGCAGGAGCCGTGCGTCCTCTCACAATGCATGGCAGGTCAGAATAGCGCATCCCGCCCTACTTGCCTAACTAAGCACGTTACTACTGTACGGACTGTTGCAGTGACAGGGACGGGTCCTGACCCCTACCTGAGCATTTCCTGGAGGAGGCGCCAAGGTCTAGTGGGCTAGACAGGGCCTTGCTTGCTATTACTGGGCACTGGCCATCTCCCCATCGCCTTCCTCTCGACTCTCTCCTCCCTCTTCTTCGAGTACCACATCCCTTCAGATCATCCTTCTCCTCTGGAAGTCCTTTCTTGGGTCTTTTCTTTTTTTCTTTCTTGGTTGTGGTAGGAGACGTTCGGAAGTGGTCGTCGGACAGGTACAAGGTTGATAAGAGTCAACGGCAGAAGCAGTCGAAGAAGGAAACAAAGAAGTCGAAGTCGAGGTCAGCTGGACAGAAATTTTTCTCCCCAGCCTTTGTTGTTTTCTGGCAAGCTTTGCGCACGCAACAGCACAACCTAGCACTGCACTGCGGTATGTCTTAACTCTAACCATTTGATCTCTATTCCTTTTCCTTCTACCCGTACTACTTCCTCTTTGCACGTTCCATCCTCCAACTTCAAATGCACTCCTCTCTGCTTTCATGGTCATCTGCGGGGTTTCGTCTGGCTGGTGCCGGACTTCCTCACACCACCCGTCGAGCGCAAACATTCCCGATAAACCCGGACAAGAGCAGCTGTTGGGCAAGCACACTTCCGAGGATTATCTGCGAAACCAGCAAGCAACATATCGTCACATGGGAGGACTCTTCCCTCATACAGACCAGAACAGAGGCTGGCGCGTATCCCCGTGGCGTACAACTCGCGATACGTCAGGTTAGAGAGGACCGCGGTGGCTCTTATTCATCCGGGGATGACCGCAACCACTGCGCAGCGCCCCCAAGACGATCGCGCCACAGGAGCTCGAACCTTTGTCATCATGGATGCGCCCATAATCACCTCGACGTTGGCCCCACACCGACCAGACCTGCGCGCCAGCAGAGTTCTCGTCGTCGTCCTCCGTCCTCGTCGTCGTCGTGAACAAGGCCAGCTCTTTCGAACGCCGAAAGTACCACATCAGCAGGGCTCCTCGGGATGGTCACAGCGATCGAGGCGCATGCGAGATGAAAAAAAGCAACGCAAAGGAGCAGGGACCACACTAGCAAATACCGAGGCTGCACACTGATCGCCGGTTGTTACACAAACAATATGCATGCTACGGTGCAACAAGGTCCAGGCCATAAATGTGACCAGCCAGCTGCATCCCTGTGCCGCCCGCCCGCGGTTTGATGCGACAGAGGTGCTACCATTGCCCGCCCGCGAGGCGCTGATTTGCTGTGCCTCTGTCGTCACACCTGAAGCGGCAGCAGCCTTCCGGCTGATCCTTCCCTTGAAGGCGTCGTATAGCACTTGCGCCTCCTGCAGCAGCGCCGCCGCCCTCGGATTATCCTGAACCAGCCCAGATGTTACACGAAAATACCATCGCCGATACCCCACGAATATGGACCAGTGTGCATTGAGGAGTCCATTTGAGGAGCAAAAACAACTGAGCTATCTGTTTGCTAACGCTAGCTCTGGGCAGACAATTTACGACAACAAGATGTCTCTCTCACGTCGTGCTTGCTACAAGTGTGGCAATGTCGGCCATTACGCCGAAGTTTGCTCTTCGTCTGAGCGCCTCTGCTACAACTGTAAGTATCGAACAGAAAAAAAAGAAACCTATACATGTCCTTTTCGGGAAAAGTCTCTGACCGTTGTCGTGATCGTCGTCATCAGGCAAGCAGCCGGGACACGAGTCGAACCAGTGCCCTCTCCCTCGTACTACGGATGCGAAGCAGTGCTATCACTGCCAGGGACTGGGTCACGTCCAGGCCGACTGCCCGACTCTGAGGTTGACCGGCTCTGGCCCCAACGGCCGTTGCTACAACTGCAATCAGATGGGTCACTTGGCCGTAAGAGAGAAGCCCCCGTATCCTTCCAGGTCAGGTGTTCAGGCGTGCTGACTTGCTTTGCAGCGTGAGTGCCAGCAGCCTCGTGCCGCTGCTTTCGGCCGTGGTACCCACCCCGGCCGAGGCGGCCTTGGCGGATTCCCCCGCGGCGGCTTCACCGGCGGCCCTCGTCCCACTTGCTACAAGTGCGGTGGTCCTAACCACTTCGCCCGTGACTGTCAGGCGCAGGCTATGAAATGCTACGCGTGCGGAAAGCTGGGCCACATCTCCAAGGAATGCCAGGCCCCCGGCGGAGGTCCTCTCAGCACCGCCGGCAAGGCTTGCTATACCTGCAACCAGCCTGGTCATATCGCAAGGGACTGTCCCAACAAGCAGACCGACGCTGAGCCTATCCCTGCGGAAGCCGACCTGAGCGCCGTTCCTCCCCCCGTCGCCGCCCCTATTGCACCTGCTGCATAGGGTACAGAGGATGCACAGCGCGCAGGGATCGTTCTCGGACTTCTCCAGACCTGAGGGGGGTCCGAATCATTCCCTAAGCTCTGTAGAGAAGGGCGGCAGAACAGGGCCCCGGCTCGGGCACAAGCAGACTGGCTTGTTTCTTCTTGACCTACAAGCTTGTTTTCCTGGCCCGCCGTCGTCGTGTACCTGAATTAGTCGAAATTCTCAATACTCATCCTCTATTCCTCTTCGGTCCCAGTTCTTGTTCTCTTGATACTATTCGAATCATTCTTCCATCCGTCGCAGAGGCCTGGCTTTGGCCTCTCACACAAAGTTCTAAGCCGACAGCACGAGTCACGACGTATCACATGTTATTTTGTTTCTTAAGTCTTCTTCGATCAATTTTTCCCCTGTCATCATTCTCTTGAAAAGAAAGAAAAGAAAAAAAACTTCTTCATCCAACCTCCCTTTCAAGATTCTCCTTGACTCGGATAGGTGGATAGCCTTTTTCCGCCGCTCGTTCAACCGGCGGCGGATAGACAGACACCCAAAAAAACCGACGGAATACGCCAGACGTTGGAGCAACAAGTCACGAGAGGGGGAGGGAAATGCGCTACTGCTGGACTCCTACCCCTTGGTGACTGGACGAGACAGCGGTGGGAAAGCCCCGATCCGAATGGAATGCGCGCGGGCGAGGTGAAAGGCCAAATTATGATACCCCTGCGGTTGTGAAAGACGCAAGAAGGAGCAGGCAAGCTAGCTGATGCGGAGCGAGTGGGTTGAAGGATACCAAAAAATTCCCAAAGGTGGTAGTGGTTTCTCTGAGTTTTTTGGAACACATAATCTATGCCTTGGTTGCATTTGTGCAAAACCAGCACATACCGTCTTTGACAGGCTCGATTCAGAGGCGTTGTAAGGGTTGTGCGTGCGTACGTGTGTGTGAACTGAACATTGGTTGCTGCCCCTGAACGTCGTTGTCCTGCGGATCACCTCATCACGAAGTTCAATTCAACAACGTGGAGAAGAATCTTGCGAACCTTAGTGACGCGGTTGCGTAAGTAAACTAAATGTCACCTCTCGGATACCACATACCTATGAATACTTGAAATGAGCATGACACCTATACAGGACGGGTTTCTCTCTCTACTCTCTTTTTCTCTCACAGAAGTACTATCAAGCGTCAAGACGTCAAGTAATGTGCTGTGGTGCTTACTACTTCCTGCAGGTCACACGCAGCTCGAAGGCGACGTTACCCAACCCAACCCAGATTCTGCCCACCGCCGTCCATGCATAATCTGACATGCTGCGCTGTGCGCACTTGCGCACGATAACCCCCAGACTCTTTTCTCCTCACTCCCACAACCAAAGTAACCAACAATGAGTGGGCTGTGCCAAGGATGCAAAGATCTGCACAGGCGCGCCCCAGCCTACGCCACCATGCCCTCCGCGGCCTAGCAAGGGCGGAAAAGCGTCTGCGCCTTTTGGAGACAGACCCTCAGTGCGCGAATGCGCAGGAAGACGGGTTGTGGTTTCCCCACATGGAAGATTCTGGTTCGTCAGCGTGGGAGCAGGGGCTTGGCTGGAAGGTGCGGGTATGACTGGGCGTGAGATTGATTGATATGGAAGGACCTTGCCTTTTCACTTACGTTGACTACTGTTATCTTTTTCGGAAGTTTTGATTTATTCTTTGTTGCTGCGAAACGTTGTTAATGCTCAATTGTGCTCGGAATATTTCATTTACTGACCGAGGGGAGAGAACAACTTTTTTCAATCACCATGACGGCCCCTGAGATGGACCTCGACGAAGCCCTCGCTGGTGCAGTGCCGCCGCTTACCGGAGGAGGCATTGAAGGAAAGACGCCCAAGGCCGTGGTGGAGTCACGATGGACGTCAACCTCTTCAGTTGAGTCTGAGCTGGATCACTTTTGGGTATGCATGTCGTACGACCCAGTTCCTACTCATCATTTGAGTACAATACAGTATTATCCAAACAGTTAATTATACTAACAATGCTCACAGCACGATTCGGTAAGTGTACTGAAGGAGTCATCCGTTGCTAGGATTCTTCAACAAGGCCCTAACACCATTGAACCACGAAGAACACCAAAACAAAGTGACTGACTGACCATTGCAGACTGCTTCTCTAAACCACTTTTATACCACACAAGATACAGTCAACACCCTTGACTCGTTCGACTTCAACGATGAAAATCTCTTCTTGGGACCGTTCGACTCCTGTAGCACTGGCCTATCACACCACCAGACGCAGGACAGCACTCGACACATGACCGAGGCATCAGCAGCGGGCATCGAGTCCTTTGACTTTGCCAGCACACAGATGAGCTCGATGGTGCCAGAATTACAACAGTCCGCTGTACCGATGAGCAATGCCTTTGATGTGTCGACATGGTCTATTCCTACTACCGCGGATAGTGACTTCTCGGCACTGAAGGATCGGCTGAGCAATGCCATGGTCCGAGGTGACGGTGGCCAGCTCTTCATCCCTGAAGACTCTCTGAGGGCCATCCTGTCCCATCAGAACGTCACAACAGAACTCCGCAAGCACTTCCCCGCCATGTCGACCCAGGAGCTGCGGCAGCTTGCCACGCAGGTCACGGTCAAGGACCTCCGCCGCAAAGACAGTCCACTTCAGATCGGTCTATTGCGGACATTTGCCATCCTCGTCTTGCTAGACATACCACACAAGATCATCGACTTCGCCTCCGAGGGGCTGGTCGACAACGATAGGCCGCTAGTCAGGGTCAAGGTGGCCAGCGCCCCAGCAGCCGGAGAGCCGCTATTCCAGCTCCGCAGGAGGGATGCCCTGGGGACACAGCTGCGTTGCTTCAGCGGCTGGTCACAGGCCGATATAGACGCGTACGAGCGGCTCCAGTGGCGCGTGTGCAGCCCTGTGTTCTGGGAGATCTCGGAACAACATGAGGGCGAGTTTCTTGACCTGGAGGAGGCGACCGTGCTTCCTTACATCGAGTCGTGGCAGAACAAGAAGCATGATCACTATAAGGGCGGTAACTCGGAGGTCTGGAAGGTCAAGATTCACGAGGCTCACCACAAGTTCCAGAACGTCAACGCGCTAGTGCCCAACAATCCTTACTTCGCCATCAAGAGGCTCAAGTCCAAGGACGACGAGGCCTTCCGCCGCGAGGTGCGCAACCTGCTGCGCCTGCACAACGCAGAGCATCCCAACCTTCTCTCCCTGCTTGCCACGTACAAGTACAAGGGCTACTACCATCTGGTCTTCCCCTGGGCCGACGGCGATCTGCGTAGGCTGTGGCAGTCCACGCCGAAGCCGCAGGCGGGTAAGGAGGAGATGCGGTGGCTGGCGAGTCAGTGTGCCAGTATCGCCTCTGCCTTGAAATCTGTACACGCTGGTGCCGAGAGCTGGATGCAAAATCCGGGTGACGGGCCCAGTGACAAGCAGCGCATGGCCATGAACAAGTTTGGTCTTCACGGTGATATCAAGCCTGAGAACATCTTCATCTTCAGCAAGGGCCAGCAGAAGAAGGCGCTGGCCATGGGTCTACCGTACATATCTAAGGACAACAGCAGCAGCGACAGCAACAGCAACAGCTCGAGCCCCTATCAGGATCGCAACTCGCGCAGCGGCAGCCCGTCGTCGGTGGCTGACGAGTGCGTCATGAGTATCGGTGATTTCGGAGGTGGTGAATTCTTCGACCCGTCGTCCAACCCCGATCCACTCAAACAGATCACGGTCGCATACAGGCCGCCTGAGTACGATACGAAGCTGAGGCCCGTGTCGCGTTCCTGGGATGTCTGGGGTCTGGGTTGTACATATCTGGAGTTCGTGACTTGGTTCCTATTGGGTCCCAGCGGCCTGACCGAGTTCGCGAGGCGGAGGACGACGAGGACGGCGGCTGGCAAGTTGTCGGATGAGTATTTCGAGACATTTATCGATGCGAGCCAAACTGGTGGAGTTGGCGCTACCCTGAAGGAGTCTGTCTTGGCTGTGAGTCACTTTGCTATTTCCTTGAGAGTCTCTTCTTATTACTGTTCTTCTTCATTTCACCGTTCCCTCTACCTCCTTGTAGTGGCCCATTCCCAAAACTTTACCCCCATGACCTTCTCATTCTCTCGAACATCAATCGATTATTCACCTTGACTCTACCTGCCGGAGTTTCCACGGACTGACGATGTCTTTTAGTGGATCAACGACCTGTACCGCCACAAGAACGCTTCCCAGTTCATCCGGGACTTCCTCGACTACATCACCAACCGCATGTTTATCGTCGAAAACGCCTTTCTCACCCGTGCTTCCGGTGCCGAGGTCGCCGATCACCTAAACCAGCTCACCCGCAAGTGTCTGGAGAGCGACGCCTACTGTCTACCTAACCCCGTCGTCAAGACTCCCTGGGACGTCGCCGCCGCCAGCCCGACCAGCAACAGCAGCGACCTCGCTGTCTTGTCGGGGTCCGGCAGCCTGGATGACTTTAGCGGCGCAACCTTCAGCAATACGATCGTCACTGAGGATGTAGCAGCCACTGGAGCAGCACCAATAACCGCGGCGCCTAGCGCATGGCACTTTTCCACGCTGGATGATGTCGCCACCTTGGGCCAGTGGAACACAGCGCCTATCATGCCGGTGGGCGGCCCCTCGTACGCGAGCCTGAGTTGTGCAGACCTGCTGAGCGGTTGGAACTACACCGCGCCCGTGGCGTGGAATAACAACCACAGTACAAACACGAGCATGAGCCCAACAGCCGGTGGGGCAGTAGAGAGGAAGAGGAAAAGAGTCGTCGAGGACATTACGGACGAGCACGACAGGCGCGTCTCGCCCAAGATGTCCACGACGAGCCCAAGTGAGCACTCGCCGCAGACGACAACGAGCGGCTCTTCTTCTTCAATGGTCGAGTCGCCTGTCGTCGAGGCGGGTGGGAAGGGGAACAAGAAGCCTGAGAAGAGGTTTGCTTGTCCGTATTACAAGAACAACCCAGGCGAGTTCCGGCAGAAACGGACTTGTTGCGGGCCGGGTTGGCCTACGGTGCATCGAGTGAAGTAGGTTTCCACGATTCTATTACTTATAAAAACTGAATCTTTAGGATTTCTATGCTAATCCATCTGCTGCAAACAGAGAACATCTGTACCGCTGTCACACCATCGGCAAACACACTTGCAGTCGCTGCATGAAGCGCTGCAAGAGCGCGGCAGATCTCCTGGCGCACCAGCGGGCCGACGTCCCTTGCGAAACCAGGACGGATGCGTTCCCGGAAGGCACCATGATGCCGTCCCAGGAGGAGGCTCTGCGGGTGAAAAAGCGGGTGCCGCCCAACACCACCGAGGAGCAGAGGTGGAACGAGGTGTACATGGTGCTCTTTCCAGATTCGGGCTTGGACTCGCTGCCCACGCCTTGTAAGTCAAGCCTGACAGTTCAACACTGGTTCCGCTCCCACCCTCCCTCTCCTCGTGTCATCTTGCTAATCCCATCTCCTGCCTGATAGTTTATGAAGATGACCAAACCGATCCCCGCAACGCAACCGAAACTTCCCTCTTCACAAAATTCAATGATTCCCCGGATGGCGACGCTTGGTTCTGCAGTCCTTCCGACTACGAACAGTACCTGAGCCGCAGCCTCCCACAGCGGGTGCAGCGGGAACTAGAGAGGCAGATCCAGAAGGACTTTGGGTTTTTTGGGGACGAGACGCAGACCAGGCGGGTGGTGGATATGGTGCAGAAGCTGCAGCTCAGGTTGTTTCGACAGTTTCAGCAGGAAGGGGAGGGCAGGCATACCGGTCTTGGGTCTGATGGATGTGGGTGAGAAAGAAGTACCGAAAAGAAGTATTGGATATTTGGATGGACAATAGTGCAAGAAGAATCAAGGTTCGACTTGGGAGGGGCTAGGGTTGTTCATACAGAGGTTGGAACGTGCGTTGTTGACACACGGATGACCACTCTCTTGGGTAAAGCAGTAATGAATTTACGGCCGCATATGCTATATTGAACACAAACTACTCCTGTTCATCCCGAGTGTTTTCTCAGAAGAAGCTCGTTTCCCAATCTGTAGAAGCTAGAATATCCACAAAGAGAACCTCAATATGTCACCGCCTACAGCTCGTCAACACCTTCCAGGTCAATATGATCATCCAGGTCGGCAAACAGCTTCACCCCCCAGTTCTTGCTGGGATTACTAAACCGAGCCTTCTTGTCCTGCCCAGCAATCGCCTCCATCTCCTCGTCGGTGAAGGTGATGGTCCGCGCCGCCACATTCTCGGCAAGGTGCTCCTCCGAGGTGCTCTTGGGGATGACGATAGTGCCGCGCTGGATCCCCCAGGCCAGCACGACCTGTGCGGGTGTGGCGTTCTTCTTGGCGGCCAGGTCGGTCCAGAAGGGGTCCTTGAGCAAGGGATCGAGGTTTTTGCGGCCGTCGTAGATGGGGTTCGTGTTGCCAAAGGGCGAGTACGCGATGACCTTGACGCCGACGTCGGCGTGGTAGTCGACAAAGTCCTGCTGCTGGAGGTACGGGTGCGTCTCGAACTCGTGGGCGTACGGGCAGATGTCGCACGCCGCCAGGATGGCCTCCACGTCGGCGCGCGCAAAGTTGGACACGCCAATGTGCCGCGTCAGGTTGGCGCGGACAAAGCCTTCCAGCGTGCGCCACGTGTTGAGGAGGGTGGTCGTGGTGTCGAGTTTGGTGCTGTCGGGCACGAACGCCACGGGCCAGTGCACCAGGTACAGGTCCAGCTGGTCGAGGCCGAGGCGGTCGAGGGTCTCACGGATGGCGCTCTCGGCCTCGCCTTGTCTGTGGTGCGAGTTCCAGAGCTTGGAGGTCACCCAGATGTCGTCACGGGGAAGAGCGGCGGCTGCGATGCCCTTGCCGGTCTGGTCCTCGTTTCCTAGCGTGATGATTGAGTTGGATGATTGCTTTCAAAAAACGGCAGCGCGCGGGAGAAAGAGGAGGGCAAGCGGCACAAGACTTACGGTAGATCCAGGCGGCATCAATGTGATCGTAGCCGTTCTGGAGGCCGAACTCAACGGCGTGAGGGACCTTGTCTCGATCGGAAAGCCATGTTCCCAGGCCCAGAGACGGGATGTCTTCGAGCGCGGCGGTGCATGTCGCGAAGAGACCTCCGACAATGACGAGAGACGTCCTGAGAGCCATTGTGATTCTGGCTATGATCAATTTGTCAGGTGGCAAAGTTATCCTGAGTGTGAAGCACTCAAAAAGATTCACACCGAGAGCTTTGGTGTAAATCAATTACTTTATTGCCACACAACTTTCTCCCCTCCTTTCAAACAGTTCCCCTGCCATCGATGGCATCATCCCGCATCTCCACTGCTCATACACCGGTGCCGGCTGCCCCGGCGACCGGCATCAACATCCTCCTATCTGCAGGGGGTGCAGCGGTGCTGCTGTGGATAGCTTCAGCATGCATTTCTCCCGCCTCTCAAAAGTCTCTTGTCCTTTGAGGGCTCGAACTCCGTTCTCCTTTCGAGATGCCGGCGGATAGTTCTGGCATGAGTGCAGATACTGCAGACATAGCCTGTCTGTCCATTGTCGCCCAGGCGGACACAGCTGCTTCAGGGGTGGACTTCGCAAAAGAAAACCAAAGGAAAAAGATCAGGGGAAGTGAAAGGGCTGGTTTTAAGGCATCGGGTCTGCTGTGGGTTCCGAGCACCTCAGTAATTGATCAATAGTGAATGTAATTCTCATCGTCATCAGTCTTCGAACACGCACGAGCGGGTTCATGACTTCACAAAGAAGTCACGCCTTTAGCGATGCCAGCAAGAAGACATGTGTCTAAATGTGCTCATTTGCCTCGTGACACCAAATAGGCCAGAATGTAATCACATCAGTCCTAGAACTAATCATGGAAGGCAAGTTCTGTTCTGGTCCAATAGGCAGCGACGACTTGATGACAGATGCCCGGTGAGCCTTCCGAGAACAATCACTCGAGTAGCCACTGCTACCTCAAGACCAGAAAGGCCTGTCTGCTAATGTGAGCAGGAGCATCTTGACGAAGTGTTTGATCAGAAAACAAACATTCGTTCTCTGCCAACATCGCTTGACATTATCCTTGTTTTGCTGCCAGCCATCCAACCTGCAACACGATCACATTCACAGCTCGTCACCTACACCTATAGTTTCTCATCAGACGTCTATCAGATTTTCCCTGTGGAGCACATTCTCTGTCTCCGCGCTCCATTGCTCTACTGCTGCACGAGTACTTGCTCAAAGTCAATAGAAAATGAAGCTCCTTGCTCCTGCTGTTGCCATCGTCTGGACGCTCCTCATGGGGTTGACTTGGAGTTCACCCGTAGACCAACATGGGAAGATGACAACCTGGGATTCATTCTCGGAAGCCATCGGCAATGCGACATCGATGCTGTTCTCGAAAGCACCAGGAGACCGTGTGGCTGGAAATGCGAGCATCTACCACTGCAAGAATACTGGCCAGAATGATATAGCAGAGTTCAACTTCATCAACACGTCGCCTCAGGTACTCCACAGGTAATTGATGCGCACAAAAACTTCCACCATCACAAACAGTTCACTAATACTCGTGGGGTGGTACCAGAAACTCGGACTTCAACGTCACAGTATCTGGCCGGCTCCGTCAGCTGGTTGAAGACGGCGCCATGATGGACATCAAGGTCAAGTACTCAGTCTTACCGGTCCCCGTCGTGCGCCGCAAATATTCTCTCTGCGAACTATTGAAATACACTGGGACCACGTGTCCGATCCCAGTGGGCGACCTGGGGTTTGACAGATCATGGCACATCCCCGACAGATTCATCCCTCGGGTAAGGCTCTGCCCATCGCTTCTCCAGGCTTTACAGCCGTTTATTGGTTATGAGACTGATAGAGCCGCAGGGAATGTACCATATCTATATCAACGCATATACGAAGAACAAGGATCCCATTGCCTGTCTGGTCATCAACCAAAGGTTCAACTAATGAATGGATGGGTGACACATCCTGCCACTGATCAATGGCCATGTGTACTTGTTTTTGGGTGGACATTTGTTGAGAAGTGGAGAGAAAGGCGACAAGATCACCTATGACTGACAAGTGGACGCCGCTGGCTTGGTGAATGGGGCCGAAAGACGAGAGAAGAGTCTTTCTAATGGGCAACATTACCTAGAAAGTTATATCTGATTACATTTTTTTTTCAAGCATTAGTTGCGTGCCATGAAACCTGATGTAATTTCATCTGGCCGTCCGTTTGTCTTGCGTTTTCCTGCGTCGGATTAGAGGGTAATATATGATGGTAAATATGCGCCTCTAGTAAAGTGTTAAAACCACACGAATCGTGGACACAGATGGTGAGTCACGCACTTCTGGATGTGAGCTTCTTGATAACATTTACTGTACATTTCTGCTCTCAATCCTAATACGCATTGTTTACATGCTGCAATCTGCAATCTCCTGCCATCAATGCCATACCATTCTCACTTTATGTACCCATGATGATATGCGCTTACCCAGATGCAGCTATGGAGGCATCATGCAATGCCGAAACCCGTGAAATTCCAAGCACTTCGTTACTGTTATCTGTTGCCGTGATATTTCTAATCTGATCAGGAGCATTCGATCAGGCATCTCTTGCCCTTTGGAGGAGCCAAGAAGTACAACATTTGCTGCATGTCGTCGTCGGTCATGCCCTCTCGAGTCGACCTTTCTGCGTTGGGAAACGCGCGGAAAAAGCGCGCTGTGGCCAGACGTAGCTCCAGACGGGCAAGATGAAGACCAAGGCAGACTTTTGTTTTCCAGTCGTCAGTATCAGCAATTTTCACGAAGAAGCATTATGTTTGTGTGTGTGTGTGTGTCTGTCATATCTGGGGCAAAAAGACAGAGAGTCACTTACTCCTGGAACCACCGCCAAACGGCATCGAGAGATCCTTCATCTCCTTCGTAGGATTAACCCACCGAGAAGGATCGAATTTTTCGGGATCAGGAAAAACCTCAGGATCCCTGTGAAGAGTCCAGGCTTGGGTGCACACAATGGACCCGCCAGGGAGGTAGTGGCCGCTGAGTGTGGCACCTCCTGGAGGAACCACCCGAGGGAGAGCAGATGGTGCAGGGGCATGCAGCCGCAGACTCTCCTCGATAACCTGGTTGAGATACGGAAGGTGTTGCAGGTCTTTGTCGTGATAGTCCACGGGAAGCTGCTGGAGCTCCTTCACAAGCTTCTCTCTGACCTCCGGGAGGCCGCAGACGCGCCACACGAGGTAGGTCAGGGTGAGCGCGGTCGTGTCACTCCCCGCGATAATGTAAACTTGTGCCTCGGCCAGGATCTCGTTGAACGACATAGAAGCCTCCTCCTCTTCCTTGAATAGCCTCTTGAAGAGGCTTGGTACGGGTACATTCGGGTCTTGCTCAACTAGGCTCTGGTACTGCTGCAACAACTGAGTGGCAAACTTGATGTTGTTCTTGAGGACTTGAGTGTTCTCGCCAAAACCTGGGATAGGCACGCCGTAAAAAGCGAGTTTTGCTAAGAAGGGGAATGCGCTTCGCTTAGCTCCTGTAACGGCGATCTTCTCGAGGTTCCGACTGTATTCATTTTTCTACTTCTGTCAGTATCAGCGCCTACTGGATGCCTTGGGATTTTGAGATCGCACCTCTCCATGCTCTAGCATTCTAAAGGATTGACCAAAAGTGAGCTCGCCAATGACATCGGTAGCCATCTGTACAACTCAAATTATCAGCAATCTATATCGAAAATGCATGTGGTGACGGGCGGGCGGGGCGTTGAGGTCTGAAAGACTCTTGGTTTGGACTAACAAATAGCCACCACTTGAACACATCGGCCACGCCACGGGTCTCCATTTCCCTCGCCATGCGCTCGATGGCCAGGTTGACTCGGCCCTCCACGATTGGGTGGAAACTCTGCAGGGACGCATCGGAAAACCCGCCGGATAGAAGCTTACGGTGTTGGCGGTGGTACTGAATGTCTACCGTATTGAAGACATTTTCTGCAAGAGTATCCGTCATTATCAGCAAGAGTCATTGCAAAGCGGAGTGCGTATTTGATAGTAATGTACCTGATGCACCGCCCGGGGCCTTGAGTGCACTGTAGAACTTGGGTGATTTGGTATACGTCGCCTTCACGGTGTGAATCTCCTTGACTGAAGCAACGTCCGCCACGTCAACCTCCTCCGGGCCAACTCGAACGATTGGGCCTGGATCAAGTAAGCTTTTATTAGTCAAACCCGCAAGCAAACACTAACAGTGGTGTAAAGTGTGTAAGGCTGACCATATTTTTCATGCAAATCGTGAACATATTTGGCTCTTTTTCCTGCAACGCCGTAGTACTTGAGGACCTGGCCTGTGAAAAGGGAGTACCAAGGCCCCGGTACTTTGGCCAGGGGCGTGGAGAAGGCACTGTACACATATGCCAGCACAGCCAGGCCGAGGATGCCGAGGGCCAGGTAGCGATTTTGCTCGCTAATACTAGTGAAAAGGATGTCTGCCATTCTGCGTCGGAAGTCTCAATACTGGAGCAGTGGATGATAAAACTTGTGTCCAGCATCTTGGGCGCCAAAAGGAGAGCGCGGAAATCTTGTGTGCTTTATATGCTACCTGTGGTCAATGTAACGGATGCAATTCCCACAGTGTTTGCTTCCGTGAAGCTGTAATTGCATACGGTTTGAAACCAGACCATCGTAGCGGGCTAACTCAAGGCACCGACGACCGATTGTCCCGATAATTTTCCAAACGCGACAAAAGGCACTGCTTTCTTCCTTCGTCCACACTGTATGCCCATATCTCGTTGCTGTTGGGCGTGCTTTGGTTTCTCAGCACTTCGCTACGACCCAGAACTCCGTGCCGGCGCCGACCACATTACCCGAACGCGCGAGGTGGTTTTTGGAGAACATCTATGTTTGGGCCGCTGGTGCGTCATTTTGTCAGATTCGCGCAATGTGCACCAGACCATTTCGTCTGATTTGATTGCACATGCCTGGTATGGCTAACGCTTGGGGGTGACTGGAAGTTACTGTGGTACATCCACAACGGTGCACGCGCAAGGTCCCGCGGCCACCAATTGTCTTCATCGTCGTTCGTTCAGTGATATCCACTCTGATACACGTTCTAGTGGGGTTCCGAGGTTCCCCTTAGAAAGGAACTCAGACATGACGAAACAACTACCAGAAATACGTTGTGCGCTGTTTGCTCGCGGATGCCAATTCGGCCCCGGAATCAATCTTCGGATAACCGCATATTGGGCACGACGGTACAAGGTATCTAGGTAGGTGGCACGCTAATTGGTGGTGAAGAGTGGCAAAAATATGAGACACCTTGACCGGACAGAGGATTCGAATTAGATGCTCCATGGAGCTATGAATAGAGCACTTGACCCAATTCTCGGCCGAATTCGTCGAGGACCACAAAGGATCCGGAAGAGATCCTCGACTGCCTACGGCTATTGATCTCCGAGGGCATGACCATACAAGATATTCCTCGCCCACTAGATGTACTTCTATTGTCTCTCTTTCATATCTTCATTCGAATTTTGTTGTTTGGATTCATCCCATCAGTCTTTTTATCCATCTTTGCCATAATTGTCTATCTCCGTTGGACCTTACGAGCATTCAATCTGAGTAAGCCGGCCGTAAATACAGAGTCGATTCGCGAGCCCTGAAATTGAAAGTCCTAGCTCACGTCTTAGACGAGTGATCCTAGATGTTGATAAAGAAAGGAAGCCCTAGTGGTTGAGTAAGTAAAGCTTGCACAATAGCGCAATTAGTGACCGTGGGAAGGCATTCAGACTGGATGGAAGCAGGACCCAGCGCGAATTAGTCTGTAGACAGGTCGTTATGGCTTCACTATTATTAAGGTCAATGCGCTCTAGGACATCCTCGTCATGCACCTCGACGCCACAATGCTTCTACTCAGAACGGCCGTTTCATAACGTAATCATATTCTAGCTAAAGTCAAAATCATCAACACACTGCAAGGACCCTTGTTCAATACGTAGGTATGCCATCTAGAACGTATTAAGCTTACGAAAACGGCCGTCTATGTAATAGATCGTCTGCTGACATAGAAGCCAACCATCTCGCTCGTAGAAGAGTGTTTGCAGCTTCAATATACCTGCATTTTCACCTATGAACCTCAACCTAAATCATTCATACAAAAACATGCCGCGTACACTAATTTCTGTCCTCTATTTATAGCTACTCTAATGCAAAGCGGCTCGGAGACCGTAACTTAAAATTAAGCAACGGCTCATGATAGATGGGCAACGCCCGGCTCGCATAACCACCTATAAAGACTACCTAGGCGCAACATGTTAATTAGACGGACACGAACTTTTGCATACGACTGCACAAGCTAATGCATGTCCTGTGTGTGACCCCAATTCTTCGCCGAGTCCAGCATATGACCTGGCCTAAAAATACTCAAATTCCGCTGCCTCCCCAATTGAGCCAAATAGTCGTATGCAGTGCGACTTGAGCATGTTGCTCCGGAATGTTCCCTCCAAATTCAACTACGAGGCACTCTAGCTATCTTCAGGATGAAAAATATGCTTGCCGAAAGCTGACTTGTAGTGTAGCCAGCGGTTTGATTACTGGCTCGATGTGAAGGCAGCCAAGCGGGTTTCCAAGTGTGCTGATCAACTTAGCTCTTTAGCACAAGCTAACAAGCTGACAGTCGGCCCTCGGAGTATCGAGATGGTGCCACCCGCTTCTTGAGTATTTGATCTTCCACAGTCAAGGCTCCCTTTTCGGCCCGTGCGTGTGTGTATGTGTGGCAGTGAGCTTCCCTCGAGCCCCGTTCTTGTGTACAGTGTCTTAGGATGCCGAAGATCCGTAGTCCTCTTCCCAGCCCTGTGTTCCCTTTCTAAGCGCTCGAATAACCATTGCAAGAATTGAATTACCTCAAGAGCTTGAGAACAGCGATCTCCATGATGCTCGTGTCTCGGATAATCAGTCCGATTTCCTTTGCTTGTCAGTGACTCTGTTTCTTCCTTGTGAAAGACATTGCCTACAGGATTATAGACAAAGATCCAAATCGAATTTATCAGATTTATGAGGCAACTCAGTGACTGACTTCTCAGACCTCTGTTGTCATGTGTATTACCAGATCATTTGGCAATGCATAGGAACGGGATAGGGAATCATACATGACTACGAATAGCACTAGCTGATTGTACGACTTTTCTGCCCCTTTTCCTAATGATCAAGTTCGGAGCCATTGAACATCGGAACGGAGGGCTCATGGTCGTGAAGACGTAGTACAAAAGAAAATGGAGCTTGACACTGCATTGGTATCGGACACGTGCCTTTCTAGAAATATACAAGACCATGCAGATCGGACGTGAGAAGACCCTGCTAGTATCCTGTGCTCGAGGTCCAGGAGCGTAACACGGCAGCCGTGGTGGCTTTTGATAGTTCTGGGAGAATAAGCTTAAGCTTGGCGTACAGGACGCCACAGAGCCCGACGAAAGCCAATATCCCCTTATGGATGCAGCACTAATTACACGCGATCGTATTCGAAGCCTGTAACTCGGTACGCATGACGTTGTGAACATCGTTTTCCTAGAGAGGCCCTTTTCAGCTGGAGATTCACGGAGTGATGTGCATGTATGTATAAATATTAGATATCCGTTTGAAGATGAGCAGAGCTGTCCCCTCGCTCCTTTGTCTTTAGCATCCGAACGCCTTGGCCTGGCATATTATATCTCAATGCTCTTCTTCATAAAACTCCCCAGCTTGCCAAGCTTTCTCTCACTTTAAGGCCTGTCTTTCCAGTGATTACTTCCTTTAGATTGCCGACAATAATCACTATGCGGTATCTATTTTCTCTCTTGCTTCTATCTGCGGCGGAACTAGGGCTGAGCGTTACTCTCCCAGCCATAGAGGGAAATACCTTGCGCTCTAGAAAGACGACCACCGAGTCTGCTGAGCACGATTCTTCGTCGATGATCATCCGTAGTGTTGATGTCTCAGACATACCATTGGACGACTTTGGGGCTTTCAATACGCTCACATTGCAACAAGTTGTGGATGATCCAACCCTCCTTGACACCGCAAGTACTATAAACGGAACATCTAGTAACGATCTAGGCAATATCAAAACCGCAAGCCTAGCCGTCGAGGAGTCCCCACAGGCCTCCTCCTGTACTTCCCCACAAACACGTATTGAGTGGCGTGACTATTCCAGCTCAGACCGCCAAGCGTTTGTGGACGGTATTTCATGTCTCACCCAACTACCGTCCGCCGGGTCAGCCTATGCGCCCTCGACGAGCCGCTACGAGGATCTCGTCCGGACGCATCAGAAACTCACCACACAGGTGCACGGCAATGGCATCTTCCTCCTTTGGCACCGGTACTTTGTGCACCTGTTCGAGCAGGCCCTGCGCTCAGAGTGCGGATTCGACCGCGCAATGCCATGGTGGGACGAGACACTGGACAGCGGTGCTTTCCACCTTTCCACCTTATTCACGTCGCAGTATTTTGGCAACCTGTCTGGGCCGACCAACGGGGCCGGAACCTGTGTCACGGATGGTGTCTTTGCGCATCTGACCTGTCATATCGGGCCCGGGACGAACAATGTCCAGCATTGCCTCTCAAGGGCTCTCAACGAGACCGACACGGCTCAGTCCAGCACGGCGTATGTCGACTACTGCGCTGGCTTTGACTACTTTGGCACGTTCAGCAGCTGTGCTGAGATGGGGCCACACGCATGGACACACAACGGGATCGGATCTGTCATGTGAGCAGACCCTCCTCTGAACCAATGTGTATTTTCTTTGGTCTATTGTCCTTGAAATCATAATTGATCCAGTTACAAATTTCTTTTTTCTGACACAATCTTATCAGGTCCGACGTATATTCAAGTCCGAGCGACCCAATCTTTTTCATGCATCATCTATTTGTCGACCATGAACTCGCTGCTTGGCAGGAAGCTGACAGCAGCCGGAAGTCGACGGTCGCGGATGCGTGTACCCAGGGTTATGCACCCTGCCAGACCGCTGTGACGCTTGACACTGTGCTCAACATGAATGGGCTGGGAGCAAATGTGACGGTCGGGAATGTCCTCGACACTCAGGGTGGTCCTCTCTGTTACACATACGATTATTACTAGATCTAAATCCCCCAAAATTGATACTCGTGTCTTGTCATTTCGACTTCTACTAAGTGTCCATCGTGTGTAGACATGTGTATGTTTGGGGGACAGTTATGCAGCATATCATCATCATGACCGATAGTCTTTAATTGGGCTGGAGTCTAAATCCAGTCGCCAGGTAGACTAAATTAATACAACACCAGGCCTGGCTGAGACAGGTTATCGGGTTCACTAAGACCCAACAGCAACACCTTTGAAAAGGCTAAATTGGCTTCGTCGCGAACCCTAATATGCAGAGACCGAGCGGACCGGTAGTATGGATCTTCAGGAGACTGGCTAACTCACTTCGGCCCTTTCAATGTTGGCACGGCAGATGTCTGGATAGTCTCGCAGCTTACATGCATATTTACCCGGCTACCTGCGAGTCGTCTAACTGTGGCGGTGACCTCTTGTGAGCCAAAGAGCCTTGGTCTTGGACTGTACACAGGAGGTGCTATGGTATCGTTGTTGGAAGGGTTTTTCCTCGACAGAAGATACGATTCATTGCTTCAAAGTTTCGCGGCTTTGTGCCATGGTGCGGATCACCGGATGTCGCCCACGGACCTGTTGTACTATGCAAACGGTAGCTTCATTTACCCCAGACTATTACCCCAGAGCGGAAAGGTTACATGATGCTGACCAAAGATATGTATGAGAACGTTATTTTGGGTCCGCTCATCCCTACTAGGCAAAGCAAGCTTCGAGGAGGAGGGTTGTGGGTGATACCCCGCAGAGGACGACTGGGGCGGAGGCAAATGCATGTCTGGTTGCTTTCCTCCTCGAGGTGACTCTGTGTCTTGGTCAAGTATCCAGTTACCCGACTGATTCACGAACCGGTTGCTTCATTTGGAATTCGCAGGGGCAGGAGTCAGCAAGCTGCGCCGCTTGGCATGCATGCGCGTTGATATCAGAAGCAAACTCCCACCCCGACCACCACGTCCTGCGAGAGCACACAACTCAGCCTCTCCTTTTTTGCTCCATGATCTACTTCACACAACTTCCTCAATTGTAGAATAGCAACTCAGTGAGACGCAACTATGGCTGTCACGGAACCGACAACGACACGACCGCACTTAGCACACAGGTAGGTGACAGTGCGACGACTCTATGTCTTATCATGCCGGAAATAGGATGGCTGATGTCGCTTATACAGCCATGCTCGAGAAGAGGATGTACCGGGAACAGTTAATCTCCGAGCACGAGGTGAGCAGCATTCGAGCCCTTTAGGGGTACAGAGAGTGAGAGGATACACGCTGACAAGGCAAACAAGAGGGCGACGACACGGGCTACGGCCAGGCACTCTTCCCTGTTCCAGCTGAAGACCCCAACGATCCACTACAAGTACGCACTCGAGCCTTCGCTGAACTGTCTTCCTTGCGACTGAGCGTCGAATGCCAAATACTAATCAATAACGCCGCCGGAATAGTGGGGAAATCTCAAGAAAACTATGATCCTGGTGGTCTGCGCACTATATTCCTTCTTTGGCAACTCTTCGCTCCTCGGGCCATCGGTGTATATCTCCATCTTTGCAGAGGAATTTGGCATATCGGCCAACACAGCGTCTGGCCTCATAAGCTATGCCAACCTGGCCTTTGGTTTTGGTAAGGTTGTGTCTGTTTCAGGCAGAAGGGAGCGTTGTTCTGACACGAGAGGAATCAGGGTCCCTCTTACTTGTACCTCTGTACCACAAATTTGGCAGACGGCCGGTCATGCTGTTTTCTTTGCTCTGCTATTGTGCAGGGCTGATAGGGGCTTCACAAGCCAATTCCTATGGAGGTCTTATGGCGGCTCGGATTATCCACGCCTTCGGATCGGGAGTTTGTGAGGCTTTGCCAGTTCAGCTGGTCAACGATATCTTCTTTCTACACGAAAGAGGCCAACGTATAGGATACTATACCGGTAGGCCCAGGCGAGATTCATATCCTAGAACGACGCTTATCACACTTGATGCTGACCACTGGCGACTGCCTTGCATTAGTTGCCTTATGCTTTGGCTCTACAGGTCCGATGTTCGCCGGCTATATGCTGAACGGTGGATACTCTTGGAGGCTCTTCTTCTATGTCGAATTTGCCTTCGCCTGTGCTCTCTTTATTCTGGCCTTCTTCATCGTCGAGGAGACTACCTACCACCGCAAGCTTCCCGTTGATGTTGTAGACACTCCCGACACGACGGACAAGCCTGCCGTTGCACATGTGGACACAGAGTTGAACTTGCCGAAACGGAAGACGTTTACTCAACAGCTCAAGTTCTGGGGTGTGTATGAGCGAGACTCGGACTTCTTCCTGATGATGGCGCGATCGTTTACTTACTTCTTGGTGCCCCACGTGTTCTGGGTCGTCGCAACTTATGGTGAGTAGAGCAATGTTTGAATTCTTCGAGAGATACTGTTATTGAAGGCGCGCCATCGCTACGACTAATAACACTCCTTTTCTTCTTCAGGAATCTACATTGGTCTCGGAGCTCTCACCTTCAATTATATCACACCGCTGAAAGTGACCGCTCCTCCCTACAACTGGTCCGAACTGAACAGTGGTCTCATATCTGTTGCTACCTTCATTGGTTACGGTGCAGCCATCCCCTTCACCACATCGTCGGACCGTCTGGCCGCGCACCTGACCAAGAAGAACAACATGATCCGTGAGGCCGAGATGCGGTTGGGCGTCTGCCTGCCAGCGATGCTCATAGCTCCCGCAGGACTGATCGTCTTCGGGTTCACGGCCCAGAAAGATCTCCACTGGGTAGGGTACTTTGCCGGTGTCATCATGACGCAGTTCAGTTCGTACTTCTACTTTACGTTCGTCCTCAGCTATGCGTTGGACAGCTACACTGCAAACACCAGCGAGATGCTCATCGCCATGAACCTAGGGAAGCAGGCCATCAGCTTTGGCATGGGGATTGATATTCTCGAGTGGGTCGAGGAAAACGGTTATGCCGTGATGATCGCGGGCGTCTTCTGCGGTGTTCTGTTGGTAAATAATCTTGCCCTAATCCCCTTCATGCTCTACGGGAAAGGGATCAGAGAATTCATGGCAAAGACCTGGCTGGCGAGGATTCATAAGGACAGTGTGAGGGAGGTCATGACGGTTTGACAGCGGTAGGAGATATTGTGGTAGGGTTTGGCAGATGTTGCTCGAGCTTTGCTTGCAATAAGTCAAAGGGGGGGGTTTTGGGCCGGGGTAGTTTTGGGCCACCCTGGCCACCCTCACCGCCTCTTCAACCCCCTTTAGTTTGATAGCTATTACTCAACCAATTTTGATCCAAACAACTTCATCTTTCCAGCAAACCTTTATCTGACTGTTATGAAGCCCTATTCCGAGTTTGAGCTAGCCCAGGCTGTTGAGGCTGTCAGAAAAGGCAAGTCTCAGCGGCAAGCCTCGAGGGAATGGGGTATTCCAAGGAGTACTCTTCAGGCTCGCCTAGAAGGAGGGGAATCGCATAAAACAGCCCACGAAAACCAGCAAAGGCTCTCTATTGATCAGGAAAGAAGACTAGCCGAATGGATCCTGATTCAAGAAAGCCTAGGTGTTCTACCAAGCCATTCAGAACTCAAATACTTTGCTCAGCAGATCCTTGAGGTTCAGGGAGACTCTCAGGCCCTCGGGGTGCAATGGACTCAGGCTTTTTTGAAGAGAAATCCAGAGATAAAGATCAGGAAGACTCGCCGTATTGCTTCTGAACGAACGAATGGGGCTACAACAGAGGTAATACGGCTTTGGTTTCGTCTTTTCAATCTTCCTTATATCCAAGCTATTAAGCCAGCTAATAGATGGAATATGGATGAAGCTGGCCTGATGGAGGGCTAAGGAACAAATGGATTAGTCCTCGGAGGCTCCTCTTTGCATTCAATTCAAAGGAAAGACCCTGGATCAAAAGCCTGGACTTCTTTCCTCGAGTGTATCTCAGCTACAGGTGCTTACCTCTTCCCTCTGGTGATTTTCAAGGGCCAAACGGTATAATAACAGTGGTTTTCTCTTGATTTGGAGCTTTTTGATGGTTGGAAGTTTACAGCTACGCAAAACGGATGGACAAACGATAAAATGGCAGTTGAATGGCTGAAAGAGATCTTCATTCCTCATAGCCAGCCAGCAGACTCCTTAGAAGCCAGGCTGTTAGTTCTGGATGGCTATGGCAGCTATAAAATGGATGAGTTTATGTAGCTTTGCTTCCAAAACAATATCCTGCTTATTTACTTGCCTTCTCATACCTCTTACGTTCTTCAACCTCTCGATCTAGGGATCTTTTCATCTCTCAAACGGGCATATAGAAAGAAAGTCAGCAATATGGGCTAATGGGGCGATTCAACTATTGCAGGCAAGCGTTTATTCCTCAGCAACTATCGTCTGGCTCGACTGGAAGGCCTTTCAAGCCAGAATATTAGATCTGGATGGAAAGCAACTGGTTTGTGGCCTCTCAGACCCTCAAAAGCCCTCTTGAGCCCTCTTCTCCTTGAGAACAGTCAACCAAGCTGTTAGACCCAGTTCAATTCAGGCTCAGCATAATCAACAGCATCTCGTCTTTCCCCAAAAGCCTTCTCAAGCCAGCCAGTCCTCTTTTCAACTCCTCGAAAGGCTAAACAGCTATACTATCAGCTGCTAGAGAATCGGCAACAACTTCGAACGGAACCAGGCTGCCGTATGCTATTCAAGAAGATAAAAAAGGCTTATGGGAAGAGGGACCTCGAGTTTGCCAAGGCATTGGAGGAAAATAAAGCGTTGAAAAGGCAGATTGAGGCTCTGAGGCCTAGTAAAAGAAGAAAGGTTGATATGGATCCGAATTCGAAGTTTGCAGGGATTGAGGATATACAGAGAGCTCAAAACGCGGCTAATCGCCACGAGGATAGTCTGAATGAAGAGAGCGATGTCGAATTACCTACTGATGAGGAGGATTGCATCGTGGTGGGTGAATAGAATAGATAAACAGTATATATATATATGGGTGTGTGTATTTGACGAGGGTGGCCAGGGTGGCCCAAAACTACCCCGGCCCAAAACCCCCCCCTTTGACTTAGCTTGTCTAAGTTTTTGGTATGCCGGTAACTGGCATTGGCAAGTTGTATTACTTGCGCGTTGAATATGATGTCAACCATTGCAGAAGCATTTATTCTTGCCCAAACTGATGCTCTAACATTGCCAAGTAGTGCTTGCTAAGGGGCGAAGTCAAGTCGACAGTGTCTCCGGAAATGTCTGAACTTTACGAGATTCATACAAGCCAAGGCTTTGATACCTTGGAAGTGGCAGAAACCGACTGAAAAACTGGTGGCCACAAGCTGAGCGGAAAAGATTCCGAAGACAGCCGAAAATAAGTTCTTCTCTCATTTCTTCGACGTACTTCGACTGGTCAAATCGACAGTCTTCGCTTATCTCGATTCATTCAATCGCTGTCGAATCGTAAAATGCAGCCTGGTGCCTGGTGTAGTGAGTTCGGTTTGGAATGTTCACGGCTCTCGCCCGGCCACAGTGCAGGGGAGACAATATTAAGAGAGTCTCAAAGACAATAGAAGAACTTATCGACTTTCACAACACCAAAGAATGATATGTTACCAGATCAAGACCCATTCTTTCACTCTCACCTAATTCTATGCGCTTCCACGCTCTGGCTTCTGCAGTGTCAGCCCTTCTCTTCGTCCTTGATATTGTTCTCTCTTCAGGAGCCATTCTTTGATGGAAATTCAAAAAGTGACAGGCATTTGAAATTGCGCTGGATGTCGGTAGTCAACCACAGATCAATCAAAATCCCATATCTTCGCATTTGATTAACGCTTCCCAACATAAGCTCGAATGGGTTTCTTTCCTTAAGAGTAGCATCACGGAAGCACCATCCAAGCTTGACTTTCCTCGACTCCGTGCAGACTGCAGCTACTGGCCCAGGTGCGTTGAGCAGCGTTGAGATCGTGTTAATTCTGGCTCACGGGTATTATCACAATCAAGCCAGCTCCTCAAGCATCCTTTGTCACCCTCTTGTCCCTTTTCACCCGTTCACCTTTTCATTTTTCCTTAAGGCTTGAGCCTCCTGGCGGCAGAGAGACGCTTCGGCCCGTTGCGCGTGGGACTGTAACCCGTCTCTTATTGAACACAAACAAGGCATTGTGTTTTGGCAATTCAGCATTGAGTGTGTCGTGTGGTAGGTCAATGCCACGGTGAGAGTCGTCCAGATACGATCAAGGGACACTAACCGAACCAGGAGCGCCACAAAAGCTTGAAGGTAACGAAGAATTTCAGCATGACCGGCTCAGAGGAAAACCCTCCGAGCATGGACACCACGATGGTCGCCTTGGTGGACCAGGTTATTAACCTGACCTTACCAGGTGGTCAGGTGGAGCCCGTACCCCTTGGTATGGTCGACATGAACACTTCGGTAATGATCACCAAGTGCACTGGCTACGGCGTGGAGATTGGCGCGTCACTTGTGATGCTGGCGGTGATTCTGACGATGACGCCCAAAACCAAGTTCTGGCGGTTCCCAACCTACCTCAACATCGCTGGGCTTTGCAACAATGTAATCCGGGTCATTCTCCTTGCCGTTTATTTCGACTCCTCCTGGGTAACGTTCTACGCCATGTACAGCAACGACTTTAGATTCGTCACCCGCGCCGACTACGCCAACTCCATCGCATCGTCTGTGATGACAATCCCCCAAAACATCATGATGATGGGGGCGCTCATCTTCCAGGCCTGGTCCATGATCAAGCTCTGGCCCCATTCCTACAAATGGAGCATTCTGGTATTTTCCGTGGTCATGGTGCTCCTGGAAATAGGATTTATGGGAGCTTCCACGGCATACCAGATCATCCAGTTGGAAGTCTCCCCCACCGAGGGACTCAAGCTGATCATAAAGTACGCCTGGGTACGATACTGCTTCCTCGGCTTCGAAGTTGCCTGCATCTGTTGGTTCTGTTTCTTGTTTATATGCAAGCTGGCCACGCATCTGTGGAAGAACCGCAGCTTCCTGCCTACGACAAAGGGGCTCGGGGCGATGGACGCGTTAGTTATGACCAACGGCGTCCTGATGCTGATTCCTGGTAAGCTAATCTTGTTCCCGTTTGTCTGCACACATACACCCTTCACGTCTTCTCGTCTGGGGGAAGCTGACACGTCGTTCTGCTTTTCCATCCAATTAGTCTTCTTTGCTGGATTGCAGTACTCTGGGAAAGTCCAGTTCGAGCCCGGTTCCCTCCTCTACACATCTGTCCTCGTCGTCATGCCCCTCGGAACGCTGGTCGCGCAGCGCATCGCCGACCCAGCTGCCTTCAACAGCGAGGTATCTGGAAGTACACAAGAGGCCGATCGTCCCCGTGGTCGCTTCAAAGCGTTAGCGTCCAACAAGAATGCTCTTCTCAATCCCACATGGAGCCAGTCCTCCAAAGACAGCTCCGTCTTTCCAGGTGGTCAGCGCAGGGGCAGCACTGCCGTCCACAGAAAGACAGGCGTCACTGCCACCGTCTTCAGCTCGGGTCATTACAATGGCGGTCCTGCGGGCTCAGCCGACATTGAGCTGTTTAAAATCGATGCTGATATTGAGGCGGGCCACGTCAGGGTCGAGCGTGAGATTCGACTATCGGAGGAGGTGCTCTAGAAGGTTCCTCGACTCTGCAGCTGAGAGTTTCGGAGCAGCCCTAGATATTTATATGGCGGCTACACGAAGTGGACTGGCTTGAAAAGCTTCACAATCGTTCAATGAGAGCGTTGGGCTGAGAAAGGGTGTGAGGCTCACCCAGCGTTTGAGCCCCCAAAAGGCCCTGGAAGTTGAACCTCAGAATATGGCTTTCGGAATCAATTACCAATAGACACATAAGTCACTAATAAGGATTTACTGGGAGGTTAGATGTTTACAATCGTTATCAAATTTTGATTGTCTTTCTCGCGTAAGAACTTGAAACCAGAATCTCAACGAGTATAAGCTTCCAATATGTCATAGGACCGACCATGTCTGACTCTCGCTTCCTGATATTGATCAGTCACACACGAACACAGCATCAGCAGTGACGACTCGGTGGTGCACTTGCCATTGATTGATACCAGACCCTGTCATCTACTCGCGTGTTCTAGATCTGACGGTCTCGAACAAGACCAACCACTTTCTTCTCCGTGTCGTGTCTTTCTCTTTCGAGAGACTCCCAGCAGCAATTCCAACGCCAACTCTTCGCAGTGATAATTGCACGCATAAAAAGCAAACTTTTCATCCAATTCATCATTTTAATTTTATGGCCATGATTGAATTTTAATTGCTGCCCATATTCAGTTTTGGCCTTGCCACTCTCGGAGCTACCACCCACCATTCTTGTCGTCAGCGTTGTGCTTCATGCCCTATCTCTCGTTGTCCCGCCGATCCTGAGCATCGCAATTGTCATTGAAACTTTAGACTTTGTGTGTCTAATCATCTGGTACCCCTACCAGGTGCTGTACCAACTGGGCAATGGAAGAGACGCCCAGCCAGAAGCCGTACGCCATCGGGCTCCCAGCCAATGCATCAAGCGACTATCGTTCGAGCGCCATCTCTCCTACTAAAAATACAAGTCCGCCTCGGTTCATCAGGACGTCCCAATGTCGAGCACGTGACGATATATCGTCTCCGTCAATACAATCGCACTGGTCTGACCGCCGTGCTCTCCTCCTGTGCGAGGCTGGTATGGGCAATAGCAGGGCGGCAAACGATGACGAAACAGCCGAGACAGGCGGCCTACCTCCCATCTCAGTCCAAGAGTAGGTCTCCCCAATCATAGCTGGTCGGCTGATCGAGAGTAAATTCGCAAGAGCGGGAAGCTTGGCCCAAAAAGGAGCTGACGTCGTGATCCGCGTCCGTAGGGTTTCCGAACACAGTCAAGGTATTCCGTTTCCGGCCATGACCAACAGATCTTTACGATTAATGTTGTACTCGACTGACATGCTCTCCTCCTCACGGCCGTCTGCAGATCTCCTCGGCGCACACACGACACTGTCCAACTGCAGTCAGACTTTTGGTTCTCGCCCATCAACACAGGCCCTTCCAAGATCCAAGTCCTGCGTCGTGACATCGACCATCCAGAAAGGGCCGAGGGATCACAATGGCCTGCAAACAAGTCACCGACATATGACCACAACTCCTACCCTTCAATCAAAACCAGTCAGCTCTCCATCGCGCTCGTCCGTTCTGAACACCAGTAGGACATCCGTTGCTGAGTTACGCAAATCCTTCGAGGCCAACGGCTGCCTAGGAGAAGAGGGCATATTATATCTCAAAACCTCTGAGAGAAGATCTTATAGCCCACAGCCGCCCATCGCAGTTACCAAAATCTCCAACTCGGCAAGTTTGACTAACGCCATGGACGAGGTTGTAGAGAATTTCACTTTGGATGCTCCACATGAGCCCATTGTCGCGGGACTGTCAGACGAGGACTCCATTGGCGAGCCCTCGCCCGTAATCATTCATCTCAGGACTCCTGTGTGGGGTGACAAAGAGGACTGCTCAGACTGGCCTTCTCCTGATGGTCTTGCACATCGGAGCAAAAGGGCTCGAGCGGCATCTCCAAGAAATCGATGGTCTTCGAACGCCAGAACATCAACCAGGCAAGATGACTACTTAGATGATGATATCTCGCCGACAACGTCTCCAGGCCCAGCAACACCACGCTCGACAGCCCCGGAGCCCTTTCAACAGATAACACAGCTGTCAGCACCTTTGGATGCATATTTTGAGCCCATGAGTTTGACCGCGGAAAGCTCTTCACGTAACCGGGGGGAGACATCACGAGTCAACAACCCTCCTACATCACAGAAGAAGGCCATCGAGACTTTCAACCTGGAGAGACTGCCAAGTACGTCAAGCATCAAGTTGTGGAAGCCATCAGTCAATGACCTCCAGGCATCAGATGCCTTCCAACACAAGAACGCGGGTGATGCCTTGGATGAAGTGCGTTACAGCCGAACACTTGACACCGCGAAAGCCAAGGCCGTCCCTCGAGCTCCACTACGATCACAAGACGGGAATATACCTCGCAATACTGGCACCGAGCCGCGGATGAAAATGGATGACGAGTATGACACGGGTGCTCTTATGATGTGTGGCATGTTCTCTAGTCCCTTTCGGCGCGAGTCCTCAGTGGCAGTGAAGGACAAAGTTGGCATTTTCGAAGGCCTCATAAAGCCAGAAGCCCAACCATCATATGTGGTGGCAGCCGGGGATAAAAAGCAAGGGAAGGACAGACCCAAGCTTCAGGCCTTCTATTCAGACTCGGGTGTTTTGGCTGGCGGGAGAAAGTCACTGAGCTGGATACCCAGAGCATTCCGGAAAGTGTCAAGTTACCGAGGCAAAGATCGAGAGACACAAGATATGTCTACTGATACCCTTGACCAAGTCGAAAATACACAGCACCATATCAGTCAGTTGGGGAGCCAAGACCTGCCCGTTGATAGGACAACTGCGCAGGGAGACAACATGACACCAGACCCGTCCAACATGACGGGGTGCCCAAGCCCTTCAGATGTACCGCATGTGCATAACTTCTAGGAGGACAAGAGAAGCGGAAATCGAGGCAAAGGCGGGAGTCATGGGTATTCTAGGCTGTTGAAAAAGCTATCCACGTCGTTTAAGCGCAAGTCAGCGTCCGCCCAGGAGTCAGAAGAGGAGACAGGTACTCCAGCCATCCCGACCACTACCAAAGAAGAATGCGAGGGCTGCCCACATTCCACGTCTAAAATTCTAAAGGTGATCATAGAGGAGGAGCAGCAGCGGCAGCAGCAACAGCAGCAGACGATTGCTGCCGAGTCGCTTCGAAAGCGTCTCACGGCCGTATTGCGACCGGACCATTCCCCTATCGGGCTGCATCAACTCCAGATGGCGCAACAGAGCATCGATGACAAGCATCCCAAATATGTGTCTGCTGCAGTCAAAGAGCTGAAGGAGAAAGGAGCGGATCACATCCCGTCCGTGGGCATTCGACGTGTGTCTACGAAGTAGGACCGTATGAACCCGTTCCGGCCCATGAAGAGCTCGGGAAGCCAGACAGGTGATGGCGACATTGAGGCGGCGGAAGGGCCCATGTGGCAACAGAAAGGACAAAAAGACGGTAGGGCCGTCGGAGAAGACGACGGGCAGGGTGTAACTGCCAGCGTAGTGACCACTGGCCTGACAGCGCCTGTCACGGAAGGACGAGCCAATCTTTCAGCGCCGTGGTCTCTCCAGGGCTTGCGGTCCGACGTGGACATGAGCGCCAACTTGTCGGAAACACTTGCACGACACACACCAAGCAGCCCCAGCGGAAGCCTCGCTCAAGGCCGGAGTGATGATGCCCACGTGCCGATGGTAGTAGCGAGATCAGAATGCGAGCTTTCTCATCCTCGGCCGTCGCGGTCGAGCTCGGCAAAACTCCTACGGGTGTTGGGAGATAATGAAGAGGCAATCAGCGATGGGCATAGACACTGGAGAGGCCAGAGTAGTCCAGGGAGCACAGCAAGTTTTCATACTGCAAGGCAGGGGTGACTCATTGGGGTTTTCAGGCTTCGTTTTCTTCTCAGAACAGCATTGGTTGTTTGTACATGCGTGATCGTTCAATAGCATTGTGGTTCGGACCAAACGGCTCGCCAGATGGTAGACTAGAACGGTGCTTGGTAGATTGCCAGAAAGGCTTGGTCTTGAGGGTCCCAGACGGAACTAGTCTAAATGTGTTGTGCTGTCGCGATGCTTCCTGCTTGCTTCTAATGTATGACAATCGAGCATGGTTTCATTGAGTAGGGCCCAGTCCTCGCCCATTCTTCATTCACACGCACAAATCATTCCTTTCTCATGCCTTGTGTCACAGTGATGTGGAACTGGTCTCCTATTACCCTGGATCAAGACCGCGAGGCGAGCTCCTGTTTCGCTGCTGCGGATGAGATGTGCTGGGCAGAGCGCTGTAGTCTACCAACCAAGACGGCTCCTCAAAGACCATCCCCGCCCTTCTCAATTCTTTCTTCCGCCATGTGAGTGATCTGGTGTGTGTGGTTTCTCGATGAAACCCCTCGGGCATCCATTCTTGTCCAGTTGATCGTATCAAAATACCAGATGGTGCATCGACAGAGGACGAGGGGAGGTCGTCATATCCTGACGGCTCGAATGGGCACCACTCTTCATCTTCATTATCATCATTATCATCATCATACACCAGAGGCCCCACGGCGGGGCCATCGACTTGACTGCCCGCGCTCTAAGCGGCCAGCCCCATGCCCTTGCCAATTTTCTTGACCAATGCCTTCTTGAGGTACCATTCCCGAGCGAGCGATCGAGTAGTTTTCGCGAACACGGCGGGTGCGACTCTGCCTCTCTCCACGGCGCGGCCCAGCACGAATATCGCGTCCGCCAGAGCCCGCTCCTCCGCGACAAGATCATAGAGCTGGTTGCCAACCACCGTCGGCGCCACGAGTAACTGATCAATGTCCGGCTCGGGCAGACTTGCGCTGTCCTTGACGACCTCGTCGGCACGGCGCATTGTGTCGCGCAAGATCGTAGTGTTGTTCTGCAAGAGGTTGGAGAGCTGTGTCAAGGCGCCGATTTCGGACTGCATAGTACCCATGGCGCTCAACATGGCAGTACGCTGAGCTTGTAAGCCCTGTAGACTTGAGCCGTTCTGTTCAAGGACACGCATGCGCATCTGGTAGAGTGTGGTGGCGAGCTGGTGAAGCAAGGCATCTTTCTCGGGGTTTGGTGGTATTGGTGGTGCCGGGACAGATGATGGGGAGGGTATACTCAAGGTCAAGGGCTCATCCATCAGATCCGGTGGGGGTGGAGCCTTCTGCTTCGGCTGCGTTGGCATCGCCTGCGTGGGGTGCTGTTGCTGCCATTGTTGCTGCTGTTGTATTGGTGCTTGTTGTAATGGTGGAGTCTGATATTGGGCATGATTTTGAGGGGGGAAGCTCGAAAAACGACGAGGATCGGCCGGGGAAATGGGAGGTGGCGGCGACCCTCCTCCTTGGTATGAGGATGGTATGGGAGATGGTTGGTAAGGAGGCTGAGCCGCGTAAGACCCGGCTGCTGGGTATGTTTGTGATGGGCCGGGCTGTTGCTGCTGTTGAACCTGGGGAGGCAGAGGCGGGGCGCTATCGTATCTTGACATGCGATTGTTCTGTACAGACGGTGGCGGAGGTGGTGCTCGCACACCTAAAGTTGGACTGTATGGACTTGGTAATTGCCCTACACTGGGCGGTAGAGGAGGCAGTGGAGGAGCGTCTGCTCGTGGAAGCTGCGGGTTGGGTTTCGGGGGCGGAACTGGAGGCTGGCCGTTGGGAGCAGGGCTCGAGTGTATCGAGCTCGGCGGCCTGGCCGCGAGTTCTTGTGGTAGTGGAGGCACAGGAGGTGGTGTCGGGGTGGCCTGTGGCTGCTGCGCATGGGGAGGAGGCCGCGACTGTTGGGCCTGTCCCCTCGCGATAACTGGAGGTTCTTTGGCAAAGATGTCTTGTAATATAACAAGAAAGTCCCGAATGTTCGATTTCTATCACAGAACTCATCAGTACGACTCCTCCCGGGGCTCGCTTGGCTTCTCTAGGGCCAACATACATCCCAATAATCTGCCCATCCAACAAGATACGGATGGTAGACCTGCCCTTGTGGATCAACGTGCTGCCCAGGACGGACCACCATAGTCTCAGTGGGCGTGGCGTAGATGAGAGGGGCCTCCCGTGGGTATGCATGAGGGACCCATAGTGATATAGGAAAGCGGTATGTCGTGCCTCGAAAGAGGACCGGTATCGTCCCCGAAAGACGAAGGAGCAGGGCAGATGAACCGTTGGGAAAGGCTATCGGAAGGATGGCACGTGTCAGTCTGAAAGTCGCCTTGGGAAACATGGGAGCAGATGGAGAGAAAGAAAGAGCAAGCTCGTACTGTGAACATCTGTCCTCGGAGACAGAGATGGGTACTGGGACAGCGCCTGGGCTACGTCGTTGTACGTGCGATTAACATCGTGGTATTCCTATCGGGCAGAGATGGAGAGGGTCAGCTGTGGAAGTGGCCAAGACAAGAGATGCTCTGACAGAGGAGTTTCCGCCCAAGGACATACACTGGTCAGGACGCTATAGAGCCAGTTGAGGACATGCTGCGGGACGACCATCGTTGTCTTCTTGTTGAAGATCGAGGGGCAGATTGAGTGGCAGCTGTCACCGGGACATGATGGAAGAAAGGTGGTGGGTTGGTTATGAAGTTGCATCATTTGCACGTTCACCCCCCAGCGCAGCCAGCCTTGGCGACGAGGTGGATGCCCCTCAGGTCGCAAGCTCCAGGTCTGGCTAGCGATACGCTTCTCTAGCTTCTCAGTAATGGCTGTCAGGCCCCTGTAGCTTGACTTACATAACATACACAGCGGTTCTAGGGTGTCACAGCGCTAGAAGCGCCCATGCGCGCGCGGGCTGATTAATGGATAGCGGTGCTTTAGTTATCGCTGCTGGGAACCCTGACCTACAGTTGAACGGCGCCTGTCGTCTGGGGAAAGTCTTTCTTGGCGTGCCTGGCTGCCAAGCAGCTGCCTCAATGGAAATTTTACTGTAGTGCCTTCTCTTCCAAATGCCCGTCAACGTCATGGCTGCCTCTCCTTCGCCTCCCTCGATATGTACCATGTATCCGTCTGTATTGGGGTTTTCCTGTCTTCCTCTCTGTCTCTCTCGCTCTCTCCTTTCTTTAGTGGTCAAGATCTTTGATATTGCCAAGTCAACGAGTTGCCATGGTGTTGTCGTTTTCACAAGATAACTGCTACGAGGCAGTCCCACATTTTGCGTCAAGTCATGAAACTCGACTTGACTGAAGTGTACAGCAGGCTCTATAAAACAGCCTACACGGCTCAGAACACTCACTTCTATGCAACCACTAATACCATTGCAGTACCTACTGTAAGTATGTGAAGGCTTGGTATTTGGGATGGTCGGGCGGCCCCGGAACCGGAGACAAGGAAGATTTGCCTCTTACATGTGCTCCCGAATCAACCGGCGCCCCCCCCCCCCTTGGGTTCCTCTCCAATTGGATGGGAGACACACTTACACTTTTTGCATAGCATTGCATCACATTGTATTGTGAGGACCACCACTTGGAGACATGGATTGAGTCGGCTTAGCGATTGACAACCAACACAGCAATTCTGAACAGGATCAGGCCAGAAACAGAATGGCACCACAAGGAGACCAGCCATCCCTCTTTTGCATTCCTTTTTATGTCGGCCCAAAACCGGCGGCATTGTTGGTTGTTGTGTGGGATGGATTTGTCACATTTTCTCCATTAATAAGAGAAAAACGGCCGAGCGGCAATTCTCGTGTAACTATAAGTCATGACCCTGTCCCTCTCTCTTCCACTTCCCTCTCGTCCACTTCCCTCTCGTCCTTCTCAACACAACTCACTTATTTCCCACCTCATTTACACCTGAGAGTGTACAAATTGAAGACTTTGACGCATGCCAGCAACACAAAAGAGTTTCCGCACGGCTGAGGGGTATATCAGAGCAAATTCTGTATACTCCTTGCGTCAGGACTTTTATCCCTTCTGCTGAACAACCTCACAACTATAGACCTTTAGACCCTCTCCAGGTCTTTTTCTCTCCTCTTCTTCCTTGCAACGACCCGTCAGTCGAAACAATAGAATCTCTCTAGACAATAGATCCGCCAGCCGAGTCATGCTACCTCCCATTCCAGTATTGTCCGACTATGGAATCTCTCCAGCTCGAGGCTTCCTACCAGGAGGTCTACCGTTGACGAGGCTTCCGGATCCATACTACAACAAGTGGGAGGCCGTCACGGCCAACCTGCAGGCTCTGATCCTCAGCGGGCGTCTTCGAGGCGTCATTGATCGCCTCCCCGTGCTCTCCACCACCGGTCTGGAACACGACGCGGAATGGCGGAGGGCTTACAGTCTGCTGATCTTCATGGCGCACGGCTACATCTGGGGTGGTGACAGCCCCAGCGAGCGTCTGCCGCCTGCCATCTCGGTTCCCCTGCTAGCCGTCGCAGAGCACCTCGAGGTCCCGCCTGTCGCGACCTATGCTGGGCTCTGTCTGTGGAACTTCAAGCCCCTGTTTGTGGATGAGGACATCGACGACCTTGACAACCTCGCCACCCTCAACACTTTCACCGGCTCCTCGGACGAGTCGTGGTTCTACCTCGTCTCTGTCGCCATCGAGGCTCGCGGCGCACCCATCATGCCGCTCATGCTGACGGCCATTGCTGCTGCGCGCGAGGGCGACACTGCTACTGTCACCCGCTGCCTGCACACCTTTGCTGAGCGTCTGGATGATCTGGGCACTCTCCTCCACCGCATGAACGAGCACTGCCACCCGACCATCTTCTATGACCGCATCCGACCCTTCTTGGCCGGCAGCAAGAACATGGCTGAGGCGGGTCTCCCCAATGGGGTTCTCTATGAGGTGAATGACAGCGGCCGCGGCGAGTACCGGCAGTACAGCGGCGGTAGCAATGCGCAGAGCTCCATCATCCAGTTCTTCGACCTGGTGCTGGGCGTCGAGCACCGACCGACTGGTCTGAGAACTGCTGCTGCTGCTGATAGCTCTGCCTCAGAGTCCGACAGCAGCCGTGGTAGGGCTCCTGCCCCCCGGCACAACTTCATCATGGAGATGCGCAAGTACATGCCGGGCCCACACGCACGCTTCCTCAACGATGTCGCCTCCGTCGCCAACATCCGTGGCTTTGTCGAGCAGCAAGGGCCTCACGACCAAGGGCTACGCGTCGCCTACGACGCCTGCCTGGCAATGCTGAGCAAGCTGCGCGATCGCCATATCGCCATAGTCACACGCTACATTGTCACGCCTTCCAAGGCAGAGCGCGCCCGCAGCCGCAGTCGCAGCCCAGAGGCCATCCGCCAGCGCGTGAACCTCGCGACGGCGTCTCGCCAGCCGCAGCAGCAGGCCCGCACCACCACCCCTCCACAGGTCACCAGTAAGAAAGGACCTCAGGGAATCGCCCTGGACACGTCGGCCAGGAAGGATCTCAAGGGCACGGGCGGCACGCAGCTCATGTCGTTCCTCAAGCAGGCCAGGGACGAGACCGGCGACCCGGCGGTTTCGGACTGGGCCAGGAGATTCATGAGTCGCCTGCCCCGCAGGGAGGGACGAGGCGATTTCTTCCTGGGCAAGGAGGAACTGCCTGTCGAGGAGGTCGAGGTAGCTGGGCTGGCGGGCACCTGGACGATGGAGGATGACTTTGGTGGGATTTGTATCACTGGGTGATCATTCTCATGTGCCATTGGATGCGCGTACACAAATATCAGACCAAGACAGGCAGAAGAAGAAGAAAAGAAGAAACAAGAACTGTCGTGCCTGTTCAGTTTAGTGGCACTTGCGCTTTTCTCACGGCGTGTTGTCGTGCACTTGACTTGTAGTCCAGTATGATATTAGAACCTAGCCTCTCTCAAGTCGGGGTATAGAGTTGGGACTAGTTCCCAAACCAACGCAATCCAGCCATTCAGTCACCTGGGCAGACTCTCGTGCTGTTTGTCAGCCAAATAATCCCACTCCTGCGAGCGCGCGCTTGCATACATACCCACTCACAATAAGTTTGCTTCCTCTCCCATTCTGTGCACCAAGGTATTATCGAACAATAAGTACCGCATCAGGACCAGGGTCGGAAGTCATGGACAATTTATACAATAGACTCGGCTCACACGCCCAAAAACGGGAATGGCCCTCCGCACGCACCGCTCGAAACTCCGTTACCCCCTGGACTGGCAGCTGTCGTCAAACAAAAGGGTCCACGTGCATTGGGCCAAACGGGGACTTTCGCGAGGCGCTTTGGACCTGCATCTTTCACGTGTTTATGTGAGAGCTCTCATGTTTTTTATTTATTTAAGTTTCGTTGGTTTTGGTCAGCACCCCACGCAGAAAGGGTTCCGCGGACATAATGTTTGGGCTCCATTTCCATAAGAGCCAGGGCTGTGGGAATCATGCCAGGTTTATTTGACGTGCTTCAATTGTAACGATGGTCGTTGACGTTCACACCCCATAGTTACTTGGACATCCGGCCGTCGGCTGGGGTGTGACGGATGTTGCATCAGCAGCAAGTTCTATGAAGACAAGAGTGGTGCCTCGTCATTTTTTTCAACCGTTCTGCGTGTAAGCAAATTCCTGAACTGTTGGTGTTTTACGACCACAATCGTTGGGTAAGCTACGCCGTGACACATGTCATGAAGGGTCAAAACCGGGGGCCTAGAGAAAATCTGCCGAAGCGCCATCTCGGAAGATGCCCTGTTTGAATTGACCGTGGATACCGGAGGAGGTCCGGAGGAGGGTGGTAGATTTTGGGTATTATCGACGAGGGTACGGTTCCCACTTCTGCAAGTCCGGGTAACCCCCTCCAATACGACGCAGAGCGAGTAAGTTTCCGGAGATGATTGATTCCCTTTTCACTTTGTAGCATACACGAGAACCAAAGCTTGCACTATGGAGAGAGAGAGAGAGAGGGAGTACCACTCAAGGTCGTTTGTGATGAAATATCGTGGGGTTTCCTGGCCTCATCAGGTCCAGGTGCTCTCTGTTCCCCCTGCTTAATCTGTAGGAAATTCCTCAGTCTCGTCGCTCCTTCATCGGTAGCAGCAACAGTTCTCTATCTGTATACCAGCTAGCCAAGTAAATAGTCTTCCTGTCTTTACAATCATGGCTGCTGCCTCTCTTCTCACCATGGCCTCCTTGGCCGTCATCGGCTCGGCTGCTGCTGCCGCCACAGCTTCCAGCAACATCACCCTCGGACCCATCCCGCAAAATGACACCGCCTCATCCTCTATAAACACCCTCGCACCGCAGACAGATCTGATGCTCTCCTATGGCCTGAACAGTACAAAATACGTCAACGTCAGCCTGACGACAACCTCTCCCGGCGTGCTCCTTGAGAGCATCAACAGTATCACAGCGGTGGAGTGCTCGGTGAACAGCGTGAGCATGGTGTTCAACAGCAGCGAGACCCTGGATGCTGCCCTGGCCGAGTGGAGTGGTTATGATGAGTTGGTGCTAGTGACAAATCATATGGGCGATTGTGACACGGAGTTTGAGAGAGGTTTCTTTGTCGCGGCAGAGTGGACGAGTGATTCGAGTGCATTGTCTCTTGTGGCGAGTGCCGAGAAGACAAATGTCACGAATGTTGCGTGTAAGAATGAACGGCCTTGTTTTCCCTTCTTCTTCTTCTTCTTCTCTTCTTGCTTCTCAGATGCATCTCTCTGACAAATCCTTCCAGCCTACATGCGCGCCAACTTTACAGGCCTCCCCTCCACCACCAGCACTGTCACATCCACACGACGCCGGAAGCGCGACGTCGTGATCGACCCCTCAGACGTAACCATCTCCACGGAATGGGACCTGCCAGCCACCACTCTGTACGAGTACGACCCCTATTTCACAGCCAAGGCCGACAGCGGCGCGGTGGCGCTATCCGTGATGCTCGGTGGCTACCTGGACTTCGACGTCAGCTCGGCCACCCTCGCCTCGCTGTACGTGGACGTCGAGACGACCACCTCGGTGGACCTTGTGCTCGAGCTGGACGTCACCGCCCCCTACGACGGGAACTTCTCGTACGGCGACGGGGTCGAGTACTACCTCGTCAACGTGCCCGGCATCCTGACCTTTGGCCCAGAGCTGACCCTGGCTGTGGGCGCCGAGATCAGCGTCGATGCGGCCGTGGACATTGTTCTCGACCTCGGCGCAGAGATCGACAACGGCACCGTCCACCTCGACTTGGTCGGGAACGGCACGACGGCCGCGGGTTGGACGCCGAGCTACCACGCCAACCTGACCCTCGGCGAGGAGGCCACCGTCGGGGTCACCCCGTTCGTGTCTGTGACGGTCGAGCTTGACTTTGAGATCCTGGGCGGGCTGCTGGACCTCAGCGCGGGCCTCACGCCCGAGGTGTCGTTCCCTGTCACCGCGACCCTGGACGCCGCGCAGGGTGTCAGCGCCGGCACGGGGACTAACGTGACGGTGGCGCAAGTTGTGGATGGGGCTGGGTGTAGCAATGGCGTCGAGGTGCTGAGCGATTTCGAGTTTAATCTCGAACTCTTTGTTACCGAGTTTTGGTCCGAGTCGCTGTACAATGTTACGGTGCCGATTGCGGATGAGTGTTATTCTTGGGCTTGATGGTAGGTTGAAAATTACCTATAATGACCGAAGCAAGAAAGATGTACGACATCTAGAAAACTTAGACAGATCATGGTAAATATTTAATACATCAAGTAGAAGATTTTCGAATATAAATCGTTTGGGTCTTCCAAAAGTAAGTGACCTCGTGTGAGCTGACCAGAGACTCCACGCCATATGATCTTAAATACTGGTATGGAATTTTTGTAAGAGGTTGATAGAATTCTGTTTGCTATGTTGATGTTATATGTCGTCTCTGAATAAGTAGACTATAGAAAGCAAATATGTCTGAAGATAAGAAACTTGCGGCGTAGACTCTCTCACCGTCAAGATTGTCGACTGGGCGCTGGCATAGAGACTTCTGACGCAACAGAATCGAGACTTGGCGATTGCGATGGCTCCTTTTCTTTTGCCTTCCCCCTCGCGGATTTCCTCGGTCTCTTCTTGCAGGCGAAATACTCCAGGGCCGCGGCAGTTTTGGTCCGTCCCGGAACAGGTAAGCACTCTGTTCGTGATGGCTCATGCGCCTTGTTCTTTCCCTTTTCACTTGTCTTGGTTTTCTTCATGCAGGCAAGATACTCAAGAGTGGTATGGTTATAGGTCGGTATGCTCTTCCGGCTCGAGGGGGAGACAGTACGCTTGCTTTTGGACGGCTTCGTAAGAGCATCCCATAGCAACTCTCCGTCGGCGAGAGCTCCTGACATTTTTGTCCCAGTTGGCTTCTCTTTTCGTTTCGGCATCGCGTGCGGTACAATCGTGTTATGACGGGGGGAGAGCAGGTGTGTGCTTGGATCTTCTTGTTTGGAATACTTTGATGGTCTTCGGTCTGGGCGTTGGTGTGGAGGATAGGTTCAAAATCAGGCGAACTTGGTGGTAGTGCTGGAAGGTCCCGAATCCGCCACGTAATTCCATGGAAGCAGTAATTATATTGGGTGACATGAATGTATCCAGCAGTCGCATCTATCCTCGTGACTGTGCTTAAGTAGTTCTGTCTAAAATTCGTAGTAGGCAACACTACATTGAGCCATTGCTCCTAGCCGCCTCTAGCCTCGAGAGAACACTGAGTAAGAAGTCAAGTAGTGATTGATGGGAGCTTGCATAGTAAGTGCTTAAGCACCTGCCTAGGGCCCTGCAGACTTGATTTGCAGTCACATCACCTGTTTCTTGTCATTACTAGTGGTCAAAAAGGTATAAGCAACTATGTTTGAAGCCCGTACTTAACCACCAATAATCTAGAAAACCAGTTCAAGTCATGAGAATTCAGAATGGTCACTAAACATGGGCGTATTTGACGTGAAACCAAATCTGAAGACGCAAGAGTTTATTGTGGTTTGCAAACTACTTACTTATGTAACGAAGCGCTCAAAATTCTCTCGTTCATCCGCAGCGTGCAAACGTGAAGCATTCATACGATCAACTTGCAGGAGCCAAAATATCAAGCATGTTTCTGCATCAACAACAACTCAGCATTCCCATCTTATCGACGAAAATTCACCGCCAAACAGGAACCTCCCGAGCATGGGTGTAAACATGAACCATGAAAGGTTATCCTGCTAGGTTAGCGGCTCCTCAGTATCATGCTGAATGGTGTGAACTGTGATTACCGCCCTGATCCTCACCATGTTGAGATCGGGCAGCCTCTTCGCCCGCCTGTCCTTGCACTGGATGTTCTCCCTCTACGGGCCGGGCAGCATGTTGTGAGCTCTGGGATGACGCAGAGGTCGTAGCATGAGGAGGATGCTCAGCCTCTTCCCCAGTGTACGACCCGTACTGGGCGCCATCAGCGTAATAATAATCAGCGTATTGATCCCAGTCGCCATGTGGTCTAATCGAGCCCCCAGCCATCCAGGTTGTAAACCCGGGCCATCGGCTGGGGCTCATATGAGACTGGGGTCCGTGAGCTCCATAGACTCTTCCGCCTAAATACTGAACTATGGGAGGGGCTTCGAGAAAATTGCCGTTACAGTCATATTTCTGGGAATATATCCCCTGTTCCCTCTTGTGACGACGTTCTCGCTCGTTTGAAGTCTCGTGGTGGTGATGGTGATGATGGTGGTGGGAACTAGACGCCTGTTGTCCGGCAGATTGGCTCCCAGAAGCGTGATGTTCCCCGTGATGGTTCCCAGATGAATGATGCCTAGACCCTTGGTTTCCGGACGAGTGGTGTGACTTCTTGTCGTGGGATGAGTGATGGTGTTTATGAGGCATTTTGATCTGCAAAGACGCAAGGCTGGTCTGTGAAAACTGTCAAAGTATCAGGCCACGAAGATGTTTCAATGTTGGTAGCGGTGAGGAGCAGTACCCGTTGGCTTTGAAAGCATGCAAATTCGATCTTAGCAACTGTGCACAAGCCTTCAGACTGTGCATCCTGATCATGTATGAGCGATGCCAAGAACACGCTGGTCGAGAAACTGCTCAAGCAGAGATGTATTTATATTCTTTCTTGTATCGCCTCATGGAGTTCCGTGACAAATAAATGACTTCCGTTGCTCCCCCTTAAGTCTGTATAAACCTCTTGCCTCACTATTCCTTGTGACTATGCCGGGCACCCGAGCCTATTGTGTCAAGAATCCGATTGGAATGTGTGGAGAATTGTTGATTGATATGCGCAGACCGGCTCAGGAAAGTGATAGGACTTTTAACTGACGTTCATCATCAGGAGGTACATACATTTGGATAGTATGTATTCAGCAGCAGATGGAGGTGTGCAACATATCACAGTGCGACTTGTACATCATTTACTCTGCTGTGAGGTCAAATCAGGCTCAGGTTACCTGGTCCTGAACAACAACGATGCCTTGATCAATGATATTCTATTTCTTATGTGAAACTAGTCCATTTTGCTTGTATGAAGCGCAATTGTCAGTACCTAAAACATGATTATTCACACGCAAGCCTCAGTGCCCTCCTCAATTGTTTTCCTCCTGGGGTTCTCATATGAGTTATTCGAAAAAAACAACCAGAAGATTATTAAATGATGTTAAAGGTAGACTTGTAGACAAATCAGATACATATTCAGTAGTACCTCCTAGTATAATAGCAGGCCAGGAAAGGAAAAAACCCATTTAAAAAGTACTACAAGGTTCAACTTCACTTATGAACTTGTATTTTCTACCATGTAAAGTCCTCATTAGTGAAGCTTCTGTATGGACTGTAGTGGAAGTCCATCACATCATGGGGAGGCACTGAGAGTGAATCATTCATAATCAATAGAAAAGCAGTATTATTTCTTGTGTCTCTACTCAAGTAACGCAATGCATCATCTAACTTCCTTGTCATGTTCCTCTATAGGACCAATGAGCAGGGTCAAACAAAATTGAGGTTCTTGATGTTAATGTGCCATATGCAGTCTTTGAGAACAGAACAGGGGAAAATGGTGGCTGTCATCCCGCAATGGCCTCTTGAGGTGTTTAGTTAAGCGTGATTATTCGACATACCTTAATCCTCTGACAGGGACTTTCGTCTGTCGGAAGCACTATGGAAAGAATTTGCTGATAATGAGCTTGTGTCGTCTTCTGTGAACTCAGATACTTCCATAGTGACATAACATGGATGACCCAACTCCCGGTTGTCTTCATGGTTATCAGGCGAATCAGAAAGGGGCTGCTGAGTCTGTGGCAAATAGCAAACATGACCACGTCCAGTGTGTCGAGTCCCAGTCTGACGTCCTGGTCGAATAGAAGGTGATGGATCCTGGTGGTCTGATTCGCGATGTCGATCTTGGAGGACTGGAGAACGAGTTTGTCCTTGTGGCATTGGCGAAAATGACCGTGCTGTCCCTGGATGGACTCTTGTTGGCACATGACCTGATACATCGGGGGAAAAGCTATGTCTCTGAGATGAGGAATTCCCGCCAGACCTATACACTGGAGCTGGCTGCGCGCCAGACATGAATGCGCCACCCGAAGACTCGGAGTCAAGGCTGCTCTCAACTGCTTCATGTTGATTTGCCTCTGGACGCCTCACTGGAGCCTGCTCTCTCACATCGAAAAGTTCAAAGTCTTGACCAGAGCTGTGCCGCTCTGGTGATGGGGTCTGAGTAGTGCTCCCATGGTTTTCTGTGCTGTGTGAAGCCTGGCATGACTGAGAGTCGAAGCTGTAAGAACGATGCTTGGATGTCGATTTGCCCTTTAAGGAAAAGTATTCGAGAGCCTTTCGGTTTGGGATATCGGAATGTGTGTCAACAAGCCTGGCCTCACGAAGATGCCCGAGAGGAAAATGCTTCAGTTTTGATCTGCATGCTCCACATTTGGGGGAATTATGTTTGTCCTTCTTGTGGTTGTCAGTAGGCATGTTGCTTGTGGACTGATGTGTTTTTGGATAATGGATCAAGATTGAGTCCAAGAGACAAGTAATTATCTTCCGAGGTCAATGGTGCTCCAAATCTTTGACGAAATCTCTGACTTGGAATAGAAATTGTGTTGAGGGGAATTTTGAGGCAAAAGTTAGTAGATAAATATTATTTCCCAGATGTTCAGAGGCACTTAGCGGTTGAGATTGTTATTTATAATGTGTCCCAAAGCCATTCCCCATAGAAGAGGTCACAGCTCATGACTTCCAGATGCATATGACTGGACCGCACTTTCGAGCCATGATGGGTTTGATTGGCACTTTTTGAATGATTAACAGACATGAAATTATTGAAGACCAATCTTAGACCTTGATTATCTTTGTAGGTGAGATTATCAAGAGGTTGCCCTCCGCACGTATCACTGTTAGTCTGGTCAACTGTGCAGTTCAACTTGGCCATGATGAAATTTGTTGCTCTTCTGTCACATCCTTGATCATTATTGACCTATTCTAAACAGGCTGCAGTGCTGTGAAAATTGCGTAGGCATATGATTAGAACATGCAATACTGTCTTGTAGGCCCATGATTGCTTGTGGCTGATTTCCCATACCCATAATAAACAAATAGCTTGATGTTTCCACTGTATGCACCGCCATTACTACAACACTGCGTTATTATCATCTCCTGCTCTTGGCAAGTTGTTGGCTTCTTTGTGACAAGTAGATACAAAATGCCTTCCCAGAAAATTGTTGTCAAAGGGCCTGAGGCCTAGAGCCGATGTGAGTCATCATAGCTATGCAATGGAGAGGGTGATTATAGCACGAGGAGTCTTAGCATAAGGTAAGAGATGGTTCCTAGAAAAATCATCACTGCATGGACAACTAACTACCAAGAGGATATGTAGTTGAAGAAGAACCTTTGTCAGTAGCTGCACCGTGTACAGAATAGGAGAGAAGAGTGTGGGGACTATTCTAGTTAGATGGTGACCCATGGGACGTCTATTTTCAGCTGTGACTGATTATGTAAGGGCTGGGCTGCAAGGTGAAGTGACAGGGTCATGGATGTAAGATACACTAGCCAAAGTCAGTTAGCAGGGAAGCGACCACGGCTGATACAGCAGCATCAGGTCGCCTCCCATCCATAGCAAAGAACCTCTAGCAACAAAAATCCCCAGACGACGTGCACCGACACGAACTGTCGTCCACCACCCTTCCTTTCCCCAAGACACCACCAAAAAAGGGCGCAAACCATCTGGCCTGCTCCGGAACTTTCTACTCTGGTTGTGAAATCCTATCATTTCGTTTCCTTTGATGATCTGAAGCTGCGTGCGTCTTTGGAGTCGATGCGACCCAGCTGTCTGGTGGTGGGCCGCCATTTCTAATCACCATTACCATCACTTCGTACTTTACTTGCCTCGCGTTCTTCTCCTCTTTCCTTCTTCCTCTTTGTTCCTTCGACCCCCTCGGAACCTACCTGTTTGCCTACCGAGCTACGCGATTCTTTACGGCAAGTCTCCCGCGCGACGGCCTCTCTGCGACTCTATCCACACAATTCACACTTGCAATACGCGCAACGTTCTGGCAAGATGGCCGCCTATGGTGATGATGTGTGGGAAAACGACTTCGGTGGAGATGGGGACGAGGGCGACTACGATGACAGCTTCATCACTGCTGAAGACTGCTGGACCGTCATCTCCTCTTTTTTCAACAGGAAGGGCCTCGTTTCCCAGCAGATCGACTCCTTTGACGAGTTTACCAACAGCACCGTCCAGTCCCTGATCGACGAATACTCCACCGTCAGCCTCGACCAGACTCTACCAGAGACCGATGATGATGAGCCTGCCCGCATTCGCCGATACGAGATCAAGTTCGGCAATATCTTGATGACCCGCCCGACCCTGACCGAGGCAGACGGCAGCATCAAGAACCTGCTTCCTTACGAATGTCGCGACCGAAACCTCACCTACTCCTGCCCGCTCTACGTCAAGATAACAAAGACGGTCTCGGTCGCGAGGGAAAGGAAGGTCACCGTCGAAGACATGGACGCCGATCAGCACCAACACTGGGCCGAGACTGGAGAGCTGCCAACCACTATCGCGTGGGACCAGGACCAGGCTGAGGAGGACCCAGCGTCGAAGAAGAGCACACCAGAGCACCTGCGGGACATGGTATACATTGGGAAACTACCCATCATGGTGAAGTCTCAAATTTGCCATCTGCGTGGCGAGGACGATGACGGCCTGTTCATGCTGAACGAGTGTCCCTACGACCAAGGTGGCTACTTCATTATCAATGGTAGCGAGAAGGTCTTGATCGCACAGGAGCGCTCCGCTGCCAACATTGTGCAGGTCTTCAAGAAGGCGCAGCCGAGCCCCGATCTGTATCAGGCGGAAATTCGAAGCGCTCTCGAAAAAGGCTCGCGCCTCATCAGCTCCACGACGCTCAAGCTCAAGGCCAAGGGCGAGACTGCGCGGGGAGGTTTCGGACAGACGATCCAAGCGACCTTGCCCTATGTCAAGAAGGAAATCCCGATCGCGATTGTTTTCCGTGCACTCGGTGTCATCAGTGACGAGGACATCTTGAATGCCGTCTGTTATGACCGACAAGACACGCAGATGATGGAGATGTTGCGCCCTTGTATCGAGGAGGCCTTTGCAATCCAGGAGCGGGAGGTTGCTCTGGACTACATTGCGAAGCGTAGCAACTCGGGACACAGCGCATCCAAGATCCAGCGGATGAAGAATGCAAAGGAGATCCTGCAGAAAGAGCTGCTTCCTCACATTGCGCAGACAGAGGGTTGCGAGACTCGCAAGGCTTACTTTCTTGGATATATGACGCACAAACTGCTACAGTGTGCCCTGGGCCGCCGTGACACAGATGACCGTGACCATTTCGGCAAGAAGCGTCTCGACCTGGCTGGGCCGCTCTTGGCAAAGCTGTTCCGCAACATTGTCAAGAAGTTGACTGGCGACATGATGGCATACATGAAGCGGTGCGTCAGCGAGGGCAAGCACTTCGACCTCGCATTGGGCATCCGCCACTCCACCCTCACAAACGGTCTCAAGTACTCCCTTGCGACGGGCAACTGGGGCGAGCAGAAGAAGGCCATGAGCTCTACGGCTGGTGTCTCTCAGGTTCTGAATCGATACACCTTCGCCTCGACACTGTCTCATTTGCGACGCACAAACACTCCCATTGGACGTGATGGTAAGCTGGCCAAGCCTCGCCAGCTGCACAATACCCACTGGGGCTTGGTTTGTCCTGCAGAGACTCCCGAGGGTCAGGCTTGCGGTCTTGTCAAGAACCTGTCGCTCATGTGCTACGTCAGTGTCGGTTCCCCAGCGGAGCCTATCAAGGACTTCATGGTCCAACGCAATATGGAAGTGCTGGAGGAATACGAGCCCGGCGCCAGCCCTGATGCCACCAAGATCTTCATTAACGGCACGTGGGTTGGTGTCCACAGCCAGCCGGCGCACTTGGTCACTCTTGTGCAAGAGCTTCGACGTCGGTGCATCATCTCTCATGAGGTCTCTCTAGTGCGAGATATCCGTGACCGCGAGTTCAAGATTTTCTCTGATGCTGGTCGTGTGATGCGGCCTCTGTTCGTCGTCAACACACCGGACAACGAGACAGGAGCCGAGGAGGGGACCCTGGCTCTGACCAAGGAGCACTGCAGGCGTCTTGAGGATGATGCAAAGTACTCCAGAAAGAAAGATGACGAGGACTACTTTGGGTGGGATGGCCTGCAGAATAGCGGTGTCATTGAGTATCTCGACGCCGAAGAAGAGGAGACAGCCATGATTTGTATGACCCCCGAAGACCTTGAAGACTTCCGTCAGCGCAAGCTCCGAGGAAAGGACGGCAAAGACGAAGAGCCTGAGGACGAAGGCAGGAGCTTGAATGCCCGTGTTAAGACCAGGATTAACCCGGATATTCACATGTACACCCACTGTGAGATTCATCCCGCTATGCTTCTTGGAATCTGCGCCAGCATCATTCCCTTCCCGGATCACAATCAGGTAAGTAAACTCCCAGGGCTGCCTTCTCATGACCGCACCTTTGCTGATGCCATACACTTTCGTAGTCCCCTCGTAACACCTACCAGTCGGCCATGGGTAAGCAAGCCATGGGTTTCTTCCTCACCAACTACTCTCGCCGCATGGATACGATGGCGAATATTCTTTACTATCCCCAAAAACCACTCGCCACGACCCGGTCCATGGAATTCCTGAAGTTCAGAGAACTTCCGGCTGGGCAGAACGCCATAGTCGCTATCGCCTGCTACTCTGGATACAACCAAGAAGATTCTGTCATCATGAATCAGAGCAGCATCGATCGTGGTTTGTTCCGCAGTCTGTTCTTCCGGTCCTATACCGATTCGGAGAAGCGCGTCGGTATCAATGTCGTCGAGTCATTCGAGAAACCATTCAGGAGCGATACTCTCCGTCTAAAGCACGGCACGTATGACAAGCTGGACGACGACGGCATCATTGCACCAGGAGTCCGGGTGTCTGGTGAGGACATTATAATCGGCAAGACCTCGCCGATCAATGCCGACAACCAGGAGCTCGGTCAACGAACCGAGCAGCACGTGAAGCGCGACGCCTCCACCCCCCTCCGAAGCACGGAGAGCGGTATCATTGATTCTGTTATTGTCACAACCAATCAAGATGGCCTCCGCTACGTGAAAGTGCGCGTCCGAACTACCAAGATTCCCCAGATTGGTGACAAGTTTGCCTCCCGTCACGGTCAAAAGGGCACTATCGGTGTCACCTACCGGCAGGAGGACATGCCTTTTACCCGCGAGGGTATCACCCCCGATATCATCATCAACCCGCACGCTATTCCGTCTCGTATGACCATTGCTCATTTGATTGAGTGCCTCATGTCCAAATTGGCGACACTGAAGGGAATGGAGGGTGATGCGACTCCATTCACAGAGGTCACGGTCGATTCGATCTCGGAACTTCTCCGCCAGCACGGATACCAGTCGCGTGGCTTTGAAGTCATGTACAACGGGCACACAGGCCGCAAACTCAGAGCACAGGTCTTCTTCGGCCCGACGTACTACCAGCGTCTCCGTCACATGGTGGACGACAAGATCCACGCGCGCGCTCGTGGCCCAGTGCAGATCATGACACGCCAGCCCGTTGAGGGTCGTGCTCGAGATGGTGGTCTGCGTTTCGGAGAAATGGAACGTGACTGTATGATAGCTCACGGCGCCGCTGCCTTCCTGAAGGAGCGCCTGTTTGAGGTTTCAGATGCGTTCCGAGTCCACATCTGCGAGATTTGTGGACTCATGACGCCTATCGCGTGAGTTTCCTCATTATTGCCTGTTGTCTTTCCCTCCTTCACTTTACTGACGTGCTATGCTATAGTAATCTCACCAAACAAACCTTTGAGTGCCGACCTTGCAAGAACAAGACCAAGATCGCACAGGTCTACATCCCCTACGCTGCGAAGCTGCTCTTCCAGGAGCTTGCGGCTATGAACATTGCCTCACGCATGTTTACGGACCGTTCGGGTGTTTCCATCAGATGAGCAATTATGTTCATCGGCGCGCACTCTCTCTTTCTCGCGCTCTCTCCAGCTTGCGCTCAGTGGATCCACAGAGGTCTCATACCCCTTCGCTCTGTGGCGCAATTGGCGATTTGCGCGGCTGGAGAGGGCAAGAAAGGCAAATATAGTATGCATGGATTTCGGCGTTGGAGTTGCTGGTCTTTTGTGGTGGGATTATTCCCCAGCCAGGAGGGACGAGGAAGACAAAATCGATATGAAGGTGAACACCGTGAGTAGTCTCACCTTGAAGGAGACTTGTATGGTAGATATTGCCAAAAGGGGCGATGTCTACCGATCAGAATGAGTTATCACCCGAATGGGGACCGGGGGCGTTACACGCGGAAATATGGGCCTGAGAAGATTCGAAATTTCTAGAACAAAAGAGATACCGCCTGTGGTAGTTTACCAGCCCAAATCAGAAAGAACTAAAATGAGATGCCCGGTTTTACGTATCTAGGGCCAGCGCAGTCTTGAGAGGCGATGTACGGATTTTCCCCTGGTTACTATGGTGTATATCCCCTGTAACTCAACTGTATGGGGAGACTCGCCGAGATGCTAAGACTTATGTCCTGATTGATTCAATCCTTCATTCTTGTCTGTCTTCACAGGATTCCTGTGACAGTCTTCGTGGCTCGAGCATTGGAACCTCGGCCTGATTTATATTTATTTATCTAAGTAGCGTGCGATCTGCATCAGGGCGTGCTCGTCATGCGCAGCGTTTGCGTAACGCAGCGGAGTCCTTTCATCCGGCCAAGCAATTCGGTGACAGCTTCTTAGCCACACCCTCATGCGTAGAATATGTCCCTTGGAAGATAGATTTCTTCTCTTTTTAATGTGGCAGCACCATCACCTCGAACCATTGATAGATCTTGGCGTGAGCCTGCTGGCCCTGTGACGCCTTCCCTTCCCTTCCGCTCTCGCTTGGGGAAAGGCCTCAGCCGGGCCAGCTCTTGATTTTTGCTTTCTTCTTGGTTTCTCTCCAAATCATTCTATTTTTTTCACACTGTCAAAAACGGCACCGGAAGAGGCCCGCACGGTCTGCTCCTGCTTGTACTCGGCTTCTAGCTGCTTCTGCAGCTCAAAATCGAGCTGGCGCTCCCGCTTGACGCGCTGTTGTTCCATGTCGCGGACGACACCTTGGTGCATGGCCTAGGCAGGACCAATCAGGCCGTATCGTCAGCAAAGAGAAATGAGACGACTGAATGCGAAGAAGAAAAGGGGACGCATACAGATTTCTCGGCCTTTTGCTGGAAATGCACAAAGACGATGGTCGTCACGGCGAAGAGGGATGTGCCGGCGAGAGCGATCTTTGAGCCGCGAGATGCCATCGTGGTAATTACCTGGGTAGTTCAAGGAGAGTGCCGAAGGAGAGGGAGGTTTTGGGAAGGACTGAATACGGAAGCTGCTTTATCATCGTGCGAGCGTGGAAGGTGGTCAAGCAAGCCCAGACGCAATCGAGAGCACATGCCACTCGAAATATTGTTTCCCATAGCACTGTCGCCGTCATACTGGCACAGCGGCAGGCAGATAGCTGCCGGATGGCTACTCACCCCCCGGCACAACCCCTGTACTATCCAGTAATAGTACCAGGTAAGCTTCCCGCTGGAGCTGTCCCACCCTCTCCATCATCGCTGGGCATCCCAGCGAGTTGGTGGTCGTAATAGCCGTCTTCCTCTCATTTCATTATCTTTCCAACTCTCGACATCGACCACTACCAGGACAACCCAACAAGACACACATTTTACCGATCCAACCCCCACCTCTTCCTCCTCACTCTCTCCGCCGACTTGTCCTTGATTTTCTGTTCTCATCTCGTCATTATGGTGGGCAACGACTCAAAGACGATCATCTGGCCGAAGCGAAGAGCTGACACAATGGGATGACAGTCTGCGCAGAACTCGGCGGGCATCCAGACCCTCCTGGAGGTAGGATGGCTGATATATATTCTTAAGAAGAGGGCGAGTGGCTCACAAAATACTGTTAGGCTGAGAAAGACGCCTCCAAGATCGTCCAGAAGGGTACGGCAATATTCCAACATCCCCCCCCCCCCCAAGACACATGATGCCAGACATAAGGGTAGCTGACGATGATGTCCAAAAATAGCACGAGAATGTACGCAACCTGCCACAACATCCTGCATCTTCCTTGCGGGCGAACCCACTATTCAGCGTGAAGGAAAGAGAGAGAGAGGGAGAGAGGGACTCACTGACATGGCAAACCAGATCGGACGAAGCGCGTCAAGGAGGCTCGTGACGAGGCCAGGAAGGAAATAGACCAGTACAAGTCGAACAAGGAAGAGGAATACAAGAAGTTCGAGGCCGAGGTACGAATAACAGCCCGACTCGACCCCATTCTTTCCCCGCCAGTCCTAGCAAACAATGTCCTGCTATTGCGCTGAATCCGATCGGTCATGAGTTACTAACGAGACGTTCCAACTTCCCCCACAGCACTCACAAGGAAATAAGAAAGCCGAGGAAGAAGCAAATAAGGAGGCCGAGGAGAAGATCAAGGAGATCAAGGAGTCGGGCAAGAAGAACCAGGACAAGGTCGTCAAGGACCTGCTGACTGCTGTATTCGAGGTCAAGCCTGTGGCTCCTACATCGGCGTGATTGCTGGGCTGGTGTTAAGAAAAGGACGACTGGAGTGCACCAGGGAGGTCGTGGAGGCGGGGTCAGAGGCAACTTGTCGCCCTCAAGGAGCGGCTGATCTCTGGAGAAAGGTAGAAACATACGGGGAGCTGTGTGTATGGAGTACCGTAAAACTCGGAAGGCGAGCGACATATAGATCTATGGTTTGAATTGCAATATGTTGTGCATTTGTCCCATTCTATCGTGGTATCATGTAATCACAAAAACTCCATCAGCGTCGTCAGCATCTCGGCGCTGTCCTTACCATCCTGAGACTCCTTGTCGTCAATGGCAGCAAGCCGCTCCTGCAGCGAGGTCTTGATGACCTCGAACGTCTCATCTCGATCCGCGAGCCAAGCCATGATCTTCTTTCGTGCGCCGTCGTCCTCGGCAATCAACCAAGCCAGAACAACATCGATCGTCTGCAGTGTGAAGAGGCCCGCATCAAGCCGCCGCAGGAAGCGCTCATCTTCCAGGTCCGCATTCTCTTCTGAAGACCGCTGTTTCTCCTTGTCCATTTGCTCGTCGATCAGCCGCAGCCGCGCTGCAAAGTCCCGTCGGAGCTTGATCAGCTTGTCGGCCTTCTCATAATCCTTCTCCACGAACTTGGCCAAGAGTCGGATCCGCTCCGAAGAGTTGGCTGGGAGCAGGCGCAGCATCCACGAGAAGATGCCGACCAGATGCTCGGTTGTCTGGTTATCCGGATGCTTCTTCATGAACATGGTGAAAATCGTCTTTAGCCCGCCCGCGTCCACCAACTTCTGACACACTTCCGCTGCAGACACGCCGCCCACCGCGTGGTCGATCATGCGCAGCGCAGCAGGTTTGCTGCGCTTGCCTTCCTTCAGCATGATCAGACATAACTCGATACCTTCAGCTTCGACGTATTTCCTCTTCCCTTCGGGCTCGTCCACAATGCTTGTAAGCGCTTCGAATAGATTTTCCATGTACTCCTCCTCCTCGCCCTTCTCTGGGTCCAGCTTCCGGTACGAAGCAACCAGCTGCAGCATGACATCGACCGCATCCATAGATGCCAGTTTCCTCCTATTTGCAGGCGAGCTCTGCACTAGAATGGCCAGGACCTCGGCCGCGTATTGCTTGTTCTGCGTGATGGGCCGCTCCTTTTTCTGGATCCGCTGCAGCAGCCATCTTATGAGGCCCTCTTCTGCCCCGATCTTCTCGGCCGTGGCAACATTGGAGCACAGATTCTCCACGACACCAAGTGCCTTGTAGACACCGTCCCGGTCCGCCTCATCGTCGCAATCCTCATTCAGCCGCTGCAAGTTGCTCACCAGCAGGCCCACGAGATCCGACTCGAGCAGGGCGCCGACCAGGGCGTCCCACTGCTCCTCCTCGGCGGCGACGTCCTCGTCCGTCAACTCGCCGATGATCTCAATGGCCCCGATGGCGATGTCCGTGTTCTCATGGGCCAGTAGGCCCACTAGGCTCCCGACCGTGCCCAGCTCAACCAGCTGTGGGTACAGCTCCGGGTGCTCGCCGAGGATGCTCAAGGCCTTAATGTCGGCGTCGAGGTCCGCCTCGCTCTGGATGAATTTGGCCGGGTCGGACTCATACTTTGCGCGCTGGGTGGCGTTTTTGTTGATGCGCTGCTCGAACTTGAGGGCCGTCTTCTTCAGCCACGCAAGGTCGATCTTCTCCTCGGCCAGGAGGGAGGCGTCGTCGCCAGCGTCGGTCGCGTTGATGTAGTCGAGCGCGCGAGACTCCTGGGCGGTTACGCCGCCGCCGAAGAAGCGACCCTCCTCGTCTTCGGGCTCGTCTTCGTCTCCAGGCGGCATCGACGGGCCGTAGTCGCCGTCGTCGTCTTCGCCATCGGGGGGCGGCGCGGGTCCGGCTTCGAGGTCGTCGTGGTCGTCAGTGGCATCGTCTACTTGGGCGTGTCGGGAGGAGCCATTGGAGAGCTTGGCGGATTTATAAACTTGATCTTATAGGTTTCGGGTGTAAGTGACATGCGCAAAAGTAAAGACAGAGGGAGGCTATCAAGGGATGAAGGGGAAAGGAAAGCTCACTTGGGTCACGCAGCGGTTCCAGCTTGCGTTTGCTGGGCAAGCCGGATTTCTGGTAATGATTCTGGTCAGCCCTCGGTGTCCTTGCAGGCGAGGTTCTGCAGCAGAAGGACTCACTTTGAACAGCTCCTCAACACTGGTCATGGCGAAGAGAAGGAGTTTGTGTGTTTTTTGTATGTGTGTGACAATTAATTCCTTTTGGAATGAAGAGTAGCAATTGTTTCGAGAGTGCGGTTTACGATCGCTTGCGTTCAGCATTGTTGAAGAGCTTCTGACGTTTGCCTGCCGAGCGCTTGTCCTACCCGAGCCAACGCAGCGGGACAGTAGAAGCGTATCTCACACTGTACTGAGTCGCTGCAATCAGAGACATGATAGCATTACAACATGTCATGTCGATCTACTTACTCACCTCCTTCTAAGCATTCTCGAGTATATGAACTTCCTCCAGGCGGTGTAAATTTCTGGGCGTCTTAAGAACTTTTGCTATTGTTCTCATCAAGATCTAATCCTAGAAAATTATCAGACAGCCAAAAAGGAAAGAGTCGCCATCCTACACCAGACCTGAAAATGCCTCCAACATTACTCCTCATACGCCATGCCGAAGCCTTACACAATGTGAACCAAGGTGAGTCCTCTCCCGCCCAGACCCCATCTCTTGGCCTCGAATCTCCGACTCACTTACACACTTTGCCAGACTACACAATCCGGGACCCAGGACTCTCTGACCTTGGTCGTGCCCAGTGCGCCGAGCTGAGCCAGGTCCTCCAGGAGAAACTGCCCGAGGATCTCAAGTCCAACATCGGCCTGATCATCTGCAGCGCCATGCGCCGCACCTGCGAGACGGCAATGCTCTCTCTCGGCTGGCTTATCGAGCGAGGCGTGCCCATCCAGGCGCACGCGGGCTGGCAGGAGAACTCGGCCAAGCCCTGCGACACTGGCTTGCCTGTCTCCGTGGTGGCCGCTGAGTTTCCCAAGATCGACTTCAGCCATGTCGACCCCGTCTATCCGGACAAGGTCTCGCCCGCTGGCGCCAAGTACAAGTACAAGAAGGAAAATTTGCTCGCGCGCGCCCAGTCGGACCTTGAGGAGCTGTATCACCGGCCCGAGAAGGTGATTGTGGTTGTTTCGCACTCCGGGTTTATGAGGCAGGCTGTCACGGGGGACCATTACTTTAATGCGGACTTTCGAGTATATGACTTTGCCGAGAGAGCGCCGGCTGAGGAGGGAGGGCCTCTAAAGTTGACACAGTCGGAACTTACGAAAGGCGCTGGAGGCATGGGCCGCAGTTGGGACGAGATCGTGGAGCTTGGAATCGGGCTCCCGGACGAAGAACTGCCTCCTGGAGCAGACGTGGAGCTGCCCCCGAATGTTAAGCCGAACTGATCTTCTGGGTTGAGATTTCTAGTTTTCTGCGTGTAGATAAGACTGGTTGATCTGATTGTTGTTGTTGGGCTTTTGGTTCCTAGATTCTATGAACTAGATACACACTGAGATACATTAGACATTAGCTTGCTCCCTAGAATAACCTATTCGTATGGTCCATGTCTCTCTTCACCGCTTCTATGTCAGCTAAGTATTTTCGGAACAGTATTTGGACCTTTAGAATACTGTATCATGACTTTTCCCAACAATGTTCTTGAGATGGAAGAACTCATGTGAAACCATCAGATCCATATGGTCTATTATCCTGGGGACAAGGTCTTGGCAGCCACCACCCAGACAATACCATTGTCGGAGGTGCAGAAGAGTGAGGTGAGCATGGCTTTTCAGATACTGCAGTATTGTATGTAACAATTCTATAGAAGCGATTGGCCCTATTGTACAGCTTGACCGTAACGACGACCCATCCATTGGAAAGCTCCCTGCGCGGCAACGCTTGCACAGTACTTAGACATAGACGAGGGAAGACGAGGCATGCCAGGTATTCCTGTCTATCACTTGAAAGTCTTCGCGACCTCATCATGAACCAATTCATCGCGTACACCCACGAATCAGCCTTGAATTCCAGCATTTTGTAGTAATGGCTCTCTCTGACCTGGATTCTGTGCAAGATCTAAGGTAGGGCCGTGCGAGAGCTGCTCAAGTTCATACGGTGCTCTGCTACTCCATGTAAGTCCATTGGTCAGAGCTTTCAAGGCGCTCAACGGGGAGCAAACCAGGCTATGAGACGGGGTTCTTCAGCCTTTCGAATGTTGTGCTTAATTATCTGATGATGTCTATGGATTATTGGAGGCTGTAGGACCGACGACTAGTAGCGGATTGGTGACGAAATAGGGCGCTGGAATCGCTGTTCTGCCTGCTGTCATTATTACCCCGTGGGTTTCAGTATTAGGCCATGGAGGGCCGATATCCCTCGATTGTCTCGTCGTCAGTCTTACTCCGAGGGAAAGTTTCAGGGAAACATGTTTCAAATAGCACGAGACGAGCGTAGACGGGCATGAGCTCAAGATGCGTGCGATTCGAAAGAAATACTGTAGATCTGCTTTTAAAGATGCTGTTTTCCCATACACAACCAATGTCAAATGATTTTGCGCTCGATGACCCTTTTAACAGTCTCGTATCAGAGGTATTGACTCATAACGCCAGCAAGTGCTCTAAGGAATTCCCTTACCCACTTCCTGCCGGGTTCCCACTCCGAGCATGGGGTGATTATCTGGTATCTACAGTACACCTGACTCTTCCTTTTACTAATTTTCAAGACACAACCCGGCCAGAAGCTCGCCTGAGCTTTGGATGATGACAAGTATGGGTAGTATTAGACTGCATTTATAATAGTTAAGGGGTTCTGTCTTGGAAGAAAGAAAGAATAAAAAGAAAAGAAAAGAAGAAAAACAGGAGGGTTAGAAGAGGCCATAGTAATAGCAGCTGTTGTATAGAGGTTAACTCTTGTTCTCGAGCTCGGTACTCTGAAGTCATGTAAGGGAATGTACATCTTTGCACAGTGTTACGCGTGCTTACATTCGAATCCTCCATACCAATGACCCTAGGACGGAGAATAATCAGCATGCACTGAGGTCCACTTGTCAGCTCGAATTCAGCATCCAAGACTGCACTGCGCGCCTGGGCAAGTAATGTCATGCACGCCCTTGAGGATGCAAAGTGGGAGGCCTTGGCCTCTTTCAGCTGATACTATTACTTACATAGTAGTGCCACCCCACTCCAGGCCGCCGTAAGTCTCTACACAAGTGGTCCACTTCGCACTGTGGTAGTAGTGACAAGGGTATTGAGGACCTGATTATATATTCCTCGAAGCGGCCAAGTTGTCACGGTTCAATTTGTGTCATACAGCAGGAAAAAGAGAGGCAAAGAAAGAACAGATAAATCATAGAGAAGGGAAGAGAGGGATAGATCCCAAATTACGCCTTGCACTATGGCGTCCTCCGAATCAGCCACAGAGCCAAAGTGCTTCCTCGAGCCCATCAACTTCCGTGACGAAGCGCAGTGCACCGAACTTCTCCGCCAGCGCAAAATCTGCGGCTGGGCGGACACACCAGACTACCTCGATGTGTGGCGCACGGCCATGGACGCCGGAACCAAGAACATGTTCTGGATCAAACCGGCATCCCACCCGGACCTGCGCGTCGGCCACGTGTCCCTCGACTCCGACTCCGAGCCAGCCGACCTGGAAGTCGCCAACCCGCACGACAAATCCGTGCTCACGGTCGCGCGGCTATTCATCCTGCCCGAACACCGAAACCTGAAGCTTGGGCGGGCCGTAATGGAGACGATGGAGCGGGTCGCGAGGGAGGAGCCGTACGGGTCCAAGAACTGCAGGGCTCTTGCTATCACGACGCTGAGCAACAGGTACTATGACGAGGAAGAGTACCGGGCCGAGTATGCGCGTGCCAATGATGGCCGGATGCTGCCGAGAGGGGCGGGCAACGAGAACTGGTATCTAAGAATGGGCTACGTCAAGTGGAAGGATGCGCCCCTTTATGAAGTTGGGACCCCTGGATTTGAGGATGTCAAGTTGATCGCTGCTTTTATGCGGAAGAGCATTGTATAACGAAGAGTCACAAGATAGTGAGCTGGCCATGGCTTGAGAGAAGTCGAGAAATAAAGTAGGCGGCAATGGGCTCTCGACATAAACATCTTCATCATGAATAGAGGAGAATCTGAGAGATGATACAGGCCTGATGTCACATTATAATCCATAATTGACCACAATTTTCAATAGGGCGTAAAGACTGACCCGATTATGCGCATTTCGCATGCACGGTGACAAGTTGCGCGGGCTACTGGTGGTTTTTCACGCCCTGCAGACAACTGTTTTGACATGCCTTGGCGACCTCCCGTCATGGCCACCTTCAAAGGGCTGAGAATGACAACTGACGTCTGATGGGACTTTAAAGGAGATCCATCCACGCGCAACACAATGCAAAGACAAACAATCTCAAGATCAATCTAAACCAGACGGATTTTCCCAGCAAACAAAGATGGCTTCTCAAAACGACAACAATGTGCACATCACGGCGCAATGCCTGTGCAAAACCCACACCTTTACCGCCGTCGTCCAGCGCTCAAGCCTCCCCCTCGGAGCGACAACATGCCACTGCGACTCGTGTCGACATCTCACCGGAGCTATGTACTCGAACGACATTGCCTGGCCAGGTGACTACGAGGCCATCCGCACGTCAACGTTGAAGACGTACGACTTCTCCAAGGTGCTCCAGATACTCTACTGCGGCACCTGTTCAAGCACCATGTTCTGGGACATGCCACAGCGCAAGGACGGCAGTGTTGGCGGAGAGAACGGGAGACAGTACGGACTATTCACCGGCTGCCTGGTTGATGACGGCCCACAAGGGCTCGTGAAGATGATCGATCACATGTTTGTGGGGGATACGATCGACGGCGGCGCGAGTCTGTGGATGCGTAAGCCCAATGGTGATGGGCAGTCGGTTCCGCGCTGGTCTGAGTTGAAGCATACAAGCGAGAAGCTCGCAGACGACTGGCCGGCAATGGCCTTCCCCACGGCGGATTGGAAGAGTGGTACGGAGGAGATTCCATTCCGATGCCACTGCAAAGGCGTCAATCTTGTCTTCCAGTCCGGTCAAGCGCTGCGAGAATATGCTGCAATGGAAGCGCAGAAGTTGCCATGGTTTGTCGATCCGGTCAGCAGAAAGCCTGTGGTCGGCACAGACGCTTGCAAGTCGTGCAGAACAAGCTTCGGTATCGACTTTGTCAACTGGACTTTTGCATTCTTGAAACACGTCGCCTACCCAACCACCACCTCGACGACTGCCGATGACGCGGCCGAGTTCCCTAAGACGGTGCAGGATCTCTACGCAGCTGTATCAACGGATATCAAGACTCGTGATCCGAGACTGGGCACTCTTGCGGTCTATCGCAGCTCAGAGGGCGTCAAGAGATACTTCTGCTCCAGGTGTTCTGCTTGCGTCTTCTATGCTAACGATAAGAATGGTGTTTTTGTGGACATAGCCATGGGACTGTTCGATGTCGAAAAATCAAGAGCCGAGGGCACTTTTCTATGGCTGTTTGGTGGCCCCTTCAAGCACAGAGGTGATGTACAAGAAGGCTGGAGAGGGGACTGGCTCAAGTCTCTCGAGGCGGGGTCTGAAGAGTTGAGGAAAGAGAGAGACTTTCCTGAGTGGTGGAAGCTTGGACGATGAGAGATGCTTTTCAAATGGCAATTTCAACGATGTGGCCGAGGGCCAAAATTGACTTATTCATGTTTCAGTCTTATTTCCACTATTGAGATATATTGATAACAAGACATAAGATTCCTGAGAAATGGACTGACTGTTATCCAGCAGAAACCAGTGCTATTTCCCTTCCGCCTTCTCCGCCAACAACTGCGCAACTAAGCCACCAGCTGCCAACGAGCCCCCATAGATTGCAATTGGAACCACTCTCCCTGTTGAAGCGGCATCTCCAGCGGCAAAAACGCCATGCAAACTAGTTTCGTTGAATGGAGGATGCACGTCAATTTGTCCGCTCTCGCCAAGCGTCAGTCCGAGCTGAGATGCAAACGGGCCATTCAGCTCAGCGTCAGGATAGTGAGTCTGTGGTAGTCATTCATTAGTACCGAGTGCTAGTAAACATCACACATAAATGGGAACATGGCCAAAGAAAAATCATCCTACAATAAAGGACTCCTTGATCTCGGTGCCGTCCTCAAGCGTTACTAGCACATCTGATGTGTCTCGAGAGATCAGCTTGAGGCTCTTGATACGGCGCTTTTCGAAGTTGACTCTCGTCTCCGAGTCGGCAATCTTGGCATTCGCCTGAATTTCCTTGGCCACCTCTTCGTCTCCATTCGTATAGACTGTCAGCTTCTTGGCGAATTGGAGAGCCATGTTGCCGACATGCGTCGCCATGGTCGATTTGGCGAGCATGCCCATAGCCAGCAATCCGGCCGAGTCTCCGCCTCGCTCCTCGAATCCATGGCAAAAGAGACAGTGGAAGCTAAACGAGAGAGGGGGGGGGGGGGTTTATCAGCATTTATACGGCCTTCTTCACATACACACAGCAAAGGGCCAGAATCCGCCTTCACTCACATCCCCCAGCCCCAACACTCGTCGTAACCCTCGATATCCAGCATCACATCCTTCACCCCAGTGGCCAAGGCAATCTTGCGGCCCTCATATACGTTTCCCAGCCCGTCTGTGGCCTGGAAACGGCCCGACTGGAGTTTCTCGATCTTGGCGACCCAGGCTCTCTTGAACTCGACGGTATCATAGCGAGCCAGGATATCACCTTTGGCCTTGGTCCTGAACACTGCCGGGTCTACGTGGTCGAAGCCTGGGACTCCATGCATATGTTCTGTTCGAGCGTTGCGGTAGGCGCCCGAGTCGAGGACGATGGCTGTCTGTAGCTGTCGTGCGATGGTGGTGGCCACCGTGAGGCCGGCTGGGCCCCCACCTATGATCAGCACGTCGTAGACTTTGGATGCCATGTTTGGGGGGGAGAGAGTACTGTAGAGGTGGTGGTATTTGCTACTTGCGAATTGATCTAAGTGCAGTGGGTCTCGGAGATCTGTAGTGGGAGTGGGAGTAAGAACTACTATAGTCGCTTGATTTTATTTCATTGGCTTGTGAAAGAAACTCGATCGGTACTTATGTGAACATATATCCGTAAAATCACCGAACTCAGGAATCTCCTGACTGAATAATCCTACTGTCGCCTGACCCCAAATCACCCCAGTTCCGAGTTTCCTGGCTAAGCCTGATGCATATTATATATAGGGCAAGGGCAGGTGGAGTAGAAGAGAGAAGGACAACAAAAGCGAAAAAAGAAAGAGGGCAAAGAGGAATTCTTCCCCTGGGAAGAAAAAAAATGTTCGAAAGAAAACGGCTTGTTCTTCTTTAGACCCCTAAGAATGGGTTGAGCGTGGGCATGCTGTACGATAGTCACTGTAGTTACGTCGTGTGTAGTGGTTGTCAGCAGTGAGCTACAGGCCCAGGCAGGCCTGTACCTTGGTGCATATTTGGAGCATTCGAGATTTCGAAATTACATAAATGAGATGGGGCTTGCTGGAACTCAGCGGCTTCTTGAGTCTCACATTCTGACCTTGGAACAAATCAATTATGTTACTGGATTTCAGAGGCAAATCAGAATTAGATGGGCATGGATAACCAACCACCCCTCTGATCGCTGGGCAGGATCACTCCACAAGGCGTCGTGACACATGGCGCAAAATGACCTCAGAACAAAGTTCACTCCTGACTGAGATCTAATGATGAGATCCTGAGTCAATTGGCGTCCATACGCCCCCTTTTCCGTACTCGTATGTACGTATACACTGAGTAAGCAAGCAGTACTGATTCACATGAGCTTGAGAGGTAGACTCGGCGTTTCAACGCGAACGCGAGCTGACAGAGCTGACAGAGAATAGCACTGCCACCGGAATTGCTCCATATTATGGTAAATAGTGCAGCTAGATTTCTAGGACTTCTCAGCTTGGCAGGCTTTCGACCGTAGCAAACGGAGCAGATAGTAGTAGTGGTGAAAACAAGATCCAATTCAACAATGAACACACAAGGGATATCCATTGTTCGCCTCTTTCTATTCTTGTAATCCTTGTTTATTTTCGTCGGCGCGAGGAAAATAAACGGTCGATCAGCTCCCTCCCTCTTGTAGTTTATTTTCTTTAGCCGACTTGTCTCTCAACACTCTTCTCAATGGGTGGTTGTTATGTACTACTGTTAGCCATGATCGGATCCTGCTAAAGGATCCTTGACGATACCTTGACAGTCGGTACCTTGACGTACGTATGCATATCTCCAGCATTTGGGTCTCTGTATCTCGAGATCGATTACCTCACGTCGCCTTTGGGGTTCGAGCTGCCCGATGTGGTCTGCTGGGCCACACTGGGCCACTGTGAGGCCGCTGAAGGAACCCTGTAAAACATGGCACCTTGGCACCCCTAACAGCTGTATCCTTGCGTGGTTCCCCTGTTTCTGTGGCGGTGCACAGCCTCCCCACAGGGGGTTTGTATTGCGGTACGGTAGTCTACCGAGCTCCAACACCTCAACCTTGTTTTCTCAGTCATGATCAATGTCTCCTCAGCGGTTCCTCCCTGGTTTTTCACTGGCTCCTCAGTGGCCCCCCTGGCCTCCCTTCCCCCCATCGCAACCCTTTCCTCGCTGTGTCGAACCTGAATAACCCCGCGTGCCACCGTCATTCGCCCGTCAGAGCCTCGCTTTTTTCCCTCGATCTCTCAGTGGAGCAGTGACGCACTGCGCCCCTGGGCCGTGGCCCCTGCACCCTGCCTCTTATATTGATCTTCCCTATGACTTTAGTAGTGCTACTCTATGGTAGCAGAATGTTGGGCTTCGTTTCGTTTGGTTTGGTTTGGTTTGGTTGCCCTCCTGTGGCGCGCCGGTGAAACTAAACTGCCCGCAATCACATTGTTCTTTTCTCTACTCAGCAGCCGCACTTAGCTATTTACCCATCTTCGTCGTCGATTACTTCTCTCTGGCCAACGCCTCCCTCTCCACGCACAGAACAAGGCATTTGTCTTACTGCATCCAGAAGAAAGAGAAACACACACACATATACACACACATACCCACTACACGCCGTGCTTTAGACCCATGGCATCGACCGGTCTGACACGGAAGGACACCACGAAGGGTCCTCCCCTTCGTGTGCTGTCGCTAGGTGCGCCTTCCCCCTCACTGCTTTCTTCCCACCCCCTTCCGCCGGCGGCTACCGGCTTATCACGACTCTTTTGTGTGCTGACTTTGGCATCTCAACCCATCTAGATGGCGGCGGTGTCCGAGGCTACAGCATGTTCATCATCATACAGGAGATTATGCACCGAACCTTTGTCGAGATGGAAGGCCGCGCGCCCCGACGCCACGAGATCCCCAAGCCTGCCGACCACTTCGACCTGATCGTCGGCACCGGAACGGGCGGCCTCATCGCTCTCATGCTGGGACGCCTGCGGCTCGACCTCGAGACTTGCAAGGAGCTCTATGTGCGCATGACCCGCATGGTTTTCGAGACCGACAAGACCCTCTTCGGCATCCCTACCCACTCGACCCTCTTCAAGGCCTCGAAGCTCGAGGAGGCCATCCAGGAAGCCGTCAGGGAGCACACGGTATCGGGGTCAGAAGGAGACGACGGCACCTCATCTCTGTTCAGCCCGCTGAGTCCACAGTCCCGCGGCGGGAACACCCACGGGCCGAGGAGGCATCTCAGCAACGCGAGTGTGGTTAGTTTCAGCGCCAAGAGCCCGACGGCACAGATGGCACGGCCCGCCTTCACCGGAAGGGGAGGTGATCCAAATGCGCGCCTATACGACGAGAGAGAAAACAGGACCAAGACGTATGTTAATCTCGAAGACCCCCCCCCCCCCCTCTCCAGAACTGTCGACTGTTTTTGGCTGACATACAAACTTTGTTAGGGCTGTGACCGCGATCTACAACGGCGCGCGCAGTAAGTCTGACGTTGTGCTGCTGCGGTCATATGACTCCAGGAGGGAGACGGCTCCCGAATACGACTGTACAATCTGGGAGGCAGGAAGGGCGACCTGCTCGATAGGACTGGCCTTCAAGCCCATCCGGATTGGCCAGACTGTGTTCCACGATGGCGGCGACGGAAAGTTCAACCCTTCCCCCGAGGCGCTCGAGGAGGCTATGACAAACGAGTGGCCCGGACGTGAGATTGGCGTCTTCCTCAGCCTCGGGACAGGCAAGAGGCCCAAGAGCAGCGACGTAAACAAGACGGAATGGTACGAAGGGTTCTTGGGAGGGTTCGCCGAGGCCAGGAGGAGACTCATTTCCAAGATCGAGGGCTGCGAGAAGACACACGAGCTGATGAAAAAGGACATTTTGCCCTCGAAAGGAGTGAATATTGACAACTACTACCGGCTAAACGTGGAGGTCGGTGTGGGCGAGTTCGGAATGAACGAGTGGAATCGGCTGTCTGAGATCTCCACGTCGACGAGAATGTACCTCGGCCGCAGGACAGAACAGAAGATGGTGCAGGACTGTGCGGCCAGGCTGGCTAAGATCAACCGGGCAAAGCAGCGCCTCGATCGGTACAGCGGTGAGTCGGAGCTGAAGCCCTTTAAGGAGGACTACAACCTCCTATCGCCGCTTGCAGTGGAGCTCCCGGCAGAGATCCCAGAGGCATGGCCACCCGCGCCGAATACCCCCTCCAACCGGTCTATCGACAGACAGTCGTACGACTCCGGGATCGACGCCCTATCAGTGCCAACCAACCAGCGGTCTCCCAGAAGCTCATACGAGCGTGTCTTACCTCCCATCCCGCAGGACGAGGAGGCTGCTATCCCCCCACCCCTGTCACCCCGCCGAGAAACGCCACCTGAAGGACGAGTTCGGCCGCCGTCGGCGCCAGTCCCTAACCACAGCGCCGACCACGATGATCACCTGGTGGTACACGCGCCATCGCCAGCGCAATTTCGGACCGCCGCAGGGACGGACAAGATCGCCATCGTCTCAGCAGACGAGCGTCCTCGAGGCCAAGGAGCTTACGGCAGTACGTCACCACAACGCTCACGGGTTGAGCCTCCTCCGCTGCCACCCAAGACGCCCCTGCCTGACCACCAGGCCATGCGGAGAGTGGGCACAGCGCCCGCGATCTCGTCTATTGATGCCGCTGTTGGTGGTGGTGGTGGTGCTGCTGCTGCTGCGCCGCCGTACCCGCTCGACGATGAGCAGCCACCACCACCTGTGGGGAGGAAGCCCCCGAATTATCAAGGTCGGTGAGGGAAGACTAAGAGGAGGCGGAGAGAGGAAACGTTGTGTGCGTAGGAAGGTTTATGCAGCTTATTTTTCTTGGCTCAGGAGCGTATACCTGGATATGGGTGACTCAATCAGGTCGACGCACATGCATACGAAGGCTTCGGCTAAGCTACGAACACACACATGCCCGGCCTTGGAGGGGGGGAGGGGAGGGGTGGGGTGGCACAGCCTGGGTTCCAGGGCTGGGGCCTAGACTGGACTGACAGGCTTGAAGACTGCTCATGACAGTGACGACAAGGCGGCGTTCAGGAGACCAAGTTTGGGCTCCAGTGGATTTCTTATTTCTCTTTTTTTTTTTCTTCTCTCTCCTGCTCTTACGATACCAATTTCAGCATACATGATTTCTTTTGGACTTTCACAATGAGTCACGCTGTGTCTGGTCTCAGAACCATTTCCTTCGATCTATAGTAAATGACACCAGTGAAAAGGAAGAAGAAAATCAAAAGAAAAAAGAAAAAGATACGTCAGCCAGCCTCGTCCCATTGGACCCAGCAGACTGGAAACAGGGTGGATCTTTCATCCCAAGTCCCTGCATCCGCGCCGATCCTCCCCTGCAGCCTTGATCGATTTGATTGTGTGTGTCTCTTGTCGGATCCTGTCCTTTCAGAAGGACGATGTGCTCTAAGTGCATTTTATAGATAAAAATGATAACAAGAAAGAGAGGGAAAAAAAGGAGTCTAGCCGTATCATTCGCGGCGCACTTGACTATACCGTCTCTCGTCTAAGTTCCCATGTTCACCCCGTATTTTTCACCTCCCCTCTTTGCTCACCCCCCCCCCCCCTTCTTCACGTTGCATTCACTGCATATGCGACGGAACGTGGTATCGTTCTGCATGCTGCTGATGATGGTGATGATGATGTCGCCCTACTACGACCAATACCACATTGTCATTGCACCTCGAAGCTCCTATGCCAAGTAGTCTAGAGGTCACCTCCCCGCCAGAACCAGGGCGGCGCTCGAGACCCTTAGCTGCGCCAGGAGAAAGGGAGGGGATACACATGCCAAACTATGAAGGACCCAAGTGACAAGGCTGAAGGCTACGGTAGGATCTCCCTTTCTCTACATAACACGTGGTACATTGTGGGATACATCCTGTCCTTGCCCTGGTTTTTGCTTCTTCTTTCTTTTGCGCTTCGTTCACTTTGCGCTTCCCATCCATTCATCCATGCATGCATGCATGCATACATCCATGCCGTCCAGCCCGCACTTGGCTGGCGTGCAAGTCAGTGAGTAAGTGTGTGTGAGTGTGTGAGTGTGTGTCAGCCCACAACCTAAAACGATTAAAAGATGGTGTGCTTCAGCGTGGCTTGATAAAACCTCGTCAGCTGGACATGCTTGGCAGTTAGGAGGGCCTAATTCGTCTGCTCTGCTTTGTTCCGTCGGCCTGTGAGATTTTGATCGTTTTTTATACAAAAAAAAAAAGGAGAAAATCAAAGAAGAAAGTCGACAGTACCTTGGGTCTTTTGCGTGGTAGGCACACCCCCCACTCCCCTTTCGTCATTCTTTCTCTCTCCCTCTCTGTCTCTCTCTCTTTTCTCGTATACCCCTTCTTATCTGTTGCGGTCCGCACAAGGTGCTTACCAGCCCAACGCCCCAACACCCACCCCCTGGCCCCCTCCCATCTTCGCCATGGCCTAGATGACCTTGCGTTTGGTGAATGAGAGTTGGCCCGATGCTTACAAGAGGTCATTGTACAGGGGGGTTTCCAGCCGTTCGGTACCTGACAGGTTTTCCATCCTTCGTCATTTATCTGCCCAGATGGTCAGAGCAGTCAGCCGACAAGCATACTTTTCTTCCTTTCTCCTTATGCTTTTTTTTCTTTTTCTTCTTCTTGCCTTAGTTCACGGATCTTCCGCCCGCTTGTACCTCCCATAGTCGTATCGAGGAGGAGGAAGAGGAGGAGGAGGATGCTTGGATGACTGTCTTGTTCCAATTTACTAGGAAAGGAAGGAAAAAGGAAAATAAATTAGGACGCTCAGCTGGCTAACAAGGTAATATTGCAGTGCTATGAGATAGGCCCAGCTCGTTTATCTCTGTCTGCAGGCAGTCTATACCGTCTTCGGCATATAACCTGGGGCTTTATAGGGCTGGATCCCGTCAGGAGAAGTGCAACATGGGGGCCTTCCTTCTACTGATTTCTAGCTGGTATGCGTACGTCTAAAAATTGCAGTGATCATGCCCGTATCTCGGCACGTTCATATCCCAATACGACATGCTTTTTGTCTTGGAATCTAGCACCCTCGAAGTAGGGATTAGCTGCGGTGTCAGATGTGTGCTTAATTCCCTGCCCTGCCTTCTCCTTCGATCTCTTTTTACTCCTCCTACGCAACCCCCCCCCCCTTTTCTTCTCCTGCAACCTGTCCGTGAGGCTCAGCTAGTCAGAGACACTGCAGCCAGCTGGATCTTAGCCATTCATATAACAGGTGCGCCACAGCTCGTAGAGCTGTCCTCTCAGCGTCCACTGCCAAGTCGCTAGCCAGTCCTGTAGGAGGAACATGGTTTTTGCCAGGTTTGATCTCGTTGGGGAAAAAGGACGTAATAGACTCACCTACATGACAGGCTCCAACTCTCTTTTTTAGTTTCTCTCTCTATCTCTGTGCTCCTGTGGGCCCTGTAGGCGGCTTACTCTTTCCTTCTTTCTTTTCATTTTCATTGACCGCCAATGTACACAATGTTTCACCCCGGACATGGCTCAGAAGTCAACCCACCCCCCCCCCCCACCTCCTCTTCTTTCCCCTAGCCCCTGTTTCGTTGGGTGGATTTTGCAGGGTGTGTGAAGCATAATCTAAGTAACCTTACTTACTAGTACTATAATATCACTACTACTAATCAACTTCTTGCCTGGCTCCGTGGCGTCCACGGGGATCCTTCCCACCTCCCCAACTGCCGCGCACCAAGCGGCATAACGAGAAAGCTTGTTCGTGTTTATTGGCTGGAGCTACCGTCCGATCGGGGTCGTCGCCCTACCAAAGTGAGAGAAAGAGGTCTCGATCTCTCTCCCCCTCCCAAGAGCATGGGTGCTCTGTAGAAAACCACACCTTGGCCCCTCCCTCCATCTTACCCCAGGCAGCGATGGCCGGTGGCTTGGGGATAAATGTCATCATCTCTCTTGAACTATGGCAGGCAGAGGGAGTCATACCGGCCATCTCGGAGAGAATGTGAGAGACACAGAGCGAGAAGGCTCGCACGGTCTCGAAGAGAGAGAGAGAGAGAGGGAGGGAGAGGTATCCTTGACCTTCTATTCTAATGATGAAGGTCTCGGCGCGCTTTATTTTTTTCGAGTGACGCCATGCAAATTTGGCACCTGACTTTTGTCTCAGGGCAGCGCGTGGTAGATAGGGAAAAAAAAGCAAAGATGAGACTGGGCCCGCTGACAAGAGACGTACGAGGGCTAGGCCGAGGGGGGCTTCTAGGAGGAAGACAAGAGAGAAAGTAGTGAGAGGCCCCTCGACGAGTGACCTATCAGCTAGCACCGACGAGGCTCCAGCTGAGGCTCTGTCCAGTCTAAGTCTAGGTTGCGGGCTACGTATTTATGCTAAAAATACCATATAATTAGCGGACAGGCGTCCTGCAGAAAGCATTCATTTCATAAACCACAAACCCCCTGGCTGCCAGGGGACAATGACGTTTGGGCGGCGGCGGTCGATATCTTTCTTTTGACTTCATTTGCCACTCTCCTGCTCGAGCAACCCCCGAGGATTCTTCAAGTCAGGGCGGTTTACTCCCATGGAGAACAGTGTCCCTCGACTTGCTGCCCGCTGTGTTGCCGAATCTGTCTGGTGTTCTTTCGTGTCTTATGCATCATACATACCCTGCCTCTGAGATTGGGTCGAGCTTTCCTTTTTCACGTCGACGCCGCGGGTAAGGAAAGGTCCAGGAAATAATAACCTTCCCCTACCGAAAAGGGCCCGAGTTCTCTGTTGTCTTTGATCTGGTCCCACGGGGTCTAAAGGGTTATATGCACCATTATGTCGGACTCTTCCCATTCTGGCGGGCCAGGACGCTCGTTGCGGTCAGAGAGGGTGCCTGTCTCTTGCGGTGAATGCAGACGGCGGAAGCAAAAGGCAAGTGGAGGGGAAAGAAGAAGAAGAGGAAAGAAAGAAAAAAAAGAGATCGCTGGCCGGCTCTTCCAAAGACCCATGAGTTTTCCTTTTCCTCTCTTCTTCTCTCTGCCATGCCGTTGCGGCACCCTATGAAGAAGGAGGACGAGGAGGAGTCCGTGCAATATTAGGAAAGAATTGTGCTTTTCTGGGAACACACCGGCTGACGCAAGAGAGTTCTTCAGTGCAACCAAGGCCAGCCATGCAGCAACTGTGCAAGAAGATTTCCTCCTCCACTCTGCGAGTATATGACGAATACCCACAGGTGTGATCACTCTCTCTCCTTTTGTGTCTCTGCATCCCTTGACAATAGGAAAAGTCGCCCCGAGGCACTTGTTGGTCTGACATATCGCCCCAAGAAGACGCAGTGATGGGCCTGGACAGTACCCGATGACAACGCTGCCCTGCAGTCTTCTCCCAGCCTCATTTTTGGGAGACGAACTCGCGCCGGTCGATGGCATCTCCCAGCCGCTTCTGCCGGCGGATCTACGTGTCCAGCTCCAACACCACCATGATCACCAGCAGCAGCAGCAGCAGCAGCAGCAGCAGTTATGGCTAAACACAGACTGGCCGCAGCATGCAAACTCCAGCACGACAGGATGGGAAAGTCGATGGCAGGGGCCTGGGCCCGCACAAAGCAGTGCTACCCCGGTCACATGTCTACCAGGCTGTATGGCGCACTCTGACGCGTTTCACACTGCCAACGCGCTGCTGGACAGAATTATCATGTTCCCTGCGATACATACTCAGCAGTGGCAGGCTGAGAAGACTGACGAGATACTCTTCTGGCTGAGACAGCTGTCGTGGTCAGGCTCAGCAGGCGACGGCACGCCTCTGCCCTTCGAGGCAACGCGGCAAGATGCTGAGCTATTGCGCTTCTGTAAGTTGAATACCACTCATCTGTTGAGAAGAAGGGAAAAAAGAAGCAAAAAAAAAAAAAAATCATCTCGCGAGATGTGGGAAGCAATGCTGACTGCGCTTCTCTCCTTTCTGTCTCTCCGCCCCCGAAAAATAGTCGTCAACTTCATCTCCCGCTTCAAAGCGTCCCTTGACAGCGAACCCGACGTCAACTCCAACCCATACATGAGGCAGTATGTCCCCTTCTGTCTGCACAGCCCGCTGCTCATCCAGACGGCCATCTACACGTCGGCCTGCTTCCAGGGCGAGATGGGCAACATCGAAAGCACAACGGCAGTGGCACACAAGTGCCGTGCCATCGAGATGTTGACGGAGCACCTGCAGAGCCGAGGGTCGACGACGGATGAGGCTATCGCGGGCGTGATGCAGCTGATGCTCAACGAGTGGTACTGGGGCAACACGGACGACCTGCGGGCGCACCTGACCGGCCTGCGCGAGATGGTAAGGCTGCGGGGTGGGTTTGGAAATCTGGGCCTTGGGGGCTTGCTAGCCAGGCTTGTCATTGTGTAAGATGGAGCCGAAGGCGGGGGGAGCGCGATACAATACCCATCCGCCCCTCCCCCTCAGGAGACGGGACTTAGACTGTTGCAGAGCGCTGGTGCTGACCAGGAGAGCCAGGTCCGACATCGCCATCGCTTTATCTTTTGAGGTCCGGCCATATCTTCAAGGCGGGCCCGAATTCGACTTTCGAGACGTCGCGCGGGTCCCGTTCAGGGTGTTCCTTAACACGCCCCTGGTGCCCTCGCTCGCATCATTCTCGAGATGCGCCGAGGCACTGCACATGCATCAGGCCACTGCGCAGACCCTCGATGACATGAGGTTCCTGATCAGGCTGGTCCTGGCCCTGCCAGAGTATCCGTCAGAAAAGGACCTCCAGAAGGTCCAGAGCACATCCGCCTGGATTTACGACCGCATCTCCAACCTCACGGCCGAGGCTCCAGCAGCGCAGCAGCGCCACAGGGGGTCCGAGGACCAGCTCAGCCCCCTGAGCGCGGACCCGTTTGGCTCGACAGCACTCCGACGTTCATCCTCAGGCGAACCCCCGCGGCGGGCCTCTCGACACCCGAGCCCCACGACCCCAAGCCACACGGCGAGCATCGATACTGCCAGTCCACCGGGCCCTACTGTCCAGGACACCATGTACCAGGCCGTAAGGCAGGCAGCTCTGATCTATGCGAGGGCCATCATGACCCGGAAACCCCTGCGAGACCCGGCCGTCTGCAGCCAAGAGGACTTCCTCCGGCTGTGGACTACCGTCTGGAGGATCCCTTTGCGCAGCTGGAAGACCGTGCTCGGTGTCTTTGCGTGGGTCGTGTTGAGTATCACGCCTGCGTCGCGCGGCACGCCGCACGAGAGGTTCGTCAAGAGCCTTTTGACGGTGGGCCTGGTCCAGATGGGAATGGAGGACTGGGATGTCACCGAGAGGGCAATGAAAGGCGCGCTGACGCTGATCGAGTGGCTGACGGGAGGCATCAGCGGTGACAGCGCAGGAGGACATCACGAGGAGCAGAAAGGAAGGGTTGGTGGTCTTGACTCGGGGTCCTTTATCGATCCAGGGCTTTTTGCCAACGGAACGACAACAACGACAGGGCCTGTGACGCAGGGTTGGTGATGTCTGTTGAAGAGATGTTCGTCCCTGTATCTCTCTCACACCAGAGGGGGAAGCAGCGGCCCGTGTACAATTAACAGTATATGCCTTTTCTATGTCTTCTTCTTCTTCTTCTTCTTCTCCTTCTTCTTCTTCCATTCCAGCGATGGCGTTGTTGAACCTTTGATTGGGCGCGGGGTTGGCAAAGTACAAGACGACAAGACAGAAATCATTTTGAGAAGAGAACCCTTCACGGCTTCCCAGCAGCCAGATAGGGTTAGGGTTTAATATTGTATACAATGGATCACCACAGAGCTTTTGTTGGGTTTTATTTCCTTTTCTTCTAGCTTTTTCTTTCTTTCATCTCTTTTTCCATTTTTTTTCTTTAACCCTTGAGATGTACTCAAGCACCCTCTCTCAGAAATTGTAATGAGGTTGCAAAGCTCAATTGATCTCTGTTCAAGCTGAATTTCGATGACATCTTTGACAATCTGGTGATCCACTGAAACTATTAACTCAAGCACACAATGTCCCTTAATAGGCTATTTATGCCAAATCCAGATCTGCGGCAAGGTTCTGTAAAACCTCGGGTTGTAAGGATAGCAACACCTGCAACGAGTCAACAACGTCCGTAGTCAGCGGCGAACCAGAGGAACTTTCCCTATCTCGCACTATACGTTCTATAGTACATGGCTGGCTGCCGGTTCCAGGAGCTCCACCGCTTCTTTGGCCGGTCCGTTATGAATTACCTTGACAAATGCTACGAGCGGCAGTGCCCGTCTCCCCAATCTCTCACTCTCCCACTCTCCTCCCTTCTCGGCGTTCATGGATGAATGGCTTGATTATGTTAGTCGATCCGGATGGCTTACAGATAGATATCTTCGCCCACGCTTATTACTCTGATTTTATCTCGGGCACTCTTATCTCTCTACCATGCATGCATTTTATCTCCCTGGGTTTTTAGATCTGCCCCTCCTCGCTACTCTGTCATCATGAGTTACATCGCGGGGCATATGGCCCACTGACAACGTCGTCGACGTCGTTGAATTGTCTCGGGGGGAAAAAAAAAGAAGGAAGAAAAGAGAGAGAAAAAGTCTTTTTCCTACTGTTTCCTGTCTCTTTCATCCTCTCATTCTTGCCTTATTGTCGCGAATCCGTGACATGGGCAATCTCGTGAATCTTTAGCCGTGATCCTGTTGACCAATTCCTCCTTTTTTCTTCTCGAAAACATTACAACTCTAAGACCATTGCCCACCTTTCCCGCAGATTCTCAAGGGATTGACAGGAGAAGAAGAAGAAGAAGAAGAAGAAGAAGGAAAACATATCTCGGTCTTTAGTCACAAACAAACACAATGCCAAGCGGCTCCTCATCCTCTGAGACGGTGAGCTCAGATGGCATGCCGCCCACCGAGACCTCCGCCCTCCTCCCGAAGCCTGGAGCACCGGAATACCCAACAGCTTCAGATGTCCTGGCGGAGCCGACAGAGCCCGGGGCGCCCGAGTGGAGGACATGGCTCGGCGAGATCTGGCTCCTCACCAAGGCCTCGATCCCCGTCATATTAGCCTACACGCTGCAGAACTCCCTACAAACCGTGTCGGTCCTGGTCGTGGGCCGGCTGTCCCCCGAGGCGCTGGCCACGGCTGCCTTCTCGTACATGTTTGCCATGGCGACGGCCTGGCTGATCGCTCTCGGCGGGACCACCGCGCTCGACACCTTGGCCTCGAGCAGCTTCACCGGCTCCTCGAACAAGCACGACCTCGGCATCCTCCTGCAGAGAGGCATCTTCGTCCTGTCTCTATTCTATGCAGTCGTGGCTGTCATCTGGCTCTTCTCTGAGCACATCTTCCGTGCGCTCGGCCAGGAGGAGTTCATCTGTATTCAGAGCTCGAGGTTTCTGATGTGTCTGATCCCAGGCGGGCTGGGTTATATCTGGTTCGAGGCGATGAAAAAGTACTTACAGGCGCAAGGTAAGCAAACGGAATCTTCCAGTCAAACCCCCCTTGATCGTCCCGATCGATGATGTTGACTGACTGGGCTCCCTTTCTGTGTTCCTCCATTTTCAGAGATCTATCGTCCTGGCACCTACGTTCTCCTCATCACCTCGCCTCTCAACGCCCTCCTGAACTACCTCTTCATCTACACCTTCAATATCGGCCTGTACGGCGCGCCCCTCGCCACAGGCCTCTCCTACTGGCTCTCCTTCCTGCTCCTCGTCGCCTACACCATTTTTGTCAAAGGCAGCGAGTGCTGGGGCGGGCTCGCCCCCGCCAGGGCCATGCACCATATCGGCCCCTTTGCGCGCCTCGCCTTGCTGGGAGTGGTCCACGTCGGCACCGAGTGGTGGGCCTTCGAGATCGTCGCCCTCGCAGCAGGCCGCCTGGGCACCATCCCACTCGCCGCGCAGAGCGTCATCATGACCGCCGATCAGATCATCAACACCGTCCCCTTCGGCCTGGGCGTCGCGGCCTCGGCCCGGCTGGGCAACCTGCTCGGGGCGCAGCGGCCCCACGACGCCAGACGGGCCGCCCACTGCGCCGCGGTGCTGAGCACAGTGCTGGGCGCTGTCATCTTGGCCGTGCTTATGGGCACCAAGGACGTCTTCGGCAGGCTGTTCAACGATGACGAGCGTGTGGTGAAGCTCGTCGCCGAGGTCATGCCCTACGTAGCCCTGTTCCAGATCGCCGACGGGCTGAACGGGTCCTGTGGCGGCGTGCTCCGCGGTATGGGCCGCCAGTGGGTCGGTGCGCTGGTCAACATCGTGAGTTACTACTGCGGCGCCCTGCCTGGTGGCATCTACCTTGCATTCCACGGCTGGGGGCTGGCGGGTCTCTGGGTTGGGCAGTGTGTGGCCCTGTATCTTGTGGGTGCGTTGGAGTGGGTGATTGTTGGTATGAGCAAGTGGGAGAAGGAGGTCGACCGAGCTCTGCAGAGGTTAGAGGCTGGAGGAATGGGAAGGAGGGCTGAAGATCCAGACCAGGACTCGAGCACGGTCTGAAGCCGGTACAATTTAACGCTCTCGCCGTTCCAAAGTTCTTCCTAAGAAGTATACATAAGAGTCTCAGTTTCTCGTATCCTTGGAAGAGACGTGTAGGACTTCCGAGACGCATGTAAACCTCACTATACACATCAGTCAACAAGCAAAAATTTAAGACGTTTGGGCAGAGAATGGTTATGAGGGTCAGGCGCTAGTGGAAGGAACAACGTGACACAAGGGGTGTGTCTACATGTTGGTGTCATGGCTTGTGGTCGTCTCGAAACTGGACTCTATCAGAGGCCACCTGTGAAGCCTCAGCAAGGGGGACTCTTTCGGCACAATGATCTACAGAATGATCCAAGATCAAAAGACATACAATCTTGTTCAGGCCTCAGCAGTGTCACTTTTGTGATTCAGATCTGGAACCCGTTCTGGCGGTCATCCAAGGCCCTCTACAAGATCATGCCTTAGCTACCTTCCAAGTGACATTCGTCAACCGCCGGAGCCCGTTCGAGGTCTCCCTCGACTGCTCAGGTCTTCCATCGACGCTTGACGTCTTCATCATCATCTCCATCGCGGTGGTGTCTTTCATCGTTGTCGTAGCTTCCTAAGCCGCGCCAGCCCTATTGCTGTTCACAACACCTCCGGTATTGTTCTTATTGTCTCCAAAGTCTTGTGAGAAGATCTGCTGCCAGACGGCCAGCCACTTCTCGTGCTGAGCCGTTGGCAACTTACCCGGATTCTTGAACGACCGGGTGAGCATCTCGCGTAGCCGGGACCTCAAAACTTTCATCACCAGCATCGTCTTCCAGTCAGGAGCGGCGAATCGTGCACGATTGCCATCGAGGACAAGAACCCCTGAGTACATCTGCGAGGTATGTGTCAGAGGATACGGAACATTTTTAAGACAGAGGGGAGAAGAGGAAGGGAAAGGGGGGGGGGCTCACGTCGGCGCGAACATCACCACACAGCAGCGCGATGGCAAATGACTCGGCAGCGGTCGTCTCGTGAGCATTCAGGTGTCTGAAAATGTCAGCATTGGTATTTCCTCAAAGATCGATGCAGAAGACTTACGCTTTCGACTGCATGATATGGTAGTAGCTCAGCCACCTGAGTTCATTGTGTCCCCTATTGACACTTGTCGGATGTAGGCTGATTGACTGGTTATTGCTCACGTTGCGCAGGCCCTTCCCGCCAGGAACATCGCGGATGAGCAGTTTAGGATAGAAGCTCCAGGCAATAACAGACTGCGTTATGGAATCGTTCTCGCTGTTGATGTTGACTCGCCTTGGCAGCTCAAAGAATGCCTGATTCCGCCGACGTCCACCGCCAGAGTGACGGAGGCGGTTCAGACTCCTGCGCTCCTCATCTGTAAGCTGCAAGAACCCAGAGTCGGCGAGTGCAGCCAGTAACGAGCCTTTGAGCTCTTCGATGTTGGCCAAATTTTGTGGGCTGAGGAAGTTTTTCCTGCAGAATTGGAACTCTTGGCCGCTGTTGCCAGAGGCGGACTGGCAGACACGCTTCCACGCCAAGTAGGCATTGTACACGGTCAGCAGGTCTGAATCTCCCCGCCGGTATGCCAGCCGAATCGCATCTGCCTGCGCCCGCTGGCCAAAGGGTGCCACGAAGGGAGATTTGGAGGACAGGATAGCTGCTACTGTGACAGCCATGTCGAGACACTTGAAAACCGTGCCCATGAGAACAAGCTTGCCAAGGAAGACATCCAGGGGAAGACGTGCAAGTTGTTGACCAAGCGGGGTCAACTCCTCCGCAGCCGTCAGGGCGCGCACGTCGACAAGGGCGTCAACAGCTCTGCGGATATTCTTGGCGGCAGGAGGATCCAGCGCTTGGCTAAGCGTTTCCTCGATACCTCCAATCTTGCAGATCTTGACACGAATCGCAAGATCTTGCAGTGACAAGCGGAGCATCTCAGGCGTCTGCTGATCGCTTATGATACTGTCATGTCTGTACTTGGTAAACATGTGAAAGCAGAGCCCTTCCTGCACACGACCGGCTCGGCCACGACGCTGCTTCGCATTCGCCCTCGAGATGAATGTGTCGATGAGGCGCGACAGCTGGCGACGCTCATCAAAGCGCATCTCACGATGCTTGCCAGTGTCAATCACGCAGGTGACGTCCGGAATAGTGATACCGGTCTCGGCAATGTTGGTCGCGAGCACAATCTTCCTGTACCCAGGAGGAGGGATGTGAAATGCCGCTTCCTGCTCTTCAGAAGCGATGCTAGAATGCATGGGGTAGACAAGCCAATCGGTCTGGAAGAATCTATCTCCTAGTAGCATATCGTTGAGCGTCCGAATGTCAGCAATGCCAGGAAGAAAGATGAGTATAGCCTTGCTATAATCGAGATAAGAGGGGTCCACCGCTATTCGTGAGATGAGCTGGACGATGAGATCGAAGTCGATCTCGTATTCATTGAGCTGGGACAGGGTATTGCGGGTACGAGGAGAGTATTGCTGAAGCGTCTTGAGAAGGTCGGGCTTGAGGGAACTGTCTGGTTCCGTGATGTCAAGCTCATCGTCGTCAAGACCAACGACCCTCTCCTTGACCCTCTTGTCGGCAGTGTAACCGGTCAACTCGACAGCATCCTCGAGATAGTTGACCTTGACGGGGAATGTCCGCCCAGGCACATTGAGCACCTGAGCCCCGCCAAAAAATTTCGAGAACCGCTCAGCATCCACCGTAGCTGACATCAGGACCACTTTCAGGTCCTTCCTCTTCGTCAACAGTTTCTTGAGGACGATAAGGAGGAAGTCGCTCTCGATGGATCGCTCGTGGACCTCATCAAGCACCAGGTGAGTAATTTCACGTAGCTCGTTGGAGCCCTCAAGCATCCTCATGACGATACCAGTCGTCGCGTAGATCAGTCGCGACTCTTTCGAGGTATTCGCTTCCAGTCTGATGGAATAGCCTACCAGTGACCGGGGCGTGCCAATCTCGCCTTTGCCTTCCCCAAGTTCTTCGCTAACACGACGAGCAAGAGATATAGCTGATATACGTCGGGGTTCGGTACAGTACACCTTGCATGGCTTGCCTTGAGAGAGCTGGTGTTCAAGCAAGAAAGACGGCACCTGGGTCGACTTGCCACAACCCGTTTCTCCGCAAATGATGACGACCTGCTCTCGCTCCACCGTGTCGACAACTTCTTGTCGAAAATGCCACATGGGCAGCTGCATGCGGGACTGCAGCATGGTCTGGTATTTCGGGGAACTTATCTTCTTTTGCCAAATGCCTTGGTAGTATTCGGGGCCACCCGACACCCGCTTTTCAGCCAAGATGTCGGTAGTATCGGCTCCATTGCGGCCGTTGTTTCGACCGCGGAATGCTCCCTGCAGTAGAACACCGTCCTCCTCTTCCTGGTCGCGTCGCTTGCGAACCAGAGCTCGTAATTCCTTGACGATAGCGCGATCCTGCGCATCCACCTCGTTCTTCTTGGCCTCTGCATATTCGGCCCAAAGGTCCCGGAACTGAGATGGCAACCGCAATGAGACCTTCTCGTCTTTCGCAGACGAGCCAAAGACAAGAAACAGTGCCGTCGTTGCAATAAAGGCCTCGGATTGCTTCTCGTCAGGCGTCGCAATCTCGGCCATCTTGAATACGAATTTGTTGGTTGACGAAGCGACTTCCACGCCAGCAACACCCTGCTCAGACAGAGGCTCCTGGGCTTTCGCCCACACAATGCTGAGGAGGTGCCTATGAGCAAATGCCGTCTCAGAGACCTTCATATATGCCAATTTGACAGAAGAGTCCCTAGACCGACAGGCCTCTTCCAAAACCCTCATCGGCGTGACACCTGTCAACTTCCCAAAATCTCTTATCGTGGTCTTGGTTCCATCGCTGTTGTTCATAACAGTGCTGGTCTTGCCATCAGCACCGACCTCGTTGGTGGGCAGAGCGGCAAACAGGTCCGCCAGTGCTTGATCTTCCTCGTCTTCATTCTCTGCTAAAATCTCTGCCGCCATGCGCTTCGCCTCTCTTGCAATCTCATCATCCTCTTCATCTTCATTGTCAGAGGCAGCTTCTTCCATCTCTTTCGTGGACGCTTCCTCTGCCGGCTTTGGGGAAGATTCCGCCTCAGCCTTGAGCCTCTTATTCTCCGCAAAGTCCCTCTCAAGGGCGATCCTCCGAGGCTCCCATTGCATCTGCGCTAGGCCAGCATCGAAAAGAGGATCTTTCTCAATTCTGTCTATCTTAGCCAGCAGTCTGGGTGTTTCTGAGTCGTCAGCGGAGTCTCCAGCCATCGAGGATGGCTGGAGTTGTTGCCCAGACTTGCGACTCTTTCGTGGCGCATCCTGCTGCGGTCGCTGTATCGAAAATAATTTTGTCTTTGTGTCCAAATATGCGGGTATAAGATCATCGGGTTCTATATCGCTGTCGTACGTGACGATTTGTCGTCGTGGTGTAGCTGTGCCAGAAGACCGTCCGGTCACATTCCCGTTCTTTTTCTTCGACTTTGCCTTTTGTAGAGTCTCTGGTTCCATGAGCAGCGGCGTGGTTGCTCCAGAAGGCAAAGGGGTATCAGCGGGCGTCTGTCCCTGCCTGCCTCGCTTGTCATAGTCTGGCAGGTCGCCCGCTGGGCATTCTCTCGCCAGCCAGTCTAACGCCTCGTCTAAGCCCCAGATAGAATCCTTGTTACTTCCAGAAATGTTTGTTGATATATCCAAGACAAATTGCAAAGCACCCTGTACCTTCTCTTCTGGGAACCCCGTGCCTTGCAGGGCCTGTTGCAATGTCCACATTTTGATCGTCAGGTCCTCCTCGGACAGCATCTTCCCGCCTGTCGCTCCCTCAGAATTTGTGTTGGAAGCGGCAAATCGACCCTCTGCCTGGATCAAATCCAGGATATGGTCCATGAGCTCCGTGGGCAACCATTTCTTCGCATTGAGAGACTCTGCCTGGCTTCGTAACAGCCGCCTCTCTGTATCGAGTCGTTGCTTCTGCCGCTGTGCATCTCGTTTGCTCTTTTGGGCGTATTTCTCCACTAACAACTGTAGCTCGGACTCTTCGAGTTGGGCCTCGAACTCCTCGGGCGTCAATTCTTTCTTCGTCTTCTCGGCAGTGCTCGCAGCCTTGTCGCTATCGTTGGGGTTCGGGGGTGGTTGTCCATTCGACTTGGTAGCTTCTGAAGTTTTGTTGGAAGGAGTAGGGGCAGTATCTACTGGCTCGACCCGGGCCTTGGAAACGACTGATGTTGTGGCATATCCTCTCGCAGGGTTGGCAGCGGGCTTCGACTTCTTCTTCTTGTTGCCTGCCATGATGGATATCAAGCTATGATGATGATGACGACGACGACGAATGACAGGAGCGAAAGAAGCGGTTCGTTATACAGTCTGTGGGAAGAGAAAGAAGAAGAAGAAGGGATGAGTGAAGGCCAACGGAGTAGGTATAAAGCACAGAGTATGGAGGGTTGAAGCCTAGCCAACAAGTCAGAAGGACGTAATAGTACTGTTGAAAACAAAGGCCCTTGCGTTCACTAGGTCAAGTTCACTGGTATACAAGGCACTGAGGCCAACAGGGATTGAGCTCCATAGTAAAAAAAAGACCACTCCAACCCTGACCCCGCGAAAATGGCAGAAACGCGCGACCGCTTACGAAGTTGGGAAGAGACCCCACCATCTGCTCCCCAAAGCTGGCAAAGCTAGTGAGTCTTTCGGCGAGCCGCAAAGTTATAGATCCAGACACAGACCCAGACCGAGACACAGACCCGGGAGTCCTACCCTCCAGTTCACAGGCTACACGAGCAAATGAGCGAGTTGGAGCGCTACATGATACCCTCGGACCCTAGAGTGCCTCTTGTTTTTCTCATTTTCCTTTTTTGCCTTCTCCCCCTTCCTCCTCGAAATAGTTGCGCCATGCAAATTCCGTGTCTCACTTGCCAGCATGACTGAACACGCCGAATTGAACGGCGCTGCGCCAGCTCTCGATCTCAAGGCTACCAAGGCTGCATTGACCTCCTCGTCGACCTCTTCAAGGATCTCGCAGCTTCGCACAGTTGATGATAAGATCTCCCAAAAGGGTATGCTGTTCCCTGCGATTTTGCAGTCTCAGGTGACGAGCTCGTTGCTAACCTATTCTTGCTTCTAAAGCTCTTGACAAGCAGATCCAGTTGCAACTTCTCAAGCTCCTCTTCTGGACTCACTCCTTCTATGGCGACCGAGATTCACGACTGGCGGTGCAACGATGTCTGATCTCGATCTGCAAGGAGGGCGACGCCGCTCTTCTTACGCCTCTTGTGGCCGCCATCCGCCAAGAAGCCCTTAAGCCGGGCATTGCGAGCTCCAATGCCTTCGTCCTCCTCGAGTGGTGCAGTTTGTTGGCGCAAAACCTGGCCGGAACACCACACTGGGACAAGCTCGGCAAGGACATAATAGTGGCGGCAGCTGATGCCTTGGACAAGTGCTGCTCGGCCTCATCAAAATCTGGTGTGGCCCACTCGGCTCTCGTGGTCGCCCGTCGTGGCATTCGGAAGCTAGTATCTGTGCCGGACAGCAGAGAGAAGACGATATCCGAGGCCGTACAAGTGCTATCTGCGAAGGCTGCGCAGGCCTCTCCCAAGAACGCCATCATGCTCGGCGTGATTGCCGGTGTGTGCTCGAGGAAACCCGAAGCAACGCCGATCCTGGAACAGCAAAAATCCCATTACTTCAGCTTCTACGTTCGAGAGGTGATAGGTTCCAAGACACCATTACCAAAACACCTGGCAGCTGGCCTCGGCGACTTCTTCTCTGCATTTGTGACGCCTGAGGAGTTCGAGAAGGAGATCGTAACGCCGTTGGAAAAGGGGCTCCTGCGTGCGCCTGAGATCGTTTTAAACGACCTCATTACGCCCCTCGTCAAGAGCCTGCCAAAAGATTGGGATCTGTCCAAGGTTCTACAGGGGCATCTGCTCAAGTCTCTACTATCCAACATCAAGTCATCAAATGCCGTCATTCGATCTGGGGCTGTCACGGCCTTCCGCATTCTGGCAGATAAATGCCATGATATGGTTCTCATGGAGAAAGTCGCAGACGAGCTTTTGTCCCCATTAAAAAGTGGCAAACTGGCTTCGCCTGACCACAGGATCCTTCACTGTGAGATGCTGTCAGCGTTGCCTATGTTTGGAGCCGTTGCTGCCAAGATCGTCGGCGGTCTGCCAACCCCTATTGGCAAGGAAGGCAACGAGGCTGCACTGACTGCGGAAACTTCTGTCTTGAGCGCCTCTGTCAAGGTTCTCATGACTGAAGGCACGGAGATACCCAAGACTGTTACTGATACATATGCAAAAGGCCTCGCAGACAAGAAGCTGTCGTCACGGCGAATCTGGGTGCTGAGTGTAGGGGACGTCCTGAATTCTTTCGAATCTGGCGATACCCGAACTCCAGTGTTCGTCAAGTTCGCCGAGTCCGTCCTGCCTGCTCTCTTCACTACCTACAACGACGTTCTGAAAAACCCTCTGAAGTCGTCTCAGGACGGTACCATAACCGCAGCTTATGTTCTCTGCGCTGTCGCTCCACCTCTTCTTGAGATTGAAAGCAATGAGAAGCTCAGCTCTTTGCTCGGACAGTTTTCTATATCGAAACAGTGTTTGAATCTGGAGCCTAAGCCGTCTTTCCTCCTCAATCCACGTGTCTACACCAAAATCACGTCGGCTGAAGATGCGCGGTGGCTCTCCAGAGCACTGTCAGCTGTCGCGTCGTCATTGCCAGACCACATCTCTGGACCCGCTGCCGTCAATACCGCTTGGGTACACGCCTTTCTGTACCTAATCTGTACTACGTCCCTGAGCACGAGACTCCAAAAAGAGTGCGCCGACACTCTGAGCAAAGTGTATCTGTACAACGTCGAAAAGATGTCCAGGATCGTAATTTCTGGCATATGGGAGTGGATAGAGTCCGTCAACAGTGGCGACAAAGAGAGCGCGCCTCTGCTGGCCAAGGCTGACAATAGCAACCTACAAGTTGCTCTCAGGTCAATATGTCTGACATCTGAGGATCTCAAGAAGGCGGATCAGGAACCTAACAAGGCACTGCTTGAGGAGCAAATGTGCTCCTTGCTTGTTCTCGCGAGACCGCAACTGATACCTCGTTCCGCCTGGATTGACCTGTGCTTGCGGCTTAACTTGGATCCGGGCGATTTGGCAAGAAAATATGAAACGGCCTTGCTTGATGAAGTTGTTAGGCGTTCGGATTTCTCACAACCCGTAAGTCCGAATTTCTTCGCCTGCCAACGATCTCTACTTACCTTTTTCTCTTCTCAGGCCCCTGTGAAGGAAGCTGCGTATGATGCCGCAGCAGAGCTCGCCTTCGTCGCGCCAGAAACCATGACCCGGAGGATTGAAACGCTCATCCGAACTGATCTCAACGTCGTAAAGCTGGCGGACATCGGACCGCTGGAAGCGGCCATCTTCCGGACGCCAGAGGGGACAGCATTCGTGGACGTTCTTGCCAAGAAGGAGAACGTTATCCCCAACAAGAACGTCAAAGACTACGATACTCTGAAGTGGGAAGAAGATCTGAGAGCCCAGCTGGCAGCGAAGAAGGGGACGCAAAAGAAGCTCACGGCAGATGAGACGGCAAAGGTGAATGCCCAACTAAAGAAAGAGGTCGAGATACGAAAGAGTGTTCAACACGTCGCAGCTCAAATGTTGAGAGGCATTGGTGTTGTTCGCAGTCTCGCCACTGGTCCGCCCACCGACGCCTCCCTATGGATGGGCGCTGCTGTCAATTCACTGCTGGATGCTCTCGACGCGGGAGCAAGCTTGATTACCGGAGACGCCGGCCCACAGGCCTATATTGCTTTGGCTAATCGGATCTCAGACCGGCTGGGATCTATGCGCCCTTTTGTTGGGATCGCAACATTGAGGGCGCACGAAATCTCAAGTCTCCCTGAGAATCTGCAGCAGGAGCCATTCGAGGACCTAGTGACTCGTGTCCTCTACCGTCTGCGCTTTGCGGGAGAACAACGACCATTTGACACTGTCTCGCTCATCTACATATTGCCGTTGATCCTCTTTGTCATCCACAGAGGTGGATTTGGAAAGACACCAGATGACCGCGATGCACAGCTGGTATTGGCAATTGAATTCCTGTCATTCCACACCAGCGTTTGCGAGGACGAGGCAATTCCGCGATTAGAGGTCTTGTCTATGCTCATCTTCTCGATGCAGCACTATGCTCAGCACTACAAGATTGCAAAGGACTGTTTCGCAGATCTTGTGCGCTGTATCGCGCCAAATATCAGCCGCGATGAGGTAAATGTTCTTTCCAGAGGGGCCATTGTACCACAAGCGTCTGTCAAGACCACGGTGCTACAGTCTATCAGCGCTGAGGTCGACATGAGCGATTTGGGCTTTTCACAAGAGATTTGGCTGGCATGTCACGATGACGTCGACGAGAATGTGGAACTCGGCCAGGAAATTTGGCAAGAGAGCGATTTCCATGTCTCAGCTGATGTTCCTTTGATGATGCTTGCCTATGTAGAGAGCCAGGAAATTCAGTTGCGCCGCGCCGCAGCGAAGTCTCTGGCCGAGGCGGTGAGCTTGCACAAATCGACAATGCAGGAGGTTCTTGAGAAATTAAGGGCGTCCTACGCAGAGCTCGCCAAAGAGAGGAAGCAGGAACTTGATGCATTTGGCATGCCGAGGAAGATGGACCTATCTGATCCATGGGAGGCCAGACACGGCATTGCTTTCGCCTTCAAAGAGCTTGCACCGCATCTTGAGAAGTCTCAACTTGATGACTTCTTCGCCTTCCTCATCGAGTCAGGTCCGCTGGGTGACCGAAATGACACTGTGAGAGGCGAGATGCTAGAAGCAGCGAACAATGCCATCACTGTCCACGGCAAGGCCATATTGGATAAGCTGATGCAAGCATTTGAGCGGACACTCGAGGTGCCTGACAAGGGCTCAGCCTTTGGCGACCGAGTCAACGAGGCAGTGATTATTATGTATGGTACGCTGGCTCGGCATCTCAAGCCAGGCGATGCCAAGATATCTGCTGTCATCGATAGGCTTTTGGTCACACTCAGCACGCCATCCGAGACTGTTCAGTACGCTGTGGCTGAATGTCTGCCACCTCTCGTCCGAACCTGTGGCGACAAGTCGTCCAAATACTTCGACCAGGTCATGGAGACTCTTCTCGCGTCCAAGAAATATGCGGAGCAGCGTGGTGCGGCCTATGGTCTCGCCGGCCTGGTGCTTGGCCGTGGAATCACGTCTCTCAAGGATTACCGCATAATGAGCACTCTCAAGGGCGCTAATGAGAACAAGAAAGAGGTCAATCAGAGGGAGGGTGCCCTCTTGGCCTACGAGCTCCTTTCGTCCATGCTTGGGCGTCTTTTCGAGCCCTACGTCATCCAAATCGTGCCGCAGCTGCTTACAGGTTTTGGCGATGGTAATGCGAATGTACGCGATGCCGCATTAGCTGCATCAAAGGCTTGCTTCGCTCATCTCAGTCCTTACGGTGTCAAGAAGATCATGCCTACTCTGCTGTTCGGTCTGGACGACGACCAGTGGCGCAGCAAGAAGGGGGCTTGCGACCTGCTAGGAGCCATGGCTTATCTTGATCCTCAACAGCTGGCGCAGAGTCTGCCGGATATCATTCCGCCATTGACTGCTGTCCTCAATGACAGTCATAAAGAGGTCCGTGCTGCCGCGAAGCAGAGTCTGAAGAGGTTCGGCGAGGTCATCAATAACCCTGAAGTCAAGAGTCTGGTGTCTATCCTCCTCAAAGCCCTTAGCGACCCTACAAAGTACACAGACGAGGCACTGGATTCTCTCATCAAAGTTCAGTTCGTGCACTACCTGGATGCGCCGTCGTTGGCTCTTGTCAGCCGCATCTTGCAGCGTGGTCTAGGCGACAGGTCTAACACGAAGCGCAAGGCATCTCAAGTTATTGGTAGCTTGGCACATCTCACCGAGAAGAAGGACCTTGTTGCCCATTTGCCTGTGTTGGTGGCTGGCCTCAAAATTGCTGTCGTAGACCCTGTGCCAACCACCCGAGCAACTGCCTCAAGGGCACTGGGTTCACTGGTGGAGAAGCTAGGCGAAGATGCTTTGCCGGATCTCATTCCCCAACTCATGCAGACCCTCAAATCCGACACTGGTGCTGGCGACCGTCTTGGTTCTGCACAGGCACTGTCCGAAGTCCTCGCAGGGCTTGGCACCTCCCGTCTCGAGGAGACTCTGCCTACCATCCTGCAGAATGTCGAATCTTCCAAGGCTGCCATTCGCGAAGGCTTCATGTCACTGTTCATTTTCCTGCCTGTGTGCTTCGGAAATAGCTTTGCCAACTACCTCGGCAAGATCATCCCTCCCATCTTGGCTGGTCTAGCAGACGATGTGGAATCGATCCGCGAGACAGCCCTACGAGCCGGTCGTCTGCTTGTCAAGAATTTCGCTGCTAAGGCTGTGGATCTTTTGCTTCCCGAGCTTGAGCGTGGTCTGGCTGATGACAGCTACAGAATTCGACTCAGCTCCGTCGAGCTTGTCGGTGATCTGCTCTTCAACCTCAGTGGCATCACAGGCAAGGAAGATGTCGAGGAGATGGAGGAGGAGACCATCAGAGAAGCCGGTACATCCCTGCGCGAGACGCTTGGCGAAGAGAAGCGCAACAAGATTCTATCGGCACTCTATGTCTGCCGCAACGATACTGCCGCCGCCGTTCGCGCTGCAGCCATTAGCGTCTGGAAGGCACTGGTATCCAGCCCAAGAACGCTTAAGGAGTTGGTCCCAACTCTTACCCAACTTATCATTCGCCGCCTCGGCAGCGCCAACATGGAACACCGTGTCATTGCCAGCAATTCCCTGGGCGAACTCATTCGCAGGGCTGGCGACGGTGTTCTTGCGAGTCTCTTGCCAACCTTGGAGGATGGCCTGCAGACTTCGACCGACACAGATGCGCGACAAGGTATCTGTCTGGCTCTGAAGGAGCTCATTTCATCCGCCTCCCCAGAAGCTCTCGAAGACCATGAGAAGATTCTCATCTCGGTTGTCCGGACTGCTCTTACCGACTCGGATGAGGACGTCAGAGAGGCCGCGGCTGAGGCTTTCGACTCGCTGCAGCAGATCCTGGGCAAGCGCGCTGTCGACCAAGTGTTGCCATATCTGCTTAACCTTCTGCGGTCTGACGAGGATGCGGACCATGCTCTGCAGGCTCTTTTGACACTGCTCACGGAGACAACCCGATCCAACATCATTCTGCCAAACCTCATCCCGACTCTCATCGCTCCTCCAATCTCCGCATTCAATGCAAAGGCGTTGGCGTCCCTGTCCAAGGTTGCAGGCGCTGCTATGAACCGTCGCCTGCCTGGCATCATCAACTCACTTATGGACAACATCATCAACTCCACCGATGATGAACTGCGTGAAGACCTCGATAAGTCGTTCGACACTGTCATCTTGTCCATTGACGAGTCTGATGGCCTGAACACGACAATGAACGTGCTCCTTCAGCTTATGAAGCACGAGGACCACCGGAAGCGGGCATCGACAGGACGGCATCTTGCCAACTTCTTTGCCCAGACCGACGTAGATTACGCTCGCTACAACCAGGACATCATCCGTGCCCTACTTATCTCTTTCGGTGACCGGGATATGGAGGTCGTCAGGGCTGCTTGGGGTGCATTAAGCGAGTTTACCAAACATCTCAGAAAGGAAGAAATGGACGCACTCGTTTCATCCACGAGACAGACTCTTCTCCAAGTCGGCGTCGCTGGCTCCAACTTACCTGGTTTCGAACTACCCAAGGGCATCAATGCCATCCTGCCGATCTTCTTGCAGGGCCTCATGAACGGAACGCCCGACCAAAGGACAACAGCTGCTCTCGCCATTTCCGATATTGTGGACAGAACAAGCGAGGCTTCTCTGAAGCCTTTTGTTACTCAGATCACAGGTCCTCTCATCCGTGTCGTCTCAGAGCGGTCAACGGATGTCAAGTCCGCCATCCTTCTTGCTCTCAATAACCTGCTGGAGAAGATGCCAACTGCGCTCAAGCCATTCTTGCCTCAGTTGCAACGCACCTTTGCCAAATCCCTGGCCGATACTTCAAGTGACTTACTTCGGACACGTGCGGCTAAAGCCCTGGGTACTTTGATCAAGTTCACGCCTCGTGTCGACCCTCTCATCGCCGAGCTAGTGACCGGCTCTAAGACATCTGATCCTGGTGTCAGAACAGCCATGCTCAAGGCTTTGTATGAGGTCATCAGTAAAGCAGGCGCCAACATGGGCGAGTCGTCTCGGACGGCTGTCCTCGGTCTCATCGACATGGAAACAGATGAGCGTGACGACAACATGACTATCACCAACGCCAAGCTCTTTGGCGCTCTCCTGAAGAACGTGCCGCCAGAGGTGGCAACCAATCTGCTCAAGAGCAGGGCCATGACCACGAATTTCAGTCACACATCGGTATTGACTCTGAATGCTGTGTTGGTAGAGTCACCGTCAACGTTGCTGGACACCCCGCTGGCTGAGGATCTGCCCGAATTGCTGTGTCAAGGCATGTCCCACAAAGAGGTAGGTCACTGCCCCATTACTTCTCATTTAGCACAGCAAAATACTAACTCATTATTGTTAGCCTTTCATTGCAGACAACTTCATCCTGGCAACTGGCAAATATCTCCTGACCGACACACCAAAGTCCTTTGAGTCGACCAAATCAATTTTCGAATCCCTCGCCATCCTCATCCCACCCGGTGGACCCGTCGATGCCCGCCGCCTCTCGCTTGTAGTGGTGCGCACAGTGTGCCGCGCCAACATGGACATGGTCCGTCCACACCTTGGCCTCCTTGCGCCTCCCATATTCGCATCGGTCCGTGACATGGTCATCCCAGTGAAGCTTGCAGCCGAAGCCGCATTCGTCGCAATCTTCAACGTCGTGGACGACGAGAGCAAGATCTTTGACAAGTTCTTGGCCAGTGACGTGGGCACTGCTCTTCCTGCCAATACCAAGAGGAGCATGGGCGATTACTTCAAGCGTGTGGCGCTGAGATTAGGAGCTCAGGCTAGGGAGAGGAGAGATGCTGAGGGCGGTATGACTGGTACGTTGGGATTGGGTGAGGACGAACGCGAAGATGAGAGGGAGATCTGGAGTGTGGGGAAGGTAGACGTTGGCGGAGATGTTTTTGGGAAGGACTAGGCGAATAGGGGTGCTGTACTTGCTTGAAAAGGGTGTGGTGGACCTCGTGAGGGTTCGTGAGCTTCGAGAAGATACCAATGGGTTGTTTGCTCTCTTCTTTTTATATGATTCAATGCATGGCATGGTTACCAATTGCTTAGGTTCAAAGTTTGTAGTTGGATGGGGGAGGGAAAAAAAGCACATGGCTGGATTTTAATTTTTCGAAAGTGGACGAATTGATTTCCAGGTCCCCAAGATATGGTCAGAATGACAGCACTCTTGCCAGACATGTTTTGTTTCGTGAGCGCCTTCACTCAGGTCCTCGGTTAACTGTCCTCGTGCTCTCAATCCTACCTCTTTGTTCAGATCTCTTCCTGAGCATTCTTCACAACCTTGAAGATCTCCTCACAACCACCCTATGCGCATGACGGGTGTCTGTCTCAGTCTGTGAACTCCATAAGCAGAACAGTCCACCCACCGCCACTAATAATCATGATTCTCAGCTGTCTCTAGATTTTCACCAGTGTTCAACCCAGCACAACCTCGATCGATTGTATGTCACAAAGTGAAAGACATAGTAAACAGTAGGGAACGTTGGTATGCACTTGCTTTGAAACTTCAAACTGTAGCCTTGCCAATTGTCTCCTGTTCTTGGTGCTCTTCTGGTCTTTTGCTCATGTATACTCATATCGTCTCGTATGATAGTGCATATTCCTTAACTATCCACTCAAATCGAAGGTGCCACTATGCCATTCCATCCTCCCCGCACCAGTATGCTGTATCAATACATTCAATGCGGTTCCTATTAACCTCACTAAGCTGAACTGATGGCCTTAGATTATCAATATATATCCTGTGAATTTTCAACTCAGCTGGATTCACGGTATTGGAGAGTGTGCAATGCAGACCTTGTTAATTGAGTGTCGATATTGAAGAGGAGCTTATTATTTGGTTTATAAAACCATTACTCTTTCTGTAAAATATAGAATATTTTCTTAATCTCTGTTTCTAATGATACAATGAATAAGGGTTCACGCTGCTAGTAGTGACAACTTACTTAGTGACTTTACACAGAATAGTATAATTAGCTAAAGCTTCTTCAGATGTCAGAGCACACATTTTGTCAGAATATCCTTACATTTACTCATTTGTCTGGATTACAACAGAGGGTGAATCACTTGTTTGAACATAATTTAAACATTCAGCCAATTCCAGAATATAAATATTAAGCCTTAAACACTCTGAACAAACATTTCTGGCTTGGTTTATTAGCAATGTGCACCACATCGTATGAGCACTGCACAAACTCGCCAGAAGCTGTGGTCTGCTAAAATAAAACTGAGTGAGTTTACCACCTCTAACACTGTTTTATTTGCAACCCCTTTGGAGGTAGATTTCCGATAATTTGTATAATCCGCACAATTGACTGAGTCTAATACACTTCGACATTAACAATGTTTTATACTGAAGAGCAACAATAATGGAGCAAGACTATCTACGGCAACACCGACAGCTCCATGGTGATGAGATGGACCTGACTCTCAAGCAAATCGCGATATGGGGGCATAAACATGGGTTCCAGCTCCTGGACAAGAAGAAGTGCTGCAAATGCAACATGCAGCCAGGGAAGGAATGCCATTGTCGTGATGTTGGTTGCAAAATGTCGCATTGCGGAGACGATGATCATGGACCATGCGGCAATGGGCACACTGGGTGTGCGAATTGCGCTTGGGACATCGAGAAGAAGATTCCAGTGACCAAGAAGGCGCTACAAGCTTATCGTCTGCTCAAGAAGGATGCGGCTGTATTGCATAGCGAGTTGCTTCAGAAGGATGACGAGTTAGCCACAAGAAGAAAGCAGCTTGCGAATGCTCAGAATTTCTGTAAAACTCTGGAGATAAGTATTTCAAGGCGAGACTCTGAAATCAAGGAGTCACAGGCGAAATACCAGATGATACAGGAGAAGTTGGGGAGGTCGAAGGTAGTGGGACAAAAGAAAGCAGCGGATAAGCCTGTGGACAATGTCGCTGTAGAAGGGAAAGCAATAGACAGAGGAGTTGCTTCTGAGGATTCCTGGAAAGCTGGGGAAGGAAAGATAGCAGAGAAACCCGTAAAGGATGCTATTGCCAAGGGAAGGACAACAGACATGAGCGTTGCTCCTGAGGAATCCTTGCAGGCATGTGACTAGGCAAGATCGCCCTGACGGGCACTGTTGGGGCTTCTGAATCGCTCGAGTAGGAAAAGGAGTGACATGGGGCAGAGTGTTTATTGATGGCCCGGAAGCCAGAGAAAGTCACATTTCTCTATGATGCATTGGGTCGGATTGTGAGCAAGGGCTGAAAGCTTGTGTAATGTTATGATGCCCAACTAAGATATTGTGTAGCAGCACGCATGATCATAATTGGACTACTCATAGTAGGCAGTATTTGTTTCCTTACCTCTGTATTTGTGTAACCTCGTGAGTCTCGATTTAGTCATCATCGCAGCTGTTCTCTGAGTGTGTCTCCCCAGCACCAGCTACCAAATTCGCATTTCCCCCTTCAGCCTCCTTCTTGAGCCTCTCTCTCGTATGCATCAGCGCTATCCCCAGTAAGTTACTCCCCCAAGACTCTCTAGCCACTTCTGCATCCTTCGCCTTGAACCCAATGCCCCATATTCGGTCAAACGGGCTCGCCTCAACCAGCTCTCTCCCCCAAGTATACAGTAGCTGTGCCTTCAACTTGAGGGTATCGTCGTTGGCGGGACTTGTGAATTTCAACCAGTTTCCCTCCTCGACGATTCGCATCCTCTCCCTCTTCCACACCTCGTCATCGAATCCCCTGATCTTGCGGCCCATGTTCCGGATTATTCTTGGGTGCAGTTTCTGCCCTGCCAGGATCCGTGCCGCGATGTCGTTGTCGCCGAAGAGCACCGCCTTCTGGTACATCATCCAGTGTTCCGCCGTGACGAATATCTTGGACGGGTCCGAGGGGGAGTAGAAGGGGTACTTGTACCACTGCGACATGTAGCCGTGAGGCGGCTCGGTCTCGCGCCAGAAGAAGATGGGACCGCGATCCTCTGGATCTGCATCTGCGGATGATGGTTCTGGGCATGCCAGAGTGGTGTTGGCTAGCTGCTCAGAGATCACTGCCTTGCCTTTGCCCTTGTTATTTCTGTGGGCTCTCTTTGAGACCCCCGTGGGGCGCGACGGGTCGCTGTTTGACGAAGACATCATCAAGATCGTGTCAAGATCTTTGGTAATCGCCTCAGTTGCCCAGACGTAACGATCGATTCGGGGACGTGATGAAAATTGGACTTGCTCTAGAGGTGCAGTATTACATAGACGCATAGGCATAGACATGCGTTGAAGGCTATCAATGACAAGAGGTCAATGGTTTTGCATGATATATGTTGACTTTGAGATGCTGTAGAAACATAGTGGCCCGTCCAAGGTCAGGCGCAGATGTTGTGTTACCCCAACCCCAAGTGAGGCTATGTGTGTGACTCTTCGTCAATCTGACTCACGCCGGACCATATTGGGTCCCAGGTTCCTGATGGCAGTAACGTTGTACAGGCTTCTTGCCGCCACAGTCATAAATCATCTAGGCTTTTGCAGGGTCAGGAAAGAATTGGCCATACGGGCAGTCCCCTAGAGCGATGGTCATTGTAGTTTCCCAGCTTGGACTCCTAATTGTGACGACCTCGTGATCGCCAACGGATCCTAATAAACTACAACTCAAGAGCCGCCACCCGCCCCAACCACCCAGAATTAATTATTATTATGATTATCTTTTCTTGAAGAAAAAAAAAAAAAAAAAACACCAAAAAAACCACAACGACAGCAAGATTTTACGAATGCGAGCGAAATAGACACTCCGATCTGGTAATTGTCTCAGCTTTGTTCATTGAGAGCGGCGGCGGAATTCTACTTTGCGATAAATAGTGTATTCGTGAAAATAGGATTTACTTGTCAATATCCCGACATTATGTAGTTACCCGAAACATCTTTTCAGATCCTCCGTTAACATGTGTTTGGCAGCCTTTGCATCCTTCACCCTCATTTGAGATTCATGCTGCGTCGCACTGTTGTTTTCTTCAAGAACATGGACAACTTCGCATGCATGCACCGATCGCTTCGTTGTGCTCCGCGGGTGAGATATTTGCTATTTATTAGGTCTGTTTGGTCACATTTCACGTGGTGAGGTGAAGCGAGCAAACCCCCCCACGGAGCCGGAGGGGGGCCAGAGACCTTGAAACTTCGGCCATTTCGTATGTGTCCCGGTTGTATAGAGAACTTGCCCGTTGGACGAGGCCATGCAGCATAGAATAATGCCCGAAGTAATCGGTGGTCATCTGACGTAGGACGGGAATTGGGAGAAGCGAAACTGCACAGACATACTATCACATTGCTAGGTTCGTTCAGAGCAATCATTTTCTTTTTGGTCTCGGCATTACATTAAGGTCTCTATTCGAGTAATGCATCGGACATGAAGATGTTGTGAGAGATACATACAGGCGTTTTGTGAACCTTCCTCGTAGTAACAGCCCTCGATCAGAGGTTGAAAGTGCCCAAATGTCCATCGTCCTGACTTACACGCAGGGTTGCAGGGGTGTATTGGCCCAGTCAACCCATTAGAGTAGAGGTCACGTGCTAGGTCATGCGGATGCTAACAATTTCACTAGCGCCCTGGCTGGCCGCACCAAGCTGGCGGGGAAGGGGAAGGAGCCCGTCTCAACCTCTCTCCTGCGCTGTCGCTTCGTCCGCTGCTTGGAAATTTTTACGACCCTTCCCTTCGAAGCCAGCCCCATCCAACCCGACCAAATCAATCGCCAACGACCATCACCAGCAACTGCAGTCAAGATGTGAGTGCCAAACCTCGAATCCCTCAACGATATATGGACACAAGGCAACACAGAAAGAGATGGATCGGTCGTTTGCTGGGGGACTGATTGATGGACCATAATCTTTGGGGGGAGGGAGATTTGGCCTACATGACGCCCACAGCACACACAAGCAAACGATGTGCCGACCACCTATCTTCATTATCATTACCACCACACCACCAGAAATCCTCGATATTCCGTCACTGCACACGATCTCGCGTCGTGATGGAAGGGAATTGGAACACAAGAGAGGAAAAAAAAAGTGGAGTGCTGACATGTCGATTCTTCAATGCACAGGGTCAACCTGCGAACCCAGAAGCGCCTCGCGGCCGATGTCCTTAGCTGCGGCAAGGGCAAGATCTGGCTGGACCCCAACGAGGTCAACGAGATCTCCAACGCCAACTCCCGCCAGTCGATCCGCAAGCTCGTCGCCGATGGCCTCATCATCCGCAAGCCCGTCACCATGCACTCGCGTGCCCGTGCCCGCGAGCTGAACCTCGCCCGCCGGATTGGTCGCCACCGTGGTTTCGGAAAGAGAAAGGGTACCGCCGATGCCCGTATGCCTGAGTACGTCTGCACCGCCTTTGTTGTTGAGATCAAGTCGCAATGTGAGAGAAGATTTAAGTGATGCGAGGCGGGACCACGAGTCATGTGGGGCGTACGGACAAGAGCTCTGGATATTCGGATGGTGGTTGCCAGCACGCGACGAACATGAAGCTGACATGCTGGATTATAGGCAAGTCCTTTGGATGCGCCGTCAACGAGTTCTCCGCCGTCTTCTCGTCAAGTACCGTGCCTCTGGCAAGATTGACAAGCACCTCTACCACGAGCTGTACCACGCTGCCAAGGGTAACACCTTCAAGCACAAGCGTGCCCTGGTTGAACACGTACGTACCTTCTCCCTTTTCCCCCTTTGGGACCAACTACGAACGGAGATGCTGACTTTTCTGCCTGTTTAGATCCACCGCGCCAAGGCCGAGAAGGCCCGCGAGAGACAGCTGAAGGAGGAGATGGACGCCAAGCGTGCAAAGACCAAGGCTGCTCGCGAGCGCAAGCTGGCCCGGCAGACAGAGAAGAGGAACGCCCTGATGGGCGACGTGGAGGAGGAGAAGTAAGGGCGGTCCGGACGACAACTCGATGTCGATGTCGACGGCAACGGTACCAGCAACCACGACAACATTCCTCCTCACTGAATGAAGACGGAAAGGGATCTTGCATTCGGAGTAATCGGTTGGGTTCGCGCTGCTCAGTACATATTTCTCTGAAATCCACAATCGCAGGGCTTCTTAGGGAAAGAAAAGATCTCTCGGTGTCTGTCTCGGGGGTTTCGGCATGTTTTGATGGCATTGAAAACGGGATCAATGAGCTGCGAGCAAATTTCATGGGATGGTTTCACCATTTTTCTAAACTGATGCTTGTTCTGGAAACGTGAATGTCTATGGTTTCTCCCACCTTACACTGCATGCTTCATATTCTGTCATCCTCCTTACACTAGGATAACCATCATATTGACATGCACCAGAAGTTGAAATGGAGAGAAGCCTCTGGTGCTCGTGCCTCAATTCCAAGAAGGCGGACGACCACAGCAAATCCCGTTCCCACAGCTATCTAGCAATATGTTGGACTGGGCTTGTCATAAGGATGTCAACACACCAAAGCACTAGCACTGGAACAGCTTCAACGTGTCAAAAATCCCTACGTAGGCCTGAGAAAAGACATCTTATTCTTCTGTACAATTGCAGTTTCAAAACTTAATGCTAGCCCAAACATGACCACAATCTTTGAATGTGTATATAAGCATGAGCCTGTGGGGTTAGGATGCCAATGACAACAAGGCCTGAGCTCACTCGAGCACTACAGGAAAAAGACTGGCACCGTGATCGCAAGGATCACAGAGCCATTGATTGACACATATCAATGCTCAAGGAGTGGCACGCCTATCTGGCAAAATAAAAGATAACACCAATGATGTAGACAAACGAACGAGTCATTAGGGAGAGGGCAGGGAATGGATGATGGGGGAAGGGGGAAGGGCACTTGATAGCCCTGATCAACCGAGAAAAAAAAATCTTTTTGTCCAGCTTGGGTCAGATTGGCTTCAAATTGTCTCTTCTTAAGGTGGTGAGGTGCCGCCAGAGACATGTCAGCATGCTCCCGCCGTAAGGCGGAAGAAACAGATGTGCTATCGAAGCGGCTTCATCATACCCAATATAGTTGATACAGAAGAGAAAAGAAGAAGAAAGGAGAAGAAATCGAAGAGCGCACAACTCGAAGATATTCTGCCCAGAGAGTGTGGTCCGTGCATCAGAACCCCCAGCAGCCCTCTATGCAGGGGCTAAGCTAGGAAAGAGAGGGGGTGCGGCCAGGTGTCTCCGGCGCCTGCTGCCCCAGCGGGGCCTCCTCCGCGAGTCGGTCCCGGCGGCAAAGGGTGGGCGCACTTTGCGGCGTAATGACGATAGACGATTGCATCGACATCCCATGTTGCCTGCACTCCATTCCACCCACCGACACCGGCACCGGCACTCAACCGAACCTCCACCGTTGCTTTTGCCCGGGCACTTTTGATATCTTTCTTTAATAGTCCCCCGAGTCGTCTCCCTCCGCCGACCTCCCACAATGGTCCTGTAAGCTTCCGGTAAGTCGCCGACCCTTTCCCCGTCGCCTCCCAGCCACTCAGGTTGAACCCCCGCGCCTGGGCTGGACACAAGCAACGTGTGTGGCTGACAATATCGATCGTGGTTGCTGAACTAGGCCTACAAGTGGAAGAGCAGAGTATACATAACTATGTCTGCATCTCCCCTGTTTCGAGGCGCCTCGCGCGTCCTGCGGTCCGTCCCAGCACGGTCGTGGAGCCAGAGGGGAAGCCTCGTCTCGGCGACGAGATGTGTTTCCTCGCTGAGCGTCGAGAGCCAGCAGAAAGTGCGCCAAGAAGCATCTGCTCATGCCGCTCCTATTCATGGTTCTGCCAAAGCTAACCGGACGTCTGCTGTGCAGCTGCTGGCCACGCATCTCAAGGAGGCCGATCCGGCCATGTACGAGATTATAGAAAATGCAAGTTATACCCCCTTCAACCATCATCGCGACGGCCAGGAGAGGCTGTGTGTGCGCGAATCGCCCACTGACTGTGCTTGATGCGTACAGGAGAAGAAAAGACAGAAACATTTCATCAACCTCATTCCCTCCGAAAACTTCACATCGCAGGCGGTACTGGATGCGTTAGGCAGCCCTATGCAGAGTACGACTACCATATAACCCTGTTGGGAGGCGGACAGAGACTTACACGCTATATTGCAGACAAGTACTCGGAAGGATACCCTGGAGCAAGATACTATGGCGGCAACGAGTTCATCGACGCGTCAGAGAGGCTCTGCCAGCAGAGAGCGCTGGAGACGTTCGGCCTGGACGACAAGCAGTGGGGTGTCAATGTGCAATGTTTGTGCCTCCCATCGTCCATGTTACCGCTACATATCATGACTGATTGACATGCCTGCTCAGCCCTATCCGGCGCACCGGCCAATCTCTACGTCTACTCTGCTTTCATGAACACACACGACCGTCTGATGGGCCTCGACCTTCCCCACGGCGGCCATCTCTCCCATGGGTATCAGACACCGACCAAGAAGATCTCCATGATCTCAAAATACTTCGAGACCCTTCCCTACCGCCTCGATGAGTCCACAGGCTATATCAACTACGATCAGATGGAAGAGCTGGCTTTGCTGTACCGGCCCAAGATCATCGTCGCAGGGACGAGCGCCTACAGCCGGTTCATCGACTATGCTCGGATAAGAGAGATTTGCGACAAGACGAATGCCTACCTCGTGGCTGATATGGCGCATATCTCGGGCCTGGTCGCCGCAAAGGTCATCCCCAGCCCCTTTTCCTTCGCCGACATCGTCACAACCACCACGCACAAGTCGCTCCGCGGTCCCCGTGGCGCCATGATCTTCTTCCGCAAGGGCGTCCGGCGCCAGAACCCCAAGACCAAGGAGGACGAGCTCTACGACCTTGAGGGGCCCATCAACTCCTCAGTCTTTCCGGGGCACCAGGGCGGTCCGCATAACCACACCATCGCCGCGCTATCCGTCGCTCTGAAGCAGGCGCAGACACCTGACTTCCGCGCTTATGCCGAACAAGTTCTAGCCAACTCTAGGTCTCTCGCGCGGAGACTGGGCGACTCCAAAGACAAGGGCGGTCTGGGGTACAAGCTCGTGTCGGGTGGCACGGACAACCACCTGGTACTGGTAGACCTGAAGCCGCAGGAAATCGACGGAGCGCGGGTCGAGCGCGTGATGGAGCTCGTTGGCGTCGCAGCGAACAAGAACACCGTACCGGGCGACAAGTCTGCTCTGATGCCTGGTGGCCTGCGGATGGGCACGCCCGCGATGACGACGCGTGGTTTCAGCGAAAATGACTTTGCGAGGGTAGCGGACATTGTGGATCGTGCCGTAGCCATTGCGTCAAGGGTCAGCAAGGCGGCCAAGAAGAATGCTGAGGAAAAGGGCGTCAAGGGCCCCGGCAGGCTCAAGGTTTTCCAGGAGTACCTAGGCGAGGGCGAGAATGAGCCCGAGATCTTACAGCTGAGGAGCGAGGTTGCGGACTGGGTTGGCACGTACCCACTACCCTGGGACTCGAGGTCGTGAGAAGCGATCGAGGGGTCAGTGGTGAAGTAAGACATAAACAAGATAGCCTGAAGGCGCGGGTACGCGGTAGGAAATGGATGGAGACGAGTTCAACCTGTTTGTGTAAAGCAAGTGTACTGCCGAGAGGAGATCGGGAACTACATGTGGTGTTCCCAGTGTTCTTGATTCAACACGATCATATTGTATACACTCTGGCGGGCTTTCTGTGCGTGATTAGCAGGCAGCCGAGCATCTATAACTCAACTCTCTTGCCCACTGAGTGATTCCTGCTGGCTCTTTGATGTGGTCTGGTCATGCCTATGAATGTGTAGAGATGGTCACCATATTCTTCGTGGTATATTGAACAGGTCTTGGAAGTCTACACAGCTACCATCTTTAGGATCCATCCACCCATCGATCATCAAGTCCTGTCCAGAATGGGGCTATTGTATGCACATTGTCTTGGACCAAAGTTCTTCAATGGAGAAATGAGTATCAGTGTCAGCTTGATCTCCAGGTCCAGCCACTTGACGCTTGTTCTCGACCTTGTTCTGGATCAACCCTATTGTCCAACAGACCAACAATAGCATCCTCGAAGGAATATAGTGATCAACTGTGGCAGAACCTCCTTCATCTACTAAGACTATTACCACTGCCTCCTCTCGCTCCGTTTCTTGACTGACTTGATCTTCGTGTGCCCTGACAAATTTCCTGAACGAATCCTCGATTGCCATTCTGAAGTTGAGACTCCCCCGTCTTGTCTCCTCACCTCGTGTCTGTTTTAACGCAGCCCCCGAAGTACTTTGAGTGTTCTCTCCTTCGCACCTCGCTCAACAACATCAACGACCACAACCACAACCACGACCACGACCGATCCCCTCTGAGGTGACCACGGGCCGTCAAGGCGAAGATGTCTGACATTACGAAGGAGAATGTCTCTGTTGAGACTGACGACAAGGTCAACGCAATCCGCGAAGATGACGAGATGCAAAACACCATAAATGAAAAAATCGACATCACCACACAAGGCAGCAGCGAAGAGACCAGGACCGACCTCGTAACCGCGGATGCTGGAAATGCGAACAGTGTTGGCCATCCGACCATCACGATCAAGTATCAGGGTCTCGAGTGGCACCTGGATCGACACAACTTCATGCGAAACAGCGAACTTGCAGTTACCACATTTGGTCGCGATACCAAGGTGAGAAGATAGTGACCACACACTCTCAAGTCTCTTCCAATTCATCCCAGGAAGGCCTTGCTGATGAGGCATCCGATAATCATAGTGCTATCCTCACAATGAAATTATGAAAGTACCTGACAACGCAAAAGGCGTCTCAGCCCAGGCCCTTGACCTCATGACGAATTACTTCAATGACGGAGCAGGTGAGCTTCCTTCAAGTCTGCTCCTGGGAAATGACCCGTCCCAACGTGCTCCAGGAAAGAAAAGAAGAAGAAAAATCCTGTTGACACAGCTCTCACATCATTCCAGAAGCTCCAGCCCAGTGGCTCACCTGCCATGGAGGCACCGAGCACAAGGGTCCCACCTGGATGTCCAAGATCCAAAAGAACCCCAACGCACTGCAAGACATGCCGGAGCACTTCACGACCGCCGCGTACTTCCAGAGCCGCAGCCTTGTGGTCCTGCTTCAGCTCGCCGCCTCCCGCAGCTTCATCGCCCTGATCTGCAGCAAGGGCCGCCAGCAGAGCCTGCCCAGCTATGCCTTGTACACCAAGGCCATCTGCGAGGCTCTGGGGGCCGCCTTTGACCCATCCCGGTGCCCGTACAAGGTGGAAGGCGCCCGGGAGGTGGCGCAGGTTGATGGTGAGGCCGAGAAGGACGAAGTTGGGTGTGAACACCAGCAGCCCGACACACTTTGCGCCGATGAGGTTCCTGCTCCACCACCCGTGACTGTCGATACATCCACCGTTACGGCCACTCCCACCACCAACGACGAGAATGGGGCTCCTCCTCCTCCTCCTCCTCCTCCTCCTCCTCCTCCTCCTCCTCCTCCTCCTCCTCCTCCTCCTCCTCCTCCTCCTCCTCCTCCTCCTCCTCCTCCTCCACCACCACCACCACCACCTTTCTGGGCCATACCCCTCCACCCAGCCCTCGAGCCCCTGCACGAGGTATACCTCAAAGCCATCTACACAAACCGCTTCGACCTCCTCAACAACCACGACGTCCTCCTCAGCCTCTCCGCCCACGCCCACCTCTCCGCCTCCTTCCTGCGCCACCTCGCCGACCACGGCGGTGTCGGCATCGAATACATGCACCGCGACGGGACCCGGTCCAGCTTCGACGTCTACGACCCCGCGGTCCTCCCCCTGCCGCGCCCGACCCAAGAACAGGCCCTGTCGCCGAGTTTCTTTTACCAGTTCCGCATGCAGCTGCTCAACGACGCGGGCTGGCTGCGCTGGGTGGCCGAGCATGAGCACCTGATGGCCTTGTTCTGGGCGGAGATGGCGTACAAGGGACAGCTGAGCTATGGAGGCGGGCTGGGCTGCGCTTTTCTGCGGTGGGACCGGCTGGAGGGGGAGAGCAAGTGGCGGACCTCGCCTTACTAACTTGGGCTGGCTCGGTGGTTGTTGGTTGACTTTGAGTAGTGGGTGGCGGTTTGATGGTTACCGGTTTGGTTTCCTCATTTCCTTGTTCGTTATTTTCTTTTTCTCTTTTCTTCCAAGGGCCAGTGGTGTCTCAGGAGAGGATGGTCACTGTGACGGGAGAAAGGTCGCCGGTCTTTTCCTTCGCGGGTAAAGAAGAGGAAAAAAGAAGAAAGAATAAGAATCTGATTCCCTACCATCGCTATGCTAGTATGTCCTGTGCTATGTGTGCCCCTACGACCATTGAATGCTCACCTCGATAAGCTGTCTATCGTGGGTTCACCGATGGTGATACTGCCCTCTGTTAGATTGTGGATTTTCTCCCTTCCCGAATATCTGTCAGCGTGAAGTTTCATAACGTAAAATCTCGTCGCTCCCATCGTTTAACCAACTTCCTCCAACCTTCTCAAGATCTGACAACTTCCTATTACTCAGGTATAGCTCAGGGCTTGCGTCTTTTTCTCGGCATCAGTCGCGCCATCTTCCTGGGTCGGGGGCCCATTGTCCCTGTGCTCAGGCGTTGGGATGACCTTCTCCCCAAAGACCTGCATCACACTCTTCCTAGCTGCGAAGTCGACATAGTAATTCTCGAGCGCCGTCCATTTCAGGTGACCAAACACAGAACGGCCCGGAGTGACCTGGAAGCCCAGGTCCACACTCCACGCTATAGCCATGTCATGCAGCACAGGCCAGAGCGCATAATCAGCAATGCTCGGCTCTGCACCACCGGCGATGCCCACAAATGCATCTCGGCCAGGACTGCCAGCCAGCGGCGTTGCCCACCTGTTAAACGAAGAAAGTTCTGCCTTGACCAGGCTGGCGATTGCCTCTCTAAGTTGGGCTTTCTCGCTGCACTTCTCGGCGTGCCAAAGCTGCTTCCATCGCTGCTCTAGGGCAAGGGCAGCATAGAACCGGCTGTATATGTCTGCAATCTCACCATCGCTGCGTCTCTTCCTCGGGTGCTTCATGTCGAGGTAAAGGAGGATAGCAGCGTCGCCTACCGCCGGAGTGCGATCCGCATCATCTACCAAGAACTTGACAGGTACCAACTCGCCGGCCTCGGCGCCACGTACCAACGGCAGTCCGCTATGGCTGCCAGTCTTCTGCTTGGTATCGAAGCCAATATCACCTCTTGCATACTTCACGCCGCACTCAGCCAGCATAATTCGGACGCGGCCATCAACAATCGTGTCGCCGCACCCGAAGTAACGTGGCGCAGACTTCATATGCAGCACGTCGTACCCGCGCCCATAGTTTGCTTCCCAGTCGAAAGAAGGACTGTGATTCTCTTTTCCAAAAGCCTTGAGCATTGGGATGGCCTGCGGCGTCTGCCCATTGACAACTGGCCTGGCTGTCTCGGGAACTTTAGAGGTCGCACCCTGACCCCAGATAAGTGGCTCTTTGAGGGCGGCGCCGCCTGGGGAAAGGCGTGTCAGAAACGTTCCGATGAAGCGGAAAGTGAGGCTGATGCGGATCCCATTCCAGGCGAGCTCGGACTGGGACTTTTCAGTTTGGGGTCGCTTGTCGGCACGGATACCGTGGAGCCATTTTTCGTTGGTCATGAGGCCCATCTTGATAAGAGAGTTATGTGGCATAGGGCAGCGTATAGTTTGACGTTGTGAATAGGGCGGAGTAGGCTTGAATGACGAGGTCGTTTCATCCGTGTCTTCTTTGGAGAGCGTCTTGACATTATCATCGTCTTCGTCCAGACCTAGTGTCCCATTCTTTTGCCGAAAGACGTCCTTTCTCTCGCCTCGTTTCTGCCGGAAGATCATTATCCTCTCGGCACCGAGACTGACATTTGCGATGTAAGAACCCCTGACAATATCAAGTGTCTTGTCGCTGTGCTCGCTTATGTAGTCGTTGCCATTCCGATAGCACTGAATCAGAACGTGGTTGATTGGATGGCCCAGTGTCCGAGCGACATGCAATCTGATCTGTTCCACCGCGGGTGTGAACGGCGCTAGAGGTGGTGATTCGTCGCTGGGATGTCTGTAAACCGGCTCCGTACCGTCCTCATCAACTTGACCCTGGACCGCGACGAAGCGGGGCACCTCGCCGCCTTGGTGCAGCATTTTCTTAAAGTGCACCTCATAACACAATCGCTCGAAAAGGCCCTCGATGAGGCATGGCGGGAGAAAGTCCAGAGTCAGAGTCGTATCTCCCTCACAGAGCGCCTCTGGCATGTTCGATTTCGTAGTGCTAGAGCTGCTTACTGCCTCAGTACCCGCTGCGCCTTCCGGCCCTTTGGTAACAATCTTGTCTGCTGAGGATCCGACTTGCTGAGTGGCGAGCTTTGTGTTGATCAATGAGGATGCAGACGGAAAATCTGTCTTTGATCGATGGACCCGAGCTTCTTCCAGGACATCGTCTGGTGTTGGCATCATCAATAAGGTTTCTGAGATAAGGATTTCCATTTTTGGAGGCGCGTGAGGCCTTGCGTTATCGGCCTCGTGTTCTGTGGATGCGGTTTCGTTGGTCCCTGTCGATGAGACGTGGGATCTATTTCCTTGTGCAGCTACTTCTCTCGCCGTGGTTCCGCCGCTCTTTTTATCGCCAAGACGTTCTGGTGCTTCGCCAGCCTTGGTGGGTTCTTTTGTCTGCTCTGGCACGACAAATTCTCGGCCAAGGTCATGATCAGCCCTTTTCTGTTCCTGCGCATCTGCGCCCCCAGCCTTGGCGTCCTGGGCTGTCACCACGGGTTGAAGCGGCGGCTCATCCTTGGGCTGGGATGAGTCATCTTCGGGCTCCAGTGTGATGACCTCGACGGCAGGTGTGTCATTGACAGGCTGAGAGATTTTGGCAGGCTCTGGAGATTCGGAGCTTAGCTTCAGTTTGTCTAGTGAGGAGAGAAGGTCTTGTGGTGATGGTGATGATGATGATGGTGGTGATGGTGATGGTGGTGATGGTGATGGTGGTGATGGTGATGGTGGCGGCGATGGAACAGCAACCCCTCCTCCAACCCCAGCAGCTCCTCCTCTTGCCTCTCTGGTCTCCTGCTGATCCTCTGGGTTGCGGGCAGGGTCAGTTGGAGGAGATGCAGGTTTTGGACGTACGGGCATTGCCTTGTTTCTGCTTCCTGCCATGGCCGCCGCGATGAGCTCCGCTGGTACCTGCGGCGGCCCACGTGGAGGACTGCGCTCCCTGGGCTCCCTAGATGATGAAGGGGCTCCCGGTAGGAGCGTAGATCTGACGTCGGCCGCTGTGGTGAATTCACATCCGGTCTGCTCCATCAACTTCCTAGCCGTGTTCATATGGCGCATCTCGCTCCGGTAGCCACAGCAGTCCTCCACGATGGTGATGCTGAAGCCGTGCGAGCTGGCGGCGAGAGCGGTCGCATACACGCTGACATTGGACATGGAGCCGCAGATGTACAGTTCTGTAGCAAACTTCCTCCGCAGCAGATCAAGCAGCTGCCCAGATTGGAAAGCAGAATAGTAGCTCTTGGTCATGGCGTAGTCGCCTGGTCCCTTGGCCGCGGCGATGGGAGGTAGCAGCTCTGCACCTCGGGTGCCCTTGCGTACGCACTGGGGCTTGGTCTTCCCAGCCTGGCCTCCCACAACGCTCAGGAAGGCCTCCGGGTCGTTCTCGACAGGCGAGGCTGCGGATGGCGATTTGCGTATGCGAGCGGCAGCGGCCCCGGGCCTCATGGGCAGTTGCGGCGTGTCCGCGACCATGATCTGCTGGTCACCTGCTGAACGGTTGGCCTCGAACTGGCTGCGTACCCAAATAACCTCACCATAGCCAGAGTCACGGATGGCCTCGGCCAGGTCGATGACCCTGTCGACCATGCCCTCGGGCTGCTTTACAGGAAGTGCACCATCCTCGGAGAGAAAGTCGTTCTGGAAGTCTATGGCCAGCAGAGCTTTTCGAGTCGGGACATCCGGAAAGTCGGCCGGGTCGATAGGGAGAAGAGACATGGCTGATACAGCTAGCTGGGCTGGAAATAGACGCCACACATTGGGTAATTTTCCTGGCAATACCTAGATGGACAGACCAGGAACGATGACGGGAGACAGTGCCGAGATATTCTAGAAATTGTGTTTCTATCAGCATTTGAGTCTCCAGGGTGATACCAGGTGCCCGCCCGTTTTCATGATGTGCCTAGAAAGGGCGCCTCGACTATACAGCATGTACATACATCCAATGTCTATCCACAACGTTGAGTCAGACGTGACTCGTCGACTCGCAAGTGTGACTCGAAATGGTTAATTCGATGGGTTGGGATACGACCTGTAGAAGTATGTGTGTGCGCGCGCGTGTGTGTGTGAACAGGATCGGGGAGACCTGCATAAATGCATGTAATTGATTGAGTCGGGCTCGCTTCGAGGCTGTGCGAGGTCGCTTAAGCCCAACAGCGGGGTATTTCGATCACCGACCACGAGAGATGACACAGAGAAAGGGATCGATCCGAGGCCGAGGACGAGGACGAGGACGAGGGCCAAGGTGATCAAATTGCTAACACGAATATTCCCTCTCCTTCGTCTTCGTCGCCTTTTCGTCAGGCTGAGGATGTCGTAGGCAACCGACAGGTCAGGTCCTAAGCGAGGTGTGGCTCAGAGGGGGAAAGAAGCTCGCTCTCTCTCTCTCTCTTCCCTTTTTCTTTTCCAACAATTCATCAAGGGGGGAGTCTCAATGACTTGACGACGAAAGTAAGAGAACGCATAAGTCCAACAATTCAAGTGGGAAAATATCCGGTAAAATGTCCGTGGAGGGCAAGCTGTGTTGGGGTCAGGTAGGGGAGGGAAAGAAATATGCTGTTCGGTTTTGATGGATCATGTCTGGGCTTGTGACAGTTGACATTTGAATGGGATTTCATGCCCGTTTAGGTGCGTTGGTGGGGTGGCTTTACAGGGGTACAGGGTCCTTTCTTAGCTTCAACGTCTCTGTGCTCTAGCAGCCACAGCCTAAGGGAAGGGGCCCGCTGGGGGGGTTGACTGCGGTAATCCTTCCGTGGTGGATCGTTTACCTTGCGTGGCCCCCTGTCAGGTCGTCACCTGCCGCTGCTCAGTAGAATATCCCACCCGCCCGGCTACTACGAGTACCAGGTAAAGCTGTGGGCACGCCCTGGATGGGATGCCGATGGAGACCCTTCTCGGGTGCCCGCACGTCAAGCCAGGATGCAGTGGATTGCTCGTTCTCGTATCGAGACTCAGACATTTTGAAGGGCAGGCAGCCCAAAACTGAGACATGCCAGAAGCACGAATGAGCACAGATCGGGTTCATCGCTGTGATGACGAAAATACTATGTATTTTGTTTCTGGCTCCAGACCTGATCTTTCTTTTCTTCCTCGAGACACCATGAGGCGCAATCACCAGAAGAGACGTGCTACTAGGCACTGACATATCGACTCTGGACAGCTACGACGCTGAGCATTCACCGCTACGAAGAAGGCAGAGCTGTATCACAGTATTCTCATGGTCTGCCAACAAAGTACCATGCATTCCTGGTATACATTTCACAACCGCGCTGATGCCCCCTCGTATGATCATTCTTGAAACCCCTTTAGGATTTCCCTCTCGCCTTTACTATTGAGATCCCAGGGCCACGTGTATCACCCACGCCACCCTCCTGCTCTAGGACCCTCTTCCCCCACTTGAGACACTTACTTTTCGGAGGGAGAAGGAGGCAAGAGAGATGCACGTCCAGCCCTGCACGCACATGGCATCTGTTGGGCTATGGCGGCGCTAAGAAGCGTTCACTGATTCGAAGATTTACGCATCAGGGTTGCAATGGCTGCCGTCTCTCGTCCAAATTAGGTGTTTGGGGAAAGAAAAGGAAAACAGGGACATGTTTCCCTGTGTTGGAGGGGTGCCAGGGTGGAAATTGCTGGCTCGCCTGGCGGCACATTGCGGCATGACCTCTTTTTTCAAAAGTGTTGTTTAGCAGCAGCACCGGCAGTCGCTGACCAGTGTCCAGGGCGCTGCCCTCAATTCTCAGCCCAACTAGACGGGCTGTCGCAAGCTATATTTCGAGCGGGGGGTGCATACAAAATCTTGGGGGCCGAAAAGGCGAGACCCGTCGTCAACCCTTCAAAGGCCGGCTGTTATGCGATTACAATTACTATGGTACTGCTGAGAGGTCATAGCGACCTTGTGCTGCTTGCCCTTTGTTTTTTGTTTTTTTTCGAATGGAAGGGAGGGTAACGTTGGGCCCAAAATGAGCGTGTCAGATTTCGCATCATACTGTACCTGGTGCTGGCCGTGCATGCAAGAGTTGGTGTGCCGGACCGCCCCATCCGCCCTTCAGCTGCGAATCGTCGCACTAGCTGCGAGACATATGCCGAATGCGTCAAAAGACGGCGAACTCAAATATTAACGAGAGTTGCTCAAGTGTGCTGGACCTTTTGCCGAGAACTCGCCATGAGCAGTGAGGTCGAGCCAACTCACATGCTCTCTGACCAAGATTTTCAAAGTCATGTAACTGCTTCTGGAGTGTCGGTCTGGGCCTTAAGAACGATCCCCGGCTGTCCCGGACAACATGTTATCTCAGCACCCTGTCAAAAGTTTAAAGTTATATATACCCAAAGGCGATCACTCAACATTCAGATCGGAGGCAACGGAAGGCTCAAGCCAGGGGGGGAGGGGGAGGATTCGGTTGTCGCCAAGGTGAAGACATATCCCATGCCTGTATATAATAATGCAGGATTCTTATAATACCGGAAAGGGCTCGGACTGTTGGGGCTTCTCTTGTGTAATCACCCCACCAGCTTGACCGAGTCGCAAGGAAACACTCCTTTGAATTGATTCCTCGAAACTGCCATTTGTTCACATGACAAAACAAGAGTGCGCTCGGTTTCTTTAAGGCCATCTAGGCACAATGCAGGTATTCTTCACTTCTCACTGCCGCAATCGAGTGTCGTTATTTATACAGTATACCCCATACGGCTCACCCCATTTCCTTCATGATGACTCTGCGCCCATCGAGCAATCGATGCAAACATGTCCAAATTACTCAATATTAACTACATGCTTCCCAGGAGTGCGTAGGCAATAATGGTCATGAGATAGTTGATAGATAGTTCATGAATTATACAAAACTGAAAGATCAAAAAAAGAGTAAAATCTTGCAGACCACATTCCCACCCTCATGTCCCTCCTCAGCCCCGCCAAGACGTTCTTCACAAGCTCCAAGATGAAGATCGCGATCACCGGGGCCCGCGGCACCGTCGGCCGCGAGGTGGTCAAGATCTTGTGCCAAGGAGGGCCACCACACAGTGCAGATCAACCGCAGCGACCAGCCGCACGACGGAACGCCCGACTCGGAGATGCGGACCGCGGACGCCGCCACCGACTACGACGCCACGGTGCAAGCCCTACGGGACTGCGACGCCCTCATCCACCTCGCCGCCGTGCCGAACCCGCTGGGCAGACCCGACTGGCAGACGCATCATGAGAAGGAGTAGAAGCCACTGGAGGCACTGCTATGCGAGCACTAAAAGGATGGCCATCTCCAGTGCGAACTGGAAAGGATGTGGAGTCTATAGACAAATAGACAGGATTCGCACAGTTACTGTTTCGTTTAGAAGGCAGAGAAGTTCAACAAATAGAGAAAATTAATGTGTTAAATCAGAGCCAAGCTAATATCAGTGCCATCATACACTATGATCCCTCAAATGTCTTTGACAAGTCGAGGGAATTATGCACAACTCTTGTCCTTTTTCTTTAACAAACCGGTTCATTACCTACCGACCTCCGAGCAAAGCGATGCGCCTCACTCATCTTCTTAGTCTCGGTACACAGAAATTGGGCTTCGTTTTTCCGGCCTCAGACGTACTCTGCCACGGGGAATTTCGTGCCCATGCTCTCATATAACATCAGCATGGCGAGTTGATTCAAAAACCTTGCGAACCGCTCATTGAATCGACGCCTCCAAACGCTTGATGATCAGCTCGTTTATGCAAGCCTACCTCCTCTACCAGGCAGCTGGCTAAGGAAACTGAAGGACTGTTATTGATACTGCAAGCATTGACTTTTTTGCATGAAGGCCTCATGAACCAAATGAGGACTGCGTCAATATAATTAGGCCGAGGAGCGTCAACAGTTCGCAATGAGGCCATAGACGTGGTTCAACTATGAGAAAGAAAGGGAAGCGGAGATGTGCTTTTTGGTCGAGTCATAGTACCTAGCTACTGAGGATGAAGACTTATAAACGATTGTGATCGCCAATATCCCATTACTGGGTGTCAATGTCCCGCCACACGACTGCAGGATCTGCCATGCGCACCAAGGCATCTCTGTGAAGGATCGTTACAGAAAGTATTGTATTATATATCTCTAAGTGGCCTTGCAATTGTCTTTCTCTTCTTTCATCAGAGAATCAGTTTCTCATAGGAACACAACTGGTCGTGCAGCATTGCCACCATGCCCGAATTTTCCTCTCTTCAGGTTTTTGGCCCACAGACGGTGAATGAGTTCCGAACGCCCTGGTATATCGCTAGCCGCGACCTCACGCCTCCTCTCAGTTCCTAAAGCCGTAATGAAGGTTATCAAGAGTCTGCTCGGCGGAAGCTTCAATGTCGGCGTGCCAGTTGGTTGGCTTTAGGACACAAGGCTGCTGGCCAAGGAACACAGCCTTCCTTAGTGTTGCTGAGAGACTGCCCAGGTGCCCTGATCTTGGGTGTTGCATGTGCCTGATGTGCTATCGATCTCGATCAACAGCAGGATTTTGGACAACAATTTGGCAATGTTGCTTTTGGCTGATAGCTGGATAGGAAGACGCGAGTTTGCTTCCTGACGGTTCTGAAACGGCTTCGTCATTTTTTTCCCTTTCTTTCAAGAGATCGCCTCGAATGACCTCTACGCACTTGATCAATAGCAGCCAAGAATGGTCTTGGAAGATATTGTAGCAAGTCTGCCACTCGTTGATCCCCAGTGCTTATTGTTGGTCACATAATGGCAACCCGGGGATGCACTGCAGTCCCGTACAGGCAACACGGCCAGCAGCAGGTGACGAGGTTCTCATGTTGACGAAGCTCTCGCACGCTCCACCACAGAGATATGGTGCCGGGCTGATACGAATAGCTGCCTGGACAGTTTGACCGGACTTACCAGCTCGAATCGAACCGACTTGATCGTTGCTGAGGGCCGCGATACAGCCGTTTCCATGCTTGCACCCGCCTCTGTCGTTCTCGCTCCAGGACGTCCATCTCTTCGAAGTCGACATCACCAATCTTGCCCTGGGTGGCATTATCAGCCTCAACCCCTTCCGGGCCCATGATTTGTGCAAGGCGAGATGGGAGCCCGCTTTTGCTGGCCAGAGGAGCATCCTTGACCCCTCTCCACTTAGCCCACTTCCTTTTGCCTTCGGCGTGGCTCATCGCACCCATATAGATGGCATTGCCGGTGTTCTTCCTGTCCCTCGGATAGAGCGTTTTGTTCCAGCATGGGTCATGACCCATCGTAATCGACACTCTGCCCTGGAAATGCTGCCTCAGTACTTGAAGGAGAACCCTGGCCTGCCTCTGGTTGTCAAAGAAGCGCCATTCCATGAAGTGCTGGCCACTGGGAAGTTTGGAGCACTTGACAGGCTCTGACTTGAGACCTAAAGGACCCAGAGCCTGCACGACCCTATCATTGCCCAGCAGCAGCTCACGTAGACGTTCTTCAGTGAAGCCCTCCTCATCCGGGTTTCCACGTAGGTAGAGCACGCGTGAGGAGTTCTCGCTGAAGTCGTTCCCAGAAAAGGCACGGTCGTAGTATATAGCGACATGCGGGGGCTGGCCACGGATCAGGAACGAACCCTGCTTGGCGAGGCGCACCAGATCCTGCGGTGCGGCGGCATGGTCGAATAATACGATGGCGGCTTTCAAGTCCTTGCCGTTCTTGCTGTGGATTTTGTCTGGGATGGCCACGGATAGTACACGGCCTACAGGTGCAGTTTTCGCAATTCCTCGCACGATATCGAGGTGTGTCACCGTCGGATCGAGCCCAAAGATACGGGCGAAACGGTAGAACGACGGTAGCTGGGAGGTTTCATCCTGTGTCTGGGCCACCACCCGCTGAGAGGATCGATTGCGGTTTGGACTCCGTGTTGGTATTGCGAATGAAGCTCCGGTTCTGCGGATTCTGACACCGATGTTCGACCCGTCCTTTTCTGATACTACAAGATCTTCCTGTGAATTTGGAGCGGCGGCAACCTCAGATCTAGGCTGCGAATTCTCTAGCCTAGGCTCTGCGGTCTGATCATCGAGGTCCAAGTCGGGCTTCTTCACGGCTTCTGAGTCTGTCGCCGAGGCAGCAATGGCGACGACCTCATCAGGAACGCCAGAAGGCGTCGATGACGTTGAGTATCTTGATCGGCCTGACAAAATTCGTGACCTGAGTACTACACAGGAGCGGAATGCTTGCAAGCCTGACTTCTGGCTATTGACCTGAAGGAGAGACATTGACGGCGGCAATCCGCTTGGACCTGCGATGCCTCGAGATATGTCTTCACGTTTGCTCGTTCGTTTATGATGAGTGAAGTTAGTTGCTGCCTTTAGGCCCTTTACTACTCCAGGTTTTAGAAGATGCAGAAAGACCCCAGTCTACCCCTAACCCTGAGAAGTATTGTCCGCAGACCCTCCCAAAGTTCTACTCATCAGTTCTTCCATCTGCGATTTTAAAACATCCAAGTCTATTTATACTCAGGAAATATATCTTGATCTATGCTGTCTTTCCTTCAGGCTCTAATCTATTTCATGCAGTGTAAACATTAAACTTTCTCTCTAATTGCGAAGACCTTTGCTCAGGTAATTCTGAGCTGCGTCAGTAGCTAATTTCAATCCCGCGATGACCTCCGTGAAGACAGGACGTGCAACAACTTGCGCCACGCAGCAACGCCGGTGAAGGTCTTGAAGCAATGCCAAAACCTGCACGTCCTCTTCTGCACGCACCAGGCTCAGGATTTCCTCAATGAGGTGCGCAAAGGCGAGGATCTCCAATTTTTCCAGCAGCGGCGAGACACACCGATCGTATATTGTTGCGGCACCGAAATCGCCTAGTAACGAATGACCCTCCGTATCCGTGAGGATGTTATGTGCGTACAGATCCCCGTGTGCGATGCCTTTCGAGTGAAGATGCGCCGCAGCTGATGCAATGCCAGTCAGGATGTTAAGGGCCTTGTCGAGCGCCAGTATCGCATCTGCTGGGTATGTGTCTCTTGTGCAGGTCTTCAACGACGGCGGTTGTCCCAGGGTGAGGTAGTGAGGAGGGATGAGTTGCATAACAAGGCCTCCTTTAAAGGAACCGCTGGCCTCGTCTGGATGGCCCTGGATCTGGCCAAGGACATCAATGATGCCCTCGTGCTGGCCTGCTGCTATGCAAGCTCGCATCTCATCTAGTGGGGTGCCGTCGCTCGTTAATGCACCTCTGAAGAGCTTGATTGCGACTTCAAGCCTAGTTTCCGGGTCAATCCGCCAGAGGCCTTTCGATATGATGCCGGACGCCCCCTGTCCAAGCGTTTCATGAACCTCGAGGTCGGACCAAGCCACGTGCGCAAGCCTGGTATGTGTATGACCATTCGTGTGCACTGGGACTCTATCCGTCTCCTCGGTCGGCGTAGAGCAAGGATTACCAGCAAAGCTGAGGAATGCCAACTCAGGCATGTCGAAAAGCCACTCTGGAAGTGCTTTTAGCCTGTTCGAGCTGAGACGCAGAAGACCCAGCTTCTTGCATTCCCGCATTTCCTCGGGTAACGACTCAAGCTGATTGCCTGCCAGCATGCACTTCTGCAGTCTTCCACAATTCCCAATGCTTCTTGGCAAGCTCTCCAAGTTGTTATCCGTCAGAATCAGCCATCGCAGACAGGGCGGAAGCGCATCCTCAGGGACAAAAGTCATGCCGTTCCCTCGAAAGGCGACCATCTCCAGCTGGGGGCAGGAAGCCAGCTCATTCGGGAAAGTCTTGAATTGACATTGTGAAAAGAAGACGATTTTGAGATTCGGTAGGCTCGGTCCAAAATTTGATGGAAGGGAGGAGAGACCTGTCCCTGAGAGGTCGAGCTGTTCGAGCGTCTGGCCGAGATCCAAGATTTCCTTGGGGAATGTTTCCAGAGCACAAGTCAGTTTGAGCGTTCTCAGAGCCTCGTCTTGGTAGCCTCCTCTCTGGAGGATCTCGAGGTCGTGCATGTTAGCGAGCTGGCGTTTGGGCTCTTGTAAAGCAAGGAGAAGACAGACTGTAGGATGAAAGAAAATAACCACACTAAAGACGCCTTCCCCTGGTGTGCCTTCTGTTAGATCAATCTCACGATATGTGAACCCCTTGGGCCGGCGCGTTGCGCCGAGCCAGCCATCCTGGCACGTGTGGATCCGAGGACGTTCTCAGGGGTAACACTGTCGTCGTCCTACGATAAGCATGATAAGCATTGTGCTATGTTACAGTAGTCCAGGTTAGCCTTGAGGGAGAACTGTCAAACTGAGAGAAGACACAGAAGGAGTTTCTTCGTCTTGAAGCGAAATGCAGGAAGGGCAGGCAAGGAGAGAAGACAGCCGAATGTTGTAGGATGACTGAAGCCCTGAAGCGACAGGTCTTGAAAGGTGTGAACGGCAAATTGACCTCTTGGACTTGTATTGATTCATAAGCCTTCTCTAGCGTTGGTGAAGATGCTGAAATGCCTCTTTGAGAGTCATTGACTTGAGGAACTGCTTTGGAATTTCTGGTTTATCATGAAAGAATTGGAGTGAAGCCCCCCCCCCCCCACAAACAGCGAAGTGTGAGGCTCAATTTGTGGAACGATGCTAAAGCCTTGAACTGAGCAGGGGTCTGGAGAACTGGAACCCCACTTTTTATGCTGGGTGGAGCTCGGGCTACTCCGCCTACCATGGAATACCTGCACGCCGTGCTTTCAACAACATCGTTCTAAAGCAACTCAACTTCGTCACATTTACGCCCAGCTTAACATCTTTCCATGCAACATTCGCACCAAACCCTCGAGATACCCAAACTCGCCCAAACTCCTATCACATATTGTCAGGATGAGCGAGGAAGCGCCGCGTAAGCGCACTTCGTCTTCCACCGATGAGGATCCTCCCGCCAAACGTCAGCGCACCGAGTCGGCGAGCACCGCGAAGTTCGTTGACGCCCCCAGTCCACCTGTCGCAGCACTTTTGGATGGTGGCGCGATCAGCATAGAGGAGCCACCAAATGAGTACCATGTGAACAGGACGGCATTACAACGCTCGATTGCGCTTGCGCTGGAGCACGTTGGTTTCGACACCGCTACCGAGGAGGCCTTAGAGAGTTTTACGCTGATGACGGAAACATGTCAGTCCGCCAGTTGTGCACTGGCGCAAATCAATGTGTGCCTTTGGTTTTAGTGTTTCTGACAGCGGACAATCACAGACCTTGCATCTCTGTGCGAAGATATCATGTCGAGGGCCAATCACGCACGCAGAAATATGACGATACCAACAGACTTCGAGCTCTCCCTCAAGTACTTCAACGTCGACCTGACCAATCTGAAACGACATCGCCGCAATGCCATTCCACGGGAGAAGATACGCGCACCTGAGCAAGAGATAAATCCCAAGGAAATGAACACCTTCAGGGATCTGCCGACCCTTGACCAAGAGCTCAGCGGCAAGCCCGACAAGGACACAAAACTATACATACCCAAATATTTCCCTGACTTCCCCAGCACGCATACCTACAAATACACTCCAACCGATATCGAGTCTGTCACAGTGCGCACACCCATCCACGAGGCAAACAGTGAGGCGAGGGGCAATGCTCCCCCGGCACCCGACTGGCGCGGCGACCCCAAGAAGATCCGCGAGGCGGCTGCTGTACAGGCAAAGCAAGCTGAAGAAGCACTGCGGAAACTCGTGCGTGCTAGCAAGATGGCAAGTCTCAAGGACCTACGTAGCACTGCCGAGAAGAACCCAGTGGCGAAGGTGAAGTACGACCTGTGGGAGGACATGATGAAGGAGATGATCGAGGAGCGCGGCTCAGCAAATCGCAAAAACGATGCAGCCAGGGAGGATGTCGCGGATCACAGCATGATCGCAAACTCCCAGAAAAAATACTTCCGACGAGAGATACCTCGCTCCCAAAAGAAGAAGTTGGGTGTAACTCTTGGGGGCCAGGGCTGAGGGAATGCGCTCAAGTTCTCGACTATCTCAATGCGGTGCAATGCCGCCGGACCCAATACAGCGACCACTGTTGCACTTGGCTTACAGTCAAGAGGGGGATTCACGCGATTCTAGGTGGTCATCTGGCGGACGTGAGGTGAGAGGCTTCATTCCCACAAAGACGGGCTTTCTCATCATTGTCGAATGCAGGTTTCACTTGTAGGTGCTCCATCTGTCGGGTTGTTCGAGCGAGCAACGCGGCAAATGGTCTCAAGTGGTGTCCTAAAAGTTCTTACCGAGCGCGGCAACTCTGCCATCCCGATAGCGAACTGCTTCTTCTGTCATGCCTTTTCAAGGAATTGAGTAATGGTGCAATTAGCGCATCAGGAGCATGAAATACATTAGCAGCACTCGGAGCATATGTTCCTTGGAGGCCGGCTAAGGGCGCAGGGCAGTGTGTTTGGGGCAGTTCCCATAGTGACAGTGCCTGGCAACAAGGCGGCAGAGACACTTTAGCGAAGCATCATATTTATGACAATAGTACCACATACACAAAGTTAGCATCCGATTCTCACGCCTCGAAGTGTCGAAGGCCCCCTCGGCATGAATGACCGAGCCGTTTGGCGATCATCTTGCTTTTAAGATATGTTACTTCTAGGTGCGTAGAACCCATTTGAGTCTAAAGGTACGCAGCTGAGTCTTTTTGTGTCTCTTCATTCTATGGCTGTAATCGTCTGCCACTTCCTGGTTTCTCACGTCCAGATTTCCTTATTCATAAGGACAGAAATGAGCCATCTGCACCAAACGGAGGCTTGTCGTTGAGGAGCAGCTGGCCAGCAACTGGGATGCTGACTAAAGCGGGTCCTTGCCAGCTGCCCATACTAAATTTCAGGTCCCACCCCCTACATTGTGATTGGGCTAACGCCAATTTTCTCCTCGCACACTTCAGCTCCAGATTTTGGTTTGGCGGCCGGTCTCGTATCGTTGCGACCTTGGAAATCTTCAGGCCAATTGAAGCTCGACCATACCCAGCCCTTTCCCCTTCCCATCCTCCAAGACCTGCTCTTTGTTGATCCGTTTTCCTATCGTCGACGAAGAACTTCAGTATGGCTGAGCAGCTGATTCTCAAGGGAACCCTCGAGGGCCACGTAAGTTGGACCAGGCCACCCACCTCCCACGTTGCCTCCTTGAGCCCCGCGCTGCGAAGCACGAGACGACCTCGACGGCGTCAACGGCGACCACGACTGGGTGCAAAGTTTGGCAGATTGCAGGAGCACAAAGACTGACCTGTCTCATCAAACAGAATGGCTGGGTCACCAGCTTGGCTACCTCCATGGAGAAGTACGAACAATGCGAAAATCACCATATCTTCGAGACGTCCACTTTTACTTACACGATGCGATAGCCCCAACATGCTCCTGTCCGGCTCCCGTGACAAGACCCTCATCGTCTGGAACCTCACCCGCGACGAGTCCCAGTACGGTTACCCGAAGAAGTCTCTGCACGGCCACTCCCACATCGTGTCTGACTGCGTACGTACCGACCGACCACAAAGATTGAGAGATGGGCTCGAGCTACTATGAAAGGCATTGGCGCGGGACATGAAAGGCTGATGGATTTTTCAACGGGCAGGTTATCTCCTCCGACGGTGCTTACGCCCTGTCCGCTTCTTGGGACAAAACCCTGAGACTCTGGGAGCTCTCCACCGGCACCACCACCCGCCGCTTTGTCGGCCACACCAACGACGTCCTCTCCGTCTCTTTCTCTGCCGACAACCGCCAGATTGTGTCCGGCTCCCGCGATCGCTCCATCAAGCTGTGGAACACCCTGGGCGACTGCAAGTACACTATCACCGACAAGGGCCACACCGAGTGGGTGTCTTGCGTCCGCTTCTCTCCCAACCCCCAGAACCCCGTCATTGTCTCCTCCGGCTGGGACAAGCTCGTGAAGGTACGTTTTCCCCACTGGCGGCCCATCCATATCCTGTGCCGCCATCTATCCGAAAAAATCTTGATATGATGTTTTGCATTTTTTTTATAAAAAAGTATTTGCTACTTCAGAGCTTGTTTGCAAGCCATGAGACAAACAATCACCCTGCACTGATCAACTACCTTTGGCAATTTATTTTCTCATGACCACGGTCGCGATATGTGGATGTCGAGGGTCCGTGCTGACATCCTTCTCAGGTCTGGGAGCTCTCCACCTGCAAGCTGCAGACTGACCACATTGGCCACACCGGCTACATCAACACCGTGACCATCTCCCCCGATGGCTCCCTGTGCGCCTCCGGTGGCAAGGACGGTACCACCATGCTGTGGGACCTGAACGAGTCCAAGCACCTGTACTCCCTGAACGCCAACGACGAGATCCACGCCCTCGTCTTCTCCCCCAACCGCTACTGGCTCTGCGCCGCCACCGCCTCGAGCATCATCATTTTCGATCTCGAGAAGAAGACCAAGGTCGACGAGCTCAAGCCCGAGTTCGCCTCCACCGGCACCAAGCGCCGCGATCCCGAGTGCGTGTCTCTCGCCTGGAGCGCCGACGGCCAGACCCTGTTCGCTGGCTACACCGACAACATCATCCGTGCCTGGGGCGTCATGTCGCGGGCATAAGCGCGTAATGCTTCTGCTGCTGGAAAAGATTCTGCGACGGTGGGGATGTAGAAGGAGGTGTATGTGCGGTAGAACGTGTGGCTACTTGACTGCTGCTACTGCTCGGAAGACCAACGCATCAAGGGTCGGGTATTGACGGTTCATGGTTTTCGTGGGGCGTACAAGGACTGCTTGCCTCGTTTATGGTCTTTACAACAAATGGGTGAATGGAGGGGGCCAAACATAGCCAAAAAAGAAATGCCATTTCGACGTCAACTTCAGGTTGTGCAGAAGAAAAATCTGGGCGAGGTTTGCATCTCTGATCGGCTGAATGATGACTAGATCAGGTACCCTGTTGAAAAGCCAAAAACAAAACTTCGAGATTTTTTTTCTCAGCTGGTGAAGGTGCTCGTGATAGGTCCTGTGCGGTTATGAGGAGCTGGCGCAAGCCACAGTCAAATCTGTCATCATGTATACTGAGACCTCTTCTGCGACAGTACCCGACCACAATTCGACACTTGGTATATCCAGGTCACGGGCTGATCGTCTCCGTGTGTACGAAAATATAGGGACCTGCGGTCAAAGCTCACGTCACATGAGAGGACTGCAGCTTGTTCAGTCTTCGTGCCGGCTACTGCGAACAATTATGACTATCGACTAGATCGTTAGACAATGTGACAGGTCTAGATTTGAGAGACCTGGAAATCAGCGTTCCAGACGTGATTTGTTCGGTCTTGAGAGAACGACCCGAGTGCGAGACATCGTGTCACCGAACCTAAGTAGTAGGTATATAGATGGACAACTCCTTTGCGCCAAGAATGACGATGAGTACATCAGCCAATATGAACTTAATCCGTGCCGTCTCCCCCTACCCGTAGACACTCTGAAGGAGACGAAGCTGTCATGCCAAGCGCAGTGATAAGTAGACCTCATGCTGCCTTATCATTTCTCCGCAAGCGACGAACCGAACTTGATGGGCAAACGTTCGAGTAGATGTCTCCCTCGACCCTCACGGCCTCAGGTCCAACCTCACCAGGCCATTCAAGCTGGCAGAGTCTGTCTACTGTGAAACCAAGCGGCTACATTGATGACAATGCGGATCCCCAACCTGCCTTGAAAGATACGATCGATATCGTTATCCGACGTACGTGCATATCCTCCCACAAACGGCAAGACAATGGTGCCTCGTAGTTGCGCCAGAGGGAACCTCCTCCCTCAGGCAGCCGTCTCGCCAGCAAGCCGCCCCCCACCCCCCGCGGGGCCGGCGAGCAATAGCAGGCGACAGGGCCACTGGGCTTGCTGCAGCGCCGTGATCACGATAGCTCAAGGTTCGACAGACGGAACCTCCACCAGAAGTGAAGTGCACTGATGTTGAGTACGTTTGTGCCCTGAGTCTGAACCTGTAGTGGCCTGCCAGCCGAAGAATCCAGTCATAAATGGTATACGCGCGCTGACAGCAAGATTGGGAAGAGGATGAGCACCGCGCGCCCGAGAAACATGAGATACCAGCGCCGAGGCTGGGCAGCACACGATCAGAAGCGCGCGAGTGGATGTGAAAGCACTTGTTTCCAGAGCCCTCTGAGCCACTGAAGTCCCCCAATGGGTCAGTGATGGACATGCCCCAAACGCCTAAGGGGAAAATGAGGGGCGGAGACTGTCCGCGACACCCAGCAACGACAGGGCCAAGGTCATGCTGCCCTCCATCAGGACATGCTATTGGCTTACCGCTTCGATTATTGAGAGCTAGACGAAACTCAAAAAAGTCATTTGCACGAGCAACAGACTATTGGTACAATGCTATACTTTCAAACATCCGGGCGAAGCAGGCCACGTCAAATATTGAGTATTAGCATGATAAAGGGTAAGGACAAAAGAGTTGCATTGCAGCCACCTGGGGCCTATAACATATAGAAACGGGGCCCATCGCTCAATTTGAACACCCCCGCCGCAGCGGCCACGCGTCGTCAGCGCGGACGCATGAGCAGGGTGTCGCTGGAATGGGGGAGAGTCGTGAACGAAATTGTCTCACTTGAGCCTCATTCCGGTACGGTCATGGTCGCGTCAAGTGGGCAATGGTCATCATTCCCTCTAGAAGGGGAGAGGTATGTTGCCCATGTACGACATGCCGAGCAATACAATTCGAAAAGCAGAAAGGAAAAAGGAAAAGAGATAAGGAAAAATTACAGAGGCAGGGATCACGTCGCGGGTATAAATCCGGGCATTGACGGGGAGACTGCAATGTCCGCTGGCCAGTTCATGCCCAGCGCGATCGACAGCGGATGAAGGCGGTGGGCAAAGCATAGCCGAAGCCTTGTCCAAACGTCTAGGTTTGGGGTTGTCGAGGTCATCAACTCCAGACGATGGTGAGTGGGAAAAGACAGAGGCGCTCCCATGCGCCGCTAGAGGGTTCGGCCCGTTGCGGACAGCGCTCTTTCTCTCTCTGAATGCGATTGTGTCAGCTAGAAATTTAGCCCTGTCCGGACCGCACGCTGAGTGAATGAAACTGGGGGCGCCCAAATGATGATCTGCTGTGTATCGTGGGACCGTTTCGAAGGCCCTCCCGGGTGAGGCCTCACGACTACAAAGTAGAAGCAAGACAACATCTCTGAAATGTAATTCTGAGAGATTAAACAAAATTGCCGTGTGTCAATCATAACAGCGCACGTAAGAGTATTTTTAGAAGGTTCGAAACAGATGAGGGAAAAAGAGAAAAGAAAGAAAGAACAACAAAATTTACCTAGAATCCCATCTCTTGGTGTGATTGACGGAGGGATGAGGGGCCCTGTATCTGAAACAGAGGCCTGTTCTGGTAAAGCACGAGGAATGCCCCCCCCCCTCCCCCCAAAAAAACCCCCCCCTCCTCCCGGCCCGGCACTTTTGAGAAGATACTGTGGTGGCTCGAGAGAATATTAGACCTCGGGGGTCACATTGGTGATGTTCAAAGCATGCATCGTCATTCTGCGTCTGGACCGGTGCTGATGGGATAGGATCGATAGGATCTTAATAGCCTTCCCGATTCAGGCATGTGTGGTCACGGAAGGCGATTCTACTATAGTGAAGGTCGGACGGCTGGGGTTTATTTTCCCGTTCCTTCAGATCCAGGTACGCAGGCGAGCTGGCGGTCGTGCTGCTACAGGTCATAGTCTTCAGTGCGTGAGTAAAGTACAAGTAGGTTCTAAATACGGGTGGTGGATCGGCCCCGTGTGCCGCCGTGAACTGTGCCAGATCCCAGTAACCATCCTTCCCATGGCCTCACGAAGCATGATTTCACCTTAATGTGTTGTTCTTTGGTTAGTCCCCGCTGCACTACTGTTGGAGTGATATAGCGCCTATCAATTTGATACTGGCAGAGGCAGAAGACGAGCAGGACAGGTATCAGACGGGCTTGGCCCCTCCTCACGTTGAGTGCTGTTAGCAAGTATCCCTGGTGCCCTCTACAGGTGGTGCAGGGGCCTCCGCGGGGGCTGAGTTGCGTTGACGGTTGACTTTTTTGGGTCGGTGCAAGAGCAAAGCCACCTACAGGGGCTCGCATAAGTTTTCAGATCAGATCGAAAGAGGGGTTCAAGAGTCAACTACGTCGTCACGAAAAAATTACGAGGGTCACACAAAATGAAAGACATTCAAAAAAAAATTGAGAGACATTATCATACATGTTCCAGACACGGGCGCGATGGCGTCAAGGTTGACACTGCTGCTCTCAATCTTCCCGTTGGGGTCCTTGGTATGAGAGAATGATGTGATTTGCCTGCTCTGATTTCTGATTTGACCCAGGCGCATCCCTCATGATTTCCCCTCGAGCGTCAGAAAGCTTCCTTCCCCACACTGAGGACCCTGCTCTCAAGTATCCAGAGCTTGCTCCTTGGCTCCTTCCCGCTGAGCCCCCTGCGCATTGCGACTGCCTTCCAGGCCCTGCATCCACTTACAGCCAGGGGCCCCTCTACTAAATTGGGTAGGCGCAGTCCATCACATTATCCATCTAGTCCTCCACCTTTGCCTCTGCCCATCGCCTTCGCCTTTCCTGTCGACAACCTCGACTTTTCCTTACCCTCACTATACTCTTTTGTCACACCTTCCCTTTCCATTTTTGGCCCAATAATTGTGCATTATTGCACTGGGTTGTCCCTTCTCTTCGAAATCATCGCCGACTATTCCGTTCTATTGGCGATACTACTGACATTCTTTCTGTCCTTCTGACGATACCAATACCCCCTTTTCCTTTACTACCAAGTTCTTTCCTGCTTCTCTTCCACGACGAGTATTGATCTAAGTTTCTTCTCTCTCACTTACCTTTTCGAGACCAACATACTTGTTTTTCTGTTTCCTTTTTTCTATTTTTCCTTTTTTCTTTCCGTTGCGACCTTGGTTTCAGTTTCATCTTGAGACCTCAATTTGGCGACTCTTCTTCGGACTTTTGACCACCTTTCTTTTTCTTCTTCCGCCTCCGCTTCCTTCTGCCGTTTTACCCGTCCCGTCGGTCTTATTCTATAGACATCCCGCGACACTACTACGACCGCCGACCGTGCATACTTGTGTGACTTGAGGGCAGCGTCACCGAGTCAACAGATCCACGCCCGGCTCGCTCATAGAAGCGGATCTGACGTGCCGGGAGATTCGAGCAGAAGAAGGCCCCAATACGGCTTTTGTCTTGTTATCTCAAATACATTCTCGCCAATCGAGCCTTTTCCTCTGGTGGGAAGCACTTGGTCTGGTTATGGACTAGGCCGGCCCCGTCGAACCTCAAACCATCCCTTACTTCGATCTTCGCGCCCACGTCACGTCGCTAGGAAGGGAGGTTTCTCGACGCGACTCGGGCAACTCTTATAGCGCTGGAAATCTGTCCCCATATTGTCATTTTGGATCCGTCTCCAACTTCTTCAACTGCGACAATGTTGTTGCGATCGCTTGCGCCAGGGCTATTGGGCCTCGCCGGTGTGGCCAACGCCCAGATCGCCTTTTCCGACCTGGCATCATGTGGGGTATGTTTGCATCATTTGCTTGTGGCCTGTTTTTCTGTCATGTTCTTGGGAACTTTCTCAACACAATGCATGACCTTCAGCGGCCTTTGCTATTGCCCGTAGACCTGATATGCTGACATGGGCTGCAGCAACAATGTATCGACAATATGGACACGACTATCGGTTGCGTTCCTGTGACCAGCGAGTGCTTATGCTCAAACACCAATTTCCTCTATGGTATCCATGATTGCGCCGACAGCGCCTGCACCAATGCTGCTGATGCGACTGCTGCATATAATTTCGCCTCTTCGTCCTGTGCAAGCGTGCTGGCCGCTACGAGCGCCCCAGAGGTCCAGGCGACTTCAGTCGCTGAGACCTCTTCTGAGGCAGCTGCCACAACAGAGGCTGCTACAACGGAGGCTGCGCCGACCTCGTCATCGGTCGTGACCGACAGCGCGGCAGCAACTTCTTCGGAGACATCACCGGTCGAGGCTGCCCAGACTACCAGTTCGGGAAGCTCGTCACCCGCTGCAGCCACAACTGAGGTAAGCAGGTCGCATCCATTGGGCAGCTGAAGGAATTTTGGCTAACGAGCCGTTGTCAGGCCCAGACGACACAGGCTCCAGCCAGCGGGATGACGACAATCTTTGGAGCCGCCACAAAGACAGGGTCCAGTGCGGCGACATCTGGAGGCGCTGCCGCCGCCGCCTCGTCTTCGTCGGCCAGTGGTGCCTCATCGGGGTCTTCCAACGTGACCAATCTTTCCACCGGCGCCAAGGCTGGAATTGTTGTTGGTTCAGCCTGTGCTGCCGTCTCTATCGTCGGTATCGTGTTGTTCCTGAGCAGGAAGCGAAGTCCACCATTGCCCAGAGGCAACATGAAGATTTCAGAGCCGCTACCTGGTTCCGGTCGCATCGGCGATGAGGCCTGGGAACAATATCACACGACCAACCCGCCACAATACCCAAGGCCGCCTGGTACTGCCGGTTCAAACATGTCCGAGCTGGACCGAAATGCAAGACCGTATGAGGAGATGGTACCGAGAACCAAACCAGCTCGGATAGTCTGAGACCCAGCTGGTTGTGAGCTTGAACGAGAGGAGCGTTGAGGTTTGCTTCCTACTTTTATTTGCTTAAAGCGTATTTTTTTTATTTTTTTTTCATTCAACAAATTTTGGAAGCCTTCTTTTGTCCTGTACATATCGTTATCTACTCATCTTGAAGAGGGTAGCTGGTCGATGGCGATAGTTATGATATCCTGGTGGCAGGAACGGAGTATATTGAAAATTTCTAGCACCTTCATACTGCCCAATGCCCTGATTGGCCCATTCCCATGAATAAACAGGAAAGTGATTGCAAGTCTTGAGTGATGATTAGTTCTATGAGCAGAACAGTAGCATAGTGCCCGAAGATGTGAAGGAGACTCGGTGCATGCCAGCACGTATAAGGAGCAATTCCACGCCAATCATATAATATATCTCCTCGTGCCCTAAGGCCTGAGGTCCCTGTCTGACCTTCTTGATGGTCAGCCAATATCAACCGTAATATTATCCCGTTCCCTCCTGAGGAGCAGAAATACCCCTTGTCCCTGCAGAGATCATCTTCACGGCCTGTGCAACACGGAGGTATCATATCATGCCGGCCCAGCTCCCCGATGACCAGAGGTTTGGCACTGATATCTTGTTACACTTGTCCCATAGAATCGTTTGAAATATCGTCAAACCACATTTGATCTTCACTTTTAGATGCTCAGGAGAGTGAATTCGCCATGGAAAACCTCCAGATTCCGCTGCCCACCACGACCCACCGCGTACACTGCAAACACGACATTCTCAAACCACCCTGCAAACTCATCATCCTCCAATATCTCTCTCATCTCCCTCGCCACCACCTCAGGCGGGCAACGAAATGCCCCGCACCCCATAGCGCCCAGAACGAGGCTCGTCTGGCCATTGTGCGCCGCACACCGATACACGAGCTTGATTTTCTCCTGCAGGTCGCGCAGGACGCTGTCCATAGCAAATGCCAGACGCCCGTCACGGCCGATGGCGAGAGGCGGGCCCATCGGCGCCGCGACCGTGATGACGGACACCACGAAGCGCTGGTCCTCCGGCAGCTCGACCAGCCCTGCATCCAGCGTGTCGCGGAACACAACCACGCCGGGCGAGTAGATGCCCGCGGCGGACCGTGGCCCGAGGTTCGGCCAAGGGTACCACTCGTGCCGGAGGGTGGGGTACAGCGTCGACGAGTAACACAGCGCCTCCTCCTGCGTGCAGGAGAGGGAGAAGCGCCACCCGCCGGCGGGCTCGATGTCGCTGGCCAGGTTGAGCACGGCGACCTTGGCGCCCGGGTCGTTAGCCAAGATGGCCCGCGCCGCGGCAAAGGAGTCCGCGTCGATGACGCGCACGGGCTTGCGTTTGAGCTGGGGGCTGGCCTCGGGCGAGAGCGCGGGCAGCTGGGCCGGCATGAAGGTGCTGTCGAGGGTCGCGCCCGGCGTCGCCTGTACGATGGCTGGCGACCGCTCGATGGTGTCCTCGCAGATCTCGCGGCGTTGCCGGAAATCGACCATGCTGGGCTTTGGAATGAACTCGCTCGTTGGTCCTTTTGGTGATGGAGAAATTGTTCTAGAGGACACTTTTTGATTTTGAGTCGTGCGTCCTGGAGGTCGTAGGACTGAGTTGCAGCCCAGTGGTGCTGCCTGGTCCCCCCACCTTGATGACCACTGGAAATTGGAGCACCTGGATTCCCGCCTACATGCTCACTGCCGCTCAGTCATCAGCCCTGGAGGAATTGTTGGCTGTAATTTTTACTACATAATATCAAGTCCAACCTGTCGGAAGAGAATTTACTTTTCTCGCAAATTAACCCGTACTACTGGAATTGATACGTAACAAGAAGCCCATTGTGTTTTGGCCATTTAAGAATATCGTATGAAGTCGAAAACTTGATGGACTCAAGGCTGAAGATTTTTGAGAGACAACAGAAGACTTGTCCATGAACTTTCACAGCTTATATTCAGAGCTTTCAGGAGGGACTGGTCACGTGGACATTCTCTTCATCTTGAACTGCAATGTGAACACAGCAGCCTGATTACAACAACCCATGCTTATTTCATATTTGGAGGAAATGGTCTTTCAGATATCAGTATATTTTGGTCGAAACTGCTGGTTAAGGGTGAATGCCTTTACTGTGTTTTGCTTTAACAACTGACGAGTGGTTTTGCAGTTCAAGCAAAAGCGACACTCCACTCAAACTCGAGTCATTTGATATCAGATTTTGATATCAGATTCCTATATGCCTCGACTAACCACTTTGTAAAGAGAATTATCTTGTAAGATGTCTATCTCACTTCAGTCCTGCATCACTGAGGAGCGATACCGCAAGGGCGGGAGTGGAGATTTGGACGGAAGAAAGCAGAAAATGGCAGTCATTGCATTTTGTCTTATGTGGAATAAGAGAGAGAATGAAGAAATAGAAAGAAAGTAAAAGAGCAATAAAACGTGCCCAAATGCTGCTTCTCAGTTAACTAAGTGTTGGGTCTCTTCCTCAGCCTTTTTGAACGTTCATCTCACAGAAACCTCCTCATTCCATCGAGTATATTATGCCTTGAGTTTGAAGCATGCAATTGCTTGAAATATGAAGGAAGAGAAGAGAGGGAAGAGAAGAGAGGGGAGAGAAGAGAGGGGAGAGAAGAGGGAGAAGAGAAGAGAAGAACAGGGGGGACCAGAGGTGTAAGCCATCGAAAATTATGTGCCCCAAGCCAAGACCGATCACTCGTGCATTCATTCATCATAACATTCGTAAATCGTACCACATCTTTGAAACCTATTCAGAACGAGACGTGATGTGATTATGGTCCTGAAACCTGACTCTTAGTGAGCATGGCCGCGCCATTGTGTCCTTCTAGTAGATTGTGCGCCCCGTCATGGGCTCTCTGTGAGCTCCGGCTGGACCGGCTCTCGTAAGGAAGGGCCACGGAGCGATTTCCTTCTTCCCAAGGCTCAGCTAGGTAGGACTCTAGGCGTTGGTGGACAAGATCGTTTTGCATAGCGCGGTCGTGAACATCTGCCATGTCTTGGGAAGGGTCGAAGGCTGCAAAGGACCTAGGGTGTGGTGGGCCACAAAGTCAGTTCGGACAGAACCATTATGAAGCCGTGCACTTCAAGAAGGAAAGACGTGACAACATACCCATTCGTGGCCATAGTCTGGGCAGGGTAGGACACGGGGCCTGAACGACCATCCCAAGAACCAGCTGTAGGTACACTGTGATATCCATGCTGCTGTGTGTGATGATAGTGTCGGTGACCCGGGTGCGACGATGGCTGTCCAGCGTTATTGTAGAAAGGTGTAGTATCGTTGAGAGTGTCATAACTCCTAGAGAGAGACAAACATTATTAGTTACTACACGGATGACCGATTTGGTGGGATCAACTCGGACTCACTCGCTGGTGTTTTGCTCCATGCCGGCAAAAGCCATGTCGTGGGTAGCTGTAACCCATGAACCAACTTGACGGAGGTTCAGGTCCTCTTGCTGCTGATGGTGTTGCTGGGCAGAAGCATCATAGACCGGTTCGGAGCCTGCTGCATCATAGTTGCTTGAAAGGGACCTCGATGTTAATGATTAGAAAATCCATCTTGAGCTTGAAGCAAAGAAAACAAGACGCACCCACTGCTTCCTTGGGTGGATTCATGGCCTATAGCCGAGGAAGAAAAGTAGTGAAGAGGAAGCCCCATGATGAAAGGTTGGTGCACTTTACGTGAAAAGTAGCAGCGTGGACAAATGATGAGCAAGAAAGTGACGCTGCAGGGTGTCAAGGCCGTGGGTTGTACGACTCTGTGACTCGGTGGGAATCCTTACGCTCACGGGCTCCCCTCAGAGTCATGAAAGAATAAACAGCGAAATTGTGTACGCAGCAGGAAGGGCTCTGTGGCGAAATTTCTTTGGAGACAATCCGTTGAAACAAGACCAATATATGTATTCATTTAGTATGTTGGAGAGAATTATGTAGCATTTCCACTGACTGCTGTGGTGCCAACAAGGATACCACATATGGCGCGTGACTATTTTTCAAGCCAACCCAACTTTTTCGTGCCCTCAGCATCCTGAGAGCCCGGATATTTCAGATATCAACTAATGTTTGTAGAGAGGTGTTGACCAGACCAGACCCCCAGCTCGGCGTGCGGGCCATCTAAGTCAGCCAATCATAAGTCAACCACAGTAGTGCGTCCACCAGCATAGTCGAAGGATAGCATCTACCTGGAATCGTAGTGATATTACCTAATGGAATAACCAAGATCGGTTGTAATATAATTTGCTTCGTTGTGACATTGATCTGCCTTCTGCTGGGAAAGTACCCGTCGCAACTAGGGAGGAAGAGGTTCGGTTGAATGGGTGCCATTTTCACGTTAGGCATGTAGCCTTTGCGTGTTGAGGTCCATCGCGTCCGCGTTCAAACTGTAAATTGTCCGAGGATAATAGCTGTTGTCCCAAATATGGATCTGGCAAATGAGATGCTAAAAGCGTAAGGGCCGCCAAAGGTTTTCACATTGGCCCACGAATGAATATCAGCTTCATCTGCTCCACTGGAGCTCAGCTCGAGGAGAACATTCTGGTATGCTCTTCCTCGAGATAGTTGCACACTTTTCCCATCCGGTCCCCTGGCCTTAGCCTGAACAGCGTTGACATTGAAAGGTCATCAGTGATGATGACCTGAGAATTGAGGCCCTGGGATTGACAGGTCGAGTATAGACAATATAAAGTTTCTGTCCAGAGCTGTGCACCTGGAATTTCGCCATGAATCATCATACCAAGCGATGCTTGTAAGTTGATATGAAAATAAATCTGGCCATGGAAGTGTTCTTCTTCCTCCAGTTGCAGACCTAAAGCCAACTGAGTGGAATCATGATCACTCCAGATTCATCTTCAACCACCGTCCACCATGCACAAGAGGCTTGTGCACTGCCACTCGGCCCAAACCCCCCCCCCTTTCATGTGTGCAGCCCCCCTCCCGGTCACCGGGTGGTTTAGGGTGGCTGGGTTGCCAGGTAGATGGAACAAAGCCTTTGAGTTCGGCCCCCAAATAAAGGTAACAAGGCAAACTGACGCCTTATCTTGAAGTGGGAATTGCATCAAGCCATTCGCCCGACCAGTATGCTGAAAACCAGCATTAAAGTGCTCCTTTTGAGAGTACTGTAGTCGCGTGGCACGCTGTCACTCGACAACAAGCTTATGATAGGTGCAGCAGAAGCAACTAATGCCTGCAAGTAAGCAATAGTACAGCAATAGTACGCCTGAGGAGAAATTAACTTGGAGAAAGAAAGCGGACTGATCAGGCAGCAGCGAAGAAGATTACTGCCTGATCAAAACCAGTCTGTTTTGTGTGATGTGACCGGAGGTGAAGGTCCTGATCAGAGACCGAAGAGGGATGAGGGAGGATGAATCAGCGACGTATGGCTGCTGGCGAGGCTACCGGAACAGTGATTCTTCCGGATCCGTGGGCAATGACATGATGAAGTGATTGTTGAAAGTAGAGTATGTGATGAAGGAGAATAAGAAGGGCCATCAAAAGGTTGAAGCCTCAAGATGATGAAGGTAGAATGACTGTGACAGGTCGATACCATCAACATTGTTTTTTTTTTGGGGGGGGGGGGGGGCGAAGGCGTAGCAATGTAGGAGCTGGTAATGAAGCTTGATCACCTTGATCAAAAACCCCAAGTCGCCGTGAGTGATGATGCTGCCCTGGGCCTCGGATGATGCAGCAGGTGGCAGCTGTAGACATCGACAGTGTGTGTGATGCAGGCGGGGCAGCGAAAACAAAATATCTGTGCAAATAATGAGGTTGGGAACCAGACGATTGAGGCCACACCACTTAATGAAATCAAGACAAGAATCTCTCACTTGAAGTTGCTCCATCGTAAATGCTGCTGTCGGGTTTGCTTGTAGATTGCAGGTGCGAACTGATGAAACAACACCCAATAGCAGCTGTGGGCGAATGATGAGAGCATGGATGAACTGGTGGAAGACCTGAGTTGACCTGATAGATGGGTGAGGGAGTATTTATTCAAGACTGAAAGTGTTGTAAGTCTCCTTGAAGCGTGGACCGGTATATGTACGACAAATACCGGCATATCTAGTGTCCCTCCTCCGGGCACGCTTCGGTCCCGACCATACTTCGGTCCCGACCATGCACGGCATCACGAGTACGATGATTATCACCGAGAGTAAACGGAATGAGAACGGTTATGAAACGGAGATTGATTAATGACGATGTCTAGGTAAGATGCCAAGTCAATTCAGAGCAGATGTTCCGTCCGAACATAACTTTGAGTACTAAAGTAGGTAGTAGCAACTGAGTAGGAATGCAATTAGCATGTATACGATGTTAAGCCATGTTCGTGTAATAAATGCGATGAATTCACACGCGCCTGGGTTCTCCTGGGCCACCCCACAAACGGTAAGTGTATATCGACATTCAAGGCTGGACACAAGAATTTCACTCAAGACTGAAGCACAGGCGTTTCGCCAGAGGCCCAGAGTTGAAATCTGAGCCTTGCCCCGACTAGACCCTCTCTAGAGAAGGGCCCACTGTAGGGCTCCTGACTGTACTGATGGCTTGTGAGCGAGGGAGTGCCATTGATACAGACTACCTCGTGGATGAAAACCGGCTTGGGCAGAGGAGCCGTGCCGTGCGCAAGAGGTGGTTGCTGATCCGGTGCACCCGGCTTACTGCTGATGAAACGGAGCGTTTTGAGATATGCTGAAGGGGTCCGATATCACCATGTGGCACTGCCAATAGAACGTAGAGTTTTCAGATACACTGAAAATTGGCACCATGTGGCTCATTTAATTTATACATAAATTTGTAGCAGCCTCAGGCACAAAATTGGAAGGACACCCCCTTGTGAGCAAGAACCCTACGATCCAAGCCTCTGTCCAACAGCTACACCCAGCTCCTACCAGGAGTAAAACGGTCGCTGTGCATAGACAGGTCTGTTAGGCAGGTGGACCCAGGGTCCTTGACGGTACTCCTTCGCCTTCTTCTCCTCGTACTCCCGAAGTCGTGACTTCTCCTCCTTGAGGCGGATCGTGATACCTGTAGAAAATGGTCAGTCGTGGACCATCAACGAGGGCAGACGAGACCTACTAGCTTGTGGCATTTTGATGATATCCGTTCGGCCTCTGGCCCTGTAGTTCGGCCTCTTGCCTCTCCACGGGCCGCGATTCACCCATGCTTCGTGGACATACATCCTCGTTGGGTCAACAATGTCCACCCACTTGCCATGCCTTTCATCCCTCACAGTCTTCTTCTCTGTCTCACCAGGCACGAATTCCCCGCTGACCTTGCCAAGGCCCATACCCCTTTCCACGACAGCCTTGTCCCTCGCCAGCTCCAACTCATACAGAACCTCCTTGGCGAACTTCTTCTTGGAGAACTTCATCTGTGTTCTCGCCTCCTCTAGCGTCTTGCCACTGATTTGCCTAGCCAGGTGCATCAGCTTCTTGTAGCTGGTCGCCAACCAAGGACTCTTGGACAGCGCCTCCCTCTCCGTTCTCTTCAACCTCTCCTCGCGCGTCTCCTTCCCCTTGACGTCCAGCGCACGGGTGACGTGTCTTATCACCATCTTGCGCTCCCACCTCCGCCTGCTCCGGGGGTCAGGATCCACCGCATGCCGCACGTGGTCGACCAACAGCGACGCGCCCATGTCGGACTCGCGGGTCTTGGGCTTGGTACCTTCCTGCTGCTCATCCAATCCCTCCTCCACGCCGGCTTCGCCATCCGCAGGAATGTTCTTGAGGTCCTCGTCGAAGATGGACTGCGACTCGAGACGCGTCTGGGTCATGCGCCCGCGCAGGTTCTGCTCGACCTCTTGGCGGTCTTCAGACTTGGTCAGGTCGCCCAGGGCGGATTTGTGCAGGTCGGAGGGCTTTTGCCGGTTGATGAGGCCGCGGGCAGCGTGGGTGATGCGCTTGCTATGTCTATTGGTGGCATGACGGGCCTGAGAGGGGATGAGCACGAAACTGCGCGGGATCGACGAGGCGGCGCTGGGTGTGAGGATCGTTGGGCGGAGGGTTTTGAGGATCGTCGGAGCTGAGTACGGTCAGTTCATGATTTGGTCCCAGATAGTGTGTGTGCATATGGTATTATGCATGCTCGTACCGTTCCCAAGAACCCTCCTTGATGGAAGGTGTAGGCTCATTTTGAGTGTAGGCTTGACACTGGTGAGCCTCGCAAAACCAAGCTGGAGCTGTCATTCGACCCATGAAGGCATCAAAAAGTTCTGGAGCTCCCCCATCCTGGCCGGGCTGGGCCGGCAACGCTGCTGACATAATCCATCTTTCCGCACCACGTGATTCGTTCTTGCCTGGGCAGGCCAAGCTCCGCCGAAAGGAAACATCAGGTCATTTTCTTTTGACGACAACGATCTTGTGAAGCTCTCGCCGGCCACGAAATCTCCACTCCCGACCTCTCAAAACTCCTAAAATCAGACATCATGGCAGTTCAACCGATTGTTGGCGTACGTTTCACCTTGCCGGCTGGCCCGGGAGATGCCCAATTGCTCTCGGGAGAGGGGGCGTCCAAAGAATGACGTGAAGGAGTGCAGATGAGCTGACCTTGTTCTTTTCCGGCTGCAGATGCTCCGTCGGGGCCTCATCACTGATCTCGGTATTGCGCTGGGTATGTAACCTCTTCGTTCGCTGTCAAAGAGCCACTTTCAGGAGCTGCGCTGCTTGCCTGGTGAGCTGGTAAATGCGGGCTATGACGAACTTGAGCTGATTGCTGGCACAGGACTTGGCTTTGCTATGGGCAACGTTTTCTGGTACGATATTCTCGAATCGGGCGAGCGAAATGCGGAACTCTCAATACGGCGGCAAGATCTAACAATTGATACACAGGTACGGCTTCCACATGCCACGCACGCACGCCCGCGACAACTACTACAAGAATCTCGAGGACGAGCGCGCATCCCGACAGGGTTGAAGAAAATGAGGGAATACGTTGGGAATGGGCGGAAGGGGGAATGCGTGGCTCACAGGCCTTTGTGTACATTGGGGCGAAGGGCCAGGATGTCGAGTACGATGCATAGAATCTGGGTACCCGGGCGGGTGTTTCGATACGCATAGACGAGGCAGACAATGACATTGGTTCATTTATGAAGAGCTTTGAGGGTGTGATAATGCATTTTCACCGGTCTATTTATTCCCTGATCCCCGCGAGTATGAGCAGGGGGAGCAATCTTGTTCTGCCGGCTGCTCCATCTTGTCAGCGCCAGTGTTGAGACACCATGATGCTATCGCGCTGCGGCAATGAGTTGAACCTCCTCTAGGTTCCCTTCAGTATTTCCCGCCCCTCAAATGGCAGTCACAGGTCTTGGCTTCCATATTTCATTGCCTAACAAATGATACTTGACGCATTCGACGACATCCAGTCTTGGAGCGATCGTCAGGTCGCGGTGATGACTCGCTTGAGGAAGATGAGTCGGAGATAGTAGTGTCTTTGGAGCCGGGTTTGGCTGTGTCTTCTTTGTATAGATCAAAGACATGATAGACTCTTCCTGCTTGACGTCCTCCTGGTTGCTGTGCCCCCCCTCAACCCAGCATGTGCCTAGTCCAGATCATACATTTTCGCAGATGCCTCTGGATTTGAAATCGCTAACCTCCAGGCCAAATGATCAGACTCAAGGATCAGGCGGCCTCGACTCTGCATAGGTATCTCGTGTTCATTGCTGCTTCTCTTGAGAGCAAACGCGTTCGTTGGGGGCAAGAGTCCCTTGCACACAAGGGGAACCACAAACATTAAAACCCGTCATTTGGCGATGTTCAGTCTGAAGGGAAATAATCGGTCTTGTTGCCATCATGCCAGTGGGTTGTGGTTCTGTGCTTAGCTTGAGCGTCTGTCGGTGTGGCGGTGGGGGTTTCCTGGCTTTCCCAGGCCGTTGTCTCGACCATAAAAGTGCCCTTTTTGTCATTACATCTGAGCATGACCAGTCAGCCAGATTTTCCCGTCTCAACATTTCATCTCTCCCTTTGAGGGACTACACTGATCATCACAACCACATCAAGCTTCTCTGCATTGAAAGTCTGGGCGGCAAGTCTCACCTCCTGAACCATCTTTCAACTGGGTAGCACCGTACGCGGCTGTCTCGCTGGTTGGGGTGGTCAACCTGACAGCTGTACTGCAGCAGACTCAACAGCTCGCAAGCCCTGAGGTCGATATCTTTACCCTTTTCGGTCTTGCGCTTCTTTCCATCGAGGTTGATCTGAATCTCCAGCGGCAACTGAGAAGCTGGAAAGGTGTGACACGGCGGCGTCATTTTTCAGAGGCCAAAGTCAAACCAAGATGGCTGAGGCTACGACGGGTCGACGAATGCTCAGTCAAGTCGAGGAGACGAATCTTGATGAGGTACGTTATTGCATACGATTTGCCTTTGCTGGTGGCTTAATTCAGGATGCTTTTTGATGGTTGGCCTGCTGCAGATGTTCGGAGCATCATGCGTACCCAAGCATCCCCCACGAAGGCCTCAAAAAGCTGTCATGGCTTATCGGCGATAAGGAGTGGTAGTCGTCAGCCCCTGCTCCTCAAACTCCAATCCCCAACTTTTGTGCTGCCGTCACTACACGAACAGCCATTGGCACTCTTCTCAGGAGAGCACGAGTTTTTTTTTTTAGTATGCTGATCGTCTAGTCTCAGATTCTGAGAGCGCTCCGCACGAGCCTCAATTCAACGTCACCCCGTCCTCTCCCAGCCGATCTTGCTCCGACAAGCAACAGTCACGCCTTATCTGCTCCATTGGTGGCCAAGGTCAAGACCTACCCTATCCAGGATCTTGACAAGCTCGTGACTCGTCATCATAGGGTGACTCGGTCCGCTCGGTTGGCCCTGACTGGGAGGCAGCTGCCTCTGATATATTTATTGGTGGCCACCCTCATTACCCCTCCTCACAACAAAGCAGTTGTCGTGGTCGACACGGACAATAAATTCGACATCACAAGCGTTCTCCAATGCGCCCCTCACGGAAGCCCTCTGGCTCGGTCGCGGGCACTCCGCCAAGGAGCTTTTGCACAGCAATACAACGAGGATGACCGGTCCCCAGGCCCGCACCGAGACAATGTCTCACACACAAACGGCGGAAATGTGACTCTGGAGGACCTCAAGCATGTCCACGTCTACCGCACAGCTCGTGGTTCTATCTCCCACGTTCGGGATGTGCTCAACTCAGCCGAACACTACATGATCTATTCAAACCATGCATCTGCTACTCGCGAGTGGTGGGGTACCATTGTCATCGGCGGCGGCGGCAGCAGCAGCAGCAGCAGCAGCAGCCCAGCGCCCGTCGGGTCAGGGCAGGCAGATGTAACCACTGGCCGGAATGGCTGGTTACGTGTGAATAGGAAGGTACCACGCAGGTTTCCCGTTGGGATGAGCATCGAGGAGGCACTGGTGGAGCGAGATCAGCGCCGACGTGCGGCCGACGCAGCCGGGTTCAAGGCGACATGCATCTGGGGAAGTCTCACCTTCAATCAGTGAGACCGAGGGGGGCCGCCACGGCGCTGGGAAGCTCAACGAAGGGCAGAGTCATCCTCGCACACCCGACAACCGTCGTGGTCCTGGCGCCGATAATCAGTGAAACCCCGTGGGCCGAACCACTTCCACACCTATTTCCCCCGGAAGGACGGATCCACCAGCGAAGTGGAGGTGGACATTTCCCCCAAAAGTCCCCAGGAGATCATCAAGAGGCTGTTACATATCGCAGAGGAGAGGTGGGTCCAGGAGGAAACCTGGAAATCGAGGCCTTGACTCGCGCCATTGCCAGGGGGTGGTGTGTCACAGGTTGGAAGACGTGATAACTCCTCGCGCACCCTCGGTCCACCCCTCCTCTATTGTGTACCATGTACATGCAGCAATCCGTACGAAGTTGACTACGCCGATATCACCCATCTTGGCGAAATTTCCGACGCTGATCCGTCTATCAGGACCCCTGGACCCTGGGCGCATTCTCTTGCTGCAAAGTCAAACCAACCTGAGTGCCAATGCGATCAACCGGACAAACTCAATTGTTTGCCAACAGCGCACTCGTGTGGATTGGACGGCAAGGAACGGCCTTTATCTTCGCACGGATCTTCAGGCGGTACGGGTCCTCGTGGACCATTGGTGTTCCGGCCATTGGCTACGTATTTGCCCGTGAATTATGGGGATGTCGTCACCATGCGGGTCTACACGGAACTTGACTGCATCAAGGCCCATGGGGAAATGGGGTCACCAAGGGAGACAGTGATACCAACTGTACAGTACAGTTAACCTGGCTGTCTATTTGCACACGTTTCGAAATCCCGAAGAGAGCAGCTCACAACCTTTTTGTTTCTAGACGGCTCAGTCAGGCACGCTTTGAATTAGGGCCTTCAGAGCGCCGGCCATTCGGGAACTCCAGCGAAAAGTTTCCATGGTCATCATCGCCTTGAGTTTCCAGACACCTGCCGTGCACTTACCTCCCTCCCACAACAAAGCGTGCACTGACTATATTGCGACATTGATGATCCTCGAGTGGGCGCGGGCAGAGCATGTCAGCACTATGCAGAAGCCAAGCGGATCAATGCAACTTGCAGCCGGCGGATTACAGGTCAGCAGCGGTCAAGAGGCTACCATGGACATGGGCGTTTTCTTGTTCGCCAGCATGCAACATCTCTGACTCCTTCTGCCTACCATGTTCGGACACCTGCATATTCACATGCAATCTCAACAGGCTGTGTCACAACTGCAGGTCCACTGCGTCTGTTGTCATGGTTCTTTTTTCTGATCGGATCTCCAAAGTCTTACTCGTGTACGCGGGGAATGACAAAGAGTCGATACCGCAGGCCCCGAATCCGAAGGAAGACCAAAATTGCCGAGACAAGATCCGACGGCCCTGCCTTGCAAAGCGTGCCGCTCAAAGAATTAACCGTCAAGGAGGCCTAGAACGGGGTTGATCGCTGGAAAACACGGCCTGCCCGGCAACGGGTCGAGCGTGGTTCATGGGCCATCCACTTGCCGATGTGGATACTGGCGTTCTCTATCCATCCACCGTCTAGATCCGCACTGACGTCATCTGTCTGGCATACTTTTGTGTCGACTGTTGCCAGTACTTCCCAAAATGATCCTCCCTGCATATGCCTGTGTATGCATGCACATTCAAATTCTCGCACTTTCAAGGAAGTCTTCTTGGAGCACAGACACGACCTGTCATACGAGCATTCGCAAGAGGATGCGTGTGATGGTGGGTGGTGCAGGTGAAAATACGGTCAGTCGTCATAGAGCATGTGAGATTTCCTCTGGCAGCCAATCGCACCGGCACGATCACTATCTACTAGTCCAATGAGCGCAAGACGTCAAACCGTTCAGAGACGCACCTTGTTGAGCATTCCTGGATTGTGTGGTAGGGTTCGGTAGTTTTCGCGAACATCAACGAAAACTCACCATAGAACCGTTGCAAAGAGCCGTAGGAGATAGTCTTTTTCTTCGTTCTTTAATTTTTTTCTTTTTTCTTTCCCTCTATTTCTTTTCCCTTGGCTTTTCTCTCGCCACCTCACCTGGATCTATGATCATCACGTTTTCAGGCAATTCGATCAGCGCCTGGACTGCTCTGATTCCACGCCCAGGCAAATGAATGGCGACAAGTTCTGCACGGAAACGAATGAATCGAGCCTTTTCTAGTTGGTGCCTTCACATCTTGGCACCCAGGTTGTACTAGGTTCATGAAAATCTCTTCAGCCGCACTAAACCCAAAATAATCAAACTTGTCTCGCATAAAACCGTGCAAGATATGGGCACAATCAACCCATGGTCTACCTGGTCAGTCGGGCTTTCTCGAAGCCTGGCTTACGTGCAGAGCTTATCTTTTTTACCATTCCCTATCATGTTTGAGGGGTCTTTTTTTTCTTATTCATGTCAGAGCCGCCGAGAGGCTGAGGCGAAGTACTGTGGGGGGGGGGGGGACCTGATTATATCCCGCAAGGATGGTACCTCGTCATAGGACAATATACCTAGTTTTAACCATGGATGGCATCATGATGTTGGCGACTGGGTTCAGACCCGTCAAACTCGCTTTTGGATACGTATCTTTTTACTAATGAGGCAGTGTGGGCAATAGTTTCCTTGTGTTCTGTACCGTAGTATCTACTACATCCAACAGGGTGGGTAGGTACATGGGCTCTTGGTTTACTTGTCCGTCATATCTACAGTCCCACAAATTTACACTGAGTGTACAGTGTACAACTTTGTCCTTTTTTTGGTCTCTTTTGAAGCCAGAGCTGGGTTGAGCGATCCTCAAAGACAACGTCCTCCCCGTCTGTCTTCCCAGCACTTGCGAGTTCTCGACTGTATAAGTATCCGGAAAGGTCCCATCTTTTCTTTTCCAACTCGGCTTGGTGAGGCCCTTCAATCCCCTCATGCTTTCATTTTCCTTTCCATACCACGACTTGTCTCCTTCGCCTTGATCTTCCCCGTGTTCCCCATCTTTTCCCCCAGACTCTCCCACATCTCTCTGCAAACATGGCCCAACACCTTCAGAGACCCGGTGCCCCTCTAAGGACACAGTCTGCGTCCAGCTTTGCTGAAGGCTTCAGTGTTGCCCGGAACCAGGTTGACAAGGACATCAAGGAGCTTGCAGACCTCGAAGAGGGAACCTCACCAGATTCCGATAGCAACGAGGCGCCGTCCCTCACTGTGTCTGGCGATGCGACCCCTGCGAGCTCGTCCACGCCGCTCACCGGGCCAACAACACCAAGTCTCGACCCTGCCGTGGCCGACGACTTTGCCTTTGCCTTCGACATTGACGGTGTGCTGATCCGCGGTGGCTCGCCCATCCCGGAGGCCATTGAGGCCATGAAGGAGCTCAATGGCGAAAACGAGTATGGCGTTAGAGTGTAAGTTTATGTTTACTGTCGTCTCCTTTCAAGTCAAGTTACATAGATATTATGCATATATATATATATATGTGAAAAGTAAAAGGCAATTGCTGACGTCTTGTTCTTCTTGTTGTACAGACCTTACATTTTCCTGACCAATGGTGGTGGCAAGTCAGAAGAGGAGCGCTGCCGCGACCTCTCCAAACAGCTAGAACTTGAGGTCAGCCCTGGCCAGTTCATCTGCGGTCACACCCCCATGCGGGAGATGGCCAACAAATACCGCACGGTGCTTGTTGTCGGTGGTGAAGGCGAGAAATGCCGTGAGGTCGCCGAGGCCTACGGCTTCCGGGATGTCATCACACCAGGCGACATCCTCAAGGCGAACCACCACACCGCGCCGTTCCGCAAGATGTCAGCGGTCGACCTCGCCAACTCGCGCAACCTGCTGGAGCGCGGTGCCATGTCAGACATTGTCATCGAGGCCATCTTCGTGTTCGCCGACTCGCGCGACTGGGCCTCAGACCTCCAGATCATCCTAGATATCGCCTGCTCCAAGGGCGGCCGTCTCGAGACCCGCTCCGAGACGTTCGAGGAGTACCCGCCCATCTACTTCAGCCACAACGACATCATCTGGTCCGCCAGCCATGAGTACCCCCGCCTCGGCATGGGTGCGCTGCGGTCCATCGTCGAGCACACCTTCGAGAGCATCACGGGCGGCAAGAAGCTCAAGACGCACGCCTTCGGCAAGCCTCAGGTCAGCACCTTTGAGTTTGCCACGCGCCTGCTGCAGCAGTGGCGCGCAAACCAGCACGGCCTCGTGGACGGCAAGCCGCCGCGCACCGTGTACTTTGTCGGCGACACGCCCGAGAGCGACGTCCGCGGCACGAATGCCATGGACGCCAAGAGCAAGGAGGAGTGGTACTCCATCCTCGTCAAGACCGGCGTGTACCAGGACGGTACGGTGCCTGCCTACAAGCCCCGTGCTACCGTCCACACCGTGCTGGATGCCGTCAGGCACGGCATCAAGCGCGAGATGGACCGTAAGAGCGGCATCCTGGACTCGGCTCCTCTCAACGGCCACGAGGTTGTTGCCAAGAAGCTGCTGAATGAGCCTGATGTTTCCATCGCTGATGATGGCGGCCTCGCTCTGGGTGTCGTGGTTGGTTGAGACCAATCTGACCGTTCAAAAATTCGGATGCAGAACAAACAAACAAACAAACAAACAACAGAGATGCGACAAACAACAGCAAAGTCTCCTTGAAATGCAGAACATCACAGATGAAGGGCTTGATATACCCACACGTATTGTCAGTCCTCGTTGACGAATAGCATAAGGGCATCATAGACACGATCATGATATAGATAGGCTATTGGCATGAGAATCCCTCTCTTTCGACACTGGATTGGTCAGAAGGCAGAGCCAAGAGGGGTCAGACTCGATAATGAGTTGACCCGTCCGATGGGCTGGCCTGAGGATGTGAAGGGGAAGAAAATACAAGGAGCCATTCTTGGCGCGGACTGTAACGTCCTGCTGGCACGTTCGTTCTGGTCGGCCTGGTTTTGGTTGGCTATCGACCATATATAGATCCACCATTAAGCGTTTTATTTATTCTTATTTTTATTGATACCATTACCAAATTGAGCCTCGTCTCGAACAACTCCGAGCTTCTTGATTCACCTTTCATTGATGTGGTAGGGTAACGTAGTTTCCCTACTGTACTTCTGCCTTCTATCCTAAATGTTCACACCATGTGCTCAGAGTGCTACAGTCGGGCGTTGAAACGGCTCCCTGCAACATGCAAAGCACAGATGGGCTCTCCAGGGTTTTTAATCCATGATCTGATCAGTAGATGATCATGAACCTGCAGGATGAAGCAAATGACGATGGAAAACAAAGTCAACCGTCGTGGCGGTCTTAGCGAGCATGCCAACGCTCTCTACACATGAACATGACTAAATGAACCAAGGACACCAAGTCGAGAGCAGCACACCTCCGCACCCTCCTAAGCAAAGAGCCGATCTGAGCTACTAAAGTCACCAGGTAGAACTGCACTTTTTTCAACAACAACTACCGAAGCCTAGGCCATCCTCACTAGGTCCGGGCCGCAAGTCAGGCCCGTCAGCTGCGTAGTGTTTGCAGCCCACCATTTCCCCTAGAGCCTCGAGGCGTACTTTTGGTGTCTTGAAATATCACGTGCCAGAGTAAGAGACGGCGACGCTCCAGCCACTGCTGAAGATCTCAGGGCCAAACGGTGAGCTTGTGTCCGACACATGCGGAGGGAAGGGGCTTCGCTGAGGCAGGGAGCATCGTAGGCATTCATTATGAGATGATACACTTAGGCGTACGTGCTGCAGACGACCTGCTCATCTTGGCAATGTAGAGGATATAATGCAGTGACCCTCTCGTGAGGCGGACGGCCGCACACACCTCTTGTCGTTGCCCCTGCGCTCCGCCACAGAGGGGAATTCCTTTTTTAATTAAAAAAGCAAAAAAAAGGAGAGGGGGGGCTCCCATCTTCTGACGCCGAGGGACCTCGAGAACAAAGCCCTTACTGTAGCTGGCCTTTGCGCTTCATGAGTCTTTGCTAAGACAGTAAGCAGACCGTACGGGTCCGCAAAAGTATTAAAGTATACGAACTTGTTGGAGGACTCAGCGTGGGATTCAAAAACTTGAGCACAGGTGATAAGATTAGATAAGATTATAGATAGCAGACGTCACCTCAACCCCACCCAGTCGTCCTCATACGACCACAACCCTGTCTCCTCACCATCGAGGATGTCATTCGGGGCATTTGTTCGTGCATGCAGGCGCGCAGACATTGTTCTGCATGAATACGTTAAACTGGCCCGCTCCGTTACTCCGTAAGGGCCAAGGCTTTCATGGGGCGCCGGGCCGGATAGAGCGCCGCCGAGGAGGTGCATGCGGGACACTTCACCGGCTTCTGCGCGGTCTGACGGGGGCGTTGAGCCTCCAGTGCTGACAGTGGCGTTGTGCGCTGGCGAGAGACTCCCATTTCCTGAACTTTGTAAGATCGGGCTCGAAGGATTGAGAATAAGGCTGTGGTGAGTGGGACCTAGTGAGTGCTATTTGATCCCCCCCCCCCCCCATTGGAGTCTCCCACAGAAGAATGCCCCGAGCATTGATCCTTTTGGGGCCAAAGGTTGTCTCGATACAAACAATGGCACCACATATCTCTTCCGAAGAAGGCAGCCGAACTCTCAAATGTCAGCTCTGGTAGGGCAACCGTTCTTCGAGCTCGGTACCGAAACTGCAATCTCGGTGGCTGGTCGTGCTCATCTGGCCAAAGCAGCTGAGCACAGGTGTGAGCAATTATGCGAGTTTCTGCAGATATCACTAGTTCAGGCGCGAATGCTGACCTTGCTGTGAGACCCATGACACCAGCCTCCACATTCAGCATCTTTCTGTAGCATAGCTGAAGGCATTCGTGCCCAAGGCGAACAAACGCATTAGTCTTTTGCCTTACCGCTGGCAGGAAAGGTCACAAGATGGCCCACAGCCCGCTATTTTGCTGATTCAAAAAATTGATGATGAGAAGAGGGGGCTTTACTGATTGCAAACAAGACCTGTGACCAGAGAGAGGCCAAGACATGCCTACAGCATTGTGGCAAATGCCCGCCTCTACAGAGTCGCAAGACATGTAGACCAGGCGACTATGAATGTCACAGAGCTCTACCATATATTTGGGGGCAGCTCAAGCCCCAAAAATAGTTCATTGGTGGGGGCCGGAATTGGGGGTCAAAACGCGATAGAGGGGGCCAGAAGCACTTGGAAATATCCCATAATAGCAGGGACCACGAAACCTTCGACGTAATGTAATGACATTCACGGTCAATCAGCATGGACCAGTCACTACCCCCACGGATCATCACTCCCTAATACCACATGTCAGACTTCAATTTGCCTGCGATGTTGGTGGACGCAGACACAGCGTAGCATCCTAGTTCAATGTTGGCTGTCGGGCGGGACTTTCTAGAGCACCACGGTCAGCTACAGCCTTTCTACGACCATATTGCCATTTCAGACGGAGACGCCTTAACCTCTGAAAATAATTGGCATTTTCATGAATGATTGCACTGCCTCGATGAGACAACCAACAGAAATATCATGCATGAGACCGATGGATAGCGAAGAGCATTCGAGATACCCAGCCGCAGCTGAGCGTGAAGGATGGGGGCTGTTTTGCTGATAACCATATATTTAATTGTTGGCCATGGCCTCATGGACTTATTTTCCAGAACTCCTTCCAAAAACCTTTCGCTCGAAGCCATTTCTACTATCCATCTACATTGAAAATCCCCACCGCCCCCTTTCCTTCTCCCAAAAGGTATTCGTCGGCATTCGAAAGCAAATCTGTTTCAACCCTGATCTCAGCAAATTGACCCTTTGGCGTCAGCGGTACCCTAATATGCATAGACCTGCAGCTACAGAGATATCGCCTTGTCATCAACAACTATATCGGAAGTATGAGACCTGTCCCTGCGAGGGAAGCACCCTACACGACCTTCGATCGAGACATTCTACCCTTGCACTGCTGGAACTGTGCTTCCGGCAACCTTTTTCTAAAAATACAAAGCGTTCTCCCAGAGAATTCGGGCATAAGCGTTACATACTAATGCTTGTTAGCCTTCGTTGCCTTGTTGCCTCCCGATATTTCTGGACGAAGGAACCAGTCGGGCACATCATTTATGGACGACCAATCACTATCAGGCCGGTAGACGAAGACAACTGCCTTCACCATGAATACGACGTTGCCTTTGCTTCACCGGTCGTGTTAGGAATTGAGCCGGGACCTTCGGATTCGAGATCGCACACAGGGCGCAGGGAGCAATCCTTAATAGCGTGAAGTTAACGTTGTCGGTATCCAGTTACCTGGTCTCTCACATGCCTGGCTTTGATGCCCTGAGGAAGGGCGTACTACGGAGAAGGGCTCAAGTGTCGAAGGGCTCAAGTGTCGAAGGGCTCGTTGGTATGGAACCATTATCGTTTATCTCTGTCATGAAAGAGTTCAATAGGCCTATTTAGAGGCTGACATGACTGCTGCATTTCAATGAGCCAGCACATCCCACCTCGTCACAAGTTCTTTGGGTTGCAGGTCGTCTCAAGGACAACGGCTCGAAAACAGGCAAGATGCCTTCTCCTACGCAAAGTGCAAGCAAGTCTTGCTCTGAAAGGTTCTCTGCACACTCTCGATCATCATCAACATCATCATCATCACCAAGCCATGATGAATCCTGCCCGTGAGTCTACCTGGCTGGCATCAGCTGATCCAATACATCAGCTGACCACATACCAGATTGTATAAACATCGCGCCGGGCGGGGATCATTACCAGAGCGCATGATGTTCGACATGATACGGGAGCAGGGGGAGTCTCACGGCCGCAACTTGAATCTGCCGTTCTCTGATGGCGAACAGCGAAAGTGTCCCATGAATAAGTGCAAAGAGAGATTCTCAACTCCATGGGCTGTGCTACACCATCTCAGCCTTTGTGGCGATGGTGAAGTGGAATGCCAAGGTCTCGGCTGCAAAGCTTACAACGGTTACGATTTCAAGAGTCGGTCCACCTCAGTGGAACACGAGTTGAGGACTACCATCGGTAAGACTTCCATTGGTAAGCGGAAGCGTTCGCAATACTCCGGCTCTGAGCCATCGATTTCCGGCAACGGGAACACAGTCGGCTCCAGCCAAGGCGGCGATGAAACTGGAGAGGGCAGCCGACAGCAACAGGAGACCCCCAAGTCAAAGTCACCATCACAAGGGCCGCACGAGATGGACGCAAGCCTGTCGTTGTCGGCTGAACCCTCAGGATCCAGCGAATTTTGCCATCCAGCAAGTACTTTCCAAGACTCCCTTCCCATTCGAACGTCGAACCGGGATCTGAAGCGGATACGCACTTCGAAGTCCTGGCAATCCAATCACTACAGCAGCGACATTGGAATGCCAACAAGTTCGATAGGTGACCCCTTGCTGTTCAGTCCCCAGACAATGTATACAGGCTCCTCCATTTCTCTCACGACATCGAGCCAGCCTCCGTGGACACCTATATCCTGGGGTACGACGGTATTCGACGGATCACCGCACGAGGGATGGCAGATGGTTGCTTCGCCAGGGTTCTTATCGCCACAGGCACCATCTGGAGCTTTTCAAGACACACACTGGTCGAACTTTGGCCAAAGTAAAGACGAAATGGCAATAATGAGGCCCTTTGAAATGCAGCAGGTGAGCGATACAATGATGGAACATTCTGGGAACCTATTCGATGAGACTGGACAAGCAACAATACAGGGCTCTGGCCTCGGAATTGACTTTATGCTACCCACCTCGTCCGTCGAATACACACTGCATCATGGTGGATCAGGGCCAGGCGCTCTTGTTCCCCTCCCGTCGCATTACCCTCCCATTGCTGAAGAAGTCTTTCCTGTCCCGACGAACCCGCAAATCGACCTTCCTTCGCAAGCCGACAGCGTTGCCAATGCATTTGGAGACGGTCAATCTGTCGGCAACGCACATTTTAACGCCGCCAGTATGCACTCGTTTCAGAACAACCCTAGCACACATGCAGCAGCAGCAGCCGCAACAGAAGCAACGATTCACACCCCAAATTTTGCAGCTTCAACAGATCAGGAATCGGCCCTCATGCAGGATGTAAATCTAAAGGGGAAGATCGACAGATGTCCGTGGCCCAGGTGCAAGCACAAACCCAAGGGGCCCAACAACAAAAATTGGCGCTCTCATCTCAGGCGGCACATAAGGACGCATCAGCGTGGCAAGAAGCTCCCTTGCCTGGTCCCGGAGTGCCTGGCGACATTCTCCGCAGGCCGCCATGACAATCTTCGGGCCCATCTATGTCGAGTTCATAAATGGGAGAAGAATCAAGCCATGGAGGCTGTCGAGAACAACACACCCAGCTTCCAGGAGCTGTCCTGGCCCAGCCAAGGTGTCACGACTGGCCTCGGACACTGGACCAAAGATGAACATTCCCAAGAGGTTGACCAAGGGCTTATTGGACAAGATGCCACGCTCATTGGTGACCAGGAAAGTGATCTGGGTATCTCACTTCTGCAGACTGCGTTTGGGCCAACTGTATTTGGGGGTGTGGATGCTGGATTTGATTACCTGGATGTGCCTATTGAGAGACCGTCTAACATCGGGCCTGTAGGATGGAATTCTTAGGTTCATCATGATGTTATCTCCTTGAAATCTTTCCTATAGCTTGACTTCAACAGGAGTATTGGTGATTTTCTACCAATCAAGGTCAGACATATGCTGTGAATGATGTCTTGCAACAAATGTGATTATGAATCTAGACGAGATCATCACACTCATTGATGTCCTTGGGGGCCCTTGGGGGCCCTGAAAGAAATGAAACACGTCGACTACACATGGTAGTTCTGAATTTCCTTCACATCCATACAATAACCGTTAACTTACCTTCCACTTGAGACCATTCAAATCTTTGTATCCTACTTTAGACATGGAAACACCAAGCTGCATGCAAAGTTGACCCATATTTACCTCGGCGGGACGGGCTGTTTTTTTTTTTGATGTATCAGAGTTATACCAGTCGTAACGTAATTTGCAAACTGGAGTCTCATATTTATGGCAGTATATAGGTAGTCTGAGACATCCCCTCATTGAGGTGGGCATGCTACGCGTTTTACCTTGGCTGTCTGCAGAGGCTGCTCATTATCAGCACCAATCATTCATCTAAATTATTCGAATAGTTCGTATCTAGAGGGATGTGTCAATGTCATTCTTCGGTTATGAATCATAGTGCATCCTTAGACAAAAACTCAGTCATTACTCTGGGAGATCCCACCTGCCAAGCAGCAAAACCTTTGAAGATGGGTCATTTGACATGCATGCAACTTACACAGGGAGCGTGGTAGCTTGCTGGTACAGTCTGACACAGGGATTTTCCGAGGCAGAATTTCAGATGCCGTGCAGTTTACACATAGGAAAAGGACATCCAGAGGAATATCGACAGGGAGAAGAGGGTCCGGTTCCCTTAATGACTCCAATCAGATATGAAAAGGGTGATGAAGTTTAGTGAAACTTATCCGAAGCCCTTGCAAGGGCTTTTGGTTTAATGCGTTGCAAGGAGAGCAGAATAATCAGAATGTGGACTTCGGTTGTGATATATTAGGACGAAGGCGCTGCCATTGATGGGCGTCCTCAAAACAAACGTCCTCAACCAAGATTGGTCGTGTACCCCTTATACATGCAACATTAGAAGCACTGCACGCATCTTCCACTAATATGACTGATTCCCATCATAAGGAGTGTGTATATGGCCAATCCTGAGAAGTATCCTTGTGGTAACGACTTTTGAGGTTTGATACTAACCTCTCTGCGGGCTATCAGGAAGTCTCAGCAAGCTCAGGGGAGCACTTCATCTGTGACCCAAGAGAATCTCAATCAGCTGCCATCCGGCAATATCACTAGTATGGATACCTACTTAGACTTCGATTCAGCCTATGAGAGACTGAAGCTGGGCCAGAAGACCCCGCATAGGGCATCTTCCCAGCTGCAATATATTCACTACTGGGAGACCAACTTCCAGGCTGCCACATTGAGCCAGAACAGCAACCACGGCTCTGACCAGCAGGGAAAGCAAAATAAACAGCAGGAGGTGGAGGACCAGGAAACACACAAAGAGACAGATTTGGAGAGGACTAGGGACTCTGGAGACTAGTGTAATGTCGTCAAAGTTCAGACGAATGGGGCAGCGAGGTCGGATGTATGGACCACTTTGACTCTTGTTTGGTTTTTCCTCTACCATAATTCATAATATTTACTACCCCCCTTTTTCCCTGTTTCAAATTGTGCAAGAAAACTTCAAGTCTTACCGAAATTGCATTGTCATAAAAAAACTTTAAACAGGTTGAAGCTCATATGCAGTGATCGTGGCCCAACTGGACTTGACGCCTTCACACAAGTCACTCCGCTCCTGGAGACATATGATCTTGTGAAAGAAAACGGTCTATGACATGGTTGAGTTTCATTGAAGCTATTGTATGGGTACATACGTAGATGGAGCCCATGTGATGCAATGCATCAACCTTGGAGGGAAACACTGAGACCCTTCCAGTCTGCCAGTACCGGCCCAAATCATTCTCCAATCGACCCCCAGATAGCTATTCTATCTTTGACTGTCGAGGACACAGTATATCTAGCGATGAGGAGACTTCGTACCCTCCTCCCCTCAGAGGACCTCACTGGTACCGAAGCAGAGTGACTAGACATTGGATTGGTAATGTTACACATCATCTCCGGGCGTGCATATGTCCAATTCTAAGCCCGCCAGATCACTATTCTTGTGCAGGCTGCCACACGCTTGCGATTAGGCATGAGGCCCCGCGTGCCGACTCACAGCCACTTGCAACCTCCTGTCCCGGGCAGTTGTCGTGGTATCAAATGAGCTGGCGCCGATTGGATTGGGACAAGAGACCTGGCCGAGATAGAGTTCCGATCGACAAGCGCCCTGCGCCGATAGAGAACCCTGTGGCGGCGGGCACGGGAACCAATTTTAAAGTACTGTAAGGACCGGGCCTAAATCATCCCTACTTGAGTTGCCAAAAGGGAAAATGATATTCAGGGGACATGTCACCCCCTCCCCCCCTTCATGGCCTGCGAGATTGACGGTGAGGGTTGATACAAGATGATCCACACCGCGGCCGCAGACTCGTCGCCCGTTGTGGTATAAGGTCGATCGAAGGTATCATGAGCTGCGCAGTGTGCAGGACCACGTCATTCCGCACATTTAAGGTTGGCGGCCCGATCTAGAATGGCCTGGCGCCGGATCGGGAGGGCGGCTCCTCTTGCGGTGATGTGCGCTGCAAGGGGCTTTGGGGGGAGGGGGGTTCTGGGCCTGGCGACGATGACTGCTGATGAACAACAGTCAGCTACTTCTTCAAGTCTTTTACCTGTTTACCTGTAACGCTTGGTCTGGAGGAAAAAAGGACATGGAGAGGGGATTTAGAAGGGATGGTATCCGAAAGAGGACATTGAGGCCGTTATGTGCTCCCATTCTTGTTCTGCTGGGACCTGCGTATGAAATCTGTCTACCAACCCCTCCTTGTCGCCAAGAGCCCGGACGGAGTCCGTTCGTTCTGGGTGGGCTCTTCATCAGAATTCCTGATCAGAGAGACTGCAGGCTCTCGGGTAAGACGGCACGCTGGCAAGGCTTGTCTTCGGGTGGCAGATGCGTGCCAAGAGAAGACAGCCACGGGAATAAGAAGACACTGCAACCTCGACATGGTGGGCATTGTCCGTCTTCGTGTCACCCAGCCACGGCGGTTGAATGAAATGAGGTCCGGGACATCCTGGCTCGTACCTATAACAGGCCACGAAGGACAGCCTGCAGTATTTGTCAGCGACCATTGGACCCTTGGTAGGTCTCCCCCACCTCCTCTTTCCCATCGGTTCTCCCATCTTCTTGGAGGAAAAAAAAAAAAAGCAATGACTTTTATGGTTGTATCACAGTCAGTGCTGGATAAGATGCCGCTAGGGAAGGCACCACGAGTCTGACATGGAAATGTGCTAGAGGGCTCAGCGATTAGCAGGGTCTAGAAGTAATCTGTAGGTGCATGGCCTTTTCCCCCTCTGAGCCTCCGGGGCTTCCAGGCAGTCCGACGTCATAGTCTCCACCCACACCTTACCACACCCTGACCAACCCCCCCCCCCCCGCCAGTGCAGTTCCTCCTACCACAGCACGCCGCAGTAATATTATTGGCTTAGGGGACTGCAGCCTCCTCCCCTCCTGCTTGCCGTAAGATCAGGGCAAAACACAGCACACAGCACACGCAGCATATAGCGCACACAGCTGAGAAACCCCACCGGCCACACCTTCTTCTCTGCCGTTCTCGCTCTCCTCTCGTGATGCCCAGCGTCGGAGTAATTGGAAATCACCTAATCCCCTTTGGAATAGTACACCATCGTACAGGAAGGGATAAAGTTCTTTTTTACCCCGAAGAAGAGGTCTTCTACTCCTGGCTCTGCCAGAGACAGGAGGGCACAATGTTACAAATACTGATGTCATACCATGCCGCCTCTTAAATCTTCTAGAATCTGGCTGGTCTCACTCGGCAATAAGAGTAGGACAAAATAAGTAAAACAAGAATAAAAAAAAACAAGGGAGGCCACCGTAAAAGATTAAAAAAATCCCCCGAAACCAAAACCCACAGCTAAATATCACAACTCTCCTCCCATACTCGTGCAGCCGACCCATGACTCTCTCCTCCGTCGCTTAATGCGTGCGTGTGTCTGGATGTGTCTTCCTGAGTACGGATTAACTGGGCCCGGGCACAAGCTCGGTGATGGCTTCCGAGCTGGCTGGGCCATTACAAGCCCATTCATTACAGGCCCCCGGGGTGGGCAGGGTGGACAGTGTGGGCACTGGTAGTGGCCGCGATAGGTAATGTGAAGTGACAGCGCGTTGGTGACAGTGTCAGGGTACAGTGCAGTGCTGGTAGTGGCATCTGGGGGTGTTTTAGCGTGCCCTACGGTGGTACCTAGGCGCGCTAGGTAGGGTCCTGGGGAATCCCTACAACCTTTTATCCGACCCTGCCTCAAAGGTTCAGTTCCCGGGTTCAGGTCTTCTCTTTCTTCGTCGGCCGGAGAGAGTCAGAGTCAGATTCACTTTGGTCGCGGTCTCCATCAACTACTTCTCGTATTTTTCTTTTTCTTTCTTTCTCGCACCCTTGGCACCCGGCAACTTTGTGTTGGACTTCTCTTATCGTCCCATCTTGCAGCGCTCCTTTTTGAGAAACCCCTCCACCACACCCGTGTTCGTCTTGTCCTTCTCAGATGGTGCCGTTCCTTACCGTACCATCATCTTCGGTTTTCCTTTGCGACGTGGAAGAGGAGGATCAGGAAGAGAGGCCGCCGGACAGCACCACCACCATCATCATCCAAAGCTCCACCGACAACCGCACACCCGCTCCCGCTGAGGTTCAGAGCAAGGCTAGAGCCGGACGATAGCCGACAAACTCCATCTTCTCACGTTTCGTCTGCGCGTCGCCCGTCGTGAGACCAAGGGCGAGAGGGAAGCACGCGGCCACCATTGTCTCGTTCACGGTCCCCTCCGCCAAGATCGAATCTTGTCGCGTCTGCACGCACACCTTTGCAGCTGGGCTGCGCGCTCAGGCTAGCGACGCGACAAAACTGCCCCCCCCCCCCCCCCCAGCGTTCCGACGACTCGAGTTGTGATCCAATCTGTCCATTGCGCCATCCCTCGCGACCCGGCCAGCTGCTGCGCGGTCGCGATCATGGCTAACAACCACGCGCCGCCTATAGGCGAGGACGCATGGCTGAGCTTCATCGAGGAGGAGAGTCGCATCCAGGGGAGAGGCCTCAACGGCCGTGTCGAAATTATCGAGCGCTACAAACAGGCCATCAACGCCGAGTTTGGCAGCGTCAAGTTATGGACTGCCTACTGCGAGTACTTTTGGTCTCTGTACCTCGAGTGCTATTCGCGCAACACTAACAGCCAGGGCCTGTCTCACGAAGAAAGAATGGTCGCCCGCGATCTCTTCTCTCTCGATGCCGCCTTGAGCCTCTGGCAGCAAGGCTACGAGGCTACGCGGTACCGCCTGGGCGACAGCCATGAGCTGTGGAACAAGTGGATCTCTCTCGAGATGGAGCTGCTGTCGACATCGCGGACTAACGAAGGCCTGCGACGCATCACCCATCTCTTTCGAAACCGCCTCCTAACCCCGCACAAAACCTGGGAAGACACCTCCCAAATGTTTTCTACATTCCTGTCTGAGTACAACCGGCCCGCCTACGAGAGCACGATGCGAGAGATCACAACATCCGCCCGAGACGCCCGCAAGATCTGGGACGAACGGGAGGTGTTCGAGCTGAAGATTCTGAACGCGCAGCACGAGGAGAAGACGGGAGAAGAGAAGGCCGCCATACTCGATTATCTGGACTGGGAGATGCGGCAGAACAAAAAGGGCGCGAGCATGCAGGGGCTGCTGGTGGAAATTTGTCTCGGCCTTTTTTCCCGTGCACTGACTGGCTTGTTCTCAAGGGAAGAAAGCGTCTGGACCGACTTTGTCGTCTGGGTGTCGTCTCTGCATACCGTTGTGAGCACAGGCCAGGCTAGCATCCCCGACCTGGGTCGCTTCCTACCGAACCTGCTCGACACCCTGCAGCGCGCCGTCTCCCACTGCCCATGGTCTGGTACGCTCTGGGCACGCTACATATTGGCTGCCGAGGAATCTGGCCTGTCTTACGATAATATCGAGCGCATCAAGCACGCTGCCACCGCCAGCGGTCAGCTCGACAGGGACGGCATGACTGGGGTGATTGACATGTATGCTGCCTGGTGCGGATTTCTGAAGCGTCGGGCTATGAACGCCAACGCGACGGATGAGGATTCCGACGTTGCCGAGATAGGTTTGACAGCAGCCTTAGAGGACGTCGACATCTGGGGGCAGCGCCTCTACGGCAAGGATTACAAGGGCGACCCCAACTTTCGCCTGCAACGCATCCATCTTCAGTACCTCACCGAGACGGGGGGTGCTATCGAGGTTGCCCGCCAGTTCTGGAATGACCTGGCCAAGAAGGCCATCTACGCAGACAGCTACAACTTCTGGCTGTCTTTCTACATGTGGGAGATGTCGATCTTCTCAACGTACAAGGGACGAAGTGTCAGGAGTCCGACGCCAGCCAACAAGGCCTCCAAGCAGCCGCATATACCTAGCCTGGCCACGAATGTGCTTGCTCGCGCTGTAAACCGGTCAACGATCGACTGGCCCGAGAAGGTGTACGAGGTCTACCTGCAGCACTGCAACGATTATGAGCCACCAGAGACAGTGCGTCGCGCCAGCGATACCGTTCACAAGGGCACGAAGATGGTGGCGAAACGCAGACAGGAAGAGCAGGCAGCAGCCTATGAGGCGCAGATGGCACAGTACCAGGAGCAGAGCCAAGTAGCTGCCACCCAGGAGGCGACGCAGGACGGAGACGATGCGTCTTCGAGGAAGAGAGTGCGCGACGACGACCCTGCCGAGGACGCCGAGGGATCTAGCAAGCGCGTCAAGTCGGAGGCGGCAGCCGAGCAGCTGCGTCAGAAGCGAGATCGGGAGAACACCTCGGTCTACGTGTCGAGTTTACCGAGTGACGCTACGAAGACCAAGGTTCGACAATACTTCCGCGACTACGGCCACATCAAGAATATCGACTACAAACACGAAGAAGACGGCAAGTCAGTCTTGTGTCTCATCGAGTTCGACACACCCGACCAAGCACAATCTGCACTCCTGAGGAACGGAAAATATTTTGGTCAGACTCAGATCACGGTAGCCCCTGCCACGGGCGTTACCCTCTTCGTGACCAACTATCCCCCACATGCTGACGAGCGCTACATCCGCAATTTGTTCAAGGGGTGTGGCGAGATCTTTTCGATACGGTGGCCAAGCCTCAAGTTCAACACACACCGGCGCTTCTGTTACGTCTCCTTCCGCAACGCAGAGGCAGCCGCAAAAGCTACACAACTCGACGGCAAGGTATTGGAGGGCAAGTTCAAGCTGGGGGCCAAGATCTCTAACCCTGGCGCCAAAAAACAGCGTGAGGGTGCAATTGAGGAAGGCCGGGAGGTTCACGTCACTAGCGTGCCACAAGAAGCCACCGAGACCGATATCAAGGCCTTGTTTGAGAAATACGGAAAGGTGGAGCGTGTTCGCATACTCTCAGACATGGCTGGGAAAAGCCGAGGCAGCGCATTCGTCGCTTTCGAGACGAAGGAGCAGGCCGAGACTGCGATCCTGGAGCTGGACAAGATCAAGTTCCAAACCCAAATTCTGAATGTGGAGAAGTCTAAGCCAGTCAACTTCAAGCCCGTCTCGAGAACCGGCGCATTAGCATCGCCGTCTCCTGCCCCGAGCGGTTCGCTTGATGAGGAGGGTGATGAGGCTATGCCGGACCGTGAGGACGGCAAGGGCAGGTTAAACCAAGGCGACACGGGGCGGACATTTGCAATCATGGGCGTCCCCGATACGATGAACGATGCACGCGTGCGACTTCTAGTGGAGCCCCACGGACAGCTTTCGAAACTGACATTGCGACCAGACCACGGGGGTGCAATACTCGAGTTTGCTGACGCGGCAATGGCCGGCAAGGCTCAGCTGTCGCTAGATGGCTTGGAGGTTGAAGGGCGAAAGCTTAAGACGGGATCTGTAGGCGCGCTGTTTCAGGAGAAGGGCGAGACACGGGTCGACCGTATCGACCAGAAACCGCCAGCATCCGCGGCGTCCTCGGGCAAGAAGACCACCATGATGCCGCCACCTTCGACTATGATTCGGCGACCGATGCTGGGGGGCAAGACCAAAGGCAGGGGCGGCTTCACGGGCGTGATCAACAAGGCTAGCAAGTCCAGTGATGAGGTCAAAAAGGAGGGCGAAAGCTCTTCCTCTCATCCGGCCCCGAACGGCGCCGGACCTACCCAGCCTGTGAAGAAAAGTAACGCCGATTTTAGGGCACTACTGCTCAACAACCGAAAGAAAGACGAAAAGAGCACGGGGTCCAAAGACACAGAGACTGATCAGGACAATGTGGTCCGGAAGGCAGCAACGGCTGAGAATGGTGCGGCCGCTGGAAACTGAGTTGCATGGGAAATGCAAACTGGTGTTAATTTTGTGCATTGCTATGTATTATGCAACGTGGAATGATTGGGTCCTGCATGCGAGCATTTGCGCTATTGAGTCGAGACTGGGTGGGAGTGGTGTGTACAGCTTTAATCGCGTGGCGGGGTTGAAGGGCAAGGCTGGCGAAATAGTGGTCCTATTGACTATACCCAGAATCTCGAGCAAAGTAAAAAAGAAATTTGGCATGTGTTTCGTCTTCCACACGAGTGCATGGCAGTGAATTGGCCGGAAAAGTTGGTGCTGGTTTGGTTGACTTCTGATCAGCGAAATCTTGTCGTAGAATATATGTTTTGGAAACTGCCTGCAGTTGTGACAGACTAGCAAACTCAGTCTCACTCATGGTGCCGTTCGAACCAGCATACAACCAACCACCTTGGCCTGACGCTGTCTGGTTCCAACTCTACATTGCACATATATAGCTTTCAAGGATATGACCCATGGGACTTCCAAGGGTTGTAGCAGCAAGGGATTCCCTTGCTGTTTCTGGTGGGCCGTTTCGATCGGGATAAACGAAGGCCTGGTGTTTGTTATAGGAATTTCCTGTCTTGAGAACATCGAGTTGAGACAGAAGGGCACCATATTGAAGAAGAAGAAGGAAAAATGGCTTAATAGCATGGTATCAAGCTACATTTCCACCGCCTACTCCTAATGTTCCTGTAAATGTTTGATTTTGCCCTTTCGCAACGATGGCTGACATGAATCTTGTTTAGTAGTAGGTGAGATTTTCCTCAGCGCCATGGTACAGATGCTTTTACAGATGTCATATCACTTATACTGTAAGTGTGTAACGCTTTTTATTATGTATGCATTGATTGATTGCAGAGGAAATACCTGCTCGCAAGTTGTCCTGCAACGAGGAAGTTCTGAAAAATGCTTAGCCCCGATCACGAAGACTGTGGTCCACAGCAAACAAGATCGTCCAGTTTTGTCATCGAACTTTCCACCCCTTTTTCCTTCTTCTTATTCCCCCTTGGCTGTTGTCTAGGGGCAGTTCTGGCCTGCAACGAGTTCTTGGCTGCCCCATCATCATCACCACATACAGGAGACTCGCTTAATATTCTACGTAATGACCGCGCCATCTAGAACCTCCTTGGCTGCTAGGACCCGGGAGGGATAGCACGTTCTCGCAGTAAACAGTCTCCACCAGGCCTCCCAGCCGACGTTTCAAATTAACGCTCGCTAAGGAGGATTGGGCGAGGTTTCAAAACACGCCAGCCAAATTGATCATTTGGGAAAATAGAAGAAGAAGAAAAAAGGGTGATGATTCCACTTCTTGAATTTTCCGCCACTCGCACACGGTCTTCCAAATTGAACATGATGGAAAGGACTTGGGTGCGCCCCTGGAGGGGGAGCCTGGCACAATACAAGCAAGACCCCATCAACCAGAGACTTGGCCGTCAAATGGGGTCGAATCTGTTTAAATGGATTCTCATATAAGGTGAGTTTCCTCCTGCGAGAGGTAAGTATCTCTGAGAGGCCTACTTACTGCCTTGGTCTTACAATCTCAACCCCACATTCTTTTTTCTCTTCTTCTTCCTTGTTCGCCCAAAATCCAACGCATCCATTCATTATGCGTGTTTCTACTTCCCTGCTCGCGGCTGGTTTCGCGGCCTCTGCTCTGGCGGCGCCTGGAGTCCAGCGCCGGAACTGCAAGAGCAAGTCTCCCAGCAGCTCCTCTTCCGATGTAAGCCTCCCGACTAGCTCAAGCGCTGCTGCCGTGATCGCCGCTTCCTCGAGTGCTGCTCCTGTTGCTGCCACCAGCAGCAGCAGTGCTGTCAGCTCTTCTTCTTCCTCTTCTGCTCCCGCCGTCGCCACCTCCAGCGCCTCGAGTGCCGCTGCCGCCGTCGCCGCCGCCAGCAGCAGCGTCAGCAGCAGCGTGGCCACCTCCTCTGCGGCCTCGACTAGCAGCAGCAGCAGCAGCAGCAGCTCCTCCAGCTCCAGCGGCTTCAAGTTCTTTGGCGCCAGCGAGTCTGGTGCTGAGTTTGGCACGGGCGACATCCCTGGTGTGTGGAACACAGACTACATCTTCCCCAACACGTCTGCCATCCAGGTCCTCATCGACAATGGCATGAACATGTTCCGGATCCCCTTCCTCATGGAGCGCCTGGCCCAGGGCACCATGACGGCCACGCTGGACGCCGACTACCTGGCCAACCTGACCAGCGTGGTCGAGTACATCACCGACGCCGGCAGCTACGCGGTGCTGGACCCGCACAACTACGCGCGGTACGACGACACCATCATCTCGTCCACGTCCGACTTCACGACCTTCTGGACCAACGTGGCCACCCAGTTCGCCGACAACGCCAACGTCGTCTTCGACTGCAACAACGAGCCCCACGACATGACCACCGACACCCAGACCGCCGACCTCATGCAGGCCTGCGTCTCGGCCATCCGCGCCGCCGGCGCCACCACCCAGTACATCTTTGTCGAGGGCACCTCGTACACGGGCGCCTGGACCTGGACCACCTCGGGCAACAGCGAGTACATGGCCAACATCACCGACACCGTCGACGACCTGCTGGTCTACGAGATGCACCAGTACCTCGACAGCGACGGCTCCGGCACCTCGTCCACCTGCGTCAACACCACCATCGGCCAGAACCGCGTCGAGGCCGCCACCAACTGGCTCAAGGAGAACGGCAAGATCGGCATCATTGGCGAGTTCGCCGGCGGTGCCAACGCCGACTGCGAGACGGCCGTCACCGGCATGCTCGACTACCTCTCCGACAACAGCGACGTCTGGCTGGGTGCTTTGTGGTGGGGTGCTGGCCCCTGGTGGGGCAACACTTACATCTACGCTTTTGAGCCTCCTTCTGGTGTTGCCTATGTCGCCTACGAGAGCATCCTCTCCAAGTACTATCCTTCTTAAGAGAAGGGGGGTGTAGGTGGCAGCAGCAGCAGCAGCAGCATTCATCTCTGGGTCCCGGCACGATGTAGAGGTTATTTCAAGTTCATTCGTAAATATTGCCATTGCATTTTGTACGTAGCAATTTCAAGATAAATAGAAGCGCCTTGCGCTACATTCATCATCTAGTTTTTCTTCTCCATTTACGCTTTTTTTAATGTGTCGCAACGTGAGCATGTATTGTATAACTATATTCTGATTATAAAGTATTGATTCTGCTGCAAAGGCTTGTTGACCTACTCAAGTGTCAAGCTTATTCGAGCACTGCGCAGAATTACAGCAATATTGGTTTCCGAGATTGTGTCTTTTTTTTTCTTCTTTTCCACTTTTACATTTTCCTGTCACAAAGGACATGCTCAAACTCATCCTCCCCTCAGCTGCTACTACTGAAAATTCACAAACGCCCCGCCGTCGACCAGGAGCTGCGCGCCCGTCACATACCCGCTCAGCTCCTCACAGGCCAAGAACACAGCCGGCCCCGCCAGGTCCCTCGTGTCCCCCGTCCTGCCCAGCGGTATCCTGCCCTCCATATACGTCCGCTTCGCCTCGTCCGCCAGGTCCTCGTCGTTGAGCTGCGTCCTGATCGTCCCGGGCAGCAGCGCGTTGCACCGCACCCCGTACTTGCCCAGCGCCACCGCGGTGCTCTGCATCAGCGACAGGATGCCGGCCTTGGTCGGGGTGTAGTGCGTCTGGCCCCCGCCGCCGACGAGCGCGCTGATGGAGGAGATGCCGATGACGGAACCGCCGGGAGGGGACTGGTGCAGCGCCATCTGGCGCGCTGCCGCCTGCACCACGTAAAAGGCCCCGTCGAGGTTCGTCCGCACCGTGCGGCTGTACAGATCCGCTGGGAGGTCCAGGAACTCGGCGAACGTGCAGATGCCCGCGTTGCTCACGCAGACGTCCAGCCGCCCCGTCGAGAAGGTCTCGAGCGCGAAGGCCACGAGCTTGGTGCCTGTTTCTGGGTCCGTCACGTCTCCTGGGAGGTGGGCGAGGCTGCCCACGGCCTGCCCTGCCCCTGCTGCTGCGGCGGAGGACTTGAGCTGGTCGGCCTCTGCGAGGAGGGAGTCCAGGTGCGGCTTGTCTTTCTCTAGACCCAAGTGGTTCACGGCGACGTTGCAGCCCTGCCGGAGGAATTCGAGACATATGGCACGGCCTATGCCAGTCGTGCCGCCTGTGATGACGGCCGTTTTGCCGGCTAGGAGGTTTGTGGGTGCCATTTTTATTATTACAACACCCGTCTTGATCTATCAACTTGGAAACGCCGTCGTTGTCGTTTTCTTGAGTTCTGGCGCAGGTGGTGGTCAAGGGTTAATTTGTCGTTTGTCTCACAACCGAGACAATGCACGTTGTGGCCTTGAATGTGGGGTCGAGAAATGGCACGAGGGACAGCTTGAGATGAGTACCAAGAAGATGTCAAGATGACCGAATATTGTCTTCAAGAAAATGGAAAATGGGCCGGAATATGGGTATCATGACCAGACAAAAGCACGGCTTGGAAGAGATATGACCTGGTCACATTTGTTATCAAGTACTCTCCCTACTTTCTCCGATGAGAGTTGTACAAGGAGGCTCATTCAACCCCTCGTCGATCAACAGCACCGATCGTGGGGAACCCTGCAGCGGACTAGGGTCAAGGGCCTCCCTCGGTGGGTCCGACCTCGGGACATCTAACAGCGAGGCAACGTCCTTCCATCAGATCTCGCCAGACGCCCGCAGAGCGGATGGTTTTCTTAACGGCAGCACGTCTTCAACAATCAGCGTCTTGTGTTGGATCAAGAGGGCGAGGGCGAGGTGATCTTCCACTGCCAAGAAGTGCTGCGAAAGAGTTGTGAGAGTGAAAGAACTAGAAGGTCAGTAGTTGACCCTACCCTAGCGTTATTCGTAATATCAGTACATTTGTGATCTTTGTGATCTACTATCAGTCTCAATTTTTCCCCCCCGGGGGGGGGGGGGGATAATGTACATATCTGCCAGCTTCGAATGGCAATTGCTCATATCCCTCCCATGCAGGTCCTTGCTGGATCATACCCAGCCTATCTGGCACGTTCCAAATATGTACACCACAGCCAATGACTCCCTCACTTGCGGGAACGAAGCTGGCGCTTGTTTTCCGATGAGACGGGCGGCGGGGACTCGTTCCGGCGTCTCTTCAAGGCATCTTTGACCGAGAACGATCCGACGAAGCTACGGTGAGCTACGCCAGTAACGGTACTCTTCATGAAGTACATGTCGCCGGTGCGAGCCGGCCGGGTACCAGCAGGGAAAGGAGGCGAGTCGATAATCCAGCCTGCATGATCCACATCGGCAAGAATCACGGCACCCGCCTTGGACCGCGCCATACCGTCGAAGGTAAGCATCCTACGGATGCCCGCATCGTCATGGGCGGCGCTGGTGTCTAGTTTGGTATCCGTCGGCGATGAGGTGTCCATGGACAAGGGGGCATTCGAAAGGCCATTGGAAGCATTCTCAGTCTCTTCGTTGTAAAGGATTTGCTCCAGCCAGCCGTGGTCCATGTATTCCATCCAGCTCGTCTCGGCAGAGAGGATCTTGGCCCAGTGGTTGCCTGACTTCACGTCGGCGATCGTGTCCGCAATCATCTCAATCCGTGCTAAAGCGCTGGCCGTGTCGGGACAGCATTTGCAACCGAGACGATGGCTACTCAATTCGGATGAGATAGTGAGCCACAAGTCTCGATCGTTCGTACTTAATCAACATTGCTGATACTTACTCAACTCGAACGCGCCACTCAGAAAGCATGCCGTTCTGGTTTATGCATATCGACACCGCAGTTGTCATAGTTTGAACGCATGGAGGACAAAAAATGAAAACCCGATTGATAGGCATTGCGGCCTGCAGGATGGTTGTGTGAAGCTCAGTGTCGTCGTAGACATAATTCATATACCTGTCCACCTCGTATTCCTCTAGAATGCTGCCAACGGAACTGACAATGGCCTGAGGCAAGCTTGACTTGGACACGTCGTCCTGGGGCAAGAATCCTTGGCCTGAGCTGAGACTCTTGACACCGAACTGATCATCAGCGCAGTTCTGGCTGCAGAGTGGTGTGAAGGCAAAGAAGAGTCTCGGAAACGCTTGGCTTTGGGAGAGGACCCCTGTGTGGCGCCTCTTGATCAGCACGCAATTTTGTGGTTGACAATTCTTCCAGAACTTACTCAAAGTCGGTTTGACTGTGGCTTCAGGCATCTTGATAGATTCTCCTATCCTTGAGACAATAAGGTTGTCACAAGTGCTAGGTAAGTTGCGTTTGGCAGGTTGATGCCTTGCGTAGAGATGCCTGAACCGTGGAGAGCCGTCAGTACGAAGGGCTAGAGAATCAGAAGAGAGTTGAGGCTACAGTAGTTGTGGGGCGATGAGGAGAAAAGAAATCTCCAACGAAAAACGGAAGGCATGCGTAGGTTGCATGATTTGGCTGGTGAAATTAAAGAAAGAGCTGTCCAGGCACGTTCTTCCCCTCCCGGAGACATCACTCCACCTGCAGGCTGCTCTTGCATTTCATTCATTGCACGGTCTGCACCTTCCTCATCTCTGTCCAGCTCACCTCAAACGTTACCTATGACGTTCAAAATGAGGAGGCTTAGTTCAGTAGCAAAAACAAAAGGGAGAAAAGAGTTAGAAAGAATAGGTCTGACAGGGCTGTGGAAGGAACATGCACGTGTTAGAAGACGATCAGCAGAACGACATATACACTCAATACTGCTTCTTCGATTGATGAGAAGGGGCCAAGATGCCAGACCCCGCTGACACGGTGGTGATAAGATCATCAAACTCATACGCTATGAATACGCATCTTGACCTTCATCAAAAACTGTACTGATCCCTCTTTCCCCCGCCCCTTCTTCCAATGCTAGCAACCAAACGCCTCATTCCAATGCTTTCGTCTGGCTCAGGTGAGGAACTTGGCCCCGTCCTGCTTGAACAACCAGTCTCTGTTCGCATCCACCATAAAATCAGTAATGTTAAACTCATTAGCATTTCCATTAGCCTCGAGAGACATGTTGCCGCCAGACGCGCCGTCTCTACCGGCCCCAGATCCAGACCCGTTCCCGTTCTCCGAAGGCATGCTCCCACCACCATTATCTGCCGGGGCCCCGAAAGGCAGGCGTGGGACATTGAAAAAGTCAAAGATGTCGACATACTCCAGATCGTGAGGCTGCGGTGTTCTAGCTGGCGTGACGCTGGGGTATCTGGTGTTTCTCCCCGAAAATCCGCTGACGCCACCACCACCACCACCACCGGTGCCGCTGCCGCCACCAATCGCAGCGCCAGAGGGACCCGGGGTGGAGCCCGTGATGCTCTGCCCGGCGGGACCTGGGACGTGCCTCGGCTGCCGGCTGATGAGGAAGTCCAGGTCAAAGGCCGTCCGTCGCATATCAGCCAAAATCTTCACGCTCGTCGGCTGCGGCCCGGGCGTCGAGCCGCTCTCGCCCGGTATCCCTGACCCTCCTTGCCTCTCGGCATCACGGTACTCGTCTAGCACACGCTCAAGCAGGCTACAATACCGCGCAGCCACGGGCCAATACCGCCCCATCTCGCGCAGGCAGTCGACAAAGAAGGGCAGCTGCGGGGAAAGCTTGTGCTCGACCGTGCTGCCGTGGACGAGCAAGAGCCGAGCCGCGACCCACAGTGTGAAGGCAAAGGGAGGGCCGAGCTTGGAGAGCAAGCCATTGGTCGCGACAAACTCGCCGAGGGCCTGGATGTTCTCGACAGCGCCGTGGCAGCGCTGGCTTGCGCTGTAGGAAGGGTGAAAGATCGGAGAGCGGGTGGTAGGGTACGCAGCGGATGAGTGAAGCCGGATCACGGCTGTGTGGTAAGTGGCATGCAGCATCACCCAGCCGCAGTTGAGCTGCTTGGCGCTGCCGGGCTGGAAAAGCTTCGCCATGTTGCCAAACTCACCCGGAAGCCCAAACTTCCAGGACGTGAGTGTGTTGTCGAGTTCCTTGTAGCGCAGTTGCCACTGCTCCACGTCGGAGAGGGCGGAGATGTCGACGGGTTGTTTGAGGAAGTTATGAATCTTGGTAAGAATCCCCAGTATTTCGATGTAGTAGGAGAAAGCGCCTAGATTTTGGGGGTTGTCCATTTTGAATTCGGGCGATTCACAGTTATGTGGATCATGTTGTATGCCGTCTTGGTGGTCGCTGAACCAGCGGGTTTCGACCTTTTGGTTCTTCATCCACAGGTCGTCGCGGCAGGGTAGAGTGCGGTCGATCTCACGATCGTCCAGGGCAAACTCAAAAGCTGTTGCGATGGTCGCGTACCGGTCGAGGAGATAGATCATCCAGAAAAGGCGCCGTCGGCTTTCTTCCTCAATGAAATCTCTGGGCTCGGGTAGGATCATGGCTCGTAGTGTGTATATAGAGGTGAAATTAGGGCTGACACTGAAGGAGCTCGACTCGACGGCCAGACCGAGCTGCACGACAGATCGGGTGATGAGGGCCATAATGTTCCACCCGGGCGGTCCGTTGCTGTCACCGCAGAGATCAAGGGAGAGGATGACGAGCGCTTGCAGAGACTTGACCGACGAGCTCTCCATGCCATAGAGCAACACCTGCTGCTTTGATATAGCATGATAGTGCCGCCTCCTCTCCTCCGTCAGTCTAGGATCTGTCGAATATCTCAAGGTAGTGGCCACGATAGCGTGAAGCAGAATCTTGTCTGTTTCTTCTATCATCGAAGGGCCAAAGAGCGAATCCAGCGTTGTCTTTCGATGTAATATTGGGCACCACGTGTTGATATGTTTGAAATAGAGATCTACTAGGGCATATAGGAGATCGTAAGGAGGCAGATCCTGGTCCGCAGATAAGCCTTGGTTTTGCGAGTGCGAGAGATTCACGGTCGGAGAGGGCACTGGAGCAGCACCATTGGTACCATAGTACTCCTGTGCTGCAACACTGGCCATGCCCGCGGCTGCAGCAGCTGCAGCTGATGAGGATCCTCCCGAGATCCCAGAGATGTGGCTGTGGTTTGTGGGTGACAGGCTGGACATGTTGACAGCGGAGGTCATGCCATCATGCAGAGTGGGCGTTGGGGGTGGGATCCCAAAGTCCATCGCCTGGGTGACGGGCGGATACGTAGAGGGTTTCTGGAGGAACAGGGCCGTCTCTGCCTGGGCCTGGTTCGTCCGCACCGAGTCTGCTCTGCCGAAGATGGAGGGCGGAGCTTCGCGCGGCGTGCCATGGTCGCTGGGAATGCTCGCGTTGCTCCCTCGGATGCTGGAGGGGGGTGGATGGTGTGATATCAGCCCGGCAGGCGCAGACTGGGCTGCGGTGAAGGTCGCCTGGATGATCTCGGAGTGAGCACGCAGGATCTCCTCGAGCTTATCGAGCCTCTGCTCGAGCTCACGCCCGTAACCAGCGCGCAGACCAGGCTTCTTGCGCTCTTTGTATTCGCATAATTGGCCATTGCGACTGCACCAGCCGCAAGAGGGCTGACCGCGGTCACATTTCACCTAGAGTTCGTACACCTCGCGTTAGTAGAAGACCTTTGTCTAGATCATCATCCTGCACCTGTCTCCCACCACTTGAATCAGGGATATGAGACATAGAGAGCATCAGGAGCAACGAGACAGAAGAAGAAAGAAGGAGCAGGAAAGAGGAAAAAAACGGGATGATGTAGCCGCACCTTTCTCTGCTTACATAGCTCGCACCTTGGAATGGAAAGCTCGTCAGCAACTCTTCTCTTCTTGGACTCGGGCTCGGGCGAAGTTGCCGCGGCACGAGGGTCCACCTCGATAGTCTCCTCTACGAGGGGCGCCGGCGGTGTAGTTTCAGCACAGGGAGAAGACATGAAATTCGTGGTGATGATGATATAGAAAAGCAAAAACAAGTCAACGACAAGAAAAGTTGATATAACATGGCTCAGATGGGGAACAGGAACTATACAAGGCAGGGAGAAGGAATAATAGGACGATGGGAGGAGGAAGAGATTCTATAAGCAGACATGTAACATAACAACGACTTGATATGTTCCGAGCTAAAGACCAAGGAAATTTGAGAAGGAAAAGACAAATAGGGACAAGCTGGATAGTGACAGAAAAAGGGATAGATCCGGGGCGCCGGAGGAAAAGAAAGTCTGGGGATTGGGGGGGAGGCTTCCAGGGGGGGGGGGGCAAAAAGATATAGTATTGATTCGCATCAAAGGACCAAACTAGGACAAACACGTACGAAACGGAGATTGGTCGTTTTCGCTTGCCATTCCTATTGGCAACCTCTCCTACAGGGTCGTCGTCGTCGCTGGCTGCTTCATCTCCACTGGCCCTCTGGCCACCACCGTCTTCGTCCGGGCTGGTGGCCTCGCCGTCCGGCTGTACTTTGACAGTGACGGTCGATGCAGGTGGTGAGAACCCCTGGGCCACGATCGAGGACTGCACAGGGGAGGACATGACGGCCGGTGTTGGAGATGTGGGCATCTCTTTGAGAAGGAGGAGGAGGAGGAGGAGGGTGTGAGGCTATCGAGCCCACGATGGAGGTTGTTGTCAAGAGATACACACACGATCGGTGTGCGGTCAGGGCCGCCCTCAACGTCCAGTCTAAACTAAACCCACAGGCTAGTCTAGTCGATCATGGAACCGTCTCTCATTGTCTGCCGAAGTGTGATCTGTTCTACCTGCTTGTGTGCTGGGCTTGAGGCGTGATGTCAAGAAACCCAAAGGTGTGGGGTGGGACCCCAGACCGGTGCGGTGCGACGGTGTGAGTGAGGAGGAATGAGGAGGGTGTGGGCGTTTGTGTGTGTGGCTGAGCCTCGGGTGCCTCGACAGACAGGGGCCAGCTGCTGCTAACCAGTGTGACAGATAACAAAAAGAAAAAAAACACGATGTCCTTGGTGGCAGATCTCGGTGGGATTCGCAACGCGTACAAAGAGGGAACGAAGAAAAAAAATAAAAATAAAAGGTGCTTCGGGGTAATGTTGTGCAGAGTGTTCGAGGACTTGGGCTGCTCCGGTCTTTATTGCATGGTCCGCCGTGGGAGGGGCCCTGGTTTTGCCTGATTGATTCTTTGTGTCCCTTCCCCCCTCCCCCCTTCATTGCAGTAGCGGTAGCAGACAAGAAGAGGTGGTGGGCCAGTGGAACCCGCAGCGAAGGCAGGCCCCGTAAGAGTTTAGATTTTACGAGCAGAATTCATCGAAAGGGCTCTAGTGCTGCGATGATTAGTGCTATTAGTGCTGAAGGGCGAGACGGGAGAGGAATATTGGAGCCGAAAAGACGGTCCTACTATAGAAAGCGAACAGCAGGGGAGGCCCATGACGTTGGGCTACCGCAGCATGCAGTAATCCCTGTGTGTGCGGGGGAAGAGAGGGTCCAGCTGCGGGGGAGGGAGGGGTTTCGTGGGCGCCTGGACGGCCTGAACGGCCGCAAACAGGAAACCCACAGGGGCATGAACGGTACACAAGGGCCGGCCCTCGGTCCTGGAGCCTCTGAAGAAGACATGGGAAGGAAGCATGACTAGTCGCGGTGGGCAACGTAGTATTCTGCGGTGCTAACCGGATCTTTAAGCTCTCCAGGCAGGCCAGGTGATCTTGAGCCGACGTGGAACCCCAGATTATTTCTCGTTTTCGCAGATCTGACAGCTTGTTAAGGTCGATGACTCCAACCATGGTCCCTGTCATACCTCTTTCCACCCCCTTTCGAGACCGAACAACAACACACATTATGGAATTTGTTCATAGAATACCATATTGAGCTCTTTGATCGGCTTTCTCGTCTTGGAGGTAAGGGGAAATGAGTTGACACGGACGTTCCGTGGTACTGCAACAGGGGCAGGCCCCAGTAGTGCTTGTTCAACCCTCCATCGCCTGCCCCCCTTCAGCAACAAGTATCATTCCGAATTGTTCAGATCGGAGAAGTGGCATGTAACGCTCTGCAAGCTATGACGCGCACACCAACCGTACTTCGAGATTATTACTATTACAGGAATGGGTTGAACACGTCTTATACCCTGCCTATCCTGCTGCTCTTCAATTATCGCACCTGTCAGCAAACACTGAACCTTTGTCGAGGCCGGCTAGAATGCCATGGCGGTAAGTCCACATTTATTGATTAAAGCAATATGCACCGTAGTATGCAAGCTTCTCTTAGGCGGTGTCACATCGGAGAAGTGGCATGCAACGCTCTGCAAGCCACACAAGCCACGCAATTGTTGCCGTCAAGCTCGTCTTAGTTGTTTCTAGCCATTGTGTTTCCTCAGTAGATGCCGAGCATGGCCAGAGAGCGCCACAAACTTGTCTTTCAGGCCAAAATCAGAAGATTTTATGTGTAGCTTGCCATGTGAGATTGTTGGGAAACGGTGTGGCACGACACGTTTAGCCCTCGGTTAGCGGCGATTTTGACTCAGACTGGAAGCAGTCCAAGACAGACCACATGTCATATACTATGGTAGCAAATCTCGAGCCGTTATTCCAGGTCGCATTGTCTGTATTTCAATTAGGATTGCAGCCAGCCGCAGCCACGAAGATCGAAACATGTGTCCGGTCACATCCACAGCATATAGACTCTCACCCCCATCCTTATTAGTATCTCGTCCAACTGTTCATGTATCTGCCGAAGCGGGCAGGCCTGCAACATTACCACGGGAATAACAAAGTGTAAAATAAAACAACAGATGGAGCGACACATACTACTCTTGTAGTAGTGAAAAGTCCCCAGATTTTAAGAGGGATCTCGGTTTGTTCGGTGCATCAACGACCCGAAACCCTGTGCTCTAAGTTGTGCCCCACCACCAGCTGCCGAGGAATTGTCCAATACCGGAGACCTACTGTCTCATGATAATACCATAGCTCTTCCATCTTGAAGAAATTCACATCACCTTTTTCCCTCAAATTCGTGGCCATTCTGTTATTTCCTGAAGGTGTGCACACAGCTCCATAAGTAAAGCCTCCAGATCGGGACATCCGTCACTCTGCTTACCTGCTCGCCTGCTTTGTGTCTGGTTTTTCGATTCCTACAATTTCATTCCATCCCTTGCTACTATCATCGTCATGGCTTCCGTCAGAGAATTTCCCACCATCAAGGCCATCCGGTCATATGTCATTGGAGGCGTTGGCTCGGGTAAGTGATGCTGCTTTCACCCCCCTCTCAAAACGAAGAGGTGATAAAGCTGATGGAATATGTGCAGGTGGTGATTATCACAACGTGGAAGGAGGCCACTGGTGAGAGGACGACCTAACCCCTCTTCTTTAGATGATGACTAACGCCCAAGCCTTTCCCCCCCCTTTCTTCGCCTCAGGCTCATCGACTCGCCGATATCCACACCCTGCTCACAATGGGAGCAATACCGCAAGTCCCGCACAAGCTGGGGCATCAACGTTCTCGGCTCCTTTTTGGTAGAGATAGAGGCCAGCGATGGCACGGTGGGCTTCGCGACGGGCTTCGGCGGCCCTCCCGGATGCTGGCTGGTCCATCAGCACTTTGAGCGGTTTCTCATCGGTGCCGACCCACGTAACACCAACCTCCTCTTTGAGCAAATGTACCGGGGCTCCATGTTTTACGGCCGCAAGGGCCTTCCTATCGCCGTCATCTCCGTCATCGACCTGGCCCTCTGGGACCTGCTCGGCAAGCTCCGCAACGAGCCCGTCTATAGGCTCATTGGTGGCGCCACCAAGGAGCGCCTCAATTTCTACTGCACCGGCCCTGAGCCCACAGCCGCCAAGGAGATGGGCTTCTGGGGCGCCAAGGTGCCTCTGCCGTACTGTCCCGAGGAGGGGCACGCTGGCCTCAAGAAGAACGTCGAGTTCCTGCGCAAGCACCGCGAGGCGGTCGGGCCAGATTTCCCCCTCATGGTGGATTGCTACATGAGCCTGAACGTGCCCTACACGATTGAGATCGCCAAGGCCTGCCTGGACCTCAACATCAACTGGTGGGAGGAGTGCCTGACGCCCGATGACACAGACGGGTTCGCGCAGATCAAGCGCGCCCACCCGACGCTCAAGTTCACCACGGGCGAGCACGAGTACAGCCGCTACGGCTTCCGGAAGCTCGTCGAGGGCCGCAACCTGGACATCATCCAGCCGGACGTCATGTGGCTGGGCGGGCTGACGGAGCTGCTGAGGGTCTCGGCCATGGCGGCCGCGTACGACATCCCTGTGGTGCCGCACGCGAGCGGGCCTTATAGCTACCACTTCGTCATAAGCCAACCCAACACGCCGTTCCAGGAGTACCTGGCCAACAGCCCCGACGGGAAGAGCGTGCTTCCTGTGTTTGGCGACCTGTTTCTGGATGAGCCCATCCCCACCAAGGGATACCTGACCACCAAAGACCTGGACAAGCCTGGCTTTGGGCTCACCCTGAATCCGGCTGTGAGGGCCAAGCTGATCAGCGGGCAGTCCCTGCTGAACCCGGCGCCATCAAAGAGCTTGACGACGGAAGAGGAGAAGGAAGCGGCGGACAAGGCCAATGGGGTTTCATCATCATGAACGGGAGTTCAAAACTGTTGTTGTTGTTTTTATGTGGGATCATTTCCCCATCTTCTCGAGTTAAACTCCCGCTCAACTCGTAGACCATGTTTCGCGAAAATGTACGAGAAAGTAATTGAAACTCCTCCACAAGAACTCTATTTCTTCGCAGAGGCAAAGTTTCACTCCATTAGAAACGTCAAAACTGGTGGCTCTGTAACCTGTGTCACCACCTCTGGCAAAAGGAATGGTGTAATTCATTGTTGTCGTTGATTTTGACGACGACGACGACGACGACGACGATGATGAAGAAGCCTCTAATGCTAGTTCCGCCCGAGGAGATTCCCTGTAGGTACTGTAACTCATCCTTTGTTGACTGCTCCTTTCCGCCCACCAGGGAAATAAAGAAAATCCCTTGCAACACCCCATCACTTCGGAAGGAACTCCTGGTTAGCGGACTAAATATAGGGAAAGAGGTATCAGCTGACAAATCGTTCACTTCAGCAAAACCACAGAAAACAAGCCATCTAAGAAACCACGTGATTTATTGACACAGCACAGATGCTCTCAGCGAGAATGAATGAAACTTAATATACCGTGGAGCCTCCATAAGCAAGCTTACTACGGTCGCGGGAGCCATTTGTTACTATCAGAGACTCTGGAAAACTATCTATTCCTCTCTCTTTCCTCCTCTCTCTCCTCTATCTTCTCCTCTCTCTCTGGTATGCGAGAAGCGCAACAACTTTTGATTCCCAAACTACATATATCGTCTTAACTAGGATATGTAGGCCACACTATTAGGCTCGGTGGCCAGACGGACGAGGATGCAATATAGAGGGGTCGCTACAAGACCCTTTAGCTGGACGTGCAATTCGCCTAGGCCTTGGAACCCAAAGTCATTCCGCCGTCCAGGCTGAGTGACGTTCCAGTGGTGAAGCTAGATTTTGAACTGCACAAGAAAACGGAAGCGTCAGCGGCCTCCTCTGGTCTTCCCAGTCGACCCATTGGGATAGTGGCCAAGAGTGCCTCCTCCAGACCTGGAGCCACCTCCGTTGCTCGCCGAGTCTTGGGAGTATCTGTCCAAGTCGGGCAGATACAGTTGACTCTGATATTAAGAGAGGCGTTATCGAGTGCTATATTACGCATTAGTATCAGTAGGTCTTAGGAAGGCTACGTTAGGTCCCACGCACCGGCGGTCTTGGTAATGCCGATCATCGCATGCTTGCAAGTAGTATACTGCACCATATTGGGAACAGCGATAAAGGAAGATACCGAGGAAATGTTCACGATGGATCCACGAGTCTTGCCTCGTAGCGCATCAGTCGGACTCGCCTGTTCAAGCTCCTGTTTCTTCATCGCGGCGGACACATAGCTATTGACGAGGAATGTTCCATGAACGTGACCCTCAAGCAAGTGCTTGAAATCGGCGAAGTTTGCTTCCGAAATAGGATCAAAGGTGCCTCCGGGGATCTATTGCCCAGTCAGTAACCGAGAAAAGTGCAGCTCCAATGCCAGCTACATTAGGAGGAGCTTACACCGGCAGAGTGGACTGCATAGTGAATTCGGCCAAAAAGCTAAACGGTTCGTGCGACGGCAGCTTTCACAGACTCCTCAGAGGCCACATCGACCTCCACGGCCTCAACCTGGAAGTCTGGGTTGGTGGCAACAGCCTTTGCCTGGGCAACAGTCTCCTTGGACCCCTCCGCGTTCAGATCAGCGACGATCACGCCACGGGCACCCTCCTTAGCAAAGGCCAAGCAGAATGCTCTACCGATTCCGCTTGCTAATAGAAGATTAGAGTACTGCACCAAAGGATTGCACCAACGTGAAGAATGGGGTAAGATATGGCACAAGACGGGAGAAGCAATACTCACCTTCACCAGTCACGAAAGCGTAGCCTTTGATATCCATGTTTCCACGCCAGGGTTTGTATTGAGTGAGAGTTGAAAGTACTGAACATGCAGAAAAGATGCAAGAGGATCGGGTACACGAGGCAATCAGAAGAGAGCAAGGCGAGGACTTCCGTGCAGCCAGCAATGTGCAGTGCCTTTGTAAAAGAAATAAAAGGCATGATGAGCGTTGTCGCTTCTTACGGTGGGGTTACTTAGGAGATGAGAGGTGTGCTGCATGTTGGGCCAGGATGCGGCGTCGCAGAGCGCATAACCAACACAAGCCACCAACGCCCACCAACAGCAACGCTAAGATCGCAGCGGCACTTCGAGGTGTACTTGTGCATGCACGATAGAAGAAAGGCTAGCGCCCCCACCAACAGAGAAATGCCGATCCAATGGTCGTTGGAACGGAGTAGTTTGCGAACCCTTGAACCTTGACCTTGAATACGCACTATGTACAAAGTATTATAACAAGCCTCTGAGGAATACTATCCAGATACAAATATATATTAAAAGCATACAAAAAGAATTATATTCTATAAAATAAATAATTCTATTTGAACTTAATTCAATACTATTTATCACCATTTTTAAACATTATAATCGGGATTAGTGCTATTCTTTCAATATGAAGTCTTTTATTTAGACTTGGCCTTGCTGGCAGCTGCGCATCACCCCCTCAACCCCCCCCCCCGAGCCTATCACTGTTGGTTGACTGCTGTGCTGTACCTCAGGGTATATAGGTCTACTTAAGCATGCACAATCTTCCACCTCTTCATGGAATCCTCTTGCTCATTCTTCTGCCCAAAAATCATCCTCTGCATCATGCCCATAATGGCTACTGAACAAGCTTGTCTATGTCTTTTCTCGAGCAGAAAGGCTCTCCTACCACCACAACGGACGTATACAATGTTAACTCCCCTTCAGAGGTGGAAGAGGGCCTGGTCAGCACCAAAAAATGCCAATGTTCCCCATTACATCACCGGGTCTCGGCTATGCTCATCTCTGCAGGGTAAGAAGATCGGTCTTGTTAGTTGATTGTGGTAAGCTAACATGAATCATCTGCAGGTTATGTTTGGGGTTTTTCCTCGTCAATTTTGAGGTCACTGTCGTGGGCACAGCGCTTGCTTCGTGACTGATGACCTCAGGGACTTTGGTAGAAGCAGCTGGATTGGGACGGCACACCTGCTTCTTACTTACACTGGTGAGCCTTGTCATTCTTGGTTCAGACATCGTGCTATCATATTACTTACAGATTGAAAGGTTGCTTCGTTGTATGGGCTAGAGTGACTATTCTCCTCGGACGCAAGCCAGCTCTAATATGCACCTTCTTCATTTTTGCAGCCTTTGCCGGTGCCTGCGGTGGGGCACAGTCCATGGTTGAGCTGTAAGACATCGCGTTGCTGCATTCGATGAGCCTCAAAACTGAATAAGTGGCAACAGTATTGTGTTACACGTACTACAGGGTACTGGTGGATCCGGTATTTATGGCCTAACGACAGCCATGATCTATGAGCTTCTTCCGCCTTCAAAATTCCCGCTTTATACAACGATCGTAATGGTCCTTTTCAGAGTCGCCTTCGCCCTCGGTCCGGTTTTAGGCGGTCTCATCACCAACTCGGGATCTTGGCGGGTGGATATTTCTTGTCAAGTACGCAAAACAAAATCCCGATATCTACTGAGCTGGAAGCGATGCTAATATCACGTCTGAAGTGTTCCTGCCGCTGCGGTAACTGGTGTTGGGCTTTATTTCGCCGTGCCGAACGGCTTTCCACACCAGAGGAAGGTGGCACCTCCTCTGAGACCTTCTATGGGAAATGAACTGTATTGGACTGCGCTGAGGGAAGGAAAAGGAAGGAAAAGAAAGGAAAAAACAGCTGGCTATCTGAGGCTATAGACAGAGGTTGGCTGGCGATAGTGGGGCCAGTGACTCACCTGGCCTCGCACACCTTCTGCTGGAAGCTTCGACGTAATCAGGTCGATGCTCACGCTCGCTGCTGTAGCTTTGCTTATCATGGGTTTGGAAGAGGCGGCTTCGTCACTCGAGTTGAAGACTGTCAAGACCCTTGGCCCATTGTGTGCATCCGCTCTTTGCTGGTTGCTATTTGTGCTTGGTGAATGACACGCAAGCCGCCATGAGAGCCCTGTTGAACCTGTCTTTCCATGGATATTCTGCACCAATCGAGTGTTCATGGGTCTACCTGTGTAAGTTGTTGTCTGAACCATCCATTTCAACCTTGCCAACTTCAAAGTAATTCTCGGACATGAGAATACATTCCTGACTGGTGCCGTCAGCGTCACTTGCGTGACACTCATTCCACTCCGTTACCAGACAGCCGCTGGCCTCAATCCTTTGCAATCAGGTGCTCGTCTCATACTTTTCTCGGTTGCGTCCCCCATTGGGGCAATCTTTGCTGCTTCTCTTTGCAAGAAACGCCGCGTCCCGCCGCTCTATATAATGCTGTTTGGACGGGTACTCCAGCTTGTTGGTCTGGTGCTTGTCACGACACTCACTACTCCGAAAGATCGAGATTGGCCAGAGCTATACGGCCTCCAAGTGTGTATTGGATTTGGCATGGTTCTGGTCATAGGGATGGCAACACTGCTGACGCCCGCGATTGTGGAACGCAGGGACCTGGGTATGTTCAGATCATTTTCCTCTGATTCCTTTGCTGAGCTGACAACCTTCATTAGACGTGGGCTCTGCTGCTGTCACTCAGTTCCGATTCCTTGGCGGAGCTGCTATTCTGTCTATCACTACTGCTGTTGGGAACACTTGGATTCGAAATGTTTTGTCCAATATCTTGAACGCAGAGCAGCTCGTTGAGCTGTTCAGGTCGACTGTGACGATCAACACTCTTTCCCATGACGTCCAGAACGACGTCAGAGGACACTTCGTCCAAAGTTTGAATCTGCAGATATGGATACTGTTGGGCGTGGCCGTTGCAGCTGTTTTTAGCACTCTGATGATGTGGCAGAGGCCCCAAATCTGAGTAGCTTTAGGGGCGGACAAGCTGCGCTGTACATTATGTTTACCATTGAGTTTGGAACGTGGAGGAGAAGCCTTGCAAACCCGGAATCTGTGTTGGCAGTTTGACATGAGACCAGCAGCGGCCAGACCTGTTGATAGCCTCAGTTAGCTGCCCTCGTGGCTTTTCTCTTCCTTTCTCTTTTCTCCTCGGCGCACAACAATATGAGCCCTTTTGCCCTCGCATAAGCTCTCATACTGCAAGATCCTTCACAACAGATTGATGAGACGAGCAAGCAGAATTTGGCGTTGAGTGTGGACATCAACATGTTTACAGATGACCTGTTGGTGTCATAGTCGAATGAGGTGTGATTTAACCTTCAAAAGGCGTGCGGTTATCTATTTTCCCCGCTCTTCCTTAGTCATCAACTTTTTCTTGCGCAGCTATGTTCGATAAGATAAGAAACCCTTTTAACAAATGGCACTAAGCCTCCAAGTTGCTTTCTCTATCGATACCTCGTCAAATCTCAAATGAAGATTGACACTCACAATGCCTCGACAACTCAGATTGGAAACTTGCTGGACTTGCCGGCTGCGCCGGAAGAAATGTGACGGCACTCGACCAACCTGCCGAAACTGCGCCGACCTGAACATAGAATGTCACGTTGGCGCGCACAAGCCGGCCTGGATGAATGATGAGGCGACGCAGCGCGAGATGGCTCGACGGATCTCTGACCGAATCAAAGAGGGCGCGGTCGGGAGACGAGTGAGGCAAGGACGCGGGGGCGGGGAGGTTGGGCAGGGAGATGAGAGTTTTCGGATCCTCCCGGTCATAACGAACAAGACGTCTCCACTGGAGTCTGCCTCAGGCAGCCAAAACGATGATGATGACGATGCAGAGACGAGGCATGAATCGGCTACTTCTTCATCGGTAGTGACCACGACAATCTCGGATCAGGAGGCAACAGCAACCTCCATGGCCACGTCACCGAGCCTGCCGTCCGGCTGGTTTAGCAGTGGCTCAGAAAGAACAGAGGAGGACGATCGGGAGGAAGTACCACACGAGCACGTCATGATGGGCTACTTGGACTATTGCTTCCCCTTCATCTTCCCCTTCTACCGCACGCCCATGCTCGGCACAAGCAGGGGCTGGATTCTCTACCTCCTCCAGAGCAATACGATCGCCTCCAACTGCGCAGCAAGCCTCGGCTCCTTCTTTCACACCAGCGTGGCGAACGAGATCCTTCCCAACGGACACACGCGCTGCAAGGCCCATATCTGGGCTCGCGTGATGAAGACGGCCGACAAGTGCTACAAGGCCATCCAGCTGGAGCTGCTGCAGCTCAAGAACGGCGGTGCCGTCGGCGTGTCGGAGAGAGCAGCCGCTATGGGCAGTATTGTGCAACTGATGGTGTTTGACTTGTTTGTCGGCAGGTCTGAGGGCTGGGAGATGCATCTCCGTCCGGCATTGATCTTACTGGATGGCATGTTGACTGAGTACCTCGACAGCGGCTCATCCTCATACTACAATGGCCACGATCGTGATGATACTAATGCCTCTCAATTGGGTCTTGGCACGCTGCTGGACCATTTGGAACTCCCGGCACGCGTACGCGGAGGTTCGGAATCAATAGTCTGGTCTCATGAACAGGCAGCTTTCCGCTTCTTCGCTGCCCTGTTGCTGTACATGGACGTGGTGGCAGCCGTAACGTTGGGCCGCGCGCCACTACTGGGGAAATGGTATGACCAGATCCTGAGAGAGGACGAGATGAATGATCTCTCACCGTTCCTGGACATGTCACTGTTCGTCGGATGTGCAAATTGGTGCCTGGTTGCCGTTGCGGAGATCGCCGCTCTCGACGCGTGGAAAACCGAGGCGAAGAAAAATGGTTCCCTGTTCGTTCCAGACATGGTCGAGCGTGCAGCAAAAATCACCCGCCAACTTGACCAAGCACGGAGGGATGTGGACGCCAAAAGGGTAGCTTCAGCGTCGGCAGACACTTGCCATGCACGACGTCTACGGCCCTTTGGCCTACCAATTCCCAGATCAGCAGATAGCAATCCCCAGGCTCACGTCTCGATAGATGTGTGGGAGCACGCAGCTCGGATCTATCTCGCTGTCGTCGTGTCGGGGTGGCAGCCCCTGAACCCAGAAATTCGTAACAGCGTCCAAGAGATTCTTGGTCTGCTAAACCGCCTAAGGGACAGAGACTTTCAGGATGGAGCGGCTCAACTGCGTGCTCTGGCCTGGCCAGTCTGTGTTGCGGGTTGTTTGGCGGATTCGGAGGCCGTAGCCGACACTTTCAGAGATGTAATTCAGGAGGTCATGGGCGAGATGGCAAAATTTGGGAGCATGCATGAGGCTCTTCAGATTATGGAGTGGGTGTGGCGAAACAGAGACACCCTCGAAGCGATTCGGTGTGAATGGGATATCCGGACGTGTCTATCATGTCTGAAGTCGCCAGTGTTGCTGGTTTGATAATGCGGGCAACAATGAATTGCGCTGGTGAAAAGTGGGAACAATTGGAACATGGGTTCCGCGGCAAATGTTCAAATACCGTGTCATCGTTTTGGCAAAGCCATGTAACTATCACAGAATGGAGAGAGTGTGTACCTAGGTGGACGATCAAATAACAGAAAAATAGACTGAATTCAGTTGAGAGCATGTTCATCTAGGTTTGTATCCGAGTTGCTCATTTTCCCTTCCAAGCATCAATCACCTCCTTGGCCGTCGTCGTCTTGATGTCTGGGAACTTCTTGTTGATGCAACGCTCCTCGGGAAAGTCAAGGAAACCCTCAGCGATGAGCCACCCAAACTGGGAAACGAGACCCTGAAACGGAACCTTTGGGATGAACTCATAGGTAGGCAAGTGTCCAGGAAGTTCCGTCATCTGTCCGGTCTTGAGCTTTTCGATGCTGTCGTAGCTGACCTCAAACTTGCGTCCTAGAATTCAGAGCGAACTGGTCAGCCATCGTGCCCTCTCCCCCCAGGGATTGCTACTCCCACCCTTAAACATACCTCGTGCTTCCTCTGCCCACTTAATGATCTGGTTGAACGAGACCTTATCACCGTAGCAGTAGGTAGCTTCCTGCCACTCGCCCTTGGGCAAGTCCAGCGCCGCCTCGACAAAGCGGGCCACGTCGAAGCTGTATGTATACGCCGCAATGGCATTGCCGTCACCTGGAATGGCGGCCTTGCAATCCTCCATATCGACATTCCAGACGGTCGGAACGAGCTGGCTCTTGATGTGTGGCATCCCAAAGTAGTCGAGGAAGTAGCCGCCGTGGAAGGTGGTGAACTCGAGATCCGTCTTGCGCAGGGCGTCGACGGTTGCTTGGCGGAATGGCTGGGGGTCATCCCTGTTAAGAAAGAAAATAATAAGGTCAGCGTCAGACAGCCTACCGGAGCAGTCCAAGATGCTGGAAAGCATGAAGTGATGAAATGATTCAAGTGTTTAGGTTGTCACTTACTTGGGACGGGGGAGGCCCCAGTCGCTGGATATGAACCGCTTCGCGGAGCCGGACTGGACAGCCGCATTGACAAGATTGATCTCGGCTGCACCAGATTCGGGCGAGACGACGAAGATGGCTGAGATGACGGTATGAACGCTATGGCTTTTCAAAAGCTCTGCGGTCGCCTCCACGTTGCCGTAGTCGACAACATAAGTGGGAGCCTTGGGGTCTTCGGATTCTGCGGGCTGGTGATGACAATCAAGAATTAGCTTCCTGTAAGACCACCAGATCAATCGTTTTCTGTCATTCAGGCATAGTTTGACCCCAGGGCAGGACAGCATGCACGTACTTTGCGGGACAGAATGATGACCTTGTGCTTCGGGTTCTCCTTGAGCACCGAGGCAATGGTGCCACCGACGTGACCATTGCCTGCTGCGATTGCGACGGTGACCATAGTGACTGTGGAGGTGCTTGCAAAAGTATAGAGGTGTCTCTTTGATATGGGAGGACTGAGTTGTCTGGTAATCAAGACACGATGTAGCTAAAGCTGGGAAACCATCAACTTTATACTTGAAAACCCCTATACTGAAATACCCCAGCTCCAGATTACAAAGCAATCCATAGGAATCTACAGCTTCTCACATGATGCAAACAGAAGTATCAGATCGTTCCTATATTCGTAATTAGTTTGCTTTCGTGGTGTGTTGTAGCGTGATTCACGCCTTTTGAATCGCGCGCGCCGAATTTCTGTCTTCATCAACACTGGATTTCCGCGCGTTAGGTTCCCCAATGCGGATTCGCGCGCGACTTTCTTAATTCGGATTCCCGCGCGGGATTTCTCAGTTGTCACAGGCAACAGCGCTATTTGATCCCGACTACTTCTCTTGAATTCAAACTTCGACTCCTTTTTGTAATCATTAGCAAGGAGGTTGTACTCAGCAGGGTGGATCATGCCGAAACGGAGCAAACTGAATGCCGCCTCTTCTCCTTTTCCCTCCTCTGTTTGCGACCAAAAAGTCCGAGTCTACCTATGTTGGGTTTACGATTAACCTCAATAAGTGAGGGGGGATAAATGCATGCCAGGCATGAGCCGAATCTTGGTAATGAATTACTTCAGTACTTAGTAACCTATCAGAACGATTGGTAACTCTGCTTAAGGATCTCCGGCTTGGTGTCATTGAGATTCAAAATCATCTGTCCAAATAATCCATTTGCCCAAGAAAACCTGGTTCGTGATCAGTCAGAATATGTTGTTATGCCATCATCAGCTTGGTTGACGAAGAATAATGAACTTACCACTGCCTGGTCCAGTCACTCTGGTTAAAGGTGTTGATGCTCTCATGTATCAAGCCTAGCCCATCAGTACTGCTCACGATTTCCCCCAGCGCTTCCGTGATTTCGGCTTCGTCATTGCTCGTGTAGATCCTCATGATGCTAGCCATCGGCCAGGCAAAACCTGGACCATCGTGCGGTCCACCAACAGCATTGATGACCGGCCCGCGCATGAAATACGGGTTCCCGTTGGTGCCCGTCTGGTCCAAGACGATAGCCCTGGTGTTCTGGTAGACCTCATCGTCCACATCCAGGAACCCGAAAAAAGGAGCCGACAGCAGAGAAGGGATGTTGGCGTCATCCATCATCACAACACTCCCAAACCCATCGACTTCGTACGCATAGACCTGCGTGCCCGTGACGGGGCTCGTGATGATGCCATATCTCTGAACGGCGGCTCGTATCGAGTCCGACAGGGCTGTCATCTCATCAGCCAGCCCGGACGGGGCAGCATCGCCAAGAGCTGCCATGATCTGGGCCGCAGAGGCCAGATACCGCGAGAACATCATATTGGCCGGAATGAACAGCTGGAAGATGGTAGAATCATCGCTCGGGCGGAAGGCCGAGCGCACGAGGCCTGTCCCATTGGCTACGGGGCTGCCGAGACCGTTGTTCTCCAGGGTCTCGCTTGCGCGGTCCGTTGTGCGCTCAAACGTGTATGGGGAGTCGAGGACTGCGCCGTTGGCCCCATACGTCGGCGTCATCATGGCGTTGGCCGTGTTCAGCACCTCCTGCACGGCTGCGATCCACTGAAACTTGCCAAAGAAGTCCAGGTCCTGGGTCGCGTTGTAGTAGTTTGTGGACACCTCAAGAAACGCTGCCAGGCTGTCGAGCTCGTACTTGCACTCGAAGACGCTCGTGTTGCTGTAGGTTGGCTTGACGACGTCGTCTGTCGCGGCACTGTTGACCGAGGCCGAGAGGTTTGACTCGACAGGGGGCTGGAAAGAGTTGCAGTATGGATCTGTCAGGATGTAGCGGGTGTGGAGATTGATCACGCCTCGGTACAGAGAGGCAATACTGTCTGCGGAAGAATTCGCTTTCAGTACTGGAAGGTAGGATTGCATCTGGTTTGCTGAGTCCCGAAGCCACATGGCGTTGCTTTTGTTTGCATCAACCAAAGGTTCATTAGCCAAAACATCATTTGCTTTTGCGGGCTGACATTGGGTGAGGCCTTCATTCATACATGTCTCCAGTGATCACAAAGGTGAGTTCCTCGTCCGAGTTATTCGCGGCGTATCCCTTCCACTTGATGGCGGTGTCCAGGGTATTCGGATAGGCGTTCTGGAAGAGTCGGTACAGGTCGGGGTCGGTGATGACACTCTGCATCTCGACAATGATGGCCTCGACATCGGACGAGTTGAAGGTACGGCATGCTGGGTCAGGCCGCATATAGGAAAGCTGGAAGGTGCCATTGGTGTAGGGAGGGTGACGCTCTTCTGAATAGTCTGTGTAGTCTAGACATTGTGCCAGAGCCGCCCCGGAAAGCAGGGCGACGTGCAACAGAGCCCTGGCGCACAACATGTTCATTACTGGAGACTGTAGCTACGAAGCTGGTGTGCACTCGTTGTCCTGAGAACGTCAAAGACTGCGTGCATATGTGCAGTATTATGCGATGCTTGTGTGTTGAGACGGTTCCCCGCAACGAGCCGTTCGTAGACTCGCCCGTGCTGTCATCAATACGACGGTACTAGAGCAAACTGATCTACTACATAGTACGTAAACAGAAGATCCGGTCGGTCTGTCGCCCTAGAGTATCGGACGATCTTGTGATCCTCCTGGTGCCAGGCTTTGCGGGGAAAACTCTATCGTAGCAATGTACACACATAGCAGTACAGTAATGCTACGTTCCACTGCGTTGCTGATCATCGTCTGAACCGGTCTGGAGACCACCAATATACGCCATAGTACATACATAGTACGGTATGCTACAGCATACTGCCGAGCCGATATCCTTGTCTTCCCCACATCGTGACCCCAGAGTTTTTGACAAGCTTGGAGGTATCCCTTGCTGTTAGCGATCCTTTAGGAGAAATAGTGCGTCATGAATCAAATGCTAAAGGTCGTTTAGCTTGAAAAAATTGTTATAAATATAAGAGTCTGGCATGATGAATCAAGACTAGGTCGAGATGTAGCAGTTTTGCGAGACGGGAGTGGTTTTGTTTGAGGAGGCTGAATAAGGGGCATTTGAGTGTCGCTGGTCCCATTTCACGATGTAGAGTGCGAAACTTAACGGTCCACAGCAAAGTTAGCAAGAACTGTACTTGAGCTGATCATGGGATGTCTTTGTTAGATCCATCTCCTGTCAATCTCCACATTGCTGGATCGGCATTGAGAAAGGAAAATGAAAAAGAAAGTAGGCATTGGTTTGTGGGCTGCAACAATTAACTGCCGTATATGTTCTTCAAGACATGTCCATTTTGGGCGAAGTCCAAGAGAAAAAGATGAGGCCGCGCACTCTAATTATGTGCACGCCCTTCTTCCCCTCTCCCTCCTGCTCATCGATCTGTGATTATGGTGCCAAGTTGGACCCTGTTCACCGCTTGCATTGACCTGAGCTTCTGTCAGTATACGCGCCTAATTTCGGGGATAATTTCTCCAGGGCCCATAATAAGAACCCGCCTTCCCAAAATGGCACCCTGATCCGGCCCAGCGAGATCTCTCGGGCGAACCGGTACAGACACGTGCACTGTTTGCTGTCGTAGTCAACGGCGCGAACCGAATGGGTCTCGGTCCTCCAGAGTGATGGGATCCAATGTCCGTCTTGCTCGGGCAAAACGTGGTCATTTTCTCATGCTCGATCAAGGCCAAGATGGGAACCCGTCCCCCGCTGTCCGCCGGACGGTCAAGTCAGTATTCAGCGTGGGAGGGGGACGCGTGTGTGGGGTGTGGATTTCAATGTGGTTATCACACCCGCCAAGGGCATTGATCAGTGCCGAGTGCCTTGCAGGTGGACAGATCAGGATATTAATACCCGACAGAACAATGTCACCTCGTGTACAAGATATAAGATTCGAGGACCTACCAATTATCTCCACGACGACGGAATCTCTTCAGTGTTCCTCAACTGACTCATAGGAAGAAGGCAAGAGACAACTCATCCAGTGCCCGCCGCCCATCATGCTCGCCAAGATCTCTGTGTCGGCACTCGCCATGAGTGCGGGTTGCGCAGCCCTCTCTGCGCCGCGCAACCTCATCCCAACTGGTGACAACGGACTGCGGCCTGCCAAGGTACGCTCCGCACCCATCGCCAAGCGCAGCGACATCCCCTCTGATGAGGTGGTGGGCTTCCCCACCACAGTGCCCGATGACACGGAGGGTACTCTGATGGAGAAGTGGTGGCCATATCTCTATGTGGTCGATGGATGTGTGCCCTTCCCTGCCGTCGATGCTGAGGGCGATACTAGGTGAGTTGAGCATCATGTGTATCCGCCCTTGTCGAATCATTTCCAACATGATCAAGTAATGGTCTACAATGAACACATTGTGTGCTGACGGCGATGTTGTTCAAAAGCGCCGGTCTCTCTCCTACAGGAGACTCCGATGGGGACTGCAGCTCCTCCACGGGGCAGGTTTACGCCCGCGCTGAGACCTACGGCGACTACTACTCCATCATGTACTCCTGGTTCATGCCCAAGGACGAGCCTAACCTGCTCGAGGGCCTCCTGGGCATCGGACACCGCTACGACTGGGAGAACGTCGTTATCGTCCTGACCAGCGAGAGCACTGACGCCACCCTGGTGGGCATGGCCGCCTCCTACCACGGAGATTACAACGTGTGCACCGGCACCGGCTGCGACGAATACCTGGACGGCACCAACCCTCTCATCCAGTACTACTCGGCGAGTCTCATTCTGGACCACTCCCTGGGCTTCACAACCACCGTCGGCGGCACACAGCCTCTGATCTCATGGGACGAGCTGCCCACCGTCGCACAGGAGGCCTTGACCGACAAGGACTGGGGCTGTACGTATCTATCTCTCCAAGTACCATATCAGCCAAAGACAAGTATATGCTAATACGTTGAATAGCCGCTATTGTACCCTTCCTCGACTCCGATTTCGAGAGCTACCTGGAGGAGGCCTACGGATATCTTGACATCTAAGGGGCACCTCGAAGTCTGGGGGAATTTATGATGAAAATCTTCATAATGTAATAGTTAAGGCAGTTAGCAATAATATTCATTGTGCCATACGCAGGTGTCGCCAGCGCTTTGAGGACTCATGTTGTGATGATACTGACGATGGACTGAGTCTCGTTTAAAGCTATTAATTGTTGAATAAAGAGTAAGGGAGATCTCAAGTGCTTTCCCTTTCATATTAAACACCGTAGTGCTCAACCACTCAACGGTAGGGGAGAAAAGAAGGAAAGAACAAAAGAACGAGAAAGGCGAGAGGGGGATGAGACAATCAAGCATCAGAGAAATGTAGAGCAAGCTTCGCTACGTGGCAGACGTTGGCTTAACAGAAATGCAAGCGTTAAAGAGTTGCGTCCACCCCAATACCCATATCAACTCCCAACACCAGCTCAGGGCAAGTCCAAAAACACCTCCAGCATGCTGGGATAGTCAGGTGTCCCGAGTCCAGTAACAGGGTCCTTCAAATTGTCGAGTCGTCAGCCCTCGTCCCATGACACAATGAGCCAAAGCCGAAAGAGATCTCACTTACCCAACCTTGCACTGCCTCAAAGCCTCCACCGTCACAACCTGCATTACTACCGCTGGTAATATCATGGAACATTTGTGGATTCGCATATAACGTCGGATTGATGAATCCTACAGGGGTTTTGCCGATGGCGATCCGCTCTTCGTTGATCCGGTTTATGATCGAGGCGAAGATGGGCGTGGATGCTGACGTCCCTGCATAATTAAAGAAGTAATCATAGACACTAATGGTGATGTTGTTTCCGATCGCGGACACATCAGGATAGCCACGCCCGATCCGATTGCTAGACAGTCATCATCGATTCAGCCTCCAAACCGCATCCTCTCGAGGGTGAACCTGTTCGACTTACTATCGGCCTCCCGTATTGCCAGCTAGTGCCGTGACATTAGGTAAGACAGGGTTGTTTGCGTTTGCGACCAGACCGCTGTAGTATGGGTAGTCTGGAGAGTGCTCGGCAAAGTACACCTCTGTGGCGTTCTTCTGGTATTCTGGCATGCCATAGACGTTCGAGAAACCACCTCCCGAGGTATCATCGGGGTCGTCCCCGAAGATCGCAGCCGACTCGGGGTCGTAAATGGTCTGGCCTTGGGGAATGTAGGTAGCACCAACACTGGTGACGTACGGGCTATTAGGCTGTTAGAGAAACCGACGAGTTCCTTTTCTTTTTCCCTTCATCAAGTGGCATAAAAAGAAATAGGCTGGTCCTGAGCTGTCTTTGAGTCCTGACACCCTCTCCGTCCGCCTCCCGAGAGCAGGTAGCCCAAGGTCTTTCATGAGCTCTAAACAACAAGGATGAAGAATGTTTTCAATAAGAAGTGCTTACCAGGTGGATGGCCATGATGGGTTGAAGATCAGACCTTCTGGTCCAATGCAGGTAGCCTCTGCGTCTGTAAATCGAACTCGCTCGGCAACGCCATTATCGCCCGAGGCAAAAACAAACGTGATGCCCTGCAGACCGAGCTTCATGTACTCGTTGCACTGGCGCTTCTGATATGCAATAGGAACAGCAGCTTCCGTGCCTCCATAAGACAGGGAGATGACATTCTGGTTCTCGCGTATTAGCTCGGCGGCGGCAAAACAAATACGAAATCCCTCGGACCCGCCAAGATACATGCTAATACACAAATGTAATCTGGTCTTTTTGAACAACCAAACATAATCCCCATACTCTGGGGAAAATTCTTGGGGGAGAATGCTGAATATTTCTTACCGTGGGCTCAAAGACGCCGCACTGCAGAGTGCCGTTATATCCATCAGGCAAAGGATCAGGATACGTTGGATCGAGGCCGACCAAGTCTCCTGTTTCGTTGTACGCAGTGTAGGTACAGTAACTGCCATCTATCGCATCGAGAAATGTGTTGAAACCCCATGTCCCTGTTTCGCCATGTGTACGTCAGCAATGATTTGTTTCCAGTTTTGGCAGGTGATATAGCCAGTGAGAACATCATGGCCGTCGCTGTCATCCGATCCACGTCATAATCTGAGACATGAACTCGTACGAATAAGATAACGAAGCATATAGCGAATTAGGAAGAAGAAATTGGGAAATCACCGTACATGTGTTATTGTACCAAGCCTGGATTCGGGCGTCATCAGAGTCGTAGACTGTGATACCCTGAGGCCAAATGATCGGATATGCCAGGGCAAGATCCAGCAGGGCCTCTGCCCCATCATATAGAGGCACGAGCGCATCTTCCGTCTCTGCAATCCCTCCATCGATCAAGTCGTCCGTGGGATGTGTTCCTTGCGGAATCTGTGGACTGTACGTTTCGAAGAAATTATCCAGATCTTCTTGGTCCCAGAACTGTAGATTCGTCTCGTAGATACCCAAAGTATTCGATGGATCCGACTTGTTGCCTGGAGGAATGTCGTAGAGAGCGGCGACACATTGGGGTGTGACTGAATCGCCGCAATTATCCAGGCTGCTGTTGGCCACAGAAGCTTTTACACTAGCAGAGCTCTTCTGCATGTTCTGGCCTGAGGGTTCAGATTAGTAATAGTTCCGAGCAACCCGGCTTTCCTTTTCACGATGTATTCCAGTGTTTGCCTTTAAAATATCTTGCTTATGTGCTTCCTTGGCTTATTTCTAGATGCTGGCTTCGTCTCTGTCGTTCCCTCACGAGTATCGTCATGGACAGATGAGGGGACACAAGACATACTTCTCTTGACTTTCTCATGCATGGTACCTTGCGCCTCGGCAGAGATTGGGGCCATCAGCTTTACACCCGGGGTGATGTAGTCGATATGGTGCTGTATCTCCTTTGGCACATGGTACTCATCGCATGCAGGCATCACGCCACCTGTGACGGAGTCGTGGTGCTCAAAGTATTCAGTATGCAAAAGTGCTTCGACCATGGAGGTTGGGGCGTCGAATGCGAGCCAGCCTTTGTTATCAGAGTGAGTGACAGAACCGATGCCATTCTCGTGCAGCCACTTGGTGACCTGGTCGACTGCCTCATTGGAAGGTTTGAAAAATTCAATTACTTGGTCAGAAGTCCAGTGCTTGCCGTAATCAGGTGAGGTAGGGTCGGAAATCCGCATGAGGTGATCGTGGGCGGCTTCAAGATTCGACTGGGCAATTCCAATGCGCACGGGAAGAAAGGACCGGCTGTCGACTCGAGAGCGTTTCGTCCATCGTGAACCTAGTGATGAACGTGTATCTCGCTTCTCATGGACGACGTGAGTTGTTGGGACTGCAAGAGCCGATACGCCAGAAAGCGCGGGTCCTAGCAAGGCCAAGAAGCCACAAAGCAAGGGTCGCATTTTACCGGTAGTCAATGTGTCAACCTTCGATTGTACAAGAGATCGAAGAACGGCGAACCCCGAATCCAGAAAGGGTACCCTTTACCTCTTCAAAAAGATCAGATGAACGAGAAAGAGGAGGCGTGGACGAGCAAGGCCGCCAAACTTTTGTGCCTTCGGAAAGGTCATCTAGCCTTTCATGCACTTCCTGTTGAGAGGACCAATAGTCAACAGGGATTGTACCAGGGGTCAATAAGATAACTGCAAATAAAGGCAAAGGACCGAGTTGCTAGCGACTCGGTCAGCTGCAAGGAAGCGAACTCGGATCTCTCGAAAGCGAGAATATCACACCCTAATGCAGGGGTCGACAGTCTGCGGGGTTATCGACTCCGGTTGGAGGCATGTGTTATCTTTGACTGTAATTATTAGGAGACAATCGTATGTCTGCAAGCTTAGCGTACCCTGCATGTCACAATTATCTATGTTTTCTTACAGTCAAGTCTCTTCAAAGTTGAGGTTGGACCCTTGACACGAACATATCTGCCGATCACCGTTAAGGAATATTAGCCGATCGAGCCGGCACAATTGCGGTTTTCAAGTAATGTGCTATTTCAGTGGATTTTGGCTGTCTTGTGTCTCAATCTTCGGACGGAAGAACGGCAAGATAACAACATCACGTTGTCACGCAAGGTTTTCATCCTTCAAAGGACTGGAACCCGGCCACCTTGCCTGGACACTAATTTCCGGACTGTTACTCCAGACTGGCATACTAACAAGGATGCACAAGTCTAAAACTTTGTTTGCAGCTTAATACCGAAAGTAGGTGTTTCTGGAACGGCTAGAACGCAGGAATATATATCTGAGCACATATCTGCCCAGCGCTGAGCCCAGTGGAGAGACCACCAAGACCTTACGGCACGAAGTAAACTCTCAACGATCAAAAGCATTGTAATTACGAGAATTCTGATGGCATCAATACATATGCCAAAGTGATGGGGCTGCTTTCCTGTGATGCCATGCCCCGTGCAGACCCAGGACAAAATTCCCTAGATGGAAAAGAGCGGAGTATATTGGTTTGTATGCTGGCCCTACAAATCACCAGACTACCACGGCCACTGACCCTTGTCTTTTAAGTATCCTCCATGCTCAGCATCTCTGTCGCCACGAAGAATCGCAACAATTGGACGAGCTCCCTCACTTGTGGGCTTTGCACCATTCTCCGCCTTGTTCAACGAGCTGAGATTCGATTGGGTGAAACCAGGGCAGTAAAGGAATACCTTCCAACCCAAGGGGCCATACTCAACGGATTGACAAGCAGTGATCATGTTCAAGGCCGATTTGCTTGCGCGATATGGTACCGTCTTCTGTGAGTATGTTGGGGTCGTGGCATCGAGCCGCAGCGTGATCGACCCGGCGCCAGAGGTGACATTCACAATGCGCGGCGTACCAGTGGACTTTTTAAGCAAAGGAGCGAACGCCTCCACCATGGCTGCCGGTCCCGACGCATTCACTTGAAATGCAGTCTGTAGCGCTTGAAGTAGCGTTACGCCTCGTGGCGATGGAATACCTGCGTTATTGACGAGAGCGTCGAGTCTGATCAGGTTGGAATCAGCAATCATTGTTGGCAGCCATGAACAGGACCGTCACGAAATCTTACCGTCCGTGTCTTCTCTCTACCTCTTTGACTGCCAGATTGATCGATTCCTCTTCCGATACGTCGAGTTGGAGTAGCTCCACCGAACCGGGAAGGCTGCGTGACTCCAGATCCTTCACCGCAGCCTCGCCCTTCTCTACAGATCGGCTGCAGAGAAGAACGATATTCGAGGGATCGGCAAGGAGTTGAGCTGCCAGCTCAAAACCGATGCCGCTGTTTGCTGAGATGCAAATGAGCAAGTGCTTTCTATCGTTTTTGGGCAAAAAGTCTTACCGCCAGTGATCAAAATGATTGATTTTCCCATGATTGCTTGAGCTGTCTTCTTCGTGACTTGCTATGATTGATGAGACACATTGCAAAAACAAAAGTGTTGATGAGATTCTTTATGATTGTTGATGATTCTTTGGCGGACTCCGAGACTGGAGAAAAGGCACGTGGGGATAAGAGCGCCACACCGAGAACTCCGGGTGCAAGGGCGCAGGTCAAGCCGTGTAATCAGATTTGTCGACAAAGCATGTCACAAACTTAGGAACCATATCAAAGTGTGGAGATAAGCAATTTCGCACCGAGAACTCCGTGTGCATCGATAGAGTCGCCTCCATTCCTAGGTATTCAGATTCAACCTTACTCGATATTGCTAGCTGAGGAAGATGCCTCGCAATGTTCCACCCGTCTGCAGTGCAAGTTGATCACTCCCTTGATTCCGACAGCGCACAATTGTGGCATCGATTTTACTGGAGTTTTGTGATCGATATACGTAAAGTGTAAAGATAAACATGATGGAGGGGACCAGAATGATAATTCCACTCTAGGTGACGTTGTGTCGGCTGTCAAGGGGCTACTCACCTATTGCTAAATGATTAGGGCAACCATGCAGTACACTGTGTGTATGCGTTCTTATCCAGGCCTCTTTGCTACGACCAGACTTTCTCTGAATTCAACAGCCCTGAATCTCCCTTCACTCCGAACCCTTCCTCCATCCTTGCGGAATGAATACACAACTAGTGCACAGACGCGGAAATTGTGCAAAAAGCCAACAGCCTTTTATTTCTTTCTTTTATATTCGGTTATCTTGAATATCCATCGTAGGAAACGGATTTGCAGGTCTATCTCCTAAGGTAATAATTAATCCTGACGTGCCTGGCGGGGAGCAGCTCGAACGTCCACGAGGGGGCAAGTTGAATGACAACACTTGCTGGGTAGATATCTTATGTAATACTGATTCGCGTGCGTAAAAAATAGGAAGCTTGAATATTACGAACTTGTCAACGACATTACTGCTGTTGGACCCAACGCTACTCCATTAGAACCAGGTGCTCACAGATCCGTGCTCGAGGGTTCATAGGTTTTTTTTGAGAACACTGCACGACTTAAACGACGAGGTGTAAATACATGTCAAACGAACGATTCACAAAAGCCCATTCAATGATAAAGCTACTTTAATATTGGTGGTATCAGCGGGGTATCACATCAGCGAACAGTCCTCGACAAGTCATTAACATAACCATTCCCCGCCGGTCTGCCAACCCGCCAGCCCTCCAGCCACCCAGCTATTCAGCCCCACTAGTGTCCAGCTTTGCAAACAAACACTTCAGTATTGCACACTGATCCATGTTCTTCCTATCCCGGTGCTAGTAATTATATGCTTCTTCCATCTTAATTCGTCTTCTTCGTAGGCACAAGAGGTTTTCCCTGCTGTGAGCGAGTGTAGATAATAAATCCAGCAGCGAGAATGCCGATGACGACAATGTTTCCTGCCTCGTTGGTCAGATTCCGAGCTCTTTTCATTTGAGTTTGAGTTCAGATGGAATACTGTAGACTTACCAAAGATGAAACGTCCAATACCTCCAACGACATTTACTGCGCCCTTGATGACATCGGTGAAGAGGTTGACGATACCCGAGAAGAAGCTGATAATCGTAGAAATCAAAGTATTAATCAATGAGGCAATCGTACCAATGATGGAGGCGAAGAGCTCATAGATGGACTTAAAGAAGTCCTCGAAGGCGGAAATGAACTTAGTCATGTTGAGTTTGGTTGTCTTAGTAGACTCAGTTTCTGTGTTTGAGATGCAGTAGCTCGGAATTTCTTGATCGTCAGGAAAAAATACGATAAATGGTGATTTTCTTCGTGGTCAAAATAAACTGTTTAGAAGAGAACATCAAGGGGAAGCAAGACTTGTAAAAAGTTGGTCTCCTTCCGTCTTAATATATTGGCCTTCTACTGCACATCGGAACTGCCATCAAATGTGACGTCAGGGTGTGTCCCAACAATAACAGAGCACAAAACGTGCTACAATATCTTGGGAGACGTCGTCATTGTCAGCGCTGTTCTTTCCACGGAGGCAAACCTCCTTGCGTCATACCAGTCACCTCGGCAACTCCCGCTGCCAATTGACTGTCAAAACCGCCCAGAAAGCTACCGTATCAGGCAAGTGTGGCTTGACCATCTATATCCCTGCACCGCCCGAAGGCTGGTGAGCGGAGCATCTGTTCCCCGCTCGACTGCCCAGACTCAAAACTTGGGTTTAAGGGCATATTCATTGGCACCTTGCTTTTTCAGTGAAAGCATATCTCCTGTTTCACTTGTTTCTTTTTCTTTCTTTATCCTTATTGAATGAAAACACATGTGCACTGGGCTTCAAGAAAAACTGAATTCAGGACACACTGCGAGTCGTGCAGGTCTGTGTCTCCTCCACCAGACACCACAAGCCAAGAGACCACCAGGCTTTGGGACCTGCACTACGATACAAACACCACACAACCGTTATAATGGGCTCCACAAGACCACCAAAGAAGACCTCCAGCAGCTCCTCCTCCTGCTCTGCCTCAGACTCAGACTTCTCTTCTAGCTCTGTACGCGTCAGTATGGACCGCCCTGTTGTCAGCATCGAGATCATCCAGTGTATGAGGTGTGCCCCCTAAATGAACACACCGCTACATGCTCGACTCCGGGAGATATGAGGTTGGCACTAGCTTAATTTGCTTCAGATCACATCCCTCCGTTTTTCAAAAGCATATCTGCTTCATTATCTGAGTCTTGTTTGTGGCTGGAAAAAAAAAAAAAAAAGCCCCAAAGGAAAGTAGAAAGTGAATAGCCAGTGGAGCATAGCAAAATTTGTATAATTGAAATGGTAGATGGCTTGAAATGTAGAAAGGGATCATTCCAGTAAAGGAAGGCCAGAAGCTAAGTTTGGCCGAGGCTATCTACAGTGAAGAAACAGCCAGGGCATACAGATGATAGCCAGCCAAACATTGTTCAGTGACGCGCTGGGCCTCACATTGGACATTTACAAGATAATCACGTGGATTGTAACATTTCCCATCCCTTCACTCGCAGCTCTCATATGCCAAGTAATCTACCAGTCGGCGCACAAAGTGGTGACCAGAAGTGCCAGGGAGAAATCGACCACCAAGTCTGCATATGACTGATCATGACCACCTGCCCAGCCTCGAGATCATCAAGATCTCTAGCAATACTTTGAGCAACAAGACAAAACTTGCCAACCCAAATCTCTGACCAAGAAACAGCATAAAGGTAAGCATTACACTTCTCCATGAGGGTTATGAAGCCACTTCTGATGAGTGCTTGCTGGCTTTGCTCTTCTCAGCTCTTTAGATTGTTCGTCGGACTGATTCTCAGCGCCTTTTATGCCCAGATGATTCTCTCAGAACTCAGCAGCTTGATCCTGGCAAACCAAGAAGGCAAGTCGATGAACACGGACAGATTCGAAAGCCAGACAAAGTTCTCAAGGAATCGGAAAGCTGGAGACTTGGACTAATCCATCAGCGCATTGTACTAGTTTCATTCGTAAATCCTAAACTCATACATCGTCTTCTGCTGTCTTGCTGCTTTCAAGGCTCCCCAAGATCACTTCAAGACAGGCTTGTTCTTATAGAGGCCCATCTCCTACAAGGTCGTTCGAACTTCTGTGTCTCACCTACCACATTGACATCGGGCTTGGTTTCGGTCACCTTGCGCTTGAAGCCCACAGCTTTCTCCTTATTCCCGTCGAGCGCTCACGTTGCTGAGGGCTCACTCGGAGGGTATAAGTTCTTTCCCGAGCGAAGGTGTTCTTATCTGAGCGGGGCGAAGATCTCCTTTGGCTTGTTTAGAGAAAATGGATCAAAGAACGCCATCAGATCTATGTATTACTGAAGCTTGGACTGTATGTCCCTGTCGTTCGAGGATATGCCTTACGTTTGGTTTGTAACCAGTCTGCCGCGTCTGGAGGGTTACTTGAAATTACGATCTTCTCAAAACGCGTGTCGCGGGACTCGGTCCGCACCACCGCGCTAATTGAATCAGAACCAGAAGCAAAAGTCCCATTCAGCCACTAGTAAACAATTGACTCATGCTAAAAGTAGCTTGTTTTGCGGCAATATGATAGGGCAGAGATCAGTTGCATGCAAGGGCAAGTTCTTGCGCCTGTTGTCTCATGCCAATCAATGTGGAGCTGCATCGCCAGACACGCGTCTTTGGTATTCTCCTGCAACAGTAAAAATAGGACCTCTTTGATCAACTACGCGTCAGCAGTGGCTCTCCAACGCACACAATTACAATCTACATATGCGACCTCCTAGGCTGTGCAGCAGCATCTCCATGATACCCTCCCGACCTGATGATGGAAAATGAGCAAAAGGGCACGGACAGATCGTCAGGTGTTTTGATGGAGTCAGCCACGTATGCCCACCTGCAAAAGCTTTGAGGGCAGCGTGTTCTCACCGACGACAATGCAAGGAGGCTTTTTGTTCCCTTCCAGTTTGCATCGCAAGATTGGGATCGCTAAGGTTTGGGAGATGAGGAGACGGCGTTCGGGGCCTGAGCAACTTGACAAGTAGTATCAGCTCTAGCATTGATCGCCAGACCTAAAGGAGAAACCGTGCATAGGGACATAGCCATTATGCCAAGAGAATTGTTTCTCGACTTCGTTGAGAGCAACATTATAGTAGGCCGTCAAAAAGAGTCACTTCCGTTTTCGAGGCACTTATGAAGATCCCTGTCAAAGTTGGTTGAAACAGAAGGAAATGCATCATGTGAATCGCATCGCTCAAGGGTGCAGAGAATCTTCGACGTCCAAGATAGACAAAAAAGACTTGATAGTCCTTTCCCGAGATCAATATAATTGTTCGGGGTATCGATGGGCAGACTCTATGGCACCTTCCAGATTTATCATGTATACATCGATCCTTCTTGGCCTAGAAGAGCCCTATCCATAGTCAGATCTTGCTCTGGATGGTCAGATGTTGCAGGTGTGCATGTATGTACTCGCTATCCCGATTCTGATTCTCCACTAGTCAGGTAGATTTGACTGGGTTCGTAAGGGCCTGGGGTTGCTTCGTGCCGCTGTGGCTAGAGCCAACACCATTCTCATGTTGGACATGTTCTTCTAGTTTTCTCAAAGAGAAAGATTACGCGCGGCCGCTAGATATCGAAGTTGCATTTCTACTATGTACATTGTCTAGGATCGCCGAGTTGTTATCTCCGGTGAGAAGAAATAAAGGGTTGCCTGTCATTGTCGTTCATGTCGCTCTGCATATGGGCTGCATTTGTATCCCATGACTTTGCCACAGCACAACTTAGTGGGGGTCGCAAGTCTGATGGGTCCTATCTGAATTTTTTGTTCGGCTCTGTCGGGCATCCCAAAGGAATGCTGCAGCTTTTCAATAGTAGCCTCAAGGTGCATATGCACTCAAAAGCTTGTCTGCATGTCCGACTGGCTGCAGGTGCAAGAGCTAAACACCTGCACTCCGCTACTGCACCCGGGTGGTGATGGTGGTAAGGGAACAAGGCCCAGATGTAGCTAGACGAGGAGCGCTGGCGATCACCACTGGGATACTGACGATCTGTCGAGACCCACCCTCTTATGTCTTCAAAAAGAATGACAAGTGACAGAAACATATGATACCATACATTGTATGCATTATCTGCTGCTTGGCTTGGCCAGGATGTGGAATGCCGAAGAAGAATCATTTTTGCCGAGGAGGGAAGCAGTACTGTAGATACATGATACTATATGTGGTGAACATGCAATACTATGTAGCGGCAACATGTGAAGCACTAAGGACATGCCCTGTTCTCCGGTCCTGCCTGCGACATTGTGTTGACGCAGACCCCCTCCACCATCTCCATATCACGAGCCTTCATTGTGTCCGAGCGTCGTGGGTTGAGAATGGCCCGCGATTATTCTGTAGTCATCCTGTCGATCACGCACGGTATCTTTCTTCTTCTTCTTCTTTCTGCCTTACTCACAAACAACGAATCACTTCGGATCCAAACTGAAGACCCAACAGTCTGACGTGGCCGACTCCCTGAGAAATTGAATCAACGGGGGTGATCAACTACGGCATGTGACCAACTGCTTATACTACGTACTGTATGTACCCCTTATCCAGGCTTCGGCAGTCCGTGCGCCATCACCGCCGGTATCACTCTTTCTTTTGTTTCTTTCCCAAGCGTCTCTGCTACTAAAAAAAATAAAAATAAAAGGAGTTTCTATGGGTCCTGGTCCACATATGGGGTCCACAGTACAAGGTAAAAGGACACAGTACGTAGCCTAAACCAGTACCTTCCGGCTCTTTAGATCGACCCAGATCTCCGGGCACACTTTCTCGTTGCAGTACATACAGCACAACGTTGTGCGAAGACGTGTCTGCGTGGGGCTGCAGGCATTCAAGGTTGATAAAAAGTATCCACCTTTGAGCTCTGGAATGCTAGGGTTACCCCGGAATGTGGGCAGGCTTATGTGAACGGTTTTATTTCTATTCGGTTTTGCAACCCCCCCTGCCCCTCTCTTCCTCTAAGATGCAGCCATAACAGTCCATAATGGGGTGGATGTCAGCCTACTAAAAGGGATTGGCCCATGGCTTACGTAGAAGGCCATACAGAAGGGCATGAAGTGCCGCTAAATGCCAAGATACTCGTCGTTGCGGAGATCACATGAGGCTCCAAAGTGCCGCTAGATACCAAGATGTTTGTCGTGTGGGGGTCCATCTATGGGCCCAATGAAAATACCGGCAATGAAAAATTGCTTGAATCATCATCTTACTACTAGTAAACCCGAATGCTATGTATAGAGAGCGGCGTGGGTCAACCACGGAGAGAAGAAAAGGCCATGTCCGCTAAACCGGACGGCCCGTGGGGCATAACCTCCGGGCGGGCCTGGACGTTGAGATCGTCGATTGGCGGTGACGATACGTTCTGCGTCTTCACCAACAAGAGTATAGCCTGGTGAAGGAGGTGGCGCGGTTTTTTGGTTTTTTTTCTCACCTTCTGGCAGGGGTGATAGTGATCCCTAGGGTACTCGAAGGATCCAAATACGAGGCCAGAGGGCCGGGAGGAAGAGAGATCGTCGACATTCTCGAAGGGTGGGCGACGGAAACCCATATGCTTAAGACTGACAAGCGTATTCATGGAATGTAACTTGAAAAGGAACTTGGAATTTTTCCATGTATGAAGGCGTCAACACTATCATGCTATGGTCTGATGTGGTGGTGGGATTCGCAATCGTTAGCAACCGTGCACAACGACAGTACTACAATACATACGTACACACATACATACAAGTGAATAATACACGGTACTATGATAAACAGTTCAGCTGGACCCACATCTTAAGCGATCAGCGTGCGCCTCGGCCTCGGCAGCATCCAAGCGTTTGCCAGGGGTAGCTGCAACTTATTCATCTTGGTTAAAATCTTATGCACCCCATCGGATGGGATTTACCATAGTACATGCAGATGCAACAGCAGTCCTACACAATACCAATGGTACGTAGTAATATGACATTACCATCGACTGTAGAACTAACAACATCTTCTCGGCCGGCGCACGTCGGATATTGCTTTTCACGCAGCCCTCAGGAGTCTTGGCAAACTATTCCTATAGTATTGCCCATGCTTCTATAATACACACACAAAAGGTGATGGCTACTGCTTTAGGACCTCCGTGCACCGGGAAATTTGGTGCTGGACGCTATTGGCCCACGTGGGGCGGCAAGGAGTTCATGGGCTCAAACAATCATTAAAGAAAAAAAAAGCTTACGACACTTTGAGGCGGCTCGCAGAGGCACCAAATTACTATCCACGTGGACTTGGCGCTGTATGCCCTTCTACCACCTTCCAAATAGGCAACTTGTGGGGGGGAGACGACAGACAGGAAGGGCCCATCTCCGTTTATCATGTGGACCGATTAGGTGTGCTACTGGGGATCGTCGTTGACTAACTAGGCATCCTTCATGTCGCATGGGGCCGGCGATAGTCCTCAAGCAAATACTCACTATTGAATGTCAGGCGGGTCCTGGACGTGCTCTACCTAGGCGATCTCTGCACGTCAACTGCGGCCAACGCATGCTTCTCTCATCGTGACCGCCTTCTCCGAACCGAACAAACGGTTGCTTTGTCCGAGGATCGTCGTGTAGCGTGCAATTGCCGGCACGTACCCTGCGAGAGACTACGCCGGTGGGTAAAGCGAATTATGGGCGAGATCTCAGCTAAGGCAAGTCAGCCTGGGATCCAATATAAGAAGTCAGACTTCATCGTTCAAACCAGCCTCCTGTGCTTCCTCTTTTTCCTGTGTGGCGTCCATCCTTGTTCCGGTCTTGCATATCAGCTGCGTCCGTGCTGGTGTCAAGTACTAAATTTAATCTTGTTGTCAAGTTTCATACTGTCGTTAACTTATCCCCATTATTACGCCACAATGTCTCTCGTTTTTCTTGGTTTCTTGGCACTTTCTTCTTTGGCACTTGCCGCCCCTAGGCAAGTCCCAGCTCTTGCTAAGAGATGTGTCAATAGTGCCTCGGACAGATCCTGCTGGGGAGACTATGACCTCTCTACCGACTATTATGACATCGACGCGGTGCCAGACACGGGTGTGACGAGGGAGTACTGGTTCAACATCATCAACGGGACTGCTGCTCCCGATGGTGTAGAGCGGACCGTTCTCACTATCAACGGCTCAATTCCTGGACCCACCATCATCGCGGATTGGGGTGATACAGTTGGTAAGATACATACCATAAGCAATCCTATTGGAGCCTCTAGGTGGCTTGGGTTATGCCAAGAAGCAAGCTTGAGACTTGGCTCATTCACCATAATGGCTAATGACTGACATGAAACTACTCTGATTAGTTGTTCATGTTACCAACTCAATGGTAAGTGATTCGATTGCTATAACTCGCATTGCAAACACCATATATCTGACTGGACTTTGAAAATAGGAAAACAATGGCACTGGTATCCATTTCCACGGTATCCGCCAGTATGAAAACAGTCAGAACGATGGCGTGCCCAGCATTACCCAATGCCCCATCGCTCCCGGCAGTTCTCACACATACACATGGAAAGCGACACAATACGGAAGTTCTTGGTATCACGTAAGTTGATGTTTTGGCCCTCACCTGACTTATCTTGCCTTCCATAAAGTATCAGCTGCTAATTTTCTCCAATGGGCAGTCTCACTACTACGTTCAAGCGTGGGATGGAGTGTTTGGCGGAATTTTGATCAACGGCCCAGCTACTGCCAACTATGATGACGATCTCGGCAACCTCTTCCTCATGGATTGGTCGCACAACACGGCGGATCAGATTCTCATCTCAGCCACCTACAGCGACGCCGCAGTGGTCATGCCAACCTCTCTCATCAACGGCACCAATGTCTACAACGACACTGACACTGGTGTGGAGACCGGATCCCGCTATGAGACGACATTTGAGCCTGGCAAGAAGTACCGCCTGCGTCTTGTCAACTCTGCGGCGTCGAACCACTTCCGGTTCATGATCGATAACCACATGATGGAGGTCATCTCGGCAGACTTTGTGCCCATCCACCCTTACAACACGACGCAGCTCAGCATCGGCGCCGGCGAGCGGTACGACGTGGTGGTGACGGCGTCCGAGGCCAGCGGCAACTTCTGGATGCGGTCGATCCCGCAGCTGAACTGCACCAAGACGACCAACGTCGACGATGTTCTCGGAGTCATCCGCTATACTTCGGAGAACGGCACCGTCCTCGATGCCGACACCTTGCCCGTGACTGCTGCGTATGAGTACACCGACTCCTGCGCCGACGAGGACCCAGCCAACCTCATCCCCTACCTCCAGTCCGACCCCTCCGCCACCTACGACTACCGGGACGACGAGAAGACGGCCGTCATCAACGGCGCCGAGGTGAGCTGGACCATGGGCGGCACCGCCTTCTCGGTCGAGTGGGGCAACCCCTCCTTGCAGCAGGTCATCGATGCCGACGGCACCAAGAGCAACTGGACCACAGACCAGCACGCCCTGGTGCTGCCCGAGGCCAACCAGTGGGTGTACATGTATATCCAGACCACCTCTGCCCAGGCCCACCCTATCCACCTGCACGGCCACGACTTCTGGGTGCTTGCTTCGGGCTGGGGCAACGTCTCGACGGTCGACCTGGACCTGACGATTACCAATGCGCCGAGACGCGACGTGGCCATGGTCCCGGGCGATGGATATCTCGTCATCGCCTTTGTGACGGACAACCCTGGTGTAAGTGATCGCCACACTCATTTTGAATTATAATTGTCTTGGTTTTTTGGTGGTTTTTTTTCCCCCTTCTTTTTTTCCGTTCTTGAAGCTAATTCCGTTTCTTTCTTGTGGACAGACCTGGCTTCTGCACTGCCACATTGCATGGCATGCCTCGGAAGGCTTTGCGATGCAAATAATCGAGCGTCAGTCGGCGATCGTTCCGTTGATTGACGACGCCGATGTGGAGCAATTGAACTCGACATGCACAAACTGGGCTGCTTTTGCGGCTGCTGACGATATTGTGCAGTGGGACTCGGGAATTTGAAATATATGACGAGACGATGCTACATGATTTTCAAGACACTACTATATTACTACTCTTACTAACGTGTAAACTTTAATTACACTCTGTATATATAACACAGTGTACATATAATCTTATTTTGATGGACAAATATCAGTCATACGATGCGCAATTTTGTGGTTTGAGCCAGATCCAGAATGTCTTCTCAATAAACTATGTAATACTACTTCCGAATGACTTCATCCTTCAAAACCTGGTCAATTCCGGAGACCCCTTGCAAGGAGGGAAAGAGTGCTTGGTCTCGACGAATATCTTCTGGAGACCATCCTCATGCTTGTCAAACTTGTAGTAGACCTTGTCGAGGTCCTCGAGCTTGATGCGGTGCGAAACCATCTGCAACGGGTCCAGCTTGCCCTCTTGGATGTCCTTCAGGAGCTCATCCCAGTACTTGTGAACTGGTGCTTGACCGTTTCCGATGAGACGAATTCCCCGCTCCATGAGAGATCCGATGTTGAAGTGATTAGTCTGTATGATGATAAAGAGCCCCAAGTCAGTCACGTTCATCCCAATAATGGCGGGTTGGTATGGAAATAGAAACTTACGTATCCAACATAGACACCTGTGATTCCACAACGGCCGTAGTTCCTCACGCCCTCAATCATCTCGTTCACTAGCTCGCTGGTGTCGGTCTCGGCACCGACTGCCATCTCCAGCCAGTGCATCCAGCCTTTGGCATATTCGCCAGCAGCGCACTCGAGGGCAACGTCCGGGCCGCGGCCGCCGCACAGCTCCTTGAGCCTGCTGACGACGGTGGGCTTGTTGGTGACGCCGAAGCTCAGCTTTGTGTAGTCGACCAGTTCCAGCTTGTCTTGGTGCTCCGCAGGCCACTTGCTCTTGACCAGGTCCAGCCTCGTGGCGGTGTCCACAAAGATGATCTTGGACGCCCCCTCGTTGATGGCGAAGACGCCAGCCATCTGCCCAATCGGCCCGGCCCCGAAGATAGCGACCTCGTCGCCCTTGTACACTGCCGTGTCCTTGACGCAGTTGTACGAGGTACAGAGCACATCGGACAAGTACAAAGCCTTCTCGTCAGGGACGTCGTCAGGAATGGGGAGCAGGTTCACATCACCGAGCGGGACGCGCACGTACTCGGCCTGACCGCCGGCATAGCCTCCCGTGAAGTGTGAGTAGCCGAACATGCCCGCCGTCTGGCCTCCGTACATGGCGTGTTCTGTTGTGTTTGAGTTTGTCTTTTCGCATTGAGACGAAAGCTTGTTCTTGCAGAAGAAACACTGTTTGTTGAATTTAGTACATTGTCTTCTGGAATGTCAATCCTTGGGAGCAAAACTCACGTCTCCACAAGCAATCTGGAAGGAGGCAACATAACGCCCACCCTTCTTGATTCCCTTCACGTCATCGCCAATCTCATCGACAACCCCACAGAACTCATGGCCGAGGATGTCTCCCTCCTGCATCTGGATGACTGAACCGTGCAGCAGGTGCAGGTCACTGCCGCACAGGGTGCTCCCTGTGACGCGCAGGATGACATCGCGAGGCTCAATGATCTTTGGGCGGGCAGTCTCGATGATCTTGACCTTGTTCTTGCCTTGCCACGCGAGCGCCTTCATCGTATGGCTGCTATCTCCGGTGGCCTCGTAGTTGGTTACATCTTGTTGTGTGATGGTGGTACCATCGTGTCCGACGGCCTTTTCGACCTGGAAAGCTGCCTGAGAGGCCATCTTGTGGGAGGGATACTTGAAACGGGAGATAGTCACGATACAATGCAAGCAGATAGTTTTAGCGGTTCAAAAAAAAAAAAAAAAAAAAGTTGAACTGATGAGGGACGCAGATAGTGGCTAAAGTGTTGTGTGAACAGGAAACTAAATCAAATATGAATCAAAAGCTGTGTTCTCAGGTTGTCTCACGATATTTGAGCAGGCCAAGATCGATGACCAGTTCAAAAGTACATCAACCTGCTGAATACCAAATGCCGATGTCACATTTCCCAGTGCGCCCCCCTTTGACATACAATTCTGATGGAATTCCAACAAATTTACATAACATTGGACCGTGAGCACCAGTGACGGATTCGCAGCGTCATCTTTTCCCGCGTGGCGACTACTTTGAGGGGGGATATCCAGCCGTGGGCCGGGGGGAACAACCGACGTCATGGACTTGACTTTTCACTACAACCTGGCCCGCTGGAGAGCAGCAAGTGTCCAGATGCGCTAAAAGCTAACCTACAGTGGGTTGCCCAGTGCTCTCACCCACCACGTAAAAAACTCCCAATCATGTGTTTGTTTGCCTTCTCTTCGGATTAATTACTCCGGACGCACTACGCTGCACAACTTCCTGACTTGATTATCAAGCAATGAGTTTTGCTAGTAGTAACATGCAATGTGGCAGCCTAAGTATGTTCGGCATAGGTCCAGAGGAGAAACAATATCCCCAGCTAGATCGTGGCAGCATCAATTGCGATCTCTAGCATCTACCGGGAATGCAGAAATCGTGCTTTGCTATAGCAATTTCCATCCTCCAAAATTAGTAAGAACGGGCAAAGTTGGTACACTAGTTATCGTCCACGTTCTACAAGTCATGCCTTCGTTCGAAAACATTAGTCTACTTCATGTTGGCAGTTTTGGCCTTCCTCAAACAGCAGGCCGTAGCGAGTAGCAAATGTCCAGCTCTCAAGGCATAGTTTTCACACTTCGCCACTAGATCTCACCAAATGCCAGAAAACTCTCAATCGCTGGGGGCACTGGATTTGTGGGCCCCTAACCTCAGTACATGGCAGCCGCAGAAAACTTATACGCAGAGCACATTGGTATCGCAACTAGACCACCTCAATGCCCAATCTTGTGTGGGCTTAAGGTGGAATTTATACCTCGAGATATGTGCAGTGATTATTGCTGACTCCGGTTGCTTGTTGAGCATATCTGCAGGGGAAGGGAATTAGGTTAATGCAGCAGCCTTACGTACAGTGCTTGCTGCCCTACGACGCCCTGCGATCCAGCCCTCTGAAAGCAACCTTGGAAAGAAACTTATAGTATGTCAAAAGGTACCATCCATATCATCAACATATATGTACAATTTTATAGACGATAGGAGCCCGCGGAGTATAGCTCAGTTGACCATGGACTAGGGTTGTAGTTGGGAGGGCATAGAGTGTCAGGGAAGACCGGAAGGGGGGTGGGGGGTAAAGTAAATTACATGGACTTAGATGAACCAAATGGTATGACAGGGGGGGGGGCTTCTTGAAACAACGATTTATGAAAGGGCATGACTACCATTCTGGTACATAGTCCACCAAAATGGGCACCCTTTAATAGATAAGAACATGAATCATCGGAGATAATACCGAGGAATCATATCAATATAAAGGCACCTAGGCAGGGTTCTCAAGTGAACTATTGGCTAGGGGGTGACATTTGAAGGAAGGGGAAAAAAGAAGAAAAAGAAGGAGCCATGTGATAGTACAATTACATTTTCGTCAAGACCTCTCGTGTCACATGCGTTCTCCTCGGCCTCAACCGGAGGCACCTGTCCAGCTGTCCGCGGGAGAGCTTGAAGGTAACGTACGCGTCGATAAGCACCTTGCCGATGCGATCTCTCTCATCCTCATAATCCTCCCTCCACAGGCACTCCGCTTCCAGCACCTCCTGTCCGCGGATCGGGAAGAGCCGTGTCCACGCGTCATATTCCTTGCGGTTCTGGCTCTCCATCTGGGCGCACAGAGCTCGTGCCGCCCCAGTCAGCTCAAAGTCGAAGTGCAGCAGGAGGAGAGCCAGCGCCATGGACAGGGAGTAGGACGCCAGTGCACCCCCTGGGCAGATGCGCTTCCCGAAGCCAAACGCGAAGTTTGCGTGAGTGTGGTCTAGGGAGATGCGAGGACGGCCGTCTTTTTGTTTCGTATATCTGCTGCTATCACCAGCCTTGTCATTGTCGTTCCCCGCGGAAAAGGAGGAGCAGGAAGAGGGAAGCCATCGGTCGGGACGGAAGCACCACGGGTCAGGATAGGCCTTTGCGTCGCGGTGGAGTCCGTATATGTTGGCCAAGACTGTCGCCCCTGGTGCTATGTATAATTTCCTTAGTGTCTTTCCGGCCTTATTCTTGAGGTCGCATAGTAGAGGCTCTGCCGTCGTGGGCGTGTGCCCAACCCCTGAGCTCCCTGTGGGCGTCAACCTCAGCGTTTCTTTGACGACACCAGCCAGGTACGGCAGATATTCTAGATCATCAAAGGTGAGCGTGTGCCCCTCAACATCGTCATCTCTGTCCTTCAATAAGCTGTCAATCTCGGCCTGTGCCCTGCGAGTAACCTCTGGGTAGCATGCCGCAGCGAGGAGGAACGTGTTGATGCTCATGGCTGTCGTCTCCGTGCCGGCCTCAAACAGTCCGGCAGCAAGATACGCCACGCCGTCCCTCCCCAGATAATGGTCGTCTTGTTGCTTGCGCAAGAGCTGTGCGGCCCCACACTCATCCACAGATATCTCGCCCGTGTTTCCGCTGACCCTGTCACTGGCGAGCCTGTCCTCGACGACCCGGAGCAAACGGTTAAAGAGACCGCTCTCGAACACGTGGTCAGCCTTGAGCTTTCTCTTCCAAGGCGACAGGAAAGCAGGGAAGATGTCCAGGATAGGAAAGGCATCCGCCCAGTATCTCCCCGGCGTGAAAGCGCTGGCGATGTTCCTCGACACGACCTCGAGCTCCTTAAGGACCGGGTCCTCTGGCGTAGGTGCCCTGCGGGCATAAGCGATCTGGAGGACACTCGACGCCGTGAAACGCGAGACTTCATCAACTAGCTCTGTGCAGCGCGTTTGTTGCTGTTGTTGTTCTGGCGGGTCGTACCGATCCAGTCTGGCGATGCGGTCGACCATAACCATGGCCTCGAGCCGCAGGGCCCTGGCCCACCTGGTCCTGATCTGGTCCCTCGTCAGGAGCAGGGAGAAGGCCTTTCGGTGGCGGGTCCAGTCTGGGCCGTAGGGCTGCAGGACGATCCTCTGCCCGCCGCTGAGGTACTTCCCCGCCGCGATGGACGGGGCTCGAGACGTGCACGAAGTGAGGAGTCTCTTTAGGGTGCTTTCGTTGTCTGCCAAGGAGTTGATGAGGATGGTAGTGCCTGTGTGGCGCCATCCTGGATAGATCCAGGTGTTGATCCGCTGGAATAACCGAGCTAGAGGGTTTTTGGGTCTCAGCCTGAGGCGGATCACGGGTCCATACAGTCGGGATAGCCTCAGGTTGAACCTCGCCTCATACTGTGGCCATCTCGTCCCATCATAGTAGATGTCATTTCCGTCAAGCGTCGGCACATCTTCTGCACCCATAATCCTCGCTGGTACCCTGCGCTGCGTCCATAGCCAGCAGCCCGAAGATGATGAAAGAATCGACGGCGCGCGAGAAGCGATGAGAAGACATATAGCTGCAGTCAGCCAAGGCAACAAACCATTGGAGAGAGTCCACTCGATCATGGTTCGCGATGGACCCCCGATGATGGATGTAGACTCCTGTGTTTCTGCTCACTCACCCAGGCTCGGATAGGCTTCCACATCTTTTTATTTTGATTTTGAATTTAAATATCATTCTTAAACTTTAGACCGGCAGTGTCGGCTTCCAAACGCGCATGGCCTAATTGGTTGTGCTGACGCGTGTTGCATGTTTTGCTGTGTCAGTGCTAGTCATTCATGCTGTTGTTGGCGTCATTAGTGGTTTTTTTTTGGGTTTGCTCTTGTTACTGTTGCACATAAAAATGCATGTCGCCAGAAAACGTTGAGCCCAACATGGACGGGATCATGAAACATCGGTCATACCACCATAGGCTCACAAGCCTTGGTAAATGTTTGCTGAACTTTTATACTTCCTTTGTATAAGCTTATCCAGAGTACGGGACGAGTGCTTGCTGGAGTTTCAGTCGCGCAACGCGGGGGACCTTGGCCAGTCTCGTGTTCCTCCCCTCTTGACCAAGGGGCGCTCGCGTCGTCCGAAATGATCCTTGCCGCGGTAGTTATTATCGTGAGACATCATCTTAAGCACGTCGGCAAGGGGCGGGGGGTGGAACGACGGACCACCATCGCGCGCTCAGATTCGTCCTAGCTCGCTTTTTCACTCTCTTTCTTCTCACACAGGGAGGGGGGTTGAAATCCTTTGGCCATCTTCAAAAAGGCCTAATCAAGTGCGTCTATTTGAATAAGATCGCAAGAACCATTTGCTGGTAAAGACGATAAGCCGTGCTGCGAATAAGCATGAAGCACTTGTGTGTACATGGCAGCCATTCAGAGGAGGCAGCCCAACCGTCTAGGGAAAGAAAGTATGACAAGCCGAATTCAATGAGCCTGTAGTGGGTCATGGAGCTTGCACCAGGTTCCTCCTGATCTTGATCAAGTCCTCGTCCGAGAAGCCCAAGACCCCGGTCACATAACCCTCAAAGCCGCCGTATTTCTCCCTGACGGCATCAACAAATGCGTCCCAACAGGAAGTCTTCAGGGCGGCCAGGTTCAGAAAGCCCGGCACGTCGTAAAATCTGGACAGGTCGGGCTTCTCACCAACGTCTACGCCGGCTCCCTGAATCGCAAACTTGATCAGCTGCTCCCGTGCTGGCTCATATCCGATCCTAGACAACAAAAAGTCCGTCTGGACGAGTTTGGGATCGTAGCCGGCAATGGTTTCAAGCATGCCAGCCAAGACGCCTGTGCGGTCTCTTCCGGCTTTTGTTGATGACATGCCATATCTCCGTGTCAACAAGGACGAGATCCTCTTAATTGGAGGGGAAAAAGGGAGGAGGCTCACCTGTGCAGTGGAACATGATGGGATCCTGAGGCCTGTCCCTGATGCTCCTGAGCACCTCCCTGAAGATACCCTGATACCAGTCCAGCACCTCAAAGTACATGGCCACATAGCCCTTCTCCCCCTCGCCCTCGATGAACGCCGCCAGGTCGACCTTGGCCGCCTGCTCGGTGGTGCCCTCGGAGCCCAGCCATACGCCCTCGATGCCTTCGATCTCCGGGTCAGGGCTTCTGGCGTGCTCGTCCTTGGAGCGTAGGTCGAAGATGCGGCGCACGCCGAGCTTCTCTCGCAGGGCGGCGCGGCCCTCCAGGCTGCCGTGGAGGATGTCGAGGCCACCCGTGCGGTAGATAAAACCCCGGCGGATCTTGGCAGAGCCGCTGCCATCGTTGTCGTCCGCGAGCAGGCCGAGATCGCGCGTGTTGAAGGTGCCTGGGACGTAGATGAAGGGCGGTGTCTGCAAGGCTGGGAGGAGCTGCTCGGGCGGGATGGGATGACGGACGTCTGTCTCCGCCAAGGAGCGCAGTTTAGAGGCCATGTTTGCGTAGAAGACGATGGAGGAGGGGAGAGCTTGAGAGCGGCGCAGAGGTCTATCTATCTGCTGGTGGTGTTGGTAATACGGTGGATGTACGAGATGCCTCATTCAAACCAGGTGTCTATCAGTCTGTCTGCTTCAGCTTTCTTAAGTAGGATAAATAAACAAATGGAACCCGCGGACTGCGTCTCCTGTGGAGCTAAGGCTGAAGTATCAATATCAATACCACGCCAATTTCAACTCTGCCTATTCTTCTTAATAACAAGAACAGAAAGAAAAAGGTGGAGAAAGAAACAGGCGGGAAAAGAGGGAAGTAAAAATTAATATAAAAAAAAAGAAGAAGAAGAAAAAGGAGAAAAAGGAGAAACTCTTGAACTCCGGTTCGAGGATGTGAAAAGGGCTTAGTGATCCACACTGCGCAGCCAAAGGACGGCGAGGAAGGTGTAATGGGGAGAGAGAACGTGAGGCCACTGGGATTGGCGAGGTCGGATCTTGTTTCCCCGATGCCGATGCGAAGGATGCAGTTGATGACCACGGCAGGTGCAACCCTTCCTTTTCAAATAATCCGTCAGCTTGTCAGCAAGAACGACCACCCTCCCTCTCTTACCATCTTTGAGCATATTCTTCCTCGACCTTGACGATATTGGGTTGAGTGGTTGGTATATGAGTAACACCATGAGATGTATCGCTGGTAACGTTGGTAGGCAACCAGATCTAATTACTTTTGTGGCCCTTCCTCGTATTACTTGAATCTGACAATTGACATTCCGGCCCCTCTTCTTCTTTTCTTCTTCTTCTACGTCCAACCTTCGTTCTACATGTTTCGGGACCTCTCAAACGTTGATACCAATTTGTCTTTTGGATTCTATTACGTTTATGTTCTTTATGTCTACCCTCTTCTTTTCCAAAGACTTCATCTTCTATTTTCTATTCATTTTTGTAAATCGCAGAAGGATGACAACCGCAACACTCAGTGCTTGCCAAAGTTGCTGTTAACTAGCACATACCTATACCTTGCCTTGCCCGCCTCCATATCCTTGGTCACCTGGTTGGCCTCCTTCATGTCTACCAGCTGCACCCACGGCTTGATCTTCTTGTCCGCCGCCAACTGCAGCATCTCGGGGATCTCGGTCGAAGGGCTGCCGGTCGCACTGCCGCCGACCTTGATACCGCTGCCGATCATGGTGAAGGCGTTGATGGGCGGCAGCTCGCCGCTGTCGGGCGCGCCCACCTGGATGAAGGTGCCGTGTGTCTTGATGAGGCTTAGGTACTGGGTCAGGGGCATGTTGGAGCTCGAGATGGTGCTGATGATCAGGTCCAGGGTCCGGAAGTTCTTCTTGTCCCAGTCGCCGTCCTCAGACGTGGCGATATACTCGTCACAGCCCAGCTTCAGCGCGTCAGCCTTCTTGTCGCCCCGCCTGCTGATGCCCACCACCTTATCCGCGCCCAGCGCCTTGGCGAATAAAACGGCAAAGTGGCCCAGTCCTCCGACTCCTACCACGCCGACCGTCTTGCCCGGCCCACACCCGTTCATCTTGAGCGGCGAATAAACCGTGATGCCGCCGCACATCATGGGCGCGGCGTCCTCGCTCGCTAGACCCTCGGGGATCGGGATGACAAAGTGTCCGTTGGTGCGGTTGTAGTCAGCGTACCCACCGTACGACTTGCCCTCGTCGCCTGGATATACGCTGCCGTACGTGTTGATCATCTCGTTGGCGCAGTACGTCTCCTTGTGGTTCGAGCACTCGGCGCATTCGGACCGCATGCATGTGCGTGCCTGGGCGCCCACTCCAACGCGGTCGCCCTCCTTGACGTGCTTGACGTTCTTGCCCACGCGCACCGCCTTGCCGACGATCTCGTGACCGACAACGCAGGCTGGGTGGGTTGGCCAGTGTTAGCAATGCCTTCTTCTACTGGGTCACAGGGCATGTGACAAGAGGGGCTGGAGAGGGCTTGGGCCTCACTCTCGACTACTTACGGTATGGGGTGGGGTACCAGCCACTCCTCAGCATGTGCAGGTCGGAACCACACACGCCACAGTGGGAAATCTCGATATCGACATCATCCTCTGTCCACTTCTTGGGCTCATAAGCGCCCCATTCCATGTTGCCGATGGACTTTTCGTCCTTGCCCAGCCATCCTTCAAACTTGGGAGCTGCCATCTTGAGCTTTGTGTGTGTATATGTGTATGTATGGAGGTGGAAGTAGATCGTAGGGGAGTTATATGTGTTCGTGTCCAAAGGTCAGAAATTTGTGGAGGATGATGAATACGAATGTCCAAACCCGTCGACTTCGAGGATAGAGATGCGCAGCCAGAGCTCTGCGTTATATACTCTACTCACTCTTGCAAGCGGGTATTTCTCGGCAACCCTCTCAAAAGATAGCCAAGCAAAAAAACGTCGATGACGTTATAGCCGACCGACAATTTAGAATCGCCGCCAGCGCGGGTTCCCCCAGCGGAGAGGATAAACCTGCTATCACCGGCAGCGCGTAGACCCATCCCCTCCGTCTTCCCGCCCCTCTACTCCCATGCTCCCTCTACCCTCGAGCTAATGAACCTTTTTTCCTTGCTAGTATGGGTACCAGACCGATTGCCATCGGACGTGGGAACTCACCCAGTCAGGGTCATGCATTGTGATGATTTGTTTCGCTGACAGCAAATCAAGTGGGTAACTAAAGAGCTCACGGCAATGGAAGCACATTCCACAGTCCTCGAATTGCTGACGGCATCCACTCGTAAACGCCGAGACCTTAAGTCCTAAATCCAACTTTTTTTCCCCTCTTATGTTTCGCTTATACTATGGTACATCCACACATCCACACCCACAACTACATCGACGCCACAACAGCCAAACACCTGAGTGGACGCTGCTAGTCTATGCGGTGAAGGTATCTTGTAGTGTTTTCCATCAGTCACACATAGCCAATTTTTCATCTTTCTCTCGCGAGTTTTTCCACAAATTCCGCCCTCAAACTCCGAGAAGACGCTTTTTGCTAATCTTGTTCCCTCCTCTTCCCTTTGGGGGTGAGGGTGTAAGTGAGTCATACTGGAGTATTTTGTAATGTCTGTGCTCTTAGGAGAGAGAGAAGAAGAAGTCGCTTCTCTACGAAGGCGGCACCGTCAATTCTCAGTGGACCTTGAACACCTGTCACGGGGTCAAGAGCAAAGAAAAGTAAGGAGAAGAAAGAAAAAAATGATAGCCCTCGCGTGACAAGTGTTGCTGAGTGGGCTGTTGAATGGCCTCATGGGCTCTCTCAGCGACGAGCTGGCTGCCATGTGAGGGCCTCGTAACGACCAGTATGGTTGGTTTTGGACGAGATGAAAACGAGGCCGAAGGGGATTGCCCCCGGGAGGGGGCGAAGGGCGCAAGCGGATTTTGGAATGATCACCGCCCTTCTCAGCGCCTTGCCTGGGTGGAAAGGACTCCCTCTTCATGCGATGCCTATTGGCAGCGCCTTTTGTCTGTTTGATGGATGCTTGGCGGGGGGGGGGGGGAACTTGCTTGCATTAGTGCGAGTACGGACGGCCAAGGAAAATTCGGCTCCGCAGGGAAAAGACTGATTGCCAAAGCTGAAGGGGTTGAGACGGAGGGTGTCATCGCGATTTGTGAGATGGAGACCATGGTGGTGGATGCCGGCGAGGCTGTGGCAGGAGAGAATCCACAAGCCTGGCAGACTACCTGGAGAAACCCCAACAACACTTCAGCCATAAAAGGCACCTACGTAGTACATCCAGACTCTTGCTTTTGGGGACGTGAGGGCAGAATCTATGGTTTCTAGCATGTGCGAGATCTTACCGTCTCAAAGCCATGCAGGTGTCGCTCGTGGGCAACACTGGACATTGATTGATCAATAATCGGGAGAGAACATAACCCGGATGTAATTATATCTGACTGGTTCATGCAATACTCCAGAAACGTTAGATATGATCCCGTCGCTGGTTGTTCATAAGTCTCCTGTCTTCTGTGTTCGACTGAGTGCCAAAACGATGAATGATTGATGCTCACTCAGAATACATTACGCAACCCATATTAATCTCAGCCCGCTACATTATTGAATGAGAACCCCATCGCGCTACTCCTCCAGCCCTCACCGCTGCGCAGATCGATTTCGGACATACTCGCCGAAGCGAGTCTCAAGGTGCTTCATGAGAGCCTTTTCGGCTTCCGCAAAGTGTTGTTTCTGCTGTTCCGACTTGGACTGTACGAACGTATCGTCAGTGAACCCGAGAAGCCGATCCACCGCGCTCATGATCAAGGACTCGCCCAGCAGCGGGTCAAGCTTTTCCGCAAGTGTCGGCAGGATCGACTTCTTGAAGCTGAGAATGACGTTAACCAGCTTTGGATCTAACAGCTCAACCTCTCTGGAGCCTTCTGGTGTGGCAGAAGGACCAGGTGTAGCCGAGGTCGGCCTGGCTCCGTTCGAGGCCGGAGAGTTTGTGCCAGGAGTGCCGACCATGCCTGCTGGCTTTGGTGGTGCACTGTTCGCTGCTCCCATAGCTGGTGAAGACACGATTGGCTGACGAGTAGTAGGAGCAGTAACAGTAGCAGTAGCAGCAACGGGTCTGGGAAGGCCAGATACACTCGTCCGGGAGGCAGGAGCCGCAGGGCCGGATCCCGAGGCAGCAGCGACAGAAGTTGTTGGCGCAGTCGACGCGGACGGCGTAGATGGTGCAGCGGTCGCAGAAACGGGCTTGGGGGCTCCAGATCCAGTCGGGTTGGCTTCCGGTACGGACGCTGCAGGGACAAACCCCGGAGGAAGACTCGTTGAAGTCGCTGGTGCCGGAGATACAGTGCCCGAGGAGACAACTTTGGGGGCAACAGACGCGGCCACCGTCGATTTGGTCTGGACAGGGCCTACAGGAGCAGCTGTTGACGCAGTACTCGCAGGCATGCTCGAGGCAAGACTTGAGGCTACCGGTTTGGGGGCTATAGTCGTTGTGGCCGCGGTCGTGATAGGTACTGGCTCAGCAGAGACAGCGGTCGGAGGAGCAGCCGCAGGGGTAGTAGGTGCATTTGCATTGAGACTTGGACTAGCATCTGGCGCTTTGGCACCACCGCCAATTGTAGTAGCAGCATGTGTAGCAGGACGAGGGCCGGGTGCTAGGGAAGCAGATTCCACACCTGTAGCAGCAGTAGGAGGTGCAGCCGCAGGAGCAGGAGGAGCAGGTATTGCTGCTGCTGCAGTAGGTGCTCCAGGTGTGACACCCGAAGGTGCGCCCGTCTTGGGCCCGGTTCCGACAGGGCTTGGGATACCAGGGTTTGCATTCGTGGGCGCATTTGGCGGTACACCACCAGCTGAGGCAGGCTTCTGAACAGTCGAATGGGCCAAAGTTGACTCGCTGTTGACAGACCCGGCTTTCGTCGCCCCGCTGGTGCCTCCTACGGCTTGGGAACCAGATACTGGTTTGGCAGCAATCGGTTGGGCCCTTGCGGCGGCGGTAGCAGCAGCAGGAGGTGGAGGGGCGCTATTTCCATTGGGCGCAGGGAGCCCAGGCGAGTGCGCGTGAGGGGCGCCCATCCGAGCAGCAGTAGAAGGCATAGGGCTAGAACCGTTCACGGCAGCAGCTTTTGTTGAAGCCATAGGCACCGAAGCAGCAGATGCTGCTGCTTTGGCGGCCTCCTCAGCGCGACGCTTGGGATAGATCTGCTTGTGTTGGCGAAAGACGTTCAGGATGAGTTTCTCATAAGATTCAAGTTCAGGCACCAGACTTTTCTCGGTCAGTCCCAAGCCGCGATTGATCACGGACATGGCGACCACCTCGGATCGCTTGCCCTCTTTCGCCTGCAGCTGTTTGATGACCTCGGCACGGAACTCCCTGATGAAGAGCCTGAGGAAGGGCTCGATCACAGGGCCCAGGGGCGCTGCAGGCGCGCTGTTTTGCGCAGGGTGCAATATTTGATGGGTAGAGGGTGCAGGCCTGGACGCATTCGATGCCGGGTGCATAGTAGGAGGGGCTGGAGGGCCTTGTTGAGGTCTGAGTGGGGGCCCTTGTCCCGGCCTGGCCAGAGGCGGCCTGGGTGCGGCGTTTGGTCCAGCGCCAGCAGGGCTATGATTTGCGACATGTGGTGGCGGTTGTGGCCTGTTGGCATATGCTGGGTTGTATGGCGGTACTTGCGCGCCGGGATGCTGTGGTCGCGGCGCAGTGGCGGCAGCCGTGTAGCCGTTTGTCTGTGGTTGTGCGCCCGGTGCCTGATGGTGTTGAGGATAAGCAGGGCGCGGAGGTCCGTGATGCTGGTGGGTCGGTGCAGCACCAAGCTGTGCTGTGCCGTTGTTGTTGGATGGAGGGCCCTGATGAATCTGATACGCCTGTCCATTGGGAGGATAGCGAGGTGGCAGGTTGGGCGTGAGAGCCGTTGAGTGTGCAGTGGGATGGTGAATATGGTGTTGAGGATGCATGGGAGGCTGATATGGGTGGCTGTACCCATTGTACATGCCCGTGGGTCGAGGTTCGGCGATGGAGTCGCTGGGTTTGCGCTTCTTCCCAGACTCCAAGGGGACGCCAGGAACGCGATGCCAGTTTCCTTCGATCTTCTTGAAGCACTCACTGCCGAGCAGATTGTGCCGGACACTGCTCTCCCAACCCTTGGTATCGACACAGAAGTAGAAATAGGGCCACCTCTCCTGGATCCGCTTGTAGACCTGCTTGAGACTGTAGCCCTTAGGGGGTGCGGCGGTCATGATCTCGTCGATCAGCAACTGATAGTTCTTTGTTGGCTTCTGCAGCTGCTCCTCGGTAAAGTCCTCACGCTTCAGCTCCAGAGGAGGTGTCTTGTGCTTCATGGACTTCTCCTTAGCAGGCTTGTCGCCATCCAGCTCTTCCTCTCCATCCTCACCCTTGGGCCTGCGAGGTTTGTACTTCCGTTTCTCTCCCTGGCCGTCGAGTCCTTCAGGGAGAGGGTGCTTCCTAGGCCGGCCGACCTTGCGCTTCTGTGGCTGATCGCCAGGCTCTTGGGGCGGCATGTTCCGCTTTGCCTCTTCGGCCGCCTGCTTCTTGAGCAGCCGCTCCTCCCTCTTCGACATGATCCCGTTCTTGGGCGGCCTGCCGGGCCCACGTTTCTTTGGAGGTAACGTGCCTAGCTGTGACAGCTTGTCTACGTCATCAGGACTTGATTCGGGCTTGAGGCTGCCATCCACGGCGTCCGACTCAACCGTCTCTCGAATCTCATCGTCTCCATCGGCGTTGGATAGCTCGGCCAATGCCTCTGGCGCATCCTCCATAGCTTCGTCCGAGTCGTCCGAGTCATCTGAGTCTAGTGGTTGCAAGTTCGCCTGTCCCTCTTCAGCCTCGGAGGAGTCATCGGTATCGTGCATCTCATCCCCGCGGGAGCTCTGGAAGTCAAAACTCATCTCCTTGCCGTTCTCCGAGTAGGTCCTGCTCGCCGGGGCACTCGCCTGGAGCTGGAGCTCTGCGCCGGTCTTGCCGTCCTCCACGCCCGCGAGATAGAACTGAATAGTGATGTACTGGATCTGGAGCTCGTCGCCGGAATACAGGGTGAAGACGTCGCCCTCCTTGTGGTGGACTGAGCGACAGAAGACGCCGTTCCGGCCCAGGACAAAACCTTTCCAGACTCTCTCTTCGGCATCATACGAGATCTTCAGATGTTCCCTCGAGATACCCTTGGTGCTAGCCCACATGTCTGGGCCTTCGCCATGTATCCTGACATGCGCGATTTCATCCTGGCTTTTGAGGCCGGTGACGTCTCCAGGGCCAGGGGCGTAGTCGACATATTGACGACTGCTGATGGTGTTGGAATGACCACTCCCTGAAGTCTTCCGGGCCTGCTGCTCAACCGTCCGCTCACCAGCAGCAGTCTTGCGTCTCTTGGCAGGCCGTGGGTTGTCCTCACCGTCGGACTCGGGGCCCAGAGCACCTCCCTCCTCGCTGGCAAAGGATTTCGGGTGGTGTTTCCCTCTACCGCCCGTCCCAGCAGCACGAGGTGGTGTTGGCGGGGGCAGTCCCTTGGCTATGTGCTCCTCGACTTTCAGCCTATGTGCCCTCTCTTTCCTGGCCCGCAAGAAGATCTTCTGGTCCCTGCCGATCAGGACAGTGCGAGTGGTGATCCAGGTTGTGCTGTCGGGGAACTCTAATTTTCCATATACATTGGGAGGATGCTCGTAGTCCTCCTCTTCGTCCTCGTCCAACGGAAAGGGCTGCTCTGCAGCAGCACCGACGTTGGCGAAAGCGTAGTTTGCCATTGCTATATTCGGTATGTAGGGTTGACTGGCCTGCGCAAGGAGGTCTGGATAGAGGGGCAAGGGCTGGGACAGGGCGTCATAGTACCCAGCTTCTCCAGAGAGACCAAGGAGATGGTTGGCCGCAGGGACCTCAGCCTGGCCGCCGCCATCCGCCTGTCTCCAGAGTGAGGGAGCCCAAGCCAGACCGTCCTCGGTTCCCAAGTCCACAAAGCCATTGGCGGTGCCAGATGGTGCGAGAGGGGCGGGAGCGAGCTGGTGGTCCTGGGCAGCAGAGGTGGACGGCGTCTCGTTCGCGGCGGTCGCAGCCGGTGGAGGTTTGGGGCTGAGGGTTTCAGGTGCAGGCGCATCGTTATGGGGAAGGGGTTGGGCCTGCGTGGCAGGAGGTTGTTCGGTTTCTTCTATTCGCTGTTGGGAAGGTGGAGGAGATGGCGGTGGCGGTGGTGGAGGTGGAGGTGGAGGCATAGCAGGCTCAGGTGCAGGTGTGGTGGATACAGCCACAGGTTCATTTGTGTCCTTAGCCGGGCTGAGGACTGCAGTTGGGATTGCCTCGGGGGCCATCATGGATGTTGAGGTCGACATTGGGGGGTCAGCCATGTTGGTGTCTGGCTGGCCACTGGGGCCTTCCTGCTCTTCGGACGAAGTCATTGCAGGCCATATGGGGTGACAAGTTGGATGATCTTGGATTTGGGTTGCTGTCTTTGTTTTGTCTTATGCCTGTGTATGTGTGCTGTCTGAAGGCGTGGAGTGTGTGGTTGGCGGAAGAAGGAAAGAAGTTCTGGGAAGAAGTCGATATCGATTATCATCCGCAAAGACAAGTGCCCATGACGAGAGACTGGGGTTTCTACAATCTTTCCACGCCGGCCGCTGCGGATCCTGGCCAGCGGCTGGGTTGCCCCGCTTAAAAGTTCTCAAAGGTATAGCCATTGGCTCAAGGCAAGAAGCGGGGAGTGCAGGAGCCACCTGCTAGGGGATGCTTAGTGTGAATGATTGACCATGCCACCCTTGCCCGAGCCGTCAACTTTTGGATCAGTGCTTGTGACAGACAAACAGAAAGAAGGACCCGACATCCTCCACTCACTTCGTTTTTTCTTTCTCACCCTCAACAGCAAAATCACATTGGCAAATATTCAGACTCAAACATCTCTTTTTCATATTTGATGAGCATTGCGCACCCAAGAAGACCGTGAATGCGTACATGAGCAAGATCTGATCTTTTTCCCTCTTATGTTTTGAAGTTTTGAGGTTTTGTGAGTTGGTCACAATCAATCGATCGATCGATCAATCGATGACATGACTCCTCCCATCATCAAGAACAACAGATGACAGAACTAGACTTCTCGAACCCTTCCCTTATTCCAGGCAGATGTCAAGCTGATCTGAGTCACCCTATCCTTGATTTTTATTTTCTGGGGCCACAATTGGGTTTTCTTTTTGTCTTCTCTTTTCTTCAATGCAGGCCCATCTTCTCATCACTCCAGTTCCAGTCAACTCCAGGCTGTCGGAAAAACAGATGGCTTTTCATAACCTCTGGCAGGGAGAGATTGAGGCGCAATATCCAAGATCAGGGCTTAGAACTAAGCTCTTCTTTTTCTACTCCTAGGAGCCACACCATCCTGCTCTGGAATACGGGGAACTTGCGTCCTAACTTTGGGGGCGGATGGTTATAGCCGATGTCCTCTAGTCTAGTCAGCTTCCCGTCGGTAGTGGACAGCATTGAGGCTGAGAGATGATCATGTCCCAAAGTTGAGACTCAGTCAGCTCAGCTTGGACAATGGACTCTTGTTCTCCTCTTTTCCGAGGCAAGGCGGAAGGCGAAAAAGTTATCGAAAATGGGCTCGACTATTTTATTTATACCTCTCCAGTCTCTCAACATTGCCCCCGTGGTTCATCTCATCCTGCCCAGTTCAGAGACCCACAAGCATGTGTTTCTCGAGAAGGATCAGGCCTGGCCAGATCCTGCATGCCCATCACACTCTATTTATACGCAACCATCCACCACTACCACCATTACACACAACGTCACTTGCGCCCGCTCCAAAAGGCCTCATTGTAGAGCCACCCACTCAAGACTGCTCGAACCTAACCCCCCTCCCCTCCTTCTTTTTTCTCCCCAATATTTCTGGCTGACTTCTTCTTCGGTCTTGGGGAAGTGGACCGCGCCACACGTGGTTGATGATTATGATAGCAATGATGCGGGTGAGGGTGAGGGTAAGGATGAGGATTGGGGTCACGATGACCATGATTGCTGCTACTATTGCTGTTATTGTCTAGGCTAGAGCTCGGTCACCATCCATAGCGTCATCCCCTCTTCCTTCCAGCGGGTGGAGAGATGGAATAGGTGGTAACTTTCCTGAAGAAAACCAAATTCTTGTTAGTCAAGGTGGCTTGAGACGGAGAAGATAGCATGTTGCGCAGCAATCCGGCGCCTCGAAACGAGTACATGCGCCCTCTCTGTGTCTTCTCCCTGGAGGTAGTAGATCTACCTGCCGCCCTTTCGCCCCCAGTCCGACCTTTCTGTTCTGAAAGGTCTACGACAGGATATACGATGGACCGCTTTATCCCGTTTGGTTACTTCTTACATTGTAAATCTTGATCGTGTTGTTGGATTTTTGTTTCTTCTCCTTCTTCTTCTTCTTCTTCTTCTCCTCCTTCTTCTTCTTCTCCTCCTTCTTCTTCTTCTTCTTCTTCTCCTTCTTCTTCTCTGCCGTTCCTTGATTAGGCCACGATTTACATCCCTGGCCCACTCACTTGCTAAAGATATCCGTCAGCTTCATAGAGACTATTCTTACCTCAGCACCACCCAACAAATCCTGCCCACACCACTCGGCCCCATTCCTTGACCTTGTTTCCGCACTCATCCGCTCTCTCCTGATCATGTTATAACATTCCATATCATTCCTCCTGACTGGGCTGTCTGTTTCTCTTCTTTCTTTCTACCCTTACACGGTTGCTGGATTCTGTCCAGCTCTGTTTACTACTCGCTGGGAACTCACCTATTCACCATCCTTGATCACTTACACACTATCAGGTGGTGCTTCCTCTCTTTACTAATCCGTACGAGAGACATTCATTCATTCGTCTATTCCACCCTGTCTCTCTCTCTCTCTCTCTCTCTCTCTCTCTCTCTCTCTTCCTCACACACACACACACACACATGCACACAGCTTCTCTCTCTTTGCCTACCTCTTTTCTCTTCTCCTCGCAGCCTCTTCCTCGCCTAGAAAGTGAGATATCCACCCGCCATGAACCGGCAGTCAGGTTCCCAGGCTCCCATACCTGTGACGCCCAGTTATAGCAGCCCCTCCCAACAGCCGCTCCTCCAGTTTTCAGGGCCTCCTCCAAACACACCAAAGACCAAGAGGAGGAGTAGAGACAGTCGAGCAAGCTGGCTGTTTCCAGCCCGACAGAAAGTCTCGTCGATATGGCGGCCATCTACGGGAAATCATACGCCACCGACACCCCAGTGGCCGCTCCCACGGGTGCCGCTCAAACCCGAGAGTCGACGGATCAGCACAAACCCGGCCTTCACGACGACCTACACCCAGCCACGCGACGCTCCCCTGCCTCCGCCTCCGAGCTCCAGGTGTAGCCAGCGCAGCAGCAGCGGGGATAGCAGCAGCAGCAGCAGCAGCAGCACAACCACCACCACCGTGGCACCGGCAAATGACCGCGCCGAGAGCCCTGGCCCAACAAAGGAGAAGTCGGCCTCGAGGGCGCCGGCAGCACACCCGCTCTCGCCTCGATCACTACCCAGCTTGGGGCGCCCAGCCTTTGTGCCACTCGACGGCGTTGGCGGTGGCGGTGGCGGTGTTTTTGGTGGTGGTGGTCTTGGTAGTGGTGGTATTAGTGGTGCTGGCCACCAGCGTGGCGGCAGCTTCTCGACGCGGTACATCAACATGGTCCTGAGCATCGAGAGGATTCCCAGGTCGCACAACATCCTCTCCAACGTGTTCTCGTGGATGATCCTCGTGGCGTTCGTGGTGGCCCCGGCCAACTTCTGCAGCCCATCCCCCTGGGGCAAAACGAGCGGCGAAGTGCCGCCCATCGACTTCTACACCGACGTCCCCTCCATGGGCCTCCTGGGCGCGTGCTTTGCGATTTTCGGAGTCGGGGCCCTCGGCATGCTCTACCTGGCCCTCTGCTGGCGCCGCAACTACATCTGGCTCATGAACCGCATCTACCTGCCCCTCATCCTGCACTCCCTGGCCGGCTTCATCGCATGCCTTGTTATACTCAAGGTGCAACACAACATGTGGTGGAGCATCTCGTCGTATGTCACCATCGCCGTCGAGGCCGGCACGCTGCTGTTCTCCACGAGCATGTTCTGCATCAGCAACTACCTGCTGTTGGGGAAGCTGAAGAGGGAGCATCACCGAGAGACGTCGAAGAAAAATGTGGTGGACCTGGTCAAGGCGGGCAAGCAGCCTCCTTTTGCGCCGGGGAGCGTGGTTTGAGACGATATGATGTAAAGAAATTCATACTCACGAAAAGGACTGGCCGTTGTCCCTTTTCCCTCTGTCTTTGTTCTTTTGTTTCTCTTGTTATGTTGTATCTCATTTGTTGGGGAAGGCTGTGTGTTTTACAAGATACCATTGACCGTATGAACGAAATGAATTACCTGATGATATTTTCTACTTAAAACAATTCTCTCTCAGGAGGGTACTGTCATTACCATTTGCTCATCTCTGTGACTTTGGCCATGACTGTAACTGTTATTCAATGCACGACGTGCAATTCTTCATCTTGACCGTCGTCGTCATCATAAGTAACTTTTCTACCTGGCAAGCAGCGGCTCCCTCTCACCTCTCCTATCCCCCCACCGCCTCTCAAGCACACGCCCGACCCCATACGCATACCAAGTCACCATACCAGCCAGGAACCCCACCGCATCATTCTTAAACGCCAGAATCCCCGCCGTCGTCATCAGCATGACGGTCCACCGCTCCATCCTCTCCTCGTCAGACAGCTCGCGCGGCCTCTTGTCAGGCCCCCGCTCCGCCGCCACCAAACCCCCATGACTGTCGCCGTCACCATCGCCGTCATGGTCCACCCGGCCGCCAGACGAGGAAGACACACTATCCTCCCAGAGGTCCGAAGCCCCATGGTTCAGCCCCTGCCCGACCTTTGCCAGCTCCAGCCCCGCCGCAATCACCATGATCCCCAGCACAGCCCTCGGGAACGAGTCCAGCAGGTCCAACAGCGTGGTGCCGAGAAGCAGCCCCAGCAGCAGCTTGGCCGTCCCCAGCACCACAATGCTGGCGCCGCTGCGCGCCCCGAAGCGGTACTGCGCCGCCAGCCCGCCGGCACCATGGCAGACGGGCATGGCGCCGAACCAGCAGCCCAGCAGGTTCATCAGGGCCACGCTGATGCCCAGCTCGGTGACGGTCGGGGTGTGGCAGCCGGCCGGGAAGGGCGGGGAGGTCATCAGCTCGGAGCCCAGGGCGGCGGCTGCGATGACGGAGTTGAGGGTGGTGAGGGGCAGCTGGGCGACGGCCATGGACCAGGCCTGGCCGTCGCCAAAGGCCGGGACGGAGACGGACGGGTGCCAGATGCGGAAGGCGGGGAGCCGGTGTTGGTTGTTTTTTTCATCATCCTTGTCCTGTCTTGAGACGACGAGAGCGATGATGGCCAGGAGCAGGCCCACGACAAAGACGACGAGGGCGTAGGGGAACCGGCGGGGCACGCGGGCGGTGAAGATGAGCAGCAGGAACGCGGCCAGGGCCCAGAGGCGGTTGTCGAGGGGCTGGTCGGCCCAGCCCAGGCGCAGGAGCATGGCGCCGCCGCCCGAGATGACGAGCTGCAGGCCGGCGCCGAGCTGGATGCCCTTGACGACGGGGACGGGGATGTGCCGTGTCAGCCAGCGCAGCAGGCCCGTGACGCTGAGGAGGCCGACGGCGATGGCGACCAGGGCGCCTGCGGCGAGGACGTGCGGCTGCGGGGCGTGCGAGGCGATGGCGGCGGCGGCGATGGCCTTCATGGGCTGCACGGGCAGAGGGATGCCGAAGACGAGGCCGGTGAGGATGTTGAAGAGGCCTGAGAAGACGAGTGTGCTGGGGAGCGAGATGGACGACTGCAGGGCCAGGGCGATCATGAGCGGGAGGAGGGTGCCCAGGTCGCCGAGGGCGCCTGAGATCTCTGAGGCCGGAGAGGATCGGAGGGTGGAGAGGTTGTACCTGTTGAGGCGGGAAATGTCTGCGAGACCCATTTTGAAGATTGACCAGACTGTGAAATCTTAAGTGGCGGTGATGGAGGAGGAGGAGGAGGAGGAAGAGGAAGAGGAAGAAACGCAGGTCAAAGGATGGTAAGCAAATGAATATGTATAAAATCTACATAAGGCTAAGTATGCAGTCGCTCATAATCAAAAAAGAAGAGCCAAGAAATGGACACAGACCATGGCAGAACCATGAGATGCGTATGAGGTTGTACAGAGGAAGAGAGAGGTTGATGAGGTTGAGACGTGAGATGTAGTGAAAAACGTAGGAGGAAATCATTGCCGGAATAGGACCAACGGGAAGTACGTCTTCTGACGTGCCGCGCGCACCCTGTCTTGTGATCACACCTCTAACGAAGCCCCACCCTTCCTTTTTCTTCTCTTCTCCTTCTATAGACAACTCAGGTAGGTGATGAGAACCCTGTTGATTACTTATTCCAATGTGTTTCTTGCTGTACCGATTCTTACCCCCAAATTTCTATACACACAAACGCCACCAAGCAATATGTGAAATCCGTGGCTAGCCATGATAGACACCAGACAATACTTTATACATTCACATCCCGAAAAAAAAAAATGGACATGTTGTTCATGACAATATTGTATCGTTTCTAAGTAAGCACTTACATGCTAAGGAGGTATCATAGTAATAATAATCGTAAGAATAAGAATAAAAAAGAAATGCGCAGCAGTACACATAGTCATCGTCCAGCGGCACCTAGAACGCCACCCTGAACATGCCATCCCATCCCATTATCGCATCTAGCCTCATCTGCTAAAACAATGCTCTCCCTCTCTCTTCATCTCCTCTCCCACCATTTTTTATTATTGTTTTTGAGGCCACGATCCCATTGGAGATCAAAGCCCTTTTAGAACCAACGGCGACGGCGCGAGGTGGTAGCCGTGCCGTAGTCGCTCTTGGCCGCAACGCTGCTCCTGTTGGCTCTCCTCTTGTGCAGGCGCGCAGAGCAGCACGTGAAGAAGACAATGACGGCACCGATCAGCAGGCAGATGGCGCCGGCGAGGATCGTCCACATGGCGACGCTGAACTTGGCGTGCGAGCCCGAGGTGTCGTCGCTGCTGCTGTTGACGTGGTCCTTGATGATGCCGAACAGGACAAAGTCGATGATCATGACCACGATGGTCACGATGAAGGCGAGCGCCGCCACGATGGCCGCCAGGAAGGACCCGAAGAAGCCCGCGCCGAGGGCGAGGAGGAACGCGATGAAGGAGATGCCCGTCGCGATCGGGTGCAGCACCATCACGTGCGTCAGGCCGTTGGCTGTGTCGCGCGAGGCGTCCGAGAAGGACGTATCGTCGATGCTGGCCATCACGTCGGCTGCGTCGTAGCCTACGTGGTGCTGGGTGCAGTAGTCATGGTTGTCATTTCTGTCGTTGTGGTTGTGATGTTAGAGCAAGCTTCAATCACGTTTTTTTTCCTTTCTTTTTGGAAGGACACAGATTCTCGAAGAGAGGGGAGAGTATGTGAGAGAGAGAGAGAAGAGACGTACGCAGTGTTGAGCACACAGTATCCAAATGTACCAAATGACACTTCAGAGTAGTGCGAATTCGTGGCATTGCCCAGGGTGACCTTGAGAAGGCCAATGTCGTTTACAACCGGGGCGGAGATGGTTGTGATGAGGATCAGGATCGTCGCCGCGAACAGGAAAAATGTTCCAATATGGTGAAGGAAGCCCGTAACCGCCATGTTGTTTGATTTGTCGGAGAGTGATTGACTGGTTTGGAGACACAGTGGAATTGAGGATGTCTGTTGGACCTGGACCGTGAGGAAAGAGAGCCTAGACTCGTCACCTCGTTGAAACTCGATTGAATTACAAGATTATGGATGGATGGATACAGAAGAGAAGAATAAGAATTGTTCATCCCAAGACCTGGGGAAGATCCCTCTTGATATATCGGCAGATCGCCCACGAATTCATAAGCCCCCAGGGGGGGGGGGTGTTCCCCTCGAGGTCTCATCGTAAACCATGGTCAGACGTCATAGCCCTTTTCACGCCCTGTTCCTCCCCCAAGCGCAGCCCAGCCACTGCAAGTCTTGCTTCAGGTCACATTTTTACTTGAAATGCGTGGCAGAGCCTGGGTCTCGGGGCCGTCGTGACGTTGTATTGCAAACCCAAATTGGACTGTCTGACAGACCCTGTTTTTGGACCCTTGTAAAAGGGCGTTGCGTGGGGTGACGTAGTGCCTTGGCAACCCGTCCTCCAAGCTTTACTCCTGGTTGGCCCAGGCACGCGCGCAAAAAGCGAATTGTGCCCTGTTTTCAAGCCCCCTGGAAATGACGGCACAGTGCTGACACTCAATCTCTTTCAAGCTCAGCTGCCTAGCTGCTGTAGCTATCCCCCTCCTGCTCTCTTTCCACACCCCTCGGCGAAAATGCGCCTTTGTAGTAATGTGGGTTCTGGTCTCTAGTCATCGATGGGCGCATATCTTTCTTGGAGGCAGCCACGCAGTGCCGAGGTCATCGTTACCACGAGAAGATCGTCCATCCCATTCCCATCACACGTGGCCTGGTCCACACAGCATGGCCCTCGGCTTCTGGATACTGGAACCGAACCACTTTAGTAGCATGTGTGTGCATGCATCTGCAAGCAATACCACAAATTGATGTTTACAAGGTGGTCTCGACGTGGTCTGATCGATCTGACGGTGCCGAAACAGTAAGGCCTGTAGCGTGATGCACCCAGCCCTGGTCGTATCCCTCGCTGTGTTAGTTCTGGTTGAGACTGGTCTGAGACGGCCATTTATTCACTTTTCGCCTAGACAGGCACCACCATCTCAATCGCCCCCACTGAAACGATCTGAGATCATCCGCCGCCGTCGAGGTGCTTTGTCTCATCATGGCTTGTGTTGCATTGTCATCAGAGACGTGCAAGAGGGCCTCATCTCTTGCCATCTACGGGCGGCAGATCCGATGATGAAAGCGATTCTTTGTCTTCCTGTTGCTGCTTGATGTCGAGGGCCTTCCATTCAAGCGCTGTGGGCTGTGGGGAGTCGCCGTCTGGTGTTCCTCTGACCGGCTGAAAAGTTTCCAGACTGAAAGGTTTATCGTCAACCGCATCGGCATTGAGAGGAATACGTTTCCACCTCACGGGCCCGCCGACGGGAATGCTCTCCCGTGCCCAATAATGCACCCGTAGGGCCGACGCATCTATAGCCTTCCGCGTACGGCGATTCCAGCCTGAGGCCCCAATCGTATTCGGTGGTTTTTTGGTGCTTGGGCGAGCAGTGTTAGTCTTGTTTCTTTCTTTGTGAATTGTAGGCCATGGCTTCATCGGTGAGCCAAGGTCAGTGCCCACCGGAGCGGCCTGCGTCTTAGGCTGGCGCGCACCGCTCTCCTCGGTAGAGGTTTCTGGCGCCATGGCCGGCGTTACACTATTCGACGCATCGGCATGTAGAGCCTCCGCCGGCGTACTGGATGGTAAGATCTCTGCAGCGGGCTGCTGAGCATCAGACGCTATTGTCAATTCTGGCGACGCACCGGTATCTACGGGAGCGGGATCCGTTTTTGGGCGAGGGCCAGCAACCTCCTTCTTGGCCTGGAGAGCTCGGTGCCACTCCTCGTCCCGGCGCATCTTGGCCTCGTCCAGGCTCGTCCAGAGCACAAGCTCGTTCTCCGCCTCGCCCTGTTCTGCGCGGTTCTGCCTCCGCATCCTGCGCTCCATGATGTGCCACAACTTCCCGGCCGTCTGGGATGTCCTTATGAGCTTCGCGTCTTCCATCAGCTGGCCCCCCGTCTGCCAGTCGCACAGGCCGTTCTGGGCGACGTTCCTAGGCACGACTTTCTTGAGTGCTGAGTAGACAAAGTCCTGATCCTCCTCGAGGGTTTTGGGCCAGCGCCCGTGGATCGGGTTCAGCCTGATGGCCGTCCTGTGCTCATAGTAGCTCTGGCTGGGGTGGATGTACATGGTGAAGTTTGTGATCGGATCGGAGGTTGTCGTCGACTCGGGCGAGGTATGGTCCGCCGGATCGTGACTGTAGCCATGCTCGGACTCGTGGATCTCGATCGGCGCCGCAATATCGACGGGTTCGGCGCCCGGCGCAGACTTGGCACGAATGGACTGTAGGGGTTCCGAGACGAATCGGAATCTGAGCGGGCTGGCCTTGATGAGCTCGTTGGCGACGTCTGTCCTGGTGGGGGCGCAGACGAAGGTATTATGTTCCTGTTGGCGCGAGCATATCTCGTCAGCTCTCGCGCGAGCCAAAAAGGGGGTGGGTTGTGATGAGGAGAAAACTTCGTGACACCTACAGTGAGCCTCTTGAAAACCTCGATTGGGCCATGACGTTGCAGGGCGTGCAAAACGGCTCGACGCTCCGACAGAGTAGCCGGTGTGGGTAGCACTTTGACCAGCAGCGACCGCGCCTTGATGAGCTCAATCGATCGGCCGCCGAACCAGCCTGATGCCATCTCAAGCGAGCCTTGACATAAGATCGAGCAGGCCCAACGGTAGAGACGGCCGCGCTCGTTGGTGGTCCTCGTGTCGTCAAAATGGCCGAGTGGGTTTGTGGTGGGGTCGGGAAGCTTGTGAAAATCAAAATATAAAAAAAGCGAAAATGACAGTAGGGGATGATCCTCCCGTGCGGAGCCGGGTTCGGGGGCTTACACTAACAACACCCTCCCGAAGTTGTGGGACCAACGGCGGGCCGCCCCTGCACTGACCTCCTTCCAACCTCTAACGTCTCTTGAAGGCTACCACGGTGTGTATAGTAAGCAGAAATATATCATTTGATGACATTAAACCTGAAATTGTAGGCCTTCTCATTCATAGAAAATTACTAGCAATGCCTTGCCCTTTCACCAGCCCCATCTTCCCTAATTTCCATGGTGCTGAACCTCTTGGAAGGTCATTACGAGTCCGAGGACTCTACTATGTTGGTCACCCTCCGTCACGGATCCACTATGGAATCGCCATGGAAACGATATGATTTGCTAGAATCTACGAATCAGCCAATATTTGGCATCAATATTTCATGTATTCGAGTCCTCAGCGACTGAAAGGTTCTGGGCGTTGGCTGCGCCTGTGAGCTGGGAATTGTGATTTTTGACTTTCTCCCAGGGGCCTATAAAATTATGAGATGACAGTCAGGTCTGTCAGAACTCTAGTAGATAGTCCGCAGTAGATAGAACGCAAGTTTACCTAGTTACATAAATCTCGTTGGAACCGAACAGGTTGGTGATGTTGCTCTGTAGTTCTGATTACCAAAGCCAAATATCTGTCGCTTGTACTGGAGACAACTCACATCATCAGCAAAGTGTATATGTAGAAAGAGTCCTATGGGAATATCCACAACAAGATCCAAGAAACCAAGCACCTCCCTGAAGCAAACGAATTTAATTCACGACAGCAAGTACTACCAGACATGATCAAGACGAGGGCATGGCGTTCCATCCATCTACTTCGTTGTTAGCTGCCAGTGTGTCGAGAATTATGGCTCATCGCAACTCAACTCGCTCTAACTGCTTCCCAAATTTCGCTAGGACATACATGTTCCCTACTATTTCAGCTATTGTTGACGTCCAATCCAACGAGCTTGTCACACAATTCAGCAACAGGTATCTTTACAAAGTCATGAATTGCTTTTTTTCTACTTTTGGTTTCCTTTATTTTCTCTCTCTCTTTCTTCACTTCTTTTTGAACTTTTACAAGTAAAGAAAAATAAGACTTTGATTCAGATACTTGGCTCTGAGGCGTGAGACGTAACGAAGCCGTAGGCTGCATGCCCTCCCTGCTCTACTTACCCAACTTCATCCCTTTGCTCCTGAAGAGACCACGCACAGAAATTATGTTCAAATTGTAGATGGCCCGAGTCCAATAGTACCCTGAATGACCCAAAGAATCGCACAAACCGAGGTCCGGAGACGGACTCCCTGAAGACGTTCACCCCGCGAACGCCCTGATTATTCATACTATGATTCTTTTCATGTCTAGTGCTGCTAGGGGTAATTCCAAAAACCATCTTATGTTCGATCGAACGGCTACTATTCCTTAATTAATGATCGAACAGACAGGTGTCGAAGGAAGCGAGGACTTAGGACACCCACTTCAAGCAAGGTCGATGATCATAAAAGTCGTGATAGGCCCCATATCGTGCTTCAGTCCTTCAAGGATGATCTTAATCAAATACTAAATCCATCCAAGAGCCTCGACATGCACATATACCAAGAAAGATACTTCCAGGCTCCAACTCTGGCCCCTCGGACCAAACACCCTTGAATGTACGCTCTTTGTCCCTCCCCCAAGGAGAAATACTACATGTCCTTTTAGTATTGAGCTTATGCTACAACTCAATTCTTCTTCCTCCCTAAGTAGATCTGCCATCCCTGCTCTATCACACCACTCCAGTACATTGTTTTAGACATTATATTCGGCTACCTGGACGTCCATATGGACTGGATGGATTGGCCACGCCAATTGATGGACGCCGCATTCAGACCTGCCCCGTTTGATGATGTTCCAGAGCATACCCTGTTCAGGGCCATTTGACCCACGAAAATGAAGCTAGGTCAGAGTAGGAGGAGAGGGAGATAGAGTTAGAAAGAGGAACTCCTCTGTGAAAGAGGGTCTAGGGCGAGATTCGCCGTATTCTTCCCGTCGGCACAAAGCATGCAGGTCCTGTTGAGCATCATAAGCAAGCTGTTGAAGCTCAGGGCGGCTAATTTGCTGCAGCAGCAGCAGCAGAAGGAGGAGGAGGAGGAGGAGGAGGAGGAAGCCGGGGCGCGAGGATGAGGATGTATATCCTCACCTTACAACATCGAAGACCTGGATATAGTGCAGATGTGAAGGATTTGACTAAGACGGAAATGCAATCCTCAATAAATCTTCATCAAGTCCATGCCCATTATTATGAGAATAATGGAAGACATGTTCAGTCCGTGATCACAAGGCACGCCTAAGCGGAGACTTCACGGCATTCAAATACGTGAACAAGACCTCGCACGTTCAAAGACTCGGAAACCTGATACCCATTATCCCCACGATAACTTCACTAGAGCACCAGATACAATGTCCACTTGGAGTCACAAGCTATCCTCGTACTCATCAGCCATATTCTTGTACAAAAAGATCCGCAGAAGCGTGAAAGGAAAGGTGACAAGGCTTGGCACAAGGCACGATATAGATGCTGGTCGCAACTGACATGTCGAATCTTGAATCAGAAGTATACTGCTGCTTTTCACGACAAAAGTCGCAATGTCTCTTGCTATGTCTCTCTATCTGTCTCTATTTCTGACTCTCATGTCTTGCAGATTGTTTCTTGTGAGAACTGCAAGACAAGGCGAAGACAGAGTAGACGTCTCACTCCTCAGACTGGAGGTGGTCTGACACTGGATGATGGATAAACAATTAATCACGTTCTTCTACCAACAATTGCTTTGCCATTTTCTTCAGAATGATTCGGCCGATGTTACAGCCTCATGAACAAGTTGCTTGAACGCGCAGCTCGTTTGATCGAGGGATGGGTCTTCTCACACTCCCTCGAAACCCTCCAACAACTACAACATCGATTCTCTATTCATCTAAGCAAACGTCTTGCAAGACTATGCAAATGTAACCGTTGTACCATTGTAGCTAGCCTTCGCTCTTTGCCCGCAGCGTTTACTCGAGGTACCTCACAATGGCTTCCGATGTAACTAACCTTCCCATCTCCGGAAACGGAGATGTAGTCTACTCGATGCATTCTCCACGGAGTCTGGCGTACAGACCAGTCCCGTCCTTTCCCGCCGTGCACAGGAAGCTAGGAGATCAGTGGTCACCGACCCGCAGAGAGACCCGGGGGGGGGGGGGGAGAGAGGAGATGACTACGAGATGACTACACCGGCCGCTATCCTCTACCTGTTGTACCGTTGCGATTTATCTCCACCGTCCCGTCCCAGTGGGCCAGCCCAGGCGAAGCGATTGTGATAGCATGGTCTACTGCGTTTTGGGAAGGTTGCATCCTGGCTCCAAGTGATGGATGAATGAATGTATTGGTCGACACCCCGCGGAGCGAAGCAGGCAGCTCGCGGGGCAGCCTCAGGGTCAAAGGGAAGAAAGCCAGACGAATGCGGTTTCCATATTTCCCAATGCGACTGGGTCAAAAAAGAGATTTCAGAGTCTGAACGCCGACCCCATCGAGTCCCCGACACGCCGCTGCCAAGAACCACGTGAAAACAAAAAAAATACAAAAGAAAACGGCATGTGGCGAGCAAAGACAGAGAGGGTTTCTCCCCAGCGGAGATACCATGGTGAGTACATCCCCCAAGAAGGAGAAGGCGAAAAACCCGGCCCAGGCTCCGGGACAAGACCTAGCCGCACTTAGCTGGACGATGCGGATCCGACCACAAGAGGTCTCGAAAGGTTGGCATTGGTGAGAAGCTAAAGACAAGAATAGAAAGTTTTCTTTAATCGCGCTACTGAGACAGTCTCATGAGGTGAACGGTTGGAGATGCTCGAGCCTCATCTTCAACCCCATACCGTGTCCTAGTGCGGTCAATGTCAGCCGCATGCAGCCAGTTATGATCCCGTATGCTTGGATGAGCTCATCATCTCCCGCCGTCGCGTTCCAAGTTCCGAGGAGATGCAGACACTCACATTGCCTCCTGCGATTTTTTTTTGGGGGGGGGGGGGGAAAGAAGAAGAAAAAAAAAAAGGGATGTTTGCGCCATCAACCCCACCCCCTCCTCTCTTCGTGCGTCACATTGCTACCCATCACTGTCTATCGGTGTGCGGGTTCCCAGCCGGTCCTGCGGACTGCATATTCCTCATGGCAGCCACGTTTACAATGGGAATTGGCAGCGCGCAAGTATCAAATGCAGCTCTGACGAAGGCACCACCTTCATGAGCGCACTTCACGCTGCCTCTCTCTTGTGATAGTCGTCGGATAGGGCACAACCAGGATGCGGAGCCGCGTCAGATCTACGGTTCAGTCGTTGCATTTGGGGGGTCGCACGATCTGCAGCTGGATGTCCTCGAAATTTAGGAAAAAGGATGAGCGTATGACCCTGCATGAGGTGATAACGCGGGAGATCAGGCTTGTAAGGAGGGGGGGGGGGCGATCGTGAGATGGCGCGCTCTCGAGACTGAGCGGCTACTATGGTATTTTTCGACCCCACACTGCGAGCCGTTGTCGTTGAGTTCTTGGGCTCAACAGAGCCCCTCCCGACGGGACTTACCCCCTCTCAGGAAGTCATCCAGGGCTGATAAGCACAGAGTCATGAGAACTCAGCAACTGCGATCTCTCGGTGGTTTGGCGACGATGAACCGATCGAGTCTGAATCGCTCGCAATGCTGTAAAGCTCTCTCTATCTCTGGCTCAAGTGCTATCGACACAAGTGCGGTATGTCTCCGGATGTGAGCGGCTCCGTACGTTCAACGTTGAAAAGATAAGCATTGAGGCTCTCCAGTAATGACTCGGACGGACGATCCTGTCTGATTTCCATCGCTGCTGTCCTCGGGTCCGAGAATCTCTTGTGTCGTTGTCGTCGTTGAAGGAACGCTTACCTTCGGCCCTTCTTGTTTACCTGGCAGCATTTGTGGATGCAGACACTTGTAGATGCCTTCCCTACTGCACAGCGTGCCGGACCGTTCGTATCTCCACCGATCGTTCGCCCAGCCAAGAGGTTTTCAGAAATTTTGTGGTTTAGTTTCCTAGTACACGGATCCAGATCGAGCAGGGTCGAGTGTCTTTAGAGGTAGCCAAGGGCTAAGGACAGAGATTGTTCGGACACTTTGGGTAACAGCAAGCACCGAATCACGCCGGTCCTTTGTTCCCCATGTCTCAGAACGTGCCGCGAAGTGCAGGGTTGTCATCGCGAGGAGCCGCGTGAGGCTCGCTGGAATGACCCTCTGTGGAGTTGACATTCGCTGATCTATGACAAAAGAGAACGAAAAGAGGGCAAGCAAGATATGTCATCCGAGATAAGAAAATAGTACCCATGCCAAGCATTCTCGTTCGGGACCGAAGATCATGTTGCGGGTTCATGCCGACCTCTTAGAAAATCTGTAGAAAATCTGACTGGGGAAGCGGGTCAGTGATGATCACTTCTCTTGGAGCCCTGAAAGTGGGTGAGGGAAGATCGGCTGTGGCTTTTGGACGGGGTTGTCAAGTTGTCAAGAGACCCGAGACTCTGGAACCCCGTGAGAATGTGGCGCAGGTCCGCAGTAGTTCTGCAGCGGAAATGTACAAGCTGCGACTGTTACCCAGCTCGTGCCGCGGAGGAAGAGCACAGCACCGACAATAGCAACTTACACTACATCTACTGCGTCGCTCGTTTCTAGATTTCTATAGTAAGGGAAAAACGTGGTTCGGGATGTTATACATGAGTCTCGACTGGTTAGAGTACAGAGAAGAGCCACGCGTTTCAATGTAGAGGAAAGAAGGAAACGTTCCCTGCCCTGCCCTGCCCTGCCTTGCACTTTATTAGTGCCATAGTACGTTGTCTGCCCAATTCTTGTCCTTTTGCTATTTAGGGCTCTATAATATAGGAAGAAAAAACTCTTTCGACCATGGCTTGCTCCTTTTACAGTCTTGAAGTACAAAAAGAGATGTAAAACCCATTGCTTTTTGTTTTCCTCCCTTTTTTTCTCTTTCTTTTTTAACAGAACATGGTTGCCCAGTCTACAGGTACAGAGAGCTGCCCGAAAGGGGGTTTTTTAGTGTATAGTACTGCCATTATAATACCTTGGCTCTGTGGTTAGTTTGGTCATTTCACAAGCATTAGCACGTTCTCTGGTAATATACTGGCTGTTCGTGCAGTATGCACTGTGACGTGTCTACCCCTGTCACTCAACACGCAGGCTGCAGCCCTCTAGGCTCTTAGTGCTGAGTGGCTGCTCTGCCTTAGGGGGCCCACAGGACAGATGGGACCCTGTAGTGCAGTAGTGTCTGTACTTTTCGGGCCCAGCACTTCCAAATCCCTAGTCCCAAGGGCGCCTGCAGGACGCCCTAAATCCCCTGAGCCCACAGACTGGTTCAAGGCTTATTCATCGGGGGGCCTCTAGTCTTTGCTAGGCAGGAAGGGCGTTCGACATCAGATATCAGATGACGTATAGGCGAGCTGACAGATAATGCCTTTTCTCTGCCCTGGAGGTCATTAGGATAATAAGTCCATTCTTGGGAAAAGTAATATCTCGTGTTTCCGCGTTCACTGCCAATCCCAACACCCTGCCTGTTCCTATAATATCTATATTTGTATAGATTTAGCTATTGAACTGCTGCGGCCTCTCTCTCGGGCTTGGAATGTGCTGAGTGTAGCTTTGACGCTATCCTATAATAATAGTTGCTATACTATGTACTATACGTTTTAGAGCGCAGTGTGATAACGCCCATGCTGCTGGCCAGACCTGGCCCTTGTTCGGCCTGGCCTGGCCTTGGCTCTGGCTCCCTGTATAGTCTTTCCAGCCTAGAGTTCGCGCGACAAGCTTAGCTGGGCTCTTTCAAAACGTCTTCCTTTCCCTGCCCGCACACCTCGGCCAAAATCCGTCTCTGTGCATTTCTCGGTCTCATTCCAAGCTCGACGACACAATAACCCAAGGCTTTCTCGACTCGGCGGACAACCGTCTCAACTAACCACGAGTCATCCGATGCACCAACATATCTGTCTCTCGACCAACAAACAGTAACATGTCAGCAGCCAACGGAAGAAGAGCCTCCCACCACAAGTACCGTGTAGAACGAGGACAGACTTGAGTCAGCCCCCACTTCGCACCTTCGTGCGACTTGATCTCAATAAGTCCAGTGCACACGCGCGCGCGCGCGCACACACACACACACAGAGCTAGAGAGAGAAAGAGAAAGTCCTCTGTCCTCTGCTGATGCGATCTGATTCCTGAATAAACAGCCATCCTTCGTCCATTTCTCAAGGTGACGTCGGCACAAGGTTGGAAGCCACAACGGCGTTGGTCCTTACGCTAAGGGCTGAACTCCTCACCTCTCAACCCCAACAACAATCCCCCGACCGGCGCTTGCGCTACGCACGCCGGACTGGCGGCTTTATCGCTTTGTCTCCCTCCAACAGCTTTGCCTCGTACCAACATCCCCTCTCTACTCGAGCTACTTGCCACCGTTGTTAGCCCAGCTACCTCTTTAGACGATTTCTCTCCCTTCTGGTTCGTGCCCCAGTGCCCCACTTGGGGGCTTCCGTCCCGTCCGCGTCTTGTCCATCCTCGAGTTTGATCAGAGAGAAGCCGCTCAACCGGATGGTGGAAAAACCCATCACCACGTACTTGTGTGGGATAGGGCACCGTCATGTCCGAGGGAGACTATGCTCGTGGGCCGCACAACCCATTTGGAATTGAGGTGGCAACAGCAGATGAGGACGAGGACGATGGCATTCAGCTTTCTGCCGACACATGGACTTCCCTGGCCTCGCCCACGCCATTCGCCCGGCAAAGCGAACACCAACGGCAACGATCGCCTGAGACACTACCCGAGCCCGACGACTTAGCAGGCTCTTGTGCATGCCTGGGGACATCGCCTTCACCCCACGAGAGCACTACGAGCATAGACGCTATTGCCTTGGCACTTAGCAGACAGCGTTTGCGCCTCGATGCCTGCAGCAGTCCACCTCGGCCAGATGTCAGAGCATCAGATGATGAGCTTGGCCCCGCCCCGCAGTCGACGACCACAGCTGTTGTCCCGCTGGAAGTGGATCAAGCATATCAAGGACCGTCTGCATCCTCAGAGATCCGGCCCTTTAACGTGCCGTCCGTATCCGCAGCTGTGGTTGAGAAAGCAGCTGGACCCCTCAGCGATGAAGACTCGTTCGAACTACGGGCTTCCATCGCAGATAACAACAGGCGCTTACGACGACGAATGTCATCAAGATTCCACACGATTGGCCAAAACTCGCGAGAAACGAAAGGTGTCGAGGAGGGGGACATGACTCGCTGCAGAACACAGTATGGTGCGCGTCCATCACTATCGTCCGGCACAGACGTGATCCGTACACTCAACTTTGGCGAGAACATGGAAGTCGACTCGCCTAGCCTCGAGGTTGATGAACACGCAAGCCGCGATACAGAGTCCGTCAGGCAGTCTATCGAGGAATATCTGGCCACTCGTCGTCAAAACGCAGCTATCGGCTTCGACAGCAGCGGTCAGCCGCTGTATCGATCATCAACGGAAACTGCTCTGCGTTGTCGGAACCTCGTTAAGAATAAGCCTAGAATGCGCAAGCGGACCAAGCTGCGTGACAAGCCGAGCAATGCCGCCATTCCCGCAGCAGCGAGCCTGGGCCCCACATCGACTCCGACTACACAATAGCAAGTTACCACAGCCTCTTATCTTTTTCTCTTTCTATTTCCTGTTTCTTGTTCGTCTCGTACCTTCGCTGGCTTGGCGTGTTGCTTGGGCGTGGATGGAGTTCTGGGAATATACCCCTTGCATTTTGGGTTCACTGTGGGCGTTGGGGTTATTTCTGAACGGCGTGTAAGTTTTATGCGCCTTATTTCTAGCATTCTAGCATACTTTTCACCTACATTATGCATATGTCAGCACCGTCCAAACCCTGGAGAGCGCAACGAATGCACTAGTACTTCAGTCCAGCATTGAAGGGGCCTAAGATACTTCAGGAAAGAACATTACAAATGAAAGTTGTCTCTCCACCCGTCTCCAAAGCTTCATGATGCCTGCAGAAAAAGTGGCAAATTGTTGGATAGAAGGCACATCCTTGACAAAAAGCAGTCCTGCTCACTCTGACTTACTAACATCAGCTTCGAACTTGCATATGATCCCCCAAGAATAAGAGTTGCAGGGCCCAAACGCCCTGCAGGTCGTCGTACCTGCTCATTGCCCCCCTCCAAACCACAGCCATGTCTCAAAACGACCAGGCACGTTTCTCTGGTTTCTCTCCGTAGGGCTGAAGGCTGAGCAAGGCCTCGTGCATCTATTTTCTCAGACCTTATGGTTTGTCCACAGCCTCTGGCTCCCTGCAGGCTGACCTCGCCCACGGACGTATAGTATTAGGTATTAGTGACTTCTTTTTCCTAAGCGCCCAAAACAGAACAGACGGCCGTTGGTATGCTGCTACTTCTGTACTGATTTTGTCATGCCATGTGAACCTAACATGATACGACTCTGCAACGTTCCCAACATGGCACATCCATCTCCCCGACGATGGGAGATACGCTACTGCTCACTGGGGGGGGGAAAGTCTGAATGGGGATTTTTTTTTTTTTTTTTTTTTTTTGATGGGCATACGATCGAGGCTACCTCATTGGTGATGTTTCACATGTTTTCCTCAGTAACCATTATGAAATCGTCGTCTAGAGAGGGCTTGGCAGACCCTCCATCCTCCTTCGGGTGCTTAGATCGATCGATGGCTCCCTAATGGCATTCCAGAGCAGCCGCCCAGACTTTCTTTGATACAAAGTACCACTAGCCAGTTGCTAGTCTGCTTGCCTGCTTGCCTGCCAGACCAAGGTCCTCCTTGGTTCGCACGGAAGTAGTACCGGTTGGCCCTCGTCAGGCGCGAGTGGAGAGATGCTAAGCTGGCTTTCTCCCGAAAGGGCTATCACAAAGGACCTGTGGTCTAGGATCCCTTTGTGCGGTTGACTTGCGCCCCCCCCCCCGCAGTCAGCACATCGAAGGGTTCTTTGTCCGGCCCCCTCCATCAGCACGAGATCAGTCGCAGCTCAATAGGCTGACTGTAGGGAAGGAAGAAAGGGTGCTGCTGTGCTATGATAGTAATATTATGGTAACGAGGAATTGCGCCTCCTTCCCCTGCGCCCCCCTGGCCCCCCTCCCCCCAATTCTTTATTTTCAAATAGGCTCTCTGCTTGCCAAGCTAGCAAATATGGCATCAATAAAGGAGGAAAACAAATATGTCAAAAGGACTCGGTTCCTGTCTCGGTGTGCCCCTTCCCCGCAATATCAATGACAATACCCTGTTCGAAGAGAATGGCTTTGATGGGACCAAAGGAAGGAAGGAAAGAGACAAAAAGGAAGGAGCACATTCCAGTAGTTGCCATCCCTACCAGTTTATGAACAGCAACAAACCCCACGGCCAAACTCTTTCTTTCCCTTTTTGATTGAAGATCCATTTCCTGCATATCTACTGTTGCCATGGATATCTGCGAAAAGGCTTCTTTTCCCTCTTATACCACCCCATTGGGCTCAAATGAAGAAACATCTTTCCCCCCTTCTTCAACATGGCATTCGTTTCCGGACATCTCCCCTCGTCCATTGCGTACACCTCCTCATCACTGTTTTCAGAAACATCATCCTTACCTGTATCGTCATCGCCAGAACCAGAACAAAAACAACAGCAACAGCGACAGCAACAGCAGCAGCAGCAGTTCAGCACAGGTATCAACGTGTGGTAGGAGGATAACCGTAGCAGCCTATCGACGACCACCTCGTCTACTGCAGCAGCCCACTACAGCTCAAACTCTAAGGGCTACTAGCTGGCCCACCAGTCACCCCTCCCCCTTACTGTCACCGTCACCCTTGGCTCGAGCATCTCCTCATTGTGCCAAACTACGGCAAACAAGCCAAGGAGAAGGGCCCAAAGGAACGAGGACCTGTTCCCCTCCAGAGTCAGGCATGCCCTTCACCCACACCATGGATTTCTCCATAGACAAAGAAGACTTCTTCCAGTTCTCCTCGTCGCCGATTCCTGGGTCTGAGGTTGGCAGTCCTGCGACAGGGCACCCTGCTCAGCACCACCACCAGCAGCAGCAGCAGGAGCAACAGTCTCGACCGCCTTCCGACTTCTTTGACCAGTACGTGGTCATTGGGAGGGAGGGCGCCGACGGTCATGAGCAGGGTCACAGCACAGATGAGAACTTCTTCGTACCCATCCATGGAGAGGAGGGGCTAGACACAGACCCTCGCCACCACCAACACCAACAACTTCTCCTCCTCCCAAACCAGCACCACTACCAACAACAACAGGCTAGACTAGCAGGGGAAGTCCTGTCCCGTCCCGCGTCAGCCTTGTCTCCCCCATCCTCCTCTTCCTCTTCCTCCCCCCCTCCCTCACACCATCACCCGGTAGGCCTCAGGGTAGACGGTGCTGCATCCCCGCCGGAGGAGTCAGCCGACATGATGTCGATCACAAACTCCCCCCCTTCCCTGTATGGAGGAGGGTCTAGTGGCTCCTCTGATTCGGCATCAGCCAAGTCGGGCGGGTCGGTGACGAACCATCTGCAGCAGCAGCAACAGCCGCAGCAGCAGCAGCAGCCGCACACGCACCGTCCCTGTCAGATGGGCCCACACCAGGACCAGCAGATCGCGGCAGGGAACTCAGCTCCGCGCGGTCTCGAGGGCGGCGATCCAGGGCAGGCTGGCGGCAGGTGTAGCTCAACCAACCACGTCGTTCTCGGCCACCTCAACCCTGAGACAGTGGAACAAAGGCGACGGCTCCTTAGTGGCCGGCGCGGGCTGGGCGCGCAGGACCAGCCCGCCGGTGGCTCCATCTCAGACTCTGAGCTGCTCAGGCTAGAGGGTCTAGCCGTGAACTCACCCCACGGCACGGTCGCACGTACTGTTGCGCCGTCATCGACTGCTGCTGCTGCTGCCACCTCGGTGGTAACTGTTATACCACCCATGTCCTCCTCGTTATCTGCATCTCCTTCTCGGGCGGCACATGGCCCTCTTGATCCTGCTCCTGCTCCTCCTCGTCATCCCCTGACAACAACAAACACCCCAGCCACACGAACAAGAAGAGCCACTGGCCAGCTCGCACCAGCAGCAGACGACATTGACCTATGCAACCTTAACAAGACAGGTGGTAGGCACACCATCCGAGCCAGCTCGCAGCGCAGATTCGAGTCCATATATTCCACAATCCGCCGGGCTGTAGGTTCCCGAGGCCGCCTCAATTCTCATCAGGGCCCTCTCAAGGCCCACAGCGGTCATCAGGGCGTGGTCCCCTCACACATGGAGTCCGCTCAAAAAGCTACCCGCCGCCTGGCCTCCGAGAGCCAGCCCATGTGGGACGGCATGCCTATCTCGCCGCCGCTGACGGACATGTCGCACAACTCAGCCCTTGTTCAACACGGGCCCGGCACCGGGGGCGGTGGTGGTGGCGGCGAAGGCGGCACACCGTCTCAGAACCCCTTCGCTGTCGGCATGATGGAGGATCCGTTCTTTGATTTCTCAGGCGCCGAGGGTATGCTCGGCCCTGCGGCGCGCATCAACGCAAGGAGCGTCGGGTTCAATGCCAACATCCCAAACACGCCCCTGGCCACGCCAAACCTCAAACCGGACGGGTCAGGCGATGAGTCCGCCAATTATTTTCCCACGACCAGTGAGCCGTGGCGGCTGAACGGGGTAGCGTGGGCCTCTTCGTACGACATGGGCGGCGGCACCACGCCGTTCCTCCACGGTGACGGCACCGTTGTCGATGTCTGGAACTCGGACCCTGCATCGGACAGCGGCAGCCTCGACTTCACCACGGCGGCGGCCTCCTCACAGCACAACACCACAGGAGACGGCGCGGCACATGGCAGCAGGAATCACCACAATCTCACGATCCAGGTGCCCTCTTATGTCTCGCATGCCGCCGAGGCACACCACACGCCCGGGTCGGACGAACTCGCGGGCGCGGGCCTAATGATCCACATGCCCCAGCCAAGAACACCCAACAGCGCCCCTCTCCTCTCGTCTCAGATCCACCAGACGCACAGCGGCATCCCTCTCCACGAGGCGTCTGTGTATCCCTTCCCTGACCCAAGTCACCAGCAGCAGCAGCACCAGCAGCACGCCCCAGGCAGCATGCACTCGATCCACGGCGCCTACGGGCTAGGACCCACGGCGATGACCGCCACCACCAACAACAACAACAACAACACCCTTGCGAGTACAACAACAGGCAACGGCCAAACGTCACCGAGCCGTCGTCATAAACCACGCGCCCCGTCTTCAGGGGCCCGGTACCACCACCAGGTCCCAGGCGGCGGCACAAGCGTGTCGCCCCGCAAGACGCGGCAGCCGAGCTCAGTCTCCTCGTCCCCTTCTCCCACCTCAGCAAGTCACGGTCACATCGGCGCCGCAGCTACCCGCCGTTCTCGGTCCTCCACCCGCCGCCAGGCCTCCATCAGCTTCAACAATGGTAGCGGCGCCATGAACAGCCTCGCGCACCGCAAGTCCACAACGGACCTGATTACCCCCAGCTCCGACGTGCAGACACACGCCGTCAAGAAGCGGCGGAGCACCTCGAGCTGGCGCGGATCCGGGCACCACTCGCGCCGCAGCGTGTCCGGTGCGTCCCTGTCCGGAGGGCTCTCCCTAGGAGACATGGGCGGTGGCGTCAACCTGGACGGCAGTGGTAACAGCGGATGCGGTGGACAAATTGGGTTCGTGAACTACACGCCCAGTGATCATAACGTGCTCATGACGGGTGTCGCTCCCAGCGGTTCCAGCAAGACCAAGGCCAGGAGAGAGAAGGAAGCCATGGAGAGGCAGAGAAAACTCAGCGAGGCCATGCTCAAGGCTGCCACGGCGGCTGGCATGGATGTCACTATGCTGAAGGAGGAAGGCATCGTCATCTGATGTGGAGGGAAGGGAAGGGGGGGGGGGGGAGAGGCGCAAGCAGAGACAAACAGACCTATGTCTTTCTCTCTTTCCCTCGCTCTCTTCCGCTTCGTCTTAGGCGTGTATGCGTGTGTGCGTGTGTGCGCGCGGGCGGGAAGTTCACGGACGAAGTAACACCGTGGCAAAGGGGAATACCCTCCCCCCCCCCCCAAAGCGCACTGTCCTTTTTTCCTGTTTCTTGGTTTTGTTTACTGGGCGTTGGTTTGGTTTGGTTTCCCTCCCTCATTCTGTTTGGTCACGTCTGCTTCTTCACCAGACTTGGGAACGATACTTCTCATTCGATCTGCAGCGCTCTTTAGGCGTTGTGATATGGGAATGTATCTTGGGAAAATAAGGTCATGGGTGATTCGGACTGTGATCTATTAATTGAACTCTTCAAGGAGTAATTGGGAGGGAGAAGGCATTCGGGCCTGTATTTGGGGAGTTTGGGGATCTATGTAATGAGGAAGGAGGAAGGAGGCGTTGGGGCCAAACGGATGGGATGATTGTGGGTGAAGAGACGCCAGGTCGCGTAATCGTCTGTCTGTTTTCAACAAACACGTTATTGAATCGCTCCTTGCCTTCTTTTTCTAATTTCCTTTTCATTATCATTAATATCTCCCAGTTGCGATCAGAAACTTGGGAAGAGGCAGCTTAATATATCTTTACCTTGATTTTCTTTTTCCTCTTTCCCCAAAAAAAATAAAGAGAGAAAAAAATCTTGGAATGATCTTGACCAAGTGGGGATGCCGTGCGTAGTAGATCTCTTTGCTTCTCAACCCTGACGTATGGGTAAAATTAGAAGGTATGGGAATCCTCGTTCATCCTATAGCGGGAAAGACATGTCCATGCAGCAGCATCATATTGATTGATGCTCAAGAAGATGGCGTCGTCCTGCAGCCACAATTCGGAAAGAAAGAGAGCGAGAGATTGGCGGCGTGGTAACCCTGCATGATCGTTCGTCAATATGAAGATGGAAGGACGGGCTGTGAAAGGAGCCCCGGGGGGGGGGGCCGGGGGGTGATCCTCGAGAAGAGCCCTAGCCGTGCCAAGAAGACGTTGCCATCTTCATTCGCTCATGCATGGTTCTTGTCACTGTCATTAAAAGAGACTGAAGATTCTAGGGAGAGGAAACAAAGAGTGACAGACTAGAAAAAGGGGGTTCCATACCAATTTAAAAGGGAAGAAGACACGAGGGGGAAAGGAAAAAAGAAAAGGAAGAAAAGGATGTGGCGGACCCTACTCACACTCATCTTCAAGGCGGGAGGGGGTTTTGAAACATTCTACCCCCTCCCTTGCGTCAATAGCTGAACAAGCTGACGAGTAGACTCAGATGGGCCTCACACCACCCATACCCCTTGATCTTTCCCGTCTTCACGATTAGTCTTGGCCGTCAACCAAAAGAAAGAAAAGAAGGGAGAGGGAAGAAGGCCCATGTTTGACACTTGTGACGATGAGAATAATGGATGAGCACCATTTCACGGGATGACACAAGAACTTCTCTGTGAACTTCAACAAAACATGTCAATTAGCTATATAAAGCCCAATGTAAATATCAGCCACTCCTTGCCTATCATCTCAAAAACGAATGATAATGACAAGTGGGCGAAACCAACACAGCGCGCGCCACTCTTTCGGCCCTGTCCCTGCAGCGCCAACGTGGCGCACTCGTTATTTGAGGGCCTCCCCGACTCCTTCTCAAGCAGCCTGGCTCAGCGGTGGGTTCGCCCGAGGATGCCGTCTTTACGTCCGCAACCTATCACTCATGCTAAAACGTCCTCTCCCCTTTTCTTAATCCCAATAATGGTACCACCGACATTTCTTTGGACCATTTAAAGCATGGCAGGATGCAGCAAATGCCATCTTTATCCGGGTATCCTGTGGGTGCAAGAATGAGAATTTTTAAGAACACTTGTATCGATCAACTCCCCGTGTGAACGTTTCAAGTTCCTGCTCGTTTGGGCTTTCAGAATGGTTCCCTGGTCCCAGAGCTCCTGACGCCGTTCCGTGTGCTCCTATAATGTGTGCCTTGACAAGCGGAAGAAAAGTGGTTGAGGTATGAAAAGATATCCAGGGAGTATCCAAGCCTGGTTTGTGGTGTGTGCGCTCGTGGGTAGTTGCACGCTGGCAGGTTGGTCGGCGGTAATGGGTCGGAGCGGCATATAAAGTCGGTAGGTGACACGTGGCGAACCCTCCCCCCATGTGGTATATTGGTGTTTCTTTCGAAATAACGTGGAATATGTATATATATATATGTGTATATGAAAGATCCTCTACTTCCATTGCGTCGTTAATGGCGACTCCGGCACAGGCATCGTCAGTACGCCTCGTGCCGCCGTTTGAAAATCGTTAGTGTTCATAACCAGCCCCACGCTGCCAGGGACTGAAGAAGTAAATGTTAGCCGCAGTTCATCTCCACTGGTGACGTTTCAAGTTGGCAGCTGCTTACCTCGTGGTATTCTGCGGCCGGTAGCCGCTGGCCGGGCTACCATTGTTTTGGCCCCGGTAAGCCGACAGGTTCGATGACGACCCATACGAACTTGGCGGCTGCATTGATGAACCACTTGGCTGTTGGCGAAGGTACTGCCCTCCGTTGTAGGCCTGGTATTGGGGCTGCTGTTGCTGCTGCCCCTGCCCAGGACTGGCACTGCGACTGTCATTCGGAAACAGTGGCACCGCAGGATCCACCGGTGAACGAGGCGCATCGCGGTATGCCGGTTGCGAGAGGGGTGAGTTGATCTGCTGGGGGACCTGCATGTGCGATGGGTCGGTGCGTCGCTTCAACGAGTCAGACGAGATCGACTCGGCATCATCGTCCAGATCGAAGGCCTTGTATCCATTCTTATCACCTCGGGCGGTCGCTGCCAGGGCATCCAGCTCGGTGGTTGTGTTGAGCTGCGTCTGGGACTTCATGAAGGAAGCTCGGTCGTCGGCCATGAATTGATATCTGGCATCAGGGTTCTTGCGGATCAGGACGATGACAGTCGTGACAATCAGCATGAGGAGCAGGACGAGGGCGAAAACCGCGTTGGCGAGCCAGAGAACCACGCCCACAACACCAGTGACGATGGCGGGCTGGTTGAAGACATCCGAGAAGATCAGGAGGAAGATGGAGTTCAGGAAATTGATGACGCAAATCGAAATGTTGAATGAGTTTGTGCTCTTGTCCATCCATGGCCGCAGGACACTGGCTCCGATGAGCGCCGCAGCCTCCAAGACGATAAAGGCCACAGCTTGCACAGTGGACGTGGTCTGCGCAAAAGCAATAAACATGCCCTTAACCAGGAGATAGGCGAGGGTGGGCACGATGAAGTAGTAAGCGGAGGCTCGGAACTGGACGTAGAGGAATCCCCACTTGTTCAGAGCCTGAGGGTCGGAGAACAGGATATAAGCCGGGTTCCTGTGCATAACGACGGAGCGGCGAGCGATCCGGATGACCTTGGAAGCAGCCCAGGACAGCGTGGCCAGCATGCCAAAGAAGAAGAAGACGGCGAGAACCACCTCAGCAGCTGAGTCCCTCTGGGTGAACTCCCAGAGACACAGGATGGTCATCTGGGGGAAGCCGATCAGGGTGAGGCGGAAGAGAATACCCTTTAGGACGGTAAACCAGCCATTGCGGAAGTCCACAAACTTGTTGCTCTTCATCCACTTATTTTTGACGGCGAGCTCGCAGAAACCCTTGAAAGCAGCGACGCCTGCCATGGTAAAGACCACAAAGATGCAGAAAAAGGTTAGACCGGTCATAAAGAGGTTTGTCGACTCGATCCCGGCCTTGTAGGCAACACGCTGGATACCGTAGACCACATAACTGCCGCTCGCGTTCTTGACGTTTCCTCGCTTCACTATGGACGATACTGTCTGCGAGACCGAGTCGAGGGCCCGAGGCATCATTGCAATAGCCCGCTTCGAGAGGGTGATGCCAGTCTCTGTCAGGGAACGCTTCATCTTGCGCTTCTCCACTTGCACTGAGACCGTCGTTAGGGAGTCAAACAGCTCAGAGGGCGTCCCGCCAGTGGCGCGCTGATACCATGTGAAGATGGTCTGCATGAAACCAACGCGGATGATGCCCATGCTCCACTGGAAATCCTGGGTCCAAGCTTGCACAATTGGAGGAAGATCGATGCTGGTCATTCCGAGCATGGCTTGACCTTGAAAGTAGCCAAAAAGCGACAGCGCATTGGCGGCAACGTGGGACGCTGCATTGGAGTGTCCGAGTCCAGAAATGACAGCCGACGAGCCCAGTGCAAGACCAGCGACGACAGCGGTGGCCCACTTGACACCCAGCAGGTTGACAGTCTTGCCGTTGGAGATATCGGCCTCGACACAGGCGACACTCTCGCCGTTGGATGTGTAGTTCATATACAGCCTTACTTTGGCGTCGAGATCGGGGAAGGTGTACGCAATGCCTGGAATCTCAGCAGCCGCACTCTCGCTCACGTCCAGCGCAAAAGTCAGCGCCATCTTTCCAGCAGTCCTACAGAAAGAAGAAGACAAGATGTTAGTATTATTTTGTCCGCTCCAGGAACCAGGTTCAGGGCGCCCAAGAGGGTTGGCTCGGCGTAGCAGCACACGTACATAGGACAGAGACCAGCCAGGTTGATTTTGCACGGATCGACCGTCTGCCTGATGATCTGGTAGCCGTACGCCGTGATTGTGGCATCGAAGACGACATTACCCTGGATCGACGAGGTTGCCGACAGGTCAACAGTAGCACTATTGTTAGCTGGGGTGTAGACGACATTGAACAGACTGGCTGTGAATCCTGAGTCGGACTGGCAGGTATTCAGGGAGCTGGACGAGAGCATCTGCTCTGCCCCAGCCGGGCGGCATATGGCCGCGAGGGAGGAGAGTAACAATATCGGAGTCCTTGATGTGAACCACATCTTGACGGATGCAGTAATAGTTGTGAAGACTTTAGGGGAGAAATGTATCGAGAACCGTGCCAAATGGGGATCTCGGGACTGGCGATGAACCTGTCGCTGCACGACCGGGTTCTCGCGAGAGAGGAAACGAATGTAAATCTGTAATGTTTATTCCGACATCAATGTAGTAGGGACGTCTCGAGGTCGACAGCGAGGTCTCTTCTTTTGTTCGAGGGAGAGTGAACGACTAAGCGGTCGGCTGCGGAGGTCGAACAAATTGGGGGTTTCCAAAGGAGGAGTCGGTTGATCGTAGAATGGAAAGGATTACTTGACGATGGTATCGGAGGCCGCGATCAAGGGCCGTCGTTGTTGGGGGCTGTCGGAGCGCGCGTCGCAGACCCAAGGAGAATAGCGAAGGAGGTCGGTCTGCCCTTTTTGTTTACCTTTGACGAGGCGTGGAATTCAATTCGACAAGTAGCCCCTCAGGAATGGTATGTTGTGTTGTAAAATGATGGTCGTGGTATTGTTGTACCCAAAAGTGTTGAAGAAATGTAGAGTCGAGATAATGAAGAAGAAGAATAAGGAGTAAGAGAGTTGAGACCTCTTCGAGGACCCAGACAGGCTGTTCTTGTGCTGATGAAGGAACAAAGGCCTGATCTGTGGTGCTGTTGGCTGGCGAAGATCTAGGTCTGTGGTGATAGAGGCGTCGAGGTCAAGAGTGGAAGTGTGTGTAGGTGTGTGTAAAAGGTCACGAACATGGAATTGAACGCGGAGTGAGAGGACGTTCCTGTCCTGCTTGGGCTGGGGCTGGGGCTGGGGTGGGAAGGGGGCCCAATGCGGTCGCGTGAGTGGATGGGTGGGTGGGAGGTCCCTGTAGTATGTGTGTGTGCTATGGTTTCCAGTGGGTGGTGGTGGATTCTAAAATTCGTGGTGGAGAAACAGTAGAGTGCGAAGGAAGGGGGGTGAGGGCGGACCCGTCTTGGTAGTCGTAATCAAAGGGGGGGACTTTTCCTCAAGGAAAAGAGAAGCGAGAGAGGAACGTGCTTTGACGGCACGAGCCAGCGTATGGCTATGTACTGATGTACTGCGTGCGGACTTCTCAGTATGGTACCATACATAGTAATACCATAGCAGCATATCGCAGAATTCCAGGGGCCTAGTCACCCAAGACAATTGGCCCGTCACAGTAAATTGCAGCGCCAATTAGTGGTGGTGAGGTAGCCTGTAGTAGTCAAGGGGTAGAAGCTTGGCACTGCACTACCCGCATGACACACCAGGGCTCCGTAGCCAGAACAGGTACCCCCTTCCTCCTGATGTACCAGGTTCATGGTCACAACACTAACAGAGGTACTTGTGTGGAAAGCTGGGACCACGCCCTGATGCAGGTACGGATGCGCCTGCGAGCTCGTTACGAGTCCAATGTGGACCTTTCAGCACGGAGCACGGCTACTATGGCACCTGCCTCCTCTTCTCAGGAATGAATGGAACCCAACTTTCACTCGTCGCCTTCGCTCTTGCCCACTAAACAGGGCTGATTTGAATTCTGCCGTCAGCAAACCTCAATCCATTGCCGTCGCAACGGGCATCAATAACGGCATTTCACCACTGGTCATCACCAACCGACCCTCTACCGCCACACCATCATGTGGTCTCGAGGATTCCTGCATAACATGACAAAGCCACGCAGGGTAGCGCGGCAGAGCTGCAGAGATGACGTCCACACTGCATTTCTGATGCATGAAGCGAGCCAAGTTTCTGATCGCCCAGCCAGAGCCAGGTCCCCGCCCCCAAGACGTCTGCAGTGTGGCCAATACCAACCACCCCAGGTAGTCCCCAGCAACCGAGCATTCAAGACTGAGTGGGTGAACGGGGGTGGCTGGTTAGAGACTGCTGGTGCATACTCTAGGCCTCTCCAGTCTTTGTTGTTGTAGGTGAAGATCAAGCAAACAGCGTCAATTGCGGTTGATTTTTTTGGTCATCTTGTCTTCTTCAAACCCCAAGGCGCTGCCGCTGGGTTAGCAGAACTTTGTTTCTCGCCAACTCTCCACCGCCTCGTGTCCCCATCTTCAACACGGATATAAGCGTGCCGGGACATTACATTACATTACGAGGGAGGCATATTCAGCTTTCGTCATCATCCCACGTCCATTCGATGTTAGCCATGGGGTCCCATCCCGTCTGCGAATAGGCGGTCTCGAGTCTCAACGAAAAGGCCAGAAGAAGAGACCAGATGGGCCAAAAATAAGAACTCTATGCGTACAGCGTTCCCATGGCGCAGTGGGCAGCCAAGCAGATGGTGCTGATCACCTCAGAAAAGGCCAGACGCTGGCCACGGTCGCTCGCTCTGGGCCCGGGTCCTCAAAAAAGGTCGGAATCCCAAGGCCGTTCTGTATCAAGAACGCGGCGTCTCAGAGCGCTGGTCCTCCCTTGCCAATGGGCATGGCTAGACCCTGGTGTTTGTTGCGTCTGAAGCACTCCGTGTCTTCGACCCTGGCATACCTGGCAGGCCTTGGCTTGCTTGGTTAACTTTTCCATTGTCGCTTTGTTGTGCACAGCCACGCTCCACTCAAATTTGGGCGAATACGGAGCACCACACCACCACCATACACTACGGCGGCGCTTCTCTCGATTGCCTACCAAACAGATTTAACAAAAAAGGGAAGAACCTTGCACTCGGCTAAGGGCTACCGAACCTTCCTTTCATACTGCGTCCTTTGATGGTTTAATTGGATCGCTGCGTGCTATGGAAACCTGATGGCACGCGCTCATCTATCCCGTACAACAAGAAACTCGGCAGAGAAAGGTCGATCTAACACGTCCCGTGTGCTAGACTACGCCAGATCAGCCGGATTTTTGGAGACCTTCCCTGGAGTATGGCATGCAGATGGATTGCTCGTCATGCATAGCGTGTACTATGGTGCAGAGATCGACACAACAATCCGGGACGAGGCATCCACGGGACCTCAATCTCAACAACCCACCACTGAGCATCCGTGCTTTCCTGGACCATGAGGAGAGCTCTGGGCTGGGCAGATCAACGGTCACAAGGCTGCGACGTGGTGTTCTGCAGTAAACCCCCCTTCCTTACGCCCCCTTGCTCCCTGCTCATGTGGACCCCCTTTTTTGGGTTGTATTCTCCGACCCTGTATGAAGCACCGTTCTGCGACACCTCCAAGCCTCCAAGGCGTTGCAGCCACACCAAAACGAAGCGTCGCCAATCGAGGCGGTGGATGAAAATCTGCAATCTTCAAACGTGCACTGGAACACATGGCTTTTGCGCCTGGCGTTTCGTGCATGCCAGCTATCATTCTCCCCCGGTTCATGGCATCTGGGGTTCTCCTGGAAGATCCAATCTAAGCAATCTATTTCCAGGTCCGGTCCGGCGGGGCAGTGGAGCCCGAGCAACGTCGCTGGCCGTGTCAAACTGTGTGTCTCCGAGTATTTGCCCGCCCTACATACACAGAAGAGCATGCAGAACATCTAAAGTGCATTGCAGCACCTTCACAGCCTCGCTTGCTCTCGGTATCAGTAGCCGTAATCAACTCGTCCGGTCCATCAGCAACGCCCAACAAGTTACGGCCCCGCCACTATGTGCTTCGCCCTGGTGCTCGCAACTCGGCACTCACGTGGAGAAATTGACAATCGTCCATAAAAACCCCCTTGTACGGCTCTTGCGTGCCGTCCTACTCCCTACGTTCACTGCATCAAACCCCTGAGAGGAGTCGGAGCATTTCGCTCCCTCCTGCAACCTGTGTTCCCTTCCCCGAGCTCGACCTTCTTTGTGTGGGGTGCGTCATTGCAAGTCTAGATCGGAATTTGAAATGTGGGATAGAAGCTGCAAATGAACGGCACAGGTGCCGACCTTAGCACTAGCAACATGGACCCTGAGTGCCCGAGAACGTTTCGTACTGACCCCAGCGAGGCTTTGCATAGGCTGGACTCTGTAAGCTGAGTCGAGCCGTTGCAGGCAAATGTATTTTGCCACCAAATCATCAATCGTATTTGCATATCGTCAGCGTATAACGGACTTTAGCAACCGCTTCTCCTCATTGGGTGCATGGGCTGGCTATGTGCGTGGCAGCCCAAGGCCGAGGCGTATAAACAAAGTTAGCGTAGCTTATACGATGATTACTATCTGCCCAGATAATAACACAGCCTCATTACATCCACAAGGCGGATTTGGCTGACGAGGCAATTGTAGCTGCAACCCAAGCTGCTTTCCCCCTCTATTTCTTCTTCTTTTTCTCTTTTCGTCTCTGTAATCTAGGAACCCACGAGTTGGTGATCTCTAACCTTGTTGAGATGTCAACGCATCATACGAAGTTTCAATATTATGTCTCCAATCCTCATCACTTGACACTGTGTAGATCACCATTTCCTCGGCCGCCTTCAGCCTCATGTAATCGGGTGCTACGGTAGCAGCACAGAAGACCCCCCCCCCCCCTCCTCCCCAACAGAAAAAAGAAACTAGGCCTACCAAAAGTCGTCCTTTTATCAAAACCACCACGCCTCTCTTCCCCACGGCCACGACTCTGGTACACGCTCATCCATTCCGGCCACTATGTGCCTGGAGTCGTAGCCCCGTGGGGTACAGCTAGCAAAGAATATATTGTCGTAGATTCAGCGCGCTCCTTGATACAACCTGCCGAGAGAGACGCTTTCAGGCTTACATAACCAGTGTATCGCGCAGGCGATCTTTGTGAATATGCCGTGTCTGGGAAAAGAATAAAGGGAGGACTATTTTCGGGTTGGGGGTGGGGGGGTATCTATTCATTGCTCTCGTTGTAAAACTACAAATTCTGCCACCCTTCCGCAGAGTATTATACAATACACTTTCAACGCTCTAGTCGGCGACCCCTACTTACACCCACTCCTCAAAGCTCTCCATCCACGGATTATTACTCCTGCTAAAGTCCACACCGTGCCTATACGTAGCGCTGAGCTCCTCCTCGTCCACACCGCAGTGCGTCTTGCCGTCCCTGCCCTCGAACCAGCCCAGGCCGTAGCTCTTGTTGATGTCGGTCAGGTGCTGCAGCATGGCGGCGTTGGAGTACTGCTCCGTGCCCACGAAGTCGTACAGCATCTTGCTCTGGTGGATGAACGCCAGCACGCTGGCGATGGTGTTGGGCTGACGCGGCAGGAAGGGTTTGCGCCGACGGACAAACACCAGCGCCGCGACGACGCCCATGTACAGCAGGATGCAGATGGCCGACACGAGAGACAGCCAGAAGCTGTGCACCGTCTCCTCGCCTGCGTCGATGCTCCCGCCTTCTTTGGGAGCAGATGATGATGATGATGATGACGATGACGATGACGACGACGGCCCAAAGGCACGGCCCTCGACCGTGGCGAGCGAGGAGACCAGGACGGTCAGCATCTCGGTCATGACCGTGCCGAAGCCCACGGCGGCGACGAGCCAGTGCCGGCCAAAGAGGGCCTTGACGGCCACCCAGGCGAAGGGCATGGCGGTGTAGTCGAGCGTGAGGGTCCTGGGCGGGGCGTGGCGGCGGTAGAGGATGTAGAAGGGCTCCATCAGCCGGACGGTCGTGTCCAGCGCACCCCAGCCGAGCTTGATGCAGACGGCCAGCGCGGTGATGACCCAGGGGGCCTTGTCGGTCCAGTCCCCCGCCGGCGTGAAGAGAAAGACGGGGAGGAAGATGGTGAAGAGGGCGATGCCGGAGATGTAGGCAATGGACCCCTGTGGGCGAAACATGAGCGGGTGTGGGTTCAGGGTGAGCTGGTACTTGGCGGACGACTCGGCCACGTCTAGCGGCTGGCCTGTGATCTTGGCCAGGGCACTGCTGAGATCGGCATTGTTCTTGTCGTAGTCGCTATCGTCCATCGGCGCGAGGGAGGAGTTGCGCAGTATGTAGCGGTGGTTCTTGAGTTTTCTGTGAATGTCCTCGTGGGTTGCGACGTCACAATTCTTGAAGTCCATCAGGATATGCGATACGTTTGCCATGGCTGCCAGGCCGGCGATGCCCTTAACGTCCGCCAGCAGGCCGGACCGTCGCGTGTTGAGCTGGTAGAACAAGACACAGCCCAATAATGCGATGATGATCAGCACAGCCTCGTTGAGCCGCGACCACACGGGATCAATGGAGATATGCTTTTCTATCTCTGGGTTTGCCATTCGTGTTGCGCTGTCTGGCGACAAGTTGATGGACGCCGAGACGAGAGTTGGGACGGCGGAGACGGCGAGGATAGACGCAATGGATGCGATGGTCACGGCGTAGTGCCGCCGGCGAAACGCGTGAAGCGGTTGCAGGAAGCTGAAGCTCGTGATATAATCCACGTTGAGCGTCTCAGCGGCGGTTGCTCCACCATCCTTGGAGAGCTGGTAGTAGGCTTCCAGCCGCTTCACGTCAAAGTCTGCCGTCTGCCACAGCACGCCGTAGATGACAGCTATGAGGGTCGGTAGGAACTTGATGGAGAAGTATTCGAGGCTGTCGATGTCTGCAGGCTTTTGGAAGTGCACTAGACCTCCCTCCTTGGACTGTGCTGACCGTTGATACAGAGCCTCGGTCGAGCCTGCTAACACAAACGACAGCAAAATCAGCATGAGTAGGTATGGCCACCGCATCGAGAATGGCTTCCAGTCGGGATGCGGGTAGAACGTCTCTACTCTGCGCGTCACCTTGACGGGTATCGTTGTAGTGCGCTTGGAAAGATCCCGCAACTCCTCAGATTCTCCGGGCATCGCGTCTCCCGCCACGAAGCTCAGGTCGATCTTGGAACCTCGATGGCTCACAGAGTGAGATGGCTTGGGCCGGTCTGTCGCTTCGGGCTCCTCGATAATGACCTGAACAGCCTTGCCTGTCCTGTCAGCCTCACTCTGGCCCAATGCCTTGCGAGTCTCGGATCTGCTCAGAGACAACTTTCGTCGAGAAAAGGACATTGCTCTGGATGGCATTCGCTGCATGATCGGCGACGAGGGGGACGACGGCAAGTCCGCCTCTCGTATTTGGATTATGGGGCTCTTGAAGCCCGCACCCAGTCCTCCAGTCAACTGCCCTGCCTGCTCTTGCTCCTGCCATGCTTTCGCCCTGTCATCAGCTTCATGTGGTTTATCATTGGATGCTGCAGCCGTTGGCCGTGGTGCTGATGCTGGTGCTGGGCGCATAGATTTTGACGAATCGGGACTTGACTCATCGGCTCCGTCTATGGGAGCTGCAGCGGGAAGAAGGCCTTCCTCAAGGTTTTCCTCACGTTCGGGAATCGCATCGACTGCTGCGGTGCCACCTAGACCCGCGTACCGTCCTCCACGTGAAGTGCGCTTGCTCGTCTTCCGGGAGGCTCTGCCTGAGGTACGTCCGTCTCCGGCGCCGATCTGTTGGTATGCGCCTCCATCGCTCACAGAAAATGGTCGAGGCCAGTGGCCAGAACTCGATCGGTCGACTTCAGGGCTGCTACTGCTGCTGCTGCTGCTGGCGAACTGCGTAGGGGGCGAGACCATGGATTCCTGCCCATAAGTGGGACTTCCTGGCGGGCTGACGTCTCCATCATCGTAGAATTGCAAGCTGCTGATGTCGTGAAAGGACTCAATACGCGCGCTAAATCTGGCTCTTAATGGCGGACGGCCAGAGCTCTGCTGTTGCTGCTCCTCCTGCTGCTGCTGCTCATGAGCTTCTTCTGGGAACCGCGGCGTGGAGTCGTTGGCCTGCTGCTCCATGTTCACAGCACAACCTGCTTCATCCAGCAGGGTCGCGAGACCCAACGTCCTTGCTGGCAGCGTGAGATGGGTCTGCCCAGCCAATGAGCTTGCTGGTGTCTTGGGACAAGACTGACACTGAAAATAACGAATGAGAGTGCTCTGGAACGTGGGAACGAGTGACGCGTCACATCAGGCTGCCGGCAAGACGGGGCGATGACAAGAAGTCCAGAGGTATAGGAGAGACGAGAGAGAAGACTTGTCAAGCGAGTTGCATAAGGCTCCGGAGAAGAATGCATTGGGAGGATTCGTTTGGTTTCCCCGTGAATCCTCCGATGCGGCTGAGTTGCGCGTATACGGCCAAGATAACGCTAAGTCAAAACAAGACGAGGTGCGCCTTTTAGCTGTCAGGGTAAATAGTGCTCTGTATGAGGGGGGCTGGCTGCTTGCCAATATTGAGGCATGGCCCAACAAGCTGGACGAGAGCGGGCTATGCACCCTGTTCCAACCAACAAATTCCTACCGGGTGCGCTGGCAAAGATGCTTGTAGATGTCTGCAGAACAAGCGTCTGGCGGTTTGGACGGACAGTGACAGGCATGGTACTTGCTGCAGAAGTTCGCGCCACTAACAAAGATTTTGGTATAAAATGCGGTGGCTGCCTCTCGTCAGCGGCACTGAAGACTTAAGTCAGTCAGGTTGTGACCACAGTTCTGATGAGGCTCGACAGACAGAATGATTGACTGCCTGACTGCCTGCCTGCCAACCTCACTCAACCATGAATCAACATTGACACAAGGCGCCAGCTCGACGGCGTGTCCCATTATTGATCCTTCGATCCAGAGGGAACAACAACCAGAAGTGTCTGCTTGTCAGACAGGCTCGATCTGCCCGGCATCATTCTCAGTAAAATCATGTTGGAGGTGCAGTGGTAAGATGAAACCTGTTGGTAGAGTTCAAAGTAAGGGAATGCATGTGAAGTGGGTTTTGGAGCCTTGTGGTTTGTGGGACGGACCGGCCGCTAATCATAGCGCTGTTCTATAGTGTCATATCAGTGGGCGCATGACCTGCATGGTCACTGGGCGCTTAGCGACCCAGGCAGGCCAGGGTGCTGGGTCCTTTATACTGTAATTCTATAGCAGTGGTAATTAAGTACTTAGTCATTAGCTGCTCGTACTATGACTTTCTGGGCTGCCCTGACGGCGAACCTCCTTCGACCAGCAGTGCTCTTTCCTTTTACTGCCACTATACCGTGTGAAGGATTCCCAACAATTTGTCTCGCCATGTCCTTCAGGCCTTTTATAATTCACAAAAGTCTGTTCTTTCATAGTACAGACGGATCGAGCCTCGTTGTAGATTGTCTCGTTACCTTGCGCTTGATGTAGAAGTCGGCCAGCCTGGGGCAAACATGAACACCACTACGCATCAAATCCAATACGGTAATGTATAATGACATAAAGTAACTAAGTCGAGTAACGTTTTTATCTCTTCGTTAGCACTCTCTATTTAATGCTCAGCTTTTGTATGCTTCAGATAGTATAATGTCTCACCGCTTAGCAGAATTGCTAATGAGAAATGTAGGGTCTGCGTTGGGCCTCGTTTGTCTCTAATTCCGTTATAAATATTACTTGAGATTTAGGTCCTTGGTTCCAACCCTCTCTTGATGATGTTGTTACTTTTCTCCTGCGGACGTGCTGTCTAGACCGTCTAAAGTAGTGATTTTCTGCTGAAGCTCTAGGGTAGCTTGGTCAGTTCATATTATAATATAATTCACAGCTTTCTTTTTGACTACGTGCAATATTCCGACGGATGCTTCATCTCTTCCACAAGTCCAAATAGACTTTCAAGAACACAAATTCCATCATGTTTTTCGAGGTAGTAGCCGATAGAGTAAAGAGGTAGGCCTAGATCAAAAATCAAGTATACAAAATGTACGATGGGAAGGATAATGATTACACCACAAGCATCTCGAGATCGGAGGACGGCCACAGACGAGTGCGCTTTAGGAAGAGTGAAGCTGTGAAGATGCAGGTTGAAGATACTTCCTTAAGAAGTATGTTTGGAAGGAAGTGGAATAAGCGCTTATGAATTGGGACTCTTTCCTCCACTTGCGCAAAGGCCAAGTAAAAAACCGCCATCAAGCCAAGTGCTACGGTTCTAAGGCCAGAACAAAGAACTTGCAGTAGACGTCGTGTATTGAAAATCCTAATACCACGAATTTGCCGTGGCTCCGAGTGGTTCTGATCATATCAGATATTAAATCGTCCTTGTATATTTACAGGGTATGCTGCAACGACTGTCAATATTTAGAGCCAATATTTGGCCGTGAGTATTAGATAAGGTGTAATATTGATTCGAACCTTGCCGGAGCACGAAACCTTAGGGAGCTGACGTGACCAGCTACGAAGTTTAGACAATTACATGAATTAAAGGATTTTATGTTCCGAACAAGTCATTCACGTGTTACTAGAGATACGGACGGAAGAGTGACGTGGTTTTGATGCAGTACTCCCGATGTTGAGCTTCCACAAATCAAATAGGAACCACTTAACACATAAATTGCCATGTCGTACCCGTTGGACTCTGGGTTATTATGAAGGTAGCCCTTTCGATCTTGCGGGCTTCCCCCTGTCTCCTTCCCTTTCTTTCCGTGTGTACAATCAACATATCTGTCCAAAAACTTACTTGGAAACCCAAAAAAGACAACGTGCCGCAGCATGCTGTGACACGGTCGGTACTTCCACGGATATGACTTCATTCTTCTCATTTGAGAGAGAATTTCGGAGGCCTCGTTTCAACATCAAGCTACAGTGATGCAGGAGTGAGACAAATGTCAAGGGCGATATTCACTACATTTCTAGACTTCGTATCCTTCTCAAGGTCGGCATAATTATTGGGCTATTGTTGGAGTGACCACCCACAATAGTAGGTCAATTTTTGAGACAATCGGGAGTTTGTGATGGCTCTTGGACAGTGTCACTATTGTACACTGAAGCAGAACTTCCTTTGTGCTCTCAAAATAGACTTTGACTTTTGCAACTGGTGTCTCCACGAAATGGTTGTTACAGCTCGAGCCCCGACGTCCTCGAAGCGTACCAGCGCAACCTGATGCTCTCTGCGACTTTTCGCACTCTCGTTACCTCTTCCCAGTTTTGGTCATTTTCTTCTCTTCCAATCACTAATTTAAACAAATATACCTTCACCATGTGTTCCATGGTCTTCTCAGACGAAGAGGCGCGCTTTCTGCGACTCGTTCTGCGACTGGCCGAAAAAGAACCTGACGACAACCGAGCAAGCTGGGCAATCAATGGACTGCACAGCACAGAGAAGAAAGCAAAGCCGGCGGACGAGTTACGGATCCTTGTGATCGGCGACAAAGGAGTCGGCAAGACAAGCCTCCTCGCCAAGGTAGGTATTCGTCCCATGCGGACTCTGATGCAAACCAGGGCAACTAACATGTACGATAGCTCTGCACAGGCGTCTTCCCCGACCCATCCACGATCTCGACGTCCGTCTATGCCCATGGCTGCCGCCACAGCATCACCATCGACTCGAGGCTCTACGCGATCGACGCGCTCGAGCTACCAGCAGACCACCTCGCCGCACCCGAGCGCCTCGCGCAGGCCCTCGCCATCACCGACGCCGCCATTTTGGTCTACGACATCACCAACCTAGCCTCTATAACCTACCTCAAGTCCCTCGCCAGCGCGATTGACGAGGCGGTTCACCACAGCGACAACAGCAAGACGTCATCCAACCCACCCGCCGAGAAACGCAGCACCGCCTTCTGCCACCACCACTTCACCAGCTCATCCACCCGCAAGGATAACAATAACAACAACACACCGACACCTCCCGCCCGCCCCTACCACTTCCTCCTCCTCGGCACCAAGACCGATGTCCCTTCTCCGCTGCGCGAGGTGACCTGGCTCGAGGGCCACGTCGCAGCCACCGAGTTCTTCGGACCGTCAGGCGTCGCGGGTGGGGCCAGTGCGAGTTTTATGGAGGTTTCGGCAAGAACGGGCGAGAACATTGGCGCAGCGTTTCGACTTCTGGGTCGGGAGGTGCTGATGAGCCGGATGGAGAGGCAGAAGTATTTCTTGGCGCAGCAACAGCGAGGGCGGTGCAGGGGCGGGGCCAATGGTGGTAGTAGTAAGAGAGGTGTGTGTCTATGGTCCTCTGTATTTGATTTTGATGATGGCGATGACGACGAGAGGAGTAATGCTGACCAAGACGGTCTTGTTGACTGTGCAGATGGGGGTGGCGTGCTTGCGGGGAGCATGAGGAAACGTTGGTGTGCTTTGAAGTCGACTCTGTCAAGTGGCATCTTCAGAAAGGAGGGTGGAAAGTAGTGGGAAGTAATGAAAATGGCTTTGTCAACATTTGCTCATGGATTTTCTTGGGCTCCTAAGGCACAGGTTGGTTGTCAGGTGGTGATTAGCCAGTGAGGTTCTGGCGAGGTTGAGATGAGAGAGTCTTGTTGAGGCAGCGTGGGCAGGATGTCAAAAGCCTTTAAGACATGTCTGAAATGATGGTGTTGCCTTCTTTCTGTCCACCACAGGCAATTTAATCTGGCATCAGAGGGTGCTCTCGTTAAGTCTTCACTAAGCAACTCTTGAGGTGCTCAGAAGGATCAAATTGTCCTCAGCCCAATGCATGCAGTCCACAGAGCCACAAGTCAACATAGATGCCAATCTCTCCTTCAAATTCTAGGAAACAGAATTTTTGTACTGAAGAGAATTAAGGCGATTTATCAAAATTCTATTATTCACAATCTCAAGAAGAAGTGAGAGGGATGAGCCAGTCAATGCGGAGCCTTCAATCTTCTACTAAGCAGACCTGTTCTCAACATCACTGCCAGCTCAGGAAGCTCAAGCTGTGCTGCATTTTTCTCCTCCATCCACCTGGTTCGATGCATCAATGACATTGGAGAAAATTTTCATATTACATTTCTTCTTTTCCCTTCATCCTTTTCTCTTACTTTCGACCTGGTTGACTTCTTCTTTCCTACACGTCTCCATTTCCACATCGACTTCTCACCATTGATTGCTTTTGAGCTTGATCCCAAAGCAAGGTGAGAGATTCTTTCTCTGCAAGATCTCGGGACATGCACTGGCTCGCAGCTCACCTCACTTTTTCTTCTCCTTGTTTTTTATTCTTCATTGATTCAGTCCTCTCAACCTTCCTCAACCCCAAATACACCTTTGCATCATTTCTGCAGTAAGTTTGTCCTTCAATCACACCTCGATGTTCTCATGTGTTAATCCTTTGCAAGGTTTTTTGCTATTATCTTCTCGCAGCATCCCACTCCCTTCAACCATCCACCATGGAGGAGAACCACGACGATCCAGTGCCCTCTGATATGGTAGTCATAGACAGCAGTGGCGCTGTCTTCATTTCCCTTGACTACGTCGACAAGATCCCAGCCACGCCACCCGACTTGCCAGTCAGCGAGAGGTTCTTCCTGGAGACACCTGAGGAGGGAAACCTGGATCGTGTCTCCATCACACAACAACATCAGATCTTTGTGTCCTTGCAGTTCTTGAACATACTGCTAGCCACAGCAAAGACTGAACCCCTACGAGCTGAGCTTACTCTAGACAGGGCTTTTGAGGGAGTCCAGAAGGTCTTCTTGCGACTGGTGGACCTGGATGGGCATGAAGTGTCTGTGGATGGTAAGGGCAGCGCTCAAAACGATTCTATCATACGACGAATCAAGCAACTGCCTATACGAGAGCCAAACAGACAAAACCAACAACAGCTACAACACTACCAGAATGATGGCAATGGCGAGAAACATGTCATAGAAGGCTCCTTTCAGCTATATGACAGCCATGGTGGGCTCGATGGAGCAGTAGCATCATGGACACCGTCAGCATTGCAATCAGACCAGACTGATGACAGCAGAGATGATGATAATGGTGGTGGTGCCCTCACAGGATTGGCCGAAGAAGACAACGTCGACACTGGCCACCAAGAAAGCCTTCAGCCCCCACAAACGCCCCCATCTCGCATCAACAGACCCATCATCCACACCCCACGCCCTGCAGCGCTCTCCAGCAGCAACGAACCCACGCCCGCCGCCCCTACACACCGAAGCAACCGTCCGATCCTGGTACAACTCCAAGCCCTCCAGCTGACCGACAACAAGACCCTCTCCAAGCTCCTAAACAACACCTTCACACGCGCCCTCGACAAGCTCGAGCGACCCCGCGACCACCTCCTCCACCTCGCGACCCTCGCCACCGGCCAGGTCTGCACCGTCCGCATCTTCGAGCACATCTACGCCCGCGGCGAGGACCTCGGCCCCCCGCCCGACCTCAACGACCCCGAGCTGTCCGACCGGCCCATCACCACCTACCAGATCTTCGAGCTCTGGCGCATCCTCCGACAAGTTGCCAGGACCGAGCACGGCCGCGAGTTCTGGCCCCCGGCCCGCGAGATGTGGCCGGCGCAGTGGTCCCGCCACGCCCACCGCGTCGCGGAGCCCGTCGACATGTCCACCATGCGCAAGAAGCTGTTCCGCCGCGCCTACGCGAGCATGGGCGCGTTCCGAAGCGACGTCGACCGCCTGCGCGACAACGCCGAGCGGTTCTTTGGGGAGGGCGCCGAGGTCGCGATGGCTGCGCGCCGCACCGTGGACGACATCTATGCCATGATGGGCGAGGCGTGCGCCGTAGGGCCCCTCGATGTGCAGGAGCCCTTGTTCCTCGGCTTGGTCCGCAAGCTCGTCATTGACGACGCGGCCGCCGCTCGACGTCCTCACCCCAAGTTCGTCCTCCCGCTCGGCACCCTCCATGTCGCGGCGCGTTTCGGCGAGGAGGCTAATCCGACAGCCTGTTTCCTGCTGATGGACGTCACCAGTCCCCGCAAGGCCCTGTGGCTCTTTTGCCGGAGCCACGAGGTCTGCCGCCTCGTCATGCTGGCGGACGACATCAAGCTCTGGAGGCTCGCCGATCCTCTGGTTGGTGGTGGCGATGCCGATGACGACGACCATAACGTCCACAACGGTGGCTTGATGGGCAGAGATCAAGACCCGGATGAGCCGTCCCCGCGCCGCAACACGCTCATGAGGGAGTATCCCGAGTCCAAGATCGAGCTCGCCAGCGGCGCCATCTCCTTCAAGCGCGCCTTTAGACAGCAGGCTCTGCAGGTCATCAAGAAGGGATGGCGGGGTCCCGCGGGCGCTGCCACTCGGAAGCGTCGGCACAACCAGGACTTGGAAGGTGGTGAGGACGATAGCGATGCAGACTGGACACCACTGCCGAAGCGTCGACGCATTAGAAAGTCTGGCAGAACAGTCCCGGATGGTAGTGTCTAGGATCCCTCCGAGGAGCTCCTCGATGACGACTAACCTGATCTAGAGAACCGAGCGGTCATTCGGCGCGACTGGCTGCGAACCGAGCAGGTGATACCTTGAGGATGATCGTTGGGTATCAAATTGCATGCTGGCATACGAGACTGCGGCCGAGAAGAGGAAAAAAAGAAGAAGAAAAGATGCAAATGTTATGTCTGTAGCAGATCCGCACAGAACTCAAATGGATGAGCTGGAAAAGCAGCTGGCAATTAGATGGAAGGAACTTGTGACCCTCTCTACCACTCTTGATAGACCATGCATGAAAGCCGAGGTTTTGAACCTGTGAACTCGTGGGAAAATTGCCTGACAGCCATCATCATTTCCATTAATTGCTGTATGAACGTCTGATTCCAGTCGTCCGTCTGAGAACGCCACTGCTCTTTTCATCCAACGCACGTGAATGCTGGCCAAAAGTGTCTCTCTATCCGTCTATTCCGGCCCAATTTTTATAACAAAACCCACAACAATGTAAACCCAGAACGCCTTGCAATGAATGTAATAAACCGAAAAGAAGGCACCAGCTTACCAGAACTGCCTCCTCGGCATCATGTCACAATAATCCCCCGTATCAACATTTCTCGTCTGGCCTAGGCGCTACCATACCAACATGATCCAGAGCGTCAAGAATGTCAGAAACATGGCGATGCTCCGCCGATCATTCTGATGGCCCTCGTACCAGAACAGCGGGCTGGGGCCCTTAGCTGTCGGAGCCGCAGCGCTGGTCACGGCGTGGCCGCAACACCCACCCCTGTAGGTGACGTTGTTCATGGCGGCAGCGACCTCGAACACCGCGCCCGAATCGTAGGAGCCGCCAATGTTATAGTAATCGACATTGAGGACGGTGGGCGGGCGGTTGAAGGCCGCGATGCACGTATTGGCCGCGTCGCCAAGGCTGCCCGTGCCCGTGACATTGTTGGTCGTGTTGAGGGCGGAGACGTCTGGGACGAGGATGGACGTTCCGAGGATCGAGACATCTGCGTTGAGGTTGTGATTGGCGAGGAACAGCATGTTCTCGCCGGCCTCGACGCTCAGCCCTTCGGGGCGCTGGATGGTGCACGGGAACGTGTTGTCGGTCGGATCGAAGGGCGTCTCCCACATGTTGCTGAACTCATCGATCCACCAGGGATATGCCGTCTGGTTGGCCTCATAGTCCAGGAACATGACGACGCGTGTGTTATAGATGATCATCTCGGCCAGGGTCGGCCAGGTGCTCACGTTCATGGGCTGATAGGGGGGTGTGTAGACGTAGTCCAGGATGCCCGACTGTTGGATGTAGGGCGCATACAGGGACGGGGCCGAGAAGTTGCCGTTCTCCAGCAGGATGGTGACGACGTCGAAGCGGTTCGAGGAAACCCAGCTTGTCACCTTGGTCAGCCAGTCCGTGATGGGTCCGGCGTCGAGGATGTCGCAGCTCGTATGGCAAAAGTGCGGCACCGTGTCGTTGTCGGGCCAGTGCATCTGCCCCTGCAGGAACCGCACGCCGTCGTCGAGCTGGTAGGTGACGTCCAGGGCCTGGTTGGCGGCGGCGCTTCCCTTCTGCACAAAGGGCGAGTTGTGACAGCCCACCTGGGTGATATTGCTGTACTTGCGCTCGCACAGCTCGACGTAGTTGTTACATGGCTGCGTGTTTGTAGCTGTAGGCGCGGAGGCTGTGGAGGTCGCTGGGATGGTGGAGAAATTGCCCGATATGGTCACGGTTCCTGTGCTGGTCGTCGTGATGGACCCAGTGAGAAAGGTGACTGTCCCGGTGAGGACCATTGCAGACGAAGTGTCGGTGGCATTATCAGTTGCACTCGGGATGCCAGTGTCTACAGAACTCGTCGAGGCGAGGGTGAGAGTAGTCGAGACTTTGGTCGATGTGGGTAACTCCTCCGACGAGGAGGTGTGCGTTCCTGTGAGGACGACGACGCCGTCCGATGAAGTAGATGAGCTGGAGGAGGTAGTCTCGGAGGAGGAGGAGGAGGAAGAGGAGGTTGATGTCGTTTTGGTGTCTGCGGCATCTTCCTTGGCGGCATGCGTGAGAGCCCCAAGACTGAGGAGCAGCAGTCCCCAGAGCTTGAGGGGCGCCATCTTCGAAGATGATATATTGAGATGTGTACCGGTGGTTCTGGTGCCGCTGGTACTGCAAAGCTATGTTCGCCTGGCACGTCGTATGTCTGGACCCAGCAGAAGCGACAGCAGCAAGTGAGCACCTCAATGCTAGCCTCCCCCAGAATCACTATCAACTGCTCTTGACAAGAAAGGAAAAGAAAAAAATCTCGCGAGTCAAGGAACCAGGATGCGAAGACGTGCGTTGTTGCGTGATCGTCAGGTAGAGATGCATATATGATGATCGTTATCAGTCGAAACAAGCTTGAGCCGTACCCACAGGGCGCCACAGACCCCTCCTTGTCATATACTCGCTGGAGGTCGAGATATCTAGCAGTAATACCGTGTGTGATGGTTGTTCGTTGAGGTTTGGAACCACAGGTTTGTATATGCAACTCGGAATGGGAGAGTGCGTGTTCGTGCGTGTTCCAGAAAACGGGATGGAAGTTCCTTGTTTCGTTGTCTCTACTCTGCGACTGCCCACGTATTCACTCGGTGCGCATGCCGTTACCCGGGTGGCAGAAAAGGTAGGAAAAAAGGACAAACCGAAAAGGAAAGAAGAAAAAACAAATGGTATCACAGTACACGAGAGAAAACAAAGCGAAAGCGAGGGGGAAGAAGTGAAAAATGTTCCAGATTTTGCTGAACTAGACGTTGGTACGGTGAGTGACAGAAGCTACGACCAATACCTTCTCTTACCGTGCGTGCCGTAGTACCTTTCTCTCACCCCTCCTTTTTCTTTCTCTTAGAACCTGCAAGCAGCCAGGATCCAAACTTTTGAATCAGAAGCTGGGATCGGGCCCACCACTCAGAGTTGATCGGCCCCACCGCAAAACCAGTGGATCTCGAGCAACAAGAGAGTATGGCAGGGCCAAGCGCTGAGAGAGACGGGGGAAGGGGTGACACGACGAGGCGCAGCACTTGATCTCTCGGCTGCTCTGGCCCTGTCATTTATTCCGGACATTTCCAGTCTGATATTGTAGCCTCCTCCTCTCGCTTCTTTCGTGTTCTTTTTTTCGCTGCTCCTCGTATTCCCAAAAGGAAAACGACTGATCTCCTGTCTGTTTCTGTGATCATCATTGTGAAGTGCATCAAGTTGTAGAACGTGTACAGTGCAATAGTTCGGGTAGGCCGTCTGATCAATTGACAGCACGCGGAACAACGGCAGTCGCAGGATGGGGTGGACGCTTAGAGTTGGGGTGAAGATGAAATTGACGTCACGAGATGGGATGATAAAGAAAGTCAAAATGAAATAGTAGAAGCTCGTCAGGTTCTCTCTCTTGAGTTCTGTCACAGCGTCAGTGTCGTTGCAGCTGGATTTTGCCAGGACGCGCAAGCTGTGGCGAATATGTTATCTCTTCTCTTCTCACGACGTACTATGATACGTACACAGGAACATAGTGAGTAATTGTCATGCATGTAGGCTTGTCGTATTTTTCCTGGTTCTGGCGGTCAATATCAGTCAGAGCCGTGGTCGCTCTTCAGGGTTTTAGTGCTTAGTTCTGACGCTAGTAGCATGCATTGGGCGGAGTTATGTCATTGAGGTGTGTGTGCCGAATAACGATAATGATGTTAAATAATCATCATCATCTCTCCAATATACATACTACAAATTGCCATGGTACAAAATTTGGCCAAGATTCTAGATTAACAATTGGGTCCGCCTAAGATAAATCTTGGAATTTCCTATCTGGGGTTCATGAACTTGACACATGAGCTATATGTTTCCTTGCGCCCAGCTTGGAAACACCCAGTCTCATCTCGCGTAGAAAAGGGATCATCTGCAGGGTCCTGAGAGAAAGAGAGAGTTGCAGGGCGAGCAGCAGCACGTTCAGGGCTGGGCTGAGCCCTACCCCCAGTCGTCAGCATGGAACAGCGGCTCGGTAGCGCTGGGCCGGCACGCTCGAGACCCACACAACCCTGCTGTGCGACGGCTAAGAGCATGTCCCTCCAGGCCTGAGAGGAAACGCCCCACCCCCAAAGGAAAGGGAACTCGGCACTGGGCAGGGCGCTCTACCACCTACAGTACAACAGCAATAACAACCGCAGTGTGCCATAGTAGAACAACTATTAACTCAGGGGAGCCAAGGCCGTAACAATCCATACTTGACCCGGTAACCTGGACGTCCCACTGCAAATCCACATTGACCCACCTACCTGGCACCGTCGTGGCACCAGCCAGTTCTCTTCTTTGCTGCTCTCCACACAGCCTCTCCTCTCTCCCTTTTCTGCTGTAGCCATGTTTTTTTCTCTCTCATTCTTCTTTGTCCCCTCTCCTCTCTTCCGCCTGATCCGTGGGGCGAAGGCATTCAACGTGGTGTGTGTGCACTGGGCGAACTTTACCGCATCAGATGTCGTCACTCCCCCAACACTGCATCCTTGGTCCCCAAAATCTGGAGATTTGACCCCAAGCCCAAAAGGAAGCCACAAAGGCTCAGCCGGGCGCTTCTGAGCCATACGTTGGACCCGCAAACGCTCAACCTGAAGGACCTGAGAACCTTGACCCAGGCATATGGCCACTGGCGCTTGCCCTGCGCCGCAGGACTGAACTACTAGCCTTGTACCTGCGTGGTCCTGTTTCTCTTTCTCTGACCGGTTGATCTGATGATCCTGCGGGAAATATTTCACCTACACTTTGTCTTCATCTGGGTTGAGCCCCTCACTCACCGCGTTGATCGACTTCGAATTCTTCACACACACACACAAACACACGAGTTCTTTGTTGATCACTTGAATCCACTGGCCAGAGAGGGCTTTTCTTCTTTTCTTTTTCCCTTTCTACAAGATACCCTGCCCTCCGCATGTATTCATAAACCCAGACACACCTATACATTTGATACGAAACTGTGTATACGTACACCTTGTGAGGGGTTGAATTTCTGTTCTTTCATAGCAGAGGCTGATCGCCGTGTAAGCTTTTCTTCTTCTCTTTTTCTTCTCCCACTCTGCCATCCACTTTGAGGAATGGGCATCGTGCAATTGATTGACTGACCTCTTTCCTTTCTCTCTGTGCAGTGAGATGGGACTGCCAGACGGTCTAAAGGGCCTTAGGAGGCGCACTTTCAAAAGCTCAAAATCATTAGCCGATGATGAATCCATATTCAGCCAACCTCCCAGCTACTGGTATAAACTCGACCTCAACAGAAACACGAGAGCCCGGCGCATATTCGCCCTAACCGCTGCGTTCGCCTACCTCCTCTCATTTATTTTCCTCATCCTAGTGCGTAACTTACCACCCCCCCCCCCCAAATTGAATCACAATACACCTTGCTACATCGTCCACATGGCTGACCCAACATATTTCTGTTTTAGGTCGAGCTTGGGAATACCTCCAAGAGCTCCAAGATCCTGGGCGACACCTACTTCTTCAGACTTTCCCTGGCTGATATCATCCCGGAATCTGTTGAAAATGCCGAACTCATCAACTCCATTGCCCGGGGGTTGGGCCTCCACGATTTCTATCAGCCCGGACTGTGGAACTACTGCGAGGGCTACAACGATGAGTGAGTTTCCTGCAAAGCTTTAACCCTCCAGTGCACTCTTTTTCTAACACACCAATGACAGGGGCATCACGTTCTGCTCCACGCCCAAGAGCTACTACTGGTTTGACATAGTATCCATCATCCTGAATGAGCTCTTGTCGGGCGCTACCATCGCCCTGCCCACGGAGCTCACCGAGATCCTCAACATCCTCAAGATCTGCTCCCACCTCATGTTTGCCTTCTTCCTCGCCGGGACGATCCTGGCCTTCTGCCTCTCCGTCCTGTCCCCAGTGGCCATCTTCTCACGCTGGGTGTCCTTGCCCATGTCTCTCCTCTCGGGCATCACATTTGTGCTCATCTTTGCCGGGTCGACAATCGCGTCTGTTATCAGCTTCGTCTTCAAGTACGCCGCCACCGCCCAGTCGTCCCTGAACATCAAGGCATATGTCGGCGTCCGCATGTTCGTGTTCATGTGGCTGGCGACCGGCTTTGCCTTTGTCGCCTTCATCATGCACGCGGGCATGGGCTGCTGCTGCACGAGCCGACGGGATCTCAAGACGGGCAGGAAGCCCATGCGCCACTCGAGCATGCACAGGGCCATGTCGCAGAGGTCGCAGCGATCGCAGATGTCGCAGACCTCTCATGCCAGAAACCTGACCATGACGGCCGGGGGCGAGCGGCAGGGACGCAGCAGGAGCAACACGGCCTTCTCATTCGAGCAGACGTCCACCGGCGGGCACAGCCGGACCGGTACGCTCCAATCAGCAAACGATATTGTCATCAAGGAGCCGCAGAGCGCAGTCAGCCGCTCCAACTCCCAACACGGCAGCGGCAGCGGCAGCGGCAGCGGTCAGGTCAGCCGGTCGAACACGGTCAAGTCCAATCATAACCTGGTTGGAGGAGCTGCTGGTGGTGGTGGTGGCCGGAGCCGGAGCAACACCCTGCGCTCGATCCGATTCCAGGACGAGCGGCCGCCGTCGATCGGATCCGATTCGACCGTTGTCAACAATAGCTCCCCAGATGGGGCGAAAGAGGCGCCTGCCCTGACACATCGACATTCGGTCTTACCGGAGGAAGATTGAAAAACCAAAAGTTGACTTCCTTTTTTGTAATGCATCAGCTTGGGAGGTTGGGGCTGGTGGGTAAACGGTTGAATTTCCTATCTAGCATATGGGTGGAAGAAGCGATTCCTTCACACATTGCTTCACTGATTTCTTTTGTCATTCTTTCTCGCAAGGCGTTTTCGGATAGACCTTTTCGGGCGGCACGCGTGGCATACTCCTTTGACGCTTTTGTTCATGACGGGAGGATCGGGGCGTGATTGGCTGGTTGGCCTAAGCATGTTCTCGTTTTGGAACTTCTTAGACAGTAGACAATAGTATACTGGTGGTGAATACTCAGCACTGCTGAGAAAAGGAGGAGGATCAGAATTAATTGTAAAGTCTTATGCTCTGTCAGCTCATGGCATTGCTTGTTATCACAAATGTCCCTCCCTACTTCCAACATAGTACAGTACAGGTAGGTGGTGTGTATTAACCCTTGCGTCTATGCTCTGATGCATTTACCGTGAGATCCTTCTGTATGAGGGACGACTCATCATCTTGCACTCCTCCTCACCAGGTGTTTTCCTCCTGAAGGACTGCGATTTGAAATTTCGACTCAGATCTCGGTGGCTCGTTTCCCTTGTGTCTCGCACCCCCATGAACCTCGGAAGAGTGTGCCGGCACCACATCTTGCCGTTCCCGCCTATACGCACCGGGTCATCCGGACGGATTGTGCAATGCGTGTAGACTCCCTCCTCACTCAGCCACATTGCTTCGTATTTTTTATGCTCCCCGCCCCCAACACCCCTAGTCATTCATTCGATCGTTCATGCCCCTCCCCAACTCGCCCGCCCGTTTGCGCACATGTTCTCGTACCCCGCCTCTCCGCCTCCTCCCCCCCCCCCTCTCAAAAAAAAGGTCACTCGATGCCGTACGCCTTTTTTGCGGTGCCCCAGAATATCATCTTGGTCTCCTCCTCAGAGAAGCTGCTCATAAAGCACAGCCTCTCAACCACCCTACGCCACTTGTCCCACGAGCTCTCGCCCGCCTCTTCTTCTTCCCCCTTGGCGGCATGCTCGACGGGCACCGTGCAGACGGGCCAGTCGCTTCCAAACATGATCCGGGACGGGCCGAAGGCGGCGACCACGACGGCAAGCCAGGGGGAGATGGCCATGAAGATGTCGTCTGGGGAGGACTGGGCGAGGGTGGGGTCCATTTCGCAGAGGGCGCCTGAGAGTTTCCTGGAGTGTGTATGTGCATGTGTTAGAAAAGAGAAGAGACAGATGAAATTGAACGCTGCATGAAGACAAAGAAAAGGGAATGGGGGAGTAGGTGACGACGTACATGTAGACCTTTTCGGCTTTGGATAATGTGAAAATGGCTGTACGCCAGGCGAGGAAACCTGGGTCGGACGTGTCCAGGTTCGTGAGATCTGGTTTGCAGAGGTGATCTGTTTCGCTCCGACATTAGCCTTCTCTCTCTTTTTCTCACTCTCTCACTCACACATACACACAGACACACAGACACACTTTCTCTCTCTCTCTGTGGCGCGATCTCTCACAAACAACGAGAACCCCCTTTTTCACTCACTTAACACAAAAGTAACCTTCTCCTTCGCCTCCAAGCCCTCATGCGCCCTCTCCACCAACTCCACCACCTCCTCCAGCTGGCCCATCCCCCGCCTGTGCAGATCCACGCCCACGTCAAACGCCAACCCCTTCCGCCCCAGAAGCCTCACCCCCTCGACAAACCCAGCCCGCAGCATCGTGCCGTCCGGCTTGTCCTGCAGCAGGTACCGCACGCCGCGCACGCGCGGCCAGACAGACGCATCCCCGTCCCGCTCGCACGTGGCCCGCGCCGCATCCAGGTACCGCGCTAGGGCCTCCGCGCCCGCCGGCACGGGCGCCCAGGGGACGATCCCTTTGCACAGGTCGCGGTCGGCCCTCTGTTCGCCCTCGGTGCCTTGGCCGTGGCCTTCACCCGGGCGTGGCCTGCCTGCTGCGATGCGGGCGAGCCACGAGACCTCGCCTAGGGGGCCGGACCAGCCGCCCTCGGCCGAGGGGTCGGACTCGTCGTTGCGCCGGTCTGTCTCGAGGAAGATGAAGCCCGAGAGCAGGTCGGCGGAGGAGGCGGTGGCGCGGCGGTACTCGGCGAGGGAGTGTTGGGACCAGAGAGGGTGGCCGGGCTGGTTCCAGGAGAGGGTGGTGAGCTCGGAGGAGGGGAAGAGGTGGATGTGGGAGTCGAGAATTGGGACGGTGTGGGAGGCCATCGTTTCTTGCTTCTTTCTCTTCTTTCTTTCTGTGCTCTCTGCTGGATGGGGAGTTGGAGGATTGGGGAGGGACAGCAACGGTTGAGCTTCGAAGGAGGGAGAACGGCGCAGGGTTGAGATCAGAGATGTAAGGTCAGGTCGTAAGGAAAATGAAGTTCAGGGTTTCAGATTGAAGAAGGCATCTCAACAAAGAAGCCATGCATGTCCAGAGTGTTGTAGAATAGATAGATGGATGCTGCTGCTGCTGCTGCTTCCTGATGCGGGGTCCTGAAGCTTCAGGAGAGCACCCCGCTATCAGCTGTCACAATAGTGGAGGACCCACCAATTCGGACCATCATTGCCCCAAGGCTACAGCGGGTGACAGGGGTGTCCAGTCCCCTAGACCCAAAGACTAAGGGTAGTTGGGGGGGGGGGGGTGTGGAGAGACCATTGATACACACGGGACGAGAGATAAAGAAACGAGAAGCACATTTTTATCACAGGCACACATCAAGAGCAACAGAATCTTGAAATATCGTGACCAGTGTGAATAGATTCAAAATAGGCAGCTATACACTATCTGGTCCCCAGAACCATGCGCAGGCCAATTGCCTCGCGCACTTAAGATTGTCTTCCACCAGATCTGGGGCTTGCTCAAGATGATCATCAGACCGATCAAGAACTTGAGTGCCGTACAATTTCCATCCCAAAACAGCCGGACTCTTCTTTTTTGAGTATTTTCCAACGAAAAAAGAAAAAGGGTTGACTATAGAGGGTTTTCGTGCCCTCGTGGCAGGTCCATTTGCCCCCTCAACTTAGGTCACAGACCAGGCGCAAGGGGAGCAAACAGTGCCCGAGGATTAATTGTCCGAAAGAATTGCTGAGATCATCTCAAAACAAAACGAAATTAGGACTTTTTTTTCTTTTTCTTTTTTGACACGGCTAGACATCGTTCCTTGGGAACCGGAACAGATGTCAAAGCCGCGTGGGGTCGCAGCATCGACCCGAATGGGTGTGGGGTTGCACGCATACGCGCGACCAGGACCGAAGAGCTCACATGGCCGGGCAGGTTCATGACGGCCCGCGGACAACAGACACTTGCAAAACCAGTCTGCAGTTGTCTTGACCGTGGACACAAAATGTCACGCCCCGCACCATCCAGAGCACCTTGTGCCGGCTGCCGCGCACGTGTAGCAACAAGTACACTCGAGACAAAAGAGGGCTGGCTTCTACAACCGCAATTTTGCGGGAGATGTTCGCCGTCTCCTGCTCGGAAATGAATGAACGGTCACTTCAAATTCTCCCTCGTGACCTTGACGTGTGTCTTTCCCTTGTCGTGTGGACCAGAATCATCTTCTCGAGGGTTTTTGTGTGCGGTGAGGTCCGTGATCCTCATCCCCACCCTCGAGCAAGACGCATCCTCGTCATCCAAATAGCCCACTTAGTGACGCACGACGATGCCATTACGGCGCGTCGTGCTCTCGTACTCGCCATCGCTGCTCGAGCAGTCGCTAGAGCTGTCACCATAGCCGCAGCGGGAGCCACCGCAGTCCAGACGAACCCGCTCTCCCTTGCGCGTGATGCCGTAGCGCTCGCACGTGCAGTTGGAACAGTCGGAGCTGGGGGTGCTGTAGCCGGACATGCTGGAGTTGGGGCTGGAGCTGTCCGAGCGGTACGACAGCGACGAGCCGTTGGAGCTGACAGGCGAGTCCGAGATGCCGAAGTCGGTAGTGATGTACTCGGTATAGTCGTCTTCCAGGCCGGTTGAGCCGAAACGCTCAGCCAGCTCGTCGATAGAGTCCTCAGAGTAGTCGTGCAGAATGTGCTTGGTCGCGTGTGGCGACATGGGCTTGGGCGCCTTGATCTGAGAGGTGGACAGAGGGCGGCCCTTGGGGATGTCGACGGTCAGGGAGGACCGCGAGTGGCGCGACGATGACGACTTCTCCTTGCTGGAGGACGAGTGATGGCGGGATGATGACGACGAGTGGTGCTTGGAGGAGCTGCTGGAGTGCTTGGACGAGGAGTGGTGGGAGGATGAGGATGACTTGGACTTGGGGACGTCGAGGATGTTGAGCTCACGGCCAGTGGTAGGTTCCGTCGTGGAGGTTTCGCTGGGGTTGTGCGAGACGTGATATCCATCGATGATGTAGTAGTACCAGTACCTCTGGCCAGGCTCCAGGGTAGAGCTCTGGAAGCGGAAAGTGCCCCTCCAGGTACCCTTGGAAGAGCTCTTGTCCTTGGAGAGGGGAAGCTGGCCGACGTAGTTGTCCCAAGATCCGAGCAAGTGGACGGTCTTGACGCCAGAAGAGACACGGAGGGAGAAAGAGAGTTGAGTGGCCGACATTATGACTTGATACTAGAGGTAGAACACCCGGGTGGGATTAAAAAAAAAATTAATGCTGCTGTGTTGAGAAAAAAGATTGAAGTTCCGAATTTGTCTCCCGTTGAGACAGCTCAGATGTCGCTTCGAGCAAGAAAAATCAGTGGTTGTTTTATTAGCAAGTTGGTCGTAGTCTTCAAGACTGGGTATTGGGTATTAGATTGTAGGTGTTGACCAGCAACTGAGGGCGTATGGTGTAAACTGAAGGGTGAAAAAAGGGTTATGATTTTTGGTGTTTTTTTTTGGGGGGGTATTATGGTTTGTTTGGAAATTAACGTTGATCAGTAGAGCACAGCTCTATGACTTAGAATGAAGTGAATTAAAGGGGGAAAAAAGAAGAAACGACACAAAAAACAACAACTGATCTTTGAAGGTTGGAGGCTTGCTGAAGAGAGAAGAGAAGAAGAAGACGAAAAAGACGGGAGAGGGCCAGCCATAATATAAGCGAGGCCAGATATCACGGCCCTGTGTGGTGGTGGCCCAGACACACCAACGCACATAGTCACTTACAAACAACTACAACCATGACAGCAGGGATCAAGTTGGGGTGACGTGACGTGACAGGAGGGAAACGAAGGTCGTCCGGTTCCCGTCCTTCCTCGTCCCCTGTCCGTCGCCGTACCTGCGGTGCAAACGCAATGAATCACGATCCATGACAGGGCAAATGTGCGATGTGCGTCGCCGCATGCATAAGGCAGCACCACGAGGAGCAAAAGATGCACGATGGATCTCTCTGCCCGTGGGCACATCGGCTGATTCGGTGACGAAGCCAATGGGAGGACAGACATGCAAGGTCTAGGCTGTGTATGGCCGGCCGCGGTGGAGAGCGGGAATCAATATCACATCGCCGTGATGGGGCACGAGCAAGCATCAGGATGGAACCGATGACCTCTGTGTCTCTCTCTTGCATGGTGCATCTTGCCAGGCAGGGGAAGGGGGCCATGCAAGAGCTGACGAGAAGTGCAACCTTGGGACCCGTGTGGTGTACATAGTATGACCCTGCGGGGTGGTCAGCATGTACCGTTGGGGAGTCCGGAAAGGCAGCCAGTGTTACTTCTCGTCGCTTCAACAGCACTACTGCAGGTTGGGCGGTTAAGCAGGTGAGTGGTCGGCCGATAAAGGGGAGCTCTTGATTGAGGAGGGGCGGAACTCGGAAGGCTGGGGAGAGGAGAGAGAGGGAAAGAGGGGAAAACAACGAGTTCGAGCTGTAAGTGGACGGCTCTGCAATGATGATAACCTTGGTCGGCGTCTAGATCCCTGTACTCATTGGCCAATGACGGCACACAGCACCCCGACTCCCTGGCCCGCCACCACTAGTCCCACCCAAAACCGGCCAACGTCCTTTCCTCATTGCCTCCTTCCCTCCAATCACGCACGACACCATACTTTTTCCTTCCCTTTTGCTCTCCTTGATTTTTTCTACTTCCCCTCCTTGTCGTCCCTGGACAACCTTGACAGACTTCAGCACACATCTTCCTTGTGGGGATCTCTGGCGTCTAAATCAACTCGTCCAATCACGGCAGTGTGCCACCCGTCTCCGCAGAGACATGGCCCTCCTCGACCATGAGAGAGAGGGGTATGGCTCGACTGGGCCTTTCGGTCTATCGACTTTGATGGTCAGCTTTTCAGTCCCACTGCATCTGTAAATTCATCACGGGACAGCAAGGGTAGTTGATGGAGGTTGGTGTTGGTTGTCGTCCTTCCTTGAGCCGGCCTACAGTACTACTCATCATCACAGCGATATCCCAGTCCGCCTCTTCTTCAGCAAGCAGGCAATACATTAGGCACCATGTGCAATTACAGAGGCTGATGATGATGGCCCATTTTCTGCTGTATACTCTCGAGTCAAGAGGGGCTGTGCCAGACCGCCACCAGCTCATCATCATCATCATCATCATCATCATCATGATCACCATGATTGACTACAGCATTTTTGTCTCAGTCCAAAATATATCTACCTGGGCATGCTAGTCAAGCTTCGATACCCACCCACCACCCCATCCTGGTTGAGTCTTCTTTTTCTTCCCTTCCTTTCCCTCCCCTTCCCTCCTCTCAACGATCTACCACGAGGCATAGGGCCCGGTCCCCAGGGACCAGGGTGTCGGACACGCATATCTAGCTTTATGCAGGTTCTGGCTCTGCAATCACAATGCAGCCCGCTGCCCCTCCATGCATGCGGGCGAGCAACCTGCAGCTCCCACCAATGCAAGCTTGTCGACTATAGTCTCTGCCGAACTTCCCATGAAGGCAAAGGCAAGGCAGGCGCATGCAGGATACACTCCGATGTCTGCGAGCCGACAATCGCTCGAATGAATGAGCAGGATCTTGATCTTACCGTCGACCTGCTGACAATGATCTGGCCCGGACGACGCATCATAAAGATTTAGCGTGGAAATGAAATTATCGACAGGAAATCTGACCGAGTGACTGACCGAACCATCACAATACACCGCGCTTCGCAACAGGAAGAGAATGACGATCAGTTGAACTCAAAAGTAAACTCAGTTTACGGTTGGCAGTTGGGTGCCTTCGATATGGATGCACAGGCCCCCAGTTTGTCTGTTGGCCCCTCTTTTTAAAATATAAAAATAGAACTTGTCGGCCTTGCGGAGAACTGTGGTCCACAGAGAGTACCAAAGTACTATGGTATACTACGTACTATGGACATGGGACTATGGTACAGACCACAATAGCGGAGGCAGACCCGCAATTGTGCACAGGAGACGCATCTGGAAGGAGACTGGGCGGCACGGCGCATGTGTCTCCTTGCCCCGTCATCAATCTGAGGATAAGAGAAAAGTTTAAGGCTCCGAGAGGGTTGAGGGTGGGGGGGAAAGGGGTGAGGGGAAAGCAGGTCAGGTCGGTCTCCTATGCGGCCACTGCCAAGACGAGTTCTGGCGGTACAACATGAGTCAAAAGAACAACCAAGCGAGGTGTTTTCCTCGACTTGCCGCGTCTAGAAGCCCTTGCATGGGCGGGCTCCGGATGTGAGCCGCCACAGGCTTGGGAGAGCATGTGGGCCTCCTATTCTGCGTCCCTGGCTAGCGAAGCCATCGCTGTGACCCCTGAAGGAGAGCCCTTGATGCCCTGCAGCTGTCTCTCCGAGGAACGGGGCCCCAGTTAAGGAAAAGGGAAAACACATGAGGGAAGACATCCGAACTGCCGGATAATCTACTATAGTACTTGTTCTGTTCGACTGAGCTTATCCTGCTGCCTCCTCCTCGCTGAAGGCAACCCCCCTCCTCACCTGTATTTCCAAGAAGCAATCGAGACAAATCACAAGCTGCTGCTCCTGTTTGACTCCGGTGGTCATCTTGACAGGGCTTGTTCTCAGTGCGACCGGCCTGTCACTTTGCCCTTGTGAGGCATTATCCTCGCGATGGTTGCCTCAAGAACTCCTCCTCCGTCTCCTTCCTACTCAGTCAATGCACACACCATCTCACGTTCCGGTGAGACCCCACCTCGGTCTCTTCAACCCTCGAGGCTATATTGCTTGCATGCACA